CCTAACCCTAACCCTAACCCTAACCCTAACCCTAACCCTAACCCTAACCCTAACCCTAACCCTAACCCTAACCCTAACCCTAACCCTAACCCTAATATAGCTCTTATATTATATATAAGCTATAGTCAAAGCCTTAACTCCTTTATATCTCTACTAGAACCTAGCTACTATTCTCTTAAGCTATATTAAATTGATAACTATTCTTCTTTCTACATAGCTATATTAATTACTGGGAGGTATTGACAGCGATACTATCAGGGAGGGAATGGCCGAACTCTCCTGCGGGGAATTTGAAGAGCGCTTTCGCGTCATTGATTTGGTCAATGGCCAAAGTCTAATGTGGTTTAAGGCTAACCGCCCACTCCAGCTCGGGCAGTATAGATTGGCTTTCTAATGACATCATGACTCAACTCGCTATATGAACAGTGAGGAAAGTCAATCAATCCATAGAATTTTGTGGGTGTATTCATTTTCATTTCACGCAGAATTATTGATTTCATTCTCAAACCATAGTTCAGACTAACATACGATGACCACATTATCAGATTATTGCGGCATTGAAGACTATGGGATTGTAGGCGATATGCACACCAGCGCCCTAGTCAGCAGAAATGGAAGTCTTGATTTCATGTGTTGGCCTGCATTTGATTCCCCATCTGTCTTCTGTCGCCTACTCGACACCGATCAAGGTGGTCATTTTTCAATCTTTCCAGTACCAGACATCAAACCACTCAGCAAACAAAGATATAAGCCCTACACGAATATGTTAGAGACGCGATGGATCCATGAGGATGGAGTGATTAGTCTTTTGGATTATTTTCCCGTTTCGGATAAGGCACCATCCCGTCAAACCGATCTTCTGTCCGGTTGGTGTCCCTGTAGGACATTACATGATCATCAGCTGCCACCGTGCCATTCAGGCATTGTGAGAAAAGTTGAATGCGTCCGTGGACAGATGGATATGATGGTGGAAGTGTTTCCAGCATTCAACTATGCGCGTGACAATCATGATGGAAGCTGGGTAATTGATAACAAGAGCAAGGGACAGCACCGACAATATCTTTTCAAAAGCCCGACACAACGCTTACAACTGAGTATCTACCTGGCTTCAAAGCCTTCATTAGGTAGTGACTCAGTAGTTAAAGCGGATTTCCAACAGAGACCCGGCCTCAAAGGACCAGGACTTTCCATGCGACTAAGTATAACAGAAGGACAGTCGGTGACCTTTGTCCTGCACAGTCCTGAAACGAAGCTTCCAGAGAGTTTGCTGGAGACATACTTGGATAGATTGGAACAAGAAACTGCCAGCTATTGGCGGCACTGGATTGGGCAATGTACATTTCGCGGCCATTATCGAGAGCAGGTGGAACGAAGTCTTCTAGTACTCAAGTTGTTGACATACAAACCCACCGGTGCGATCGTTGCAGCTCCAACATTCTACTTACCAGAGAGCATAGGAGGAGCCCGCAATTGGGATTACCGATATTCATGGGTTCGAGACGCAGCATTCGTTGTCTATGTCTTTCTTAAGAATGGCTATCCAAAAGAAGCCGAGGCATACATCAATTTCATTTTTGATCGAGTCTTCCCACCTATTGACCGCAATGTGAACGAGAGCGAACCATTTCTCCCGATAATGGTTACCATCAGAGGTGACTATGACATCCCCGAAAGCGAACTCGACCATCTAGAAGGATACAAGGGGAGTAAACCAGTACGGATTGGCAACGGAGCTGCCAGCCACAAGCAGCTTGACATCTATGGAGAGCTTATGGACAGTGTTTATCTGTATAATAAGCATGGAAATCCAATTTCCTATGAGCAGTGGCTTGCTGTAAGACGCATGATTAGCCATGTTGTCAAAGTACGGAACGAACCCGACAGATCGATCTGGGAGGTACGGGGTGGCATGAAAAATTTTGTCTATTCCAAAATCATGCTGTGGGTTGCCATGGATCGGGCGTTACGTCTTGCAGAAAAGCGATCGAATTTACCATGTCCTGAGCGGATTGAGTGGTTACGTGTGCGGGATGAACTCTATGATCAGATTCTAACAAAGGGGTACAGTATGCAGATGGATTCCTTCTGCATGAATTACGAGGATCAGAATAGGCTAGATGCTGCTGTTTTGATAGCTCCTCTCGTTTTCTTCATTGCACCAAATGACCCAAGATTCATCCGTACATTACAGAGAATTATGCTGCCTTCTTCAAAAGGTGGGCTATCGGTTGCAAATATGGTGTCTCGATATGACCACACTAAGGTGAACGATGGTATATCTCCTCTTCTCGGTTCATCAATCATGATTTACACGCTCACATAGGTTCAATGACAGGCGTCGGTGGCCGCGAGGGCGCCTTCGTGATGGTGACATTCTGGCTAGTCGAAGCAATGATGCGTGTTGGTCTCCTTTCTATCTTTACGGGTGTTTGTCTGCTAATACCGTTCCGGAAAGGCTTCAAAATGCATGCCCTACCATGTGGTTGATCCGTTTTACCGAGGTCTGCGAGAGTCAGCAGTGACTCATTTTGACAATATGCTTCTGTTCGCGAATCACTTGGGACTTTTCTCAGAAGAAGTGGCCATATCCGGGGAACAGATTGGCAACACCCCCCAAGCCTTCAGCCATTTGGCCTGTATAAGCGCCGCGATGAATCTTAGTCTCGAACACTGAACCCCCATATATCTTGCGCTTTTATTACCAATGTATATCATTGTTCCAAATCCCGGTCCGTTCTCTCTTAAAACCTAATAATAATGTCCCCTGTCTTCTTACGTAAATAGTCCACCACTGTAACATGCATGCAGCTAGGAAGGAACAACATTGATGAAGATCTGTCTAACTGCCTACGCGCGAGCGAGAAGAAGGTCGACGATAGTCACCACCTAGGCGAACCCAACCGGCAGAAACGGCGCCCGTGGCTACTATAGCTGTGCGGCTGCGGCACATCCCAAGAGGGCAGATACCAAAGAACCATGTGGGGATAGCCAGAGCTGTTGCGATAACTGCGCGAATGGCAAATACACCATTGTTTCCAACGGCGATTCCATTTACCTTGGATATATTGGGGAGGATAGAAGTTATGTCCTTGTCAATTGCGCCGGCGCGCATGAGCGTGTCACTGATATCTCGCCTTTTCAAGGTGGGGGTGCATGGGGCTGCGATGACAGTTATGTCGTGGCCAGTGACAATTTTGAAAGTTCAATAGCCAGTGCCAGAGCCTAAATGGCAAGCCTACCTACTCAAAGCGCAATCTCTTAAAGCAGGAGGCTATTGAAGATGCCGCGCGTTAGGGGGCTTTGATTTGATTTGGCTCAAGTTGTCTTGAGGAGATTTTAAGCTGTATTGAGGGGAACAGGAAATATGTATATTGGTAAACTGGAAATAGTACCCTATAGTTTATTTAATCGATAACTGATATAATTCATACTATGTAATGAATGAGTTTATGTTTTTAAATAAATGAATACCATCTTAAAACCTATGGTTCTAAACTCATCTACTATAATATGAACGGCCCTAACAGAAAGGTGAAATTCAAAGTTGGGATTCATTCCAACAGTCAAAGGTGTTTACCTCCGCCTGTTAGATGATTAGATCGCTGTCTATAAAGACCTAGTAGCTATGAGACAATCCAAACTAACTAGAATTGATTTGCATGTGAATTTTTGTTGGAGCTGCGTGAGGATAAAATACTGATTTTATAGGTTGCTAATAACAAGATCTGCTAAAGGATAGCACTCAGGGGTATATTATTGGCTTTTGCATGGATGCCATCGCCGTGCAATCCGCCGAGTGCAGTGGTAGCATATAATCAAAGATATAAGTTCGAGGACTTTTGGATCATTGCCACATCCAATAAACAGACCTGTCCGCCAGGGTATATATCTTTTGGTTTTGGGGATACTGAACCCAACAGTGACCAGTCTGCTGTCTGGCGAGATGGTCAACGAATTGATCTGTCTCAGTGACTCAGAGAAGATACATGTGCTGTGTATCTCCATTTCAGCTTAGTCAAAGATATTCACAGTATTACGTTCGGATCAGGGGAAAAGCCAATAGTCCTAACCTTGCTGGAATGGCTTTAGGATGACGGAGGAAGTCCCTGCGATGCAGATCCCATAGCGTGATAGATCCATCATCGCATCCAGCCACGAGAAACCTTGCGTTAGCTGAAAATTACAAGTAGCGAATGGCCCTTGTAGTGGGGCTGTGAAGAAGATGAGCCTCCCCAGTTTTCAAATTTCATACTCCGATGCGTCCTTTGACAGTCACGGAGGCAATGGTTTCACCATTCCCTGTGAAGAATCCCAATATAGTGGTTCGGTCTCTCTGTCCTTCGAAATGAGCGCGTACATTTCTGGTCATCGTATCAAAAACACGGACTGAGCGATCTGAGTTGCCACGAGCCAAAAGCGAACCTTCTGGCGAGAAGGCCATGGCCTGAATCTTCATGCTTGGTATCATCGCTCCCTTGGACCCCTCCCGAAATTGCTTCTTGTATCGAATGCTGCGTTGTTTCTTACCCTTGTAAAAAATTCCATACTTGTACTTTGCCATTGGGTCGGGTGTTCTTGGACGTATTGTCTTGTTATCCGTGGAGAAGGATTTAGCGGAGACTTGCGCTGAGCAATTGCCAATTCAATGATGCCTCGCCCAGTAAAATAGTTTCCCACAATTGCCTGGCCAAGCCAGTCTCAATAGAAAGAGTAGTCCATCGTGGGAAAATGCTAAGGAGGTAACTGACCCGAGTTCCGAAGCATCTAGCCGGATATGACCGAGGAATTGGGGCACTTGCTCAGTTGGCGTGTTAGTGCTTTTTTCATATTGAGTGTCAAAAAATTCTGGAGCATGAATGCTGCCCCGATCAAGAGCTTTCAGTCCACTATATGCAACTGGTTCCTTTGTCAACTTGGTCCGGCAAGTTTTGTGTGACTGCTCCCAGTGTACTATGGACCATTGCCCCTTTGTTACTGTTGTTGCGTCTTACTGATGCTAATCTTGAGACATATTGTGTAACGGTTTCTCGTGGCTCCTCAGATCTCAACTTGTTAGTGCTCGACCAATTCTATAGCAAAGCAGCACGGGCTGATATACGGTGTTCGGGATTTGCAACCAACAGCCGCATTTAAAACGACCGGCATCGGCGGCGACACCAAACTCGTGAAATGTCTTGGTGGGAAATGTCTTCGTCCCATCCACATAGCTTTTGAGAGTATTCAAATCGTCGAATGGTCTCTTCGCGGTCAGCAGGCGAAGTGCTATCTCACCCACTGACCACATATCCGCACTTAAGTCAAATGAGAGTGCCCACTCTTCTCGCCATTTGATAAGACCAACCAGCTCTGGCACAAGACTATCGGATGAATTTTGCGGCTGTGTTAGATCAACGATCACCCCCTATTAGTAGTACTAGTAGGAAATCTCTGAGCGACTTTTGTACTCACACTCAGTTTTAAGTTACCATGAGCAGATTCATCCTCATGAATAACTTCTAGACCCCTCGGAATATAAGAAGTAACGTATTGCGATTCGAATTCATATAATGGCGATTCCATGTACTGGTTAACAGACCTATGTAGAAATTCTCAATGGCAATAAATAATGACCGTTCATTCACGTACCATCCCAAACATTTGATAAAAAATGCATCATACTTCCTTGTGAGTCAATATAAGTTAGCACCATTCACTCAATCATGTACCTTTCTATGGCAAACCTCCCTATAGCTTCCAGTTCATGATGATAGTCAGTCGGTCGACTTGTGTCTCCTTCACTATCAGAATTCGTTTTCGCTGTCATCGCCCGGCTTTTGCTGTAGCCAGACCTGTCCCCACCATCCCCTACTTAGACACTTCTCCTGCTTCCACTTCTCTTCCCAGTGCCGGACATGTTCTGGAGTTAATTCCGCCTGGAGCTTTGACCATCGGACGAGACCTGACAATGCTGCCATTTGCATAGCCCTTCATCAGTCGCGATACACTATACGACGGAGAGATAGCAAGTAAATAAGCACATCACAACGTGGGTTCAAAGTCCTAAACCCCTGAGACTAACGAGGCTGAGGAAGGAAGTATGAATCCTATTCTAAGGGCTAATAACGTAGAACTTCTATCTAGAAATCCAACAGCCAAGTAGAAGAGTATTGCGCCATGATGGTGGTTTGTGAGGGTGAAGGTAATCGATTGCTATTTCTTAAAATTTTCAAACAGCTGATCTCGTGAATGTAAATACCATAGATACCACATTTTCTGCCGAAAAGGTGATTTTATAAGTAAACCCCTACTGAGCAGAAAGATCAAACCCCACCTTCCCCCGCCAGTGACCCGATTTCTTCATTTCGACCTTAGCACTGACTTAGTTTCTACACACATCTGAGGATATGAAGAGTTACTGAACCCCCCTGCTTAATATTAATATGAGCTTCGGATCGATATTTGCCATCAACCTATTGCTTACATCACCACCGCAGGCTTCCTGGTTCTGTATGGTGGTTGGTTTGCCTTGCTTCCGTCGATAGGCCAGTACAATTGGCTGCCATCGCGCGTTCCTTCAATATGTTGATTTATGAGTAGATGACACACGTCTTTTGAGTTCCATCCTTTGGAAGGTAATATCTTAATTATCGCCACGATGAATTAAATGCAGCAAAGGAAGCATCAGTTCTGGGGATCGTTTCCAAAGGACGTTATACTATATATAACGCGTTCGATTATAGTATCTGCATACGCCAGTTTCAAAAAATCGTAATAACTAATGACTACAGCTTAGCAGTAGGATGCAACAGATGCTTCATCTCAGAGTTGGGATACTCCACGTTCGCCGAGGAATCAGGTCGCTGACGATCCCAAGCCCACTTCTCCACCAACTCAGGCTCAAGTTCACCCTCCAGCATCTGAGTGACATATTTTCCAAGAACAGGGAAGAACTTGTAGCCGTGAAATGAGCCGCATGTGGCAATGAAAAGACCCTTTGAGGCGGAGTGGGGGGAGATAATAAAGTCTGAAGTGGTTGTAAAGGCGTCCCTTCGAACGGTTAGATCCTCATTTTGATTTCGATGAACGGGCACTACTTGACCTACCAGCAGATTCTGTGTTTTGTCATTTCCCATGTCGCGCTCTCGGGTCCGTACCAGAGGTTCCTCGCCTCAACGATATCTTGCTTCAATGGTCCCGGAACCTTCCACTGGTTATAGTCGTGTGTCGGTGGAGGTGAGGAGATAAATTGACCAGGAAGCACTTCGCGAGTGTTTGTGAAAATCTTTGATCCCCACCACTTCATCTCTCCGTCCTTGGTAGGGGGCAAACTACCGATGAAAGGCTTGCCTATAAAATATTAGCGTGATCACTAGAATCTCTTGCTGAGAAACCATACCTTCATCGGGCGTATAGCCCTGGAAGCCAACAGGCATATCCTTGTACTTCTCATACTGTTCTTTCCTAAGCTGCGCCATCCCTGTCGTAATACCAGCAGCCAAGATGCGCTCTCCAGCCCGCAAACCAGGATTCCTGCTCTTCGCAGCACTCCATTCCAACAAAGTGGGCGTGAATGCACCAGCCGCAATGATAGTGTGAGTAGCAGATAGGGCCTGGCCACTCTTTGTCTTAACACCAGTGCAAGAACCGCGTCCGTCAAACTCCAAAGAAGCTACCTCCGCTGTAACATATTTCACACCTAGTTCGATACACCGTTTCGTCACCGCTCGCAAGGAGTCACCAGCAGCAGCCCACCCACTGGCCCTGTTAATCAGCACCTCCTTCACTCCTGTATAATCGGCATTATCAAAGATGCCACCGTACAACTTCCTAGCCTCAGCAACAGGTAAAGCAATGATATCGTCGTTCCTCCCCAGCTCCTTGTGATTGTTAATCACATTCTGAGCATAATCACTCCGGCAAGTCCAGTAGACACCTGTCTGATGGAAGTGTGGCTGCCAAAGTGGATCGGATTTGAAGGTGTCCTGCGCTTCAAGAGCTAATTTGCAATAGACTTTGTCGTCATAATCCGCACGGACAACCTTGTTCCAGTCCCACGATGCAGCTACGCGCGATTCCGCATCGTATGCATCTCTATCGATGAGGGTGATTGAGGCATTGGGGTATTTTCGAATGAGATGGTAGGCTGTTGAGACACCGAACACGCCCGCACCGATAATGAGGTATGAGGGGTTCGAAGCTGGAGCCATTATGTCACCAGATGAGATTTCTTTGGTGTTGGTCACTGCGCAACCGTACTCCAGTTCTGTTCGATTGTAGGTAAATGGGATGGGTCCAGGCATCTATACACGAGAGTATGTAGTATTGAGGTTGGTAAATTGATGATTTATGCTAGAGTTAGATGGGCCTTTTTTATGTATTTATTTTGCATGGCCCGCACTCGGTTTCGCTGTGCCGGTCCGGGAAACCCCGAGCCGATCATGAGGGGCTCTTATTTTAGGACGCGGGTCGGATGTACAAAAGTAGACATGTTTTCCCGCCCCGCAAAACCCGCCCCAAACCCATCCCAACCTGCTGCAGGGTAGGACTTTTTTACCCACTACAGGTTTAGGGAACTCACTAAGTTCAACTGCAGCTGTGTGTTACAGCACTCTGATCAACAGCTATAGAGGTGCTCCCGGACCCAACACTATGACAGTGTCCCTTACACATATATCTGTAGTGGATCTACTGTATTTTTCCTATAGATTTACTATCTACTATATCTTACTCTACCTATTCACTGCACCTTAACTTTTCCACTATCATACTAATCTATATAAGATTCTATTTGAACTGGTACTATTTAAACTATTACTACACATACTTTCTAGCTATCTAAAACAAAAAGTTTTTTCCTCTATATAGTAGTAGTAAGACCTAAGCCCGCCTATCTAATATAGACTCACTCCTTATCTACTACATATCTAATCTACACCTACTCCTTAGTTACCTATCTCCTATCGAGGGTGTTTTTGGACCTGACCTACACTAATCGAGGGTGTCTCCTATATATATATCGGTGGATCTACTGTATTTCTCCTGCAGATTGGAGGAATTCTTAATAGGACCTTCACAAACGTCCCACGCTTAGTTAAGTCCATCATTGATACTCTTCTATTAGGCCAGAAGGTCTGGCGATCACCGATCGGCAACTACTCTGTCGTTGATTAAAGGGTATACTACAACCTAAATCATTAAGATATTCTGGTCTTATATCCACAAACTTCAAGTAAAGACAACCTAAGCGTCCAGAGTACAGCGTTTGATTGAAAATACATATATTGTAACACGACCACTAATATCGCATCCATCAGTCTAAATGCCTCCTATTTTAACGATCCCGCGTACAATGGCAGTTATCTCTAAGAGCGAGCCACAGTGTCAAAAGTGTAGGTGGCCAGGTTAATGGCAGGGCGGGTCTCAGGGGTGTAGTACAAGTTGTACTGCTGACCCCACTCAGGGTGGTTGACACCGTCGATCCATCCCTCGGGCTCAATAGCGAAGCAACCATACTTCTCAACGAATGGCGCAGCACCCTTGTCCTTGGTGTTACGCTGGGCCTGGGAAGCCTTGACGGGGATAGATCCATCCATGTTAAGGCAGGTGAAGAACTGGACGGCGGGCTGGTTGGTGGCAACCTCCATGCTGATTCCGGTGGTGCTGGAATTGATGCGGAGGGCGGGAACGAGGGCGTCAGGAGCGGGGGAGGTTACAGGATCGCGGTCGATGATAAAGCAGCTATCAATGCCGATATCAGTACCGACGAGACCTGCAGTCTTGTTGATGTCTTGGCCAACGATCTTGCCAGTAGTGAAGTTCAAGGCTCCGCCGTTCTGGTCAACGGTCGAGATGGCACCAGTGGGGACTTGAAGGCTGTCTGAGGCGATGAAGCGCTCAGACAAGGGCAGCTGCAACCAGGTGTCATTGAGGATAGTCTCCTGCTTGAAGCCGTTCAGGTTCCAGTAGATGTGGTTGGAGAGCATGATGGGAGTCTTCTGGGTCAGAGCCTCCGAAACCAGCTTGGTGGTCAAGCGGGGCAAGCCGTTGTGGTTGTCGACGCTGAAAGTGGCGGTGGTGAGAACATCGCCAGGGAATCCCTCAGTTCCATTCTTGTCGTAGTAAGAGAAACTGACAGACGAAGGAGAAGAGGCAACCACAGTCCAGTTGCGCTGGTCGTACCCAATATTACCGCCGTGAAGGGTGTACAGGCCCTTCTGGTTCTTGGGAATGTGGTACTCGATGCCATCCATGGTGAAAGTGCCGTTCCTGATACGATTGGCAATACGGCCAATGGTCGCTCCAAAGACAGTATGGACGGTCTGGGAGTCGTTCAGGTACTGACGCGAGTCATCATAGCCAACAGCAACATCTTGCACGTTTCCATCTCTATCAGGGACCAGAACGGAGGTCAAGCGAGCTCCATAGGGAATGAACTTGGCAGTGATCTTGTCTGCGGTGAGGGTGTAGACCTTGAATGGATCAAGAGAGGATCCTGACTGGGTGGAATTCTGGGCCAGCGCAACCGGCGCGAACAGAAGGGCCGCAAGGGCGTGTTTGAGCTGCATGTTTGATGTACAGGTAGTACCTGACAGGCAAGAGGAGACAGGGAAGTATTGTACAAAAGATCTGGTAAGAACAAAAAATCACGGGGAAAGAAAGGGGGTTTTGAGGGAGATGATTGCAGAAGGGGAAATATCGCGTCAGAAGAATAACATTTGAATCAAGGTTGAGCGGATATTACATTCCAACCGTCAGCTGTGGTCGGCATGCCGACCGAACCACTGGCAGCATCGAAGCAGACCACGCCCGCTGTGCCAGCAGCTCACCGAACCCGGTGGGGTCTGACCGTGCTTTTCGTGTTTTATTCGTGATCTCGGCGGTTCAATCTCGGCTCGGGTGCGATATCGCGGGCTATGAGGGTTGCCGTGACGAGAATGATCGACGCCATGTATGTCACTGTCTTAATGCCAGGGCATAATTGCCCATAATCTTCAGCTTCTTTTTCCAAGGTCCCTGTCGCCAAGCAGTGGCCAAGACCTCTAGCAACCGCCAAGAGAGCATCCACGATCTAGGACCAATGATTGATGCGTCTAGTGGCCAGCTGGCAAACACTATTGAAATAAAGGCCTACCGTATTTGCAAGGTTCTTGATCAGTTGGGCAGGCTTGAGTTTCTGTGCAAATTGCCCGAGATATATCCCGTGCCTTTCGGGAACATTTCCATCCTTCTCCAGATCGTTTTGGCTGTATGAAGTGCGCCGTAGCTACTAACAACTGGCTTTTGTTGATTCGTATTTACTTTCCACTATCAAATCCCCCGACTGTCGCCTGCCCAACTGCCAGCTCCAATTGATTCATGACACGTATTCCATCCTGTATGATTATATTGCTAGTACAACTTGACGAACTGAGACATTTGGTGTTGGCGTTGTTGGCCACTATCCCCAATCGCCTAGAGTGGTGGCACTTGACTGAGATGGGTGGAATGTATATCTGAACATGTTTCAAGCCTCGACCGTTGTGTATATCTACAAGTTCGCTATCACAACATAAGCGTATAACTGGTCGGTTATCTACACCAAGCCCATTGCGGTTTGAAGACTTTAGTTAACCAGATTGTGCGAATTGGCTTATCCTGATATCAAATTTACCGGATTAGGGAAATGCCTTAACACTGTCTTTTGATCCCACGACTGAAAGCATCTGTTGCGACCTATTTTTACAGTCCAGCGTTTGCGATTCTCATGTGGCTGGGTTGCCCTCGGTATTCTGTTTCACCATATCGTATGCGATGCGTCTGGCTTTATCCACCTCGTTCGAGATCTTGCCACCATGTGTCGAGACTTAAAATATGCTGAGGTTCCGGCTCTCCCCCGTTCTCTGGGAATCCATTCGTATCTGCGCAAGCTATCGGCTTTGTCTCATGAAGAACGACAGGAGGCGCTCAGACACCAGCCGTCCACGTTTCGCCTAAGCGAATAATACAGGACCATCTAACGATCTTATCCAAAAATCGAGTCTTTTACCACGAAGTTCCACATCTCAAGGCGAGTGACTAGGCGTGTGCTGCGCTTCTCCTGCCATCTTTTGAAATACCTCAAAGAACTGGCAACTGACCCGGAAGAAGAAAGCTGGGTATCTACCTTTGAAGCCCTTTCGGCAAATCTATATCGGTATGTTTATCGCGCACAGGCTCGGCTGTTGAAGTCCAACGGCATTATAGAATCTGAAGTGGCTTCTTGTTTCTCTCGAGGATTCTGGGTCCCCAACGATCTACGCGGACCAGCAGATCTCAATCTTTCAGGGCGATACTTTCCGAACCATATTGCACCTATGATTCTTCCCGAGTCATCAAAGTTATCGATTGATGTCAATTTTACTCTTGTGGGGCATTTATAGCGTATCCATTCAGATGAACAATTTCGTAAATAATACTGCTGATATCATTACCAACCACAAAATGCCAATAGATATTCACTGGGTTTTTGTATATATAAGTCGTGTATAAAAATTGACGCAATCTCAAGGAGTGTTGCGGATAAGAGAATAGAGCATTTGATCGCCGACGATCCTTTGTCTCGAACCGATCACAGGGTAATTCATTAATTATCCTTGAGCCTTGATCGACAACGTAGTCAGCTTGCCCGCTTACATTCTGAACTAATCAGTCATCATGCGTCACGTAAATTCAGACTTTGAGGCCCGAGGGTATAAGTCTCCCATAGCAAAGCTATAAGCCTAATTGCCAAAATAAGCACGGCAGCTTGTCTCCCGGACTTTCTATCCAACTACCTTGCAAAATGGCGTCCTCGCTTGAGCTGTTTCCTCTACGTCCAATGGACCATGCTCTACCAGTAAACTATTTTTCAGTCCTGGGTCCGAAGCCATGATAGCATGGTTGCTCCCGACAGTCGAAGGATTCTGAGTTGCCTGTAGAAACACTGCCACGAATTCGGTGGTGGTCGATGAGCCGCCTCGGTCTGGCGTGGCGATTTTTCTGGCCAGAAGACCTTTCAAAACCGCAACTACTCGGGTTTGCAGATCCGGACAGGAACCGTAGCGCTCTAGAATGGCCGCTGCATCTCGGATGGTAGCTGACGGTTTGACGATCCCTTTGCGAGTCAGATCGTCGGCGGATCCATGCACATTCTGATACTCGCTGACGCAATGCCGGATACATTTTCCGCATATGCTGTCTCCTGACGACCGAGACCGAATCGATCCAACAAGATCGGCTCCTGAGATTGACGTATTCGTTAACAGTGATGAGGAGATTCCGGCCTTGCGAGCCAAATGCGAGTATATTGCGGTTCATGGTATCCCCATGGACAAGGTGAATGGGGACCCTACGTAACGCCCCGCCACCCCAATGGCTCCTAGAGAGCATTTCCCTCCAGGGATTGAGCCTCTTAGATCCTGTTCCCGAACACCTAATTGAAAAGTACGATTTCATTCACCTTCGTCTCCTTATCCTTATCGTTCAAAACAGCGATCCTGTCCCTATTATCAAAAATGCAGACCGCATGCTGAAACCAGGCGGGAATATTCAATGGGATGATCTGAACTACCCAGACACGAATATTTTCAAGGTCGATTCAGAAATACAGATGCCCGCCTTGGACGAGCTTCGCCAATTTGTCTACTCCAAATGGACAGCATGATTAGGTTCTTGAACTGCCCAGTATCCTCAAGAAAAACGGCTTTGTTAATGCACACCTTAGCCATTATCGCGATGACAAGGCATTTTATCAAACTCTGATTACCATCCCATGATCATGGAAGAGTTTGCCAATCGATTACAGAGAACGGGGAAGACTGGTGACGTGGAAAATATCTATTGGTTGATTGAGGATGTTTCGATCGAGGCTCAGAAGGGAGCAGGTCTGTTGATGCCTAGAGTTGTTGTTGTTGCAAAGAAGAGTAGTTAGATAAATTTGTACATTGATAGAATAGAAAATATTCAGCAGGGCCTTCTTAAGTGATGTTTACTTATAAATCCTTAAGCAAGCTATCTAAGATTACTACATTTAACCTCTATTAAATGACTACTTTTAACAGTAGATTTCAATTTAGACTCTGGCTTGATAAACGACGACACGAAATATCTCTGATTCTTGGTTTTTTTAAGGCGCGCCCAGGTTCCTCCAAGTTAGAGTGACCCTGATCAGCTGCCGTGATATCCAAAGAGCCGCAACATTGGTTACTAAGTATCTGAAGTAGTAAAAAATATTCATACGAGAAAAAGAATGAGATGAGATACAATAGGGGAATACTTCTTGGACTAGGTAAGCCTGGTTAAATTACATTGTGTATATTGAGGATGCTCTATCTTTCTTAGCTTACAATGATGGAGACTTCGGTATTAAGAGGAAATATATATTGAATGGTAAGGCCAGTAACTATGTGGAATAGAGCAGCCCCGTCCTCAATAAATATTTATTACTAATTAACTACTAGATAACAGAGCATAGAAATAACTATTAGAACTCCATTACATATATGGTTTATTCATCAGCAACTTCGAAAATTCCAAATAAGCGAAAATCAAGGTCTTCGGTGTTCTTCAGTTCGGCGAAGTGGGCAGCATATTGCTTCGAGAAATGTACGATTGTGCTGCTAGCGAAGGTCCTGTTCAAAAAGTAATCTGGTACATGAGAAGAACATAATTTTTTACATGCATCCATCACTGTTCAATCCATATAGTTTTCAGTTCAGATCGACCAAACAATCGATTTGGTCCAGTTCGAGAGAAATAGGACTGTTCCATGGATGAACTCAAGGCTGGCCAATAGGAAACAGCTGGGACCCACTAATCGGCACCACACCGCTCCATTGACAGCAGCCTTGACAGCCAAGTTGTCAGTGCCTCAGAATCTGCTCCTTTTCCATTCCATCACCGCATCGGATATAATGCGCCTGCTAAATGCAACAACTCGCAGGCTGGAAGAGTTCACGGACCATGAACTTCCCAAATATGCCATTCTGTCGCACACTTGGCAGAAAGATGAGGTCTCCTTTCGAGACATCCACACGTCGAAAGCGACGGATAAGAAAGGATATGTCAAGATTCGGTCTTCCTGCAAGCGTGCTCTCCGAGATAGGTTGAAATATGTATGGGTGGATACTTGCTGCATTGACAAGAGGAGTAGTGCAGAGCTGTCCGAGGCGATTAACTCGATGATGAGTTGGTATGAGCATTCGGAAGTGTGCTATGTTTACCTTGCTGATGTGCCTCCGTCCTCCGAGCTTGTTTCGGACTTATCGTCATTTAAGCAGAGTCGATGGTTTACTCGAGGATGGACTCTGCAGGAGCTTCTTGCTCCTCCCAAACTGGTGTTTCTGGCTCAAGATTGGTCGTTGCTGTTTGCTCGTGAAACTGTGGCAGGCACCATCAGTGAGCTTACCGGAATCAGTGCTTCCTTCCTAGAAGTGAGAGAGAATCGCGGTGGTTTCAGACACATGCTAAACTCAAGAAGCATAGCGGAACGAATGAGCTGGGCATCTAAGCGTAAGACCAGTCGAGACGAAGACATAGCTTATTCACTTCTGGGGATTTTTGGTATCACCATGCCAATTCTATACGGAGAGGGAACCAACGCCTTTTTCCGACTGCAACAAGAGATAATGAAACACTCCGATGACCAATCGTTATTTTCCTGGAACTTTGTGGAATACAACAACGAATCCGGTAATAACCGGCCAACAACACGGTTAGTGTCCGTTGATCAAGCCATGATGATATCTGTCCACAATCCCGAAAGGTCTGGTGTCCTCGCCAGCTGTCCAGCAGCATTTTCACAATGCGGTGACATTGTTCCCTGCAACTTTGGCAAACCAACACCGCCTTTCTCCATCACCAACAAAGGTCTTAGTATGGAGATCCCACTTCTCACCACAGGTGATACATCGGTTGCACTTCTTCAATGTCAATTCAAGAAAGACCCTACTACCTTACTTGCTCTTCCGGTGGATTGTTTACAAGACAATATCTACGCCCGAGCCAAGTCACCCATATGCGTGGTTGGGCATAAAACATGGCAGGAATGGCCACAAACTCAATTATATCTAGCCCCCAGCCCTGAATTCATCAGCAACAGGGTTGAAGCTCCAGAATATACCGTCATTATGAAAACTGTGCCGTCAGACCTGCGCATCGGCGATGTACTTACCTATTTTCCTCCCCAAGAGCTGGGCTCTATGGTGTTGATGGAGTGTAACAGAAGTAGCATCTGCGCTGAGAGTAGGGAAGTCTTTGTTCGGTTCGAGAGCAGAAACGGTGATTGTCAACCATTCATTCTTGGTTTCCATCTCACATTGAAACCGAGTAGACCTTCGATTCTGTCTTTAAACATCCAACCAAGGGACAATGCTGTCCCAACCTGCCGGTTTCTACCTCTCAGAAAGACAGACTACCCATCCTTGGAAGCCCTGCAGCAATGGATGCAGAGTACACTACATCAAGCACAGAAGGGAGAACCCTCTATTCCATATTCGGCAAATGTTGCAACCGAAACATTCTTTGGAAAACGTCTTTTCAGTATCCATGTCACTTCCGCGCGTGCTAGCAGACAAAGGCGACATATGGGTGAATACACATTGAGTGACTTGGCTAGTTTTCTGCATCGAATTGCGACTGGTCACCCACACGTGCATAGGCTTCGTCAAAGGTGGCTACACGTCCTAAAAGCCTACCAAGCCCATAGCATCCCCTATTTCCGTTCTCTGTTTCGAATAGCTGTACTTTCGCCTTTGATCCTCACCTTCCTCATTGATATCCTAGCTAGGAGGTCTTTTGCACTAGCTATTCGAATGGCAAAGTTTCTTTGGAGGAACGAGGAGGTTCCTGCGCTATTAGCCTGGCCAGTGTATTTGCTCTTCGAATACTCATCCATCAAGGAGCTTATCAACAAGGGGACTCCCCGATACGTACATGGAAAAAACGCTATGAGGGTTCTGTTTCTGTATATCTGCTGCAGGTGCCTACCAGCACATTTCTTACTCGATCTTATTGGGGAGGAAGGCTGAGCTGGATACTGGAATATTCGCTGGCACGCTTTCCGCTTCGTTACATTTTTTTTTGTTTTTTATGATGCATTATACGCGGCAACAGCTCTGATTTCCATGTCAATATAATCTATCCCCTTTATATTGCTCGGTGTATTTACAGGCGCCAAAGCTCCTTCAAAGTCCCTTTTGCCTGCAGAAACGGCCAGCCAAGATCAGACTCTGCGCCCGAGAGCAGCTGCACCGAAATTTTAGTCCCAATTGGACCATTGAATAACTCTCCGCATATTACAATGACCAGTCCAGCACTGATCTGCGCCTGCACAAACTCAGAATTTGACATTAAAGCTCTAGAAATTACCTTGTTGCTATCTCGTATATGTTCGTCGTTGCAGTATCCCATCCTAGTCTGTTGAATCCGTGTAAGGCAACTCTGGGTATAGTAGGCAGGTTAAAAAAACACGCGCAAGGTCAATGTACTGCCGTGCTGCAACATGGTAGTCATTTGCATGCCAAATATGGGGAAATGGATTAGATGTAGGAATATGTTTCTGCAAGCAAATAGCACGGAAGGATTCAGGACACAGACGTTTTCAGTCGTTGATATATTGCATGAGAGGCTCTCATTCTCGCTGTGATAGGATGTTCTTCCCACAAGCAAAATCCGTTGGATCTCAGGACGCATCAATATCGAAGTAGACAAATGCCGGTAGTTCAGAGCATCTGATCCGAGGCGGCCTTGCAATCGTCGTTATCTGTGAACTTCTTTAGGGTCAACAGAGCTTGAAGCGAGGCCAGGAATGTTGAGATGGTGCTTGGACAGTGTATGGAACGTCGTAGGCTGCGGCCAGAGGACCTTAAATTATGGATTTTTACCGGTTGGGTTGCCGCCAGGTCTTCAGGGCTGATCCAACTGTGAAGTTACTATGAATATCTTAGGCAGTTAGGAATACTTTCTGGCTCTGCCGAAAATCTGTCGCACAAACTCGACGGTTTTAGAAAGCCTTGTGGCGAAAATGATAACGTCAAGTTCTAATTATCAATCTCCATTCAGCACGACACGACTTAGAGTGAAGCGTACAGTATGTAATTGCTGCACCTTAATACCGCCACTGATTATCGTCTTGAAGGCGCTAGCATCGAAGTAACAGCCAGCCTTTCTGGTAAACGCGAGACTGGCCTGTGGCTTATCACTTCTTACTGAGCAGAATACGTGAAGGTTAACTCTGTAAAACAACTCGGACTCAATTATCAAATATGGAAATGATAAAGTTCAAAACAGTTTGGGTATCATGCCATAGCCTCTTTCGCCCGCTGCAGCTCTTCCTCACTCGGCATGTTGACAATCATCATATATACAACTTTCTATCAGATATTAGCATTGATCAAAGCAAAGGCAGCACCAAAGAGCAGGGACTCACCCGTTTCAACATATTGTCCAAGCCACCCCCCACAAAGCCCTTGGTACTCTGGTGAGGAACGGGTCGGCCCTCAGCACGAGCCTTTTCAGCCTCGTTTTTTCCAGTCGCCTTCCTCACAGCAGCATCTGCAAGACCTCCGAAAAAGGACGGTTTCGCTCCACGAGCAGATCGCCCCTCAATACCCATCCAGCCCAGAATCGTGTCGTCGGTGAATTTTCCTCCGGTGGTCAAAGCAAGCAGGGAACCGCTGGCTGCTTTGTTCATGGGGTCTGCGTATCTAGAAGTAAATTCGGGCTTGGGGCCCACGGCAAGGTTGCTCCCGGGGTCCTTGGCGATCTGGATGCGTGGGTTTAGATTGTTGTGTATGGTGAAAAGGTCGTGGGCACTTACAAATTTAGCTTGATCTCTCTTATCGTAGTAATTCCCAATAGATGCCATCCCGCCCTGCATTCTAGACACCATTAGGTTGTGCTTTTCCTTCGTTTCCTTATCGGCATTCTTCAGATCGGGAAAGACGAGAGGGGAAAATTGGTCAAAGGTTGTGTTTGTTGTGGCGTTGGCCGTCTGGTACTTGTGATGGATCCTGTGGAAGCCAGTACCCGGGGTCATGGCAGAGGTGATGGTGTTGTTGATATCAAGATCGAGAATTACCTCCGTCGACTCGGGGGCGTAGGTCATGAGCAAACAGAAGAGACCACGCGGCATGAAGAAATCACGATTAACCTTGTCGAAAAAGTTTCCAGACCTACATTGATCGATTAGCATATTGTCTCTGTGGATTTTCTAGAATATGTAAACCTTCTTCTGCCGTCGACAGCCATGCCGATCCTAACAACTGCATCGGCCACGAACCCCATTGCAAAACCGACTGCGGGATTAACAAAGTACCCTCCAACCGTCGCAGCCAAATTAATCACCTGTAGCCACTGTGACCCCACACAGGCTTTATTCGCCTTGTCCACAAATTTGAGAAACATATCTTCATCGATGGCGAACTTGGTCAGTTCAGGCGCATAGGCACGCACAAATCCTCGCTGCCGATTCTTCGGCCGACGCTGAGGCAGAACGACCGGATGTTCAAGCCGAGCGGTCTGTTCCAGTGTCATATCATAATAACTGGGAGGCATTGGATACTCTTGAGCAAAGGAATCCGCTAGCTGGTAATAGTCGACTTCTTGATTGTTTTGGTATGTTGGGTATGTTACCCCACGGAGATGTTCTTGCGCTTCGTCCAGTTCCCATTGTCGTTCAATGTCTTCGTCCACTTCGTAGGGTTCTTTTTCGGTGGCCGGCTCTTGTTTGAATTCGTGGACTTCATAAGTCGTTTCTTCTTTCATGTCTGCTTCTCTTTCGGTAGGATGAAGCAAGTCGTTTACTTCTCTTTGCGTTGAAGGGTAGCCGCTGTACATTGTAGGATAGCCATTTTGCATTGGAGGATAATCGCCTTGTGTTGGATGACCATTTTCCATGGGAGGATATCTGTTTTGCATGGGAGGTTGACCATTATGGACAGGAGGATAGCTATTTGCCCCTTCCTCTGTGTGGTACGATGGGGCCGTACTTTGAGTTTCTTCTAGAGGTGGAAGAGATTCCGTCTGTTGCTGCTGCCCTTGCTGTTTCTGCTGTTGCTTCTTTGATTTTGAGGCTTTGGCAGTTTCGGAGACGTAGCCGATTCCCGCACTGACCTGTCGTATAAGGTAACCCATGATGATAATATAAGATCGGTGTAATCAAAACGATTCGTCCGGATACGAGATGAATCGACAGCCTTCGAACCAAGCATTCAGATCGACGAGGCAAACGACAAGTATTTATCTAGACTCCTGGTCCCTTCACGACAAAGGGCTCCCAACTATATCCAACAAAACAATCCGCGCGGTTTAAGCACTAGGACGCTGAATATCACATCCTATTGGCTGTATCATACAACAGTCTTCCTGCGCCTTATTGATTGGAATCTGTCATAAGCTGACCATAAAAAGCACGCTTTGTTCTACCAGTCATATTCAACCCATGGGTCATTTTGGGGGCAGACAAGTCTGCCTTATAATTTAATAGGCCAGTTCGATGAAAGTTCAGATAAGACAAATTATGAATAGCTCACACATTCATCCATTTCCCGTAAACTATGTTCTGGGATAAATGACATCATGCATCGCACTGTTAACCATGTTGGGTTTAGGGCGGAGACCAGGGCCATCGCCCATATAGATATTTTTTCTAACCAGAACGCACCACGAGTCATTTGATGGGCTTTCATTCGTTCATGGGTATGATATCATTCTTATCACGCATATACAGCCGAAATATGGAGGAATGTGGGATTTCCGCCCCCACGAGCCACGTATGATGCGACGTCATTCTGGAACAACGCCCCTGGAAAGCCCGAGATATGTGTGAGAACTTTGCATACCAGTACCAGGTTTGATTCATGTTTATTCAGTGAGTGAGATCAGATAGTACAGGTGAAAAAGCACCAGGAAGAATGTGGCGTGGGGGGGGTTAAGAGGACGCTTGTGTGTTCGAAGTATTAAAACTCATCTAAAATAGAGGAAAGCTAGATGTGTACCAGATTGGTATGCTATGTCTTCAATCACAGACCCATTATAATGATATAATCGTAGTCTGACATTATCAACAAGTGTTCTTAGCTCGTTCAGAGTTGCAGTCAGTTCTGATCTATAAAGCCTTAGATTTAGTTACAAAGCTGGGATGACGTAATAGTAGATCGATTCCGTCTAGAATTACAGGAGCTAGACGGCGGATGGGCCGTTTGATGAGCCGTTTCTGGCGCCCCACTGTCATCGGATGTTAAAATCTAAAAATGAAAAAGCGAAGGCCTTTTCGTGAATAAGATATATATCCAAGGTTCTTAGATAATATCTCTTTATTGAGTAATTTTAAAGGATTGTTGAACCCATTGAATATATATATTTCATCCTCCTGCCCGCACGGAATGGCAGTCCACGCCATTAGGAAGGCAGAGATCCTTATCGCATCAGGGAAGGCATGACAATGCAAAGGGCCAGCAGGTAGACAGATCATTGAGTTTCCTCAAACCAAAGTCACAAATTTGTAAAATAAAATGTTTTGTAACCACTATCAAACCCCAGAAAGTCGTAGCTGGGGAGGAAGCTGCGCACATCACCACGGAGACAGACTGATTGAACAAAGCTTAGAGGCCTTTGCTTGTCAGCTTGTCGAAATTTATATCGTCGCGATGAGGATTGGATTTACGGCCACCGATGTCCAAGAAAGAAAATGAAAATGAAGCGAAAGAGACGAATAAGGATTCTGCTTCTCACTTGAAGTTGATTCATTCTGTATACTGTTTGGGGATACCTCATTGAATACAACCTATTTTTAGACCAATATCAGCATTCCGCATAGATGTCCCGCAAGAAACTCCATACGATCTAGGTAGTTTGCTACAGGAGATAGTTACAACTTACATGTTGTAGATTAACTTTAAAAAACATGACTAGCTGGCACAGTTGGATACAAAATGAACGCAGTGAGCGTTTACATAGCTATTCTAAGAATAATTAAAAACAAGACCCCTTGGTATCCTACACAAATCCTAAGTCCAATCTTCCTCAACCACTCGTAGCATTATTATCATGACACAAAAGGGTCGGAATTAATGTCGACACCAGTGAAGCGAAATTCCCGAAAACATAATACAAAAGAATAGATCATAGAAAGCGCAGCCGATAGCAATTTTTCAAAAACCGAATAAAACCCCAATGCACTCGATTCCAGACGGGACCAGCCGGCAGGAATCAGTGTTCAAATGCAAAGCTTTACGGAGGGTTGCTTGACAAGTCGCCCGAAGATTCAGATTCAATGAACTTAGGCCAGGTGTTAGTGAAGACCAAAGTCTTGATCGACTTTTCGGCCTCATCAAAGGAATGGATATCAAACTCTGCAGGAATCGATATGAAGCCCGGCACACGAGGTTCGATATGCATGATGCTCTGGCCGTCGCTATCGCTCGGGTATTTGTCTAAGCACAGAGCCTCGGTGTCTTCTTCATCCACCATGACGACAGTGGAATTCATTTTCTTATGTAACGGCGTCTGGTTGTAAGTCTTGGGGAGATTCCTGTAAGTGGGTGCTCTGCCTCCCTTGGACACATGTTGGCCAAGGTAGAAGGCGGCTTCGCCGAAGATGTTGGTCAGATCGGCGTAGATGCGAGATTCGATATTGATGGGGAATTCTGCCAGTCTCAAATCGACACAGGCGGCAAAGATCTCGACCGCGATATTGAAAAAATGAAGTCGGTGAGATTGAAGATCGCCTTTCCAGTCGTAATGTAGCTGTGATGCATTCATCGTTATCCATGCAGCTTTCCAGTCGCGCACGTAATTCAAGAAAAGTATATTCTCGCCACTGAATTCCTTGGACGCGGCAAAGTGGAGCAGAGCCCTCGAGTCCTCTGCTAAGCACTTATCCAAGGCTCTTCGGGAGTATAATGGATCCATCCGACCAAGTCCGCTTTGAGATGATAGCGCAGTCCCAGAGGCTGTGTCGTTTGAGGCAGCAGCCTTCCTCTCAGCCCAGCCTTGGATTTCCTCGATCATGCTGTTTCTCTGCTTTTTAGAGACAACCAGCTCATAGCATGGAAAGAAAACAGTGACAGCCTCCATTGCCATGATACCGGGAGCAAACCTGTGAATAAAATTAATTGGCTGCTTACATTGGATATAAAGTCTTGGGCATTCCTTACCAGAGAGCCGGTACCCAGTATCTGCCAATGGCTTTCCATGTATCGGTAGACAAATACAGCGCTGCCAGCCACATCGGCGAGCCGGGTAAACTGGATCTGTTAGCACGTCTATGGGTAAAGCGAACGTGATTATGTATTCTTACCCGGCAATGACACAGCATGTAATCTGCAGCCGCCAGTGATGGATATCATGGATGTTGCGAATCTTCCATAGCATCCATGGCGCAAATATCCAGGACCAGCACAATTGCCAAAGAATCGAGGGAATCCTGTAGTTATCATTGTCAGACAGGCTCAACCACACTACCAGGTAAACGTGAAACTTACCATTCGGGACCCGTCCGACATTCATCTGGACTAGTGGAGTGGGAAAAGGTGCCAAAATTATGGAATTTTCGCGAGGTTAGGAATATAGTGAGTGACACAATCACCTGTTATAGTATGTTGGTCAATAGAAGCACAACCGGTCGAGAAAGAGACATATATTCACCTGGATCACCATTCCAATAGCAATTCCCACCTCGGTCCGCTGTACCAGATTCATCTGCTTCCATTGCAACACGTATTGACTGGGGGATTTTGATCGAGCGGTCAAGTGGGATCGAGACGGTTGACGGGCATTGAGGAGCAGCTTCTCTTGGATGCCAAACACATTCAAAAGTTGCATGCTATTTGCTTGGAAAAGAGCAATTCCCAGAGGCAGATATATGCTCATAATCCAGTATTCGGCGACACATGGGTACGCATTACCCATCGAGTATGCGACCATACACAGAATCCAGTAGACATGAAGACATGCTACCGCACTCAGTGCGAGAGGCAGGTTTCGGATGCGAATGCAGTGCTGATGACGGTTCATGCAAAGAAAAACACAACCGGCGAGGAGAGCGACAGTCCAGATAATGGCAGCGGAGACGTAAAATTTGGCTAGACTGTCGAATACGCCTTCGGGGTGAATCGAGGACATTTTTGAAGATCTTGGCGACTGACACGCGCCATTCACAAATTTAGCTATCGATGATTGAGGTTGTTCCAAGCCTGACTATTTGGATAGACAAAGATCGAATGATGATGAAAGGATCTCAAAAGTTGGCCCTGTGCAGAATTAGGGTAGGATCCAGCCCCTGGTTGACAAAGACAACGGCGGATGATGGGCAAGCTTTTCATTTGTCCTTTCATTTGGACACGGGCCCTTGGACAGTCGACACTGTAGATCAGCAATGAGGGTAACCGGATTGGACACGTCATACAGCAGGTCCCACCCTACCTGCTTTCTATTGGTCACTGGTGAGAGGTAAAGTTCACTGGGGCTTAGGGATGCTGAAATTGTATTTTTGAGAATTTTCGCGTGCGACAAGCAATTATAGAGTATTTTTTATGACTGCAATCATAAAGAAAGGAATGACTAGTTAGCATGTTGTCCTGATGATCCAGATCCCAGATATCAACCTATCATTGTGCCTTAATGTATAGATAGGCTATGATTCACGTGTTCTTTACTGGGGGCTTCTGCAAATAAAAGATTTTTCTAGGAAGCAAGTATTTTTGCATTGTTGCAATCTGTAATTTTGGGGTTAGATCGGTACTTGAGCTGGCAGCGACCCCTGAGACCTGCTGCGTCAAGTCTGTATTAGGTGTGCACAACAGAAAGCATCATTTAGGATTGGCTCTGCAATATATCTGCAACGTCTCGCGGCTTAATCATAGATTGTGACCTTATCCACTCACCAATTATTGTACGCATGTGTTGAGTGCATATACTATGAGACTATTAGAAATCTGGTGTTACTGTCTAATTGTCCACTGGGACTACCATAATCAGCGTATTATGTTTGGATTGTCTGATTGTCTAAGATCGGGCAGTGTTGTGGGGCTCATAATTTGCCGTGTCTTGTTGACCAAGAAGCAGGAATTGACTAAGTTTTTTTGGCAGTTTCAGGATGTAGCGGAAGCTATTAGTTGTTGCAAGGGGCTTCTGGTTTCTGTAACTATTCATTGGCTAGTCAGATATGATAAGGTTAGGTGCGGCTGACCATCAATCTTAGAAAGACCTTTTTGGCAAAGTGTGGTGGGAAGGCGGCCCGAGATGTGAGCAGTCTAGATTCTAGACAATACCAAAGCCATCAACCAAGGATTTCATGAAAAATAATTTGTCGGTTTCGAAGCCTATATCGACTTGAGGAAGTGTTAAGAATGAAGATTATATAATGATACGCTAATTATCACAAGTTCGCCAGGCCAGGGGATAAATTAATTAATTAATTAATTAAATGTAACTAGTCAGGTTACATTTATCACTGAAAAATATATTAGGCAAACTTCCTCGTATTTGGTGGCGCCACGAGCGGCACGACAAGGCTGCTTTAGGACCAACACATTGACAAGCGGCTGAGTTGCGTGGATGTGGGACTGGTTATCATCATATTATGTACATCTTCATATCTCTCATTTCTCTGACCCGTCTCATGCAAAATCAAGAGTCAAAAATGGGCCCAAAAGCAGGCACTCCAATGGCCTCGAGTTCAAAGACGATCTTCTTGGTAAGCGTCGGATTGCTAATCACACACACAGCTTCGGCGTTAAACTCGCGGAATAGTTCCCGAGTCACTGGCACCATGTTCACCCGCCCACTACTGTTCGTATTGATGAGAAGTGGGTTGGGGTCTAGTTGTTGCACTAAGTTCAGAACGTCCCTGCCATAGGTCCGGATGGGACTCCGCGTCTGCCAGATGATCCGCATCGGGGGACGATCGCTTTCGCTTAGGAACGAAAGACAGGGCCCTATTCCTGATCCAGTGGTCACCACAATCACCCTGTGAAAAACACGCATCACATGGATGAAGCCGTACATCATCACGCCACGCTTCCATAATTGAGTCGGTTGTGTATCAATGCATCGTGATGTCCAGTTGCCTGCTTTGGACACAATGCAAGAAAAGGTCCGGCCGGAAGGGTCATCAGGAAATGTCGCAAAGCTGTGCCAATCGTGGAGTGGGTGTTTGGAGAGGGCAATCACCTTTCCGAATGCTGTCGATTGGTGGTCCATGTGGAGCCGGGCAGCATGGGGCGACAAGTACTCGGGGGAGACCTGCACCCGCCGCAGCAGGAGCCAAGGGTGGATGATTGTCACGATAATTCCAAGGACGAACCAGAAGGCGGGGAGTTTGATCAGGTACTTCCCGAGCGTTAGACCGTCTGCGTGCCGTGCCTGGTCCGAGAAGAGCAACAAAACGGCCAGGAAAAGCGCCACGGCGGACCAGGCACCGAATCGGTGTGTGAGTTCAAAATAGTCATGTAACTTGGTGCGGAAAGTCGGGTATGCGACCACAAGCATGGCAAGGAGAATGGCGAGTAAAACGTAGGATAGCACCAGCACAGGGACGGTGACTGTTCCTGAGGTTGGAAGAGTCCAATACTCCTGGGATATAATCGCCACGAGGCCAGTGTACCACAAGAAGGCTGCCACACCACATCCACTATGTACGCCGCCATAATGATGTGCTTTTGCAGCAAGCCTGCGGAGCACAAGGGGTGCCGACCGTGGGATGCGGCAGATGATCCAAAAGATGGAATTTACCACCATTGGGTGTCGCGCAAGACCGCATATCAGGAGATTAATCGCGGCTGCGTTGATAAAGGGGAGCTGTTTTTGTCTGCTCTTCACCATAACAATAATAAATGCGATTGCATTGGCACAGTATACCAGCGTAAAGAGGCGGCGGTAGATTGTGAGAAGCAGATATCGTATTGAGGCAAAGCAGATTCTCGGGCTCTGCTGCGACTCAAGATCCGCATTAGCAGAATACCTCTTCCATTCATCAGGTGTGCCACTCCGGAGATATGTATCGAGTGGTGTTGCAATGCTCGGCTTGCTCGCACGTGTGGGAGGCGGTTGATTCAACATTGATATATAACGTCCGTAGGAGGGTGAAATCAATGGGGAAAAATGTTGTTCTCAGTCATAGACATCGAAGGATATATCTTCACATATACCGACCTGATATTTCAACGAGGAGAATGCTCGATGGAGATCAACAGGCTCTTTCAGGACAGGTGCAGGAGGATGATAGGTTTGCCTACCTAGACAACATCGTGTCTTTAGCTACAGATAGTGGCCTTGCTATGGCCGAGCTGGTGGGGCAAGGCATCCGGTCAACTGCCAACTCATGTCAACTACCATGGCTTGGTTCGAGCTCCTTGAAATCGAGCATGGATTGTCAAGCAATCAGCTGTACGCAAACATATGTACCTATTTGCCTATGGCGGTAGTTGAGAATAGTTGAAGGCAACCTACTGCATCTATAATAGATGCTTGATCATTCTTTATAAAGTTATCAATGGCTGTGAGACTCTACATGCTTTTTTTGGATATTCTCCCCCGGCATTGGTTGACGGGTCGAAAGAGTGGCCCATCACGTTGGTGGAAACTTTATTGCCAGCTGTAAAAACGTGGTAGGATAACTTTTCAAAATGTCAAACCTAATTTGTTCAACTAGGAAAAGCTAATGTTACATAACATACCAAATAGGAACTTAGGGCTAAAAGTTAATGCCTTATATGTTTTTGAGATGACCATACCACCAATAGCGCAACGGATACCCACTGCGATCACCATGGAGAGGCTATCGACGCCGGATTCGACCGGGCCGGTACCGTGAATGCTTTGGAAGTAGATGGGCAGATAGTAAAACAGAAGAATAAGGTGACCCATGAAGAAGAATTAATACGGTGCTACACTCCACAGTGATCTCGCTACTATTCCAGGGAGAAGTAGTGCCTCCATACCGAAGGCCCAGGAGAAGGCATATGATAGCTACCATGGCCACACGTTGCCCACTGGGTCTAGTTGCAGCAGCTTCTCCTTTAAACTGATCTTGGAGGGGGGGGCTTGGCAGCACTTGGAAGATGGGGGAAAACAAGTACTAACACAGCAGCAAGATCGCCAAGTGACTCTGTCAGTGAAGGCACCACCTACCAATGGTCCAAGAACAGCAGCAAGACCATGAGTAAGTCCAATGATGCCCATCAGGACCGGCCGCGTTTTTGGAGTACTGAACGCAACGATGCTGGTGCCCCACCGAGATGCCAGCGCCGCCCGTCCCCGCGATAGCCCGACCCACAATCATGGCTTTGGAGGTTGGGGCGAAACCACCATAATGCACTCACTTGATCCAGAGAAATCAGGAAAACGCCCATGATCGATGCTCCAGCAAGCAGGACTAGTCATAAACCCTGCGGATACTCGTCCTGGGCATCAGTCTGTCCTGATGGTCCTGGTTGGTCACTGTTGCTGGTCTCCACAGGAGCTTCCTTCTCATCCTCGATCCCGTTCGTATTGAAGATCGAGACCTTGGGTGTTTCCGTTTCACCAAACACCGCTCTCCTCTATGTTTATAGGTTTAATCCTTGCTTTCGTGATTGGTTGTTGTCAACAATACTGGATTTTATGTTGCTATCAGCAACATTGTCATGCTAATCATGCTTGAAAAGATGGAATGTACAACTTATGTTGCACTGATTAATAGTCAGCCTCTTAGAAGGCACCAAAACAGAATTTATAATTACAAATGATACAAATGACTTCACATAATACCGAAAATAACCAGTGCATCTGAGACGTCTACCACTCATCAATGCTCATCTTCTTGTGCCTCCCATGGCAGGCGAAGGGTGCCCCGTGTTACTCCTGCATCCGTTCTTCCATCACGCGCGCAACCTCCTCCATGATACCACGCATGCCGGCCCCACGCAGTGCCTCAGGAGTATAGTCCTCATAGTCCCCATAATCATCCGCATAGTCATCCGCATAGTCACCCTCATCTGTATAATCATCCTCGTCAAGGTCAGAATTCTTATGCGGAACAATCTGGTAATCGACTTTTGTGTCCTTGAAGAGATCGCGCAGACTAAAGAAACAATCTGCGGGTGTTTTGCCATCAGGAATACGCTGCCCAGGCCATCGGATAGGATGGGTTATATCCATGGCCAGGACCATGATCTTCACCAACTCTGGATATTTGCCACTGCGGACGTCTTTGGCGATATGGTGAGTCATGTTCCGGATTGAGGACGTGCAGTCTCGGATCCAGAGCTCTCTCAAGGAAGAAGGGAAATCAGGGAGCTCGGGGAGAAGGCAATGCTGGATATGGAGGGTGTGGAGGACAGGAAAATCGAGTAGGGAGGGCATTTTCGGCTGCAGAGCTTGCTGTGCGATCAGGCCTTGTATAGAGGCGTGGTCTTGTGAGAGGTGGTATTCGATATGTAAGTGCTCGAGCTTCTCCCTGTGTGGCTGCAAGGCTTCGTGAAGATGCTCTGCGTTGAATGTGGGCAAGGAGCTGTCAACCAATTCTCCTGTCAAGCCATTGTCCCAGTTGGAGAAAATGAACGTTTTGATATTTTTGCATGCATGGAGGAGCTTAATGACGCTGCTTTGATCCACATGACAGAAGCGAAACTGGATCGTCTGCGGTGTGATTGTACCCTGGGACCAAGAGGCAGGGTAGTTGGCACTTGTCAGATTGCCGGAATCGATGGTCATGAAATCCACTCGAGGGCGTGTACAGAATTCACGAAAAGTGGCGATGTTGAAGCCGGAACACTCGCCGTCCCCTTCAATGTGGACCTGTTCCAGCTTGGACAGGAATGATGGATCCCGGGCAAACAATTGATTGACTTGTTTCATTGACTGCATCACACCAGGAATGGAGATGTAGCGAAGATTTGGTGTTTTACTGAGTATCAGAGCCAGGAAGACGCCTTGATCCATCTGGTCCAGGGCTGCCAACCATGTCTTTTCCTTCTTCTTGCTGTCCAACTTGAGATCTTGAATAGCACAAGTGAGAAACTCTTTGTCCTCAGCAGACAGTATGTGCCCAGGAGGAAGATCGTCTTGGCCTATGTCCATGATGTTGACGATTTGCACATGCTCGCCGAGCTGTGGGCGCGTGGTAATGGCTCGGATAAACCTAATTGTCGACTTGGTATCTATATCATCCATCTCAAAAGAGCGGAACAAAAGAGGCTGTGCTAGCTCTCGAAACCGCCGCGACACCAGACAAACATTGAACAGATTGCGCACATCAGAATTCTCGACCTTGATCTTGCGACCTTGTTCCTCATCTAAATCATCCGATTCTTCAACAAAAGAGAGACAGACAGACAAAATCTCTGTTGGAAGATCCTGAAGTTGAACCATAGTATAGGTTTAGAATGTAAATATGCGAGGTAGCCTAATTTACTGGCCAGTAGTAGTGACGCTTGTGGTGGGCCACCAAAACACAAAGACGTTCTTGATCGGCTGCAAACAGTCCAAAGATCGCAAACAAAGCAAACATCAGCCACGTAGCCATCTGGAATCTTTATCTTGAATCCGATGCTCAAAGGCCCCCAGGATATATCCTATTGCTTCAAGAGTCTGCATGATAAAATAACATTGAATTTGGGACGGATTCAAGAGTCGGTTGAACTTTCTCCTCTCAGTGGCTTAAGTGCGGTTAAGTGGACGAGAAGCCCTGCTCTCCCCACCCCACCCTGTGGTCGCATGTACTGTCTAACTCTATGGATAGATTCATGTAGAGATGTTCATGTTACCTTGATTGTCAGGGGATTTATGCCTGCTCGAGATGTTGGCTGCCTAATCTCCATCATTGGAAGGCGATCAGTGAATTAAAATCAGCCCCCAATTCATACAGGCTTCTTCGCCCCGCAGATCCTGTCTGGCACCTAGACATTGCTATAAAAGGATTTTATACCGCAGACAGACCACAGAACAAAACACATGTCAGCTTCATCACTTCCTCTTCGCATCAAAATGGACCTCCCTGATGAGATTCTGCTTATGATTAGCGACCAGATAGACACGCAAAAAGATAGAATCAGACTACTTTCAGTGTGTCGTCGCTGGTATAAGCTCTTCTTCCCCAGAGTCTACGCTCGTCTGAAAGTCGAGGATGACTTCGACCAGTTCGATGGCGTCGCTCGTCTAGCCTCTGCTCTCCTGCACAACCTCCATCTCGCCTCTGCAATACGCAAATTCGACACTGGCCAATGGGGGCTATGTGACGGTTATCGGACGGAATTTGACACCACCCCGTTCCACCCCGTGCTGGAAAAGATCAGTCATTGTCCAGAAGAACTGGACAAATGGAAGAAAGGTCTGGACGGCAACGATGATGAAGCATGGTTCGCTCTCATGCTGACTTTGATGCCAAACTTGCGGGTCCTCAAAACTGAGCCCTTTTGCTGCAATGACTTTTTTGAAACGGTTACGGCGCGCATTGCTACGCGCCAGAAGCCCTTCGACACCAGGCCTGCCCTGCAGCATCTGGAAGAATTCCACTCTTCAACAGACGACATGAAGAACAGCAACCATTCAGCCTTCTTCATTCCATTCTTCCGTCTTCCATCAATGAAGATGTTCAAAGCTCACCGCGTCTGGGAAGACGAGGACGAGGAACCCTTGCCCGAGGCTGCCAGACCACCCCCAGCCAGTTCAAGCATCACGGAACTCCGCTTCATCGGCGAAACATACACACGATGCAACGGCAGCAACGGCTTCGCGACTTTCATCACGGCATGCAAGAACTTGGAGATTTTCGAATATCAGCACGATGACTGCGCCGATTGGTCAAATCGATACGTCGAGTTCCGGCCTCGCGCTTTCTACCATCCCCTGATCACGACGCAGAAGCATAGTCTTCAGGTGCTACGGCTAAGCGATATCGGCGACGTGGAGCCGATTGACAACGATTCCTACGGGCCAGGTGAGGCCGAGAATATTCTCCACGCTGGGGGGCATCCTAGCAATGGCTGGTTCGGTTGCCTAAAAGAGTTCACGGCCCTGCGGGAGCTGCGTATTCGTCTGCGCAATCTTCTCGATTTTGGTCCCATGTCAAAAGTTCCCACGGTTACTTTTGTGGAGATTCTCCCGTCTACGCTGGAGTATCTCTCCATCGCGGACTACCAGATAAGGGATTTTGATGTGCTCACGGCGAACTTGGAAGAGATGCTCGTCTCTCATAAAGATATGTTTCCTGTCCTTGGAAAAATCGAGATTCAGCCCCATGACCTTGATCAATCTTCCCATGACACGGCGGGGGAAGAAGGACCGACCCCGAGATATGAGATTCCTGTTTCAATACGAGAGTCGTTCGACCCGGTGAAGGATACTTGTGAGAAGGCTGGAATTGAATTTGTATTCAGTCTGGATGGAGAAGATCGGCTTGAAAGGTAATACTTTGAAAAAAATATCAAACATAATGGTGCACATATTGTTGCTCAGCATACAAACTATATGCTTCCCGCATACTGGCTATATGTATTTTCCTATTGCTATAGAAATAATCTCAGATAGTTGTGCCCTCCCTTGATATCCAAAAGGGCCACCCATCTAGCCAACTTCATTCCCCAGTTATTAATCGATAATTCTCCAGTCGGTGATTAGAGGCTCGTCAAACCATGCCCAGCATGTGAACATTAGGAGGCTCCTGTAGCTCTTACAGGCGGTACCCACTGGAGATTCTTGGGGAGTGACTCAATACCAGGATGAAGATGAGCAGCACCAGTAATTGGAAAGACGACAGTTTGATGCTAACGGCCCAAGGCGCCTCTGAAATTGAGAACAATGAGGTTATTGAGTTAATCATTGATAAGCTGGTAGAAGCTGAATAGGATATTAGGTGGTCATTATTCTAAATTTCTTCTGATATCGCGCAGTTTTATACAATTACGTTTCAATTCTTGGTGATCTTAAACATATATGAAGTCCAATCACTTGAGCTGGGAAATTTGATAAATGAATTAATGTGTTTAGACCAGTGTGGCACAGTAAGTGTAAATATTAACAAGTTTATTCAAGATTGAATGGATGCTCCTCCAAGTACTCCTCTAAAGTGGACAGTCGGCCTCTGGCGTTCTCACCAGCCCAAGCAACCAACTTCTCAGATTCTGGGCCAAAGTAGCCGAACTCGTCCATGTAACTGAACCCTTCAGCAAATATATCCGCCATGAACGGGATGCTTTTCTTGAACTCGTCAAGCGGGATCTGCTTGTAGACGATAGTCTTGCCTGTGGCCTTGGACATGATGGCGACTATATCTTCCAAGCTGTACAGTGCCGTGGCTGCACAAAATGTCTTGCCTTCGTACTTATCAGGCTGGGCGAGGATGGCACCGACAAACTTGCCGGAGTCTCCAACGGCGTCGATCAAGGGGAACTGAGTCTTGGGGGAGAGGTGACGGGCCATAACCCAGGTGCCATCCGGAGCTTTTTGTGGATGTAAGAAAGCCTGGGATTTGAAATTCTCCATAAATGATCCCGCCGAGAAAAAGGCACTCTTGATAGGAAGACTTCGAATGTATTGCTCAGCTTTTGCCTTGGCGTCAAAGGGCGAGACTCGGGTGTACTTGCCGCCAGATATCTCGCTAACTGACGGCAGAGTGCTGAAGATGATATACTGAGCACCTTTCTGGATGGCAACATCTGCAATTGCCTTGGCACTATTGTACTCGATTTCCAAGCCGTCAGGGCCAAGGGAAGGTGTTGTCATAGCAAAAATCGTATGCGTGCCAGTCAAAGCTGTCTCAAGGGAGGCCGGTTTGAACACGTCGCCACGGACAACTTCAACTTTTTCTTTAAGCTGCTGGGCCTTTGTCGAGTTCACATCGCGAGTGATGGCACGGATCTTGTACTTTTGGGCAAGCTCTGGGTCATTCAGCACATGGCTAATGACTGAACCGCCTTGTTGGCCAGTGGCTCCGAACACAGCAAGGATATTAGACATTTTATGGATGTTGGAAGGTAAAGGTTTCAGAATGATGATTAGGAAGTACTTTAAGTGACGATAGTTATCTGACAATAGTTTATAAAGAACCCTTGATATCATCCCAACTATATATGTAACCTGGCAAAAAGCAAATATTGTGTTTTGATCGAGCTTATCAATCATCGGCGGGGAGTAAAAAGCGAAAGCGACGCTTATAAATCGTCAACTGAAGAACTACTTTGCAAAGGAATTGGTCTATGATTTGTAAGATAAAGTAAGGTTTTCGTGGTTAGCTGATCAAAGTCCCAATAAAGATGACTCTCTTCTCAACTGCTACATACATCGCTCATTAATCAGTGTATAATGATAGCAAAGCTGGTCTTCCTCATTGTTAAGTTTACAATATATTATAGGCATTGGGGGCTTGCTATCGCTCATAGAGATTTTATTATTTTGATTCACTCTTATCAAATTCTGTCTTCGTATACTGATATTAGCCGACAGCAAAATTATGACGTTCTCATAAAGTTAATCAAGGACTTTAAATAGACTTCGAAAACATCGCTCCCCATATGCTATCTCTATTGATATATTCATGACTCTGGTCTTCGTTTTTGTTTTTTCTATGAGATGCATCAGAATGACTGGAGAATGCACTGCTTTCTTTGATATGATACTATAAGAAAGTCTAAAGAATAGACAAACGGCTGTGTTGATTTAAACACCTTTGTAGGGTGTTTTGAGTAATATATATTTCCACAACCCCAACATTGTTTCTACTGACTTTAATACAAACATCATCAAAAACAGACTCGGTGCATTATGTTGCTTCTTCCACTGCACTTTGCCAAGTTAACTAATGGTTTTATAAAACCATAGGCACATAACTTTCTCATCATCTGGGGCAATATCTACACCCTCTGCTTGGTAAGCATCCACGTGATATTAACCGCCTTGCAGGCTGTGAAGAAATGCGTCAGAATACTCCGTGTCGAAATGGAAATAGAGATGACGATCCACGATGAGTTGGATGTGAAGACCGTTTATGGAGATTTTGCAACCGTTCCAACTGCTGTGTAGGCTGCAGGAACAATTGGCCTCTTCAAGTCAGACATTTTTCGGAGATACTTGGAGCTAGTGTGGAAAGATGGACCAGCGCGGAGTTTAAGCTTTCTGGGTCTTTTTTTATCACAGAAACATTGTTGGCAATTGAATTTCCCGTCAACACTCTGTTAAATAAGCTCGATAGACTGGCACTTGGTCTTGACCCTTTTCTCGCTGGATACTCATTTTTGGATGATCGTCACCCACTAGGAAGGAACTCCGAACGATCAGCATCGAATCAGGCATTGGCCCTGCGCGACAGAATCCTTCCTCATCGGCCAAAGCTCGTGTTCACTCCGAGAATGACAAATTTCGGCTAGCACACTTTCGGTGACTGATAACATCGCCATTATAAGATTTGCCATTCCAACGCATTCTCTTCTCTTCGTTCCGCCAGTTTCGAGATAATGAAGAATTAATTAACACCGGAAGAAACGTCAGCAGAAGGATGCGGCCGGCCTGAATCAGCCTTGCCCTCCAGCTGTCTGTCCGTCCGCGAGATGACGATCAGCCTATCACAGCCAGACCAACTCCGCGCATGGGCCGATCCCTGCTGCTTTGATACAAAACAACAACTTTGGCCCCCAAAACTAGTCGGACAGCCGCACTGGCACAGCCTTGCCCGTCTCTCCTCGCACCCCTCAATCCTTTTTCCATCTTTTTTCGCTCTTCTCTTCATGTTTTCCCTTCTCGACACTCTTTCGGTGTCACACGTTCGTTTTTGATACCATGCCGAGTCTTTTGCATCCGCTCTGCTGGCTTCCAGCACTGCTGGGCAGCGCCCACGCAGCAAGTCCCCTCAATGTCCTTTGGTCCACCAAGGAATACGGGCCCGATGGCCCATGGAGTGCAGTCAGTACGACGATTGGCGATAAATACTCGGTTGACCTCTATCCCGGCGACATCGGCTCCTCGAACGTGATGCAGTCCCAACTGTGCGAGAACACCACCCTCTCCTCCACCTGCTATGCGGAGCGCGCGGGAACTGTCAACATCTCCGCCATCGATTATCCAATCAGCTGGAAAAACCCCAGCAATTGGCACAGCTGCAGCTTCAGTACCGATGGCGGCTGTCGATTCAGCGACTTCTCGACCGTAATGTCCTTTGGCTCGTCCGTGCCCAATGTCAGCATGTCCGCCATCTGGGAAGCCTACGAGACCTATCCCGGCGGCGCGCAATACCAGCCGCAAGTCGGCACTCTGTCGCTGGGCGGTCCCTATCCATTCTATCCGACAAACGGGGGCACCAACATCATCAACTGGTACCTCTACAACGACTCCTCCATCCCGTCCTATTCGTACGGATTGCATATCGGATCCGTCGAGCCCTCCGTCACCAGATCTTTGCTTCTCGGCGGCTATGACCAGAATCGCGTGCTTGGCGAGGTGAGCGCACAATCCGTGGTCTTGAATGCAGCCAATAGCGGTGCGCTGCAAATCGGCCTCGAGGACATCGGTCTTGGTGTTGCTTCCGGAGGATCGCCATTCAACTTCACCAGCAAGGAAGGTCTCTTCGTCCAGAGCGATGGCGTCGCGCGACGTTCCTCGGTCACCGCCGACCCGACGAAGCCGTATCTCTACCTGCCCAAGAACAGCTGCGATGCCATTGCTGCTGAGCTCCCGGTCAGCTTCAACGAAAGCCTCGGGCTGTACTTTTGGAACACCTCCAGCAGCCAGTACAACGACATTGTCTCGTCGCCAACCTATTTGTCCTTCACCTTTGACAAGGACAGTGCCAACAACAAGAACTTCACCATCAAAGTCCCCTTCCAACTCCTGAATTTGACTCTCCAGGAGCCTCTGGTCTCGCAAAACACTTCCTACTTCCCTTGCTTCCCATACGATGAAGACAACGCCAACCCGATTCTCGGAAGGGCCTTTCTCCAGGCTGCCTTTGTCGGTGCCAATTTCTTCCAAGGAACCGATAACCAGGGCACCTGGTTTCTGGCCCAAGCGCCCGGCCCATCGCTGCCGGCCACTGCGGTCACGACCATCAACCCCTCCGACAAAACCATCCAAGGATCGTCTAGCTCGTGGGAGGAAACCTGGGATGGATACTGGACGCCCTTGTCTGATTCCGGCTCGAGCAAGAAGTCCGGTGGCCTTTCGACCGGCGGCAAGGTTGGTGTGGGCGTTGGTGTCGGTATCGCCGGAGCCATCATCATTGCGGCAGTGGCTGCTTGGGCGATTGTCCGCCGACGCAGGAACAACGCAGCGGCCATGCAGACCATCCCCGACGACCAAACCCAGCAGCCCCTCCAGCCGATGCAGCCGATGCATACAATGCAGCCCCAGCAACTCGCGGCCGACCCAGTTAGGCCAGCTGAACTCTCCGAGGCCTACAAGCCTGTTGACAAGCCGCCGGTTGAGGTGCCAGCGCAAGAACATATGCGTTACGAACTGGATTGAGTCTAGTCGTACCTTCTCTTGATACCCCTTTTTTTCATGTATATCATAGCCCCCGATACATAATCTCGTTTTGCATCTTTTTGGCATTTCGTGCCAGCTGTCCATATTACGAATTCCGTTCAATGCATATATTTGTCCAAGCAGTCTCCCGGGCAGTGATAATCATAGATTAAATAATAACTGGTCACAATGGTATAAACGTAACCCAAGATCCTTTCATGAATATCAGTGGTCTATTCCTTATAAGACACAGGTTAATTGCTATTGATACTATAATAAATGGTGCTCAACTCCGGCTCTCCTCGATTCTGGTCATCTCATCTGCGCATTCCTTTGCAATCTCTCTTGTGCGCTCTGTCAATGGCCGCAATGTGGTGATCCAAAAGAACCTCTGCTTCCAGAATGACCATCTTTCCCTCGACCAACCCTTCTTGCCTTTCCACATCGATGGCCATTCGCTTTCCATGTCGCCTTGGCTTTTGTAAATGATATTCCCACAGTATTTGATCCACTGCTCGGCAGCGGGCACCCAACCATTCAGCGCCTTGATTGCCGTCGACGTCCACGGTTTTTCAAGGGTTGTCCTCAACACAATCCCTCCCAGTTCGACATTTGGCCCCTGCTTTGGAGTAGGTGGAAGACCCAGAGCACCGAGCTTGGCTGTAAATCTATTTATATTCGCCCAGGCCTGGCGTTTCGCGCGATTTCGACCATCGTCAATGTCTATCCCTCGTCAGTTTATTCAATGTGCTGAATAAGGGTGAACGTACAGTCAAATGAAGACTCGCTCAGGTATTGAGCCAATTGTGGTAAATCATGGAATCCCTGGTCGCAATCCGGGAGCTTTTGCAATTCGACCACAAACTCCACCAGTCGATCATTCTGCTCCGTCATCTTTTCAACTGTATCTACCAGGAGGCGCCAGATGTCGATACATTCTGGGCCAAGAGGATTGGAGGCTTCATGTCGCTTTGCGATGGGAATTACAGCTTCCTTGGCTATGTCCGAAGCTGGGACAGAATGATCCTTCAAGAGTTTTGTCCAGGCCGACAGTAGCTCTGGTGATGGAGGTTCAGCATCCTTTGTCCAAGCAGCCAGGAAAGCATTGTATTTTTTTGTATCTGAAGGCATACTGAGTGTCAATAAATGAAAATTCAAGTTGAATTCCAAGCGTTTTATTTCATGTCGCATTAGGCAGAAGCGCAGTGCCTGAGATTTAGCAGCGGGTCTGCCTTGCTGCCTGTCGCTCTATCGCACATTTCAGATTTTTACTTGTCATTCTTCAACTACCGAATGGATTATTTCAGCAATTTCTCTTGTAATATCCACTTCTTGATCAGACTCTTTTTACACAAACGGTTCCTCGGGTTATTCCAGCTAGATCCCACAGGCCCTTTTGTTCCGTCACGGTGCCGATTTCAGAATTTCTCCCAAAGTGACGCACTTGACAGACCTTCCATGCTCGAGCGATCCAAAGACATGCCGCAGCGCCAATATACAGGAAACCAGTCAATAACTGCACTCGCAGATAGCCATTGCCAAATCCCTGGTTGCGCAATACAAGAGCAATTGGCTCTGCGCAGAGCGTTGGCCCAACGAGAAACAACCAGTTGATGCTCAGAGCACTCAAAAGACCCTTGAGTCCAACAATCTCTGCCAGGACTGGCGATACCGTTGCAAAATAAGTGCACGAATTAGCACCAGCCAATAGCACAAATAGACAGAGGACGCCCATGTTGTTTACAAAAACCCAGATGACCAGGCAGAAGAGCCCACAGAGAAACGTGGATAATGCAGCGATATTCAGCCGACCATATCGGTCACTGCATAGACCTACACATGGCCGTCCAACAGTCTGTCCCAGGTTGAGTACAGCACTAACAATACTCGCCTGGTGGGAGCTGAGGCCAATTGACAAGGCATAATCTGATACCGTGAAGAGCAACGCTACAAACGTGATCACGCTGCATATCGCCCATCCAAGAAAGAGAATAAATTGGGGACGCCTGAAGAATGGGAGATGGAAGGCAGCAGTATGTCCTCCGATGGCTTGGTTGTGATCTTTGAGCAGATTCCCAGCTATTCCATTGACGACAAACGTAATGATGGCGAGAATGCGAAATGACCAGGCCAGACCTAGCCTGGGAATCATCACGCCCACAGCGAGTGAGTATATCAAGCCACCTAAGCCAGTCCCAACTGATGAGACTCCCATTGCAATGCCACGATATTTGTGGAACCACTGGGGAACGATCCCAACGGACCCAACAAAGAGGAATCCCATCCCGATGCCGAAACAAACGCCTTGACTCAGTATCATATGCCATTGTTCCACGGCGAAGGACGCACCGATGAGCGATATTGTCTCGAAGAAAATACCAACGTTGAGGACAAACCGAGTTCCTGCGACTTGGATGAGGAACGTAACCAGCGGAGCGACTAGGAGACCACAAGCGATGCTCAGTCCGCCTGTGAAGGCGTAGACCAAGGGGCCAGTGTTGGGATACACATCGTGGGCCAGATAGTAGGAAAGAAAGACTGCATAGGCCGTGGTTGATGTTAGCAAGATGGTTAATCATGCCGGAAAAGGTCAAACTGACACTGATGATTCCCCAACTATGCGCGTTGATCAAACAGACTGCCACCATGCAAACCCATCCGTATCCTCCATCCGGCGGAACATGTCTGCGAGGATTCTCCCGTATTGTGTCGTCCTGCTGCTCTATCTTGTCTGATGAGGATTCATCGTGTTGCTGCTCAGTCGAAAACGGCATAATCAAAGGGCTCAGGGAGGATCGTCAAGTACTGTACAGGCCTGGCAATCGACATGGAAAAATGGCTTTAAAGGATCACCAGATAGTCAAGTCGATGACAAAAGGGGAAGAGTTTATTCTTCTGTATAATCGTTTCGTTTGAGCCATCTGGCCTTGCAGTTGGTCCGGGTCACGACGTTAGGTTTATTTGATATTCGCAATCCATACTTGAGCCAACGTCACCTTTGTATCTCTGTGGGTGTCACTGATCAGAATGTCCTTCAATTATAATGGCATAGTCGGACTGAGTGTCACCAGGATAGCACACTATTAAGCTTCATACGTGGGACAAGGTTTACACAAGCCATTCCCGCCAGAATACTAACGCTAGGGCTAAGGTCGAGTGGCATTTGTTTTTCTTTTTTTTAAAAATGAGGCATACAGTATTCAATCACTAACTGATGAAATGTTGATTTATTCATGGCTATTTTCTCAATTGCGGGGAACTTCACTTCCTGGTGGTCTATTCCTGTACTACATTCCTGAGGTGTACTTGAGGCAGTACAACATAACCATGTATCCTTTCGAGTAACCCATGCTATGCCATAGTCCCTTTGCTTGTTTTCATACAATCTAACAGATATGACTTTTGCTAATACTCCTTGCAAATTCAAAGGTTCGCATCTGTTTAGTCTCATCTCTTAACAGTTTTACATAGGGTCTTGTAGTATGTAATTAAACAACCATTCAAATTCTTTAAAAAAAATGAACCCTACAAAATATATATCACCAACAAATTCAATCATTATTTTTCAGAATCAGCAGAATTAATTTTCTGATAAAGGTTTATCAGAGCTATACACACTGTCAACAGATTTTCGAGGCAGAAAAATGCTCATCTTATCATCCCAAAGGTGCATCAATCACCACCAAGGTCCCTGATGGCATCACAGAGTAAAAGTCTCTGGACATTTCAGTTTGGACAATCAGGTTATTTAGCTGCTGTTATCATGTCAATGTACTTAGAGAATAAGTCTGGGTGTGTGCATCATGTCGATCAACATGACAGCAAGTCTGCCCTTCGAGCCCGAAGAAAGTAAGTATACAGACTTCATATAACAGATATTTTTAACAATCCCAAGAGCCGATTTCCAAGTTCTGCCTCTTCTGCTTGTCGGCTTTGCGACGTACCAGTTGGATCGAACAAACATTGCCAGTGCACTGACGGGGGGCTTCGCAGCTGCCATCTCCGTGGACCAGAATACGATCAACCTTGGAAACCAACTGATGTTTCTGGGAGTAATTGTATTGGAGATCCCATCTAATATGTTACTCCAGCGGGTTGGTCCGCGATTCTGGATTGGCGGCCAGATATTTGTATTTGGCGTCATTGCTGCTCTGCAGATTTTCGTTCAGAATAGAGCAGGATTTCTGGCCACAAGAACAATCCTCGGTCTGGCAGAAGCAGGGTACATCCCCGGTGCAATGTATACCTTGTCAACATGGTACACAAAAGAAGAATTGACAAAACGCATCGCCGTCTTTTTCTTCGGCATGTTTGGCGGAACTGCTGTTTCGCCTTTACTGGGAGCGGGATTGTTGAAGTTGGACGGCAAGGGGGGCCTTTCTGGATGGCAATGGATCTTCCTGGGTATTCTATTCCATTCAACTATGATTCGGTTGCACTGACGGTGTATAGTGGAAGGAATATGGTCGATTACAGTGTCCATTATGTTAATCTCCTTTCTCCCGGAGAGAAAGGACAATAGGTTGGAATCGACTATACAGAAGAGTGACTCGGAACAAGAAATTGCTTCAGTCGATCAATCTACTAGCAAATCTCCAGCCCAGCATATCCCAATCGACGTCGTGTGGAAAACATTGACGGATATTCGCAAATGGCCTCATTTCATCGCCACTGCCTGTGTCTTTGCAACGTGGAGTCCGCTTACCACATACAGTCCAAGCATCATCATGGCATTGGGATTCACGCGAATAGAAGCAAATGCTCTTGCAGCCATTGGAAGTTTCTTGACTCTCCCTGTCGTCTTATTCTTTGCATGGTTGAGCGACAGAACAAGCAGGCGTGGTTTTACTGTCATGCTTGCAATCGCTAGCTATCTTATTACGCTGATCGTCCTGAGAGTCGTACAGCCACATGTTGGCAAATGGGGTCGGTTTGGACTGTGGACGGCAGTCAATGGACTGGCTGTGGGATATCATCCGATTCACAATGCCTGGATCCAGATTAACTGCAAGAGTCCAGCAGAACGAAGCATCAGCGTGGCGTAAGTGACCTGCCCTTCCTTTTATATCAAGCTGATAATTTCTATTGCAGAATGTGTAAGCCGTCTTCTTCTTTATTCTGATTGTTACTGACCTTTCAAGTTGTAATGACTGCCACGGCTGGTCTCATGGCTGGGACACAGATATTCCGCCATGATGAAGCGTCTTCATTGTATGTTTAGTCTACAGAAGTACTCGTTGTTCGGTGCTAACTATACCATCCCAGCTATCCAAGAGGAATACTGATCATGATTATCCTGGCTGTGTCTGGTCTGGTTCTGGTTGTTGTACAGGATCTTATCTATTTTGTCTCGAATCGTCGCACAAAATCTAAAACGTGGTATACTTAGTCCTAATCTATATAGAAATCAACAATAGAAAGCTGCTGTATAAACAGGAAGAGTGAATATAAATATGGGTAAGATAATGCAGTGATAGTCCTTGGAGCAGCCACAAAGCACCCCCTAGATAGACCTATCCATATTTCAGTGGATACGAAGAGGCGCTTGAAATTGCATGCCAGATTCTGTGGCGTCTTGTGAGTCCAAGCGCGTCATATGCTTATCAGACATTTATATTTGCTTTTGCCAATGTATAAAATGAGTTGTTGTTCTCATTTCAGCATTCATAATGGTCGCATTCTGTCTAGCATCATTTCCATCTATTTCTTTTTGAATTCGAGCTTTCTTGCCAACCAACACCCAACAGTCACTCCATCAATGACACCATTCTCATCCCTGCGAAACGCAACAGTCCAATCGCCTGGTGCCGGTGCGTCCATACCACGAGGACAATAAAGAGACCAGATATCCTGTGCCAGATACTGCATAATATGCACCGGTCCTTGTCCCAGAAAACCATCAAAAGCGCCGTACAGGATTTCGCCATGGCCAGTACAGTGAAAAGTAGAATCGATGTCGGCGCAGTAATATTCGCCCCGGTAGTCTGTAGGTCCAGAGGAACTCTCCACCGCCGAGTCGATCGATCTGGCGTGGATGACTTTATTATCTTCGAGTCGGTGCAGAATAACAACATCGTTCTGGAGTGTTGCCGTCATCGTCACAGACTGAGCTTGGTATGGATCAACCAGCTCCAGCACTTCATCGCATCCAGCATACTTGAGTTTGAGCTGCCCAGGAACCGAGTTTGGGCTGAAATTGATTGTCAACCGGTCGACTGGGTCGAAGAAAATGCCATACCAACCTGTCGCTGGAGTGATGTTCATGGCCATTGATTCCCGACGTCGGTCGATCAGCTGCCGCAGAATTGATCCCGCGGTATCCTCGGCGTCTTCTTCATGGTTGAACATCACCACGACAGACAATCGTTCCGACGGCACATGGCGTCGATGAAGTCGGAATCCACGAAGAGCACCGCCATGGCCAACAGTGAGCACTCCGCCAATTTTAACATGCGACAGACCATTGCCATAAAGCGCAGGAACCCCGTCATCGAACGTCTGCGGTTCAGCCATGGCGCGATATACACTCTCTGGATCATCCCACTTGGAGTGCAAATATCTCTCATATGCGATCATATCGGACAGCGATGCCACAATTCCTGAATCGCCAGACCATTGGATCCGATTGACTGCAGGGACAAACCCGGAGCGCGTGTTACCGTCATATCCAACGCATGGAGTAGGAGCACAGGCTGTGTCTGGGGCAAGGACTGCTGTCTGCATCCCAAGAGGGAGGAAGATTCGTTCCTTCAGCAGACGTTCGAGTGGCTCTTGCGTGACATCTTCAATCAACCGTGCCAAAATATGAAAGTTGGTGTTTGCGTAGGAATGTTGTGTGCCAGGCTGGAAATGGAACGATGCCAGTCGCTCCAGCGTCTTGTCGGCGTCGTCTGGCAGGCAAAACTGGCCATCCGGCCTGCCTCCCCACAGTGTAGTTAAGGCCCAGTAGTCTCGAATGCCGGACTGGTTATTGCAGAGATGCTGGATGGTCAGCCCCGAGTCTTGGGTCATTTCAGGTCGCAACACCTGACGCAGTCTATTCTCGAGCTGCCTGCGGAATTCTCCCGGTGCTGGTGCTGTTGCTGGCGGGTCACGTTCCAAGTCCATCATTAGCATGCAAAGCATCTGTTTGGTGATGGAGCAGATGGGCATCCGTGTTTCAGGCGTCATCGGTATGCGCTTCTCCATGTCGGCATATCCCCAGACATGTTGGCTGACGACTTCACCATCTTTCAGGACTGCGACTGCGCCTCCAGGTCCTCGACGGAGGGCCTGAACAAAGCTGACAACCTCTTCGACTGACTGGTCTGACATTATCCCGCGATGGAGTGTATTGAGTTGATCAAGAATGAGTTGTTTGTGGCGTTGCTGTTAGTGTTCAGGTGATCCAAACTCGGCTAAAGTCGGCCTAATTTAGCCTGGCTACCCCTCTTTAAGGCTGGAAATGGATATCTAAATATACAAAAAAATAAGTTACTAAAGTAAAATATGAACTGATTATAGAAATGTCAAAAAGCAGTTTCTCTCAGGCCTTCTGTCTATCTCCGTATATCCTTGACATCCAGGCAGTTCCGCTCCTGTCCTGTAGAGTGTACCGCTACTAGGGCCTTTGGCTGCGGTCCTTCCAACCTCCTTACAGGATGCCATCCACTTGATATATAAGTGCATGGAGCCTTACATCTTGCAGCCTAATATCATGTCACTGGGGACATTCTCTGCGATCAGAATAGCATCTCAAATGGCTTCCATTCCTGGTTGATATCTGACTACTATTGTTTTTATCGAATCGGTGGGTGGTGGAAAATGGAGCGCCTTTTGAGGGATTGACAGGGCTGCTTACAGTATACTGTGGGGGCTTATTAGTATTAGTATACAAACCGGTCGGTGGAGGCTATACAGAAGTGGAGTGTGCTCGTTCTTTTAATACGCATTAGGCCGGCTGGTTAACAGCGATATAGCATCCCTAAGTTGGACATATTAGGCAAGGTTCTTTATCAGTCTTACGCGCTGTCTGTCAACGCCATCCAGCATGAACGTCTCATCATCCAATTATACCACCGGTAAAGGCACAGATCCCGAGGCTTTGATTTGAAAGAACCTCGGGATCTGCCTGTTCGATTTAGGAACTACATGCAGGGTGGAGCTGACATGAGGCTGTCAGAATCTCCACCAGCGGATCAACTAGTAGGCGTTGTCTGTGAACGGCCAGCCTGCTATTGGATCTATTCCATTGGCCAGTAAATCCAAAAATTGAGACATCTGCCAGTCCACAGTGAACAGAATGAGCCATTGACTGTAAGCGGTTAGCATGAGAGACCGTTTGCCAGAACACACGTAGTCTGACCCACTAATATGCAGTACAGCATCACTTCCTTCCTGTTTTGGAAATTTGAATATACTGGGCCCACAGTGACAGGTTATAGTAAGCTGTGGCAGCCAACGAGAACATGTCAAAGCTAAATGACAGCCTTTTGGAATTGGCTATAGCGCCTAGGGAATCACTGCTATCACTATCACAAGAGCTGTTTGCTCTTAGTCTCTTCTTCGCCCACTTTCTTAGTTCTCTTATATCCCGATTGCATACGTGAACATGAAACTGCGTCTTCCACTCTGATCATTGCAATGCTCGTCTTCTTGAAAACCATTTTAAACCTTCTGGTCCGGCTTATAACCTGGCTGGTCAGGCTCCTCCTCTTTCTCCTGGCAGCCTTACTACTGCAGCTTGTCGACTTGCTCTATGCTGTAAGTACTCCCACTTTTACATCGCCTATCTAACGAGATAGTTTGTGAACCTCTTCCTCTCCTCTCGTCTTCCTGGCAATGTCATATCCCCTGGGCATCCGGGTCACTCGGGCATCTGGCCTGAATATATCGCTCCGACCAAGGAGGACTCTCGATCGCCGTGTCCTGGGTATGTTTCCCAGTCCAATAATAGATTCTTCTCCTAACAAAAACAGTTTGAATAGCCTCGCCAACCACGGTAAAGCCATCTCCCTTGATGTCTATTCCGTCTAATGCGATCAGGAATCCTCCCTCGAAACGGCCGCAACATCGACTACAAACACATAATCCATGCTATCCAGCATGCATACAACCTCTCACCGACTCTCGCCAAACAACTCACCGCTGCTGCCGTACAACTGGATCAAGGACGGGGTTGGATCAATCTGCATGATCTAAATGCTTTGAATGTGAGTGCAACAACGGATATCTTGATGTATACTAAGACTTCAGGTTGTCCAACACGATGCTTCATTTACCCGTCCTGATATCGCCTTTTGCCCTGATCAGAGCTATCCACATGCGGATCTAGTCGATAGATTCCTTGCCCACGCGTCGAATGACAAATCTCTCTCTTGCAAGGACATTTCGTATTACTCTGGCCTGCGTCGAGCCGAATGCAAACGCGCCAATGGCCAGTACTCGTTGACCTGGAGTTTTCTGCATGAATTCTTCGGTATGTTTTCTGTCTTTCCAGCAGTGCATTGCTAATCTAATAGGCTCCGGTAACAACGCACTAATATACTCCATCTTTGGCGGAAATGTCAAGGATTTAAAAATATGGCTTGGTGAAGAGAGATTCCCTGATGGATGGGAACCCAAGAATCGAGAGACATTGGGCCATACTATCATAGTATGTCTGTCTTCATATGCTACGATCTATACTGACTGGCGTAGCAAGCACAAATCACCTCTCTTGCGATCGAATTCAATGTCAATGAGAAACAGAAACTTCGTGGAGATCTTGCAAAAGGGAAATAACCATTCATATCATGTCACATACTCTATCATAGTCATAACGCTTATTCCTGCTCAATCCTGCTCATCTCCTCTGCTGTCTCCTTTGCAATCCTTCGGGTCTTTCGATCCAGTGCAGTCACACCGGCAATCCATTCGAACCTCTCTTTCCAGAATGCCCATCGTTCCTTTGACCAGCCTGGAGGCTTCCCTGTCCACTTGGTAGTAATGATCGTTACTTCTCTCCCCAGCGACCCTTCCATGTTATAAATCTCTTTGCCACAGTACTTGATCCACTGTGCTGCGGCGGGCGCATTGGCGTTGAGAGTTCTGATATCCATTTCCTCCATGAAGCGATCTCGCCTCTGGCAGTATTCCTCCTCCTCATCATCTTCAAAGTCCTCGAGATCTTCATCAATGTCTGGGTGGTGGTATACCTCCCATTGGGCTCTTTCTAGCGCTCTTCTCAAGATCTGACCACCACGGACAAGCTGACGGCCAGAAGTTGGGAGACCCCGATTGTGCAACTTGGCTGTAAAAGCGTTGACGTTTACCCAGCCTTGACGCGATACGTTGGGCTCAGGATCAGAGAAAGGGCGATCAACATCTGTCGAGTCAGCTTTGCATTGTCACTCGTCATCAGAAGACTTACAGTCAAAGGCAAACTCGGTCATGTATTCATTAAATCCCGCCAGTTGATTGATCTCCCCTGTTGGGTCAGGCAGGGTTTCGAGTGCAACAATAAAGTCTACAAATCGATCATTCTGCTCTGTGTATTTCCTAATCAAAGCGAATAGCAGACCATGGAAAGCACCAGGGTAGGGATGTGATTGTGTTCCCTCAATGAATCCGGACACGCTCTGTCTGGCGACGTCCTCTGCTGGGGTGGAAGTTGTCACGAGTGACTTGAGAGCCAAAACCAGCTCTGTGGGTGGAGGGTATTTGGGATTGACGCTGGCTGCGACGTACGTATCGTATTCAATATCCATGGTGTGGAAGATAATTCAGAGTAACTGATAATGCAATGTTCTTGATCAGTAAACACAGATGCAATGGTGACTTATACGAAGAACAGAGATAAATGTCACTTGACGAGGGGCTGAGCTGGGCTGTGTTGGTTCTGGCCATTCTCTGATAGGGCCAGAATATCACACCAAGCCTGTTGGAGCAAGGCTTGATCGGTAAATCCGGTAATGATCGACCGTACGTCAATTATCATTGGTTAGGTATAAATATCTCCACCTCACACAGCCTATCAGAAATGGCCCCCATGTTGGCTGTGCAGAGCTTGAATTGCTTCAAGTTACAGACTTGGGGGCTGGGGCTGTTCTTCAAAGTGGACTATTTTGGGCCGCAGAAAGTCTGCAGGACAGCCTTATTGGGGGCTGAATAAGTTTTCTTCCTTCTGTGAGATGTTTATGTGAGTGGGTATGGAGAACCTTGTTAGGTCTGTAGATGATGTTCAACTGTATTATACCAAACACATCAATATTCCTGGAATCATTCAATTGAGTCTATTCAAATATGAATTCCCTATAGTTACTTGTACATATAATCCTTATTCTTAGTATTACCACTCAGCATTCTATAGATGCCCCGTACTTCTTGCTTCCATTCCATTCCAGCAATCGCCAGTGGCTCCATACGAGCGATCGACATGGGGCCATTTTCTCAACCACTTTCAATGCCACAGAAGCACTGACCAGAAGGACAGAAATAGCTTCACTTCTTGACTTCTATACTGTTTCTTGATGGGGCTATGTTGGATACGGTTTTGGCCCCTTTGGCTGCAGAATCTTGGATTCAGAGCACCAAAATGAGATGAAGTCAGGTATAAAGAGGTCGTCGAAACTCGCCATATTCTCTATCCATCAACACAGTCAATCAATCAATCAATCCTCCATCTATCGATCCATTCTCCCTTCCATCTCATTATCTCTATCAAGCATCTGCTCTCATCACAATGCCTTCCCTCCGCAACGTCGCTCTCAACACCCTTCTGGCCTTTGCCATGTCCAATGTTGCCAATGCCTACCCTGCCCAGTCTCGCGATGTCAAGCCTGTTGATATCAATATCGAGAAGCCTGACTGGCCTGAATACAATGTCAATGTCGATTTCGATGACCACTATCACCCCAACGTTGAGATCGAAAAGGTCGACAAGCGTGGTATCAAGGACGACGACGACAAGCACTCCAACGTTCATATCGAGAAGCCCGATTGGCCTGAATACAACGTCACTGTCACCTTTGACGATAACTACCGCCCCGATGTCGAGATCGAAAAGGTCGACAAGCGTGGCAAGAAGCCGGATGGCCTGAGCATTGACAAAGAGCCCAGTGGAAGCTTCGCCTGTCCTGCCACCGACCGATACTCGGCCACGACATACACTGCCAACCAGGCCAAGCTTGCCTTTGTCGCAGGAGCCAAATATGCCTACGATGGCAAGCAAGTCGGGCACGGTTAGTTACCATCACATTGATCAATCGATATTTCTACTAACGACGCACAGGAAACTACCCCCATATCTATGGCAACCGCGAGGATCTGCCTTTCAACTGCGGCAGGGCTACTGCCGAGTTTGTCATTGACCGAAACGACCCTGGTGAGGCCTACGACGGTGCCGACACCCGCGACCAGCCTGACCGTGTCGTCTTCGAGTGGAACGAGAAGAGGAGCGTTGCCAAGTTCTGCGGAATCATGCGCCATGGCAACAACAATGGTGACTTTGTTCTCTGCGGTAACTAGATATGATCTGTTTCTTTCCTAGCATGTTTCTGTGAATACCCTATCTGGTTTGCATTTGTTTATTTTGGTGTACTTGAGCGATTTCAATTGATCTACTTCATCTTATACTATATTCCATCGTATCTTGCTCATTCAGATCTGAATATTCAATCCCCCTAAACGCATTCCCAATAGTCTTAAAGAGGACGATAAGAGAGTATTTCAGAACTTCAGCTCGAGAATGCTGCAATGATAACAAGATCGAAGCAGCGCAGGAGACTTGCTCTCGCATCCTTTTTCAGTTTTGATTGTAGATATTCGGTTAGAACAAGTCTAGATCCTTTCTAATCCGTTTTTTTTAAGATATATATATATATATCTTAGTATATAGCCCATCGCTAAGCGGTTATATATTTCCAACCATTCTGTATTCATGCATTTTCACCACCAACATTGTACTACTTGATGAAAACATTGGAAAATATATAAAAGAAGATGGCTTGCTGCAATAATTGAATATAGACTGGAAGTGTAAAAATTCATACGAACAAAAAGAGATGAAAAGGGCGAGAATCGAACCCCCGGCTGTAGAAATAGAGAGCAAAAAGAAACGACTGGGCTATAATAGCACAATAATAGTAGTGACCTACTATGATATATATAGCATTCTGTTGACACATGTAATAAAGCAATTATCTTGATATTTTCCATAATCAACTTTTGGACAGCTAGAAGTAAAATTAATAATAAGGCTGAATACGAGGTTGGAGGACAGCCAGGTTATTTATTTCCATTGAACTGCAAAGTGTAAACAACCACATCCGCACACCATGTCCGACTCGACAGAACAGCCAGAATATCCCCCCGAACTGTCCGAAGAACAGGGCCTCTTCTTGACCTCGCAGATTCTCGACTGGCAGATCAACCATGGCTCCTTGCTGAAACGCGTGCAGACCCAAACCGACCACAGCGTCTTGTCCCATCCGATCGGCGTGACTGTCTTTCCCACGCTGTTCCCCCGGGCGCAGTTCCATCGCGCGCTGGAGCTGCAGTCCATCTACAACGAGCTGTACTGCGCGGTCGCTCAAGACGAGCAGTGGATCTTTGAGGCTATTCAAGATCTCCTGCCCATCGATCCCCTGGCTGCTGTGTTGTGGAATGTCCACCAGCAGGTCCAGAAAGCGGGGTATTCCCAGCCCGTTTCTGCTGGCATTTTTCGGTCGGATTATATGCTTCATGCAGATCGCCCATCTGATTTATTGAGGAACCCTGAAGTATCTCTGAAACAAGTCGAATTCAACACGTTTTCATGTGCGGGAGGATCCCACGCAGACAAAGTCGTCAAGATGCACCGTTATCTTGCCCGGACGGGGGCATACGAAGACAGCGTACAACTGTCTGCCCTTCCACAGAATGACAATATCGAGCAGCTCGCAGACTGTCTTGCAGCTGCTCATACGGCCTATGGGGGGAAGTCAGACACGGCAGTGTTGTTTATTGTGCAGCCCAACAATTTCAACATTGCCGACGAAAGACCGATCGAGTATGCCTTGTGGAATCGAGAGCAGCCCGTTCCAGCATATCGACTGGACTTTGGCGATGTGCTTGAATGCACTTCTTTGGCAGGCACTGGCGAACTGCTTTTTCATCCTCCATGGCTCTCCAAGACGGTGGAGATTTCTGTTGTCTACATGCGTGCTGGATATGAAGCACACGAATATGACGAGACTGGAATCGCAGCCCGCGTGCGACTGGAAGCATCGCTGGCCATCAAATGTCCGTCTCTTCTGGCTCATATCTGCACTTTCAAGAAGATCCAGCATGCTCTGACAGGTGCTGGTGTTCTCGAGCGGTTTATTTCAGAAGAAAAGGCTGCGTTTATCCGGTCTACATTTGTCAAGATGTATTCTCTGAATGAATCAGATGCTCGTCGTCTTGCTACTGATCCGATACTCTCAAAGGACTACATTCTGAAACCCTCTTTAGAAGGAGGAGGACACAATGTGTTTGGCGATGCTATTCCAGATTTCCTCGCATCGATCCCCGAGTCCAGCTGGGGTGCGTATATTCTGATGGAACGCATTCCATCGCCATTAGTGATGAATGTCCTACTTTCCTCTCTAGGAATCGATTCCGGCGAGGTCATCTCCGAGCTGGGCATATTCGGAACGTGTCTCTGGAAACAGGGCGAGATGCTGCAGAATTCCGTCGCAGGATGGTCGTTCAAGACGAAGCATGAAGATGTCGACGAGATGAACGTGGTCAAGGGCTATGGATGTTTTGACACGCCGTTATTAATTTAATCGAAAGGTAAATAGTCTTATACTACAAACCCAATTTTGAGACTGGGTATCAATTTCTTCACGATCTTCACGGTAATTACCTTCTGCTTCCCTCCGGATTGCCCAAACCAACTCAATTCCCGGCCGATCGCGCTGATCTTCTCCTGACTAGCTGTTCTAACAGTGCGGCTAAACTTCATCGAGCATTGATTGTCGCATGTCTCACTTGCTTCTCCAGTTGTACAGCTTCTTCCAGGCTTATCCGGCCCTAGTTTCACTTGTTCGTCGCCAGCTCAGCTGAAGAAATTCGCCTCTGTCTTCATATCTTTTCGTGTTCCTTTTTCTCGCTGTTTTTATATCAACTCGTCTCATTACTCTCATTTAACCTCATCCTCATCTTGTTCTCGAGAGACTACATGTCTCATTCGCATCATGAGCGACAAAAATCAATATGAACTCAACTACTCGGCGCAGGACCCACCGTCCTCACAGCCTCAGACATTGTCCGCGCCAGAGCAGATGCTACTGCAGAGCCAAACCACTGGATTCTGGGGTTCACACTGGACCCTTGAGATCCTCAGTTGTCTCACTGCCGTGGCTGCGCTCGTCGGCATCATCGCCGTGCTGTATGTCTTTGATGGCCAGCTCGTCCCCGACTGGCCGTATGGCATCACTCTCAACGCCCTGATTTCACTCTTGACAACGGCCATGAAGGCGGCCATGGCCTTTCACATCACGGAAGCTTTGTCGCAGTTGAAATGGTCGTGGTTCAACCGGGGGAACAAACTCAGCGATCTGGCGCTGCTGGACTCGGCCAGTCGCGGTGCCATCGGGGCTGGGCTGGTTCTGTTCCGCTTTATGCCTCGGTAAGATATCGTGAAATCCACAGTGGGATGGTCCATCGACTAACCGAGCCAGCCACCTCGTCACCTTTGGATGCTTCATCTTTGTCGTCGCTGCGGCCATTGCCCCGTTTGTGCAGCAGGTCATCACCACCGATTTACGACCGGTGCATGCGCCCGAGCTGTCCACCATCCAGACCTGTAACACGAGTCTGTATACCGACTATGACGAAGGTGCTGGGCCGGGGATGAACATCCTGCCGTTGACCAGCATGGGCGCTGTGTATACGGGCATCTTCCAGAGCCAGAGCCCGAACAGCAACGCCGTGACGATGGACTGCCCGACGGGGAACTGCACGTTTGCGCCGTATCAGTCGCTGGGCGTATGCAGCAAATGCGCCAACATCACCAGCCATCTCGAGAAGAACGTGTCGCATTCGTACATGACGACGTACAACTACAAGCTGCCCAACAACTTCACCTTTGAGACCTCCATCAACATGATGTATCTCATGAACGCCACGACCTCGGCGGAACTGATCGAGCTGGATGTCCAGGGACTGCCGTTGGCCCTCAACTTCACGGCCATTTCGGCGGCTGGATACGGCGTGCCTCCGCAGGTCAGCGCGACCGAATGCGCTCTCTATTTCTGCGTCGACACTTACAATACGACGGTCAACAATGGCAAGTTCAATGAGCAACTGCTGTCGTCGGGCACCTCGGGCAACTATTCGGCCATGTCGATCTTGGGGAATGTCGGCATGACGCCGGATACCTGCTATGTGAACGGCACCAAGCACGATAATCCGGATGACTGCACGTACAATGTCAACGCGTTCAGCATCATGGCCCTGAAGAACACCGTCATGCCCATGTTCAACGGCAATGGATCGCTGTTTGTCAGCAATCGCCCCTCCTGGTCGCACAACACCCTCGAGTCGGCCTACGGCCTGTACGGCAACTATACCGACATCAACAACATGTTCAAGTCGCTTTCATCCGCTCTCACCACCAACGCCCGATCGAAAGTCTGCAAATCGACCGTCGAGGGCGTCACCTGGACGGTGCAGTCCTTTGTGCGCGTGCGATGGCTGTGGATGATTCTGCCCATTGCCATGGTCGTGCTGAGTATCTTCTTCCTCATCATCACGGTCGTCCACACCAGACACCAGTATATCTGGAAGTCATCCCCGCTGGCTCTGCTCTTCTCCAATCTCAGCGTGGAAGGACCGCATGGCGTCCACTCCAGCCCGAATCTGAGTGGAATGGAAGATGCATCGAAGAAGATGAATGTGTGGCTGGAGGCAACGCCGGGGGGTGTTGTGCTCAAGGGGATTCCCAAATAACCTATCATAATGTGTACCATATTGTTATTAGCGTTGCATATACACGAACTTAATGTCTATTCTCTATACAACACATCTGTCCGGACTGTATATTTGACTCCTCGGAACACATCGTCGCCGCCATGGAACAGATTGCGCTGCTGGAAGATCAAGACTGAGCCGGTCTTGGGAAACACGCGCACTGCATCGGTGGCATCGTATCCATCTGTAAATGACGTTGCTCCTCCCAGCAGCTCTCCATCTTCATATACTTCATCGCTCTCTTCATCCTGCCCAACCTCCTCCAGATCAATCTCTCCATCCTCCGCAAACAGCCCATTCTTCCGTTCTGCCTTTTCAATCTCCTTCTCCAACTCCTCGATATCCTGCTCGCCACTCCCATTCAGATACAGATGGATCGTATACAACGACCGCTCCCCATCCGGCGTCACGTACGATCCATCCCAATGCGGTCGGAAATACTCTCCTCCCTCATATCGCAGAAACCGAAACCGCTCATTCAACCGGCTGACCTGAACGACTTCACCCCGTTTCGCCGGCCCGCGACCGGTGACAAGGGGCTGATTCTGAATCTGCTGAATCCCACACTGTTCGATAAACGGCCGTAGACGATGTAAGATCCGGTCCGCCAGATCGGGAGAATCCCAAATGATGCGCCCGCAGTTGCGCGTGTCGACCTCCATCACTTCCTTTCCATTGCCGGCGTTGACTTTGGCGCGGGCCCAGTTGGTTGGGTTTTGAGTGTTGGCGAGATGGAGTAATTGGGTGCATTCGTCTGGTGTCATGAAGTTGTCGATGACTGCAGCGAAGTGGTCCTTGTAGGCGGGGATGGGAGGAGTGGTGGTTTGGAAATCCAGGATGCGGAGGGAGGCATTTGGGGCTTCCCGGAGGAAGTTATCTGGGATAGACATGGTGTATTCTGTGTTGCTATTATGATAGTTGATGTTGATATTCTGATACATGGGAGGTTATATAGTATTGTATGACTCATCGGGTGCTGGTGCCTAGTGGCTTATAAGATGCAGCAAGGCTATGCAATTATTATGTGATAGAGTAGTGTAAACTAGTTATATACAACGATACGCTTAGCAGCCCTTGCACTCCTTGACCCAGAGGTTGCAAGCAGCGTACTCGGAGCTGTGGGCACCGTACCAGTAGAGCTCCTTGGAGACCGCATCGCCGTAGCCGTCAATGGCAAAGTAGGCGTTGCCGTCGTGGGTGAAGTAGCCGTCCTCGTTGACGCCGAACTTGTTCATGCTGCCGTTCTCGGGGATCGCAGCCGAGTGGGGGACGGTGAGGCCGACGGGGGAGACGCTGTTCTCGACGATGTACAGGTTCTGGAAGGCCGTGGGCACGGCGTCCTTGCCGGTGAAGCTGACCATGCCGTTGGATCCAGAGCGGAGGATGAGGATCTCGGTGGTGTTGGTGACGTCGCCGCCAACCCAAGCGTGGCCTGATGTAGCTATTAGTATCGGGATAGCTATATAAAGGGGACGAGGAACATACTGCCGTCAGTGAGGACAGTCTTGCCACCGTCAGCGACGAGAGTGAAAGCAGCCGGGAGAGAGGCAGGGACGGCAGCAGCGCTGATGACGCCGACGAGGCCGGAGAGGGCAGCAATGGAGAACTTCATTTTGAGAGTAGAAGAGTAGAACGAATGGAGAGTATAGAGATTAGAGTAGATGGAGTAGATGGAGAACGAGTGATGATGAGAATGATGAGGATGAGGAAGAGGATGGACAGCCTTATATACCCCAGACCCTGAGTAGGCTGAATGAATAATCTGATCTGGATATCCGGTATCCTGCATCAAGTGGAGCAGCATCAGAGACCAAAATTGAGCGGCCGTTGGGCCGGATCTATTGACAGCTTGACTGCCGATCCGCTGCGGTAATGAAACATGTCTTAGAACCCCTCTCTTACCTAACAGTTATTCTATTCATATATTTCTTATATTTACTCATATATCATATAGAGAGTGTCTACTGTAGCCTACTCTATACATGCTGTACATATGTAGACTTGAGTGTGTAGAATTGATGATAACTGCATCGTACCAAGGAACGATCGATCTATTCTTAGATTTCCAGAATCTTCGGTGCAAATGCCCAATCGAGATTGTCCGAGAGTGCCCTACATAGTACCCCTATTGCTTCGGCATCTTCCATTTTCTATCCGAGACATTCTCCAACTATTTACTAATAGTTGTCTCCATTTTGATGTCCAAGGTAATTACCCCATCAGCCGGTTCATCTTATTGATTCATCCTTCAGCTGTGATGCCCCTTATAGAGACCAATCAGCTGTTTATCCGTGAAACAGGATTCACTTCGGCAATGGTCCGGGGTAGAATATGCTTAATGCCTTGATTTAGATAGTGGAGATATTCAGCCACTTCTACAGCAATGGTACTGTAGGCAATAATTGAGGTCATGACATCAAATATCTTTCATCGGGGAATCTCCGGTCTTCCCTTTTGGGACGGAGTTGCCGGTACATACTGGACTGAATGAACCGTGGTAACTAACCTGAAGGTTGAATAAATCTGGATGAATAGTGTGTAAACTTTGATAGAGCATCTGATAATTGAGGAATAGTCACGTGAGGGTGCAGAATAGACACGCGGGGCAGTATAGCGGGGTGTCTCTACGGCCCCCCGTAGTGGGGCAGAGACAGCGTCACTCGCGATAGAAGAAATCCTTTGCCAGCAATGAACTTTTTCGGCTTCAGACAGCCTTCTCGCGGCGGCTGGCAACGGGTTGGTCTGGCGTCGGCCTTCCCCGACATAAGCGCCGATGAATCTCTCATCACACCGAGCTGCAAAGCCTTCACAATCCCCAAGACCAACGGGCCGGAAGCCCCGGTCGAAGCAGACATTGACCAACCGGGGGAGTTGAAAGACCAGGTCCTCGTGTTCAAATACAAGGGGAAGATCCACGCCATTGACCATGTAAGTCGTCTGACTCCGTCCTGGGATCCCGCTGACTGTCCAGCAATGTCCTCACTCGGCCTTCCCCCTGTCCCGGGGCAGTCTCTTCGACATTGAAGACTTTGGCATCACGCTCAGCGCCGGCGTCACGTGTCCCAAGCACGACTGGTCCTTTGACATCCACTCGGGCCAGGGCGACCGAGGCAACTACAAGCTCAAGGTCTGGGAGGTGCAGCTGCGGGACACGACGACGGATTCCGAGCCCGACCAGGAGATCTGGGTGAGACGCAAGCAGCGAATCGGTTGACCGAGACTTACACTCGCAAGCGTATAGCCGAAATATGCCGTGCTGATGCCGTCCTCGGTAAAGCTTGGCTGACAGTCTTGTCTTCTGGACACTTGTAGTGGTGTCGGAATAGATTAAGCAGACGACAGTTCTGCTGGACTCGGTCAGTCTTAAGATGGAGGATACAACGATTGTTATGAATCATGCATAAATGGCGCAGAGATAGAGCCAGTTTACACAATGTTAAATGCCAGCAAAATAAAAAATAAAAATACAAGTCATACGGAATAGAAGGTGAAGTGTTACATCTTGGAGTGAGTTAAATTATGATCAACCCGAGTAAGAAAAAATTAATCAATTCAACCGAAATTCCGTTAATTAAGCTAAAGGCCCAAGCCTTATCCATAAATCAAACCCGCCGTGGCTTGAGGTGAATGTGCAAAAGAGATAATTAGGGAATTTTGTCTATCATCATCTATGTGCTTTTCTCGTAAATCACTCCCTCATAACGCATGCAAACCAAAAAAAAACATAAACCCGCTCGCAGTACCTTTTTTCGCTAAACCAAAAGCGCCCAACCAATTAGTTGTAAACATACTTGGGAAGGGTCTTGAGGATGCCATCCCGGGCAATGTCCTCCATCGCGGTGGTGACCTCCTGGAGGAAGCGCTTGTCGCTCCGCAAGTCGTCACCGAACAGGTTCTTGATCTGGAGCAGCTCGCTCGGGCTGGTGCCTCCGGCACGAGCCTTGGCCTGGAGCTCCTCGCGCATCGGGTCGTCGACCTTGAAGGTCTGGCCGCTGTCGTCGACACCGTTGACGTAGCGGAACCAAGCGGCCGCGACGAAGCAGAGGCGACGGAATGGACCAGTCACCCAGATGGCCTCGGCAATCGACGGCATGATGAACTGGGGGATCTTGCCAGATGCGTTGAGGCAGATACGGGGCAGCTGATCCATGATGGTGGGGTTGGAGAAGCGCTCCATGAGCGTCTTGCAGTACTCGTCAATGTCGACGCCCGGGATGTGAGGCAGCAGCGGCTTCACCTCCTCCTGCATCATCTGCCACACGAACTTGTTGAACTCGGGGTGAGCCATGACTTCGTGGACGTATTGGAAGCCGGCAAGCTGACCGGGGTAGCCGATGGCCGAGTGGCTACCGTTGAGCAGACGCAGCTTGTGCTTCTCAAACTCTTCGACCGCGTGGACATCCTTGACCAGCTGGACACCGGCCTTGTCGAAGGCAGGGCGACCGTCAGAGAACTTGTCCTCGATCACCCACTGCATGAAAGGCTCTGTGACAACGGGCCATGAATCCTCAATGGCAAAGATCTCGGCCAGCGCCGTCTTGTCGGCGGGGGATGTCTGGGGGGTGATGCGGTCGACCATGGCGTTGGGGAAGGCGCCCTTTTCGGCAATCCACTTGGCGATCTCGGGGTTCCGCAGACGGGCGAACGACTCGAGCATGTGGCGGGTGATGGAACCGTTCTTCTGCATGTTGTCACACGACATGACGGTGAAGGGGTTGAGGCCTTGCTGGTGGCGGCGAGCCAGGGCCGCGTAGAGGAAGCCAAAGGTGGTGCGGGGGGTCTTCTCGTTGGCCGGGTCGAGGTCGAACTGGATGTCGGGGTGCTCGCTCTGCAGCTCGTGCGAGTTCTCGTTGTAGTAGTAGCCGCTCTCGGTGATGGTGAGCGACACAATGTGGGTATCGGGGTGGGCCATCTTGGCGATGACCGCCTCCCGGTCGTCGGGGGCAAAGAGGTAGGAGTTGATGCTGCCAACAACGTGGGCGACGCTGCCCTTGGCCGAGCGCTCAATGACCGTGTAGAGGTGGTCTTGCGATCTCAGGGCGTCGCGCATGGCGGCATCAAAGGGCTGCAGGCCAACACCGCAGATGGCATAGTCGGTCACGCCGTGGTTCTGCATCAGCTGGTCGACGTAGACCGCCAGATGAGCTCTGTGGAAGCCACCGACTCCAACATGGACGATGCCCTCCTTGACGGCGCCATCGCGCTGGTAGGTCGGCACCCGGGTTTCGCCCTGGCTGGACGCGGAAATCTGCGCGAGATTGTTGTTGGTAAGCTTGAGGGGAGCCATTGTGAGAGATGAGAGATGGATGAGAGGAAGAAAGAAGAAAAGGAGAGGCGACAGCGAGGACAGGAGGTTTTGAATGACCGCGAACAGCTTGCAGGTGGCACTCACCGCCGGTTTTGACTGCTGATATCACCGTGGGGTAAAAATACGGGTTACTGTGGAGTAGTGGCTGGCCATTCTATGGAAGAGTCGATAATTCATTGAATTTGCCACGTAGTGGAGCAGACCGGTTGGATCTCCTCCGGGCTAGAGGACGATGGGGAAGCTCAATGGCTGGAGAAGTGGGCAATTGCATTGACGCGACTATCCCAGAAGCAGTATTTTGGATGCGAGAGAACAGAACAGAAAAAAAGAAAAAGCAAAGAAAAGCAAAGAAAGCGTCTGGAAGCGCCGTAAGCAGCGCCGGCCGCATTGGGCAAATTAAGCGAACCCACACAGAACACACGCTAGGCCGTATTGGGCATCCCTGGATTACATCATCTTGATCGCATTTTCTACTGGATCCAGTATTCATCTCATGCCTTGTTCGATTACATAGTCATTATCCTCCGATGGAATAATAATATATCTCAGTCTGATGCATCGAAGAGTCTGGAACATTCCGGATCATCCGGAATGCTGATCTTGCGCGAATATTCGCACAACCCCTCGAGTTCAGCCGTATAGGTACAGTTGATATGATATTATGATCTCCGTTGAATAATAGAATGGTACCCTCCGTCTACCAGATTTTTCGATCCAGGGATAAAGCTCTTCCTTTCGGTGCATAACCACCGTCGACTCCTGGATTACCGTCAAGGTGGCTCCCACGTGCTATCCAGCTGTCCTACCGTATTGAGTTCTGCGATCCGTGTGTCTGCATACCGCAGAGTTTGGCCGGTGACGTCTTGGAAGCGAAGCTCAGTGCTCTTAGATATTCATATTCGCTGGCATGTCTGAGTTGCATAGATGATTTGTTAGACGGCTATAAATAACATATCTTCTATTTATATCATTCAGAACAAATAATATTATATCTAATCTAGCGACAACCGACGATTCGGAAAAGAATACACCGCCGATGGCGACCGAGCATCTTCCAGGCTATATGCCTCCTTTTTCCCCTTGAAAAAGAGCGGTTTCAGCCCGTGGCCAAAGTTCAGCATGCAGCGAATGCCCCAGGCAAAGGTGATGACGCTAAAGGTCAAGCCCGTAAAGGCAAAGAGCAGCATCATGTCTTTGCCCGTCGTGTTGCTGAGCCACGGATCGAGATACAGGGCGACGATGCGACTGACCAGGTAGGCGACCATTCCCAGATGGCAGAGCTATTCCATTAGACCACTGTCGAGGAGATAGATCAAGAAACTTACAATGACCGCAGCCATTCCGATTCGGAATTCCAGTCGCACAAAGTAGACTCCAGAGACGAGGATCATCAGAGAAAAGGGAACCAGAGCCAGGGTGAGAGAGTACTCCGGCTCTTGAAAGTGCACATCGATGAGGTCGTACTGCAAGATGAAGCCGAGGATAAAGTAAAAGTCCAGTTTGGAAAACACCAGATAGATCTGCGGGTCAGCTTGGCTTTCTCATCGAGGCAGCCACTCACTTCATATGCCAGATATCGTGCTCGGGTGTCGGATCCCGCGTGGATGTGAAGATAGATCGCCCAGGCAAACTCCTTGTGCAGCTGGCAGGCCAACGGCCACATGGCCAGCGTCGACAGCCCGATCACGATGGGATTCACCAGCAAGGCCGGCTGCACGCGGGCCCAGACATCGACGGAGAGATCCACGAGGGGATCAAAGTTGACATCACGCGCGGTGGCCAGGAGATGGATGGTGTGGTGCATCTGCATATACTGCATCCCCGAGAAGATCAAGCAGCACACATTGCTGATGCAGACGGCAAACAGCAGAATGTTGTTCTTGTGGTAGATGGCATCGACGGAGAGAAACAGCTCGTACAGACTGCCGATGATGAAGATGGCCACATAGACGGGGGCTGTATACGAGGCCGGCACTTGGGTGACGGTGGGCCGCACCCAGGCCTGCCAGAAGGAGAGAATGAGGCTATTCGGGTCAGCTGGAGCAGCGACACGAGGGAGACACCCACACTTCAAGGGAGGTGACCAGAATCGCCTGGACGAGCAGCACCAGGAAGAAAAGCCATTCGCTGCGTGTTTGGAATTTGTACATTCTTACATTCTTTGGTCGGGTCGGGGAGGTGAGGTTGGACTGCGGTCGGTGGTTATAGGAATAGGGGGAAGAGTCGGTGGAGTCGCACAGCGGTGTTCCCATTTTTCAGTCTCTGATCTGTCATTCTTTTATTCTTATTTATTCTACTGTAGATCTCATTCTATTCTATTTTGCGCTACAACTAGATCTGCTCCTGTCTCGCATCATCTGCGCCATGTTGGTGAAAATCATCCGTCGCTGGTCGACGATCTCATTAAACACTGCTTCCGGGCCACACGATCCGATGATGATCTGGTCGCGGCCGGAAACAATTCCCTCAAAGGCCCGAGTCGTGAAAATATCCAGTGGCATTCCCAGACTGCGTCCTGCATCGCCCATGTAGTCGTGCAGTTCGGCTGTTCTGTTAGTCTGTCTCTGTATCTCGGTATACTCGTGCACTCACTCTGAACCGGCGGAGGAGACACTTCCACCACTTTGATATTCGTCTCTCGCAGCTGCTCTCTCAGACACAGAGTGAAGACATTCAGCGCTGCCTTGGACGCTGAATAGGCAGACAGCCTGGCCGCTGGCACAATGGCCAGGTTGGATCCGGTGAAGATGATGCCGGTCGGGGTTTGTCGCTGCGTGAAAGACGGCAAAAAGGCATGGACGAGATCGACGAAGCTGGAGAAATTGACATTGATCTGGTGATGGAATTGCTGCAGATCGAATGCTGGATTGCCCACGTCGTCTGGACTTTGTATGCCGGCGTTGAGGAAGAGGCAGTCGATGTCGGAGTGCATGAGGCTATACAGCATCAATATATACACAACTATATCTATCCAGCGGATATGACTCACTCTCTGGCAAAAGCAGGAATTTTCTCTCGCTCTGCCATGTCAAATGCCACTCCTCGTGCCTTGTCATCGCCATGTTTCTGGACAAACTCGTCCAATCTGTCTTGACGACGCCCGACCGCAGTCACTTTGACGCCGGCTTCCACCAGACGGTCAGCCATGGCCCGACCGATGCCGGCAGTGGCTCCGATCAGGAGGACGTGTTTGTACGGAAACATTGGACTGATGTATTCTAATGATTGATTTTGATTGTCGTCACTATTTACTGCGTACTTCTACTTCTTTATAAGTATCTACAGTATGGACATAAAGCCGACCGGTGACCGGATATCTCCGCCTCAACTCCGTCAGATTAAGTTTATATGATATGAGATTAGTTACTACCGCATTCTACACCCTTTCCCTCAGCTGGATCATGGGCCCCTCGCGATGCGGCGTCATCCGGTCAATCACCTGGAACTCCAGTGGATTTGTCCGGCCCTGCACCGCAAATGGACTGCCTGCTCCCACCTTGCCTGCTGGTCCGGCCGCGGCTTGAAAGTCGTATTTGCAGATCAGCGAGGCCACACACATCATGATCTCCATCTCAGCCAGAGGCCGTCCGATACACGCTCTCGATCCAGTGCCAAACGGGACAAATGCCTGCTCGGCCGCGGCCACCTGCGACGCGCTGCTCATCAGAGTGCCGCCGTCGACCAGCCAGCGCTCGGGGATGAACTCGTACGGCCGGGGATAGTATTCCTCATTGTGCAGCGTCGCGTACATGGCCACGCCACAGCCATAGCCCTCGGGGACCTCGACGCCGTCGACGACCGCGCCTCCTTTGCCAGCGACACGCCATTGCGCCGAGCCGGCGGGGGGCGAGATGCGGCAGGATTCGATGATACACGCGTGCAGATAGCGGCATTGCCGGATGCCTTCCAGAGAGATGTGCTCGACGGAGGGGAACATGCTGCGGACCTCTCCAGCCAGTTTGGCGTAGGCATGGGGATAGCGGGTCAGGTAGAAGATGGTGGCCGACATGGCGCTGGCAGTGCTGTCCAGACCTGAGACAGTTAGACATGATCATCACACCCAGAGAGGAGACTCACCAGCAGAAGACATGAGGATGCACTCTGCTTCGATCTGCTTGCGGCCAATGTTGGATCCCTGCCGGGCCTTTTCGCTCGTCATAAGGGCGTAGATGTCCTGGCCGGAAGTGATGGCCCCTTCACGCTTCTTGATCGCCTTGCGGATGGTGTTGATATTGCGTCGTCCAGCAGCCGTGGGACCGGGGATTAAGAGCTTGTCCAACCGGCCCAGAGCCAGGTACGGCATGTGCAGCAGGACAATGGACTTCATGTTGGCCGTGGTCACATCATGCACGACATGACGGTACTCCGATCCCTCGATGGCACCAAAGTCAATACCAAACGTGAGGAACAACGCCAGATCCAGCGCCAGATAGCTGCACCAGTCGCCGACGTTGATCGGGGCGCCCCAGCCACTGGCATTCGGAGTCGGACGGATGGCCTCGAGGAACAGACCGGTATAGTGCTGGATCTTGGGCGCAAAGGCCTGGATGGCACCGGCGGTAAAGGCAGCACCGACGAGACGACGACGCTGGGCGTGGTCTTTCTTGTCGACAAAGGTGAAGGTGTTGTGGAATTCCTTGCCGGCGCTGTCAAGGATGGGGTCTTTGGAGAAGTTGCGGCCGATGGGGTAGATGTCTATACGGTTAGTACCATAGGATACCGATAGATACAGAAAGACACACCCTTGGCGGCACTGGAGCTTTGGAACATGACATGGTTGGGTCCATAGCGAACCACGGGGCCATACTTCTGATGGCATCGCCACATGTCCAGATGCACATCTCCTATCCAGGCATAGTAGGCCGGCCGTGCCTGCGTGAACTTGGCCAGGAAAGGGCCGGGATATTTGGCAAACGGATGGAAGAAGACTTGATAGATGCAGTATGCGACGGTCTGATGGTCAGTATCAGGGTGTCGAACCAGAGAGAGAACATACCAGCACCAAGGCTGCGGCTGCCAGAGAGAGAAACATGCTGATGAGGATGGGATGCTGGACGGAGGAGCTGGTGGTGCCAATTTATATTGCGTGGAACTGGTCTGATTCATGCAATATCCAGCGATCGCAGCTGGCCATTGAAGCGAGAAGCGATAGTAGGATGCAAGGGCGATGCAGCCCCAAGGGATGTGACAACTCAGAAGTATCCGGGCGAGATGCATCTGATATCAAATCAACCGATCGGATGCAATGCAGTCTGCGAATCGTCAGTATAAATGTACATCCTCCAGCTCGTCTAGATCACTATCATCATCACCACCATCACCATCCATCATATTTCGTCCGCCATGGCCACTCAGACGGTTGTCGAACCGACCAAGTCCATCGGACAGGTTGAAAAAGTGCACATCAGCGATCTGCCCATAACCCGCCAGAACTGGCATCGGCATCTGCACTGGCTCAACATAACCGTTCTGGTCTTCATTCCTCTGTATGGCTTCTTTGAAGCCACAAGAACTCCGTTGTATCTCCCGACTGCCCTCTGGGCGGTGCTGTACTATGCCTTTACCGGTTTGGGCATCACCGCGGGTAGGTCATCCTGTGGTATAACTAGATCTATACTGACAGTCTAGGATACCACCGTCTCTGGGCGCACAATTCGTATACAGCCACCACCCCATTGCGCCTCTTTCTCGCTCTGATGGGTGGCGGTGCTGGCGAAGGCTCCATCCGCTGGTGGGCTCGAGACCACCGGGCTCATCACCGGTATACCGACACCGATCAAGACCCGTACTCGGTCAAGAAGGGACTGGCGTATTCGCACATGGGCTGGCTGGTCCTGAAGCAGAATCCCAAGCGCATTGGGCGTGCGGACATCGCAGACCTCAACCAGGACGCGCTCGTCATGTGGCAGCACCGCAACTACCCGCTGCTGATAGTGGTGATGACGCTGCTGTTTCCCACCGCCGTCAGTGGGCTGGGATGGGGCGATTGGAAGGGCGGCTTCATCTACGCGGGCATCATCCGCACGTTCTTCGTCAACCAGGCGACGTTTTGCGTCAACTCACTCGCGCACTGGCTGGGCGATCAGCCGTTTGATGACCGCAACTCGCCGCGAGACCATATGATCACGGCCCTTCTGGCGTGTGGCGAAGGATATCACAACTTCCACCATGGCTTTCCGTCCGACTACCGCAACGCCATCAAGTGGTGGCAGTACGACCCGACCAAATGGTTCATCTGGACCTGCTGCCAGCTGGGCCTGGCGTACGACCGCAAGACCTTTTCCGACAAGGACATTGAAAAGTGTCGCCTGCAGCAGCGGCAGAAGATGCTGGATGGGGAGAAGGAAGGGCTGGACTGGGGCGTGCCGATTGAGCAGCTGCCCGTCGTCCGGTGGACGGAGTTTGTCCAGCAGAGCCGAGAAGGGAAGCGGGCGTTGATCGTGATAGCTGGCGTGGTGCACGATGTGACGGACTTTGTGGCTCAGCATCCCGGAGGCGAGGCGATGATCAAGAGTGCGATTGGCAAGGATGCAACGGGCATGTTCAAGGGAGGCGTGTATAACCACACGCGCCAGGCACAGAACCTGCTGGCGACGATGAGAGTGGGCGTCATCTACGGGGGCTGCGAGGTGGAGATCTGGAAGCAGTAGATCGGATGGATCGAATGAATGTACTAGTCTGTCGATCGTATGCATGATGCGATAATTGAATGCACACGCCATAGGCTATTTAACTTATACTCGCCTCGCAGTAGCGGTGAAGACAAACAGAGCAACGCTTGGGGATTTTCAGGGATTATCGATATGCAAGCGTTAGGGGATGTGATCCATCATATTGCATCGCTAATATAGTTTACACTTTACAGCCCCTCTCGGCACTCTGGCAAGCAGAATCACCATGGAGAGCCAGAACGATGCATCGCATGTCTCGGGCGCCCGGCTGTATAGCATCGTGGGTGCGGTCATGATTGGCGCCTTTCTCATGGCGCTGGATGTCAGCATCATTGCGACGGTTGTCCTTGAGTATTCCAACTATAAATCATCCCCGCTGATTCATGATTCCAGGCCATCCCCTCCATCCTCAGTGCCTTTCATTCGTCCACCGAAATCGGCTGGTATGGCGCGGCGTATTCCCTCACGCTGTGTGCGCTGCAGCCTCTCAGCGGCCGCATGGCGACTATCTTCCCCTTGCGATGGACATATCAGGTCAGCCTGCTCATCTTCCTCGTTGGCTCTGTCGTCTCTGGGGCGGCAACCTCGTCGAAAATGTTCATCATCGGCCGGGCCATCTCCGGCATGGGCGGGAGTGGCATTTCGACCAGTGGCCTGTCCATTGTGGCTTCGGTGACGCCTCTTCCCAAGCGTCCGCTGCTATCTGGTCTCGTGCTGTCTATGTTTGGCATTGGCACGGTGGTTGCTCCTATCCTCGGCGGCGCCATCACCGAAAAAGCATCGTGGAGATGGTGTTTCTACATCAACCTGCCTATTGGCGCCGTGACCATCGTAGCCTTGCTGCTCTTCATGAAGAATCCGCAGACAAAGCCTGGACCATCTGACGGAATACCGTGGTATCAAAAGCTGGATCTGATCGGCTGCATCATCTTCCTGGCCTCGGTGACGATGACGCTGATGGCGCTGGAATGGGGCGGCAATCAGCACGCGTGGGATTCCTCGGTGATTATCGGTTTGTTCGTCGGTGCTGGCGCTGGCTTTGGCGTGTTTCTGGCGTATGAAAAACATCTGGGCGAGCGGGCGATGATTCCATTCTGCCACATGGTGCAGCGATCGACGCTGCTCAGCATCGCGTATGCCTTTTGTCTGTTTGCCACGTCTGTCGTGCCCATCTACTATCTCCCTGAATGGTTCCAGGTCGTGCAGGGCGTGTCGCCGCTGGAAAGTGGTGTGCGAATGCTGCCCTCCGTGCTATCCCAAGTGGTTGGAGTGGGTGTTTCTGGAGGACTAGGTATGTCTATACACCGCATACAGTACGGAGACTGACTGAACAGCCAAAATGATCCGATACTACAATCCCATCTTCTTCGCAGGCTCCATCATGCTCGCCACCGCCGTCGGTCTCTACACCACCTTTACCGTCTCCTCCACCCCGGATTCACACTGGCTGGGCTTTCAGATCCTGCAAGGCATGGGCGTAGGCCTCGGCAGTCAGATGCCGCTGTTGATGGTGCAGACTATCCTCGAACCTACGCCGAAGCATATCCCCATGGGCATTGCGTTGGTCATGTTCGGGCAGTTCTTTGGCAGCTCCATATCACAGGGCATTTCGGGCTCCATCTTTCAGAATCAACTCATCAGCCAGTTGGAGAACCATGCCGGGTTGAATCCAGCGCAGGTGCATCAGTTGCTGTCGGCAGGGAGTTCGAGATTGCAGCAGAATGCGCACAATGCTTTCCCCCAGCTGGTCCCGTTGGTCCTAGAGGCGTATAACCATGCTGTCACTGGTGTTTTTGTACGTCTTCTATCCCTTCATCTGTATAGATGCTAACTACTGCAGTGGGTGCCATTGACTGCATCTATCATGGGCTTCATCGCAGCGCTGGGAATAGAGTGGATTCAGCTCTAGATCATATATATCTTCGTATCCAATCAAAGATAATAATAAGCTATATGCTATCTCTTGATTTTATACCGCGACACTTGCGATCCATCGCTGAGTTCGACAGCCACCAGCTCCAGTCTATACCGGAATAGCCATGGCAGCAGTACGAATCGACCGACATAATAGACAACTCCAAGAGACAGAATGGCCAGAGCGACCACAGGAGACAGGTAGTATGGAAGACTTGTACTTCCTTTTCCATTTGGTGGGGGGATAAAGGGCATCACCAGGAGGAACTGTCATATCATATTAGAACAGACACAGATAGTGGCAGAGAGAGAACTCACGATATTCCCAGCCAGATAAAATCCCAGCACAGCCCAGGGAACAGTAAACCCAGAATAAAACTCTCCATCCGTCAATCGCAGCTTGATCAAGCCAATCGTCACCAGCGTCAAGAGAAACACGGTCGGATACGAGGACAGACTGATGATAAAGTTGAACGCATCGCCAGCCGGCGGAGCACAGATGAAGAGAATCGTCACTCCGAGATGGATTGCAAGCGCCCAGAGAGGCGTTTTGAATGGACGGTTCTGCATGACGAGATTCGGGAATGGCGTGATGCCGTCTTTGGCCATTTCTTGGATGACGCGGGCTGTTCAGTTAGTATCACCCAGTATCCAAGAGGATGTGAAGTTACATACGAACGGTAAAGGCAATGCCGAGCAGATGGCCAATAGCTGAAATGGCCACCAGAGCAGGCAGTGCTTTTGTCGCTGCAGATTCACCAAAGACATTGTTGAACAGCGAGGCTGCGATGGTGAGGTCGGAACTGAGGAATTCCTCGCGAGAGACAGCGGCAAACTGACTTGTTAGTGCAAACATACAGACAGTAGCAGGATACATACATAGGCAATGTTGGCGAGAAGATACAAGACTGTAATGCTTCCCATGGCCGTGGGAAGAGCAATGCGCAGTGCTCGTTTGGGGTTTTTTACTTCCGACAGAACCTATACAGTCAGCATATACAGTATAAATGAGTAGAGACATACCATGTTCAGATTATCATAGCCCTGGAAAGAAAAAATGGCATCCAACAGGGCGTTCCCAATGTTATACCCACTGTTAGACGTCCCCTTGAATGAAGTAGCGATGTCCAGATTATGCGGATTCGGGACTCGTAAATGCCCTCCTAACGCGGCAAATCCAGTGCACACAATGAATAAGAGTGTGAATAGCTTCACTGCACTGAGAACATCCTGCAGTCCTCGTCCCACGCGAGGAGCGACAGTGTGGATGCCAACTGCAAACCCAGACGCTGCAATCGCCAGTCCACGCAATTTCCACGTGGTCGATTCAACTCCAGCTGCTTGAAGAAGATACGACGAGGAGGTGATGGCATTGCTGGCGGATACCTCTGTTTAATTAGATATGCCGATAAAACAAGGGAGAGACGTACGAAGAAAAACGCAGTAGAACAGATAGACACAAGTCATGAGCAGACTGGGCGAGAACGACCGCTCGAGATAGACCTTGATGCCGCCAGAACGGGGCAGACTGGAGCCAAATTCCAGCATCACTAGAGCGCCACAGGTGGAAATGATACCGGCGATAACCCAGAGAATAAGAGCCATTCCAGGACTGCCGCTGAGTTTGAAGATGGAGGAGGGTGTCGAGAAGATTCTATCAATTAGACAGATATTTAGATATTCAGATATAGAAGACATACCCAGCACCAACAATCTTGTTGACAATCAGGGAAATGGCCCCGAATACCCCAATCTGTCGTTCCTGGAGAACATGCGCTTCATTGACGTGGAGAGAATTATCGGATTCATCCTTGTTCGAGTCGTAGACAGTAACTGCCTGGTCTTTGGAAGACATTTTGCTGTTAGATAGACGTTGTGATGTTGATATTATATATAATATGTATAATCTGGTGCAATCTTAGCTGTGATGATGTGATGGCGTTCTGGCTACTCATTTTGGCAGTTGATGACGCCTTACTATGCGGGTTGTGATTGGCCGATATCGATATATCAACACGATGGATGGCGTGATGACCAGGATCAACAGCATCATTATACGAGAAGGCCATTATATCTCCACAAAGGATGCAAAGAAGGTCTCGACGGACTTGACATCGTCCACTTTTCCAATATAGGCAACGTGCTGGTCGCAGCCGAAGTAACAGCTGTCGATGGCACTGTCACACTGCATTATGGCAAACACGCGACATGTCAAACGGTCGGACGATGACTAGTACTTGCATAAACTCAACCTTAGTCCGTAGTGATAATGGATCAGATATGTTGTTGCCAATTTACTCATCGCGCTCATTCGATAGTATCATCGAACACAGAACACAAACTTGACCCTGGGAAACAGTAAGGCTATGCGATTCTGGGATGTTACACGGCATGAAGCATCATTTGGGATTAGAATTGATGTACGGTAAGTTGTAAACCCATCTTAAGTTTGAAGCTATACTTTTAAAGTCCCTCGCCTTACATAAATCCTCTTACCTGGTAAAGCGGAGAAATGAACGTGATATGATCCTGAAGAACTGTTTCACAACATGCTGAGTATTCACTAGAAGAGTTTATTCAGTTATATCATCATATGAGCAGAGTAAGTTGTATCCTCACTAGTAAGATGGCACAGAATGATGTACCGTAACAGACTGTCGATGTATGTATGACATCATGTCAGCTGACATGGAATGTTTCTATGCCTTCAATTTAGAATAAAAGATATCCCGCTGGACGATCAGCTATTGCACAATCTCATTTCGCAAACCAAATCAAAAGACATCAACATGGCATCAGGACAGTCCTATAAACAACAAGAGGCTATCTATGTAAGTAGCACTCCATCGTCTGATCATATCTAATACGTACCAGCACAACGATGGCCGGGAACCCGCTCTCCTCGACTTCATCCAGGCTCATCCGGAATACCCTCAGATGAAAAATTCCCCTGCGAGGGTTCTCGCTGCGATTGACCAGTATGGTCGCGAGAAAGCCTTTTTGATGAATGTCGGCCACGAAAAGGGACGAATTGTGACTGATATCATCGCCCAACGCAAGCCAAGTATCATGATTGAACTGGGTGGTTATGTGGGCTACTCGACCATTTTGTTTGCCGATGCAGTCAGGAAAGCTGGTGGAAAAAAGTATCTCAGTCTGGAACTCAGCCCAACATTTGCCACGGTCTCCAAAGCACTTGTTCAGTTGGCGGGACTGGACGACATTGTGGAATACATGATTGGACCATGCCGTGACTCTCTTCGAGCCCTGAGAAGTACTCGTTCGGGTGCACTTGATCTCATCTTTCTCGATCACGCCAAATTCGCATATACGAACGACCTCAAGCTATGCGAGGAGCTGGCATTGGTTGGCCAAGGCACGACCCTCGTGGCCGACAATGTCATTTGTCCTGGCAATCCAAAGTATCTCGAGTACCTCCGATCACCGCCAGCAAAGAAGATAGAGGAAGCCAAGACTGTTGAGGCAGAGAAGAGTGTGGATGTGTCTATTGGCAATCCCCGCTTGATCTACGATACATCTTTGGTCTATGGCTTGGCGCCAACTGGAGAGCAGGTGAGTTCTATCTCGTATTGGTGGACTGTAACTAACTGGATAGGATGGAGTGGAAATCTCGCATTGTTTAGGGGAGTAGATGGACAGTCGATAGGCCAAGAAGAGAGTATTCATTCTTTTTGAAATATTGTAGATTCGTCCTTTGGCTATGATGAGAAACCCGAGTATGATTGTCACTCGAGCATATCTTGAGAATGTAAGATGGTTGTCAAGGAGATGCAGTTGCGTATTGTTAATATCGTGTGAGGTATCCCACGATGACGATATAATGATATATTACACCACATAACCTCAGGATAGAAATACAATATACAGATATATAATATACATAGTTTATCGGTGTATGCTGTTACTACCCAAGATGAATTCCAACGAACCTCTCCTCTTAAACTACATTGACGAAACAGCAGCACAGAATCCCACCAAGATCGCCTTTCAACAGGTCATTTCCATCGAGCCAAAGCAGGCTGATATCCAGATCAACTACTATGATCTGGCCAATCTGATTAACAGAACGGCTTGGTGGTTGGAGGAGAATGGGTTGAGTTGCCCAGATGCCACGATTACGTGAGTATACATATTCACATATAGAATTCACCTGACCGAGTAGTTATATTGCACCGAGTGATCTGAGGCATATTATTATCACCTTGGCAGTAGCGAAGACCGGAGGAAAGGTATGTTTCACCTAACAAATGAATAGATATACTAAGGAAAAGGCCCTTCTTTCATCGCCTAGAAACAGCACGCAGATCATCGAGCATTTGCTTGAGGAAACAGACTGCAGCAGAGTCATCTACGACAGCAACTTCAAGTCGACTGTATCTCGACTGCCCAGAGATGTCCAGGCAGTCCAAATGCCAGATCTGATGGACATGCTCTACGACAAAACGCCCTCTGAGAACTATCCATATGACAATTCCAGTAGAATGCTGGATAGGTCTTTTTTAGTGAGTATCCTGTACATAAAGGCTATCCCAAATGAAACTAAGAAGTAGATCCTGCATACAAGCGGATCGACAGGAATGCCCAAACCCATCATCATTCCCCATTCCTACATGGCTGCCATCACCGCACAAGGCAACATGTCTGCTGATGAGCATCTACCCCAGAAATGTCAACTGGAAATAATGACCGAATGCCAAAAGGTGCATACAGCGTTTCCTCTCTTCCACATTGCTGGAATCGGCCTTGCCTTTCATCTGATGTTCTCCGGGTGTACATTGGTCTTTGGCTGTCCTAATCAACCACCGAGCTATCACCAATTCAAGGCGATCCTCCAGATGACAGGAGCGGATGCTACACTTCTACCCCCATTGATTCTGGATGAAATGGCAGACGACATCTCATTCATCGAAGAGAATATCCCCAAATTATGCTACATCTTCTACGGCGGAGGTTCCGTTAGCCAGAAGGCAGGAAACCGCCTATCCAAGAAGGTCTGTTTGATGAACGGGATAGGCAGTACAGAATGCGGCTCTATCGCACAGTTTCCCACTGATCCTGAACACTGGGAATACATTTTCTTTTGCGAAGAGCAATTCGGCATCAAGTGGCGTCCAACCGAAACATCCGACGGAGACTGCGAGATGGTGATCTATCGCGATGATCGGATTGCCAAATATCAGGCTGTATTCAAGGTATTTCCACATCTGACAGAATGGGCGACGAGGGATATCTACCGGCAGCATCCTACGATCAAGCATTTGTGGAAGTATCAAGGACGGACAGATGATATTATCGTCTTTTCGTCAGGCGAGAAGATGAGTCCGGTTATATTGGAGGGAAGACTTGCTTCATTATCGCCAGTCAGGGCGGCGCTGGTGTTGGGGAATCAACGGCCGTATCCTATACTCCTGGTGGAGTTGCAGAGTTCAACTGATCCTGATGATGCTGTGGAGAGTATCAAGGGAGTGGTGGATGAGTTTAATCGAGAAGCATCGAGAGATGCGCAGATCAGTCGACAGGATATAATTTTCACAGCCAAAGATAAGCCATTTAGTCGCACTATAAAGGAAACCGTCCATCGAAGACAGACTGAACGGTTATATGAAGCCGAAATCGACGATCTCTACAGCAGACACGATGGGAATATTCCCGTCCAACTCGACATGAGCAGTCAAGAGACATTCAAAAGTTCACTGGCTGAACTTGTCTCTTATTTAACAGCAAAAGAAATTAAAGTCGATGATGACTTTTTCATGCACGGTTTAGACTCGAGACAAGTTCAGATCATGGCTGCTTATATTGAGAGATCGGTGAAGACGGAAGTTCCTGCTGCGCATGCTGTCTATATGCATCCAACGGCTCATCGATTGGCGGCTTTTATTCTGAAGAGTTTTGATTTGAAGGAGGACGAGAATGGATATGATGCTGTGCTGGAAAGACATGTTCGATCTCTCCCACAAACAACGAGAGAATGCATCGACAGCGAAACAGACCATGTTCTGCTCACAGGAAGTACTGGTTTTGTTGGGTCTTTTCTTCTCGACACCCTGAAAGAACGAAAGATTAAAGTCACCTGTGTGGATCGAAGAAGAAGCGATGATGATACACGACTGCAAGGCGATCTATCCCAGCCATTCTTGGGGCTCCCTGAACATGAATATAAACGATTATCAGAAAGCATCACCAAGATAATCCACTGCCAGTGGCCGGTCAACTTTAACTGGCCTCTATCATTATTCGAGCCGAATATAAAGGGAGTTGTCAGTTTGATCAACTTTGCTCATGAATCATATCACAATGCGCATATCATCTTCCTCTCGTCGATTGCGTCAGTCAAGAACTGGGATCAGCCTACACCCGTACCAGAAGGGCATGTTTCATCTGTTGGATATGCACAGACTGGATACGGGCAGAGTAAATTACTTGCAAGCGAATTACTCCATCAAGCAGGACAATCTGGAATACAATCATTTATCTGCCGGATTGGGCAGGTTGCCGGTCCCATCCAGAAACAAGGCGCCTGGCCTCGACGAGACTGGTTCCCTACTCTACTATTTGCATCGAAAGAAATGAAATGTCTTCCTGATTCTCTTGGATCGGACGTGGACTGGATACCGGTTGATATACTGGCCGAGGTGATTGGGGAGTTGGTTCAACGGCATTCACGATGTGTGGATGATCGATGCTCTTATTATCATTTGGTGAATCCGCATACAACTAGATATGAGGATTTACTACCAGTTATTATGAAGAGATTGGATTGCAGAATAGTTTCTCTGGATGAATGGGTTCGTCTACTGGAGCAGAAATCAGGCACAGGAGGAGAGTTACTGGGCTTCTACCAGGAACTGGCAAGTGGCAAACCGACCGTCAGACTGAGTGTCAACAAGATGAACGCATTGAGGACGATGGATGCTGTCACAAAGGAGTGGATGGAAATCTGGCTGGATCAATGGGGACTGTAGTGACATCGAATGACATCAACTGTCATCATTATCTGCGCATGATGATCTCACATATATAACTATATATATAATTCTTGGAGTATGACCATCCATCCACCACATCAGAAAATGGAACACACAATCAACGTCCTTCGCGGCTCTGAACAGGGCAAGGTTCAATCAGGCCAAATCACCCGCTCTCTGTCTGTATCCGATGCTCTGGTTGAAGTCACTCATGCCAGTCTCTGTGGGACAGACGATCTCTATCTGCACTCTCCTCAAGTCCTTGGCCATGAGGGAATTGGGATAGTCAAGGATGTCGGATCGGATGTGAAGAATGTCAAGGTTGGTGATAGAGTTGGGTTTGGGTATATCCAAAAGGTTTGTGATGAGTGTGAGAATTGCAGATCAGGTAAGCTATTTTATGTATATATAGATATCTGTATACTGATATGAATCAGGATGGGATCAATACTGCCCAAATGGAAAGCCATATGGAAAACACGATATCAACGTGGGCCTCCTCGCATCGAGTGTTGTCTACGATGCTGGCTCTCTCATTCCTGTTCCTCCTGATCTCGAATCTTCGCATGCAGCAGCCTTGATGTGCAGTGGTGCAACAGCATGGACTGTCTTGACGCAGTATCGCATCCGACCTGGAGAACGGGTGGGCATTCTGGGAATCGGAGGACTGGGCCATATGGCGATCAAATTGGCATCGGCCATGGGATATCATGTTGTCGCCATGTCGAGAACAGAGTCGAAGAAGAAGGATTGTCTGGCGTTTGGGGCGAATGAGTTTCAGTCTACGACTGCGGATGATCTTCACGGTATTCCTCTATCTCCAAGATGATGTTGAATGTACTGACTGTCTAGCTATGAAAAAACTGGATCATTTGCTGATTTGCACGTCGGTTTCGGTGGATTATAAACTGTATGTCTATCCTATACACTCGAGATATCTACTAATTGAATAGCATCATCTCACTTATGGCAACCCACGGCACCATCTACCCCCTCACAGTGGATCTCGCCCCATCCAGCGTTCCCATTCTCTCTCTCACCGACCAAGGACTGCGCATTCAAGGCTCAGTTTCAGCATCGCGAAAGCAAATGCGGCAGACGCTGGAATTCGCCGCTGAGCGAAAAATCGAGCCGGAAATCACGCCGTTTGAATGGTCGGCCGAAGGAGTGGAACAGGCGATGAAGGCGATGAAGGCGATGGAGGAGAATACGGTGCGGTATAAATGTGTGCTTACCAAGTAGTTCTAATGAATGGGGCCGTATGCAATATTAGCTGCGATGGTGTCATGGGATAAATGAAGCTATTGATAATGGTCTCGTGTTTGTCAGTTGCGGGGATGTCTTTATCAGCCCAATTACAATCGCTGCATTTGATGGCGTGCTGAGGGGTATTTATCTTCTGTCTTCGTTTCAAATTCAATTCATTCTTTTCAATAATTTCACTTCAATCATTTCAGAAAGTGAAGATGGCCACTGTCACACTCACCCAGCCTGATATTCAATATCACCCCGACTATGAGAAATACAAGCAACGCTCTCTCCGTCGCAAAGAGACGGAATCCCTGCCAACAACCGTTCCTGCTGGCTTCCCTGAGCAGCTCTCTTCGTCTCTCGTCTGGGAAGGAAAGGACGTAGAGAAAAGGGATGACTGGATCTACCATTTAAACGATGCCCAGTTGGATGAAATTGATGCTGCTCTCCACAGCTTCAAAGGTAACTCCGCCATAGATGATTATACGATTAATACTGATCATCCAGCGCTGAATCTCCCCCTCGGAGCCATCAACCAATCCACCTTCTCCCTCCCCAACCTCCATCCCATTCTCAGAGATCTATCACGAGAAATCCATCTCGGCCGGGGTTTCTTCGTCCTGCGTGGTCTTCGGATCGATGCGTACTCCCGCGAGGACAACATCATCATCTACACCGGTGTTTCCTCGCACATCGGCAACATCCGCGGTCGTCAGCAAAATACTCGTCTGGCGAATGGGACATCGCCGGTCATCTCGCATATCAAAGATCTTACTTCCACCGTGGAAAAAGGAAAGATCGGTGCTCCGTCCAACACAGCTGATAAACAGGTCTTCCACACCGATGCAGGCGATATCATCTCCCTGCTCTGTTTGAATCCCGCTGCTAAAGGAGGCGAGAGCCATATCTCGAGCAGTTGGCTGGTCTATAATATCCTGGCCAAGGAGAGACCGGATTTGATCCATACTCTTTCCCAGGACTGGCCTGTTGATGGGTAAGTCGATCCAACTGTATAGAACATCAACTGACGATGTAGATTCGACAATCCCAAAAAACCATTCACCACCCGTCCTCTGCTCTACCACCAGCCAGCCACTGCTTCAACCCCCGAACGCGTCCTCATCCAATACGCCCGTCGCTATTTCACCGGTTTCCTCGCTCAGCCTCGCTCCACCAACATCCCACCCATCAGCGAAGCACAGGCAGAGGCACTCGACGCACTGCACTTCCTGGCCGAGGAACACAGCGCCTCGCTGGATTTTCAGAAAGGAGACGTGCAATACGTGAATAATCTGAGCATCTTCCACGCGCGGAATGGGTTCGTCGATGCGCCTGGACAGGAGTACGTCTTATCCCCCATATTGAATGATGTATACTGACTGAGTAGACGCCATCTGCTGCGATTGTGGCTGAGAGATCCCGAGTATGCGTGGGAGACACCTGCGCCGCTGACGGATCGGTGGGACACGGTTTATAAGGATGTGACTGTGGAAGAGCAGACGTTTCCGCTGGATCCGATTCTGAGGAGAAATATCGGGTCGTGATTGTCTATATAACACCATGTCTTTCAGATTAGGCAACAGTTGGTGCCTAGGCTAGTCCTATTCCGGTAACACAATCAGCTTAAATAAAGCCCAACTTCAGTCAGAATCAGAACAAAAGATCAAATCAAGATGGCATTTTCATCTCTCCCAGCTGAAGTGCACCAGCGCATCATCCACTTTATGCTTTCCAACCGCGATGTAGCCAATCTGTCTGTCCAATGTCGCTCTCTGCATTCTCTATGCGACATGGCAACTCGGAAAAAGTACGATCAGATCTCCATAACTGGAAGTGACGACAGTATCGAACATGCATTCAATCTACTCATGGATATAATCAAGCGACCTAGTCTCGGTCAGTTCATGCGACACATCGAACACAGCAAGCCCCTGCCTGCCCATGCAGAGTATGTGGGGCGAGCCATACAGCGAGAATTACCGGAGGAGGATATGCAGCTGTTGGAAAATGCAGTCCATAAAGCGGGGTTTACCGGGCACAGTCAAGATCGCGTTATGAATATGCTTCTGCAAAAGACGGCAGGCAGTAGTGGTTATCGGTGAGTGCTGCACCGCTATACGTGTATGGGTCTAATGTACCAGCTATCTTGATAACCACAGCACATTCATCACCCAGGCCTTGACGGCCCTTCTCATCACGGTATCGCCCAATCTCATCTCCATGGCCATGACGCAGCCGTTCTTCAATTATACAGGCTACTACATGACCGGTGGACGATGGGATCGAGTGAAACGCGTCGACTTTCCACTCGACCAGCTGTTGCGGCAGGCCAACGCAAACCCAGACGGAAAACCATATCTCCAGAATCTGCGCAAGGTGTACATGATCAACAAGTCTGAGGGAATCATGTATGACGAACGGTTCTACCACGAAATCGACTTTATCGGGTGTTGTCCACTCGTCGATCGTCTTCCTTCTATAGAATGGATTGGCACTGATATCCTTGGAGAAGACGAAAATGGCATACCGGGTTCTCTGGGACCGTCGAATATAAGTCGCATTTCCATCACGGATTCCTCAGTGGGCAGTGCGTATCTCGCCCGACTGATTACGCCGTGCAAAGCACTCAAAGAGTTCCGATACTCCATCGGCGGTAGATCGAGTTTAGACGGATATCCCAGGTTCAATCCTAAAGCATTCATCCACGCGTTGGGCCCGCACAAGACAACATTGGAGATTCTGCATGTGGACGTCGAAGCCCGTCTATATCAGTTTACAGAGACGGATGGCGATGAACTGGAGGAGGGGCTTAATCAATACGCCGGCCCAGCTGCGAGAGAGCCTTCGTTTTGGGACAGTCATTCTTTGAAAGAGTTCACTGCCTTGAAGCAGCTGGCTCTGGGCATTGGCTTTCTGCTATACTTTGCCAGAGGCAGATTAGACAATCTCCCGGATGGTCTGGAGCAGCTGACCATTTTGGGATACAAAAAGGGCGAGAATAAAAAGTATGACGCGCAGGTGGATACTCTGGCTGGAGCGAATTTGAAAGTCGAGGGAATCGATGAGATGATTCCGAATGCAGACGATGTGGATTGTGAATGATGGGATTATAGAGATGATAATTAAGATTCTTCGTTTCAGCTCAGCTACCCCATTATAACATATTTTATACCTACCTCTCACTAGAACCGACGATCCTCAGCCGCACACAAAGTGGGCTGAAGGGCAGCTGAACTCTCAACTGAACCTTCGCTGCCTATAAATTGCCCTCACTCGACTCAGCACTCGCTTAGCGGCCCACAGTGAATATGACCACTGACAGCTTCATGTACGATAGCTTCAACAATTCGCTTATCTCACATACAAATACTATCGTATTCTCACTCATCCTTCATATCTTGACCGGGTCACTGTCAACCGTCTCTCCGAACCAGATCGCTGGAAATGGGCAGTTGAGATTCCCGCCCGTCCAGTGAGAAGGATACATCTTTGATGGTGTGGTGGGTATAGTTGACAGCAATTCCCACCTTTGGGGAATAGCCATTATCAGACAGCCAGTTGAGATTGTTATAGGAAGGACGCGCTGGTATTGATGCGGGAGGGTTTGACAGAGTTGCTTCACCGTCCAGCTGGGCTGGAGCCGGACTTGGCAGGAGTTGTGGTTTACACCATGGCCGAGGATGTCGTGGGTGTTGGGGATAGGCTTATTGCGAGTATTCATGACCAGCCCTAGGGCGGTATCGGTGCGAGAAAGCAAACGGGACATGACAAGGAAGACGGCCGAGGTGAGCAGGGTGGGGATGGCAGATGGCCTTGGACGATCTTGTGGTTGAAGGATATAAGTAGGTGATGACTTCATCACCACTTGGAAGAGCATCTTCTGGTGCTCGGTATAGAACGTCCGCAGGACACTAAAAAGGCAGATCGAATCGATCCACGTCGACCGTTCCGTTGATTTCAAAAGGTGATTGCTAAGCAGATCTATATATCCAGGGCCCTCAACCATTCCCACTTTGGTGTCGTTCTTAGCCACGAAATAGTATGTTGCGGAATCGGATGGAATCTTGGGCCATCTTATCGTCGTTTCTGGTTGCTACTTAACATTCGCATCAGAGATGACATTTTCGTATCATCTTCGAGTCTGGATTGCCGATATTTCTAATCCAATATTGTCCTGTTCCTTTTACTCGTATAACTCACCACAACAAACCCACCAACAAATGTCCCACGTGCAGGTATTAGAGCTTGGCTAGTGGAGATGGAGCAATACAAGCACGTTCACCTATTCTATAGTCGTTGTTTGAATTAGACGTCTGATTGTAGCTCGACACCAACTACTACGGATTTCACTTTGTCATCACAATGCACCCCAGAGAGAGTGAAGCAATGAAAAGTAGCGCTGACATGAGCTGAGCAAGAGAGTAGATCAAGAATCACGCTTAGCTGGTGCAATGCAAATAGCGTAAAGCTTATGCGAAAAGGTACTAAGCCGAAAGAGACTGCGGTGGACTACCATAAATCCTGCCAGCAGCAGCAGCAGCAGTCAAATTCCAATTGGCATATTTTTTAAAGAAACATACAAGGCTACTTGTCATCTGAGCATTGGTATCTTAGCAAGCCTCGGTGAACGAATCAGTGAGACTAACCAGTGGGTAGCTGGAACAACCTCATATAAAACTCAAGATGATAATGATAAACTATCACGTGCTCCTTTTTCCTATGTGATTGCGTATGACATACATCCTCATCGCGCCGAACCAGGGTGTCGTACGTCATCAATTGGTTATTCAATGTTGGTTGCAAGAGGCTCGAAGTCTCAAACCTGCAGCTATACCGAGCAGTCCGAGGCGAACCTTTCATTTTCGGGTCCCGCAGTAATGTTCGCGTCTCCGTCACTTTCCTCTCTTCTTCCTATCTGATTGATCACGCAGGAATCTCAAGAACAGAAATCCAATGCAAGGCTGCCATGTTCGCAGGCTAACATTAGTTGTTAAGATAAGGAAGGCCTGCCAAGCAGATTCCCTGTTCCCGGTTCGGATTTCGGATATATAGAAAGTCTATTTGGTTCCACAAGGTGCGCATGGATCGACAGGCGGGAGGCAATCTGGAGCTTTGAAAGCACAAGTTGAAGTATAATATAGTATACACTGAAGCTCTCAGGGATAGGGTGTGCCAAATATGGAGCCGGAAAAGTCAAAGGAAATTAACGAGGCTTTTTAAAGGTGTGGAGAACGCGATGACCATCAAGCACTACGAAACATCTTCAGCCACTGCCGTTACCTCGTGTTCACTGACGGATATTTGGTGCCGTGGCTTTCAGGGAATATGCAGCCTGTTGAAGGATCGCTGCTGTGATAACCCTGTGTGGAAAGCTTCTGGCAGCTTCCTGGCATGGCGCTGGCGAACTCTGAATTATATAAATAGTAGGCAATGCCTCTGCCTCTATCGAATCTGCAAGCCAATTGAACACATAGCATTGTTTACCTTTTGACAATACCATCATGTTGCTCAAGTCTCTCATCGCTGCCAATGCCTTCGCTGGCGCCGCGGTGGCATCTCCCGCTCCCATGCTGCAGGCCAGACAAGACGACCTTGCGACGTACATCCAGAACGAGCACACCTACGCGCTGCAGGGTGTACTCAACAACTTCGGCCCCAATGGTAACCTCTCCAGGGGAGCCGCCCCAGGCGTTGCGATTGCCGGAAACTCCGAGACAAACCCTCCTTGTGCGTTTCTCGATCCGACACGTCTACAACCAGATGATCAAAGCTAATCTTGCGGAATCAGACATCTACACCTGGACCCGTGACACGGCGCTGACTGTTCAGTCCCTCATCCATGAGTTCATCTCCGGAAACACCTCCCTCGAGCCGCTCATCCAGCAATACGTCAACGCTTCTGCTCGGATGCAGACCATCCCCAACCTGTCCGGCAACCTGACCGATGGCTCTGGCCTGGGTGAACCCAAGTACAACATTAACATCACCGCGTTCAATGAGCCCTGGGGCCGTCCCCAGCCTGACGGTCCCGCCCTGCGTGCGTCTGCCCTCATCGCGTATGGCAACCACTTGCTCGGCCAGGGCCAGCAAGCCAAGGCCCTGTCTCACATCTGGCCTATCGTCAGCAACGACATCGCCTATGTTGGCCAGTACTGGAACAGCACTGGCTTCGATCTGTGGGAGGAGGTCAATGGTACCTCTTTCTTCACCACGGCCGTCCAGCACAAGGCCCTAGTTGAAGGCCAGGCCTTTGCCACTGCGCTGGGCAAGCCCTGTGAGGCATGCACCGTCGCTCCAGAGATCCTGTGTCACCTCCAGAACTTCTGGAACGGCACTGCAGTCATCGCAAACACCCCCACTTCATACGACAACAGCCGCAGCGGTGTGGATATCAACTCCGTTCTCACATCTATCAACACCTTCGACCCCGCTGCCACCTGTGACGATGTTACTTTCCAGCCCTGCTCGGCCCGTGCCTTGGCCAACCACAAGGTGCTTGTCGATGGTTTCCGCTCGATCTACGGCGTCAACCGGAACAGATCCAGCAGCAGCGCGGTCGCAGTGGGCAGATACACCGAAGATGTCTTCATGGGCGGCAACCCCTGGTATGTACACCACATAGATATCCCATCTAGACCCTGGAGCTAACTCACTCTTGCCCATAGGTACCTCGCCACCCTCGCAGCCGCGGAGCAGCTCTACGACGCTCTGTACCAGTGGAACCGCCAGGGCTCTCTCGAGGTCACCCAGCTCTCTCTACCGTTCTTCAAGAGCCTCAACGCCAACGTCACCACCGGCATCTTCCCCAAGTCCTCCCCGTCCTACACCGTCATCACCAACGCCGTCAAGACCTACGCGGACGGTTTCGTAGCCGTCGTCCAGCAGTACACCCCCGGCAACGGCGGCCTCTCGGAAGAGTACAACCGTGACACTGGGGTCCAGGTGTCTTCCCCCGACCTCACCTGGTCTTTCGCCTCCTTCTTGACTGCCACCGCCAGACGTAACGGCTCTGTCCCTCCCTCGTGGGGCTCGTCCCGCGCTCTTGCTGTCCCTTCGCAGTGCCGCCCCGCCACTGTCAAGGGGACCTATGCTGCTGCTACTCCTTCTCCTTGGTAAGCAAGGAATTTCCACGGGAGATTCCTCCAGGCCATGATTGGGACCAAACAAAAATAAATTTTATCTTTTGGTCCCACCCTTGACAGTTGATTATGCTTGCTTTAATCCTGGTTGCTGCTGTTTGATATCGCTGCAATCGGGATTGTTCAGTGAAGCTGTATTTCTAGCTATCATTGCTATTAGAACAAATAGACTTGTTTTACTGCGAATAGCCTCTAGATCTACAGTCTCGAGGGTTCGGCATAATTAGTTTCTCTATCATTCTAGGTTCACTTATACAGTTTGTAATCTTCCAATGAGCATCTCCTAACAATCCACTCGTCTGGACTATCTTAAATAATTCAAAGAGGTGGATTCCATTTCAAACGGTCATTATGGTAGCCAAGTTCCTGCGTTAGATATATTATCCCTTATCTAACCAGGAGGTTGGATACGTACCAATAGACATCAAAATCCAATCATATCCAGCAGTGAGATCCCACTCCTGAAACCATCTTACTATCATACTTGAAACAGAAAAACAGTTGCGCTACTGCGAACACATCATGAGACATCGACAGCAATGCAACCGGAACACTCAGACAAAATGGATTGATTACCCCACATCATCGAGGTGGTCGAAAACAACCCAGATAGTCGATTGCCGATGAGCTCTCCAGTATAGCTTGCGCGAGAAACCAGAATGATACACCAACAGAGCACGTGGCCAGCTCCGGAGGATAGCTTACCTCTTTTTCTTATTAATTTTAGTTTCTTTCCACAGTTTATTATACTGGTTCCTCATCATCTGACCCTCTCAGTTGTTTTTGTCTATCCATCAAGTTACATCCTTTGCCCCACTGCTCTGCATAGACCAAGTTTCGCTCAGAGTACTCAGTCTGATGTTTGGGATTACAGGTGACGGTATGACCAGCAACTATTACATTGTGCTACCATAATTCAGCTCGATCGATCACATTCAAGTCCCACTTGATGTGTTGTGATGTGATAGTGATAGTGACGAAATATTCCAGTCGGTCCGACTTCCGACCTCCGCACGACCAACTAGTGGCAATAGTAGAATTCAATCGTATTCAAATATGCAAAATCAAGTAGGAACAAAAAGCAGAGTCAGATCATGCAGATTAGTCTTCTTCTTGCTGCTGATCTCTCTGGAATCCGTCGCCTCGGGAATCTGATAGCCATGCCACATCCATCCTTCTTCGGTGCCGTCCACATCCACCTCGAGATGCTTTACATTCTTCTACACAATGTTAGCCATGCATATCAATTATATAGAAATACATACCTCGTCACTAGCCAGCGTCCCCGTCCAGTTCGCATTAGGGGCCGATGAGGTGGTCAGCGTCGAATCAGCCACAGTCAACCATCCACTGCCGGTGTTGATGCCGCCATCGCCGTTGGCCGTGACGGCTGCGCATTGGCTGGTATCTGTCGTCCATTGTCCAGCATCAGTCAGACAGCCGGTCGCTTCTTTGGCGAGAAATAAATAAACGTCGATTCGGCCAGACCCGCTGGGGGAGACCTGCGATGCTGCTAGTGTGGCAGGGACGAGGGCGAGGAGGGCTGCTGTTGTGCAAGCGTGGAAGAACATTGTGGAAATGACCGAGGAGAATGTGAGGAACAGTAGTAAAGTACAGAGGATCTGCTGATTTATAGACAGCCTTACCCGTGATCGGCAGTGCGGAGAACCGAGGAACAGTCGAATGTCACATTATGGGATGTGCTAGGCTTTTCGGCACTGTTCTGATCCAGTAATGATGTTTATTTAATATAAAGACACAGTAGATAAGTATCAACAGACAACAATGACCGACCGAGGATTGTGTGGTTGGGCCTCCCAAAAAGAGAAAAATGAAAACATCACCACATCTGAATAACCACCCATCAAACTGACCGAATTAATCTACTTTTATCTTGATCAACTCTTAACAGGCATTGTATATGACATGGAAGAATAGGAAATTCTTATAAGAATTATAAAACACCACCTTTTAATTATCTGTGGTGGTCAGCATTGTAAAGGAATTTTACCGTAAAGAAATTGAAGCAACTCGCATTTATCACTGAACTCCTCTAGAAGTCGTAAAATGATGTTAATCAACGCACTCTCGTGCTATATCTCTATATAAAGTCATAGAAATCTAGTGTGTATTAATTACTAAATATAGTTAGATACTAAAAGAGACATAAACAGTACACTATATTATAATTGTATATAGTTATTTAATATCATCTTAGGAGGCTCTATCCCCTAACAAGAAACTATATCTACAAATAAGATAGGTAATATAGGATTCATACTGACTGCGGCCTCATGCCTAGAGCCCAAATCCTACAACCCGTTCGCGACTATTGTCTCTGATTCATGTGGCACATACAGAGAATACAACCCCTGCCATTTGATCGATTCCACAAAGGAACCAAAGGAAGCAGCCCTTATGCAAAACTGAGCTAAACATTCATCGGTTAAGCCGTACATTCTCGTGCAGATGTCAGTGATGCAGCCACAAAAAGGTTCTAGGAAAAATGCCGCCTTGGCTCCGGAGCGAGTCCGATGAATCCGGGGTAATCTGGGGAAATCCGGGGAAGATAGCGGAGAAGCATATTATTATTATTAGGGTAACGGGTGATATATGAGGCAAGATTTCCTCTGCGATGAGGACAGGGCCCTCAACCACTTGCCATTGACCATTGCAATGCCTAGATCCACAAAGTCTGCCTCTTTCGAGCTGGACGACAAGCCCACTGTCGAAGATGTCGAGGACGTTCGCCCGGAAGACCAGATCCTCACTCACTTTCCCCTCCTGAGGGACAAGACCCCGGAGGAACTGAAGACGTTGAACAAAGCTGTCCTACGTAAGCTGGACTGGAGGTTCTTGCCGATGATTACGGTGATGCTGCTGATGAAGTGATAGAGCCTGTGCACGTGTATGAACTTGGAATTAAACTGACGCATTCTACAGCTACCTCGATCGCATCAACGTCTCCAATGCCCGCCTTGCAGGGATGCAAAGCGACCTCAACATGACTGACACGCAATGGTCCGCGGGTATATCGCTCTTCTACGTGGGGTATATCATCTCACAAATTCCCGCCAACATCATCATCTCCAAGGGCAAGCCCAGTCTTCTGCTTCCACCTATGATGCTGGGATGGTCGGCGGTGACGATTTGCATGCCAGCCTTGACCACCGGCTGGGGGTTTATGCTGTGTCGCTTCCTGGTCGGATTGACCGAGGGCCCTTTTGTGCCCGCCGTGTCGCTCATGACCAGCTCCTGGTATACGCGAGACGAGTCGCCTCTGCGGATGGGCATCTGGCATGCGGGGAATATCATCTCGAATGTGTTTTCCAGCTTGTTAGCGGCAGCGATCTTGACGAACATGGAGGGGATTGCGGGGCTGCATGCGTGGCAGTGGTTTCTGCTCTTGGAGGGTTGGTCTTTCTTCAGGTATATTATCTATCTATAATCCAGCTAACTATCGCAGGAATCGTCAGTGTCTTGGTCGCGCTGCTGGGCTTCCTGTGCATTCCCAACTTTCCCAACAATACTGGCCGCAGCTGGTTTACGGAAGAGCAGGCTGCCATGGCCGCGTATCGCCAGGCCGTGTCGGCGGGAGGCCAGATGGAAGACGAAGAGGGGGGCCCTTGGAGTGGCGTTGTCCAGGCTGTCCAGGATCCGTTTACCTGGCTGTTCTCCGGGATTCACTTTGCCCTGATCATCGGACAGTCTTTCAAGGATTTCTTTCCATCCGTGAGTCCCTTGTACACCGGAACCTAGATTTCAACTAACAAGGACAGATTGTCGAGACTCTCGGATTCTCCAAGATCATCACCTACTTCATCCAGGCCCCTCCATATGTCATCGCGTATATCGCGACCCTCCTCATCTCATGGTCTTCGGGCCGCCACCTCGAGCATTGCTGGCACATCATCGTCCCCGTTGCCATCTCCATCGCCGGCAGCGTCATTATGATCTCAACCCTCAACGTCGGCGCAAGATACTTTGGCCTGGTTCTGCTCTGTACCGGTCCATTTGTCGGTCTGAATGTACGATAACCTTCGTACTTAGTCCCCGAATCTACTAACAATATCTAGATCCAAATCGCCTGGGAAACAACCGTCGTGCCTCGCCCGCGCACCAAACGCGCAGCCCTGATTGCCATTGCCAACTGTGTCTCGTCCGTCTCGCACTGGTTCACCCCGTACTTCTTCCTGCGCTCGCAGGAGCCGCGGTACGAGACGGGCGGCGGCATCATCATCGCGGGCTGTGGGCTGGCGATTATCCTGTGTTTGAGTACCAGGTTTTGGGCTCAAAGGAAGAACCGGGAGCTGGAGAGAGCAGACACTGCTAATGGGACGGTGACGCAATGGCGGTTTGCTACTTGATTGGGGCTGGTTCAGCTGTAGTACAGGTATTGAGATACACTGCCCGCTTATGGATATACACACTTTGTACTTTGCCCGTAATAAAGGAGAGCGGAATACGCTTATAGCATGGAATCTGATCTGTCAAATGAGAGGAGATACCTTGTATAGAAAAGCAACTTAAAAGTGGCAGGGGTCATTCTACATCCACGCCTCGTAGCAATTGATATCGGGAGATTGGTCGCAGTTGAGGCAAGTGCTCGGACAACTTCCATATTTGCATAACCGCTGGAATAAATCAAGTACCATTTCTCTCGTTCGGAAAATATCCGTCAGCAATAAAAGGTCGTGGTCTTGTCGCATTGACCTCTTGGACAACCAATAACGAGGACACTATACTGTACTTTAATATCTGAACAATGGATTTCCATTGTATAAGCCTCTACATCGGGATTCCTCCGTAGTATACAATTCTCCATTCTAACCCCACATTGAGCCCTCTCTCTTCTCCACACGAGGGAATGATCTGATTGATAATGACTCCACAGCAGTCAAGTATCAACAGTCGATAAAATGGCCGACCGAGGATTTGATAGCTGGTTTTGTGGTTATTCCTCAACAGGAAAAAGAAAACGCCGTCTAGAATTACAACCACTTAAGATGATTAGAATCAATCTACTTTCATCAATACCAACTCGGACAGGCATTGCATTACAAAGATGACAGGGAAGAGCACGCCATTCTTATCAGAATTACGAGCACCACCACCTTAATCCCACTTCAATAATCGTCAAGATGACTCTTTTCATCAGAAATCATGGCTCCCATCAAATCGGTGGCAATCATCGGGGCCGGCGCCTCGGGTAAGAAGAATAACCTCATCTCGTGATATTTCTGACTGTGTAGGATCGGTGACGGCCCATGCGCTCGCAGCAGAAGAGTATTTCGACCGCATCCGAGTGTTTGAGAGACGAGAGACGGCCGGAGGAACATGGTATTTCATTCTTTTATGTCACGACTTATACTAACAGATTAGGATATACGATCCGGATCCAGGGCCATTGCAGCTGTTCCCAGGCAAGATTCCACCAGAGACTGATCCGCCGTTGGACATTCCCCAGGAGCTGCCAGCGACAACACCGCCATCGACGCAGCAGCGTTATGATCGAACGCCCATCTATGCTGACCTCACGTTCGTATTGATCTATACAGCAGTAGCGCAGACTGACTCGAGCAGGACGAATGTGCCCGACATCGCCATGGCCTTTTCTGACTTGCCCTTTGCATATGGCCCATTCGCTCCGCACTGGGTGCCAAAGCAGTATATCGAGAATTACTTTTCGACTCATCGCACGGATGCATTCCTCGTGCTCAGCACTACTGTCGAGAAGATATCCAAGCTAGACGAGAATTCTCAACGATGGTCTCTTACGCTGAGACGATTCAATCCTGTCAGCAAAGTGGATGAATGGTGGAATGAGGAATTCGACGCCGTCGTTCTGGCAAATGGACATTACTCGGTGCCTTATGTGAGTTCTATACCTAATTCATCTATCCAGAGTTAATAAAATAGATTCCACACGTCCAAGGGCTGGAGGAGTATATCCACGCCTATCCAGGACGAGTTCTACACTCCAAACAATACCGATCTGGCGCCGATTTCACGGACAAAAGAGTCCTTGTCGTTGGCAACTCCTCCTCAGGCCAGGATGTCACCACTGATCTTCTGAAGCATGCCGCCCTCCCAGTCTATCAGTCCCGTCGATCACCAAGTCGCTGGGATGGCGACAGTCCTCCCCCAGGCGTAGAATGGAAGCCAGTCATCACGGAGTATCTGTCCTCGGGCGAGATTGTCTTCGCCGATGGCTCTGCTGTCTCTGATATCGACCATATCATCTACTGCACGGGGTATAAACCATCGTTTCCATTCTGGGACTCGAACGGATCTGCCCTCTACGACTATCACGATAACCGTCTCATCGGCAACTATCTGCACACGTTTTTCCGGAATCACCCTACGCTATCCATCGTTGGATTTCCACGAGTCCTCACCTTTCGCTCGATGGAATACCAAGCCATCGCCATAGCGCGCGTCTGGTCAGGCCGAACCACGATTCCATCAAAAGAGCAGCAAGAACAGTGGGAACAAGACCGCGTGGAACTGGTCAAGCGCGAGTCTCGAAAATTCCACAATATCGAATGGGATAACGGCGAGACGATGGAATATCTGCAAGCGTTGTTCGAGATGGCCGGTTTGCCTAAGCTGGATGGCGCTGGTCGGTATCCGCCTGTGTTGGATGCGAAGACGCGATGGGCGATTGAGAATATCAAGAAATATCCAGAGCCTGGCAAGGAGAGAGATGGGTTTGTGGTTGTGGACTCTAAAGATAGTCTTTATTTTGTCTAGAGTACAACAGGTTGAATACATGCCTGATACGCGTCAAACCTGTTCTTTAACAAGTTCAATGTTATAGAATTAGTCCCTGACGAATGTTCAGGTCTTCATTACCTAACCTATGATGGAATGTGCATAGTTGCATTCCTTGTCGCGTTAGAATATGGGATGATGAGTGCAAGCTCTTGAAGATTGTATAATATGGATGAATATGGATGTCTATAAAGTAGCCATTGACTACTGCTGATCCACATGAGGATGTCAGCCTTTATAGACTATCTATCTGCATGACCTATTGCAACTCTTATAGATAATATCATATAAAGTTCATTGCGTGGTGCAAGAATGCTTGGGAGATCATGACATCATCTATATACATTCCTCAAAATAAACCGACTATCGCAATACTCCAAACCCTGAATAAATGCATTCGAGAAAAGTCAGTAGATAAGGGCCCGGTATGCGTCAACGTATACATTCTCCTAGGGATATCCCTTTTATAAAACAAAATCACACTATATAACAACATGAGAGCCAGTATTGTATAGGCGACACATTATATTAAATACATATCAAAATGACTCTCAAGCCAGTTAGTGATGTCTCTCCCACCGAGTGGGAGTGGGACAATCTGCGCCACGTATACGATGACATTCCGATCAAAATATTCCTAGTGGCTATCGCGGAGTTGGCTGAACGATTCACTTATCGATCTGTCTCAGCGCCTATCCGTGAGTACTATCATCATACTAATATCGATAAACTGACAAGAGTAGAGAATTATATCCAACATCCACGATATAGTGAAAAGCACACGGGGGCCCTGGGAAAGGTGTTACCTACCTGGTACAGTATAAAGATAGAACTAACGGATACAGGGCCAAACAGTTGCAACTGGAATTAGTTATTTCTTCGTGGGATGGTCGTATTTTGCCCCGATTCTGGGCGCCATTGCTGCCGACAGTTATTTTGGTCGATATAAAACGATTGCTCTCGCGACGGGGTGAGTATGCTTCTTTCTATCTGGTGAATATACTGACAGGGTAGATTCGGCTCTATTGGAGTGTTAATCCTGTTCACCACATCGCTGCCGGATAGTCTCGATCATGGCGCTGGACTGCCAGGATTGATGATTGCGTTGGTGTTGATTGGCATGGGGTATGTCTTCTATACTATATAAAACACTGCTAATGAAGTAGAACCGGCGGCATCAAAAGCAACGTATCTCCACTGATAGCAGAGCAATTCTCTCAGCCTGCGAGAATAAAAACTCTGTCTAGTGGAGAAAAGGTGGTGGTTGATCCGAATGTGACTGTCCAGACGATCTATTCCCGCTATTATTGGTATGTACACTGTCTGTGTATCTTCGTTGCTAATGGATCAGGGTGATTAATATCGGATCGCTGTCGGTCATTCCTGCATCGGTATGGATATACTCTGTATATTTATTCCTGCTAATGAAGTAGTGGCTGGAATTAAAAGTCGACTTTTGGGCTGCTTTTATGCTTCCTCTTGCGCTCTGGGGATTGGCTGCGGTGGCTCTATTGGCTGGTAGAAAGAACTACAGTATGTCTCCTCATGCTGATAGGATGAAGCTAATTGATAGTCGCACAAACACCCAAAGAATCGGTTATTACCAAAACAGTCAAGGTCTTCTGGATCAGCATCAAGAATGGATTCAATCTGGATGCAGCCAGAGGGTCTGTCAGAGATGACACTTTTATATCTGAGCTCAGACGGGCGTTGGTGGCATGTCGTGCTTTGTAAGTTGTCCCTTTCTGTCTCGACTGTGCTGACTAGTTAGTATGGTGTTGTAGGTATCATCCCCTATAGATAAGATGTTTCCTAACCAGACAGTCCGATATATTGGATCTGCAATGGTCAGGCCAACAATAATCTCGTCAGCCAAGCATCGACGATGAAGACATATGGCATTCCAAACGACATGTGTACGTCTCTCTATACTTATCGACCCACTACTTATGCTGATATTGACAGTGAGCTGCTTCAATCCAATCGCCATCATCGCCGCTCTGCCTCTAGTGTATGTTCTGTCAACCATCTACTGTCCATCTCCATCTAACATCGTAGTGAATATATCGTCTATCCCACTCTCCGTCGATATGGCATCCCCTTTCGCCCCATCAGCCGAATGACCGCCGGCTTCGTGACCATCGCATGCGGCATCGCCTACACAGCCGGTCTGCAAGAGTACATCTACCGATCCTCCCCCTGCCACCGCCACCCAGACACCCCGGAATGCCTCGACTACGACGAACCCAGCAACGTGAGCATCCTCCTGCAGATCCCCGCGTACTCGCTCATCGGGCTGTCGGAACTATTCTCCATCCTCTCCGCGATGGAATACGCCTTCACCAAAGCCCCCAAGTCGATGCGGAGCATCGTCACCTCCATCTTCCTGCTGACCTCGACGATCGGATCCATGCTGGGAATCACCCTCGCGCCTGTCTCAACAAATCCGAAAGTGCTGGTGGAGTATGCCTCGTTGAGTGGGATTATGTTTATGACCGCCGTGCTGTTCCAGCTGGTGTTTAGAAAATACAACAAAACCGAGGAAGCGATGAATCTGATTGGGGATTCGAGCTCGATGTCGGATGAGAATGAGAAGGTGTGATGTGATATGGATTAGCTGCAGTTCAGTATTCCAAATCAATCAATAAATAATTATAATAAGGAAACATAACGAGATCTGAATCTGGCGCTTTTCGGGCTTCCGAGATCTCGGAAAGTATCGCTGGCCCTTCTGATTGGCTGATCGGGCGGGGCAGTACACCGAGGAGAGCGGCTGCTGTGATTGGCTGATCGAGAGCAGGACTATTTGGGCTTTTTAAGCGATCGAGGGGTATAAATATCCCCTGTCCTATATTTTAAACAGAAAATAAAATAGAATAGACAATAGACAATGTTTGAATTGAGTGGAATCGCCCTCGTCACCGGTGCTGGTATGTTTCCATTCCCATTGGCTGTTGCGTACTGACCATCCCAGCCAGCGGCATCGGCCGTGAATGCGCCCTTGCATTTGCAGCAGAAGGCGCGGCAGGCGTTGTCTTTGCAGATCTGAATCTGGCCGCTGCAGAAGAAGCAGCCGAGCACAGCAAGACAGTCGCAAAGCATGAGGCGTATCGTGCGCTGGCCGTGTCTGTCGACGTGACGGATCGCAGCCAGGTGGATCAAATGGTCGAGCAGACGATCGCGACTTTCGGCCGGGTGGATTACAGCGTCAATGCGGCGGGGGTATGCTTTCTGCCCATGTTTATACATGATATGAGCTAAGAAATAGATTGTGATGCGCAAACCGACGTCGTTTCTGGATGTCTCGCCTGAATCGTTCGATCGGGTGCATGACATCAACACCAAGGGCGTTCTGAACTGTGTGCAGGCAGTGGGGAAGATCATGCAGACACAAGAACCACTCATTGTGAACGGTCGAAATGGGCCGAGACAGGCTGGGAGAGGATCAATCGTTAACCTTGGATCAATCCATTCGTTCATGGCGGGGGGATTCATCACCGAGTATAATGTGTCGAAACATGCCGTGTTGGGTTTGACCAAGAGTGCTGGTATGTCTCTCCTAGATATAAATTGATATAGATGTATAGTATACTGACTGTATAGCCATCGATCTTGCTCCCTTTGGAGTTCGCGTGAATGTCATCTGTCCTTCGTGGGTTGATACGCCCATGATCAACGGTGGCTGCGAAACAACCCTCAACCTACGCGACATGGCCGCAAAAGCAGTCCCTCTATCGCGAGTCGCGCAGCCGGAGGAAGTGGCCGATGTGATTCTTTTCATGTGCAGTGCGAACGCTAGCTACGTGACAGGAAGCAGTTGGACGGTGGACGGGGGATTGAATTCACTGGCGAGAGCATACTGACGACTAACGACTAGACTGATATGATATACACGATAATATAACTGATAATCACTTTCACTCCAAAGTCCCCTGTCCAAGGCAGCGGGGAAGAGGGTATTTGTCTCCCAGACAGGTCGTCACCACGCCCTTCACCCACGACAATTTCCCTCCATTGTAGTTGTAGCTGGAATCCTCAAACGAATCGGCCTGGTAGTGGTTGAACGTCGACGCTCCACCCGGTGTCCCCTTGTAGACATATCCACTGCGTCGGTGCGTCTTTGGGTTGCTCACGATGCATCCCCATCGATTCTTGGGGATGGTCAAGGTCGCCGTGCCGGAAACCAAACTGGTGACTGAATGCTGGTAGTCGATGCTCGAGGAGAAACTGAGAAAGTCCTTGACGAGAGTGACATCCACGCCCGTCGATACAGACACGCTGTTGGCGATGTTTTGTCCCGACATGATGGCCAGGCTGACGTCTGCCTCGTTGGCGTGCGTCACGGTCGACATGGCCGTGTCCCAGCCGAGAAAGTCTTCATCGGGCAGTTCGATGATGAGCTCGACGTCGCTGCCACGCTTGTAGTTGGTGTTGTTGGCGTGGGTTTCGAGGAAGTGAGGGACTTCTCTGGGGGGAGTGAAGAGAGAGGAGAGATCTTGTTTCTTGATGCGTTGGGTGCTGCCATCGCCGAGCAAGACGAGGGCGTCATCGAGAGAATCAGATTCAACGGGAATAGCAGTGGCCGTAGCCAGGAGGGAGAGAAAGAGAAGAGACTTCATGATGATGGTTGAGTTGGAGAATGATACTCTGTAGACATCAAGTATTTATCTTCACGATCATATACTCCGTCAGTCCGAGATACGAATATAGATCGACATGGTTACATTAAGGAGGGCATGACATGACACTGCCTAAAGTATATTAAATTGAATATATTAAACTGAAAATAAAGTCATGTCGATCTTGGTCTGAATCAATGCCAATCGGATGGATGTCCCTGTGATATCAACCGCGTGATTATTCGTCGAGTTTACTGGATGCAGTAAGATCTGTAGATCAATGGAATTATTCTAGAAGGTATTCTAGAAGATATCGATATGTTGATATACCGGTATACAACAGATCGATATCCACTTTCCACTCACATACACCCACACACAACAACTCATCTACTCTCTACTCTTACTCTTCACTACTTTTCAGTGAATAGTATCATAAACAAAGATAATCACCCAAAGATCTACATCGGCCCCTTCTCGGTGGAACATCGGGACCAAATAAAGCCACAGATTAGCTTCAATCTAGTCTCAGCCAGAAACATCTTCTCGTATTGACAATTAACATGATCGACACAGCAATATAAACCGTTACAACGGTCATCTGCCAAGAGAGTCGATCATAAAGAGGTAAATATAAGGGGATTTATATGATCCCCCAGTATTCGTAGTTATAAAGGGTCTTGTCAATTGTCATTATCAGCATATCCTCAGTCAAGCCATCACCATGAAGTTCTCTGTTAATATCCTCTTTCTCTTTGCTTCGCTGTATGTCTGTATACCATCCTCTGATACCTGATGCTCATACTTCTAGTGCCGTCGCAGACCTCCACAACACCGGTGTTTGCATCAACAGCGGTGGCAAGGGCGTTGTAAGTCATCATCTTCATACTCTCATCGTCATACTGATAAATAGAACGTCTACAACCGCGACGCCACCGAAAAGGCATGCACTGCCTACAAGAACCGAAACACCGGTTCCAAGCAATGGGACACATGCCCTGACTGTACCATTGTATGTTATCTTCTTGTTTATCTTGATGATTCATACTGACTATTTAGAAAAACGACCAGAGTATTCTGTACTACTGCGACACGGCCGCACAGCATATGGGAGGTGATGAGTGGAATTATTACTGCAAGCAGAATGGGGCGGAAGAAAGTCTTGCGTGGTAGTTTGTTTGATTGTATCTTTGTATCTTCGTTATATATAAACTGTTATTTTATTATGTGTGTCGTCAGGGACGATGCTGTATTGGATGGTGTAGATGACTACTCAGGAGATTCCATTGATTCAATTTGCCATTTATCCATTGAAATATTATTCTAGAATGATGAGGCATTTAAAAGACTATTCATCATTATCAATTATATTTGTTTTGCTTATACCTCATCTGTGTAGTCATTCAAAGCGAGTCTATCAACAGTCGGAGTCACCGATATATATTCCAGGTACTCCACATACACACCACATCACACCACCACATTGATCTACAGACAGCAAAAATATCATCATCATCACCATAACTAGCAATCAAAAACCAGTATAAATTTGAAAAAAAGACTATGACTTCAATGAAGTGCGGGGTCGAGTAGATATCTGCCAAGTGGGCCATTACATCATGACTCTCAACACCACCCATCGCCGAATCAATGTCAGACATCACCATCTCAAAGTTCGAATGGAGCAGTCATACAGTTCTCTATTGACCCACGATGAGGGGAAATGACACCATGACTGTGTCGATCCACGTGGGATTGAGTTTCGTGGATCTAGAACATCCTGTCTCTGTAGCGTAGCTGTTTCCTTATCAAGTAGATAAACACGATGCTAGTGAGAGTAGTGTAGATCGATAGTATCATTTCAAATAGACTATATGATCTATGTTAGCAGTAAATAATCTTACATGATGTCGAATATATCTTCAAGGTGACCGTTCGGATCCGACGGACCACGGAGTCAAGTATGATGATATCGGCTGGTTCGAACTCTCATAAACTCCAGGTCATCAGGACCAGACAGGACCAGAGTTTTATGATGTCAGCACTTCTGGCTGCACACAAATACCATAAACAGTGCTTTCCCAGGATCACTTTTCCATCTATCTTCTTCTCTTTCTCCTGATCTGGAGATTCTCACCTTCGAATCCTACTCTGTTTTCTCTGACATGCTATGATCCAATCCTCTTTCTAACCAGCATGTCTTCCTCGCAAATACCGGGAAACACTGCTGCTCGTGACTCGGGCATCGAGTCCCCTGGCAGAACGGCTGTGCTCCGCGAGAAACTCCAGTTGATCGCCCAGGAGAGCAAGCCCCGTCTGGGTCTGTCGGCGACAGAACTCAGCCAGAATTGTCCTACCGTCGATACATTCTTCGACGAGGTCGCGACGGAAAGACTCCGTCGTATGCCTCGCAATGGCAGTCGGCTTGATGGTGTCCTCCGGAGAGCTTCGCGACTTGCCTTTGCTGTTGGTTCGCTGCGGGATGCCGTCGGTGGTATCCTAGTCGGCATTGAGACAGCTACCACGCTTATCTGGGGAAGTTGTCTACTCCTGTTGCAGGTACGTATTCTATCTCCCAGTTCTGATCAGGCTAACGAGAGCAGAGTGGAATCGACAATGTCGAACTCTTGGACAGTGTCTTTGGCCGATACGGCCGTGTGACCATGGGCATTTCGGTCCTGCTGCAGCATGAGCCATTCTTCATGGAATCCACTCAGATCCAGTCGAAGATCGGAATGATCTACGCTGATCTCCTCGAGCTGGTCTGTCACGTTACGATGGAATACATCGAAGGGCTTAGAGGAAAGGACAACCAAACCATGAAACACAACATTGACGAGGCCTTCTTCGTCTACTTCAACCGCTTCAATGCGAACTGGCGGAGTATCTCGGAGATGGCCCTCGCCAGTGTTAGCAAGGGTACCTTCCAAGAGGAAAGTGCCATTGATATTCCTGCCATCTACGAGTTCATCGGGCTGCAGGATCGTGCTCTGCAGATGATTCTCGAGGGAAGCACCCATACCCTGGCCGATGGGTCTTTTGAATGGTTCGATACTCACCTCAACAACTTTGTCATGGGTGAACATGACTTGATGGCCATCACCGGCGGTCCGGGCAGTGGCAAGAGTGCCCTCGCCCAGTGGACTGTCGAGCGTCTGCAGACCTCTCCTGAGCATGATGTCTGGAATGTCATCCAGTACACTATCCGTAAGTCACCTGAAGCATAACAACTGTCAGCGCTAACAAGACACAGGAGGTGACGTCCCCATCACCGCCCTCAGCTTGAGTATCCTCAAGGGCATGCTTCACCAGATTCTCGACCGATCGGTCAGCAACTTCAAAATACAAGAGGCTATCCTCACTTCTCTTACCGAAGCTGCCGAACTCGCCTCCATCGGTGCTACCGATATGGAGGTCGAGGAAGTCCTCTGGTCGGCAATGGAGACCGCCGTGCACTCCAACTTGCACTTCTTGCTCATCATCGATGGTCTGGAGCGAGTGAAGAGCAGCGATGATGCCCCCGCTAAATTCTACGATCGCCTCCAGCACGTCGTCGCTGGAACAGACAATCCGTCCAAGTTGATTCTCTTCACTCGCAGATTCCCCGCAAAGACCAAGCTGCACAGCGCGCAGTTGCTTTCGATGGATGCAAACCAGACGCATGAGGACATGGTTGGTGCCGTCAAGGACGCCATGTCCTATCACGCCCAGTACCGGGATATTGAGAAGGAACATCTCGATACCATGGCTGAAGAGATTGTCAATCGCGCCCAGGGCTCGTTTGTCTGGGCTCAGCAGGTTGTCGAATTTGTCGCTCGGCAGAAGACACTCGCTGATATGGTGAGAGCAGCGAAGCATGTTCCCGAATCTCTTGGTGCTCTGGTAGATCACCATCTGCATGATATGGATCTCGAGCAAGCCGACACTCGTGCTTTGCTGGGCTGGATGGCTGCCGCTGAACGTCCTCTGTTGATCAAGGAAGTGCAGCAACTTCTCAGTGTCGATCCCACGACTCCATCAATGGTCTTCCGACTTTCCAGTCCCCAGCAGGATCTCTTCCGTCCCATGAGTGCTCTCATCAAGGTCCGAGACGGTTTTGTCGCGTTCAAACACCCTATCATCCGTCACCACATCCGTGAGCGGGCCGAGGCAGTGACAGAACAAACCGACACGGGCAAATTCCCCTTCAGTCTCAAGGAAGCCAACTACGACTTGTTGATCCGATCTATCGCTTGGGTCAAGCTCACTGTCAAGAAAGACTTTCCCATTTCTTTCAACAAGCTGAATGCCGAGGACCGAGAAAGCCTGTTCGACTCGCATGTTCTCATGGAGTATACTTCTCGCTACTGGTTCTCGCACTTGCTCTCATCCTCGATGGCTACGAAGAACGGTACATTCGTCTTCACCAAGACGTTTGAAAAGGCCGTGCCGGATTCCGTGCTCTTCTCCCAGATCGAGCTCACCAGTCGGGAATCCCAATTCAGCCGATCCAGCATCTTGGAGCTCTACCGTCTTTCTGCTGATGTTCGACGGGCGGTTCTGGGCGAAAGAGCCAAGGCGACACTGCAGAGTCTGATCTATATCGCTCGTGCTGCACACATGGCTAGAGTCACCTATGCCAACGACCATGTGTACGAGGCGTGGACGACTAGCAAGGCACTCATGGGCCCTGCGAATGGAACTTCCATCGCTCTGGCTGAACTACTCGCCACGACTCCCATACACGAAGGACGCTTCGATCAGACTGCCAAGCGCCGTGGAGAGGCACTGGAGACTCTCACCTCCATGGACTGGGAAAAGAGCCCGATTTCCTTCAACCAGTCGCTGGGTTACCTCGCTCTGCTTGTGCCGATGTACAAGGCCAACGACAGAACTCAGCCAGCCTACGAAATGACCAAACAGTTCTACCAGCGTTCTGTCCAGAAATACGGTGCTCATTCCACCCAGTCCGTGCAGGCTGCCGATTTCCTCACGCAGAACTTTGACATTAGTGAGACGGACGACATGTCGCTTGAGCTGGCCCGAAGCAAGTACGAGAATATGGTGCGTACGTTGAGCGCTACGGATGAACGTCGCATTTCGTACACGCTGTACATGGCGCGTCTGTACGAGGACCGGAACCAGCCCAAGAACGCCGAACATGTTCTGTCGAGTCTGTGGGCGGGTCTGTCGTCGCGTGAGGCCGAGTCGACCTCAACCTGGGATAAGAAGACCAAGGTCGCTCTGGTGTACTACCAGTTCTTGCGACGATACGAACGTTCTGAGGAGGCCGAGGTTATTGTCCGTGACCTCTCATCTGATATTGAGGGCAATGGTGTCCACTCGCCTGACATGGTGCAGCGGGCGCAGCTGCTCCGCAACGAAGCCAGGGAGATGGGACTGGATGACCTCGAGCGCGTCCTGTCTATTCTTGTTTGGCGCTTCTACAAGAAGACTGGACAAGAGTACTCCCATGATGCAGTCACTCTGGCACAGTCCTTGACAAAGGACATGATGGGCACGGATCCTGCCACCAGCGTGACAGAGTTGAGTCCCTCGGACCGTCTGCTTCTGCACGAACTCATGGACTCGATTGCTTCGCTGGGCCCTGCCACTCTCAGCCCGTCTATTCTGACCCTCTGTCGCAGCCTGGCTACCCTCCATATCCGCGACGAGGAATGGCAGGCCGGCAGTACCTGTGTCTGGTCGGTGTTGAAGCATGCCTGGCCCGAGGTGCAGGATCCCGAGTCTGACTCCAAGTTCCCTTCGGAGACGGCACCGCACATGGCGAACCTTGCCTTGGATCTGGCTTACTGTCTGTTCCGTCGGTTGAATGTCCATGATGCTACGGTCGTGTATGGCAATGCTTTCAAGGCATCCATCATTGCCGACCGTGTCGCTATTCCATCAGTGACCGCTGTTGTCAAGACTGTTGTGGAGTTCTATGAAACCACCTTCCAGTTCACCAAGGCGCTTGCGTTACTGCACCAGGTTAGCGAGTTCTTCGTCTCTCGTCTGGGTGAGTCGGACAAGCACAGCATCGACAGCTTGTACCATGAAGGTGATCTCGCAACTCGCCTGGAATATCGCGACCAGGCACAGCAGAGCTACAACATCATCTACAAGGCTAGCATCCGTGGCGGCAAGATCGGGTCCACCGGAGTCAGAGCTGCCGTGGCTTTGATCACCTTGTACGAGCAGGACAAGCAGTGGGATTCTGCCTTGGAGGTGTACCGTCATCTCTGGCCCACGCTTGTCCGCTTCGATGAACGCGACGGCTACGACCGTGCTCTTTTGGAAGGTCTCCTTGAAAAGACCTACACCGGCTACATGGCCATTCTGGGCTCGACCGCCATGAAGGCCGGTTACTCGGAGCGATACCAGGTTGCGACCGAGCATCTCCGTCTCTGCAAGAAGATCCACGGTGCTGCGGACGACATGACCCTGAAGGCAACCTTGGGTCTGGCGGAGATCTGCGAAGACAGCGAGAGCCACATCGACGAGGCGATCCAGCTGTACCAGCACGTTCTCAAGGTCCACGAATGGGTTCCTGCCTCTCAGGCTTCGCGGTCGCTTCCTGAGATGTCGCACACCTTGCCGATCACGGTCAAGCATAAGTTGGCCCAGCTCTATCTGCGCAAGAAGCTCACCTCTGCCGAGGCTGGTTCTTTGTACCAGGAGGAGCTGCAGCTGTCCAAGCAGCAGCAGGGTCACTCTTCCACGACCACTTTGCTCTGGTTGAGAGAAGTTGCTTTGATGTATGCGATCAAGGACTCGACCGAGTCACTCAGCAAGGGTGGTGCCATCCTGCATAACCACGCGGACGAGGTGATTCAGATGACGGATCACCACCAGACTCTGGTGGACAGAGCGCATCGTCTGGCGCACATCTACCTGGAAACTGGATACAAGGACCAGGGCAACAGTCTCATTGACGAGATGCACCAAAATATCATCGCCAATCCACCGTCGGACAAGGCCCTCGGCGAGCATCCCCCGGCTGTTTTCGTGGCGGCATTCGAGGAAGTCTTCCGCGGAAAACAGTCATACAGCCAGATCTTGCAGCAGCTGTCGAGTGAAAGCCAGATGACTGGATCTTTCGAGAAGAGCCTGTCCAGCCACGATCTCGTCCCGACACTCGCAGCCGGCGAACAGCTGCACCAAATCCAGACCGAGCAGAAGCGGACCGCTGCAGCCAAGCAGTCCCGCGACAAGTTGTACGACTACTTCTGCAACTCTCTGTCCATCTCCCAGCTCAAGCACAAGGATGTTATTTTCCAGTTCTTCAACGTCTGCCGCCGGGAAGTGCAGCACGAGGACTACAACATCAACATCATCACGGCCAGCACGGCGATGGTCAAGGACCTTTGCGATCGCTCTCGCTTCCAGGATGCTGCTGACCTGACTGGTGCATTCCACTCCTTCGTCCATCTGACGGATGGCCTGCACAGCTATGAGAGCATCTTCACATCCATCAAGCTCTGTCTGTATCTGAACGGATACCAGACCATCAAGTGCCCTGACGAGAAGATCTCGCAGAACATGGCTTTCGAGTCGAAGCTGTTCTTGCAGGAAATCATGACGGCCGCGAAGCAGATCAACATTCAGTTCTCTGAGCTGCCTTTCACTGAGTTGAACGATCTGGTCACTGTTCTGGGTGAGCATGAATTATTTGATGACCTCGAGGTATGTTATCTTCCCTATCACGATGTCTGTATACTAATGACGCAGTCCATTCTCACCGACCTCTGGACCTCCCGTATCGTCCAACGAACCTGGACCCTCAACGTCGTCGTCTGGATCGGTCGTCGCCTCGTGGAAACCCGCTTCTGCCGCGGCAACACCAGCGAAGCCATCCACCTCGGCCGCGACATCTGCTACAACCTGCGCCAGGTCTGGGGTAACTGCGACAACGTGACGCTGGAGATGAACAAGCTGCTTTCTGGTCTGTACACGGCATCAGGAAACCACGCGGCGGCCGTTTCTCTCCACGAATCCGCACTGTATGAACTTCTCAACGACGGCGACGCGGTGAACAACGACAACGCAAGGGAAACCGCCAGTCAGCATCTCACTCTGCTCAAGCACGCCCAGACCCGCGCAAACAGACAGGCCACGCCTAGCACCAAGCTCCCTGATGCGCTGGCCATTGAGACCATTACCCGCCAGGCTGCTCTTAAGTTTGGACTCAACCCGGCTGACTTTGCGGAAGAGGCAGATGGCGAAGTGGGCATGTGGCATCGACCCCGCCGGTTCAGTCTGGACGTGCAGGAGGAAGAGAAGCATGAGAATCATCTGCGGAATTCGAGTGGAGCTGCGATGTTGAGTGGGAATGCAGGAGCCAAGAGGATTTCGATTGCTGCGCTGTAATTTATTAATTATCAATTGTTTCTCTACTTACTGTACCTAATAATCTTGCGTTAGTATTAATACAGACTGTCTGATGTTTCTGAGTTGTGTAACCCTAACAGAAGCCCTTGCCCCAAGCCCTCTTTCCAGATGGGGAAAAAGTTCTGGATGAAGTCATTAATAGCAGTATGGTATCTTAATTATTATACATTGGTAACACCCGGCTGAAACTCCTCAAGCACAGCAGAAATCTCTCTCCACATCTTCTTCTGCGCATCTCGTCCAGCCTCACTCCGTACAAATTCGGACAGTTCCTCATTATCCACCTTTCCGTCATCTGTATACGCCCCGTGGCTATCAGGTCCCAGATTAGCAGACAGCACCAACGTCCGACTTCCCACCTCTGTCGATCGAGCCAGCAGCAGCTTCATAAACCACAATCCCCATCCTGCATCTCTGGCTAGTTGTGAATGACATAGTCCAGGGTTGAGCATGTTGACGACCACCCGCGAGTCAGAAAGTCTGTCGACTAGTTCCCGGATGACCAGGATCTGAACCAGCTTTGACGTGGCGTAGCGGTCCATTGATTCAAAGCTGGTCGGGTTGTCGAACGCAGCGAGCGTGTTGGGACTTTTCAGCTCTGCAAATTTCGCACTCTGGTGTATACCGCTCACGACAAAGGTAAGATGAGGCTGTGTGTTGTATTTGATCGCTGTGTCGCGGAGGGTAGGGAGGAGAAGGAGACCCATGAGGAGAGTGCTGATGACATTGACCGTGATGGTCTGCTCGTGTCCTTCTGCTTTTTTAAAGGTGGCTGGCGCGACAGCTGCGTTTGCAATCACTGCATCCAGACGAGGGAGCTTCGATGCTCGTTGGGCAAAGTCCACGACAGATGTGTATGAGGATAGATCGACATGCCAGACTTCGCAGACTGATCGGCCGGTGGACGCTTCGATGGATTGTTTTGCTTCTTCGCCTGCTGCGGTGTTTCGCACGGCGAGGATGACCTTTGCTGCGTTTAGACGGGCGATGTGACGGGCTGCTTCGAGACCGAGACCGACGTTGGCGCCGGTGACGATGACGGTTTGGTCGGTGTAGGGACGGGTGGGATAGTCGGGGGTGACGAAGAGTTGTTTGTAGAGGAAGTGCGTGAAACTCATGATGCTGGTTGATAATTAACTGACGAACTGATGATGATGGAATATAAGCTGATGGATTTATATTTATACGTGAGATGGACATAGAATGGACATAGGATACTCTAAATCCGGCGGGTGTGCGCAAACTCCGCTGCGATCTTATCTCCGATGACATCACGATCTGTATTATAAATCATGATTATTCTATCTATAGACATCTAGAGGATATCCATGGTTATTGCAAAGAGTAAATCAGCCCCAGCTGGTCAATTTCATCTCCATCCTGTCCATAAAACCCAACCACCTGCCATCCATCCTCAGCCACAAAGTCTTTGCAATCCTCCGTCTTTGTCCCGGCACTGACTGTCTTTCCCTTGCTGGTTGTTGCTGAAAGGGAGAAGATCCGTGTATGGTCGTTGTGTTTGCCCTGGCACATTGTGGTGTGCGTCCAGTATTCGTCGTCTGCTAGGCTGAGTTCCTGGACTGTTCCGCCGTCGCCGCCGTGTGTGTGATTTGATCCAGAGGTGAAGAGACTGACTGCATCGAGACGGTTGTCGCCACGGAGAGTGATTTTCTGGGGTTTATTCGAGCCGGTGGATGAATCAGGGATGGAAGTGAGGTCGTTGAACCAGGTTCTATCTTGTTAGTATACGTATACACTACTTGTACAGGACAACATACCCATGTGGACCACCGAATAGATCACTCTGACGAAGAGAATCAGACAGCGAATAAGTAAAGTTACTCGTGATGGGATTGTGATCCGACAGAATCGTCCCATTGCTGGATAAAAAGTCATAGTCGGCGTATTTCCAGAACGTAGCCTGCAGGTCCATCACTCGACTTCCGCGGTAGAAGATCTTATCCACCGTCTCGCAGGAGTTGTTCTTGTTGGGATTCTCGCATATTCGCGCATTGTCGTCTTGGGGCGGGATGTCTCCATGCAGAATCAGATCGATCCAGGGATTCGCCATGTTGTTTTCCTGCGTGAAGACGCGGATGTTCTCGCCAGACGATGTATACCGGGCATTGGTGTCGCCAAAGACGAGGACGGCATTTCCGGCCGAGTTGGTCTGGATGTGATCGGCCACCTGTTGCAGGTTGGCACTTCTTGCTTTGACGTCTTCTGTTTCGGATCTATCCTCTGTTAGTCTATGTTCATCATGATGGATAGATAGGGCTACCCCGCATCAGCATGCAGATTATAGAAATCCAGATAAACACCCTCTTCAACCCTCACTCTCATAACTGTAAACCCCTTTGGCGTGAGACAATCCGCCCCTGACGCCTCCGAACACGTCGCCCATTTGACACGCTCGAAATCCACCCAGTCATAGTTGGACAGCGTATTCAAGCCAGACCCGATGCCTGCCCCGCCCGATGTCGCAGTGCGGTAGGGGTGAGTGTCTGTTTTGTACAGGTGGGCGTGATAGTTGAAATCCTCCTGCACATGGATCACATCGTAGTCGTATTCGGCGAATTTGGCGCCAATGGCTTCGGTGTTTGTTGTTTTGTCGCCGGGGACTTCGTTGCTGTTGAGGATTTCGGGGAGGCCGGCAACGTTGAAGGAGAGGACGTTGAAGCTGCCTGCTGCCGCGGTTTGGGCAAGCGTATACAATAAAAGAGACTTCATGATGATGTTTATTGATTGATTGTTGATTGAGTTCAGAATTTTCCGGTGACAAAGAGTGGATAAGACTATATATAGCTGATCGTCGAGAATAGGGGGTGCCGAGAGTACTATATTGCTCCGTCTACGGTTACATTACTATATTAGTATAGTATAGACCACTAGAGTAGATCAAGGAAAGACTTCATCCCCCCTCCAATCCCAACATCTCCCCCTTCCCTCCATCGACGTAGACAACACATTTATCAACCTCCCCGCCGCTTCGTCCGCACTCAACATCTCCCTCCCCCAATAATCCCTCGTAAACTCCGTCTTCACCGTGCCGGGATGCGTCGCGACCGCCACAGCCCTCTTCCCACTCCTCGTCTTGAGATACAAATCCAGCGTTTTGGCTAGCTGGAACACGCCTGCTTTACTCGCGCGATATGAGTACCATCCGCCCGTGGCATTGTCGGAGATAGAACCCACGCGGGCGGCCATCATGGCGTAGATGGCGTGGGAGGGGAGATTCAGCCCTTGGTCGGGGGTGAATGGGGGTGAGGATTTAGTTGGCAGAAAGGGCGTGAGATGTTTGAGGAGCAGCATTGGGCCGAGAGTGTTGACTTGGAAGCTGTGCAGGGCGTTCTGGGCGTCGATTTGAGACGGCGATTTCTCGACGTGTAGAATGCCGGGGACGGTGAGGACGAGACGGAGGGGGGTGGAGGGATAGGTGTTGCGGAGGTGAGTGGCCATGTTGGCAATGGTTGATTCATCTACACAGTTAGTATATTATATATCAAGATGATGAGAAGAATACCTGTTACATCGACAGGCAGGACATGCAGTCGCTCCTTGTCGTCGATTCCCTCCAGCAGTTGATCGCGCACAGCATCGCAGTTGTGGCGGGCAGTGGCTACGACGGGGAGATTGGAATGCGTCAAGATGTGTTTGGCAAAGGCAAAGCCCAGCCCTCGAGAGGCTGGCGTTACCAGACAGAAGCCATTCATGATGATATGAAATAGATGAAGATGAGATGAAGTGGTATTAATATGTACGGTGGTTGACGTCATCTAACCTATCACATCCACTTATTTCAAATACTTCAATAAATCAACACTTTTATACATCAACACTTTTGTACATCAACACCTTTACATCAACACCTTTACATCAAGCCCACTTCCCAATCAAGCCCATGATACCTGCGCCGAGCAATGTACAAAACACCATAAACACCAAACGCGACCGCTGCTTGGTCCGACACGGATCGAAGAGAAAGTCCCTCGCCAACAACTCCACCAAACCACTGTAGATCAACACACCGGCTGAAATCGCATTCAACACGCCCTGCACAATCATGGCCGCCTTTGAGTCTGGGTTATAGGTAGTTCGCACGCCCAGTCCGATCGCAATGGAAATGGGGGTTGTCAGCCCATATGCAAGACAGAGGATCCACGGCAGCCATTTGTGTCGACCGAATGGAATGGCAGACAGTCGAGCACCCAGTCCTAGACCTTCAAAGGATTGGTGAAAGACAAGAACAGGATAGAGAGTAGCGAACTCAGAGCCCGTCACGCCCAGATTCAGCCCGATAATGACGGAGTGGAAGATGATGCCGAATTCAAGGATGAGAAAGGCGGCAATTTGCTGGCGGAATGAACGCTCAGCAACAGAATCATCGTCTACCTTTTCAGAAGTGTGTTCGGATGGTTTGTCGTGACGAATGCGACCGTCTTCAGGGACAGGCCCGATATCGAGATGGTCCTGATGAGCGAGAAAGTTGTCCGTGGCGTTTTCATCCTTGTGCATGCCGTATTTCAGCTCAACATAGACCTCAGCCGCAAGGTCAAGAAGGAAGATAAAGACAATTGAAGCCAGAACAATAGCCGCACACCAGGAATACTCATCCCAGTAACCAGAAACACCGACGCAGGTCTCTGGGCCGATTTTGGAATACGCCGGGTCCAGCAGATGGATAAACGCCGTGGCGACGATGACGCCAGTGCCAAAATAACGGGCGAAGATGTAGACGCTGTAGGGAATCTTCCAGCCCGGTAGACGTTTAGCCACGACGGGGAAGAAGGTAAAGGCCATGGAGACGAAGCCGATCACGAAGATGGAGGAGATGCGAGCACCGAGATGGCCATTGTAGTCGTTGCTGGAGATGGCCATGTAGCAGAGGACATCTTCCTTGCTGGCAGTGTCCAGGTTGACACTGGAGGGGTTGAAGGCCATTTTTGTCATGGATGTAGATGAAGGTAAAGATGTAGAAGTAAGGTCATGGTGCAGGTAGAGTAGATATATACAGAGTTGAGGACCTTGCCAGGTGAGGAGATTAATAGCAGGCTACTTCCAAGGTCCTTGACAGGAAGAAACTAAGAAAACAGGATGAGTGGATATGAAATGGAGGGATTGCGAATGGATGGAGTCGGAGATTTGGTGGACACGTTTGCTGCGCATTATTATATTGAACCTTGACAGTGATGGTAGATAATACACATGCAGGCAGTGATACAGTACCGGATATATAGATAGATATATAGCAATACTACATTGATGTACAATATACAGTATAAGATAGAGAAATAGAACACAGTGAGAACAGAAACACAGAATAATATCGCTAAGCTTTGTGGATCTGTAGGGCTGAGATATTCTCTCTTCCCTCGGAAGGTTCCGTCGTAGAATTGCCGTTCTATTTGTGTATGCCATTATGCAAAATGACAATACCGTTATTTGCATGTCTATATTTACTTATCCCGCAGCCAACGCATAGTACAGTGAGTATAAACAGCATCTATTCCTCTCTGACTTCCACCCCCATCACTCACAATGGGCAAAAGCAAAGAACAACCCATCGACCTGGTCGATGTCATCTCCCAGACCTACAGCGAATCCAAAATCATCGTCGTCGCCTGCCTCACCTCCTGGCTGCTCTGTCGTCTCAATTTCGGCGCTGCCTGGCTCCTCCTCATCCTCGCCTTCCTCCGAACCCAACACCAGCTCTCCCTCCGCCGCGCTGAACGCTCCATCCGCGACGAACTCATCCGCGGCCAGGCCGAAAAGACACTCCAAAAGGGCGAATCGGTCGAATGGATCAACAGCGTGATTGGCAAACTGTGGCATCTCTACGAACCCCAAATCTGCAACCAGATCGTGCGCTACGTCAACCACGAACTAGGCGGGCAGGTGGACTCCAAGAAAGTCGTGATTCACTCTCTGGCCCTGTTTGAACAGCCGTTACGCGTGCTCAAGATAAAAGCCTACTCCAAGCCCAACTCACCCAACTTCATCCTCGACGCCGAATTCTGCCTCAAAATCACTCCCCCCGACGACCACCGCGTCCATCTCCTCGAAATCGGCGCCCACGAACCCCTAATCGACATGGCCATCGTGCACACCAACACAGACGACCACAAAGCGCACGATCTGGCTGTCCAGGTGAAGAACTTCACCGGCACCGGCGTGGTGCGCTTCGAAATCGACCTCGAAAGCCTCCACCCACACTTACTGCAACCGCACATTGAGCTCGAGGAGAAGCCGAAGATGGACTGCACCATCCGCACCATCAGCCACCACCACTTCCCCTTTCATTTTGCGCATCATGTGGACTGGCGGCGGGTCGTGGAAATGCAGATCCGCGCGGGGCTGGGACGCGCATTCCATCAGCCGCTGCCCTTGCCGTTTGGCATTTGGGGGGAGGGGATGATGGTCAAGATTATGAGGGGGATGTGGCATTTGCAGCATTTGTCTTAGTATTACCAGTATAATGAATTATGAAATATATTATGAAATACTCTCCTAACTCCTGAGCTGAATGAACTCATAATTGTCGGTTCGTCACTAAATATGGGGACAGGCAGCCAATAGTAGACGGTGTGGAGCGCCCTGTAGGGCTGAGTGGGGGGCTGTTCGGCTGGTAATGGTGCTGCCTACCAGTACAGTATTTCTTCAATACTGTTATTTGCGTTGTATTCATTATTTTCAGTACATTTCCAATAATTGTATGTATTCAATAGACTATGACTATGGTAGTTATATATAAACACCCCTATACTCCGTACCTAAAGAGTAATCCTCTCCTCCCTCCATCCCATCCACGCAACTATTATCCCCCCCTTTATTATCGCCGCCGTCCACAATGCCCCTGCCACTCCAGCTGGACTGCGCGCCCATAATCCCCCAGCCACCGTCCCAATCGTCAAAGACAAGATAGCGGCCAGTCGCCGTCTCTCCTCAAAGCTCGACCACATCTTCCGCGTCAGAAACAGCGGACTCGCCATGAACTCGCAGAATATACTCGTCAACACCACACTAGGCAGTCCCTTGAAACCCAGCACGCCACTGCTCACTGCCTGTCCGCTACTCTGAAATGCAACCAGAGCCAGTGGCAAGAACGAAATATCCTTATCCGTGTTATCCTGCGTCGGACGGAGCGTGACAATCACCGCAGCAACGATAATGCAGACCATCTGCACGGCGAACGAAACACACAACACCCATCTCTTCCTCGGTGAGAAGAAGCGATAGAACCACCCAAAGACCAGCGATCCGATGCAGAAACTGGCGATGGACAGTCCGGATTTGACCCATCGTTGGGATTCAGCGCCCGCTAGCCCGAGACCTAGGTATACGGTGTTGCCGGTTTGCATGCTCACGAAGGAACCCCAAAGGAGGATGGAGGAGCTGTCGAGAAGCCCGGTGATGAGGTAGCAGAGAAGAAGTATGAGGTCGCCATGCTTGGTGGTGAGGGTTTGGTGGAGGTATTCTCGAGGGTGGCAGTGGGATCTTTGGTCGGACATTTTTCATGGACAGAAGTATCTACCAGGTGTATGGCTGTCTAGATATGATAGATAAGTAGTAAGTGAGGGGCAAAACATGTCTTAAACCCCTCATGGATTGCAGGTCTCGACATTGCGTGGTTACACAAACAGCAAGGAATGCGTGTTGATCAGGTGTTCATGTGATTTGTTGATGCAAATGCAGATAGATGCAGCGATCTTCAATCTCATGACCGTCAATCCGTGGATGGTATGAGGGGTAAGTCAGTTGGATTATGTTCCAGTTATTGTGGACACAAGTCGCTCTGCGTAGGACGTGGAAATATATTGCATGACACGCCTTAGTCTGCGAGCAAGAATAGTCGCGTCGATTTCACTTGTCGTCTCACCTTTTAAAACGGAGTGAGGGCCCCAGAGACGCTACAGGGTTAGTTTGAATGATCAACAGGCATGAGATAAACATACCACTTCAGACAGCTGGGAGGAAGGTCCAGCAATACCGTAAACAATGTAGAGTTTCCAATCCTCTCCCACAACTGTGCAGCCCATCATCGGCGGAAGAACACACTCTCTATTATTATGAGATGTCCGATTGGCAAATCCCCAGGAGACCAGGCCAGCCATCCAGACTGCCAGTTGCACCTGAGCCTCGATCAAACTCCCATCAGGCCCCTTTACCTCCACGCCTAGCCCAAGTAATCTGCACCCAGTATGTGGATGGTCGACATGGCTCAGATCCCGACCGAGATCATTGATTCCCGCCCGCTCATACTCAGTTTTCCAGTGTTGCATCGGCAGGCCCACAACCAAATCAATTTTTCGGTTAAATGTATCTTTCGCGGTATACCGAGGTAGGTACTTGGCACCAACGGACTCTGTTTGTCTGATTAAGCATTAGTATTAACTTTATTCTTCCAAGCCATGGCAGAATGACATACACACTCCAAGATTCCAGAGGCAAGTCTTCAATTGCCAGATCTAATAGAGGCCGGACAACATCCATCACCCACGATCCCTCACTGCGAAGTTCAGCCGCGCAAAGAGAAGTTGCAGCTGATATCTTCTTAATCTTGTCGTTATCCCCGTCCCACGGTGTGTCATCATTGGATGTTAGGAACCCTAAAAGATCCCTGGTAGCATTGGATCCTGGGTCCGCAGTTTGAGGCAAGAAGACCACCTTGGGTGTTGCTTTTGAAAGTTCGGCCTTCACACGAGTAGGACTGGAAGAACGTCGACTTGAAGCGGATCGGGCAAGAGATGGGGGTAGGATATGTCGTCACGGAAAGACTCTGGATGAGAGAGTGCATTGTCTGAGCTTTCACGTCAGAGTCTCTTCTGAGGATCCAAATTCGCCGTCGATGGTTCTGAACATCTTCGAAGATGTCTTGGGACGGTCGTTTAGCGCTGTCTTCCCCGCCCGGTTGTCATCCGAGCTAGGATTCGCCTGCAGCTCCGTCGATACACGGTCGATCCATTGCTCAATTGCATTGTTTTTCATTACTGTACATCCAAGAAAAGGTGATAAGGCATTACTGGTTCGAAGCGATGATCCAGCGATACTGGCGTGAATACATCCAGATAAAAGAAAGGTTGTTGGGGTTACCCAAACAAAACTAGCTGATTCGGGCTAACTACCCCAGATATCGGACTATCGTTTCTCCTATTCTAATAAAAATGCAGTGATGCCCTACTATTTAACGGCATAATATGGCATTCTCAGAGGTATATACTTACTAAGATATCTACAAAAGGACGGATTGTTGAAGAGTACCTTTCTTTCTTGGAGGGAAAGGCCAACCCTAGAAGATATCGAGATGACTCAGTATAATGACCTCAAGGAAAACTCCATCTTGATAATATTACGCACTATTTGACACTGATTCAGCTCTGGACACGGGATGGAGATATTAAAAGGTCATGAGGTGAAAATATTAACCAGGTGGACCAGCCATGTATCAATGTCAGAAATAAGCTTATGTCCTGAGCCCAGATTACGATCGGCCTATCAAGTAGATTAACTCGACAGCCGATCAAACGAATCGAGTCAGTCTCATTCCCTCGACTTCTTCTTCTTTTGTTCCAGTTTATATAAACACCACGAGGTCGATAACGTGGCCCTCTCCACTCCTCCTGACGATCTTTTCTTTTCTCCACCAACCACCATCCTCTCTGTCTTCCATCGTGCAATCTCCGAATGTCGATCTTCGGATCTTCACTTATCTTCCATCAATCTGATTCACTCTTTATTAAACTTTGCGGGCGAGATATGAACGGGTTGCTTTGATAGACCCTTAATGAACCCTAGTGGCCCACCATTTCTCCAGATATCCGAAATCTTCGCCGACGTTGTAAAAGACTATCACAGGGAACACGCTATATCGCTAGGCTGCTCGATGCTGTTTCATCCTCGGCCCGTCTATCAATCTCTAACCACTACTGCCCGTGTGGGTTGCATGAGCAGTGGTTTGTTGTCTGGAGAAAGACTCGCCTTCTCCCGTGTCTGTGTCTCAGAATTTGGCCATATTCCTATATATACACCTCATTGAACCTGTTCATGATGCTACCATTCAGCCTTTTCTATCTTAAATTTTCTTTCCTTCTCGCTGCTGGTTCAGTCATTCTTCTCCTGTCACTCGTTCTCTCGTTCACTTCTTCCAGTTTGTCAGGATGACCCTGCTGCGTTCCATCTGCGCCGCGGCCGCCTTGCTGGCCATTGGCGCCCGTGCTGAAGGTGTTACTGGAAGTGCCTTTGGTTTCGCCAGTGGTACCACTGGTGGTGGTAGTGCTGCTGCTGCTGCGCCTAGCGACATCAGCCAGTTGAAGACCTGGCTGAGCGACGACACTCCCCGTGTCATCCTTATCGACAAGGAGTTCAACTTCATCGGCAGCGAGGGCAACTGCAGCAGCTGCCAGTGCTGTATCCCCGACTCCAACACGTGCGGCAGCTCCGGACAGAACGCCATCAAGCAGAGTGGCTCCGACTGGTGCGGTAGCTACCCTTCGATAACCTGCTCCTACGACAAGGCCGGTATCGAGAGCCTCGAGGTCGCCTCCCACAAGTCGATTGTCGGTGTGGGCAGCAAAGGTGTCATCCGTGGCAAGGGTCTGCGTCTGGTCAACGGCGTTAGCAACATCATCATTCAGAACATCCACATTACCGAGCTCAACCCTCAGTACATCTGGGGCGGTGATGCCATCACTCTGGATGGCACTAGCAACGTCTGGATCGACCATGTCACCGTTAACCTGGTTGGCCGTCAGATGTTCGTTTCTGGATATGACAAGAGTAAGTAATTTCCATTGCTTTTTTGATCCCTTCTTACAGATTACCTCTAGACACCGGTGTTACCATCTCCAACTCCGAGTTCGATGGCCGTACCAGCTGGTCTGCTACCTGCGATGGGCACCACTACTGGACTGTGTAGGTCTTCTTCACCTCCCTCATCTCAAGCCATCTAACATCCCCAGCCTTGGCTACGGAAAGGGCGACACGGTGACCTTCGCTGGGAACTACATCCATCACACCTCCGGCCGCTCCCCCAAGCTCGAGTTCAACAGCCACTGGCACGCCTACAACAACTACTGGTTCAACAACACCGGTCACGCCTTTGACGTCGGTGAGAACACCAACGCCTTCATCGAGGGTAACGTCTTCAACAATGTCAAGACCCCGTTCCTCGAGGACAGCAACCCCGGCAACACCTTTGCCGTCTCTTCCAGCGACAAGTCCACCTGCGACTCTGCCACCGGCCGCACTTGCATTGCCAACACTCTCACCAGCTCCGGCACTCTCTCTGGAAGCGACAAGTCCGTTCTCTCCGGCTGGCCCTCGGGTGAAGGTAACCTCAACTACATCGCCGCCAGCAAGGTCGCTTCCTCCGTCCAGGCCAACGCCGGTGTCGGCAAGGTCGGTGGGGGTGCCAGCGGCTCGGGTGGCTCTAGCTCCATTGCTGCTGTCTCCAGCGCTGCCGCAACCTCTGGCGCTGTCGCATCGTCTTCTGCCGCTAAGCGTGATGTTCCTCTGACCCAGGCTGGTCCCGCTCCCACTGCCATTCCTTCCCAGCGCACCTGGTCTTGGAAGACCGTTTCCGCTTAAATTTCTTAAGCATTTCGTGGCCCAGCATTTTCAAATGGTCAGGCGGACAATCCTTTCTGCTTGATTCTGGTGTCTTTCTGTCCGGGACAATAAAAATCGGCAGTATCCTGTATTACCTTCTCTTCTTAAAGACGGCTGATTGAAGCCGACTTTTGACTATTCCAATGTATTTCCAAAATATAAATCTAATTATTTTTTGTCATTCATCATTGTAGTCATGGTGCAGAAGAGAACTGAGGATGATCCAGCGCCGTGTATGATGTGTATGTGATTCTGGCATGACTGAAAACCAAATACCTCTTGATGTGTAGAGTCGTCATAGCTTTAAGCTAGGCTGAAGTCCGCATAATATTGAAGTCGAGTAGCAAGCTTTGGTAGCCTATGGTTGGAAGAATAACTGGTGCACAAGACCATATCAATGGAAATCTTAAGCTCTCTGGATAAAATATCACGTTTGGCATCTTTATCAGATGATTGGCTGCAAACACAGACCTGGACATTCTGATGCATCACGAGCCAAAGGAATTCGTGGAAGCGACAGAGACAGACAGCATGATTGCTGCACGAAGTCCTAGCTCTAGCTGCAATGCATAGATGAAACTACCAGGGCACCGGGTGGCTGCCACTAGTTACCAGGTTTCGTGCATTTATTCCAAATGAGGCACTGTGGCAAATGATTAGTGTTTCACTCTCTCAACGTTTGGAAAACATTTCCTGGCGAGGATGAAGCTAAAGAACGATAAGGCTGCGAGGTCGCGTGACTCGCAGCATCCTTCCCAATCCATCCACTTCGAGTAGACGCGTTTTTCCTCGCCCATCACCACCTTCTTCACAAGCCGCTGCCTTGCCTTTCCAGGATTTCCACGGCTGCCGTGTCGATAGACGAAACTCACTGGCCTGCATCTGCTGGGATAATAGGGTTTACCACCATGCTGGAGCTACTCACGCTCCAGCTCGCATCGTCGTGTGACAGCCAAAAGTCGCTCCCTCCGTCTCGCTTTCCTGGCCACCACATCCATTGGCCTTTTTGAAGATATGTGGATATCGCAGATCATAATGCTTATGCAGAAGACCTGTCAGAAAAGCCTGACGCCATCTCCACCAAAACCTGAACGGGACGGGCCTTATTGACTGGGAACTTTCGGAATGTTATTGGCTGCTGCGAAAATTGTGTAAGATGAACAAACATGGATGGCGGACAACAGGCGATACGGGTTGTTGGGATATGAGGGGTAATATTTGGCTTGAAGGCTGCACGAGGCGGCCGACACAGCGAGTCGTCGATATCATAGTACGATGGGTTACCCTTCCCGTTCTCGAATTCGTTTCAGCATTTTAACGTTTACGGGGTAGCGCCTAACTGCCGAGCCAGGTTTTCTGCAAGGAGTCAGGTTGCATTGGATTGGAATGTATCCTGCACCGTTACTACTGTTTCAACGACAGATAGATCATGGGGCGGCAGCTTCAAACTTGCGCCCGGTCGTGGTAATAATGATGGAAACACTTGGGCGGAATTGTTTTCTAAAATAATGATCACCGAAAGGCGACTGGCAACACTGCACTGCATGAAACTCCATCTCTAGGTTCTATCAACAGACCTGTTGTAGGTATGTGCTTGGTCGATCACTTGCTCTAAATCAAATAGGATGATGTGTTGACACCGCTGGTTAGCTCTTTTAGGATCATCTCGAGGGAATACGGGAAACCGATGCCGCCGATCCATGCATGGCTCCGACATTGGCAGAAGAAGAAATTAATCAGGCATCCTCCAGCCGCCCTCTCTCTCGAATAACAAGCCTCGACAGTCAATAATAAGAATCTGGTCTTTCTCTACTTGATTTTTCGTACATAATTTCGATTGATATGCACAAACCCCGTGATGGTTGTTGGGACAAATCAAGCCCCTCATTCAACAGACTCGCGCCATCGAAGCCCCGTTGCCAAGAAAGGGGAATGGATCATAATGGAACGATGTGGGTGTGATGGATCACAGGCTTTCCAACAGCAGAGTGACAGTTCCTACTCGCTCGAGATTTACTCTCTCTGTGTGTGTGTTTCACGACTTGTGTCCTCACTCCTCTGGTTCCGTCACCAGATCCGGGTGGCAAATCCAGGCCCCAGGGATTATCATTGAACCATGGACACAACAGACGCCAAAACGGACACCGGCGACCTGGAACTTGACACGACTAGTCTGCACTTTGGCCATCGCTCAGACCATGCGTGTGGTTGGGCTGTTCAAATAGACAGCCAACTAGTCATCCGGCCCCCACCTACTCTGCTCCTTTCCGTTTCGCTGACGATAACCAACTTTTGTTCGTCAGGCCGGCATTATTTTTAACATTATTGTTCACCGTCGCAAGCGAGAGATAATTTTATTAACCCTGACACTACGCTCCCTGACATCTAGTGGGGTTGTTGCAAGCACCAGGAATATCCCCACAATCCGATTTGTCGCACCTCTTCGGCAGTTGACTCACCATGAATAGTAGTAAGAACTGTGATGCCTCACAAAGAAATATGGTCTCGACTCATTCAACGATAGCAAAAACGAATTCGCGAAAGAAGGTCCGACCTACATATTCATGCTTAAATTGTCACAAACGCAAAGTCAAGGTATCATCACCTTACATCACTATCCACGTCGCATATACCAGGCAGACTGATAAGGTCATGATACCAGTGTGACAGAGTGAAGCCGTGCGGCGCTTGTTGCCTTCGAGGAACTCCATCAGAGTGTGAATATGGAAACAGCAAGCAAGATCGTCATTATATTGAACAGTCGACCCTGATCGACAATCTTGTGCAATCATGCGATTCTCTCAAGCAGCAGCTGGCCGAAACTCGAAGATTGGCCAACCTTCCGCCTGTGAAAGAAGAGGAGACTTCTTCCTTTTCAACAGGCTTTAGTGGGTCAACGGACGAAGATGATGCCAAAGACTCGTTGGACGAGTATAAAAACCAGATGGGGCCTTTCCCCAGTCAATCGTATCAGCGTATCAGAGCTCTCACAGCACAACAAAAAAGCCTTGATCTTCAGAGAAAGTCTCGTATGTGATGCTTCATTAAGCAGTTTATGTCTGGGTCTTATGGCCCGCTGACCATATCTAGTCAGCCAATCTCCTCCACTCCTACAAGCAGAAGCACAAAAACTAGCAAACCCGTCCCGAGCCACCGCGCTGGTAGAGGTTCTCGTCGATCAGCTAATTAAGAACTTTAGCCCTGATATGGAAGCTCCATCTGGAGGGGGCAGGATCCAACTGCAAGCAGCGGCAGAGATGAGGGTGTTCTCGCCAATACTTTGCAGTGCCTTTGAGGCAGCATCTCTAACATTTGTCGGCTCTCGAGATCAAAATAAATCGCTCGAAGTAGCGGGAAATGTTCGATATGTTCGGGTTCTTCGGCTCCTTCAAAATGCCCTGTACAGTCCCAAGGACAGCAAGGAAACGGATGTTCTCCTCACTGTGTTTCTCTCTACGATTATCGAGGTTAGTCGACTCTCGCATTGTCGTAATCTCCTACTTATTTCTTTCTCCAGGCTTTCCGTAATAACAGCAAGGACTCGCTTTTCAAGCACCAACTTGGTGGTCTTCAATTATTAAACTCGAGAACTCCATATCGACATCGTTATGGGATTGAGCGGTCCCTGTTTGTCGACCTTCGATTATATTGGGTACGTCTCTATGTATGAGAGTAAAGATAATCGATATTCATAAATGCACAGGTTACTGCGGCTTTAGTTCAACGAAAACCGACTTTCCTTGCGACCAAGAAATGGTTGACCGTACCCTGGCCCGAGGGCGCTCACACAAAAGATATTCTGCAAAGATTATTAGACGTTGCAGTGAATGTCCCGGCATATCTTTCACAGATTGATGAGTTTAGTTCTTTTTTAAGAACTATGAGTCTCCCAACGAGTCAGTTGGTGGAGTTGCAAACCAACATCTGGGAAACCGCTACTGAACTCGACACACGCCTGCAGGTATGGAAAACATCACAAGCCGATACATATCACCTTGGCCAGTTCTGGGAGGAAACCGACTCGGATTCTTCTGATGGTTTCCCCGTGTTCAGGTGCCGAAATCAGAGTACTTTACAGACCACCGTCCCGCCCATTCTGGTATATCCGGATCTTCTGCTTGCTACATCCATGTGTTTCTACTGGGCTATGCGGCTGGTTGTTTCCACGACCGACAGCGGGCTAGTAAATGTGTTGACCTTGCAAGAACGATATCAGTTTGGTTGCAATATCTGTCGAAGCATGAAGTACTATATACAAAACATCCCGGGATGTCTGGTATCTCGGATGATGTTTGTTCTGCGGACGGCATTCGATATGTTCGCAGACGGAATGATGGAGAAACAGTTTGTGACTGAGCTGTTTCAATACATTGGAAAGAAGTTCGAATTCCCGGTATTTTCCGACCGTTGCAGCTCCTCTTCGATCAACTGTAGAGACATATGACATTTCGACTACTGTTCTTGACCTTTTGACTCACGAATCCGCCGCCGCCCCATCCGGGGTCAGACAGACACGAATCATGAGATCGTGTCTCATCTGACGACCCTAGAATATCTACATATCCCTCTTAACCTACAGCATCCACGGAGTTTCTCGTCTCGGTAGGCTCGATATGGCCCTCGAGTTTTTCATTTTCAACCGAATTTATTGGGCGCATAGCGATGTTCAGGGTGTTTTTCATTTGCAATGATGGGTTTAACGATATATGCAATCTAGCCAGAGTATTATTTCCATCTTGTTCCATTGAGATAGACCATCCGCTTTTCCGGGGTTGAATTCCACATTTGAGCTGGACTCGATTTTCCTCTGGTTCCTTGCCATTCTGCAGGCATTTCATTTCACGTGCATCATGTACCGGCTCATTTCATGTTGAACTCTGTATCTTTCATTTTGAAAATAGAGGAATCATCACGATGTCTTCTTGCCTAGATCATCTTCGTCTGAGATCTTAGGCGGCGTGACCGATGTCGGTTCCTTGCTGCTCCTGTTCAAGTACGACTCGGGCGTACTTGAGACAATACAATGTTATATCGTTTTGATTATTAAATCGCCAACTCATTTCCTGGCATTTCACACGGCGAAATTCGACACGGAAATGTCCGCGGAAATGAAGGCATTTTTGCCGTAAGCGAGCGGGTCCATGTCGAGTGGGTTGTCATCATATGGCCCCCCGATAGTGAAGCCACCCTCTGGATCGACCGGGAGCCAGTTCGACGTGAGACGGGTGGTACCGTCTGGCATCTCCAATGGCGTCAGGCAGTCCTCGGTATTGTCTGATGCCAGTGGCTGTCTGGGTGTAGAGCGCGGGAATCCGTCTGGAAGACTGTAGAAATTGAAGTTTGCGATTTCCAGATCCTGATCATCCTCGCTCCCATTGTTGGATTGACTGGTTGCCGGCGAGCTGCAGGGATCGAGAAGCGGAGGAAAGTTGGGCGTGAAGGGCGTTTGCGGGAATGCGCCATCGAGAGGGGTGCTGGTCATCGGGGCGTTCATGTATAGAGCGCGTTCTGTTGCGAGCTGGGAGGTGGACCGCAGCAAATCGTCCAGGGAGGGCGAGAAGTGGTTTTGTTCTTCCGGGATTCCACTTTTTTTTTTTTTTTGTTAATTTATTTCCATCATGACTGAATGGTTGGAATAACCACATACCCAGGAGAAAAGTGGCCTTGGAAACTGTGCGACTGTTGGCTGCGACCATCGCGAATCCCCATGTCGGTCTGCAACGGGTGGAAGAAAAAATCCGGCGACTTTTCCTGCAACTCATGGTTCAATTCATGCTGCATGAAACCATCTGGGCTGTAAATCTGCGACGGCAACAGACCGAAAAGGCCCAGGTTGTCGCTGAACTGCCGCTGGTGCAATTCGTTGTTGATGACGCTCGACTCGAGGCCGAATGGCGCGCCATCGAGAGAGTCCAGGAGCTGCCAGTCGGGCATGTCGCATACCGGTCCTGCAGACATTGTTGATTACTTCAGAGAGTAATGGGAAAGGCGAAATTGTTGATGACGGTCACAAGAGCTTGAAGCTCGGTTCCTGGCAGTATCGTGTCGAGTCACAGTAGAGATGCCATTGACTGTGCAGAAAAAGAGACCCTGGCGACACAAAGCACCAGAGAGATCGAGTGCAACCCGGGCCATGCGATCTTATAAAATGCGGAGGCCATTGGAACCAAACGGTCCAAGCTGGAAGCTTGCGCAACAATATCCGGGGATAGCAGCACAGCTTCTTCGGCAAAATACACCGCGCGAACTACGAATGACGGGGATATCGCCGAAAAAAACCCATCGCGGTGGATCTGGCAACGGCGAGACGAAAAACGGAGTTTCCCAACTGGACTGGATCGCATGATCTTCAGGTGGCCATGTGGTGGTGTCGCAGCAGAAAAGAATTCAAGGCTGTGCAGCGACAAAATTATCCGAAACATCGTCGTTTTCCCTCCCCAGATCTGGAAAACCTTCATCCTCAACAGACCATCGGGTGGCCTGAGGAGGTCGTGTCCGCCAATCGGTCTGCGTCTTTGCTGCTCTCCACATTCGGGAATTTCGAATTTAACCGACCGGGAAGAAAGCGTTCGGCCCGTCTGCGGTCGGTTAGCAGCAGCCATCAGGGGGACAGTCTTACGTTGATTGTATAGAGGGATTAATTAGACTTTGTGACATGCATGCGGTTTCTATTCCCAGTGAGATCTGCTCGACGAACACGTTTTTTGTCTCTATTCGGAGGTATCCAAGGTCTGTCACGGCCGAATGGGACCCCTACGGAAACGACTCGGACTCATGTCCATGATTCACACGTTACAGGGTACGCAGATTAGTTTGCTTTAGTGAGTCCATAATGAAAATGCAATTCTCTAACCATTTCATAATAACACTCTAACTCTAACACAAAGGTTCTGGGAAATAACATACCTACCGTAACTGCAAACAAGGCTTGATAAACGGCATCACCCTCGCCATGAACCTGATACTGTCGAATATTGTCCAACGCCTCCGTAATAACATCCGCATCACCCTGCAGACCAGCAGGCAGGACCACCTTGAGCGACAAGATAGAACCATAAAACGGGGTATCGCTCGACGGCTCGACCTTGTAATTCTTCACGTTGATATCTGTTAGGATCTCATTGAGTACTTGGGAGTTGGTGAGAGGGATGTGGGTATTTGGTCCAGACGGGGGAAGAAAACTTACCAATCTCGGCTGGACATTTTGGGGTTGGTTTCTTTGGTTGTAGATTGTGGTTTGGTTTGTAGGGATGGAGATGAAGTTGAGATTGAGAAGTAGATGGTTATTGTAGAGATTGCTGAGAAGCAGTGGTTGATGAGGAGTATCTGGTGCGATATTAAGGGTATTTATATACAGATTCTAAGACAATATGAGGTGCAGAAGTCATCTGCATGTTCAATAACAATGAGAAAGAAGACAAAGAAAGATATACAATGTCTTTGTAGACGTACGGAACAAAGACTTCTTTATTGATCGCCAGCGTGACTTGTAGAAGCAGTGTCGTTATTCAACAGACATGATGTTGATTCTTTGTGCTGGAATACAATGTACTGGATACATTGTGTTGGGCCATTTGTGCTGTATAATATTTATACATGGCTATACTGACACCGCTATCTGGATGCCTTTTACCCCGCGCAAGCTGGGGTGTCGTTGCGAACAGGACCATCTATCCTTGTTGTGATGGCCACATGATAGATCGATGTGGTTGGCATGCATTCGACCATGTTGCAGACCGGCATCTTCCTGCATAGGAGTGCTGAACGATTAATGTGCAGGTTTGCAGGACTGAAACATTAGTGTCTAATCTCCACTCTTCAAGACACTCCTGCCATGCCGGACACTAGACGCAAAGTCCGTGCATCGGCAGTCCATGCAGGCCCCAGACCTGTGATGCTAGATCCAGGTCCCCGGGCTCGGTTAAATTCCCCCAGCCCCGTCATAATCTGGGGAAGCTCTAACGGGACTTAGAGGGCCAGCCCGGTTCCTTTCCTGGTCCATCGGTAGAGCGCTAGAACGGCTTTGCGTCGATGCCGAATCTCGCTATGATTGACCGGCCGTCCACGTGCCTGGGCTACGGCACTCCGCATCACTTGGCGGAAGTTTCTTTGATATTCAGTATTAAGTGTGACCACGCATGATTCGGTGGCGCGGATCATTACTTCGCACGCGTTCAGAATGCCCTCGCCTGCTTCTTTCTGTAGGCGCTCGACAATGAGAAGCAGCAAGAAGCTACCCTGGAGTAATTGGATGCCGAAAAAGTATGGCATGAAGCTGATGTCGGGATCGAACCGGAGGATCTGCTCGACTGAGTCTGCCGCATCGAGAGCATGGGAGATGGTAGACGCAAAGGCAGGGGAGGATGTCCAGAAGTCCTTGTCTTCAATTAGCGACACCGGATCCCATTTGCCAACCAGTAAAATGTGCAACACATGCACCAAGTAGGATGCATAGGCAACGACGGTTTGTGTGTGCCATGAATATGCTTGGGATAGAGAAGGCTCGACTGGGGGGTGATCTGATTTGGATGCGGAAAAGGCCGTAGATAGAGGTGCCTCTGGGTCTGAGGCTGTGGCAGCGAAGGTGGTGAGGCTGGCTTTGTACATTTCGAGTTGGCGTAGAACTTCAGTGACATGGACATCCCATGCCTCTTTGCCCCGAAATCTCACTCCGAGCATAGGATGATTTCTTGCCTGATTGAGATCGATCAATTCACCGGTAATGGTCATCAGTGGCAGAAAGAAACCAAAGATGGAGTGATCATGGCATATGAAATTTGGAAAAACGCGGCGCTTATTCTTGTCACCAGATAATAGACACTGCGGTCCGTCTGGTTTTGGACTGTTGCTGTGAACATTTCCAGCCTGCCATGATCCCTCATCGAGTGGCAAGAGGAGATCTTCGCTCTCAGCATCTAGCAAGGCCAATGGTCGGTTGTAGCACAGGGCCAAATGACGATCCATAATATACAAGAGCCACCAAGCTCGCCGACGCTCTTCGCGATGCTCCTCTGTAATCGCACCATGTGGATCATGGGTCCGATCGCAGACACAGTTCAAGCTGGGTCGTGATGGGTTTGAATAGTCGAAGAAAGGCCCGCTCTCCACGCCACACCACCCTGGGAGAGAGTAGTCGAAGGATGGACTTGATCCTTCCGGTTGGTTATTTACATTGGGCATCACATCGATCTCTTGATTTAACTTCAGCTCGCGGGCTAAAGTAAACGCTGCGTGCCACCTGTAAATGATTAGCATTATTTTCCATTTCGATGGTCAGAAACAGGCTACGCCTACCATCTCATACTCGCTGCCTTTTGTTCACTTGCGGAGATGATAGATGCAACATGTATATAAGTGATAATATCATCTAGCGATCCAGCAGGTCCTACAAGCCCTCGATCATCGCCACCACCTTCAAAGGGAGGATGTACAGTAGCGGGCGGACAGTCATGACCAAAGGCAGCATAGGCGGCTTCGCTCCCAGCAGAAGACCCTTGTTCCTTAAAAGAAACATGTATCAACGGTCGCAAGAGTCGAATGGTGAGCGCACATAAAAACTGACAGATCTTCTTTCGTTGGGATGGAGAAATAGACAACGAAAAAGCCCGATCATCTAGTGCAGCTACCCACAGCATGCTAGCCAACAGTGCTGGGCTGCTATGCCTGGGAAACTCGCGACTAAGAAACGAGGCCTTGCGTAGAATATAGGAATGTATATGGTGGCAGACAGGGTGCATATGAGTAGAAAAGGCGCTGGTGAAATACAGCTCAAGAAGATCGAAAACCAGCCTCCGGGGCAGGTTCGATTCAAGATATGGCATCAAAGGCTGCAGCACGGGGTATTTCAATGTTGATGACGCCCCGGGCGTCTGTGCCATGCCACCCGTCTTCGATCCGGGAGGAGTATGGCCATTCAAGCTGGCGAGATCGACTCCATTCCATATATCCAGCATCCGCGGTTGAGCACCATCAGACCAGCCTGCGCCCCCTAATATGTCATAAGCATCGATCGAAACGTTTGCCGCTGAGAGCCATTCTTCTGTCGCATTTCCTCCTGGCCCGGGCTTGCGTGCCGACTGTGGTATCTCCGCTGGAGAGGGTTGCTCATCGATACTCGGCGCCGACATCCTCGTGATATCGTTCGTGCCCGGCGATCGATTTGGAACGCTCGAAGCGGGCGAACCATTTTGTACCGGCGATGCCGCTGGCTCATTGACAGCCACAGGTGCTTTCGACAGGGCAACATGTCCATGCGAAACAGCATCTGTGGCTTTCCCGGAGACGCCATTTGCCCCCGATTGTATTGACCGTGCGATGCGCCCTCGTTTCCGACGCTCTCGGGTGAATTCGCACCGGACATCACTGCGAAGACAGCGCGAGCATGGAAATACCCGGTCGCATCGCACGCGACGAGAATGGCAAGAGTCGCAGGCTATGCGATTCCGCCTCCATCGTCGCTTAACCGTGCCATTCGAAGGCTCGGTCACCTCTTCTTGGGTGTTTTCTTGCATATCCCCCGGCTGGGTTGGATCCATTTTAGGTAGTCATTGGTAGCGTAAGGGGACTTGGGGATGATCCGAGGAGCCTAGAAGAGGGTGATGGTTGAATGCTGACCTATGTCAAAAGCAGTTAGATGTGAGCGTTAGATGAGATGTCAGGAGATGCGCTACCTCGGCTGGAGGAAGAGTGATGAATCACTGCTGCATGGAATATCCTAAAGAGTTGTGAGTAGGAGTTGAAGCCAGAAGGAATCAGCGATGCCGTCCCTGATGGCAGGAAAATCCGATGATGTTGTCGGATGAACCCGACCGTGAGAGTGAGGGAAAAAAAAGACGACGATCGAACGCGGGGGAGAAACTGAAAACTGGAGGCAACTCCGCATCTTGTCGTCTAGCGTGGGTTGGCGTAACAGTCAACGTATTCACGGCTCCAAGCAATAAGGGTAATCAGCTCTAAAGCGGTTTATATATAGGTTCGAGACTTGGTTAGCCTTGTTGAGTGAGACATTCGATGCCGATCAACTGCTACGGACAGTGTATGGTGTGCTTTACTGTGCTAATGCTTACAAGGATGGTCGATCGAGCAACAACTTCAACATCACACGACTCATTCTGAAGATATAGAGTGTCGCTATGTTCCCTTGGCTAATGCTATATATATTGGCACTTGACTAACTCTACCTACAATCCGTGACAAAGAGATTCGTGCCGCTAACTACATACATAGTACTTTCATCCCGTGGCAGGTGGATCACAGTGGAGGGCTATCTTGCCGTTCCAAGGAAACACACAAATGCCCATCAGTGTTATGAGATTCTATGAATTATGTTAGGTATAATACACGCTGACTTTAACAGCTCTCGTAAAATAATCACTTCCTCTGCAACGCGCTTTTGTACCGGTCCAAAGCCCGATCTCTGCTCTCCGAGTGATTCACTATCGGTCGGGGATAGCCATTCTTTTTCGCGGCATCACCGGCACCCCGCTCGTAGGGGTCGTGAATTGCCGATCCCTTAATGCCTCGAAGTTCTGGTACCCAACGCCGAATGTACTCGCCTTCGGGATCAAATCGCTCGCTTTGACGGAGTGGGTTGAAGATACGGAAATACGGCTGCGGGTCGACGCCCGTACTTGATCCGAAACCCCATCCACCGTGGTTGGAGGCAAAATCGCCATCAATGAGGTGTTCCATGAAATATCGCTCTCCTCGTCTCCAGTCGAGCATCAAGTCTTTCGAAAGGAACGAGGATACTACCATGCGAGATCGGTTGTGCATCCATGCGTCATTTTTGATCTGCCGCATTGCCGCGTCGACAATGGGGAATCCTGTTTTTCCTTCACACCAAGCGTTGAACTGATCTTCGTCGTATTCCCACTCGATGTTCGTGTATTCGGGCTTGAAACACTTGTTCATGCTATGGGGTAAATGGACGTCAGATATGGTTCCCTGAAATTCTGCTCAGTTTAGACTTACCAGATAAAAGGCCAATGGACGAGCACATGCTTGTAAAAGTCGCGCCAGGCGACCTCACTAATCCAGCACATAAAGCCAGGGTCACTTCGATCCAGTTGGTTATTGTTGAGTTTCTTTGCCTTTGAAACTGCTGTCCTTGCGCTTAATGCACCCGTCGCGAAGTATGGGCTAAGAACCGAAGTGCCCTGGTTTGCGACCAGGTTTCGATTCTCATCATACGCCTTGGCTTTCTTTTCGAGAAAAGCGTCTAGCCTGCGGAGAGATTCATGTTCTCCTTCGGGGTACAGTTGGCGAAAATGGTTCTTTTCGTCCTCAGATAACCGCTTGTTTTCAGGTGCCTCGGGAACTTCACTGTCGAATAGGGCTTTAAAGTGCTTCCGTGCATCTCCAGGGTTTGAACCTGGTTCGTCCACAAGTTCGAGATGTTCTGGGTTCTCCTTTAGAAAGGCAGCCCACGAACGAAACCATGGAGTAAAAACGGCATATTGTTTCCCTTGCTGAGTGCACAGAGCACCCGGAGTAACAACACAGGTATCATGAGCTGCCTCAAACTTGATCCCCTGCTCCGCGCATAGCTTTACCAATTTAGCTTCGCGGCGCAGCTCATCGACTTCATATTCGATGTTTGCGAATACGTTGTTGGCGCCCCATTCCTGACACAAATCCACCAGACGTTGTGGGATCTTATTCCGTTTGTCCTGGGTTTCCATGTACAGAGGAATGTCAAGCTCACCCAAATCCCGCTTCAACTGTGCCAGTGTACGAAGTGTCAAATCGACGCGAGGTGGGCTCGAAAGGTGGGCTGTCAGGTCTTCGGGAGAGAGTATGTAGAGACAAATCAGGGGAATGCTATTTTCCTGGGCCAGTTCATAAGCCATTCGCAGCGCTCGATTGTCATGGAGTCGCAGATCCGACTTGAACCAATGAATCACGGCATTGTTAGGTTTGATAGACTGGCGTGTGTCCAGCGTTGTTTCGTACGCCTTTTGTAATGTTTCGATCGGACGCTCAATTAAACCATTATTATAGGCTTCGCAACGCTCGTTACTCATCTCTGGGGGATAGAATTCACGAAGAACGATGCCGAAATCTTCAGCCTGCTTCGCGTTTGGGTGATAGCGGGACGAATCAGGCTTGCCTCGCTTGCTTGCGTGAGAAGTCCCATTGGCGCCTCCTGCTTCGTGCGAAGCGTCAGAAATCTTGCGTTTCTTGGGTGGCATAGTGGAAAGGTGACGGATAGAGGAATTGGCGACTAGTCTGGCTAGGACAGCCTGGATTCGGGCGCTGGCAAACAACGAAGAAGGTATCTGTGTTGTTGAAAAAACGCGCCGAAGCATAATAAACATTCCACCAGGAGCAGGATTTTAAGAGGAATCGAGGGGCTGGAGTGATCAGATCGAGATCGAGATGCTGATTCTCTCTGACGTCAGTAATTGAGCTGAGCTGGTTCCAAGTTTGCTCCATTGCTCACAAATTACCCTCATGATTATCAGCAGAGCTGAAAGCGGGCATTCCCATTTTCATGCCTCCCAGTGTCGATGCCATGTCTGGTGGTAATTGGTATCTGGTGATGATGGTGGTATTAGGACCGTAGGTAAGCTGGACGAGAGCATTGGATCGATCGATCGGCGATCATCGCTCACTGGTTGGAGCAGACTCGATCAGCGATAATATTCGAACAACCGTCAGGGTAACACAGTTATATATTAGTTTCAATAGTAAAAACTCACTTGGAAAGTGAAGAGTGTATCAAGAAATGGCATAATGCGATGACCATCGCAGTTCGCGTCAGCCTCAGATCCTAGTGTCCAGTTTCCTGGGACGCTCCCTGCCGATCGGGGCAGGGTGTTTCGCTTCTGGGGAAGTGACCCGATCCCGGTGGCTTCAATAGTGCGATTATTAGGGATCCATCCGATGCGGGTGATGGTGGGAACTGGGAATAGGGGCAGCTCAGCGTCAACACCACGAGTCAATAGTCCAGCTTCAGTTCGCATCCGAAGTCCTTCGGTCGTCTGTAACGGCTGCACGCCATGTAGGCAAACTTTCCGCACCGGTCGGAATTACCAGTCCAGACTGTGTGTTAACCATGGTTCGACACGAGATAATTGAATCATGACGTCTAGGAGTGTTGGAGAAGACTGGGAAAAGACTGGGAAAGGATCATCGTAAAAAGTCTGGATAAACGTTTCTGTCAGCGCTGATGGAGAGTGAATGAAGCTGTTAAGGGGTCTGCCAACACCAACACACCACCAACACCAAAGAACTCCATCGACATTCCCCTCCATCCTTGGACCCTTTGCCTATTCCTGCTCCTCCAGATGGATCGCCCCCAACTACTCCATACTGCTCCATATGGGAGATCCCCCATACTTCCAGCAGTAGTCACTCACTGCGCAGATCCTACCTGAAACTCCGTCTTTCACCGTCAAGAACGATTCCTTGCAAGGTTTCATGATCGTCCATGGCACGGTCAGCGTCCCCAATAATTTCCCTCGTAAACTCTGGAACAAACCAGCAAATGACTCCAATCAGAGAGAGCTTTGGCACCTGTCACCATTCCGGGTGTCTGCTACCGTTGCTCTCTCTTCCGACTTTTCCCTTGAGAAACCTCCTCAAAGTCAAATTCTTCTCATTATTATCATCATTATTGCTGCAACTATGGCCTGCATGGACGGTCAAACGCAAGACAATGGATAAAATAGGAAAAAGGGACAAGAAATCTTAACCTTGTCGCTTTCCGACTCCATTTCGGAGTTTCAAGCACCCTCATTCTCGTGATGCCTTTTAACTGCTGGGCTCCTTTCTTCACATCCTTCCTCTGCTGAATCTTTTGTTCCTCAGGATTTCCTGACCGTGAGAAATGTTTCCCTGTTCCTCATGTCGAACGCTGAATCCGCCAGCGCTTCGAACGCGCTGGTCCTGAAAGACTCCTCGCACAATAAAGGCCAAGCCCACGTCTTTTCGGCCTTTGCAGCTATTGCCTGCTACAATGCTATCGAACTCGTCGTCCTCTGCTTCACCACCTTCAAGCGATACCATGGCTGTTATTTCTGGAGCTTGTTGGTCACCTCATCCAGCATCATTCCGCACTGTATTGGCTATGTCTTCTTCATATTTCCTGTGGGGATCTCTCCATATGTCTCTGTCTCTATGATCGTTGTGACCTGGTGCATAATAATAACGGGGCAATCTTTGGTCCTCTGGTCACGGTTGCATCTGGTAGTCCAGAACATAAAAGTCCTTCGAGCCGTCCTCGCTATGATCATCACCGATGCTGTTTTATTCCACGTCCCCGTCATCGTCCTCTTATACGGATCCATATCACCTCACCCCGATGTCTTTGCTGCTGGATATAATGTGATGGAACGCATCCAGCTCGTGGGCTTTTGTCTGCAGGAACTCATCATCTCCGGAATATACGTGTGGGAAACGTCCAAGATGCTTCGACTCCGCACGGAGCGTCACCACCAGAAAATTCTATATGAGCTACTCGTGATCAACATCATCATCCTCATCTTGGATATCGCTGTAGTTGGGATAGAATATGCTGGTTACTACGCTGTACAGGTCATGTTCAAACCAGTTGCTTACAGCATCAAACTCAAACTGGAGTACGCCATTCTCGGCAAGCTGGTTGAGGTCGCCAAGGGGTCCTCCCACTCAGACCCAACTTCCAGTGGGCAGGGATTCCATCCTTTTGGCTCGGACCATCGAGTTCACTCGAACAGCGGAGAGTGTACATCTGATCTCCGAGAGATCCAGACTCCTCCTTCTATCCTTGTCCATTCCGAATATCCTCGCCACGACTCTCTGACTTGTTAAATGACTACTCTGCGTTTTGTTGACCGATCGCCCACTTGGTGGTGTCACCGATAAAAAATCTACTCATGTGCAAACTAATAGCTACATGCTGGCATGCAGCCCACTCCAAGGGTCTGGACAACGACCTGATTCTCTTACGTCTAATATTACACAAAAGCAATGAGATCCATAGACTTTTATATACTTTTATATCTAGCTCATACAATATGAAAATACTCATAATATCCCAATGTCTTTTGGTCTATTTGTATCGGTTTCGGACATTTTTCAGCTGTTTGAAGCCTTAAATCAGTAAGGGTTAATATCGTTGGCTTCACCTACATTCAACCGAGGCCTGCATAACACCAATTCATATTCTACTGTAGAGAATAAAGAATTCGGTGCCGAGCTTCCAGTGTTCGACAAAGTTAAAAGCGCTGGGACGTTTTCCCGATATGTATCCGCAGCCGTTGCAGTATTTGTCTTCTGTTCTGTATGGTTGACCACGTAAACTGTTTTCATCAGTTTACTATAGCCCTTACCTAGTATATTCATCTCCAATTATTCAATTTCTAAAAGTCAGATGCACCTAGCCACAAGAGCTACTTAATCCGGATAAAAGAAACCGCCCCCAGAAACGCGACGATCACAACATAGAGGTACCCCAGCCTCCATACTCCATACTCCAAGCCTCCAACACCACCATCGACCAGAGCTCCCCCCATCAAATTAACCTTGTTTCCCCTCCTTTATCGTGGTTAAAGATACCCGGTAGGTGATATACCCGAGCACAGACATGCAGCAAGTAACCACACTTCCATCAACTCTATTTCCAGACACGTTCGCGCGGATCCCGTTCTTCAGGGAAACCCGGTGGGTGGTTCCGGTGGATGGTTCCGGTGGGGGGATGGCGGGCTGGGGTGTGTATGTTTCTCCTTTCTTCCGCTGATGCTGGATGGTTTGGATTGCGTGTCTCCATGGGAATATGCAGGGGTTGTAAAGGTGTAAGCTGGTCGGGTATTTTATTTACCCATGTCAACGCGTAGATGGATGGATGGTCTAACGTTATTATGGCTTATTGGCAAAGGAAAATTACTGTAAGTGGTTTGGATCAACTGGTCTGATATTTGTGGAAAGGGCAAGCGTTGATGTTGTAGTTGGACACTCCATCCTGTATACTGATGGGGATTTTAGGTTAAAAAACGTTTATATGGCTTCGAATGTATGTATACATTTCTATTTTTATTGCTTACACAGAAGTGACACCCAGACAAGGTCTTAAGTTACAAAGTAGTTGGCTGTTGTATTAATCCAAGAAACAAGGAAATATCAGACCAAGAATATCTACAATTTGGATACATCTTCCCGTATACCAAAGCAAGCTATAAGCTACTGTGACTTATGCCTGCCTGCAGTACAAGGACACTACTAATAACCTTGTTCTCACTGCGAACCATGGCTTGTCCAACGGTCCCGATGGCACTATGGGTATCGATTCCGATTTCTTCCTGTAATGAGGGGTTGAGTTCTGGCTTTTGGTCAACCCGATTGTTGTGACGTCCCACCACCACAATGTTGCCTGCTTTATGTGATGTTTGGTCCATTTCCTCCTTGGCGGCGGTTACAACAGCCTGGACTGGATCTGTGCCATCTTCGGTGACGGAAATTCGTTGGAAGATGACTCTTTCCGAGAGCTCGGTTGGTAGGGAGTCGCGGAGTGTTGCGACAAAGACAGAATCTGATATTTGATCTTGGCCAGATCTGGTGGAGCGGCTGGATTCCGCGGTTGTTGCATTAACAGTAGACACAACAGTCTGATCAGGGGATTTCGATGTTTGTGATGTTGGAACATCCACTTGGATAATTGTCGCTGTGACCTGGTCATTCTGTGCGAGTTGGAGGACAAACCGCAGTGCGAACCGGTCATCTGCTCCACCGAAGAAAGGAAGGACGAGGTGATGAGAACGAGCAACTGCCGACGAGCTGTTCCAGATGGAGCTCCGGCTACTCATTGCACTTACCGACCTTTTTGCCTGGAGACGGCTCTTTCCATCGGATTTTTGGAACACGCTTCTTTCAATAAATACACCCATGTTGCTGGAGACACGGGATAGGATGTCGGATACGAATTCAGTAAAAGGTCCATTCGAAAATCGATGAGCTCCATCAACTCCAAAGCCGGTCTGCTGGTCACTCATAGCCCCGGTCTCACTCCATGGAATCAAAAGTAGATCTGTGCCATCATCACGGGTCATGCCCACAAAGGTATCTGCATAAGAGTATTCTGGGACCACAGAGACTCCGGCCATGATGGAAATATCATGCCACTCGCCGAATGCGCGGAAAGTGTTAACGACGGGATCCCAGAGAGTGTAGTTGTCAATCTCCGAGACTTTCATAACACTAGAATCACGATCGGTAAGCTCCATCAAACGGACGCCATGCACCTGAAGCTGTTGATGTTCTTCGAGCTCGTTGGTTGCAACTGGATCCTCTACTGGTTGCTCCCCTGACTGCATCGCATTTATCTTCGCTGGATGGACTTTTGGGGCCGGAGGGTTAGCGGTGCGACTCGGCCCAAGAAGGGCTGCCAGTGTACAGATCCCGGAGAGACCATCTAAGCGTAGATAAACGAGGAGCTTGCGGACAGGGATCGATTTCAGATGATTTTTGGCGATGGCGACGCTGTCCGCGCGCCCCTCCGGCTGTTGTTGGTGTCCATCCCAATCGATCTCACCGCGTCGCCATTTTTCCACCTTGGTTTGATACCACTTCGGGTACAGAGCGGTGGTCAGCGGCGTGGTGGCGAATGTAGTTACCAGCGCCATTACCACGAACATAGTGAAAGTCCGAGTGCTGAGGATATTGGCATGTAGACCAATGTTCTATCGAAACATTAGTTAGGGAAGTCAAAGGCGATGAGTGAAAGTCAACATACCAACACAATGAGTTCAACCAGACCTTTACAACTCATCAGAACACCAATTGAGAAGCTTTCACGCCAAAGAAGACCGCACAAACGAGATGCAACTGCACCACCAGCCACCTTTGCCAAAAACGCAATGGCGATAATCCCAATGACATATCCCCAAACAGTGCCCGTGTCGAGCAACCCTAGGTCGGTACTCAGACCAGATAAGGTGAAATATAATGGTAGAAAGAGGGCTGCGACAAGATCCTCGATCTTCTCAGTAAGCTTGATCGCAAAGCCTCCCTCGTGGGGGCATATCAAGCCGATAATGAACCCCCCAAAAATAGCATGGATACCGATGATCTGCGTGAAAAAGGCAGAGGCCAGCGCAATAAACAATGTAAAAGTGACGACTGACTGACTAGGACCCTTCTGCAGACTGCCAGTCCGTTCCAGGAACCGAATGAACAGGGGGCGGAAAGCGTAGGCAAGAAAGAGGGTATATCCGACACAGACCAGCAACACCCAGAGGGCTGTAAGTCCGCTACCAGCGTTGACAAGAGCGACACAGAGCGCGAGCAGAATCCAACCGACAATGTCGTTTCCAACGCCAGCCGACAGCACAATCACACCCACGTTGGTGCCGAGAAGCTCCAATTCGGTTAGAATACGGCACAGAACCGGGAAAGCCGTAATAGCCATAGCAATACCAATGAAGAGAAGGTAGGTCCCAAAATCAATGTGGACAAGACCAGGATCATCCCGAAAGTTATGATACAGACCGTAAGAGATGGCCGACCCAAGTCCGAAAGGAAGGATCATGCCCGCTGCAGACACACTGAGGGCCACCCGCCAGTTGCTGACGAGGAATCGAAGGTCCGTCTCCAGACCAACGAGAAACAGGAACAAGACAAGACCTAAGTTGGCGACCAGAGTCAGATTCGGGATTGATGCTGGCGGGAAAATAGCATCCGTAAAGCCTGGAATCCGACCCATAACCGAAGGCCCTAGAACGATGCCTCCGATCACCTCTGCGATAACACGGGGCTGGCGGATTTTGGAGAGGGGCCAATGAAGCAGGCGACACATGATGATAATAATACCAGCCTAGAAACGAGTCAGTTTGAGTTAGAGATGAATACCAGAGGACACGCCAACCTGAATGATGAAGATGATAATGGGGTTTTTGGGGTCATATTCAGACGGATTGCCTCCCTCGAGGATTCCTCCTTGAGGAGTCGCCCGATGAGTGCTCGAGGCAGAAGCTGAGGAGGTGGTGGTTGCCATCATGGGAGATACCATCCGACACTCAGCAAGGAGACGGTCAAAAGAACAATAATATTATACGAAAGACCATGATGGGGGATCGAGATGATCGAGATGATTCAAGACGGCATCATCCGTTGCGGGGAAGAGAATCGAAGCCCTCGACGCTTTGGTTCGAGCCCAGCCGCGATGGAGCCAAACCGTGGCGCTGTCACGCGGCATGACGCGTCGGTTCAGGCCCCATTCCTCCATCTTTTTCCTTCTTATCTTCGTTTCTCTCTTTTCTTCGAATTCAGCTAAGTAGAATGCAGTTTGACATTGGCAATGGCTAAACTATGAAGTATCCAACCTCCAGCACTGACCTCGCTCTGGTAGTGAATCATCACTTGACATGAAATGAGTCACGATTGCAGCTGTCATCTAAGAATATCTCTGCATCCTTTGTGGCGTCGGGCCATGTGCTCTCTGTGCTACTTCATCTCCTGTGCTCCCTTCCACAGCCCAGCCAGTCTAGCTGTTATCCCTGTCCAAACGAACGACCAAATGTCTGCAGCACACTGCTCGTATCGTCTGGGTGAATGCAACACTCGAGGAGTGCCAATTTGTGTGGCTCTCTTTCAGCTCGATCCAGCCCGACCATCAGATCGCCATGTGTCTTGATTCGCATCGCAAACATGGAGGGATTCGCCAGGCTCTCTTTGTCAGCTCCAGTGAGGTACTTGTTTCCTCCATCTTCGGTATGGAAGTGGTTGCACATGCTTGACGCAAACTGCGCATAATTCCAGCTACTGAGGTAGTTGTACGGTCCGTCGTGAATTGCAGTCTATCGATCAATCAACTCAAGGACCAACAACCTGTGGATAAAGCTCAACATACCTCAGTACGATACCCCATATTGTTGAAGATCAGGACAATGGCATTGGCCTTCATTCGTATCATGGTACTCAGCTCAGCCGCTGTCATTTGAAACGCGCCATCCCCGACCATCAGAACAGCTCGTCCATCGGGTCGAGCGAGTTGGCATCCAAGGGCTGCAGGCAGACTCCATCCGATGGCGCTATATACCATTTGTTTCTGAAAGTCCGCTCCTGGTGGCAGTTTGATCTCCTGTGCGGTAAACCAACAATCCCCTGCGTCTGCAATTAGGGTGCCATTGGTCTTTAAGATCTTTTGAACGCCATCCAGCACACCGGCCAAAGTCACTTGAGAAGCTGTTTGAGGCCTCTGGCTTAGATAAGCCCCATTCGGTTTCGAATATCTGGACACAGTTGCTGGGTTCCTGGGGATGTCAGACTGTACTATCGCTTCGACAAGATGCGTCAAAGCTATATCTTTAATCTGACGACCATCCGGTGTTTTCACTTGGTCAGTGTCGAGGTAAAGCATGCGGTGGGCCTCTTTCTTTCTGTCGAACACACCTCCAGGTGTATGGAGGTCAGTCCAGCGGCCCCCAAGGATTATCCATAGATCAGAAGTCCAGATTTTACTGTTGGACCCTGGCTCAACAGGCCAAAATGTGCCTGCAAACTGACTATGAGACTCAGGAACTTGTGATTTAGCATCTGGCTGGCACAGAACTGCACATCCAAGCTTTTCAATCAGAGCAACCATCAGTTCCTGGGAGATCTGCCGTCGCACATGGGGACCGACGATCATCAAAGGCCGCTTCACATGCTTCCAAACGCTGTTCACGGCACCCAAGGCAGCATTGATGCTTCCTGGTTGAGAGATTAATTGATTCTCAGCCACAAGCGGCTTGGGAGACTTGCATGGAACCTCTGCAGAGCCGCAGGGTATTTCAATATAGACAGGCAAAGAGTTCTCCACGCACTTAATAAGTGTCTTGTCCAGTAGCTCTGCAGGATCCTCCTTTCCATCAAGACGGACTGACGCTGTTGTCACTTCTCTGAATATCCGAAGGGCATGATCTTGATCTTGAGTGCCCACGCTATGGTGGATTATCGTATCTGGGTCGGATTTTCCAACTGGAGGGCAGGCCGATACGACCACAACTTTGAGCCCTTCAGAATATGCCCCCGCGATCGCATTAAGCAGTGACAGCCCTCCGACCATGTAGGTGACTACAACAACAGCGACCCCGGATGGAGATGAGCGGGCATATCCATCACCTGCGTACCCTGCATTCAACTCGTTGCAGCAGCCCACCATGCGGATGTTTGAGTTTTTCAGCAGCTGATCGAGAAGTGTCAGGTTGAAATCACCTTGTTGAGATATCAGCAGACCAAACGAAAATCCCGGGATTGCACCGACCTGGAACTACAAAATAGTCCTTGACACCGAGTTCCTCTATGCGATGTGCTAGCCGTGTCCCAATGTTCCACTGGTCCTTTGGAACTTCTTTTTGAATCGCTAGTTTGCTTACAGAGCTCTGCGACTCAAATGCTCTGCCGCAAGAGCTACACTTATAGCAAACTTTGTTGGTCCACTATATCCATTTGGTCCATTAGTCTCTATCCTGGAGCTATCGGGTTGAGTGGCAGTCTCACCTCGGGGTCGAACATTTCTCCCATTTTAGCACGTTTGGCGTCTTGACCTAGGGTGAAAATTGTCACTGCCCCTTTACGGTCTCTTCAACTCAGTCATTAGAAATCATTCTCTAGCTTGTGCGCATTGCTACTCACTCGGCAGATCTTTATTTATGTTGCTTGATCAATCTTTTAAATGAGTCAATGTCAGCTGCAGAACGGGATTCTATGATGTCAAGATCATCTATACCTTTCAGAATATATGAATCTGTGTCACCGGTCCCGATCGTTTCGAATCGGCTGGGCCAGAGTCCAAAGGGGGTTCAGGAGTCCTAGGATGATCCAAAGCCTGATAGGTCAGCTGCGATCCTGAGACTCTCTTTGGCAATTAGGAAGATGCTACAAGCGTTCTTTGTGGTGGAGACCGGAGTCCATTCAGTGAACGGTCTTTGATTGTTCGACTGGAAGTTTGATATTTCCACTCAATGTTTTGTAATAGATGGATTCAAGGGGTGCTTGGTTGATTTGGGGCTTTCGTGAATCGGAAGATGATATGGTATCAAAGTCTCTTCCTTCGAAGTGCCTCATCGGGAGCGGCCCTTAAATATTCCAAAACGATTCTACGAGGAGCTAACGTCCAAATGAAGACAATAGGCTTTCAACCTCATATGACCGTCTACGGCTACGTGTCTCTCCTCGAGCTTATGCTTCTTCACATTCTTGGTATGTGTCATATGAAGCTATGCACCATAATCAAGACTTTTTATTAGCAAATATGCACAAGAATGATGCTGCACAGGATCATATCTCTCAACTATCAAGATTCAAAGAGCTGACGAAGATCTGTTTTGGTGAAAGTTTCATTTTCAGACTTTTCGTTGGAGAGGAAAGGTTGTACCCTGGTATGGATGAGGTAGGACAGAAGTTAATGGCCCAAAGAAGGCAAACTTTACTGCTTCCACGAGAAATTGTTGCCTTGATTGTGATGTTTCTCGCCCCAAACCTACAGCCCATTTATCTACCGTTTTTTTTTTTTTTTATCATCCAGGATTGTCTCGTTTTTTCAAGATCCCGGTGTTTCGCACAATGTTAGAGAGTTCCTTGTCAAGACTTGTCTGATCTGAAGGCTTTTTGATTTACTTTTCATGGCGTAGAAAGGAACTACTGACTTAAATTACAAGATTATCTTCATATCAGGGCTTGACGTCGGATATCTTCCGTGAAATACCGGTCTCTGGACTACTACCTTGCATATGACAAATGATATGAGATGCTGTTAAAAAATGACAATCTCAAGGTCCAGGTGATATCTATATGGTTTACAAGACAAAGGGCCTGTTTTCGGCAAGAGTCCCATACTGGAAATTGATTTCTCAGCATAAGTTAGAACCAATTAAACCCTTACTTGTTGCAAGGCCATCATATCCAGCACAGGATCACTGTCAGCAAGAAGCTCTAGTATGGCGAATCAATACCTTGCATTATGCACGATGTCCAGAGGGGTAAATAGTTATAATGCTGTACTCTTTCAGGCACTTGAAAGGGAAACTGGTTTCACTGCATGCCTTTGTTACATCATTGAGCAAATCCCGGCAATAGCTGAGAAAGTGAGGTGGTACAAAGATGAATTGGAAGCTTTCCCAAACATGCCACACCTTGATGGTACAGTATCAATTTCGCGTTCACAAGATCAAGGTAGAATGAAGCAATCTTTGGTCGAGGCAAAGATGGGAAATATGGCATATGTCTAGGACATATTGGTAGATACCACATGATTTCATCGCGTATAAAATGGAAATGAAGTCATTTATGAGGCACCAAACCTGGCATTCTCCCATATATTCGAGAAATGTAGATTCTTCCTTCCGAATGGCGAGAAGGGGCGGTAATCTATAGAGAACTATACTATCCCGAGCAGCTATACACAATCATCCATTGTAGCATTGTATCAGACTATTCAAATATGCATTTTGGACATACTACTCTATCATATTTAATTCAACCAAACAAATGTCTGGAGTCAATTATCGACTCTGCTCAACGCTAATGGCTGCCTGAAATATCAATCCTCCTGCCCATCTCGGCCAACCCCGCACTCCAACTTCTCCTCTCCTCTCTCTTGCCTACTCAACTCACACCACCCACCATCAGACCACGGCATCTCTTCCCCTCTTTTCTACGCCTTCAATGTCTTTCGATCACCAAAGCCGTCCCTGAGACCCGAAGAATGCCAAGTGCCAACCGAATGCAACCAGCCCACATGGCTTCCCCGCAGAACGCCACTCCTCCCCACATCGTTCCTCTCAATGGAAAACAGCATCAAACCTTTCGGGTTGTTGTTCGACCGACGATCCCGTCCAGGAAGCCTTCCTAAACAAATTACACTTCTCTAGAGCCTGCCATGGATAGGCTCTGCCTTCATCGGCCAGTGTTCACCCGAATCATTCACAATGCCACTGATAAACGTGCCCCCGGACCAGCTTGTCCACCGGGATTTCCGGAGTGATGATCGGGGAAAATGACGCATAACTCATAATGTTTCGCTTTGAACCGATCCTACACAATGGCAGAAGAATGGGGATATAAGACAGGCCGAAGGACGTTTTGGAGACTCGATATTCCGATACATGGCCCATAACCCACACAACCGACCATGCGGTTCATATCTTCGTTGCTCCTGGTCCCCTCTTTGCTGGGGATTTCCTGCCAGGCTATCCCGTACGAAGAGTACATTCTCGCTCCAGCTTCTCGGAATGTTTTTCCAGCTTCGGTTTACCAGGCTAATGGCTCGGTCTCTAACGCGGACGTTCTAACCCGCTCTGGTTCCGGAAATACAACTCTGCGCGGTGTGTCTTCCATTACCTACGACTTTGGCAAAAACATTGGCGGTATCGTCTCTCTGGATATCGGCTCTGCCTCGTCTCGCGATGCCTTTGTGGGCGTGGCCTTTACGGAATCTAGCCTATGGATCAGCAACCAGGCCTGCGATGCCACTTCGGACGCAGGATACGACACCCCGCTGTGGTTCCCCGTCGGTAAAGGTCCAGGACGTTATACAGCAGAGAAGAAACACACTCGAGGTGGATTCCGATACTTGACTCTTATCAGCAACACGACCGCGACAGTGTCCGTTCGCAGCCTTCAAGTCAACTACACCGCTGCACCGACCCAGGATCTACGTGCCTACACGGGCTACTTCCACAGTAACGACGAATTGATCAACCGGATCTGGTATGCGGGAGCTTACACCAACCAGCTCTGTACCATTGACCCGACTACCGGAGATGCCCTGCCTCTCTTGGGAGCTATCAACTCGGGCGACAACATCACCTTACCACAGACTGACCCTTGGTGGAACAACTACACCATCACCAACGGAAGCAGCACAATCACTGATGGAGCCAAGCGGGATCGTCTCGTGTGGCCAGGAGATCTTTCAATTGCACTTGAGAGCATCGTCGTGAGCACATCGGACTTTTACAGTCTCGACAACGCAATCCAAACCATGTTCGCACAGCAGGCAGCCGACGGTCGTTTGCCGTACGCCAGTAAGCCGTTCACCGACACTGTGAGCTTCACCTATCACCTGCACAGTCTCGTGGGAGTCTCATATTACTACCGGTACTCGGGTGATCAAGACTGGCTATCCAGCTATTGGAGCCAGTATAAGAAAGGTCTCGAATGGGCTTTGTCAAGTGTTGACAGCACTGGCCTAGCTAACATCACCGCAAGTGCCGACTGGCTGCGATTTGGCATGGGTGCTCATGTAAGCCATTCTCTAGCAGGGCTTTGGTTTATATGCTAATTAGAACAGAATATCGAAGCAAATGCCATCCTTTACTTCGTGCTCAACGAAGCCCAAGAGCTTGCCGAAATACTCGAAGACTCCGATGTGTCCGCGAACTGGGCTAAGATTGCAGCTGGTATCAAGTCTGCCGCCAACGAACGCCTGTGGGAGAAGGATGCTGGCTTGTACCGTGATAACGAAACGACAACCCTTTACCCCCAGGATGGCAACTCCTGGGCAATCAAAGCCAACCTGACCCTGTCGGAAGAACAAAGCAGTGTAGTCTCTTCTGCCCTTCAAGCCCGCTGGGGACCCTATGGTCCTCCCGCCCCCGAAGCTGGAAAGACCGTCTCACCATTCATCAGTGGCTTTGAGTTGCAGGCGCATTACTTGGCCGATCAGGCAGAGCGGGCACTGGACCTTATTCGGCTAGAATGGGGCTTCATGCTGGACGATCCCCGCATGACGAATTCGACTTTCATCGAAGGTTATTCCACCGATGGATCCTTGAAATATGCCCCGTACTCAAACGATCCCCGTATCTCGCATGCCCACGGTTGGTCGACAGGGCCGACCGCAGCTCTCACTTTCTATGCTGCTGGACTTCAGATCACCGGCGCGGCGGGAACTACATGGCGTATCGCGCCGCAGCCAGGTAACTTGACTGAAGTGGACGCTGGCTTCACGACCGACTTGGGATCGTTTGCTACGTCCTTCCAACTGACGAATGACGGAAAGGGATATAAGGAGTTCTCTTTCACCACACCAAGCGGCACTCAAGGAGATGTGAAGCTGGCAGGAGTTGAGGGAACCCTTGTCTCAGACAGTGGCCGTATCAAGCTGGTCAACGGAGCTGCCACGGGAGTGAAGGGTGGTAGCTGGAAGTTGGAGACCAGCAAATGATGTGTATGATTATCAATGATAATTTTCGGAACTTACCATTGTTACTTTTGGCAGAATGCAAATTTTAATATCTTGCAGTGTTTATGTTGGTGTCATTTCAACTGGATAGTTTCTCATCCATGGATGGACTCGGAATGATTTCAGACCCGGCAAATTATCCCGGTGTTTCTAACCACATTAGAAACCACTATATTCAATGGGCCTGGTCGCCACAGCATTGCAATGCTGATTCAAGGCGTAAATTTCCGGCAGGTATTTGCATGCCGTCATCATGGCGATCCAGCATTGCAGCGAAAATTAAAGATGGCATACCTGCTAGTTTGATCGCTAGACCTATCCCCCATCGTAAAGCTGTAGAGAAAAGCGACTAAGATACATCAATATATCAAAATGGCAGCAAAAATGGCCGGGTAAGTCAAAAGCCTTGCCTATGAATACTGCTGACCAAACAGCCCCGTTACCACTACACGGTACAAACCGCATCCTACCGACAGAATGAAAGCAGCCCAATGGATGGGCACCCGATCAGTCGAAGTGGGAATGGTAGCCAAACCAGCCATCACTGACCCCAGCGATGCGATTGTGAAAATCACTCACTGTAGCATCTGCGGCTCTGACCTGCACGTGTACGACGGGGAAATGAACGACTCCATGCAAAAGGGCGACATCATGGGCCACGAGGCAATCGGAATCGTCGAGAAGATCGGCCCGGACGTCAAAAGCCTCTCTGTGGGGGATCTTGTCATGATCTTACCCATCATCGCGTGTGGAAGCTGCGATTACTGTAAACGGGGAGAGTATTCGCTATGTGACACGACCAACCCATCTCTGGATATGGAGAAGACGTACGGACACCGGCTGGCAGGGATGTTCGGGTACGCGCTTCTCTACGGCGGATACCCAGGGAATCAAGCAGAGTACTGCCGGGTGCCGAACGCAGATCTGACGTGCGTCCGGGCACCGGAAGATCTCGACGCAAAGAAGCTGCTAGGGCTGACGCACGCGACAACCACGGCATGGCATGCCTGTGAGCTGGGCCAGGTGGGACAGGGCGATGTTGTGGGCGTCTGGGGATGCGGACCTGTAGGTCTCTCGATTCAACGACTGGCGCTTCTTCGGGGAGCGAAGAAGGTGTTTGGGATCGATAAGGATCCTCTCCGACTACAGCTGGCGGAGGGTTTTGGCATGATCCCTGTGGATGTCTCGGCACATCCAGAGGTGGGAGATTACATCCTCTCCATTCAACCCAATGGAGTCGACAGAGCGATTGAGGCGAGTGGGTTCCGTAGCACGCAGAAACCGCAGCACGCGGCGATGCGAGCCATAGGCCTTGAGCGGGATACCAGCGATACCGTGGCGGCGATGATTAAAGCGACACGCAAGGGAGGCAATCTGGCGCTGATTGGGGATTTCTTCTACAGCACCAATGACTTTCCGATTGGGCCGATGATGGAGAAGGCTCTGACGGTGCGAGGAGGGCAGGTGTATTCGCAAAAGTATCATCCATTCTTGCTAGATATGGTGGCACAGGGCGAGTATGATCCGTCTTGGGTGTTTACTCATGAAGGTACGTTCTATGATGGGTTAACCGTGGGGTTAGTATCTGACTGGTGTAGATGATTTTGAGAATATCGCAGAGAATTACCGCAAGTTTTCTCGACATGAGATCCCAGGAGGGTTGAAGGTGTGCTTGACAACAGAGTATGGACGGAGCCCCATGGATCATGATCAGTATGGCGTTTGAATAGATACTCTTCATTGGCTGCAATTGTGTAACTATTCAAAAGTGGACTGGAACAACACGAGAAACACCCCTGTAACACCAGGTTTAACGGCTGATCAGTGCCCAATGACTCAATGAAAAAAAAAAATTGTGTCTTACCTCAGCTGCAGAAAATGAATATAAAATCCGCTCAAATCGACTCTGAAACATTGGCTTTCTCCAGTCTTTTATTCACTTTTGTCTTCTCCAGATTTCTCCAGGTCAATTACATCACTTTCCCGTTTAAGTTAGCTCTCTCTTCTCTTCATTCTTCCTTCTCTTCCCCTCATTTCTTCTCTGGATTTTGTCCTCATCGATTTAATCAACTGTTAATTGATTCCTCATACCTCATAATGTCCTTCCCTCCCCCTCCTGTCAGCTCCATCGATTGGGGCAATGTAGGCTTCAAAGTGCGTGAAGGTACTCCAAACCCCTCCATAAACATGCGATGACGAGCATCAAACATAATAACAAAACACATCACAGTCAACGGCCATGTCGAATGCCACTTTTCCTACAGCAGTGGCGCCAAATGGTCTGCGCCTAAATTCGTCGCCTCCCCGCACCTCCCCATCCACGGCATGGCCCCGGGCCTCAATTACGGCCAGCAAGCCTACGAAGGTCTGAAAGCTTTCCGTCGTCCCTCGGGCGAAATCACCATCTTCCGTCCTGATCGCAATGCTGCACGCATGGTTCGCTCGGCGGATTTCATCTCCATCCCACCTGTCCCGGAGAATTTGTTTGTGAAATGCGTCGATCTAGCTGTCGCTGCGAATGCGGAATTCGTTCCTCCCCATGAAACCGGTGCTGCTATGTATATCCGTCCATTGATCTTCGGTTCCTCCGCTCAGCTGGGCCTCAGTCCCCCTGACGAATATACATTTGTCGTTTTCGTGATGCCCACGGGTGTTTACCATGGTGTTCACGCTGTGGATGCCTTGATTCTGGAGGACTTTGACCGGTCTGCACCTGAGGGAACTGGCTCCGCCAAGGTCGGTGGTAACTATGCCCCGGTTCTGAGACATAGTGGGCAGGCGCACAAGGAGGGATTCGGAATCACTCTTCATCTGGATAGTCGGACTCGGTCTGAGATTGATGAGTTCTCGACATCGGCGTTTATAGGCGTGCTTCAGGACAAGCAGACTGGAAAGGTGACTCTCGTACAGCCGGATAGCAAGAACGTGATTGATTCGGTGACTGCGTCGTCTGTGTTGGAGATTGGTGAGCGGGTGTTTGGCTTCCAGGTCGAGAAGAGACGTGTCCCGTATGATGAGATTAAGGAGTTCCAGGAGGTGATTGCTTGCGGCACCGCGGCGGCCCTGGTTCCTATTCGCAGTATCACGATGCGTTCCCGCGATGATCGTTTCACCTTTGCCTGTGGCGGAGAGGATAACAGCGGCGGTGAGATTTGCGTCAAGTTGCTGAAGACGCTCAAGGGCATTCAGGCCGGCAAGATCGAGGACTCCTTTGGCTGGAATTATGTCGTGCAGGCTCCGCCTCCGGGCTGGGTTGAGGGCGCTGGAGGTCACGAAGAGAAGGAGTTGAATGGGGCCAATGTGCCGTAGATGCTATGCCGACTGCGCACTACTTCATGACCGGAAGATTTGATTCTCAACATAGCTTGTATGTATTCAATGTGTGCCATGATTAATGTATTGAACAATTCATTTACCCAATGGTATTCTCACTGTGCAACTAGGATACATAGAACCCCGAATCTGTATTACATTTAATTAACATGGACTTCGTTCAAATGCCCCCTTTTACCTCTTCCGCGCACCAGGTCGTAGCTTGCCCACTATTCCGCTCGACTGGATATCTCCATAATCAGCGCTGCTTTCGCTGTCGTCTCCGCTTTCACTTTCACTTTCGCTCTCGCTTTCCTCCTCGGATTCGCTATCCGATGGTGGGTCGAACACGTCCTTTCTTGCACCCGGGGCGTGGGCCGCCTTGGCTTGCTGCGCTTTCTCTTGCCCCTGCTCCTTCTGAGACATCAACAACGACTTGAGCGTTTCGCGCGGTCGAGTGGCGGGTGACGGTCGCGCCCACTGCTGGGACTGCGGTTGGGACTGCGGTTGGGACTGCGGCTGGGATGCTGCCGGCTGCGATGGAGTAGTTTTCGACTGGGGTGTTTGCGACTGGGCTCGCTGGGGAGGAGCTGACGATCTGCCTCGGCCCAAGAGGTCGGCTTTACTCTGCGCAGGCTCGTCTTCCTCTTCATCACCATCGGAGTTCTCATCGTCCTCGGACTCTTCGGACTCGCTTTCCTCCTCTGAAGACGAGGATACCTCGACGGGTTCCTGTGCCGATGTCGGTTTGGGGCTTGGGCCATCCTTTGGTTTACTGCCATTAACATTCTTGGCTTGATTGGCAGATGCTGAGCGAGTTGTCGGCACAGACGGCAGACTGGCATCATCAGAAAGTGATGAGTTCGGTGACTTTCCATTTGCAGTAGCTGCGGGCTTTGGGTCTGGCTTTGCAGAAGCCCGAGTCTTGGCCGCTAGAGTTGGTGTCTCTGCATGAGGCGTCTTTGCAGAACCGGGAGTTGCAGATTCGATCGGCTTCGCTTGTTGTTGAGATTGTTCGAGTTGAGAAGATTGAAGTTGAGAGGTATTGGGTTCAGTAGCCTGGGTCGCATCTATTTTTTCCGCGGGCTCAGTATGGCCGTTGGTAGCCGGTGTCTTTTTCTCACTCGTCTTTTCCTTAGGTGCAACCGGCTGCTTTGATGTAGAATCAGTACTTCCAGTCTTTTTCGCAGAAGTTTTAGCACTCGCTGGAGTAGGCGTGGCCTTCTTCTGAGGTTGCGAGGGTGTGCTAGCTTTCTTGTTTGTTTCGCCATTCACGTTGCCCTTCGTATTGCTCTTCGTCTCGCCATTCGTGTCTCCACTTGCCTTTTCGGCCTCATAAGTTGCCACTTCCTTTTGTAGTTTGTCAAACTTGGTTCGAAGCTGGGGTCGACTCCGTCCGCCCTTGGAGATCTTCGTCAGCTGATCCCAGGCCGTTGATAGTGTGCGTAGTTTGGAAAGGTATTCAGGCTCTTCGTTCTTTTCTTCCAAGACCTTGATCTTCTTTTGAAGCTCTTCCTTTGCTTCTTTTTCTTGCTTTTCTTTCTCCAATTTCTCTTCTGCCTCCTTCATCATTTGCTCGATCTTTTCCTGGGAGTATCCTTTCGGGAAAACTACTGACTTCGGGTCAACAGGCTTGCCCCCCGATCTAGGTGTACTCTTAGGGGTTGATTCTTTAGGATTAGTCCGTGGAGTTGACTTTGGTGGTGCTGAGCCGGGTCCAGTCAGAATTTCCTCTCCTTCGGCAAATGATACAGACCGGCGCTCTGATGGTCTGTCTGCTGGGGAGTCCTTGCGCAAAACTGACTGCAACCCCCCCTTGACTCTGTTCATCGCAGGCGTGCTGACCTTGGATGGGGTTGAATTCTGTTGGATTGAGGATCGGCGAGCGGTTGGTGCACTGCTAGAGAAAAGAGGCGTAGCGGTGATGGTGCCCTGGGATGGAGCAGGGTCTCCTGATTTTGTAGAATCTTGAGATAGATCGAGCATGACCGGTTTCTTGCCAGGGGGGCTCCTCGTAATGCCCAATCCAAGACCAGATTTTGAGGCCTCGGATGCTCGTTCAATGCTTGGACATCGACCAGAGTCGGAGAAGGATGGCGCTCTCTCACGCTTACGCAACGCGGATGGGCTGCTACTAGGACGTGCCACTGTCTTATTGCCCGTCTGAGGATCGCTCTTTTCTACCTTATTCGAGGAAGGAGTACCGGCAGCATTGAGACGAGGCTCTTTGTTCGGTACAAGATCCTCCTGGCTCATATTTCTCTTGCGTAACCGAGTTTCCGGGAAGTTGACATGTGTGGTGTCCATTGGCGCTGTGATGGGCTTGTCAGCCTCCACGGGACGAGCGTCGGTAGACGGTTGGTCCTTTTTCTTCATGACTGCGTCGTCTTCCTTCATTGTAACATCGCCGTCTCCGTCGCGGTTTTGTTCGCCATCCTCACTGTCATCTGTCTCCGACTCAGTCTCTCCCTCTTCATCATCTTCGGTCTCCTCTTCGGTCTCCTCTTCACTCTCTCCGCTCTCCTCTTCCTCCTCGTCATCATCATCGTCATGCTCCTGGGCTTGTGTTTCGATAAAATCAGTCGCCCGCGCGCTTTGAGACCGCGATCGAGTTCCCAGCGGTGACTCCGATCTGTCGCCTTGTTTCGGTTGACCAGATGGTGGGGATTTCGCCTCAGACATTCTGGTAATGGACCGCTGTGTCGAGCTTGCTCTGGGGACTGAACCTTGTCGGGGAGCTGAACCTTGCTTGGACCCTGATCCTTGGCTTCTCACAGAGCGAGGATGTGTCGGGGTAGGGGAACCACCCAGTTCCTGACTGGCCATGCGCTTGTGTTGCGGTGTACTTGCGACAGTACTTTCCTGGCGAGCTTGTGAATCTTCCTCATGGACGAGAGGTTTCTGGCCCCAGCGTGGCGGGGAGACCGGAATCTCTTTCTCGACAGACAACACAGGCTGATCATGACGGCGGTCTTCGATGGAAGCAGTATCTGCGGCTGTCCGGCCGTTGGCGGAAGATGAAAAGCTATCATACCCTTGCGATTCCTCCGCAATGGTCGGAAACTTGTGAACGGACATCTTCGCCTCTTCCTTCTTCATCTTCATCTTCTCTTCAAAGGTCTGGGCAGCCGCATCCCAATCTTGCGTCACAGAGGGGTATCGAACGGGGGCGTAGGGAGCCGGTTTCTGAATAACACGAACGGTGGCACGCTGGTCATGACCATCCACACGAGCTTTTCCATTGTCCACAAACACCTGGGAAACGGTCATATCGGCATCCAGATCGTCGGACTCATGATCATCATCGAGGATTTTCTTGATATCTAGAGGCCTACCGTAATAGTCAGTAACTGAAAATACCCAAACAACCGCAGGCGACCGTATGCAGAATCGCAACTCACTCGGTATTGGGCCTCAGCTTCCTCCATTTCTCTTGGATCAACCCCGCCAATCCGCCCAGTGTTACCTCCTCCGGTTCCTCAATCACAATCAGAAAGCTCACCGGCTTGCCGTTCGAGGAGTCGACCGAGCTCCGATTGCTATCATCCCGGTCACGATCTCCGATCAACGAGCGCAAAAACGACGGGGCGGAGGACTGGGCCTGGTCGCGAGGGAAGATTTTCACCGTAAGCCGTAAGAATACCATGGCGATATGTGGGAAAAGCGACTAATAAGTGTATTTCAATTGAATTAAGGATGATAAATCATCATCTGCAGGTGACAATTAAATGGTGGTGATGATGTGATGCTGTAGGGATTTTTCTTTTCCTTTGCGATCCAAATTGAGGGGTGTCGGAGGGAGGAAAATAAAAGGAAAATAAAAGGGAAGACAAAGAAAAAAGCAAGAGGGAAAAAGAGATTATATATCAAAACTGCATTGCAAGAAGGAACACAGATCAAAAAAAGAAAAGCACAGTGAATGGCACCCAGGCCTGGTGAAGCTGGAGATGCACAAGAAGTGAATGCGAGCCGCATCGGAGGCAGAAACAGTCGCGACCGACGCGGAGCCAAAAAAAAAAAAAAGGCTTCACCGCCATAGATGGCAGAAGATTTGTGATATGAACACACCCATGTGGATGCAGGAAAATAGGTCAAATGTGATAGATAAGATAGAATAAAAATGATTGATGCATCTTCTCCGCTCCATACATCCACATCCTGCGGGATGGTCACAATTTTTGCATGCGTGTTGCGCCGGATAACACTGGATCTGTAAACACTCCGAAATAGCTTCGTCTCATTGCTGCTCTAGTGCGTGCATTAGCACTCGAGTCGGATATGCACGTTGTCAAAAATACTGACTGAGATCTTCTACGAAGACGAAGGCGGTTTGTTACCCGGGTTCTTGCTTGCTTAATACATAAACTCAAAAGGAAATTCATTATGCTCATGCAACTCTACATAGCTATGTCATATATCACTCTCACGGCACTATTCAGGAGGAGTAAAGTAGCGCTTGAACCGGTCGATCCTCGTCAGATCCAAGTCCTGAATGACCTCATGGCAACTCATCAGCAGACTGGGGAATCGGACTGTCCAGAAGTTCAGGTATCCTTCTGGCAGCCCGCCGATGTGCGCCTTGAGATGTTCAGACATGTCATTGTAATGGTTGCGCTTGTTGCGCAGCGCCCGCAAAAGGTCCAGCATCTTAGAACCCGTATACTTGCGCTGTTTGCCCAGACTCTCTTTGAAATCCCGGGGCAACAAACGCAAAAAGTCCATGTCCTCACCCATCACTTGGGGTGCAATCGATTCCAGGCACAACAGTGCATCGGATGGAGGATCACGAGGCTCGAATTCAAAGTGATCCGAAACATCGCAGAGGAAGCTGAGTCGGTCCGATGGAGGCCAGAAGAACGGGTGCATCAGCACGGCAGTGGCATCGGGGCTGGGATAATCAGTATAAATCAAAATAAAAAAAGATCATGTGAATCTTACCGTCTTCGAGGATCCAAAGACAACATAGATTGAATCAAGTCGTGGGCTTCAAAGGCGTAGTCACCCAAGCGCTGAAGGTCATCAAGATTATAGTTTCCCTTCACGATATTCGCTTCCCGCATGAATTTGCCGTTCTTATCAAAGGGGTGACCGCCTCGTGTGAGAACATAGTAGAAAACGCAACCCAGTGAGAAAATGTCAATAGCTCGGGTGGCACGTCGGTTGGTTTGGGGGTCAACTACAGCCGGCTCAGAGGATTCGGTATGCTGTGATTCTACCCCCTGTATAGCTGAGCTCATGTCGTCGTCCACCAGCAATTCCGGGGCCCGCCAACCAGATGTCCCTGCGGCGTGTGCTGTGGTGGCACGGAAAGAGCTCTGATTGTCCTCGAGCTTCTTGCACAGGCCAAAATCAGAAATAAGCAACCGCATGGACCGGGATCCCATGCGGCCTCGAGGCATGGCCACGAGGATGTTTTGCGGCTTCAAGTCTCGATGGACAATCTTAAGCGAATGCAGGTAACGAACACCACCGGTGATCTGACGCAGAATGTCGGGCATATCCAGTCCACTCTGAACCAGCTGTGGGTAGTCAAAGGGCCGCTCAACCACATCTTGTAACGATGCAGGACACAACTCCAAGGCAATATACAGGAAGCCAGTTGCTTGCTCTCGACAGAAGTATCGGATAACGTTGTTGTGATCATCACTCTCCTGGAGCAAGCCAACTTCTTGTGAAGCGATATCAAAGAATTCCACAAGCATACGCTTGACTGCCACGTCGCGTCCATCAAACGAGCCTCGGTACACAACAGTTCCATGGCTGCCATGTCCTAACACAACATCGGTAAAAACCCGGAGCCGGCCAATTTGAAGGACGCCATCCATTTCGACCATTTCCTGAGACACTGTCCGGGACAGCTGCACATCGGGTTCAAGGCGAGGTTGGGGCTGAAGATTGTTCACCGCGTCTACCACACGATCCGCTTGGTCTTTGGATTCACCATCAGAGCCAGGTTTCTTACCCCGCTTGTGATTCTTGCCTCCACGACGGCCGCGCTTGTGCTTCTTCTTAGGCTTGTCGGCGTCTTCCCCTTCTTCATCACCACTCGGACCAACCGACGGTTCTCGAATACGTACGCGCGGGGTACTTTCGGGCGAAAGATTAGATCCATCTTTGTTGGGCTTGGGGGTAACATCGCCCCCATTGGTTTCCTCGGGTACGTTCACGTTGACAGTAACGTTAGGTACCGGTCGGACAGGAGTACTGTCCTCCCTAATCTCCGGAGGGCCCACAGACGGTGTCGGCGGGGTGGACAGTGGTGGATGGCCATAAGACGAAATTATGTTCTTCAAATCGAGCTTTTGTTTCGCTAGCTCTTGTATGTTGTGGGAATTGAAGTAAATAAAGGTGCCAAAGAATAGTAGCAACAGTGTCACGAATATGTCGATTGCATTGTCCCAGCCCTTCCGGATGATGGTGCTATGTCTAAGGGCTGGTGGCAGTGCCAGTTCTGATGGATCTCGTATCAAGTCTCGGGGGGTATCGTTGGAAAATTCAGCACCGGACGACCCAGAGATACTAGGGATATTACGGCGGATGACTCGTGGGCCGTTGAGTGAATGAACTCCGACTAGGGCATCCCGCTGCTGGCCGGACGTCAGACTCATCAGAGGCTGCCCATCCCGGAAGTAATCTTTCTCGTAGCATTGGGCCATCTTCGCTCGCCCTGTGACAAGCGGGTAGGTCTCTTCGGACATGGCGTACCATCCGCCGGCTTCAGTGCAATCCATAAAAACTCGCGTATCTCTTTCATCCAACGAGCCATAGTCTGGGTCTGGGGGCTGAAGTGGTTGAGAAAGAAGAACCAATTGTGTAGGAGCGTCTGGGGATTCGATATTGCCGGAGCGAGCCACATCGAAGACCCGGACAACAGGGGAGGAGAATCGCTGCGTGTAGCGGGGTCGATCCATACGAGAATGGTCAAAGCCCAAAACCACACCATCATGCATACTATATATATGACTCTGATCCATTGTCTGGAAGTATTGACTCTGGAGATCTATATCACGATTGTTTGACGTCCACTCGGAGTATTTCAGCGTACAGATTGAGTCGCCCGTTTCGGTATTTTGGATAGCGACAGCATACTCGACACGGCCGAGTACCAAGGTACCGGAAGTCGACTCGCATTCATCGGCATCGAAACCCTGACCGTCAACCTTCCGACACTCCTGGCCAGAAGTTATGGGACCGCGGGAGCTAAACACCCGCAAAATAGTTCCCGTCCGAGCATCAATGGTGTAGAGAGTTGTCTCCTTTCGGGCCGTGTAGGTCACGGCCGGGTCTGTGCCCGAGTAAGGAGTCTCATCCACCAACTCCTTGACGGTCAACCCCAATTTTTGCAACCCGCCATCTGGGCCGGGACTATAAATGTATATACTGCCATGCTGACTCGGTTCGACAATCCAGAGGAAATCGTCTTCGGGTTGGGTACGATCGAAGCTGGAGCGATTGGCTCGGTGGTAAATGCTCTCGACCATGGGACTGCTCGGGACCTCAAGGGCCCAACGAGCAGCACCGGTCTTGCGATCACGGGCGTGAATGGAACCATCGACGGTCGCCAGCAGGACAAAGTCCTCAACCTCCCAGTCCTGCAGAGACCGCGCATGAAGCTGCGGAGCCAGACCAGCAGAGGGACTGCTAGCCTGGGCAGGAGGGGCTCGAACGGCGCGGCCGGAGCCCGCCAGAGCCAGAGTTGCTAGGGCGCTCGCATCGTTGGATTTCACATGGATAGAAGGGTGTTGGTGGTGTTGTTGTAAACCGGTCGGGCCCAGTGGGACCGACACACTCGAAGGCACAGGATCATGTTCGTGAAGCTGCTGCGGAGCGACAAGAACAGGGAGCAGAAGGAGGGCGACGCCGGCGGGGAGAGTCGAACGGGCGCCAGGCAGCCGCCACCGCATTGTGGAGGACTACAATGTGTGGAGGACAACAAAATAGCAGAGGAAGGAGAAACGAGGTCTCATCAGTCACCGTCTCCTCGGGGAGAACAAAGCCGTTGATGATGAGAGCACAGACGGAATGAGATGAAAAGAAAAAAAGAGAAAGCGAAAACGAGGGAGAGAAGGATTATTTTGGGGGCCAGCAGAAACGGGACGGAGCGTGCGGAGGGAAGGCCAGGATCGCTGGAAGGGAGGACGAGACAACAGCAGCAGCCAATAATGATCGATCAGGCTGACAGCCACAAAATCATCCCGCCACAGCGGAGATGTTTTTCACTAGTTGGGTATGATCACTATTCTGAGGATTTCACTTTGGACTGGGTTAGGATAGTGATGTTCTTATGACGGAGTACAAAGTATTATGCAGCAGAACGGCAAAAGATGTCCAGCAGGAAGGAGGCAGATTGATCGCGTGTCGTGGAAGCAGAAAGAATTGATTGTGGGAGGCCTTGCGCAGGGGGCCGGACTGTGCCTCGGTGGAAGTTACAGCAACGGGGCATTGTTACAGGATGATAAGACATGGGATTGGGTGGACATGGACGATCTTTTCATGAGGATTCTATTGCCGGTTCTTCTGCTGCTTACTGTCACGCAATCAACAAGCGCCATCCATTAACAGGCCTTTCTAGTTGGGATTTTTGATGCTAGAGGTCTGAATGGCGCGATTTACGGTGTACAGCCCATACAAAAATAACCACCCAGCCTCCGCATGTTGAGGGTGGATCATTGGTATTTTAACCAATCGTGACCGTACAGTGGATCTCCCGCCCTATGCCGCTGACAGGGCCCAGAACACACAAAGCGACTTGGGGATGGAGCAGTCAAGATTGTCAAAACATTTGTGCGTAGGAAATGTATTTTGAATATGGTGGGATAGCAACGAGATAGTTTGTTTAAATAAGCTCATACATAATAATAATAACAATCAGCCAGGTATTCCGCTCCAAAACGCCTCAGCCCCCAAGAATTGAATAAACCCTCCTATAACACCCATGTGCAGAGCACAGTAAACGTCGAAAATATCAGTCGTAGATAGTATACCGCACCACATAAACATGAGAAGTGAAAGAGTAAGACTGGAAAGGGGGAATAGTAGTACAGGACTCTGTACAAGACAACAAATGGCAACTGATCGCTGCGTAGACTTGATACGCAATGGATGTCCCCACCTGGTCGTCATCCTCGGGTGAGAGTATAACCTTCCCTTCGCTATGTACGGTCACCATGGTGGGTATCTCATAAACTCTGGGTATCTTTGACTTTCTAGTCTGCATCATCCTTCACCGGACAACGTTTTATGTTCCGAAAACCATCCAAGCCACGGACGCGCCCCAGAAGGAGACCAAGAGGACTGTCAGAATTCCAGCACCAGCACGATCTCCAGTAGTTATTGGTTTCAGCGGCACGGGCTGATTCGTAGAGAGCCCAGCATTAGGATCGCCCTTACTAGTACCACCCGTGTCAGAAGTCAGAGGTCCCGGCTTTCTTGAGCTTCCATCCTGGTGGGCAATCATATTGCTTGAGAATATGCTGAGGGCACTCATATCTGATTCCAATGATGCCGCTCCATCAAAAGTGGATTGATGCCACCGCCTCCCACAATTGTTCTTGTTTTCCCCTGAGCACTGCTTTGCTGCTGCTATCCCCGACTGTTGGATCTTAGGGATGATCTCGTCGGCCGTGTATGGGGCAACAGTGGTGATAAATGTCAGCCAAGAGGACAAAAAGCCCTTGAAGCAGTCCTGGTTTCGATCGCAACTCATATTCGGCTCGCAGGAAATCTCAGACATGACGTCGCCACCGAACTCTTGGGGGAAGAACGTGGAGAAGGTAGTCTTCATCAGGCCATCAAGACCTTTCTTCCATTTATCGTCACCTTTGGTCTGTTCTCTCGGTTAGCCTTTCTATCACCTTCAGTGGCGTTGACATAGGGTTCCATACAAAGTTATACATATATGCGGCACCGCTGAGATACGTGCCATAGTTATACGTCCATTGCAGGTCCCCGTGGTCTTTGCATTGGGCCTCAATCGTTGTCGTATCCGCGATTGTCCAGTCATCCTCCCGGAGCAACGGTGTTTTGCCGCTCCAGTCCCAGATCTTCTCCGCCCAGTCCGCATATTTTTGGTCGGTGGTATAGAAGGCCAAGCGGGCTGCCAGCTGGAATAACCCGCCATTGGATATGGCGTTCTTGGTCGTGTAACCCTTCTGGTAAGGATAAATCTGCCAGCGCAAGCCACCACCACAGTTCTGGTCATCCCAGCGTGGCACTTGTGTGTTGAAGACACCCTGTGCGAGAGACAACCAGGATGGCTGGTCTTTTTGTTCGGTGAAGTTCAATTCCGCTGCGGTCATGGCTGCCAGACCCCAAAAGACTTGGTCATCGTTACCCAGGTCTTTGCTGTCGTTTGATGGGAAAAAATCGTTGTTGCCTTTCTGCCAAAGCATACCCTGCGTGGTAACATCGTTGTAAGAGGTGTCGCCGGTCCAGTACCAGTACTGGATAAGGGTCATGAACATAGCACCACCTTCCCACCAAGTGTCTTCCAACTTTCCAGGTATCTGACCTGACTCATTTCCGTGGTAGTAACTCATCATGTTGTAAGCCGCTGTCGCGGCCGCATTCTTGATGGATGCTAAAAGCCGATGGCCAATGTTAGTCACTGACTGACCTAGTGAAGGCGACTATGATTTCAATGGCCAAAACTTACTTTCATCATTAATATCAAATTCCAGTGCCGTGACTGCTCCCTGTCCCACAAGGAAAACGGTCAGGAGCACCGTCCGAAGCCAAGTTGGCAGTATCATGACGCCAAAAGAAAGACAATTAATCCGAATACCGGCGGGGAGGCAACCATCGAATCGAAGAATCTGCAGTGGAAGTAAGGGAGCGACAAGACGCGAAGAGAGGGCGAGGGGAGAGAAAGACTGCAGTGAAAGTATGCAAGGCTGGAATGCGCCGTCAAAGGGACGATTTAGAAGTCGTTCGTCGGCTGTTGTGGAGGAAATGAAAGAAAGACAAGAGCGACAGGCCCCATCCAATGGTACCTGTAGGCGTCAAGTCGACGGCAGGGTCCGGGATCCTGCGATCCTGCAGGAAGAATTGAAACATGCACTGCCGCCCAAAAGCATCCAAGGTTATGCCTCGAAGCGGTGGCTGCTTGCGGGGAATTCTCAATTTCTCTAATACGGAAGAAGATAATGGACATGATCGTCAAGATTGGCAGTGAGAAATGACTGATCTCGAGATGCTTTTGGTTTTCTTTGGCCTATGCCGTCAATCTTGCGTTCTTTAACCAAAAATAGCACATCGCAGCCTTGTGCTTACCCTGCCGGCTACGGATGTGGTTAAGCATCTTACCTTATCCAGCCACTGTAGGATAAGCATTTGCTTGTCCTTCCATCTTACAGCTTGATAAACTATATCTTGAGTTATCTCCAGGCATATCATTTCAGTGTACAAAATCTAGTCAAACAAACATAGGCACGACACCTCAGTTGATCAGGCTCGGGACCTAACCCCACACAATCCATACAGGGCTGTCGCTGTCAGTGCGCGTGGATCATGAACCCTCGACAAGAGATCCTACTGACTTCTTATATGCCTATTCCCTTTTTTTTTTTTTTTTTTTTTTATCAAACTATGAAAAAGCCAAATATATATATGTTGGATTTGTAATCCGGTTTTTTCCCGTTTCAATTTTAAAAATTTGCGAGTCTTTGGGGGCGTCAGATATATATTGTTCCATTGCCAACCCTACTAATAGCGGCTATGATAAGATCACAAATGCTCAAAGATACCATTTGATCAAAAAGAAAACGTATGACTAGTTCTGCTTGCGCTTAATTTCTATAAACTCTTTCTTTTCATCATCTCTGGCTTCTTTGGGCAATAGTTTTAGGCAGACACCCTAGATGGTTCTTTATTCAAGAAGGATACATGACCTGGTATTAAGTTATCGCCAGGGCCATAATAACTAGTGACCAGCCGGCTCCGTTTCTGGGGAGGAATCTCTATGTTTGATCGATTCGGGGTTGCTTTTTCCTAGCCCAAACCGTAGTTGCTTAACCTAATATATACCCTACGAGATTCGTATGCCGGTGCATGAAAGACAATCATCAGATGCTTTTATCATCAACCGATCTATCCTTAGTTATTATGCTCGGAAAGAGCAGATCATCCACATTTACATCCAGTATGGTTTCAATTGACTCTTTTCCTTGCGCCAAGTCATAAAAATCACGATTTCATTCTATCGTCCTCCTTTACATGCGCTCTCTCCGGCGAGGTGCAGCCCGGATGATGTTGTCAACACGAAGAAGAAGCTGTGAAATATTAATTGTTAGTCATGTATCCCTCGGAAAGAACTCAGAATCAAATCTTACCTCGGCAGCTTCCGATGCGGAAGAAACAACAGCCTTCTTCAACTTGTAGCTCTCCACCACACCCAACTCACGCATGTCAGCAATTCCTCCACCAGGGGTCAGCAGGTCCAATCCGGAGCAGTTCATGCCGTTGTTGACTGCCTGTCGCAGACGGGTAACCAGGTCACTGGAGTCGAGACCAGCGTTGTCGGCCAGGATAGTAGGCAACTGCTTGAGGGCATGTGCGAAGGAGTCGACAGCCAACTGCTTCTTGCCTGTTGTGTTCTGAGCAGCGTGCTCAACGGCCTTGGACATAACCATCTCAGCACAGCCACCACCCAGAGTTACTCGGGGATCCTTGACAGTCTGAGACAGGACTGCAAGAGCATCGTGGAGGGAACGCTCTGCTTCATCGAGCAGCTGCTCAGTGGCACCACGCAGAACGATTGTGCAAGCCTGACCGGCAGCCACACCCGAGAACTTGATGAGAGTGTCTTCACCGACGATAACCTCCTCGATGAGATCGCACTGGCCGAGCTGGACTTGGTCGGGGTGATCGAAAGTCGAGGCAATCTCACCACCGGTGACAAGGGCCAATCGCTCGATACCGTCGAAATCGGCGTGTTCAATGGACATGATACCAGCCTCAGTGAACAGCTGCTCGGGCCAGTTGTAGATGAGTTGACGGTTAACGAAGCAGTTGATGCCGTGAGACTTGATCCGCTCAACCTTGGCCCTCATCTTGTCACGCTCTGCCTTCTCCAGGTCGGCCAGCTTGCCGGTCGACTCGACCTTCACACGTGCACCAAAGATCTTGACCTTATCCGTGTCCATGGCGGTGTTGGCAACCAAGATCTTAGCATTCTCCAGACGCTTGGGCTGGTTAACACCGATCTTCTTGTCGAGGATGAATCCCTCATCCAGGTAGGAGTCACTGAGCTTTCCACCGGCCTTCTTAATCACCTGAATATGACTGAGATCGGTCGAGCCCTTGAGACGGAGGACGGCATCACAGGCGAGGGTGGCAAAGTGGTCGCGGTCCTGGGCCAGGACCTTGGAGCTGAGTGTTGTGCGGGCAATGGAGTGGAGGTCTCTGCGGAATGCCTCCATATCCTTGCTACGGTCGACAGCGGCCTTCTCGAGGGCCTCGAGAGCTGCCTTACTGGCTATCCGGAAACCTTCGATGATAGTCTGGGGATGGATCTTGCGGTTCACCAGCTTCTCTGCCTCCCGGAGCAGCTCCGCCGCCAACACAGTGACGGATGTCGTACCGTCACCGACTTCGTCATCCTGCACCTTAGAGATGTTCACCAGCACCTTTGCCGCAGCGTTATCGAGCGCAATAGCCTTTAGGATCGTAGCACCGTCATTCGTCACGAGGATTTCGCCGGTCGACCTGAATTATTGTCAGTGTGCCCAATACAACCCCGCACTTCGAAATTCATCGTCCCACGTACGCTGACTGCAGGATCTTGTCCATTCCTTTTGGTCCGAGGGTACTCTTCACCAGGTCACCGACGGCAATAGCACCGACGAAGGCGGAAAGACGGGCGTTCTCGCCCTTCTCTTCGATGACATCGTCCGCAAAGATTTGCGTGGGATTGGCGAAAGACGCCTGTACAGTTAGTGTAAATAAATAAAACAAGCAATAAAAAAGTTCTCAGGCCAACGTACCATTATGACTGTAAATGAATATTAAGATGGCTACCGTCACGGGTGAACTGGTAGCTCAGGGGTTGCTGTTCTTAAAAGGCAGTGGAGGATTATTGAATAATGCGGGACGTCCAGAAAAGTTGCGATGTGGTCCGAGCTCTAAAGCTGCTGGCAGACCGCCTGGGAACTGGGAGATTCTCTCGACCAGACGAAGAAGCCACACACCGCAAAGACTAGCGCTGCTGCTTGAGAGCTTTCTAGAATTGGTTTATTTATTCTCTATTTTCGCAATGGCTGAAACGGACGAGCAGTCGCGGTTATCCTCGAATAAGCGCCCCCATTCTTCCGTAGAGGCAGATGGTTCGTTCAAAACCTCTACAGCGAGTTTAATCATTGAAACTAACCTGATATTCTAGGAGATGACGACTCATCCGATGATGATTTCGGCCCTGCTCTTCCCTCCGCAGATGCACCCAAGAAGAAACGCCGCAAGCTCCCTTTCGAGAAGGTCTACGTGAATGCGTTGCCCGCATCGCCTCGGTACTCGAAGTCGCTCATGCACAAGGACCAATTGTCCTTTGTCACAGTATCACCATTTACAGATTTCCTTATTACAACCTCTATCGATGGAGTGGTTAAATTCTGGAAGAAGATGGCGGTGGGGGTGGAGTTTGTCAAAGAGTTCCGCGCTCACAACGGAGAGGTGAAGAGTGTCAGTGTCAGCGCAGATGGGAGGAGCTTTGCGACAACAGGGACGGACAAGACAATCAAAATTTTCGATGTCATCACATTTGGTATGTGCTATGGTGTCACAAGTGTGGTGTAAATGACTGACTCGCCGTAGATCTACTGGCGATGCTTCCATTGGAGTTCACACCACGCTGTGTCTGCTGGGTGCACCGACGAGGTGCATCATTGCCGCTGGTGGCAGTCACCGATGAAGAAAGCAGTTTGATCCAGATATTTGATGGACGAGGAGAAAACCCTACGCCAATGCACACCGTCAAGTCGATCCACCGATTTCCCGTGGCGGCCATCGCTTTCAACAATGCCTACGACTGTGTGGTTTCCGCCGACGACTCTGGCATGATTGAATACTGGCGTGCTGGCGACGGATCGTTTGAAAAGCCAGACAATGTTTTCGAACTCAAGTCGTCAACCAACCTTTTCGATTTCAAAAAGTCCAAATCAACACCCTCATCGCTGACAATATCGCCATCGGGCGAACAATTCGCTACCGTCTCCTTCCCAGACCGACAGGTGCGGATCTTTGACTTTCCCACAGGCAAGCTGTACCGAAAGTACGATGAGTCGCTGGCCACCATTACCGCTATGCAGCAGACAGGCAGCGCGATCTATGAACTAGACGAGATAGAATTTGGACGCCGTCTCGCCGTGGAACGGGAACTTGAGAACCCTGTTACAAAGCCCAAGATCAACGTTCTCTTTGACGAGTCAGGCCATTTCATCCTCTACGGCTCGCTATACGGCGTCAAGTGTATCAACACTTACACAAACCGGGTTGTACGCGTTTACGGCAAGGAAGAGCCATTCCGCGGCCTTAATCTGGGAATGTACCAGGGCCAACCCCAGAAAAAGGGTGTGGTCACAGTGTCCATGGCTGCAAGTGCCAACCCACTCCTCCAGGAAGCCGAAGAACGCGACCCGATTCTCGTCAGCACAGCTTTCGCTAAACTTCGCTTCTACCTCTTCACCAACGAAACAGAGGTATCCAAGTCGACACGCGACGTCCAAAACGAACGACCAACCCAGACAGCCGGCGGCCGGGAAGCAACCACCCAAAAGGCCAGTGAGACGGGCACATCAGCCGTCCTACACACAACACTGGGCGATATCCACCTCCGTCTATTCCCATCCGCAGCACCCAAAGCCGTGGAGAACTTTGTCACACACGCACGCAACGGCTATTACAACAACACCATCTTCCACCGGGTGATCCGCAAATTCATGATCCAGGGAGGTGACCCGATGGGCGATGGCACGGGCGGCGAGTCCATCTGGGGCGGAGAGTTCGAAGACGAATTCTCCACCCTCAAGCACGACAAGCCTTACACCTTGTCCATGGCAAACGCGGGACCCAACACCAACGGAAGTCAATTCTTCATCACGACGGAGAAGACGCCGTGGCTGGATGGTAAGCATACTATTTTCGGTCGTGCCGTGCAAGGGTTGGATGTTGTGCATAAGATCGAGAACAGCAAGACGTACAAAGAGAAGCCGGAGGATGATATCAAGGTTGTTAGTATCAGTGTGTCATGATTGTTTTTATTTTGTTGGTCTTTTATGAAGCGAATTTTTCTACTACATAGCAACTACATGAATTTTTTGTCTACATGTACACTACTACAGTATACTGAGAGTATGGAATATTTGAAAATGGGATTCACCGTCACAAAGAAACGGGTTTAAAATAGAATTCTGTATGAGTACGGAGTAGCAAGATAAAAAAAGATTCATAACGATGTGCAGATCATCGAAGCAAGGAGACATTCAGATAGACTCGGGTCAGAATCCCCACATGAAAGTCCACCGGCATAACTAAAAGAAGAAAAAGAAATGAAAAAAAAAGTACTATTCTGCAAAAGATCGAAAGGGAGAGTAGTGAACAGAAAGAAGGCGTGTCTTATATGTACTCTGTATAGGTACTGTATTGACCGACTGTACTTAACAAAAAGAAATATGTTTTAGCCAACCGATAGACACGCGGAACGCCGGATATATGCAAGATTAGCGTAGCGTAGAAAAGGGAGTAAGCTTAAAGAGTCGGTATTTAGATGAGGTGATAAAGTTGGAGGTATCTTCAAGCCTAGCGAGCTTCTCATGGGACCGATGCGCATGTTTAATTCGGTTTCGCTCGTGCGCTGGTGTTGATTTCCGTAGTATGTTTGCAAAGATCGTATTTCATGGAGAACCAGCGAGTGTTGTAGACGTCGTAGTGAAAGAATGGGGAAAGGTTCGATGGACTACCGTAGCACCTCCCGGGTCTCGACATTCCTATTGTCCATACTCTCTGGAGTCTTCTGTAACCGCGAAGGCTGGTTGGACCGAGTTTTGGACGCCATCACTTCTGTGCGAGAACTGCTGGCCACGGAATCGGTATGGACATAATCAAGAGGAGGTTGAGCGAGAGCCTGGCTTCGAGCCCCTAATTGGGTTGGGTCTTGTGCGCGATTGAACAACAGCCCGCTACTGTTGCCACTGCCAGATGTGCTGTGGTAAAGGTTGGGATGTTTGGCAGCATGACGACGTTTCAGCCACACGCCGACAATGATGATGATGGTGAACGCGACAATCAGGACGATTACCATGATCACCCACTGGTAATGACCGTCCCACCTGTAATCAATCAGTGAGACAACACAAACGGAAAAAAGAATCAAAGCGAAACCTACCAGCTCTGGGGCGCAGAGTTGGCCTTTACGGCCGCGCTAGAGGTTGCAGTACTTGCTGCCATGGTGGATGAATCGGTGGGTGAATCTGCTGTGGTGGTGGGTGTGTTGACTACCGGGTCTCCTGATGTATCATCCTTGATGTTTCCCCCAGACGAACAATAATCGTTAAACCATGTCTGAAGCAACGAGCGATCGGAAGAACTGGTGCAGGTGTCGTCGCAAGTCCCGTCCGGAGAGTTATGAAGCTGGGAGATCAAGGCTGACTGACAAAAGCAAGAAACATAGACGGATTTATCGTTCTCGGGAGCTTTAGGGGGCACACACCCACTCTGGGCCTGTTGGAGCAGGGAGCAGGAGAGTCCACACGCGGGAAAAGAATCGGAGGCGGCGGAAGGCAGGAGGATGGAGCTCTCTGCGAGCACGGTGGTGGAGAGCGATAGAATGAAGGAAAAGATCGCGACAAAAGAGACGAGCGAGAAACTAGGCCTCGTAGTAGCGGCCCTAACAGGGTTATTGGCGGTCCAGGCCAACCGGCGATGTGCCATGACGACGACTTTTTGTCGAGCTGGTGGAGATCGTCGGGGGGGGGGGGGGGGGATTTTGAGACTAAAGCGAGTGAGAAATCCAGTTACAGGAGACGGCCCACCATGATCCAGCAGGAGCAGATAGAGTTATCACAGAACGAATGACTGAAGATATTTCGATGAGTGTTTGAACGAGAGATGGAAGAATGAAAAAAAAAAAAAAAAAGAAAAAAGAAAAGAGGAAAAAAGAGGGATGAAGAGGGCCGCAGAGAGGAAGAGTCCAGACACGGCTGGAAGGCGACCCGAACGCAGCCGGCGAGGGAGAGGGGATATTGCACGGTGTCTTCCCTGTTTCAAACTCCAATATCGCCTGGGAAGGAGGATAAAACATCATCTCACAGATCCCAAGTTGCAGAAGGTGTCAGTCTTCCAGAACGAATCCGTCGTGAAGCCACAGGTTGCAACCCAACGACCCATCCTCATCCCCCGCATGCGTCTGCCCGCCTACGATGTCACAACGAACCGTTGACCCGTCAGGCCGGCTGGCTGCAAGTTGGACAGAATTAGATATTCGATGACTCTTGTCCATAATTCCATTGTGTTGGTTCCACAGGTTCGATCGACGTGCCGGAGCTCTGGAGAACTCGTTTGCGATGGTCTGGTCGCATCGCGATTCGCGAATTCACGATGATTTCTGTCTATCAAGGGCAAAGAGCCACTACATCCTATCCTCGACTCTTAGATCTTTCATACCTCCCTTCAAGATGCGATAAATTCTACCATCATGATTGTGATGCCGCCTGACGTCCAAGCTGTTTAACTTTAACATTGTTGACCTGTTCCAACGGGAAATGATCCACGGATCGTCCCTGCGATGGACCCAGATCTTCACCAAGATGGACGGATTCTTGGAAGGCCAAGAAGGTTCTTCGAAGCGCCGACAGGGAAGAATGCTTCTGGTGATCTGTCAGTTTCTGCATCGCTTTTAAGCTTAGACACTTGTTTCTTTTGTTCTGGAAGCCGGAGTGGCTGCGTCGATCTGTGCGACCGTCTGCATTCCAGCCTTGACGGGTTCAGCCAGACAACACCAGCTGCTACTCAGCCTACTCAGCCTACTCTGCTAGTACTTTCGGTCTATCACCGCACACTCAATGTTAACCTGCATTTGCTAAATCGTTCTAATGGACCGACATACTAACTACTAACTGACAAAGGCAGAACAGTCTTATCTCCTCGCGGAGTACTTACCTCCGTGCAAATTTCGAAGCTGTATCCAACAGACAAATGAAAATCCTCAACATCTCATCATGTGATATATTGTTCATCCTGGAGGAAGCCGCTCTAAGCACTAAAAAGACGATCACCAGAACATCGACGGAGTTGAAGGCCGGAGATTGCGCTTATTGCCATCTGATGCGGAGTTGATTCCGTTAAATCCCGCATACCATGGAGATAAAGTCTAGGATATAAAAGCTGCTATTCCAGTTGCTGAATTACTGGTATTTAGCGGACTTCACTTATACTAACTAACGGATATCCAATCTACAACCATGTCTACACCACAAGTTTGGCTCATCACAGGCGCTTCCTCCGGCTTAGGCACCGTCCTCGCCGAAACCGTCCTAAAAGCCGGCCATAAAGTGATTGCGACAGCCCGTGATCCTGTCAAAGCAGCCCAGACACATCCCCAGATTGAATCTCTCGGTGGAAAATGGCTACAACTCGACATTACCCGGCCAGATACGAAGGAGACAGTCGAAACCGCCATCCGCGAAGCTGGTCATATCGATGTTGTCGTGAATAATGCAGGGTACTCGTTGCTGGGTAGTATAGAGGATATGAGGTATTCCAACTGGCTGGACGGATATAACAAACTTGCTAACACCACGCAGCGAAGAAGAAATTCACCAGCAGATAAACACCAACCTCTACGGCCCGATTCGAGTAACCAAAGCCGCCCTCCCATTCATGCGCGAACAAAAGTCCGGCACAATCGTCAATGTAGGTAGTATCGCCGGAATCCACGGGTATCCATCATGTGGTCTCTACGCAGCCAGCAAATTCAGTCTCGAGGGTACGTTTCCAGCTCTAGCTTAGAATATCCAACTAACACCAAGAAGGTTTATCCGAAGCCCTCTCAGTGGAAGTAGCTCCATTCAACATCCGAGTCCTCCTAGTCGAACCAGGTTCATTCCGTACAAACTTCCTCTCTGCATACCTCACACCAGCCGCCGGATTGAACCCGGCATACGAAGGCACCGCAGTCGATCAAATGCTGCAACTATTCCGAGACAGCAACGGCAAACAACCCGGTGACCCGGTCAAGGCTGTCGAGCGTATCTACGACGTGGTACAGGGTACAGGATTGGGAGCCGGGAAGACGAACTTCCTTCGACTTCCCCTAGGAAAGGACTGCATGTCTCGGGCCCGAAGCAAGTTGGAGGGAATGCTCAAGAACCTTGATGAAATGGAGGAGATAGCCAGCAGTACTGGTCTTGCATGATCTTCGGATGTTTATTACAGGTATGAAATTGCATGGGATCAATCTTTGCTAGATTCGTTTTATCTCGCACGGTGTATATACAAACGAAGATACGAATAGAAGAAACGACGAGAAGAATTTTCTCTTGAGCACAATGCATATCGGAACTTCGCCATGTGAATGACTGGGTCCTTCGGTCCTCCAAATACCAGCGACTCTTGAATGCCCAACTAAGATTGATTGACTGACTAGTAGAATATCTTCGAGATCCTGAGACTGCATGTGCATCCATTGAAATAAAAGCGAAAGGTAACAGGAAGAATGCATCAGAACAGAGCGCTGAGATTTTTCTAAACCTCCCAGTCGCCATGGGCCCTCAAAACCTTTTCTGTGCCGTTCTTGCATGCGGTTATCATGAAGATCAAATCATCTGAACGGACTCAGCTTATTCTGGGAATTTTCCCATGTCGCCTGGACGGACCTGCAAGATGGTGCCGTCACTGTGTCTGAGATTGCAGAATTTGTGTACAAGATCATCGCGTTCATGCTGCGTCATTGTTGTGCATAAAACACAAGTGTCTATGTTTGCAAGACCCTGTGTCCATTTCGTTTATCAATCTGTTAGAGCCGGCGTGGATGAACCAAGGCATCATGGACTGTTGACACTTTTATTTCGCATCGGAGGTGTAACTATCATATTTCATTAAATGCAGTTGCTATATCAGAAGAATTGACTTGCTCGGCGCGATCATTTGATCATATATCATTATGAAATGAGTATGAGATGAGTTTTTGGATGATTAGAATTGGAGATTTCATCATATTTATAGAGTAGATTGGAGTGAATGTAAATATAGGCAGTGATGGAATTATCTTAGGCAACAGATGCCTGGAATAACAGACAGATGAATATCCAACATTTCCCTCATGAATTCACCACTATCTTCAACAAACAGCATAGCCCATCTATATACAATCATGCTTGATTTCATTAAATTACTAGATTTGAGATTCTTCATAATAATCGCAGAACTTTTGCGACTCGAAATACTCAACCCCGATCAGATCGATGACATGCTCGCATTCCACGAAATACTATGTTAGAAACGGAAGCTATACCCACTGGCAGCAGCAGTTCGATACGTGGCCAAGCTCCTCACACTAGTCCGTGAAAAAGAAAAACAGATCCAGTGGATTAATCAAGGCTGGAGATTGAGAGAGCAGATAGCATCCATCATACTCCTTGAACTATCCCTAATAGGCAGAATTGAGATCCTCCATCAGCAATTTCTACCAGGTCCAGGTGCAGAAGACCAGTTCTTATATGAAGCTCTACAGAAAGAGCACGACAAGCTCAAAGCACGTCAGGTCCAGATCGACGACGACCACATTGTCTTTTGCTGTCAGTGTCCGGGTGGTGCCTGGATAAGAGAGCATCTCAGTGTTTCCTGGTGGGAGAGGGAAATTAATGACTGTAAAGCGAGGGGAGGATGTTGCAGTCGATCGTGTCAGTGTTGTATGAAAAGTAGGCGGAGTCCTGGTGGTCAGAAGGGGAGTATTTTTCCAGATGTGCAGGTACATTGTACGTCGGATTGCTGGTGTTGCTTTCATGAGATGATATAGTCTTGATGGATTATAGGATTATAAGTGGTGGTTTGTTTAATAGGACTTTGTGAGGCAGCTGGGTCCTACTGTCTCTTCTTACCTTCTCTCACCTTCCCATTCCCCATCTTCCATCCTCTACTTGCTGCTCACGATCATCAAATGGCTTTCTTTCTGACACTATATTGGATAATAGTAGCAATCCTGTGCATCGCAATACTCAACTCTTGCCTACCAAAGAGGATAATCACCAAAATCCAAAAATTCAAAATCGACAACCTCTTCGCAACCCTCGAACACCGTCTAAAGAAAGCAGACCGATCCGAAATCGCAGCAGCAATCCGCAAAGTCGCCAAATTCTACACACGCCCAAGCGAAAAAGTGAAGCAGATTAAATGGATCACACGATGGGATACTCTTGCCAAGAAAGCACAATCCATAGCACACCGTGAACTGTACCTATACGAAAGACGAGACCTGCTGTCTCAATGATCCTATACTCAGGGATTCACCGATAACGAACTCGAGATGTTCAAGGCTATACAAGCGGAGATCAATGGCATCGAGGCTAGATATACAAGGGTTTCTGACGAATGGAATGAGAATAGCAGCCAACAACCATCTGGTGCTTGGATTAGAGAACACGATATCATGTTTGAGAACTGGTGGGAGGAAAAGGTCGACGAATGCTAGTCGAATGGAGGCTGCTGCAGTTGATTGTATCAGTATTGCAGCAGATTCAGATGGGGATATGATGGTTAACAGGCAACGGAATATTCAGAGGCATTCATTCATTGTACGACAGAGTGTGGATGCTGTATTCGATGGAGGGGATATTATGAGCCGGACGAGAAGGAGAGAAGGGATCGAGAGTGGGAGACGAACTTGTCTTTTGTATAATTTGTATAACCAGTTCTATTCTTTATTATAATCGATTACATTCTCTCAACAGCAGACTTGCCCGTCAAATGTCTCTCGCTGACAATAACCCCCCGATATCGCATCCTCCCCTCCTCCATCATTTGATACGCAGCTTCAATCCCACCCTTGGTCATCGGCCAGCTCATCACGATAGGCCGGATTCCTTTGAGCGAGACAAAGCGCAGCATCTTCCTGACAGCCAGCTGGGAAGCACCAGACGATCCTTGGATTCGGATACCGTTGGAAACTAGAGCCTGGATAGGGAGAGGCGGTGTTTCAGAGCTGACCGTCAAGAGATGGATAGTGCCAGAGTGAGCGACGAGGGGAAAGATCCTACACCAGTCAGTATACACGATCCAGATAGATGGAGAGACTGACCTGGCGAAATCAGGCGCACCACTGCCACACCATAGCAGATGCTGGACGGGCTTCACTGCGGTCTTAGAAACGCCTTCTTCGAGGACGTGGAACTCCTTTGCCCCCAGCCCCGTCATGACCTCGCTTTTATCGCTCTTCGATCCAAACGCAACAACGTCGTATCCCAATGCAGAGGCAAACTGAACAGCCATATGCCCTATCCCACCCACGCCTTGAATCCCAACTCGATCTCCCGGTCTCAGATCGTATGACGTCAAGGCATCCCAGACTGCGGCACCACCACACATGAGGGGGGCAGCAAATTGAGACTCCAAGATATCAGGCAGCTTGACCAACATACTCTCATCCCAGACAGCATGGGTAGCAAACGAGCCGATCTTGAAAGCATCAGTCCCGTACGGCTCGCGTTGCTCACAATATTGGTCCTTGTCTGGGATTATCAGCATACTCTCTTCTATCCTACTCTTAATTACGGACAAACTCACCAGTAATGCAATAGTCGCACTTCCCACACACTTTCTGAACCCATCCAAATCCAACTTTATCGCCCGTCTTGAAGGACTCAACGGCACTTCCAACGCCCCGAACGATTCCTACTCCCTCGTGACCTAACGCAATAGGCTTGTTCTTGTATAGCCGGTCTGTCCCGCAGAGTCCGGCATGCGTGATCTCGACAAACACTCCAGTGGGCTGGATAGTGCGTCTGACAGTGTCAGGGACGACATTGCCGCTCTCTGAGCCGCGGAAGATGTTGAATTCGACTGTTGACATTTTCTTTTTTTCTTATTGAAGTTTACTATTATGTAGTGTTTCTGGGGGCATGGGCTGTCTATAATTATGCTGGGAATGAAGTCATCATCACTTAATAGTTGGACTATTGGATCGCATTCATTGTCCGTCTGACAAAAGCATGCGTCAATGGAATCTATAATATCATTCTAGCAATAAATACTACAGTATTTATTTGCGTTGAGCTCTTCTTTTCACCTGATTAACGTTGCACTTTATGGCCCTCGTTATGGCTTTATATCAGCTCACTGCTGTCTGATTGGGTATGTAAATCAAGTTAACAAGAGCTGCCTAAAGTAGTGTAATTATTGCATATTCAAGGCGTCCACCGTAGACTGAAGATACTTTCTCTCCCTCTCTCGATCCAATAATCCATCATCCATCGTACAACTACACGCCTGCTCTCTATTCTTCTACGAACGGATAAAACACCCACTCGCTTCATTCTCCCATCTCGTTCTTGATCGATATACCACTGGCCGTATTTCTAAGTGACACCACGCTCATCCTTACATGGATCCAACTGCTACTGGCAGTCTACATCGTCCATATTTCCTCAAAGTATTTTCTATCCAGGCTCAAACAGCGGTATGCCAAATTAACCATCAAAAAAAGACTATATAACTAATTTGACATGATGCTAGAAATAAGCAACATCTGTCTATTCTCCCAGTCCACGAGCACAATCAAGAGAAGAAAGGTATGGCAGTTAAAATATACCGCATGCTGTATATAATACTTTCCTATCGAAGAGTCTCGAAGAGTTTCCCTCGTGTTGCAGGCGATGTCAAGAGTGAAAGGATTGCTTGATTCTGCTGTATCTCTACATGTGATAGTTGTTTGCTGTATATTCTTTGTTAAAATGTTCAGAAAAGATATGTACAGTATATGCTTGGATGGATGAAGCCATTGCTCAAAATTGTCTCTTTTGGGGTATATCAGTTGTCAGAATATATTGTTTAAGCTGAATTGGTCGCATTTATAAATTCAATTTTGGCTAGCGGCTGCTTATACACAAACCCTAAGAACTCATCTGAATATCCTCATAGAATATTCACCAATTTGTATAGATCCCTACCTGTGTCATCACGCCAAGAACGAGCACTAACCGGCCCGCCCCGCTCCTCTCATTGTGTCCCGCATCTCCAGCTTCCACCATCTCACACTCCCTCTCACCTACCATACTTACCCATCATGACCGACTCATGTTCATCCAATCCCTCAAGCGCCAGCATGAATCCCCGCCTCCTCTCTAGCATATTCTCCTCCCTCGGCTCGCGCAGCTGGGCCTTAACCCGCACCCTCAAGAGCGACAACCCAATGGACATCAAGGGCGAATTGCGCGGCATGGCAACCTTCACACCGCTCCGAGGAAACGGTAACGACAACAATGACGTCGTGTATCGCGAAGAAGGCGAAATGCCCAGCACGGTCGGGATGGGCATGGCGGGCCTCCGATGGACGAAGAAATATATCTGGCGTTTGGGCGAGAAGGGCAATATCAGTGTGTGGTTCGTCAAGGTTGGGGGTGAACAAGACGAGGCGGATTACCTCTTTCATGAGTTTGATTTTGCCGGTGAAAACAAGGATAAGGATACGGAGGATGCGACAAACCCGGTTGTCACTCCGCCTACGCCGCCGCTGCTTTCGAATTCAGACCGGGAGACAACGGTCCTCATGGCGCGCGGAAACCATTTGTGCATTAAGGATATGTATCGAACGGCGTATGCGTTTCGGATTGATCCCGAGACTGGTGATGTGTTGAGCTGGTCGAGCCGGCATATGGTCAAGGGGCCTAAGAAAAACCAGGATATTGTCAATTTATACCGGTTGGAGGGGTGATTTCGTCCTGAGAAGTTATCATATCGATACTACCAGACTGAAGATTTACGGTGTCTAAAAGAACGTCTGACAACCGAGACGAACCGAGACCCATCACCTCGATCTATCACGGGAATCAATCCATAACAACTATATGTATATCTGGAGGCAGTGAACAGCCTTACTGTATGGTTTTAACAGATGGTTGTTAGCTCAAGAGTCTCCAGCTCGAGATTGTTCGCGACAGATTAGATTCACTACAGGCGATACACAGCAACAGCAGGCAACTTTATCAGATCTAGATTAACCATTGCTTTAGAAGTCATTGTAATTAGTCGCATCGAGGAATACCTCAGTAAGAACCAATACCCAGTTGCTTTTATGTTTCGTTTCCTTCTGCAGTCTGTAATAGTCATTATTCCCTCTTCTATCCAACTGGCATGCATCTTCACATGCTCTATATATCCTCATATCATGATGTTCATAACCAAACGTGGATGTCATAACCAACGTCTGTCTGCAAAATAAACTGTTCACAGAGTGTATATAAAATCTGGCCTCTTATCACCTAGGGCTGAAATCTGACTAGGAGTCAGTCCCTCAACCCAGTGGTCACGGTCTCCACGACGACGCTTGCGGTTCTCCCGTATTAAAAGGTAATACTGCAACGTGGAACATATGAGCAGGAATATCACGAGATATCCGAGAACGACACCGTGGCCGGGGTAATAGGTGGGTTTGTCTTGGCCGCGGTAGATGTTGGAAGCGACAACTCCGTTGAGGTTTCCCCAACCGATGACGATCCCCAGGGTTACGCCTCGTTTGTAGACACCTGATGATCCAGTTAGACAAGAAAAGCTGACGTGGAATAATCATAAAACATACCCTCAGTGTTGTTACTACACCAGGTGATTGTATTAGCGACACAAGGGTAGATACCCATGGCACCTAGGAATGTCCCTGCATATTGAACACCGGGTGAATTGGAGCCGATGAGCATGCAGAAACCTGCAATGCCTATGAAAGATGTGAATATGTTGCAAAGTCCACGCTGTTTCGTGCGATCGGCAATGAATCCGACTGCGACGGTTAAAATGGCTGCTGCTGCGTATGGTGGGACACTGAGAAGTTGAGCTTTGATTTCGGTGTATCCTATATCTCGTTAGTCTGTTTACCCACGGGTTGAGGGTGAGTAAAGATGTTATTACCCTATGAGATGTTAGTATTTGGTAAAGCAGATGGTATGGTAGCACTTACTAGCTGGTTGATGATAGTCGGAACAAACAGGGAAAACGCATACAACGTGCTGTCGGAACCCATGTAGATAATGGCAAAGAGGTACGTTTTGTAATCCTTGATACTGGCCCAGAAGTAATCCCACTTGAGCTCTTCACGCTCAGCACTACCCTGCTGGTCGGCAGCAAGACGGCGGAGGACGCGCTTCTTGTCAGCGTCCGACAAGAACCTGGCCTTGTCGGGAAAGTCATGGATCATCCAGAACGACACGATACCGATAAGGATGGTCGCCAGACCTTCCAGAATGAAGATCCACGACCAACCCGATTTTCCACCAATTCCATCCATTCTGCCAATCGCAGCGGCCAGAAGACCACCGAAGGATCCAGCAAGGGCAGCCGAAGAAAAGAAAATGGCCATCCGGACACCGAATTCCGACCGTTTATACCAGCAGGAGAGGAAGTATCCAATACCAGGGAATAGGGCGGATTCCGAAAGACCGAGGAAGAATCGCGCGGCCATGATTCCGGCATAGTTGTGAACGAGACCCATGCAGGTCATGCAGATTCCCTACACAACAACTTGATCAGCGCACGACAACAAAAGTATTTATAAACAACGTGCAGTACTCACCCACAGCATCATGCAGATGGGAATAAAGATCTTCGGCGTTGTTCGCTTGAGTAACACGTTGGTCAATGGCTCGAAAACCGAATACGAGACGAAGAAAATAGTGAGCGCTGCATTGTATTGGTTGTCGGTCATGTTGAGATCATCCTCCAGTCCAACGAGCTTGGCATTGCCTATATTCGTTCTGGTAAACATTAGCATGCCTGTCGGCCAAGCTAATACAACTGAATGATACACACCGGTCAAGGAAGGAGATGAGATAGAGCAAACTCAGCCAGGGAACCAATTGCAAGTCAAGTTTCCAAAGCAATTTACGGTCCTAACCCGTGTGCATTAGCCATAAATCCAGAGTAAAGAGACGTAAATTAATAAAAGTTAGTAGTCAAAACAAACTTACAATCTTAGCCCGTTCCTCCTCGCTCAGCCCCGCATCCGGGTCCTCAAATTCCTCCAGTTTTGAGTTGTAGGTGACATCTCCAGGCTCGATATCCTTTGGAGAGCGTGCAGAGTCTGGCTTTTCGCTTGGCTTTTCATCGGACTTGTCGATTGGCTTCTCCGACACCATATCTGGGTTCTCATATGTCTTTTCATCATCAGGATGTGCCATGGTCAATGGTTGTTGACAATGCTCGCAATGAGAACAACGAGAGACTTGACAAAGAGATGGAGACAGCGAGAGGGGAAAAAAGGGACGAGAGGGGGGAAGAAGGGGAGCTCTTAAGAGTCAGGGCCCCAAACGTCATGGACAAGGGGGTCCATTTTCCATTCCAATCCGACGTTGCAATAGCCCGAAAGGATGAGTGGTAAAAGAGCGCAGATCTGTTAGACAGGAAGCAAGGGACAAAGACATAAATTTCCGCAAGAGAGAAAGAAGCAAACCCCAAGAGTTTCGGGCTATCGAGATTCGAGTCACACTCGCTCTGGGCCGCGCCGATCTCCAGGTTATTTTGCTCGAAGCTCCACGTTGGAACTGAAAATACGGGCTTTTCTTGCGGGGTTGAAGACAACCAGGGCTCAAAGCGCTGATCCTACGATGATTATTGGCTCGATCTTTTGACCGGCTCCAGCACTCATTGGGAATTGTCGCTTGTATGAATTTTTTATCCAGACTATCTTCTCGTCTAAAAGGGTGCTAATGCAGTGATGCTGCTAGTCTGCAATGCACGGCACACCCTAACTTGCATCTCGCAGCAGAATAATCCCAAACCCCGAAGATAAAACACCCACGTTCGCTATCTTGAATTAAGTTGACAAATCGTCTTTTGGAGATACAGTTCCTCAAGCCCAGCTCGAATTCCCGCCACCTATCCCATCGATCCAGTCTGATTGTTGCTAGAAGCCTTCAAAAACCTAAATTTACACTGCCGAAAACTGGGATGTACTTTGAAGAGCTCATATGCCCCGGCTGCCATCTTGATTCCGTGGAACCGAATAAAGACCTCCCCGGCCACGTGACCATCATTGACACGTTCAATATAGTCGCAGTAAACCGATTTCTTCAGCACCCGACAGACCTCTGCCGTGAGAGACTCACGAGGGCCGTAGATAGCTAAAGTCCTAGTGTACCCTTCCTTGATCAACCGTTGCATCTCAGCAGTCATCGGATATGTTGGTGTGTTAACAAGAGTGACCCGGGCTTTACCCATAGCAGTCCCAATACGTAGTCCCGCTCGAGAAAGACCGAGGAATCCCATTGCATCGTTCTGTGTCACAAAAACTACGATCGCGGTCGGTGATCCCGTCAAATGGCTTGTCTTGAGCAGACGGGCGGAGTAAATCTCCCCAGGGATCATGGATAAGATCTGACCCATGTCCGTTTTGATTGGAAAGTTTTCGATCTTGACAGTTCGATAGACATCCTTCTCTCGTTTGGCAGGGACATATCGTATGCCATACTGAAATACCCAGAGATCGGCAACGGGCTCGCGGGAGAGAATATTGGGACGATACATAAAGGCGTCGAGTTCATCGTTATCATTCTCGAAGACACTACATCCCTTGATGGCCCAGCGAATCTTTCCATCCCAAGGCCCTGTTGCTATTTTACTTCTCGGTCCAGTTGGGATAGCGTTGTTTTGACGGGGTTGAACGTCGGGAGTAGGCTTCTGTGTAGTACAACAGCATGTTAACTCAACTCATCCCAACAGAGCAGACCTAGGGGAGGTAGAGAAACAACACTCACTCGCTCCGGCTCCAACACAGGAATCATGAGGTCGTCCAGTCCACCATCAAGAAGTCCACCAGTCCCAGCAGCAAGCTTCGCACGAAGGGCAATCGCATCCGTCTGTTTTGGCTGCAAAATCGGCACTCGAATATCATCCAAGCCACTATCCATAAGATTCGACCCTTGCGCTTTCGTCTCGGTGGTCACAGAAGCCATACCGGTATCGCTGGTCTTGTCTGTGTACTGAACGGGAGTTGACGATCTAGAGGCCTGAAAGATTGACTGAATCTGAGCGTCAATTCGCCGGTGGAGAAAAACGTGAAGAAAAATATAGAAAGTGAATACGATGAGCAGATTTGTGATGAAAGTGTTGAAGGTGTCCAAGACACCCACAGAGGGTTGAGGGGCCCTGCAACCTTCCATATTGGGAAAGGGGAAGGAGAGTGTTGGTTGGTTGGAGGAAATGTTAGTGTTTATATCTTTTCTACCCAGATAGATGAGGAGAAGCTTGAAGAGATTAATAAAGAGAAAGGAGGATTGGAGAAATAAATACAGATTATGGAAGGGAAGAGGAGAAGGAGGAGAAATGTGAGGGTATTTAAGATGTTGGGGATAGTGAGACAGGCTGAGTGGGAGATCATGCGACTGGAGATAGAGTGAGTTGAAAGAGATTAAACACTCAGTAGAATGATGTTGGTTATGAATTTCAGTAGACCTCACATCTCATTCCTTACCTCAAACTCACTGTGCTCTCATATCAAAGAATTAACTAAACAATCACTGGACAAATGGTCATGAGAAATGATATCTCACTAACATAGCACTCTCCAATCGATTTCACCTCACCTTAGCATTAGTTGGCTTCAGGTAGATTCATTGAACCAAGGCTGGAGATGAACAGCACCTGCTTTGAAGTATGGCCAGTATAGAAGATAACATCGACATGATTTAAAAATTCCTTTCTCAGGAACACTTATCCCGAAAGTACTTACATATCAAACTAGAATGAAATATATTGACAATTTGCCTCATGATCCTTTCGTGAATCCATATTTTTAAAGTATCGTAGCATCCAATGATGCTTCTTATCCCAGGAATTCTCCTTGGGCCAAAGTAATCCATGGCGAGTCCTCGTCCCAGCAGCGCTGCATCAATTTTCGTGCATTTTGAATCTGTTAACGGCAAAATATGTTAGCAATGGACTTTGAGCTGTATTGCTAAAACAGGTAAACGGTTATCTCACCTGTTTCATGCCCGTCTTTTCCAAGCTCCTGAATCTTTCCAAAATTTCCTTCTTTTGCTGAGGATCTTGAGTTTCACAGCCTGCTGTAAACAGTGGAAACAAGACCCCGACTTCGGCAGGTGTATTCGTTTTTATTCTGCGCAGCGCTTCGGTAAGCTGGTCTAATGCCTCTTTGACCGGGGAGGAATATGGAGAGGTCCCCAAAACGCGGCGATGGAGATGAAGGACTCCTGCGAATCGAAACGCCTGATCAATAGCAACAATGTCCGTGGATCCCAAATTTTGGTAATGCTTTCCACTGGCATGGGCCCGCATATGTACATACTCCACGTCTGTGATCAACGATTCGGCTTCAAGAACCACTTCATCCGGTGGTCTCCAGTCGGAGCGGAAAGTCCCCATATCGTCAAAACGTTGATTGTCGCACTGGTGAACTAATTTGCCCAGGCGCGACAGAAACACACCGGTTCGTGGTGTAAAACCAGTAAAACAGTCAATGCAGAAATCATCATTTCCCCCTTCTGGGCAGCAGGTAGTTAACACAGAATGATATGTGAGTAATGGCGGTTCATTGAGTCGGCAAGACAAAGCTCCCATGATATCGATATACCCTAGCCAGCGAGCAAAAAATGCTCCAATACGATTTCCAGGATATGCCATTTGCTCTCCGTGGGCATTAAATAGATCACGGGCAAGTTTGAGGTGGCTTTGCCAAGGGATTGGTACCTCGAAAGTGCTAGGAGATATAATCTTCAACGAGAGAAGCATGATAGCCGTCGCCAGATGACTGTCGGTAACGTTTTCATGCGGGTCATCCAGGGCCAGACGTAGAGTCGGAAATACATTGCTGACCCAGTGCGCGATTCGATTGGAAGGCTCGGGGTGGTCCAAATATCGGGCACGATGACTGGCCGAATATGCCAGCGTGAGGTTTAAAAGGTTGGAATCCATAATAGCCACTACATTGTCAGCATAAAAATACGAGGATTATTTCCAGTAGCTTACTTGATGGTAGAACTGAGATAAATGGGTTGTCATCGCAATCGTGTGGAACCAACATCCTGGCCGTGTGATTGATAAAGTGGTGGAAATACATCAAGTTGATTGGATTCCCCAGAAGTGTTGAAGGCAACGGCGATAGGCATCTCGGAATATTTATAGGCACAGGAGACACATAATAAGAATGTCTAGAGTAAGAGTCTTCTTCTCTGGGCTGTGCTTGGGCGTTACCCGGTTCAGAAACATGAGGAGTTTTCCATTGTGAATTTATCAAATCTAGCGCGGAATTGATATCGATCGCAGCATGATCATCGTTTTTGTTCAAGTCCAAGTCAGGGCTACCACGGTCTAATCCATAATTGTCCGTTACACTGGTAAGATATACGTGCCATTTCCTTTTGGAAGCTGAACCATCAGTCTGGCGTGCCTCCTCATCGACGCCCCCGGCCTGGCTAGATTGGATGCCCACTGGCTGACCACTTGACTTGTACAAACAATTATCCAAGATCAATGACCTAGGTGTATCTTTGGTGTAAATGTCTTGCACAGCAACGGGGGAGTCGTTCGATGAGGTCGGAGTATTTTGCTGTGCACTGTACGATGAAGACAAACTCATCTTCCTTGGATGAGAAGATATTCCCCCTTCCAAATTCATGGAGATATCTGCTGGCGAGTCTTCATGTGGAAAGAAATGCAGTGTGTCAGCAAGGAAGGGATACCGAGGGACTTTGGGACGCTTGGCCTGTTGACCGGACACCATATCGTCGTATTCTGACGAAATGTCTATTGATCGCTTGGAAGTTTCCATAGACTGGCGGAGAGATGACGTTGGTCTCGAGACTGAGCTGGGTGTAAAGGGAAATATGCCAAAAGGTGCTATACTGGAGCTTCTATCGACTGGCGAAGGGAATTGCACACCGTCCACGTATGAAAGCGATGAGCTACATACAGGGATACTCTCTGTGGCATTTGGCGTCATTGACTGAGGAGACTGCACTGGCCATGCGATAATAATATCCTGCAGTTGTGGCGGTGACTTCACCGCTTCTGAGGTAGTTGTGTCTGCGTGATTGAAATGGTCCAATGGCTGGCCAGGAAAAGCAGGAGATCCGTGGAAGTCGTGGAGACCTCCAGCGTAGGATGTCTCTGGTGTAGAGGCTCCTGGGACATCGGAGTCCCAGAATATATTCTCATTGGTAAGGTCCAGCGATGAGTTGTTTCGTGGCGTATTGGACGAACTGGGCGGTTGAACTGGGGCAGGCGGCGAAAGAGGCAGGGAGAAAACAAACCCTCCTGAGTGGCCACTGGACGAGCCTGGAGATTCTACTGAATTCCTTTTCGTCCTACCCTCCCAATTCAAACGGATGCTATAATCACATGGTTCTCTTTGCCGTCGACAATTGAGACAGGACGGCTTTTCTTCGCCGCTACCATGCCAATTAGCAAGGACAAGGGTGCCAACGACAGCATAGAACGTACCATTTGACCTTTCGTGCTTTACATGGCCTGTATGCGATTAAGTCAGTTTGCGGTTAATCACGTCAGAGATAAAATGCTCACCAACATCCTTTGCGGCTTCTCCGCTTCGGTTCAGGTGCACCAGGCCTTCTAGGACGAGGCATTGCACGTCAACGAGAATAATTGGGTTGAGTGCAAAGATCGGACGAGAAATAACAATAACGACCTGGAGAATTAATGATTTGGGGCTTCAGATAGCCCAGGATTATTGCGTAAAGTAAGATCGCCATGCAGGCCATATACTGTGTATAGCACAGTATATGCTTCAGGGGAAGCTCAAGCGCCAATGAACGTCTTTTCCGCCGAGAACAGCGTTTGGCCCAAGTGGCCACAAAGCGATAATCGACCAGACACCCACACCTGGTGTTTGTACCCATCGAGGTGTGGGAGAAGGCTGAAAGAATCCTGGTAGAAGGCGTTGGAACGGGGACACTGACTGGGCAAGGTAAGTGATGAAAGGGAAGGTGGAGGAGATAATGTCGAAGTGGTGGTAATAAGACGACGCCTGCAGAGACCAACCGACTGGGAAACACGAGGGTACCTGGAAAGCGGAGGCCCATTGCCAGTCAAACGGCATTGAGATAGCCACAGGATGCGGGCCATATGGTTGGACATCGGCCATCTCCATCAATCATCCTCCATCGTTGCTCGCCATCCACAATGGATGGTTTGTGGGGAAACGCGACGATTCCTGCTGTTGGCGGTTAGACTGGAGATAAGGCACCGTCGGCACGCTGGTTGTTCCGGCTACCGTCGGGGCTGTCCGGTCATCGTCATCGTCATCGCCCAGCTGAGCTGTCGAGTCTCGCCATCAATCATCTTGGTTTAATTAATTCGTAGCTCTGGGAGCTTGTTGTTCTGCTTCAGACATCATGTCGCCGCCACTGCTTAAGCATCCTCTCCAATGGATGTCGAGCCCCTCAAGAGGGGTTTCGGCCCTGGTCCATGTGAGTATTTCCTTGTTTCTGGTTCCCATGGTCGTTCCGTGGCTGTCAGGCTGACTTCCCCGCCTTGCATAGTTGATGGGCCTGAGCAGCTTCATATGGTCGTTCAAATTGTACGTTGATGATATTATCTGCACAATATTCAGCCCATAAGAAAAATGGGTATTATTGCTATGATGTATCCCGATTGTGAAACTAACTGAGCCGGGTAGCATGCACGAAAATCCGAATCGCGCGTAAGGTTTCTCAACGGCACTACCCCCGGGAGGTTTACCGATATCTGATGGACCGATAGGAATGAAGCATACGGCTGGCACTTCCAGTATCTGACTGTTGTTGGTCTGGCTCTGTCCACTTTGACCTTTACTGCTGGTCTTTTGGCGGATTTGACCCTGTCGCCTCGGCTATTTTTAGCCAAGAACGTCTTATCTATTTGCAGTGCTCCTATGGAAGTTCTCATCAGCGTTCTTTACTGGGGTCTTCGATTGGTTAGTGTTATCGACCCAACGCTTAATTTACAACCTCTAATATCTTCAGATCGATGAGCGCTTGGTGGTCCCTGCATGGGCAGTGATTCCTTTGGACGCTGGTGCGTTTAACATCCAACCTAATGTCATGATTTTAGTTGACAATAAATATGCAGACATCGGCTTCCACGCAGTTCCCTCAATCGTCTTGTTGATCGACTTACTCCTTCTCTCCCCGCCCTGGACAATCAGCGTCTTACCAGCTCTAGGCTTGTCCAGCACTATTGCTTTTGGATACTGGATCTGGATTGAGAGGTGCTTTAAATACAACGGATGGTCTGTTGAATCTTTTCTATGTCTTTGGCTGAGATGCTGATATAAACAGGTATCCGTATCCTATCTTTGACCAGCTACCTTTCGAGGGCCGCGTTGGGCTTTTCGTGCTAAGTGCTGTGGTCATGGCTCTCAGCACCGGCACTCTCAAGTGGTTACACGGACGCGTCAATGGCTACGGCACCTCGGAAAAGACACAGTCTCGCCCTGGTGCTATCGAGAAGAATGGCAGTATTTAAAAGGCCACTATCTTGCTTTGTGACCGCCAAGATCCAACAAAGGGTCACTAGCAAGGATCCGCCTAACGAACATATGAGAACAATATTTATATATGACTGAACTATATATGCGAATGAGCGATAGATATATATAACTTATATAGCGTCAAGTACTTGCATCTTGGGGGCTTCCCCGGGCTGATCAATTTAATTGGGTATCGTTTCACAAATCTGTTTAGCATAGAGGATTGCTGTCTTTGTGGTTGAGACTATACGCCCTTATTCGGCTACATTATCTAGCCTAGATTTTACCAATGAAATAGATTATCAATCTAGCTTTATCGACCATAGGCAATGTTAAATACAGCGCATATCGCTGAATAGAATAGGTACCTACAATTGCTTGGTCACTATGGGCAAGTGGACTGTGACGTCACGTGGTCATTGATACCATTTCCTGCAATGATACAAAACTCAACACAGAAAAAAATCTTATGCCACTCTACATAACGAACCCAAGAATCAATCTAATTCCCTTTATAGACAGTCCTGATTGCAAGCAGATGTATATGTTGCTTGCTTGCTGTTGTAGTTAATGCGCAGTCTTGAATCCTGCTTACATAACCGACTACAGCTTTGAGCTTCCGTTTGTCGGAAACTCTTCAATCTCCGCTTTCTTCTCGCAACTTCAGCTCTGCATCACGCATCCTTTCTCCCGCTCAAGATGCACGGAATGACGATTAGTGCCCCGGTGCGCAATGCCGTGCTGGGTGGTCGCTTGTCTTCGGCCGCTCTGGGGCCACTCGCCTCGAGCCCAATGACCTCCCAAAAGACCTCATGGAAGCAACACACACGACCGGTCAGCACCTCGTCCACACAGATCAATGGCGTCTCTGCCCCCGCTACTGCATTGAAGGCGACACCTCGACCACAGGCAACAACGGCTTCCCTCTCGCCTGTCCTCCAGAGTACCTCGGTGCGCGCCAACTCGACCTCGTCGGATGTATCGGGCAGAGAAGAGGCGAAGAAGCTGGACTGGAACTCGTTCTTCAAGCTCCGTGCTTCTCGTCGCAGATACTCGCTTGCGTCGTCCATCGCCACCTCGTTGGTCAGCACTACTGCTGGTGTCCAGTTTCTCTCGACTCAGGATCTTGAGGGTCTCGGTGCGCAGGTGATGGGTCTGGACCCATTCGTTGTCTTGGGTATGGCCACCGCAGCATGCGGTGCGGCTGGATGGCTCGTGGGTCCTTTCGTTGGAAACGGTGTTTGGGGGTTGGTTAACAGGAAATACAAGACCTCGGTCATGGTGGTATGTGCTCAATCGAATCTGTCCAAGGGGTTTATTTCCCCGATGTGGTTTTAGACAGCTCTAACATTTGAATACAGAAAGAAAAGGAGTTCTATGACAGAATCAAGCGATTCCGGGTGGACCCTTCGTCTAACTCGATTGCGAACCCGGTCCCCGATTACTACGGCGAGAAGATTGGCAGCGTTCAGGGATACAGACAATGGCTCAAGGACCAAAGGGCGTACAACCGAAAGAGACGCAACTTTATTGCCTAAACGGTATCACCTCCTGAATCAGCATGATGGTTGGCAAATATTGAAGTTGGAAACCAGGCTTTATTGGCATATTTCGTATATCTTTCTGCCTTACTGGTTTCTACTTTATTTTCCTGGGGCCCTTGTTGGCCTGACACTCTCTGTACCAGATATTTCTCTTGTCTTCTAAATGAATGTTTTTAAGCGATCATAATGGTCTACCGTTTAACTTCACTTCCTGGGCGCTTAGCATAGTTAGCACAGCAGGACGATAGTGCTGTCTATGGCCTATCAGGTAATGAGTGCTGCTGTCCATAAAAACCACCTATCCCCAAACCGACAATCCCGTGTAACCGAGCACAATGGCATTGTCGAGCATAGAGTGTAGGACGACGTTTCACCATTGCATAAATCCGCCGACAATAGCTAACCAAACTAATGCCCGGTTAATCAAGTACTACAATCCCCACCACACCCGCTCAATTAAACGAGAGTTGTAACCGCTCAGCTGAGAACAGGAGGGTCCTTACTCCGCTGCCTTGCGGGGTACATTTGGACAAGGGGCATTGTTGACGATATCAGCCGACATGCCGAGGCTGGATTATTATTTTTAACTTCTTTCCAAGATGCGATACTGGTATACTACTCGCCAAAGGGCTGCGATTAATAAACATTCTTGCGCAGCCGACAGGATGTCGGTTCCGTGTATTATAATCACAATGGAGGGTAGGGTATATATTTGGCTTTGCCAACACAGTGATCATACGTGGCTAGCAAATTAAATAGCACTTCATCAACCACAGCAAGAATCAATTCCACAGCCAACAACTTACCAGAGCAAAATGTCCATCTCACTCCCCAGTTCGTACGAAACCCTTGATACCACACATATTAAAGTATCGCACCATCCAGCTGGGTCTCCAACAGTCACACCCGTTGTCGTTGTTACACTGAACCGGCCCGAGAAACAAAATGCCTACACAGAGCAGATGGGCAGCTCCCTGCAACACGTTTTCCAGCTGTTTGATGTCGACAGCCGGGTCAAGGTAATTGTGTTGACTGGTGCGGGGAAGACGTTTTGTGCTGGCGCCGATTTGGAGATTGGATTTAATGGAGTCCGCGGGAGGATCATGGACCACCGGGATAGGTTTGCATATGATCACGGTTGGATCGAAGCATGCAGGCTGATATAATTAGTGGTGGTCGGATTACGTTGGCTATACATAGATGTCGCAAGCCGACCATTTTCGCGATGCAGGGGTCGGCGGTGGGAGTGGGTATGACCATGTCTCTTCCAGCTACCATTAGGTATGTTTCTCCTTTGTCTCACCGATTGTCACCAGAATAAACTGACAGTTCGTAGAATTGCCCACGAGAAGAGCAAATATGGCTTTGTATTCGGTAGAAGAGGCATCACCATGGAATCTGCTTCCTCGTATTTCCTGCCACGTCTGATCGGATATTCTCGTGCCATGTATCTTGTCTCCACGGGCGCAGTCCTCCCACCCACTTCCAAGCACTTTGGGTCTTTATTCTCCGAAACGCTGCCCGAAGCCTCGCAGGTTCTGCCACGGGCATTGGCGTTGGCGACCGATATGGCGGAAAATGTGAGCCCGCTCGCGTCCTCGTTGAATCGGGATCTGATGTGGAGAGGTCCTGACTCGCCTGAGGAGGCACACTTGTTAGATTCGGGGATTCTGCTTCATATGTTCCAGGGAAGGTAAGTTCGTTGGATGTTTTATGATGCTGTTTAGTGAGTGAGCTGACGATTAGCAGGGACCAGAGAGAAGGCGTGGCGGCGTTCCTCGAGAAACGCAAGGCCAAATTCCAGGCGAATTTTGATGAAGACGCCCCAGTGATTTATCCATGGTGGAAAGAAACACATATTGATGCCCGGCCTAAGGCTGCGAGGGCATCGAAGCTGTAGATGATATCCATGATAGTTATGAATGTTAATGTGAATCAACAAGTCGCATCAGCCCGACTTTGCGATAAGAACGAAGAAGCCCGTGTTTCTGTCGCAACACTTTGACCCTGACACTAGACCTAGAGTAGCCTAGCTGCTCCACTACGGCACGATAGCGCCATTTTAGCGCTGCGCCTAAAAAGCTTCACCCAAATAAGGGAAATGGGCTTTCTCACTCTTCCTCTGCTTTTCAGTTTCCACGATGGAGCAGACACTGCAATTCGCCATGATCAGCCCTAGTGGACACAATGTCTTGCCCTGATTGTGGCAAGATTTGCAACTCCTGTAAATCTTGTGCTCATCTGCTGCAAACCGTGTAGGAACGACCAGGAATAGCAGCACAACAAGGGTAAATATAGCCCGTCTGGGCCACTCAGATTCATCGATCTGCCCTGATAAGTATTGCCATCGTCACGGGCTAGCTGCAATTGGCCCTGCGCAATGTGTGACAACGGCCGATCCAGTTGATTCTTTCTTTCTTCAGCGACGGTTAAATGCCCTCTCCCCCAACAACTTCTTCTCCCTCACCACCACCCCAGGCCATGTTGTCGCTCCCCGCTGCCAAAATGCAGCTGGCACGCTACCTGGAATTCAATAGAGGTCAGAAACGACTCTTGATCTCTTTCGGGGTGGTGTATCTCCTGGTTGTGTTTTTTTGCTTTTCGAATTCCGCTCGTGATCCTGGTTCGATTTTCTTTCGGCCCAGCCATGGTTATCGTCCCGAATACAGCGCCAAAAGAGTGGACGAAGCGTTGAAATATGTGTCGGCATTCAACCAATCGTCAACCCATTCAAATCAGAGCCTGACGACTGAAGGTGTTGAAATGTGCATTGGTATCGTCACAGTGAAGCGCCCTTTGGTGCAAAACCTCGACGTCACTGTCGGCTCTCTCCTTGACGGCTTATCGCCTGAGCAGCGGTCTGCTGTCTCTTTACAAGTACTTTTCGCACCCACCAACGCTTGGACGCATCCTGACTATGGACAACCCTGGGTCCCTAATATTATCGATCGTGTCCTCACCTATGAAGATTTTGATGCGCCTATCACGGACCTTATGCGCCTGGAGAGAAAGCATAGAATAGCAGAAAAGTCCCTCGTCGACTATCGACTAGCCCTAAATTCTTGCTATAATCAAACGGACGCACCGTGGATCCTGATGGTGGAAGACGACGTGGTGGCACAGAAGAAATGGTATGATCATACTATGCAAAGTTTGGAAACTATCAAGGACGGGCAAAGGCGTGGCGCGATTTACAACTGGTTCTATCTGCGCTTGTTCTATACGGAAAAATTCCTGGGATGGAATGACCAGTACTGGCCCACTTACCTATTCTGGAGTTTGGTTGTTGTTACAATACCGGGTACCCTGTTGATTTATGCACGACGAAACGCCCGATCGATTCGAGGAACTTTGACCAACCCATTTCTATTCGTGGTCTGCTTTGGCTGCATTCCAATGTTTATAATTCTCTTTTTTCTTGCGGGACGAGTGACCCTGCAACCGATGAAGCCGGGTGTTCATCTGATGAACCGAAATGGATGTTGCTCTCAAGCGCTTCTCTTTCCACGAAAGAATGTACCCCCGTTGATGGAATATTTGCGTTACAGACAGGACAAAATTCCAAAACCAGTCGACAGTGTCATTGAGGCCTTTGCGAATGACAAGGACTTTGACCGATTCGTCATATCGCCCTCACAGATGCAGCACGTGGGGGCTAGTTCATACAAAAAGAAACAAAAGACTGTTGAAGCACAGGGCCCATATCTAATATATGGTGCTCACGGTGTCTGGAGCATGGGATTTGAAAAGGCATACCAAGATTGATTCATGTTTCGGGCTTAAACATCTTCTATCGATAAAGACACCAGCTCGCAGAGCATGTTGGTCATCACTAAGACTCTCGATCGCCCCAGTCGCATAGATGGACCTTTGGACGAGAGCTACAGTATTACCAGATTGAAATGGTGGGTATGATTATTATGGGGTTTCCCAGATTGAACACTGCATTGCTGATGTCAACTGATATCAGATTTTTCACGTGCAGTCACAAATGATATGTGCCGAACGTGACACAGCCTCGTAATCATACGTCGACAATCCATTTCGACCGTCTTATTCAACTATAATACGATATCTCAAGCCGGGCAACCGTTGGTATTGATACATCTATTCCCGCCGTCTGGCCCACCGCATAGCTGCCTTGCTCCAGGTCGACAATCTTTCGAAAGAAATACACCAAATATTTTAACGAAATCGGCATACTATCGTCCGGCCTGATCATTGAAAGATGTGCAAGTCGCTATGGTCGGTGGATTGAGGGCGTATGTTAGGCGGCGCATGCTTAGGACAGACTCGCACCTGGTCTCTATATCTCAATCGGGAGTTTGATCAGGGTCATATCATGATATTAGACAGTATCAAATAAGATAATTAGTATTAGGTATTAATCAAGATACCCCAATGGCTGCTGGCCTTTGACACGACATCTTCTGTATGGATTCTGGTGGCGAGTAAAATCGAATCCGCAAGACGAATCCCCTGGACTAGTATTCATAGATTCAGCTAATCAAATAAATGACCCCTCTCATAGGTATGAAATCGAGATATCGACATAATTCTTGATCATAAGCGAAATTGCAAATCCAGCTCAAGCCTCTGATCGCGGGGAATTAATTATATTTAGCCTGGGAGGATCCACGCGCAGGCCAGAGATTTCAGCGGTGGGGAAGGGGTAAAAAGGGACCTCGGCGTCAGTAATTCCCACTTACGGGATAAGAGAGAGTGTGTTAGTGATAGATAATCAGGATAGCAGAGAGGAACTCCTCTGGAAAAGACGTTAATTAAGCTGGATAAAGAGCTGTAGACAGATGTACGATGAGGTGATTGTGTAGAGACAGCCAGACGCTGCAAACGGCCTTGACGCAATCCGCCAAGCACGAGAAAAAAAAGAGCCTGTCAGAGGGGCCGATCGTAGCCACGAGCTTCCTTCAAGTCAAGTTCAACAGTGACTCTGACAGGCTTTTTTTTTTCCCTCCGTTTTCTTTCATCGCCTTCTGGGTTTCTTAATTCTTTCTTCTAGAAGTTCTTCGTCAGACCTCTCTCTCGCACAGCACTCAGACTCAGACTTCAGACTCTTGTGCTTCCCCGTCTTCCTCCGCCATCCTACTTGCTCGTTCGCTGCCACTCAACACGCCCAGTATCCAGCAATCATGGGACGCATTGTTTCTCACGGCCGTGGAGGCGCAGGTAAGATATCTCATCTCACAGCCGTTGACTCTTGCTGGCACCCTCTAACATGATGATATCATTCCAGGAAACATCTATTCCAAGGAAGCCCCCTCCATGCCCAAGGACCTCGTCACCCCCACCATCAAGCAAGACATTTTCACCACCGGTCGCGGGGGATCAGGGAATATGATGCACAACGATCCGGAACGGCCAGAGATTGCTCGCGAGAGTCAGGATGTTGGGGCCCCGCCTTTGCGCGCTGAACAGGCTCCTCATCATATCGGTCGTGGTATGTGCCTTTCCTTTGCCTCGCCTTGTCCCGAGTATACACCCCTTCTGTTATACTAATTCGAATTCGTGTCGTGCAGGTGGCGCCGCAAACGCATACATCCCCACCGCCGAAGAAGAAGAGCGCGCTCGCCAGGAAGCAGAACTGCAGTTGCAGCGCGTTCGAACCCAGTCCAAGGATCGATTGAAGGAATACGATATCGAGCAGGCCGAGAGACACACCGAGTCTTCGTCGTCGAGTTAGATTTTCGAAAAATCGGTATACTTCTTCGATCGAAAAGCAGTTTGAGTGTTCAAGTCGTGTCGCTCTAGTTGTTGGTCGCATCGCATCGCATCGCATCAAAGTATTCTGCTTCGAACAGACGATCGACCGACCATGAATAAAGCCGATATTTCGAAACAAGACAAAAAAAGTGCTGCTGGCGGTGCTTGAACCTTGAACTATAATACTTGTTCTTTTTTTTCTTTTTCTTTCTTTCTGTCTTCGGGACTGGTGGTTTGAATGGTCAGTTGAATACCCTGCAGGCACTGCATAGAATTCCAACCCCGGGAGAAGGCGCTCGGATGGGTGGTGATACTTTGGCTTTTTGTATCTCGCTTTAATGTTTGCTTTTTTTATTCTTTTACACTTTACAGGGATATTTTGGTCTGGGGATCTTCACTTCTTATCAGTTGTACTACTCTTGACACAAAGACCCCCACCTTCGGTGTTTGGGATTCAATTTCTGGATGTTTTTGTACTCCGTTTGATCCTTGCAATGACACTAATGACCGCTCCAATGAAATCTCGTGGGCTTATCTGCTATTTTTCTTTTCTTTTTTCTCGAACGACACAGTTACGGGTGTTTCTTGAAAATACCGAATACGAATTACTGGGAGGTGGTTTTAGGATGAAGGCTTGCGGGGCTAATAACGATTCGACGTAGAACTCCAAACCGCTGATGCTTGATTCATGTTATACGCTTAGAAACAAAAGGCTGAATCACAACAAAGACAAAGACAAATATCATCATGAAGAAATTCCCACTGACTTTCAAAGCCAGAAACGACGCCTGTCCGTCACAACAACACCGATTGGCTGTTTTGAATAGCTGGAGTCGGGATATAGCAACCCGTTGCATCGATGACCCAGTCAATCGACTGTCTCCATTCAGCATTCAAGTGCAGGCCGATTTCGTGGAGTACTCTCTCCCCCAAGTCTCCCATCCACCAATGACCTCGCATCGAGTGGATGGTCACGGCGTAGTGGGCGAGAATAACCAGCGCAAATGGCTGTCGTTCTCTTAGGAGTTCGATGAATCGAGACGGGATGCGCAATATCCACAGGAATGCGACGGGCGTGGCCTCGCCTCCTTGTGCGAGTGTCTCTAGTGAAGAAGCGAGATGCTGCAGAGCGATGTCATAGACGTCTTTCTCGTGTTGTGGGTCACGACTGGCTAGAGTCATGTTTAATCGTTGCAGGCAGAGAATTGCCAGTCGGGATGTGTTTGGCATTGTGGGGGTGCTTTTGACTAATGGGCGAAGCTCGGTATCTTCCACCCATTGTGCTGCTTCTGTCAATAGATTCATTGACTCTCGTGTGGACTGGAAGACCTCGCAGAGGTCGTCTATCGCAGATCCACCCGGAACAGGTCCCCTCAAGGAGGGAAGGGCAAAGAAAGAGGCTGTGACGATATTGGAAACTGCAAATACAGCTTCACAGTTGGTCCGGTTTACGCATCCGGCTGTATGTTTGAGGCTGGCAAGGGACTGAATCTGATGACTCTGTGCAATTTTGGAATAATGGTCTCTTTCATCCCCTTCATTGTTAAAGGCGATGTGAAGTGCAGATAGTGCAAGGAGGCCATGCAACAAGAACGGATGTTTCATAGCCTCCCGAGGCACGACAGTCTGCCATATCCGTTCGACAGCGCTGTTGCGTGAGATGGAGCAATATGTCGACGTGCACCATTGTATCACTAGCTCTAGGTCTTCGAGGCTTAATTTCCCGGCCGGGGGTGTGAAGTTGAACCGGTTCATGAGTTGAGTGATAGTGTTTGGGCCGGCAATGGGAGTTAATGTGTTAGATGATGGAGTAGATGGCGAAGATGATGATGAAGGGAGTCTTTTGCTGGGATGAAGTCGCGCTGATGGCGATTTATATCGACTGGCTACACTGCGACTGCGACTGAGGCAGTGAGAGCATCGGACTGTTTCTCCATCCTAATCGTCTGTCAGATTACGAGGTCATAACAAATCAGGGCATCAGAATATACTTACTTTGGCCCGAAAATTCCTGCACTGCATGCACCCATACCGGGACAGCCTCTTGTCGCCCCCCCTCCAAGACATACCAAGAAGCCAGCTTTTTCTACATCTGGAAGAAGCAGCTTCATCTCTCGCGCAAAAGCCCGCAACGACAACGTTCATTTCACTCATTTTGCTGGTTTTGGCCCCGCGGTGAAATCTGACTGTTGTTAGTCGTAGGATTTAATTCCTGCTGTGGCATTTAATAGATTTGACTTCGTGGGCTGAATTTGTACGATCCAACAATCGAGTCCAAATAAATGGGTTCGATCATACAGTGGGTCGTGTCGGCCCCGGCTTCAACGACATGACAGAATAGGTAAATGCATTTACGAACTATCATTCAGAAATTCACTGGCTTGGTCTGTCAGCGCGCATCATGCCATATGAGAAATCATGCACAAGATCGGTACATGCCGTATGAGGATAGACGTGGCAAACATGGTCCATACTGGGAAAGATGACACCGATCATTGCTCTGTAGGATGTTAGTGGATCAAATAATGGAAAATCAGCCCAATAACCTCTCGCGATTAACGGCGATGGAGAAGGGACCCGAACGAGGATTTTCAACTGTCAAACCTCCTTTTCCCTCGACATACCATATTTGGGGAATGAAGAGACCCAGACGGACGCTTGGAAAGTGCCAGAATGGGCTCCACCGGATCCACCGGATCAGGATCTGCCCTCTGTTAATCCCCAAAATTCCATCCTTCATGCGATTGTCGCGCTATGCTCGTCCCGGCATGCAGACAGTGAGATCTTCTTTTTCCGTTTTGGGTAACAATGGTTCTTGGTCTGGATGGCGGCGGTGATTGGACAGCAGCCTTGCGTGCTAGAATTTCAGTGAGCTAATATGCCACTTGTTCGAAACAAGAAGAAAACAGAAAAGAAAAAGAAAAATTCATTGCAGTAGATAAATTCCTAAATAGGTTTCCCCGCGGGGAAAATCTTGGAATAATTTTGACATCCAAACTTCAACAAATATCGATCAGAAATTGCGATTCGCAGCCTCTGGAATTGCCGGTATGGATCTCCCCAGATCTTGGCTTCGGCTCGTGTCAATAATTGACAAAGAAGTTAGCTAGTTCCGCTAGTTGCGCTAGAACAAAGATACTATGATCTGGTCCTGTGATGGCTCGTAAGTGTTCGCGATCCTGAATGGCTGCAAACCCCAAAATATCTTCCAACAAACCACCAAGATCACCCAACAACCCTAAATAGATCCGCGTTCCACCCATAAGCCCTAGACAGCCTCCGTCCATATCGCTTGGCCATTCGATACGGCATCTTGCTACCAGGATGCGGTTCATGAAACTGAATACTCCGCTCCACATCCGAAGTAGACGGTGTGAACTGCCAGACAGAGCCGTACAATTTCTCAACTGCAAACCCGGTTATGCTCATGGCATGCAAAAACTCGGACCAGGGAACCTCCCCTGGTTTTGATATGCGGGAGGACTGATAGAAGATTGTGGAAAATACCTTATAGGCACGCTTATCAACAGTGAAAGTCGGCTGGAGATCGGGGGCCTTGGTTGTTTCATATGTCGTCTCTACTTGGAGCTCGGCCTGGTCAGGTATGCCCCGTGTTTTCACCTTTGTTTTGCCTGGTGATGTTTTCCCGTCGTTGACAGTTTGTTGCGTGCGGAGTTCCAGTTCAAAGTACATTTGAGATAATGGCTTGCATATATCTTTTGACAGTGTCCAGTTCCTGAGTTGCTGGGCTGCATTTTGGTTCAGGCTCGATCCAATCAGGTGTTCGACGAAGAATACCCTTGTCGGAAAGCAAATTGTGGAAAGCTGGATGTGTGGATTAGTCGACTTTGGGGGTGAGAACATCATCAATCTTCTCCCAGTATTTATCCAGGTTTTTTTCAGCAAGTTGCATCATCTCTGTATTCTCGCGTGTCTTGCGTTTCTCGACTGGATAATTGAATTTACCGTCAGAAGGGTCTCCGAGAGTGGCCAACGAAATTGTTTCCAGTGATGGACCAATATATTCGATGCCACCTAGTCGGATCCTGAGCCTTTCATCGATACCATCATACCGACTGTTCCCTCCCACGTTAAAACTGGAGTACTATGGTTCAAAGAGGGAGAGTTGGTGCTGGCACTCAGTCATGACGGACAAGTCAGAGGTCGTGCTGGCTACTGTGGCAGAAAGCAGCTCGCGAACCCCCCGTTCGCTCTCAATTAATCGATCCATTTCGTCCATAAGCGTAGGTAAAGTTACCATGTACAGCGATCTGGAATGAAACAGAACCTCGAACATCCACATCAAACGTTGCCATTGTTTGCTCTTCGTGCCCGTTTTCGCGATCACGCAAGTATGGCTGGGATCATCGTCATCCTGCAGCCTTACACATTGCGAACGCAGAGGGGGAGACGAAGTGACAATCTTCCTCAGTTTCGAAATAGGGGACTGAGTAAACAAATGTAGACTGTAGTGAAAATCCAAGAACTGCTCCAGAAGCTCCAATGGGAGGTCTTTGTCAGGCGCGATATCATCTTTGCTTTTATCCAACAATGCTTGCAAATGGGTGATTTGGTCAAGGAGACAATCCCAAAAAATCACATTCTCATATGAGTCTACCACCACACTTCGCAAAACTCGGTCCCAGAAAGTTTTCTTTGGATACGGCCGCACCGAGGAATGTCGTCGTCCCATGTTGTCGGGAAGCAGTTCCTTTCGATGCTCCTTAGTATCAAGGACTACGTCTGCAAAATAGCTGGGGTCTTCTCGAAGCGACAGGAGATGATCTTGAGATGCTGACCTCTTGGCTGCAATCAGCCTCTCGAGACGAGCAAGGTCTAGACGAGCTGGGGGTCGGTAGGGCGCCTCCGCAGTTACAGCCGCGAGAGAGCTGATACCAGATTCAGCCGTCGACAATGCTGGTGGTTCAGGCTGGGCCGGTCCGTCGCCGCGAACTAGCGACTCAACTAACATATCATGCAAAATTTCGTAACAGCAAGTTTCAAGAAACTTTTAGACACGTTCCTGGATCTCAAGGACTTTGGGACCCACCCCAGCATGCAGACCTTGTCGCTTGTCCATGATCCGCGTGATTGTATCTCCATCGTTCCAACTCGCCAATTCTCCATAGGTGTCTGGGTTATCCCGTCCAGTGGACATCATGTTATAGCCTATGACAAGTGCTACCTTTGCTTTTGCGGCGTTCTCACCAATTCGGATTGATTTTCTATCGAAGCCCACAAAGGTTGAAGGAGAATGGCGACCTCTTGCATTAAGGAAGATAAGAAATAGCTTTGGTTTCAACAAATCCTCCTGGCTGATATGCGGCCATTGGTATGCCTCTATGAATCTCGTAGGACCGACATCTTTCTCTCTAGTGAGAGCCTCCATATCCGGTCGATGCTGGGTCGACATGCCCGGCCACGCAGTGAGAAGGACTTTCTTGCGTTGCTCTCTTGTCTTCTTCAGCCATCTTTTCTGGATTGTCGCCTCGTGGCGCTAGGATGCGTTTTATGATGAACCAAGACTCGAAGATATTCTTCGAACGCTGCCTCGTCTCTTCGCGGACTTGGTCTAGCGTGGGGAAGGGAGGCGGGGGAGTCCCGTGTGTTCTGAGATACATTTCCCCATAGTAATTGGCAGTTTCTGGGTCTGTAAGGTCTGGCAGATCTGAGAGAGAGATCTCAGTTTCATCGGTACTCATCAGATGCCCAACCCTCTCGAGGTCGATCCCTTGGAAGGGGAAACCCACCATGATGGCGATGATGACCCGTTGATGAGGGCTGTTGAAGGTGGGAAGTGAAAGATAAAACGAGGATCGTGGGAGGGACTCGCTTCGACAAACAAACAGAGGGGGCAACCCAAATATGTAACCACCCAACCGGCTAGTTTGCCCTCTTCCACAAACAGAAACCCTTTTGAGGGCTTTGTTTTCGTCTTTGCTTTTTGAATTTGCTGCTTGTCTGTTTGCATGAGCAGCCGTATCAAATTTTATCCCTATTAGGTGGAAATACTACTACTGACAATGGAATATAGAAGGCACGAAAGTATCCTTGTTGTCTATCTGCAAGGATCTGCACCAGTACATTAGAAAGGTTTCCCTAGATTCTGGGAAGGTATATGCCGAGATAGTAATGAATATTCATTGGATGACTTGCTAGTTCTACGCTTCAGAAAATACAATCGATTATAGACTTTTTACATCCCCGCGGCTTTCTACTATCGGATTTTCCTTGCGTGGTAGGCTTTTGTATATTTGTTTACTTTTGGACCAGGTTATCCATTGTTGAATTCAATGTCATTACTCAGTATCATAATCATTAAATGCATAGTATATACAGAAAATGCATATATATACTTTGTGAGGCCTCCCAGGATGACAGCCTAGTCAGACCACTGGTTCGCACCCTTCAAAGCCCAAAGAGCGAAATGGCTTCCCAGAGTTGGTCGTGCCCGGAACACATAGTACTCGCCAGCTTTATACTCCCCGTTATCCGCAACCCAGTATCGATCCGAAAACGGTGCGGGGTTTAGGCCGTTGGAGATGTAGGCGTGTAGGTCTGCAACATACTGATCTCGTGCTTCGCCGGTAACTGTAGCACCCACGAAACTCTGCCAGTTTGTCTGGCCCCAGTTGAGATCCTGCTTCAGCGCGACACCTCCGGCTTGACGGACAGTTGGGTAGAAGGCCGAGGTGGCATTGTATACTTCCTGGGGAAAGATGTCCAGGTTGAATAACACGTCTGGGTAGTGGTTGAATGTCTCGAACCAGGTATCGTTGCCATACTGGAAGGTGAAGTAGGTTCCGTCGGCATCAGTGCCCAATCTATCCGTCCAGATCTTGTCGGCAAATTCCTTGCCCAGATTCGTGTAGTTGGTTTGCGAAGTGAGATCACCATAAGCACCAAGAGCAGAGGCGGCCTTCACAGCCAGGTTTGTCTGGTTGGCGACCTCACCAAGGGCATCATTCAGAGATAGCTGTGATGCTGGATAGAGGCCATTATTTTGAAGGTATTGAGCGTATTGCTGAAGCAGAGATCCGTAGTTGGAGGAGATATCACTTTGACCCAGTCCCTTTTCGTAGGCGTAGGTGAGAAGGATAATGTTACCACTTTCTTCGATTGGCATGGCTTCACCGTTAGGGTCGTGGCCTGTAGCATTGGGATAGTGTGTGCCCAAGTCGTGCACGGCGTATTCCTCAGAGTAAGCATCGCTGGTCACGTATTCGAGGACGGGCTTGATGAGAAGCTTGATGAACTCGGGGCTCAAAATATAGAAGATGGGGAAGGTAGCGTAGATGACATCCACCGTATTGATGTTGCCGTTACTGGAGATTTCTTTGATGAAAGCACTTGGATTCGAGGTGTCCAATGAGTCATGAGGAATAGTCACCTCAATCCCACCAAAGACTTGGCGCAGAGACAAGGCGAGGATGCCAGAATAGTTGGATCCGTATGCGTCCTCACCCCCCGTTTGAATCAGGTTATCCAGAGCCGTCGACTCGCTTGCTGCACCCGCATAGTCATCAAGGAAATGAGAAGCGACCTGGACGGTGCCCGGGTATTTTGCCCAATAATATCCAGCCTGTGCATTTCCCACGTAATCGATCACCCTCTCTCGCACATGGCCAATAGCAAAAGTGACGGAGGTCTTGTCGGTGACCTTACCCAAGTCGTGAGCAAATCCAGCCACTCCATCTGAAGTCCATTCGGCGTGGGAGTTGCTAAGAGCTCCATTGCTAACGAATTGCGAGCGAATGCTAGATAAAGGCCCAGAAGCTGAAGTGAGGTTGCTCTGGTTAGATGGACGCGTGGCATACGCAGTCTCACCCCAGAGAGCCTGGCCTGGGTCAGTCTGAGAGAACGTAGCTCCATTCACAGGGCCGAGATGGTAGATGGATGTTGTATCGTTGGTAGTGATATGCCACTTGGAGTTATCCGGCTGGCCAGTCCAGGAAGAGTCAATGTCAGAGTAAATTTGAACAGACGAGCCATCAGATGCCCCGCTGACAGAGATGGTGAGATAAGCAAAGGGCAGTGACTGTCGCAGCAGGTTCTTGGGCGACACGGGAGACAGGAAGTCCAGAGTGAATGTCCTGGATCCTGCCTCGAGCGTGAACGTGCTGTGCGTTGAGGTGAAGCTGGCACCTGTTACAGTGGCTGCTTTGGAGTTATCCAGCGAACTGGAGACACCAAATAGATTATACGCCTGTCCATCTACGCGTGCAATGACTGACCAAGTCAAGTCACCTCCAGACCAGAACTTGGGGGAGCTCGAGGGAAGATCCGATGCTGAATCCCCAGGGAGCCAGACTGTTTACTAGTGAGTACTTCACAGGACAAAACAGATTTTGAAAGAGAGTACTAACCTGATAAATATGGATTACGAACAGCTAGGGGATACGAAGGGGCAGCAAAAGGCGTGAAGGTAGCCGCGATGGAGGTATGCAGCAAAGTCGAGCCCAGGATCAGCCCAAAGGCAGATCGCAGGTTGCTGAAGAACCCCATTTCTGCAGCGCCCTATCGGAAAATTATTCAGAGATGAGAAAAGGGGAAAGAGAAAAATTACAATTGCTCTGTCCAACAATCGTCATCTGCAGACGGGAATCGTCGACATTCAAATACCTTTGTCATTCCGCTAGCATACCACGAATCCCAACAATGCCCGATGCACCAAGCCCTACTAAGCATCCTAGCACCAACTTATTTGCGTGAAGGAGGGTCAATACAGACAAAGGAAGAAAAGAACGACATGTCTAGTGCCCTTGCGCAAGACAAGGTCCAATGCGCGCCATGAGCGCAGTTGGCCGTCAATCAATCACATTCGCCGGTTGTGATAGTTTCCGCAGACAAGGGCATGATAATCATCAGTTGACAAGTGCTGTTTAGAAGTGGAGAAAGATTAATAAGAAGACTTGAGAATAAGCAACGGCAACGAAAGGAAAGGAAAGCCAACTCCGCTATGGTCAGGATTGCAACAGCCATGTCGGGCCTCATTGGGGGCGAAGCACGCCATCAAGGACGGCCATTATGCATAAAAGCACCACCAAATCAACTGCTATTGAAATATTGCAAAGCTATCTCGCAACTCGCAATAGCAATGGCGTCATTTACAAATGATGATGAAGCTGTCTACTAATGATAGGTCGTCGGAGTATACTCTGGGGTAACGGAATCGATAGCACATGGAGATACACCGCATCTCAACACAGTTCGATTCTGGCCGCAAGGATTCGAAGTATACAGGGATCCTGGGGCTGAACACAGTCATCTTAATTGATCGGATAATGGCTTAAGCCACCAGGATCTGCCACGGCAAGGTCAAAATGATAGAAAAAACAACAAATCATCTGCACGCAACCTGGCATTGGCGGATGACCTGCTCAGAGGACAACAACATAAAGTCAAGGTTCAATAGTCAACGAAGGCAGATTCATTGTCCAAGTGATAGGTCAGAAGATGAATGAAGCGAAGATCGACCCCTGCAGGAACTGTGGTCGGAAGATTGACCAAGTGGAGCAGGAGAATCTCCGATATTGTGTGACCTGGACAAAGATGAGTTGATTTTGTCGATAAAGTCGAAGATCAAAGAGTGCATCAATATGACTAGGAAAAGGAAAAGGAATACTCCGTCTGGAGAGCCTACGCAAGACAATATCGAACATGCTATAGCAAGGCTTCCTCTCCAAGATGCAACTCCATTCCGAGATATCAATCTAATCGACGACCATCAACACGAGGGTCGGGCAGAGATGCGTCCTATGACACACCTTCATCCTTTTTTATCCAACTTCTCTATTCGTGTCCTCCTCCTTCTGGTGTAACCTGAAGCTCACACGACGTGACTGGATGTACCGGCTGCTTGGCATGGCATCTGTGCGGGGTAATGTATAACATCAGCCTTCTTTCCCATGCTCCGATCAAGGACATGTGCAAAGGACGGGAGATATGGCCCTAATATTATGCCTGATGACATCAAACATGATGCTCGATGCTCGAAAGGAGTACTTGTGGTGTTGGAGGCCAACAGAGTGGCTTGTGACTTATAAGGGATCTGTGCAGAATCAAATAACAGCACCCGAGAGTCAGTCAAGAGCAAGAGTCTGCTTAATATGGACTATTTGCAAGACCTTGCAATCTGGGTAATTGCATGATTCAACAATCTGATCTCAACCCCGCAATGAATAATGCACGTCGATATTTCCTACGTCGGGGTTTGCCAATGCGCTGCCCAGCTGCCTTTTCAATCCAACCCAACTCGTTGATTAATCCCAACAGTTTAACTGTTTGCTTCGAGCGGTCTATGTAACTTCATTTCGTGAGCAATCATTTCCAAACCAGGTAAATTTATACTGGGGGCGCTGATCGTGGACAAACTCTGGGCCGTTTACCGCTATTTCGAGGATTTTCTCATGTGGGTGGATGAATGATCGTTTCCTCTGCGTTTACTTGCTCGAGGAAATGAGGGGCTCCAAGAGGGTTTAATAGATCATAAAAATCCCTGGCAGCCATATTTCCACCTTTTCTTTGCATTGCCAAAGTATCGGCGACTTTGTTATCGTCGCTGGGAATATGCGACTGATCTGGCGCGATTCAAAGCCCTGAAAAATATGTACTGACTCGTCAGCAGCCATAACTGAATTGAGAATTCCTCTATCGATCAAACTTGAGACAATGAAGTTGTTGCAATGAAGTTGAAATGCTGACCGATGATTCAACCAGAACCAGAAGAATAGCCAACCTTATCAAGACCTTGAACAAACTCACTTCCGGAACTCTAAGTGTTGACTCTGAACAATATCCAGAGCTCAGTTTGTTGCTATGGAGTCTGTTTTCGACCTAGCTTCTGTCAAAGTGCCTAAACACAAGCCAACCCTTCGAAATGGATCTGCAACCTCAAGAAGAACAGAAAAGTGGCAATACTAGATGAAACAGCAAGCGTCTTTCAGGGGGAGGGATACTTTGTTTCTTATCGGGAAGCAGTCTAGCATCTGGGAATAAGCTGACAGTAGAGCATTGCAGAAGTTGGGATGAAGCATCTGTGGAGGATCATCCTGTGAGTCCTTTGGTCAGCTGAAACTATTGGACAGTATACTGATGAAGACTCATATAGTGATGGTTTGAAGAGATGATAGTACCCAGTACTGTAAAATAAATTAAACCTCGAAATCGAAACAATCAGGGGAAGTCGATGAACGCCGATCTCGTTGGTTGCCTCGCCAGTCGTCACTACCTACCTGCGCGTACAGACGAAAAGCCATCACCTACCAAGTGGATAATCTACGGAGAAACGAGAACATTGTAATCCAAGGGGCCTAGAAGGGACAGGATACAGGGGCATATATTGCTCTCCCGGTTTGTTGATTTACCATATATCTTTACTCCAGACCAACAGTATCGACTTAATTCACTCCTTCATACAACCAGCTCGAGTGCTGTGTGGATTGACATTGCACTCAGGCTCCAGGCCACTGAGTTTCCAGGCTTCAATATCTCACATCATGTCAAGGTAATGATTTCTCCACTTCGATCGCCGGAATCCGTCCAGCCACAAATGAGGATATCCACAGGCAATGCGGAAGAAGACACTTGCTCGAAACGGGTTTTCAAACTAGACAGTTTCACTTTTCTATCTTTGAAAGATGTTTTATCATAATACTACAGTGAGGGCATTTTTGCAACTATTTTTCCATTTCCAGGATGAAAAACTCGCCTACTTAGCCTAGTTTCTCTGTGCGTAAAGGTTTTGCCAAATGTAATGCGCATTTCGACTAGCGCCCTGATGTTTAATAAGGAATAATCCCAAGAAGCACATGGAATTTCATACAAAAAATCTTATAAGATGATATATTTGAGATATGAATGATTCCATCACATAGCGGTGATCTTTCTGGCTAGTCACCGCGTGTATAAGCAAAGAATGCCATGGAAAGACAAGTTCGATCAGACAGCGCATGTTGGATCAAATGACTGCCGATGGATGCGCGAGAGCCTTTTTAGCATTCTAATGCAGAGAGCTGCATATTCGCCTTTTCTTTTTCTGGCCAGATTGGCTCAACGTATTAATCTGCGGGATGCCTTCGACAACACATACAGTTTTGACGTCAAACTGCACATGATGGATGATGCTTCTGCATCGAGAGACAGCAGCACAGACCAATGAGAGGCGATATCGGCAATATCTTACCTTAGGCACTCAGGCATATCCGGCGTGCCCGTTGCTGCATTGATAACAATCCCCGATCACACCGGACAGAAGAGCCGTCAGTTAGGCGTTGACCGACTACACATAGGAGGCTGGGTTGCAGCCAATTAAAGGAGGTTGGCCTAACTGTCATGGAGAGAATTGACAATTATCCTGACCACTAGGATAATTTACTTTCAGCCTAGTCCAGAATCCCACTTGGTCGGCACGGCGTCACACCCGAGTCGATCGCGTCTCTTCGGACACGGCATTAGTGCACGATGATCATCCGCTTAGGGCAGCCCAGGGTCATGTCTCCTTTCCAGCGTAAGCACAAAGCACAAAGTGCTGTGTCCTACTCCATGTAGCCTGTATTTGAACAGGATTTACCATCGCACCGGAGACGGAGGGAACCTCATTGATGGGTACATTTTGGCTGCAAACGGCCAACGACGCCCGAAACGGACAGTGTCGCAGCCCCGACCCAACGTTGAGGATCGCCCACGCCGGACAGCGAGCTACTGGATGCCGAGTGAATAAGATGAATCGACGGTGTTGACTGGTGGGAGAATTGATCAGTCGCTCCACTGGAGGGGATGGAGCTGGACTTGAAATGACTCGTTACATCGTCTATCGGAGCACGTCGCTGGATTCGGAGAACGACTGACAGTGAGGGAATTGACAACCTGCTGAGGAACTGACATTATTAGTTGTATGCTCCAGAAGAAGATCTTAGATGAATTATGAAAAGCATCATCAAACCAGACCTTGCTAACCGCCATCTTTCCCCCCATATTTGTATTGGCCACTCAGTGTGACATAGTACCCGACCGTCTGGGTCGCGAGGTTCCTGCGCCGGGTTGGAGATCGACTCCTGATCCTTGATTAAATATTAATATTTGGCGGTATTTGTTGAAACGATCAGCCAGTGAAGCGACTGGTTTGTGCGTGTCAGGCTGTTTGGAAAAGATATCCTGTTGGTGAAGCTCCCCGTCTCCCTCAGGCCCAGACCTTCGCCCTTCTTTTCTCTCCTCCCCCCCCGCCATATCCCATCCTGACGTCGTCGTCAGTCAACCTCGTCACCCACCTCACCCAACCTCTCCCCTCGATATTCCTACACCGCCACCAGATCTCTATCTGCAGGCCATCAGTTCAAGTGTTGCACCGTTCAGTTGGTGAACCTTTGGTCCTGGGACGATCCGTGGAAGGCCCAGTGAATCTCCCGCAGTTTGACAGCTCCTCGTCGCGGCTCGCCCAGAGGCGATCATCATTTCTTCCCTCGGGAGCTTCATACCTGCGTCGCGTGCATTGACGGTAAGTGTTGGGAACTCATCTTCATTTTCTTCTCTTCGTTGACCTCTTACCCTCTTCTTTAGACTTCATCCTCGTTCAATCGATCGATCGTCGCCGTCCGGGTCTCGACACTGTGATTTTTTTTCTTCCTCGCCCAAAGAAACTGCTCCCCGCAACCGTCCGACCGTCTCTTCCAAAGTTGACTCCCGACACAACTTGTTCCAGATCGAGCCAGTGCCATTGCAACTGAGATAAAACTTTTAGCCCTCTCGCAATTCCGCCAGACAAACCATCACCAATTCCGTGCAGGTCGCACTGAAAAGAAGGGTTACCGAGTTCTCTCTCCGACCGCCGGCGTCAGCCCCTCATTGTGGCCTGGAGTCGATGCTTCAATTGTGACGTCTGGATTTCGCGCTTTCGCATGACACCTCCCCTCATCGACGAACATCAGGCAGCACACTCCACCTAAATATATAAAGCGCAAGAACCTCGTCCGTCTTCTATCTACTTTCTCTGGTATCGCTCCGCCCGGTTCACCCAACGCGCGAACCATGTACGCCGTCGAGGAAAGGTCCCATCCTGTGCCACCGCCACCTCTCTCTATGGATCGCATTCCTCCCCCGTCTGCTGCGTATCCAACTCCAGGGTCTGCAGGCCCGCTACGAACATCCGAACATCTGGCTCCGATCGCGACAGTCCATGAGGGTCGGATCTGGTCTTTGCAGGTGGTGCAGCAGCCCATCCGGGCTCGGATGTGTGGCTTTGGTGATAAGGTGAATTATCTGATTTCACTGCAAGGATCTCTGTCTAACGCTGTCTTTTATAGGACCGGAGACCGATCACACCTCCTCCATGTATCCGCCTCATCGTGAAAGACGCGCAAACCGAGAAAGAGATTGATATCAAGTATGGAGCCTGGAACAACCGCTGGGAAGCATAGGTGCTAATTATGATGGGATAGTGAAATCGACACATCATTTTACGTCCTGACAGTCGACCTGTGGAATGCCGATGGAACTAGCGAAGTGAACTTGGTCAAGCACTCGGCTTCCTCTCCTTCAATATCCACCGCCATGTCCTCGTCATACCCTCCTCCACCGCAAAACCTCTCTCCCACCTACCCCTACGCGCAAAGTGCCTACGGCCAGGTCGGGTACCAGATGAACAGTTACTACCCGGGAAACCCACAGCTGGCATATCAAAACCCATATGGCGCGAACCCGCAAGCCCCCTACTACCCGCAATATTATCCCGGGGGGCATATGCCACCGAACATGTCACCTGCGCAACCGGTTTCTGCTGGACCTGGGGGCATGTTCACGCGTAATTTGATTGGAAGTCTCAGCGCCAGTGCTTTCCGATTGACAGACCCAGACAATAAGATTGGAGTTTGGTTTATCTTACAGGATCTGAGTGTACGGACAGAGGGTTCATTCCGGTAAGGCCCGGCACAGTTGTATACCATGTGCCTAGCTAACTGGGTTTCTAGTCTTAAAATGAGTTTTGTCAATGTAGGCACCCAATCCGCCGAAACGACGAACAGCGCACCTGTTATCAACCACGGATCTGCCCCTGTATTGGCATCAGTCTTTTCTGAGCCCTTCCAGGTCTTCTCAGCCAAGAAGTTCCCGGGTGTTATTGAAAGCACACAGCTCAGCAAATGCTTTGCCCTGCAGGGGATCAAGATTCCCATCCGAAAAGACGGAGTCAAGGGTCCTCGGGGGCGCGGTGGCGACGGAGACGATGATGGAGATGATTATGAGTAGGGAAACCGGGGTATGGATTCGGAAGTTTGGTTTATTCTTTTACGCATAATGGGTCAAGACGGGGCTTTCGGTCGGTGTTCAGGCGGGGTGTTTTTGGCGGAATGTATTGCTATTAGGACCGGTGCCGTCGGGTTTGATTTCTCCTGGCTTTTATGCTGTTTTCTTTTCTATACCTTACTTTGCGGTATATTTGACTGGTCTTAGGCCTGCGTATATAAGATGAAAAAGGAATACAAGGCTTCACCTATCCTAATGGCTTCACCATCCATGAAGATGGAGCGTCATCCACAAGATTCAGATGTTATACTCTTGACGTAGATGATATTCCAGTTGATCGACATTAACCATGACGAGTAGGTAGATCTCTATATCGTTGACGAGAACTAATGCACCTCAATTGATCCTTCCTCGTGTTTCTTCACCTCGGGACGATCGATCAATAACTTCTCGGTGAAGGACTGATCGATCGCAATCACCAAATCCGGCCACTGGTCCTATGGTTCATCGACACTCAATCTTCATCCAAAAACACCAACGAACGGAAAGGGATCGAACCCACAAGTTCGAATGCAACCCTGCAATCTTTGATTCATGGTACATCGGATAACCCCGAATATACGGTGCGCACCGCCAGAGTACATACGGGGTTTGCTAAAGCAATGCATCCATCCATGGGCATACGATGAATTAGATTTAGATTTGTTTCTATTTCCATCCTAATCGTAGAATGGGTACTTCAACAACGTCATTCTTCATTTCGCCCGCTTACTGTATGCCTTTCTTCCCCGCGTGCTGCAGGTTTCAGTTATGTCGTATCGGGCTGGAACTGCATGGCTTTACTGGTGATGGTCTGATAGGTTGGGATTCGGATTTCGATGATGCTGGGATTCCAGAAATAAATTCGTCCTGCGGGTTATCCCGCCTCTTCGTCTGTGGTATGGTGAGGCTATACTTATTATCTGCATCATTGTTATTGCTATTGCTGTATGGCTGGGCTTGGGAAGGGTATAAATATGAAGGAGATATCACTACAATTCGATTATCATTATCATCAATAATTCAGTCAATCAATCAATCTTAATACTACTATACAATCTACAACATGAAGCTCACTCTGCTCCCCTCTGTTCTCCTCCCCCTCCTGGCCACGGCCGCCCCAGCCCCAACCGCTGAGAGCAACGAGCCTTCTCCTCCCTTTGGTGTCATGTCCAGCCGTTCCGCCTCCCCCATCCATCTCCTCCCCATGACTGCATCTGCCCAGTCTTTCTGGCTCGGAGGCGAAACCGCCTCTTACTGTCCCCTCAAAACCGGTTGTCCCCCGGGTAAAGAAACCGTCTTTGCACCAGGTGGAACTGGCTTGGTATTCTATCCCCCCCCATCCTACACACCTTCGACCGCAAACATACTAACGATGGTGATAAACAGAACGTCGAAGTCCCCGGCGGCCAACAGGTCTACATCAACCCCGACGGCGCCTTAAGCTTCACCCAGGCCCACTCCGCTTACATTCCCCCCGGTTCCACTCTGGGTCCATTCAAATATACCCCCGGAGAACCATTCGGGCACTACTCGTTCAACGGGCTGGGGGCGTCGGGCTTCATGGCTTGCCCCACGGCTGATAATAGGTGGCAGGTGTTTGCGGCGTTGCAGAATGCCAAGGTGCCCCAGGGTAAGGTGGAGGACTGTTTGGGATTTTCGGCGATGGCGGTGCCGTGGAAGAATTCGGGTGCTGCTGCTTGGCAGTATACTTAAATTGTCCATACGGGATTAGGTTATAGCATTATAGATAGGTATGGGGTTGATGTTGATTGTACATGGAGGTTAGGTGGATGGGTTGAGCTTTGGGATTCATCATGTTTTGGTCATTTTTGTCGATAGCATTCATTCAAACCATAGGGTATCTGTAATGTTCATATCTAGTTTCTCCATATCCGTATGGCCTTGTCTTTTCCTCCACTTCCAACCTTTTGTCCATCAGGACTCCAGTCCACAGCGAAAACCTCATCGCGGTGTCCGGGAAGGTCCATGGCTAGCTTGCCAGTACGAACATTCCACACCTTCAATGTGGTGTCCTTGGAAGAGGAGACCAGGAGCCGGGAGTCAGCTGAGAAACAGCACTGGTAAACAGCACCAACGTGGCCTCGCAGTGTGGTGATGAATCTATATCTCGTTAGCCTCATGATCCAAGATTCAAATGATTCAACCTGGCCAAACTTACTTTCCGTCGCGGCCATTCCACAGTTTGACATGGTTGTCAAACCCGGCTGATGCAATGTACGCCATATCCGGGGAAAAGGTCACATGGTTGACCTCCTTCTGGTGACCCAACAACCGCGCTACAGGCTTGGTCGAGCTCTCGGGGTCCCACAGGTACATTGTGAAGTCGTCACTTGCGGACACCAGCTTTTCCACAATCTTGTTGTTAACAGTGGCGGCTTGTTCGAATCGCTTCCGGGCCGTCGTAACCTTTTCCGCATCTTCTTTGGGAACCTTGCCCGTGTGGTCGTGATACGCTGTGCGGAGGACAAAGTCGGTCGACAGGGCTAAATGATTCACACGGTGCGCGTGCGCAGACAATGTTTGAATCAAAGTTCCGTTGGTAGCGTTCCAGACCTTGATTGTCTTGTCGTGCGAGGCTGTGTAGATTTTACCCGTTCCGCCCCAGCGAACACAGGTCACGGAGCCTTTGTGTCCCGTCAAGGACATGTCCATTCGTCTCGTTACCACATCCCAGATACGGACGGTCGAATCTTTAGATGCAGATGCCAATCGTGGGCTTCCTGACTGCTGTAGGTGGTAAGGCTCCCATGCCAGATTGGTGATCCATTTTGAGTGTCCCTTGAGCGGTCCTCCCAGCGCCGTTCCTTTCTTTGCATCCCAGATGCGCACACTGTTATCCATACTGCCAGTGGCGATCAACGCTCCATTGGGCGAGTAGCTGACTGCCAGAACCCAACTTGTGTGTCCTTTCAATGTGGCCTTGGGAGTGCCGGTGTCGCAATCCCAGATGCGGGCGGTGGAATCACCACTTCCGGAAACCATTGTAGAGGAAGAAACTGGTGAAAATGAAGTCGCTAGAATCGACTCTCCGTGTCCGGCGATAGAGGCAGAGCATCGTGAGACGGCCTTCACTCGGAATACTGCCTGCGGGGTATAGTAGAGATGGACGGTATCTTCGGTGGTCTTTAAGCCTGGCTTGAGTAGAGAGTGATATACATCGGCGAGAATATCGATTGTTTGCCCGTCTTGGCCTTCTGATTGGTATGTGAATCGGTATGGTACTCGTTCATCATCATCCTCCTGAAAGACAGAAAAAGTTAGCTCCAAGCAAAGCAATTGTTTGACCAGCAAGTGTGCCTACATTTCCTTGTAGTGTGTTCAGCAGAGTCTCAAGATTCTTGACATTTGCATCCGCAACAGGGACCGAAACCGCAGGCCCAGTTGCTGACCCCGTCGCCTGGTCGAAAAATTGCACTCGAACGCTGCCAAGGTCGTCGGGGATACCCTGAATTTCTTGCTGTTGCCGCGCCTTCTCAGCAATATCCGTCTTCTGACGCTTGCTGGGAGGTGGTAGAAGAGTCGCCATTTTTTAAAGAAAAATTGAAGCGACGTTGTTGATTGCTTCTTGAATTTCTATCGCCGTCAAAAAAAAAAATCATTATCGCGGAGTCGGCAGATCGGCACTAAACCGGATTCGGATGCCCCTCTTATCGCTCTACAGACGGTCTTCGTCCTCGACTTCAACTTCATCTCATCATTGCTAATGGAAAGATGATGTCAATTGATATATTTCCATCGATCCACGATGTCCTTTTCTAAGGCTTCATCCTTTGGACCAGCTGGTTCTTTTGCACCTCTCTCCAGACAAAGCAGTAGACCCAGGACAGCAAGGCCAGCCACGACAGCGACAAGCATTGCATCCCAGGACATTGTCTGTGCGGTCAGTGAGTCTCGAGGCATCTCATCGACTGTAGGCCTTGCCTTTATCAACCTGTCTACGGCAGAGGCTGTATCATGTCAAATATGTGACAGCCAGACCTATGTCAAGACAATCACCAAGATCGCCGTCTTTGAACCCACAGAGATCCTTTTTATGAGCACAGCCAAAGACTCTAAACTATTCTATATTATCCAAGAGAACATCCCTGATCCAACTTATACTTTTCTCGACCGCAGGTCTTGGTCTGAAAAAACCGGCCATGAATATGTTGATCGTCTCGCTTTCCCAGAGGATGCTGAATCCATCAAGATGACACTGGGAGGAAATTACTTTGCTGCGTGTTGCTTTGCTGCCGTAGGCGCTAACTATATAGTGAAAAATCACTATAAATTTAGTGTGTGCTGACTTGTCTAGGCCCTCAGATACGTTGAACTCGAGCTGAACAGAACATTCGCTTCTCATTCCCTTCGCATCAGATTTGAACCTTCGCAGGGTTCCATGACCATTGATTTATCCACCATTGTTTCGCTGGAATTGATACAGAATCTGCATAATACCAAGTCTAAAGACAGTCTATTCGGGCTTTTAAATGAGACTCTCACGCCTATGGGTGCCAGACTATTGAGAGCCAACATCCTCCAACCTTCCACGGAGCGGGACAAGCTGACAGGGAGATATGACGCCGTTGAGGATCTGTCCACAAAGAAAGAAATGTTTGTTACTGTCAGGCAAGGTCTGTTGATAGAGATATCCTCCTACGTCAACTACTAATCTTGGTCTTCTATAGCTCTCAAAGGTTTTATCGATGCAGACAAGGTTTTGACGTCTGTCAGTAGACCCATCTACGAGGCAGAGTTGAATGCTGACAATTAAGCTCATTTTGGTGCCTACCAAACGAACCTTTCAATATGTCGAGCAGTCCGTCAACAATGTCATAATGCTCAAAACCTACGTGTCGTCCATCAAATCGGTGTACAAAGCACTTGCAACTGCTCAAAGTTCACTTTTGCTCGCAATCAGAGAGGTATCTCATCTGCTTGGTTAATGCTTGCAGAAACCACTAACCCGTAACAGCTATGCGCTCCTGCGGGTCACCATGCAGTCGAAGAGCTGATTGAAACAACTCTCAATGAACATGTAGCTCATCAGACCAAGCCTCTCGACCTGAGGAACCAACGTATATACTGTGTCAGAGTATCTATCTCTTCCCCTGCCATAGTTGCACACCATCTAAGGTTATTAGGCTGGTGTAAACAGTCTCCTAGATGTCGCAAGACAGACTTATAAAGAAGCAAATATAGATGCCGCAGACCTAGTGTCAAAGCTCTCAGGTGATATAAGTCATGTCACATACTAATCCTTTACTAATCTATCGCAGAGTCCCACAATATTGTACTGGATCTGAAATTTGACACATCCCGTCAATACTACATTAAAATGTCAACGGCCGACCTCGAGTCTATACCTGATATATTCATCAATGTATACCACAGAAAGAACCATATAGAATGCCAAACGCTGGACCTCGTCAAACTCAACCAGAAGATAATAGATGCACATAACGAGGTGATCAATATGAGCGATCGAACTATTCAAGAACTGATTAAGGACGTCTGCTCCGAAATATCAGGACTGTTCAGAGTGAGCGAAGCAGTCGCCATGCTGGACATGCTGGCTGCTTTCGCTCAACTTGCAACATGTTATGACTACATCCGACCTGAATTGACAGACGCTCTTGCCATAAAATCCGGGCGTCACCCTATTCGGGAGAAAATACACACAAACAGATTCATTCCCAACGATGCCTATGCAACGCAGCAGTCCCGTTTTCAGATAATAACAGGCTGCAACATGAGTGGGAAATCCACCTACATACGCTCTCTGGCCCTAATGACAGTTATGGCACAGATTGGATGTTACATTCCCGCGGAATACGCATCGTTCCCCATTGCCCATCAGTTATTCGCCCGTGTCTGCATTTCAGACGATCTAGAAGCGAACGTATCGACCTTTGCTGCTGAAATGCGCGAGATGGCTTTTATTCTACGTAATATTGAACCTCGAAGTATGGTCATCGTTGATGAACTCGGCCGGGGCACTAGTACGACAGATGGTCTCGCCATCGCTCTTGCCATCGCAGAAGCCTTGGTTGAAAGCCACGCACTCGTCTGGTTTGTTACTCACTTCCATGATCTAGCCTCTATCATGGCCGAGCGTAGCGGCGTGGTAAACCTCCACCTTGCAGCAGAGATCTCCTCCGACTCATCAAAAATGACAATGCTGTACAAGATTGCCGAAGGCCCGGTAACCAATAAATTCTACGGTATTGCCTTAGCCAAATTGGTCGACCTGCCTCCAAACGTACTGGAGGTAGCTCGAAGGGTATCTGAACGAGTAAACCAGATCGTGCAGCGTCGACAAAGCAAATCGAGAGCGTTGGTTATTTCGCGGAAGCGAAACTTGATCCTCTCACTTAGGGAACAGCTATTGCAGGCCCGAAATAGCACCATGCAAGATGATGCTTTAAGGAAATGGCTCAAAAAGCTACAAGGCAATTTCGCGCTTCGCATGGCTACTATCGATGATGACCTAACGGGGTCTGAGGATTCCGGTGATTCGGGGGATGAAGAACAGGAACTTACTTCTATTGCGGAAGAAGTATCGTCAAACTCATCAGGGTTAGTGGAAGAACGAGAAGAAGTGTCTCGATACACTACTTCTGTGTCAAGTGGTGAGAGATCGATCTTGGAGATTTCCTCTCAGGAGTCCTCTGAAATTGAGAGTATAGAGGATGACTGAGCTGTAGGTGTATATTTTTATTGCGCTCTGAGTCTATAGTTTTCCTGTGGCAGTATAATTTGTAGACCTGGACCTTTTTATTTTATTATAGAGTTATGGGGGAGATAGACTTGTGTTAAGCGTTATGATTATCTACATTTGCAATCTCTAATTCTACAACTGCCAATTGTCAACATCCTCATATCTCAACCTAAAACTTTTTATTGAAAAGGTATAAAACTCTATCAAACATCTATGCTTAGAACCCCCGCTCAAGATGAACCAAAGAACAAAATCGCCTTAGCAAATCAAGAAGAGAATCCACATTTATCCAAAATGGAACAATGTTTGCTTTCCTTTCTTGCCTTTTCCTTTTTTCCCTCCACCTCCGCCAAGTTCTGGGAAGTCATCAGCCTCCGCGGAAGCAGATGCCGATTCGCCTCCTGATGATTGTCCCCAGGCATTCGCCGGTTGAGGGCGGCGGTCATCCCACCGAACGGTTCCACGGGTGAGACCTGCCATGAGGATGTTCGGTTTAGGAGCTTTGGGGAGAGCAGGGAAGGCATCGGCGCTCCTTGGAGCAGGGGCACGCGAGGAAGATGGTGCAGGTGCTCGAGTAGCAGGGCGGCTGGTCGCCATAGAAGGTGCGGCGGGAGCAGCGGTGGCCCAGGGGGTAGCAGCGTTTGCTGCATTGGCTTTTCTAGAAGCTGAGCTGGTAGAGGAGGGGAGGGCCGGGAAAGGATTGCTGGAGGATGAACCAGAAGGAAGGGCACCGCTTCTGCCAACTGCTGAGCGAGAGGACTGGGCAGTTGATGATTTGAGGCGGAGGACTCGGCTTCCTCCAGCACCGCTGCCGTTCACGGTGCTGGGTGACATGCCTGGAAGAAGACCACCTGGTCCAGGCAGAGCTGGGTAGTCTTCATTGATGGCCCGCCAGTCGTTCCAAGCCTGGAGGAGCGCACTTCGTTTCGACTCATCTTCGTAGATATCTGCAAGCTCTTTGATAAGCTTACCTAGCTCAGAGCTAGATGTATCAAAGAGGGAGAAAAAGGCGTCGATGAGTTCGGTGGCGGAGATGGAGGAAGTACGGTAGCTGGAGACTCTACTGCGGAACTCCGCAAGCTTGGTCGAATCGTTGCGCAACAGGCTTGATGCACGCTCAATAACAGACGCATGGCGCATGCGACGAGCCTGTTCCTGGGGTGTGAGAGGGCCCGAATCAGCACTGAGGTCGAGATTCTCCATGGCAGACACTGGTGGGGTTCGAGCAGCTGCAGAGGCTTGAGATGGCGTGGGACCCGCATTCCGAGGAGGAGCGCGCACAGTTTGGGTGTCGTTGCGAGTAAGTTCGCCGCCAAAGCTCCGGCTTGTCACAGACTGCGAACTTTGAATGGCCACCTGTCGTTGATAAGCGATCTCATCCCGTCTCAACGGCTGAGCACTGGACACGGGGAGAGGTTCCGCATTGGGGTCGCGGCCTCGGCCAGCACCGCGGCGTTGTCGCTGGGGCTGGTACGGCGTTCTGATATCAAAGCTCGATAGATCCACCATACGAGCATCTCGTCTTGCGTCTTTGGAAAGCCCGTTCGGGTGGCATTCCAGTTGATGACCTTTCAGATCCATTTGAGATTCAAAGACAACAAACTTCTTCTCCAAGCATTCCGTATCCAGACAGATGAAGTGGTCTTTTTGGAAGTGATCCTCAAGTGCATTGTAGTCGACATAGTACTGTTGTTGTCGGTGACCAGATCGGCGATCGCAAATGTGGCATCGTTCGTGGCGGTCGCGGCAGTGAGCATAGAGCTCGTCGTCTCCGTAGTATCGCTGGCGGCAGAATCCACACTGGGGGTGTCCCCTGAAACCACTCTGGTCAATGGCTCCGGGAACATGGTCTCCGTGCTTCTCATGGTTGCGCAGCTCTGCCATCGTAAAGAGCTCATGCTCGTGGGTGAAGACTTTCTTGTTCCGAGTACATAGATCACTGTATTATTCGAACGGATTGTGAGTATTCTGTGGGAAACAACGGTGGAGGATTTACATACCACATAACCTTGTTGTGCTTACTCTTAACATGGCGATGTAAATCCGGCCAGCCGAGACAAGCCACATCACAGTCTGTGTCGGGACAATTGTATCGTAGCAGCAAGAGAGTATCCTCGAAGATCTCATCGTTCTCATATTGAATACCCAAGTTCTCATCCTTCCGGGAGAAGTCAGTGTTTGTGAAGTCCTCAAAGCGTTTCGCCGGGTCGTCTGTAAAGATCACATAGTTGGACTCCGTCTATTCACATTAAATTTAATTAGTTTGCCCATAAATAACAGGTTATACAGCGACAACACCACATACCCGACAATGCGCGCAGGCCTTGTTTTTATAAAGGGCCCGTAATCTCAGTGCACAGATATGACAGGTCCGGTGGTTGCAAGGTGAGACGGACGTGTGCGAAACAGTAGAGGCACAGATGAAGCAAATTTCACCATCATCGGCATCGTCTGTCGCTTCTGCTGCAGCCTGCTTGCCTTTGGCATCGCCTTGAGCTGGTGTGCTGGCAGAAGCCTGTTCATTGTCCCCGGCCGGAGCCTTGGTGGCATTGCGATTTTGTCTATCGCGACCACCACCCCCTCTACCCCCACGGCCCCGAAGTTTCGATCCTCTTCCGGAGTTCTCGTTGGAATGTTGCTGCTGTGTGCCTGCATTGTCTGACTGATTACCTCCTCCTCGTCCACGTCGACGACCACCGCGGTTCTGGCCTTGCGATCCGGGGGCTTGGGACGGCTGAGAGTCGGCCATTGGGGGCGATAGGGAGAGCGGGATTCGAACGATAACGGGGTTTCAAGCCGGAATCCAGGCGAACACTTTCTAGAAGGCGAGGGGAACTGAGGGCTGTATGTAGCCGATGCGACGATCACGTTTTTTTTTTTTTTTTTGTTTTCTCTTTTTCTTTTTTCGCCCTTTTCTTGCGGGGAGTTTGGTTCTACTGCGGGCTGTTTGCAGTGGGGGAAAAGACGAGCGGCGGGCAAAAAGTTGGTTGTGTCGGAGGATCGCTGACTGATCAAACCACATATACGATGGCGACATTGCACAGCGACAATGGGGAATATCTTAGAATATGCCACATATTATGTATCGCTACTAGGTCAGATGAGGAGCTAGGCCATTTTACAAACGTCTGGTTGGAAAATGGCTCACTTCAGCTGGTGTGGGAGCTTCAAGCGGTTGAAAGATTTACATCAAGCAGGCCCACCAAAGCATTGGATACAGATGGAATGGGATAAAATGAATGGATTAATGGTCGAATGGATGAATGGATGAACTCCAATTCCTCATCCTAATAAGATCTTTGGGTTTCTAGACGACAATCTCCATACCGCCCGTGTTAAAGGCAATACCAACTCCCGCTCGAGAGAAGAACAGGTGAACAAAAGAAACGGCATCCAATGAACGTAAAAAGTAATAGACAACAGAATTCATATGAGTAATAAGGCAAAGCGCCTGGGTTCCTATGCGGTGGGGTAAAGAAAATAAACAGAGTCGTAAATGGATGCAGCATGTATGCTGCAGACCCTACCTGGACGGTAGGGTATCGTAATGGACCCCCTCTGGACATGGGGCTATTCATCTGGACTATACAGGTTCTGGTTGAGAATCTTGGTCATGGTAAACATGTGCACCCGATCTTGTTTGAAGACGGCGCGCATCGCATCGTCGCACCGGATTTGCCGTCTATCGCTGGGGTCTTGGAGGTCATGTTCTCGAATATACTGCCAAACCCTCTTAACGGTCTGAGGACGCGACATCTGTTGCAAAGTCAGCATGAATTGACGTTGAAGAGGATTTCTTGGAAAAAGCGTACCGTAGCTTCACCGTCTAACAGGGCCGAAAGGGCCGGCGAAAGATTGAGAGGTTTCTGTATGGTCGTCAGTCTCTACTATGAAGAGCTCTTGATAGGAGATAGAATTGCAGCATACATGAAATGCGCCAGTGCGATTCACTTCCTTCTTTGTCCCTTCGGAACCTGACTCCAGGTCCGAATCATCCTCTGTCTTTACCTTCTTAGAGGTCTTGGTTTTGGTGGTCTTTTTCTTTGCCGGCGCTGCCCTCCGTGTGTTGGTACCTCGCGTAGGTCGGGCACGCATATTCTCCTCAGCTTGTAGCTTGGCAGCAAAGACAGCATCTGCATCAACATCGACATTTGCCTGCTTTCTCTTCTTGACCGGAGGGGTCTTGTTGGAGGGTTCGGAGAGTTCTTCGCTGTCGGCCTGGCGTTTCTGTGGTGACGAGTCTTGTGCAGGAGACGAAGCATCCACGGGAGTGGTCGAGTTCTTGCTTTGTTCGTGGCCATTGGTGGTGGGAGCTGTAGACGAAGCGGCCTCGGGAGAAGCTAAACCACCCTGTTCGGCGAAAATGTCGAAACGTTCCATGATAAGCTGCTTGATCGCAGCCTGTAGAAATAAAAAACCGTCAGTGATATACTCAATGGCATTTTGAAGCTCGTATATTAAAAATGGAGAAATGCGACGAAAAAGAGGGATTGGGCTGACCTTCTGCGGAGTGAGATCATAGCCGACTTCTTCCTGGAGGCCTTTGCGGATGCGCTTTTCGGAGATGGTATTCAGGTCACTTTTGCCCAGGATTGAGTCAATGACCTGAATATAATTCTCACGCACATCTGGAGACACTGTCGCAATCGTAAATAAAAGAAAAATGGTGTTAGTTGAATGCGGATTTGGGTGGTTGTGAGCCAACCCGGGATACACAGAGTCATGAGGTCTTACGCGACATCTCGGCTTTCCCCCTTCTAGAACACGGGCAATTGCAATTGTATAGATCTCAACTCTTTGCCAATTCAAACTGTAAAGTAATTCACTGGCAGGTGTCACTGCGAGGTCTGAGCTGAAGAAGACCGATCGTCCAGATCTGGGCAATTCCCTGGGTGTAGCGCTGGCGCTTGGGACCGGCGGGGCATGAGAGAAGAAGATCTCCAGGAACGAAGCGTAGGGTATAGTAGTGTAACTATATAGGAACGGAAATGAGATGGGAAAAAAGCAGTGACAAAAAGAAGAAACAAAGAAGACTACTGAAGATAGCCGGCCCACCACGACCAGCAGCTGTTCACCCGCAAGAGAGCAAAGGAAGCCGGGACGATGCGTGCTTAGAGAGAGAAAAGCGGATGATTGTTATGAGGTTGTATGTATGGATGACGGGAGCCGATGAGGTCTACAGAGGGAAAGAAGGGTAACGTTACGGTACGGGTTAATACGGCACATGATCCGGGATGCGGGCGCTAGTAGGCCGGGGTAATGCTTATGTCAGGGTCAGGTGATGTGATCTGGTTATCTACATATCACGTGGTGTCTGAGTCAGGACTGAGTCAGCAGATCGCACACTGGGTTGGGATTTGTTCGTTTTTTGCCCTAAAACAAGAGAGCCAGCCAGAAAAAACGGGGACGACCGAAAAGGCAGAAACTTGCAGGCTCATCTCTTCTCAACACCCCCCGTATCGTCTCACGCTCCACCACAGCCATGGCGCCCAGTTTCGATACCCTGTCCGAGCAGGACCTCCACGAAGAGGAGGAGGTGGATGTTGACTTCTCGGGTGAGTGCGCGACTTTGTTTGTGAGATGATGAGATGTGTGCCCCTCTTATCTAACGCGGTCGGCCACTTTTGCCCCGATTACCCACAGATCTCAAGGAACAGTACGAAGTCAAGCTCGAAGAAGGTTTAGATACATTTGTCGTCATCGATGGACTCCCAGTCGTGCCCGAAGAGAGCAGACAGAAGCTCATCAAGTTCTTGTTGAGAAAACTCACCACCGCCGGCCACACCTCCGAAGATGCCGTCTTCATGCCCATTAACGACAAGAACATGTCCGAAGGGTGTGTATTGAGAAATCATCGCCAGGGAATGATTGGGAAAGACTAACCATAACCTTCTAGCTTCGCCTTCGTCGAGTACGAAACCCCCGAACAAGCCGTCGCCGCCGTCAAGCAGCTGCACGGTGTCCCCCTTGACAAGAAGCACACCCTGGCCGTGAATAAGTTGATGGACATTGAACGCTATGGACGTGAAGGACGCATTGAGGAGGAATACACCCCTCCCACCATCGAACCGTTCAAGGAGAAGGAACACCTGCGCTCGTGGTTGGGAGACGCCAATGCGCGTGACCAGTTCGCCCTGTACCGGGGTGACAAGGTCGGTGTGTTTTGGAACAACAAGAACAACCCACCGGAGAACGTCGTCGACCGCGCCCACTGGACACAACTGTTTGTTCAGTGGTCTCCGAAGGGTACCTATCTCGCCTCCGTCCACCCCCAGGGTGTGCAACTCTGGGGTGGTCAAACTTTCACAAAACAGAAGCAGTTCCCCCACCCATTTGTCCAGCTTGTTGAATTCTCCCCCGGTGAGAGCTACTTGACCACCTGGTCCGCCCGCCCCATCCAGGTCGAAGAGGGTAGCAACGGCCCCCTGTCTTACGAGGAGGATGGAAAGAACATCATCATTTGGGATATCGTCTCCGGCAAGCCCTTGCGATCCTTCGTTTCTCACGACCTTACCGCTGGCCCCGGCCCCGAGGGCGACGCTCAGCCCAAGAAGAAGGTGCAGTGGCCCGCTTTCAAGTGGTCTGCTGATGAGAAGTACGTGGCAAGAATGTTGCAGGGCCAGTCGATCTCCATCTACGAAGCGCCCCGGATGAACTTACTGGGTAAGACATCCGTCAAGGTCGATGGTGTCATGGACTTTGAATGGTCTCCCGCCACCGTCAGCCGTGAGGGTATCAAGCAATATGAGCAGCTTCTCTGCTTCTGGACTCCTGAAATCGGCAGCAACCCCGCCAGAGTCGGCATGATGAGCGTTCCGTCCAAGGAGATTGTCCGAACCCGTAACCTCTTCAACGTTTCCGATGTCAAGCTGCACTGGCAATCCCAAGGTGCCTACGTCTGTGTTAAGGTTGACAGACACTCCAAGTCCAAGAAGTCCATGGCCACCAACCTCGAGATTTTCCGTGTTCGCGAAAAGGGTGTTCCCGTCGAAGTTGTTGACAGTCTCAAGGATACCGTTATCAACTTCTCTTGGGAGCCCAACGGTGGCCGTTTCGTCGTCATCACCACGGGTGAGGCTGCCGCCGGCGCGGCCGTTGCTCCCAAGACCTCTGTGTCTTTCTTCGCTCCTGAGAAGAAGGGCCCCTCGGTTGGCAACTTCAAGCTGGTTCGCACCATCGAGAAGAAGACAAGCAATGCGATCTACTGGTCGCCCAAGGGCCGTTTCGTTGTCGTTGGTACCGTCCACTCCCAAACGAGCTTCGACATGGACTTCTGGGACATGGACTTCGAGGGTGAGAAGCCTGAGGGCGAGAAGGATCTGGCAGCCAACCTTCAATTACTGAAGACAGTTGAGCACTACGGTGTCACAGATATCGACTGGGACCCTACAGGTCGTTATGTTGTCAGCAGTGCCAGTGTGTGGACTCACTCGGTAAGATGCTCTATATCCCCATAAGAAGTTCTGATTTGCTAACTTTCATGTCAGATGGAAAACGGCTGGAACCTTCACACTTTCTCCGGTACTACCCTTGCCGAAAACCCCACCGACAAGTTCAAGCAGTTCCTCTGGCGTCCCCGCCCCGCCACCCTTCTCAGCAAGGAGGAGCAAAAGCAGGTCCGCAAGAACTTGCGTGAGTACTCCAAGGAGTTCGACGAGGAGGACAAGTACGCCGTCGACATTGCCAACACAGCTGTCGTCGAGACACGCAAGCGTGTCCTCAACGAATGGATCGCCTGGCTCGTTCGCGAGAAGGAGCTCCTGGCCGAGGACAAGGACGCTTTTGGTGTCCCCGAGGACGTCGACGAGCCCAAGCAAGCCAAGGATGCACAACCAGGTACCGAGGAACAAGGCGACACAGTCGTCGAGGAGATTGTGGAGGAGATTATCGAGGAGAACGAAGAAATCGTCGGTTAATGGGGTTTTTCTTTTTCAATCTAATGTCTCTTTCTATTTTCTTTTTTATTATCTTGTCAACCTTTTCGCCCTTTTTGTCAGAAGCCAAAAAAATGCTTCTTTCTTCCTGTGAGCCTTCTCCTGTGATCAATTTGGCTTGCTCCCGGTCCAGAGGGAGTTTGGAATGTTCAAAAATGAATAGATGTGTATTGCATTTCACCCCGTTATGGGTTTTACGTGTGCGACGTGGTAGCATGAGAGACGACAGACAATGCATGATCCAGAGTATCTACGATAGCCAGTAGTGCCAGTGTATATCAAATGTGTTTTAGTGGCATCCGAATGCCACTAGCCAGGTTATATTGAAATTATAATACATGAGCAACCACCATCAACCCAGGCAAAACCTTCCAAACATGAGCTCCCTCCAGCATTCCACGTATTCCCATCGCTCCACTATCAGCCGTACTGGTAGCAGTGGAAGCAGAGGTCGTAGAAGTAGTGGACGCAGTGGACGCAGCCTGCGTCCTCGTCGTTGTCGTCGATGGCCCCTCCTCGACAACTATAGACGGCTGCACATTCATCTTAAAGTAATGATCCTGATCCCCGACCACATTTCCAGCAGGCGTATACTCGCAAACCACATACCAGCCCTGCGCCCTGGTATACTCCCCATTGTCTGTCTTCGCAGTGTCATCATACCCGCAATCCACCGCCGCACAGCCTACTTCTGCTGTCCCCTTCCATACCAATTGTGTGAAATGGCCCGTTTCCTCTGTGAATCCCGTCGGTTTGTCGAAGTTGTATAGCAGACCCTCGTCGCCCCAGGCCACGACGGCAGCTGAGGCATTGGGATATCCGAATGCGAGGTTCTCGCCGTATGGGCCGTGCTATTTATTCCAATTAGTCTCGTTTCATCTTACGTACTCTAAACGATTTGATGGATTGGTTGGTGATAGGTACTCACTGAATGTTGCCATAGGCATTTGTCCGCCCAATTCTTCGCGTACTCGGTCAGTGTCTCATTCCATACTAGATGGCTTGCGTTGTATTTGTCGCGATAGTCGTTGCTCCATGACATGACTGTATCCTCAAATTTCTCAAGTGATGTGTATGAAGCTGGGTGTGGTGATGTTGGAGATGCTGTTGCGACTTCTGTCACGGTCACCATAACCGTTTGAGCTTGTGCAATGGCACACAAGAGTAGCCATGATGTAAGAAGTTTGATGGAGGGTATCATTGTCGAGGTAGTTTGGAGGGGGGGGGGAGATAGGTGATTGACCTGCTATGATGGGTAAAACATATCTTTTGTTGGAGAGGGTGGTGGGTTAAAGACTGAAGACATGGACAAAGACAGCCACTGCTGCAGAAAGAAGAGCTCATTCACTTTCTCAATGCAGCTGAAACAACCAAACAGCAGACACAAAAACAAAAGCGCTTTGTTACTCTTCCAAATCAGACAGAAGAAGAAGAAAAAGCAATATGGCAGGTTTCAGGTCTGTATACATCCACGAAACTGAACCAATTTAGCACATTACTATGCGGCGACCCAGTAGAGTAGAGCTTAGCTGCAGTAAACCAAGCCATAGTTTTATCCCATGAGATTATTTTCTTCAGGACTTGAAACCTTCACCAAGCGCTTATGATTTGGCTGGATGGCAGCTCTTCGCGCTGTTCTCGTAGCCGCTCACTGACGTCAGGCCAGTTTCACAGGATGATAAGAATAAACTCCGGTCCCAATTGAGCAGGAGCTACAGAGTGATCGGCATTCATGGTCTTCGGTAGAGGAATTGATCTAGATTTGTCCATTTGTTCGCCGGCTTCGTCGATGTTCAGATAGTTGGATTAGTTGGATATGAAGTCAGACCTCCCTATATACTAGTAGTACGGGTATACACGGGTACGCCATAGTCAAACCACCAAATGCTGAACGCAATATTGTCGTCATTCCTCTATATATAATCCCGGGTATCTCACATAACGCTACATCCAATTCCATACATGGCTCGTTCCACATCGCGTTTCACTTGGTACCAATCCGCTCGTCGCTCGGCGAATTCGTACACTTCCTCCACGCGCCAAATGCCATGGAACCGATCCGCATCCGCAATAATCGTGGCTAGATCTTTAGCGTGTGCCGGGTCAATCAGGTATATCTGTGAGAGTTCTCGGAAGGCTTTGAAGTAAATAAGTAGATCACCATTTCTAAGTGTCTGAACAAATTTGAAATAGTGGTTCATGTCGCTGCATTGGGTCAGCTTGTGTCATGTCGGTCGAGAAAAGAAAAGTTGTATCTTACCTGATTAGCTTCAAGGATCCTTCAATACTGATCCTCTGACGCTTCAGGTGTTTACACAAAGCAGCGAATAGACGTAGCCCAACCTCTTGGTTGAACACATCGAGTGTGCTTTTGTCTGTGCTTCCTACCAGCATTTGCGTGTGTGATGAAACCACGTCAACCACGGCTGAGGCCGCTTCGCTAATACCGACATCCATCGTCTGTCGGTAAGGATCAGTTGATATTCCCGGGTTGAAGTCCGTAGCCAGTTGTCTAGTTGCTAGAATGTAGTCGACTTCTTCCATGAGCACATCGATACCTTTGTTCAATCCGGCCGCAACACGTTCATCAAGCATCTGTTCGAACTTTTTCTTTTCCTTCACAGCAGGGTCAAGGAAATCATCTTTTTGGGTGAGCTTCGTGGCCACCAGTTCTTGCTCATAGAATACATCCATCATTTGAAGAATCAAGTCGCCAACATTTACCAATTCCAAAAATGTCACCAGGGGCTCGACGCCTGACTGATCGCGGTCCCCTTGCTCGCGTGGCCGGTAGTTTGAAAGATGGTCGACTGCGTTGTTGAAGCCAACAATCACATGCCGGTGTCCCAGGATGCGAAGCAATGCTACAAATATCGCTTCGCATTGCTTTTTGACAGCAACGCCTGTCTCACCACCAATTTTCCTAAACTGTGCCGCTCGCTCCAAGCTCGATTTGGCAGAATGAACCAAACTCAACGCAACTTCAATGCTAAACAGAGACCGAATGCCTTCAAGTTTCGTTTTCATAAGGGCAGCTTTTGCATCAAGCTCCGATTTCGGGGCTTCTGCCAACACAGCTGGTTTGGGCGAGGCAATGGTGGAGAAGCGATTGGGGCTTTTCAGCGAGGACGTATCACTGGTGGCCGAATTCTCATCCGGCTTTGGCTCGTTTGATTTGGCGGAGAAGCTTGGAAGAATATTAACAGGCATCATGATCACTTTCTTGAACGACGTCAGGAAGTCCCGCTTATCAGCTTGCCGGTTGATATTTGACATTAGGAAAGATTCAGTGGATGCGGCCTGTTCCGATAGCTGTCTATCCCATTCTGCCACTGCGGCTTCAGAGTTCTTGCGGAAATAATCCACTTCCTCTGCAAGATACAGATCAATGTGTGGCTCGTACACTTTAGCAATGACATGGTACAGAAATTCATCGAAACTATCCGGTGAGTTGCGAATTGGCAGCATCGTCTCCGACAGATTCGTGCATTGCACGAAGGTCACAGAAACCGCATTCAAATAAGACTCGATATTGGTGCGATGTAATTCATCAAAGAGGGCAGTCATGAATGGATACAACACATCCTGTCCTACTTTCTCCACGAACTGGGAAGCAACATTCACTAACGAAGGAAAGACGCGATTGATGACTGAAACCTCCTCGTTGTAAGCCACGCTCAATCGCGTAAAAAATGCTTGGGTATGTTCCAGCTTCACCTGGTAAGTGGAATCATCAAAGCAGTCTGCTACTCTCCCAAGATCAGACTTTCGTGTCACCAAATGATTATGGTGGATGAACAATTCAACTGCGGACTGTCCGCCGTTCAAGGTACAAAGAACACTTGCGTACTTTCGCATCAACCCTTCAATATCTTCAGTTTCGTATCCTTGTCTGAATTCCTTCAAGGCATCTGTCTCGAATGTTGACACGGCGGCTTGCAAGTTCTCAATCCTCCCTTGCCAACCTTCGGTGGTGTCACATTTAGAAAATTGCTGCAGCTGGGACAGAATCCGGGCTTGGTGTAGAGGATCATGGTATGTCTTGAATAAAAGATTATCAGGTGAGGGCCCGGAATTGCCGATGTCATCGTAGAATGGTGCCAGTGCCGCATAGACCTTGCCAAACTCCTGGCGCGCCTCTCCACGCACCGATCTGGCCAGCTTCAGTGCACCCAGAACCGCATTTTGTTCCAATTCATCTGTTGTGTCGGTCGCCGCAGTTGTAGACAGGTTGATCTGGTCGAATCCATCCGAAAGTGATTGAGCACCTGGTGTAGAGTTGTGTTGTCCAGCATGGGCCGGAGATTCCCCGGTTTCCTCTGCTATTTCCTGTTTCTTGACGCTTTTCAAGTCGGCAATGGTCCCATGCGCTTGTTCAACATGTTTCCTAGCCTCCAATTCATCCCAGCAGCCCATCCGTTTTAGTTTATGCACCCATCGTGTATCATCGTATGCCATCTCTCGCAAGAGCCTCGACGATCGCGCTGCCCGAATGAGGTCGACGGGGGAGAGGTAATCGATAATCGAGGACATGATCTCTAATACGTGTCAGAAATATTGCATCGTCCTACATGTTCTTCATGCGCATGCTCAAGAAGCAAAGATCCTTGGTTCGAGACCTACCCGCAGGGAGAGCAGCCCTGGAGATCACCTCCTCCATAGAGGCCATTTTGAGTGAAGCCAGCACATCTCTGCGCGGACCCTGCGGTCGCCCGCCAGTTCCTTTTCCATTCCTCGCATTCGACATCTCGTCTTCTCTGGATCTGCATCGGGAGGAAAGGGGTCTTCGTTATCGTTTGTCCCGTAAGCTCAGCGGTCTCACCGACTAGGCGGTGCGTGCCGTGGGGCAGCTTGAAGTTCGAAAGGCTGAAAAAACAAATAGAATATAGGCGTGTCTGGAGCAAGAATTTTTTTCAAATAACAATCATTAGCATCATTAAATTAAACCCACGGGTCTTCATAAACCCCAAAAGCTTCAACTGCTGATTGTCGAGGCTTTGAGATCGCTGATCGACCACGAGTTTGTCGGAGGGCAATGACACCCTTCCCCGGACCCTCCATCGGCGGTCGAATTTCTCTTTCCGAACTGAACCAACAAGCTGGGGAACAGTTCTATTTATCTTCAACATTCAATCACTGATGGTTATCATCAACTGTTCAAGGTGGATGCCTATTCTTCGTAAGTGCTATATCCTACGATTTAAATGTATTTTTTGCTTTTATCTTGGTGTGGCACGTTCTCTCCTGGTTGTGACTGTAAATATATTTCGCAATGCAGCCTTTATGCACAACTATTACTGGGCCCAGACGAGTAAACTTATCTAATCTTTTGGAATAAGTGAGTTTAATAGCATCAACTAAGCCACATATCCTAAAAAGTTCCGATAAACAACACATTTAGATCGTATCTTTTGAAGATTGATATAGATGAACTGCCAGACTACCAGGTATCATAGCACCATAGAAGAAATATAAAGTTTAATACTAGAGACCATTACTGGCTGCTTATAAGAAACCTCTCTTCCATTTATATAAAACTAAACGGTCTTGTTACTACTGAGGCCCAGGCCCTGTGTTGTCTTGTCTCTTACTCACCTCTTTCAACCCAACCCTTCAACCATCGCAGGAAGGACCCCCATTCGCATTCGCAACGACTGAGCTTCGCCAGACCTACCCAATGTCATCCACCGCGTGTGTATCACGTTTAACGGAGGTTGCACAGCAGCCTGTTCTCCATGTCGAAGCTCGTGTGAAAACCAATGGAGATGGTATCATCGTCCGCACTGATCTGGTACCAGACTTAGCCCCAAGTATATTGAGACCTTGACGCTGAGAAAAAAGCAGATCAGGGATGAAGTCACGCAGTGGCTCATTGATAGTTTTGTGGTTCTTTCTCTGGGACAGGAGATCTACTCGTTCGGTAAGGGCATTCCACCATCACACTATCAATCAGTCGCGATAGAATCTGACAAGGAGAAAGAGGGCCTCAAAGGATCCCACGCACAGGCTTTAGATTCAATAGTGGTTACAGAGTGCAGCGGAGGCAATTTCGAATCAGGAGCATATCGTGTCCAGCAAGTCGAACTCGATGTCCAGGCGTACCAGCTCCGCATACAATTCGAGCCGGACAGCTCTCAGCAAACTCAGCAACTGGAAGAACCCGCAGACAATGAAGAGGATGGCACAAAGGCACGAGTTTTGGCTTTACCAAGCAAAGAGTTGGATGGGCTTTGGGAGTCGTATGTTCTGAGACAGACAAGATGCGACCACGGCTGAATATGGGCAGACTTCAGTTCGATCAACCAGTCCAATCTACGCTTCTCAGGGCTATAAGCAGAATGGGCAAGTGATTTCGACTGTTGTTTTTGAGACCTGGTATCATTAATTGTTAAGTACAGTGTCTTTTTCTACCCGAAAATTGAGCAAATGGTCAATCAATTGGAACAGATTGGTCCTTCTTTGGGGCCCACCAGGAACAGGGAAAACAAGCCTATGGTATGTAGTTCGCAGCAAATCCATTCAGTATATCTACGGCTGATAAATGTGCAGTCGTGGCTTGGCCCAGAAGCTTGCGATACGTCTCGGAAAGCATTATCCACAAAGCAAGTTAGTTGAGATAAATGCACACTCTTTGGGAAGCAAATTTTTCGGCGAGAGTAGCAAGCTGGTAAGCAAAATGTTTCAGAGCATCGAATCTATGCTCGAGGAAGAAGATGATACTTTCGTCTGCGTGTTTGTAGATGAGGTTGAGACATTGGCTGCTCGCAGAGAGCGGTCGCTCAATGGCAACGAGCCATTCGATGCTGTTCGCGCAGTGAACGCGCTCTTAACAGGACTGGATAAGATGAAGCCTCATCCAAATGTGGTTGTTATTTGCACGAGCAACTTGGTCACAGCCCTGGTAAGAATAACATGCAATGGCGGTGCTTCTGATTCTTAAGTTAACAAGCTCCCCTCAGGATCAAGCGTTCCTCGATCGTGTTGATATTAAACAATTCATGCCGCACTTGTCGAATAGAGCGATCTATGGGATATACAAGGACTGCCTGGAGGAATTAAATCGGTGTGGTATCATTGAGGGTGCCGCCTTCGATGTTATCCAAGTGAACCCAGAAGACCCCCAAACAGCGCTGCAGTACTTGGAACAGCAGGCAGAGCACTTAGTGGTCCCATCTTTCGATGAAATGCTCCTCAATTACCAGATGTTTCCGAATGCTGTGCCCAAGCAGCTTGCTGATGCGGCCACTGCCAGTGTGGTGAGTCCACCAATTTAATTTGGCGAGAACTATTGTAATCTGACAATTGACGTAGGGGCTAAGTGGTCGTACACTGCGCCGCCTCCCAGCTTTGTCGTTGGTGCTCCATAGCAACACAACCCGAAGCAGTGTTCGCGAGGCCGTTCAGGCGTTGGGGGTGGGAATAAAATCGGAGATTCAGGCTAAGGCGGAAGCGGCGTAAGGTTCAGGAGACACACAGACGGAGCGATGGAGGATTGGGACGGTTCAAGGCGGTACGACCACAATCAAAATATGTCTAAGAGTCAGCATCATCATAGCATGTGAATTGTAGACCCAATGCCATCGGACATCAGTTCTTATCGTCTTCTGTCGTGGCGCCGATCCCAAGGCTGTTTGTCGAGCGAAATTTGTTGTTCCGAAAATTCGCGGTTTTCACCGAAGACAGCTAGAGCCGGGGCGGCAACCAATCAGCGCGAGGGTTTAGCCAATTCCAAACCAAGAGAAACTTGACTGTCCGACAACCTCGACTTCACCTCCAAAAGCACATCTTCCTGTGCGCACCACCACCCCCCTCCCCTCCCCTCTTCCCTTCCCGCGGCTTTGTGCCTTTCTATCTCTCTATTTATCGGAGGGTCATTTAATCTGTCAGTATGCTGGCACGTACTGTTTTGCGCAGCGTGCCCTCTCGGGGCATCGCACGCCAGTCCTTGAACAAAACATCCAAGGTACGCACTTCCCCGGCATCTGACTCCCATTGGACCCCATGGGCAAGGGCAATCGTTTTTCACTACGCCTAAGATGCTTCTTTAAGGCGTTTTTACTCACAATTTGTCCAGCGTGCCTCTTCCTCGACAGCCGGTGCCGAATCCGCCAGCTCCCCCTTCTACCTTACACTCACTGCGTCCGCCGCAACGGCCGTCGCTGTCGGATCCACCTACTATCACTTCTATGGCCAGGAGGCTTTCGCGTCGACACCTGCTGAGGAGGGGTGAGTGAATTGATCGTGGTGCTCTGGGTGGTCATTTTCTGGCCATTCCGTTGCTCCGACCCGAGATATAGCTTAGACGGTGATGAAGCTGACCGCATCGATTTCTAAAGATTGCACGCCACTGCTTACCCTTGGGAACACGCCAAATGGAACAAGACTTTCGACCACGCTGCGTGAGTAGCCCTTTTACTGGATTGATACCCCCTTTCACACCATACCTTTACTCATATTTGGCCCTGCAGGCTCCGCCGTGGTTTCCAGGTCTACCGTGAGGTTTGCGCCAGTTGCCACTCTCTGACCCGTGTGCCCTGGCGTTCGTTCGTCGGTACCATGCACACCGTCGATGAGATGAAGGCTTTCGCCGAAGAACACGAATATGACACCGAGCCCAACGACCAAGGCGAGATCGAGAAGCGCCCCGGAAAGCTTTCGGATTACATGCCTGGCCCCTACAAGAACGAGGAGGCTGCCCGTGCTGCCAACGGTGGTGCTCTGCCTCCTGATCTCAGCTTGATCGTCAAGGGCCGTCACGGTGGCTGTGACTACATTTTCAGCCTTCTGACCGGTTACCCCGATGAACCCCCTGCCGGTGCCAACGTCGGTGAGGGAATGAACTTCAACCCCTACTTCCCCGGAACCGGTACGTTTTGAACGCCCCTTTCCCTTCAAACCTTTGGATATATTCTAATTTTCACCACAGCCATTGCTATGGGTCGTGTCCTCTTCGACGGTGTCGTTGAGTACGAGGATGGTACTCCCGCTACCACCTCCCAGATGGCCAAGGATGTTGTCGAGTTCCTCAACTGGTCTGCCGAGCCAGAGATGGACGACCGGAAGAAGATGGGTGCCAAGGCCATCGCTCTTCTGACTGGCCTGTTTGCCGTCAGCGTCTGGGTCAAGCGTTACAAGTGGTCTCCAATCAAGACAAGAAAGATTGTGTACAGCCCTCCCGTCTCCCGGCGCTGAATGTTGCAGCGGACTGTATGATTTATAAAACGTGAAGGCCTTGAAAGACGCCGAGCGGACCTGGAATGGTTTTAAACGACCCTCAGGTTGGTTCTGTTTCCTTTCCACGGTCTCTTCAGTCGTCTTTGTCAATGGTCCCTCTGCTTGTTTGCTACTTTCAGACCATCTGTATCTGTACCCTAGATATTCCTTTTCCTTTGAAAATCTTGTTTTGAAGAACCAAAGATGTCATTTTATTTCCTTTGTTAACAAGTCTTTTTTTGGAGTCCATTCCGTCTTATTACCATTGAGAGGCGCAATCGTTCTGCCTGTAGTGAGGTAGGTATTCAAGTCTGTCTTGATTGTACATGCTATCTCACGCCAAAGGAGGCAAAACAATAACCTCGGCAAAGGCATACCTTTACAAGTGACTGGAACGCTACCTTCATAATTAAACTGTACTTATTGGCCAAATGCATTGATTTTAGATTTGATATACTTGATATAAAACGCAAGGCTTTGAAAACTTTCGAAATCTCAGCTAAGGTAATTTAATCCACTGTATCTTCAATTGTCCTCTCGCCATCACCAAATATCCACCGAAATATCAGATCATAGCTACCCCACATTGCTACGGTAACCATTTGCGCTATCGCAAGCACCCATGGTGGACTGCGGCCGTCCTCACCGGCATATCTGCTCGAAAGCTGCAGTGATTTAAGAAAGATGGGGCGCCAGAATCCTCTAAAGAGAAACTTGCCAATCCTCTGGCGGGTGGTGGTAATGCGGTACGGTCGAATCCGGGAAAGGTAGGTCTGGTAAGAGATCGGTAGGTTATGCTCGGCTGCACCGGTGATGAGCAGGTTGAGGTAACGAGCGGATGGTTGAGCGTACGAGGTACCGAAGTTGGAACCGGCGAGCTTGTTGTATGCTATCGAAGCGTGAGAGGCGGTACGGCTCCCGGCTTCATTGGCTGCTGGCGAAAGAAGGCTATGCACCTTGAAGGGCTTGGTGGTTGGTTGATCTGGGACAGGGTCTGCAGCATTGTAGGGCTCGGGGAATGGGTAGCAATCTACAACGATTTCTCTGTATCCATGCCCACCCCCTTCGGTAGCTATCATGCGAGCGTAATCAGTCAGAGTAACTTCATACACGACTCCAACAAGGGGCTTGTTCCAGCGATCCTTGTGATATTGACACCGGCCCTGCTGCATGAGAGGTGCCTTTTCCGAAATCTTTTCTTCTGCCACATCATTGTCCTCACATCCCTCTCCTGGTACCTCACGGTATTGTGTTGCCGCAAAACACGGTTCTGAGTACGGTACTCCGGGCTGATCGAAACTCAGCCTCAGCTCGGGGACGAGAACATTGGTTTGTGATAGGGGTTTGATGCCCCGCATTCCGTTGAAAGTCGAGGAGCACATGTTCGAGCCGTAGGCGAGGTATAGGACGGTTTCAGTTGAAGGCAATGTCTCCTGATGTTTGGTGCCATCATGGCCAAAGATTTTTTCGGCGAGGTGTAAATCCTGATCGAGCGAGTGTTCTGCAGTTGACTCTTGTCGCCTGGCCTCTGATGTTTCTGGATAGTGTTTGTTGTCTGGCAAAGAGGGCTTTTCGGTAGCAGAAAAGTCGCTCGGCAGTTGATCAAACGCCTCGATTCCCACTTCCTTTTGGCCTAGTTGATCGTCATGTTCGGAGGCCATTGTAGTATGCCACTAGTCACAAAACTTCTGAGCGAGCTGGGGAAAAAAAAAGAAGGTTGAAGTAACTGTGTGTCAGTAAGGCTTAAAAGTCAGTGAACCCCATTTTAGTGACAGCAAGCAGCGATCAGCAACATTTATAGTTGCCATGGTCTCCCCCAGCTCAGCTGAACCTATCCCTAGCGGTCTGCGGCTGGATTGGTTAGGTTCATTTGTCGAGCAATCAGCAAAGGGCACTCGGTAGACGGAACAATCCAGCACCGCGCGGAGAGCGGGAGCTGAGGGAGCCGACGATCGCTGCTGCATGATCATTGGTGAACCTAGACAAGTCTCGAAGATTTCTCATCAGAAACGAGTAATCATAAAAGGAGAGTGGAAGGAAGAGGGGGAGGCGAAGAGAGAATGGCAGCATATATGGACCTTTTGAGGCTGTCACATGTCATTATTACTCTGTATGCACGCAGTGCGCAAGTGATTTTTCGTCATCGTCTCTAGTTATGACACAAACTAGTCCATAGCAACTTTGGGTAGGAATACTGGAAGTCAATTCCTCGTTTGAATTGACTTATGTATTTCTCTTAGCAGGAATCTCTCTGTGTGTTAGAATCAGCGTGACTTAGCAACAATGAAATGAAGATGCTCTACTTACTAGTTACTCGGCCTGACCTGTTCCAACCTACCAGCTATTGATTCAACCTTCATTACCCGCAATTTAAGACCCGTAGAATGTTGCTCTATGGTAGATGCCATTGGGGAATTATAGCCGAGATGACAAGAATAAGATCACATTGTGCGTAGGTATTGCCTTGTCCAGTAGATGTCTGGTAGGGTTGTTTGCCCATTGCTGTTTCTGGCCAAGCGCCTGCATGTGTCTTTCTTTCCTCTCGACACAACCATGTGACGTTCAGTTTGCTACTCGTTTCCATTGAACTCCCAGTGGTTACACCCGGGGCCAGGTTCATATTCGACCGTCTCTCGAGTCCTGGTTGCATCTATCAACTGAAATTCAAGAACGAGATGCCAGGTGCTTCGGATCACGAATGCCCAGACAAGGGCTCTCCAGCATCGAAGACATCCTGCACTTCCGAAGTGCTTAAGCAACTGGAATCTTTAGCCACGAATGCAAGGCCAAGTCAGAAACTCCGGTCAGTGGAAAGTTGAAAGCCGTCTGTGATAGCATGAGCTTACATAGCCCAGCTTCCCAGATCGTCTTGTTGAAGCGTTGCTACGAATCGAGCCCTCCGTCAATACTCGCGATCTTGATGCAATACGTTTAATAATTGAACCGAATTGGAAAAAGACACTGCAGTCATTGAATAACGATTCCTTACGGTGCTTGTCTTATGTTTTACTTTGCTCGTCTGCGCCTGCTGAGCAGGAAAGCGGGCTCTACCTTCTACTGGTATGCTTCCATATCTTTCGGACCTCCTACAGACCATACATCTAAAGTGCTTAAAATATTAGGATGGCAACCAGCATCCCTGGAGTTCAAAACCAGAGGGATCTGGCCCAAAACTTCTCCGATCCAGGAGCAAATCGCTGTCACTCCAAAATCGACTCATTTCAATTTTGCACACATTTTTTATCAATGATGGGAACGATATTGAGCACCGGAGATTGGTAATACCAACATGGACTCTAATGCTGAGTACTACTGACAAATAATAGGCTGGAAAGCTACTGTTAGAACTACTGCTCGAATCCAAGGACCACCTGAGTAGCGAAGTTTTTCATATACAAGAGCTAATGTAAGTCTCTCGTCCTAGCAACCAAGGATGAAAACCTCCACTAACTAATAGTAAGCAATGACGCTTCTGGTGTCCTTTGTAGTGAAACGGATATCATTTTGCGATTTTTCGCCGGGGCTATAATCCGAATTTTACGCCTTTCTGGTGTCGCCAACAGCTTTGGGGCACCGGAAGATGTAACACATGGGTCCACACGACTAGAAGGCCTTGGGAAATTCTCCAAAGACTGGAACGGATATTTTCATCTTTATACTCTTGAGACCGAGTCACAACATACTGGAGCGATGGGCAAGGCTACCCAACCTAAGGTTGACCTAATGAACTCTTACCATACCATTCAAGAGCTCAGAATTTGTGGGAGAGAGCATATCAGGGAGGCTATCCTTACAGCAATGACTCCAGACGCTCTTATATTTATATTCCCTCTCGGCACGGGGCCTGAGCAATTCCAGTATATTGAAATCCCACTTTGGTGTATATCAAAAAGAAAAACCCCTGCTCTGAAGAAAGCTGAGAATAAAAAATCTCAGCTGAGGCTGCATCTCGACATGGAAAGCCATGTCTTAATAAATGGAAGGGCACACCCATCAAATGGATCAGATGTCTACATTACTTCTGACAGTGACTTGACAGCCCTGTGGAAGACCCTCGATACAGGCAGAAAAATAGGCCTGCAAAAGTCAAAAAATAAGAGGTTACCAAGGGGTAAAATATCGTCAATTGTTGTCACATTGTGCACTGGAGACGAAATATCAATGAAGTCTATTCAGTATTGCGAGGAAATCCGTCAGGGAGAGGGAAGATCATCAGAAAACAGCTCGTTTTCAGTGCCTGGTACTATCGAAGATATCAATGAAAATACAGAAACCGTTATTGAAAGCAAAAAGGTAGATAATGAACCAGGTTTAACCTGCGAAAAGCCAGCCGATGATGGAGCTCTAGCAAAAGGCAGCCAGAGAGACGAAGTTATTCAAGGATCCGAAGAAGCTCTTGAACAGCTCTCTGTGAGCAAAGGTGCTTCTGAGCTTCCTTGCAATAGCCGTGAAAGCAAGAGAAACTCTCCTCAGAAAGATAGTCCTTACGCAAGCAATGCATGTATCTCAGCTGAAAAGGCGAGAAACGATGCTCCAGTCTCTGATGCGACAAATTTGGCATCTGTAATACAGATGCAGCATAGCTCATTAAGCGATACAGCCGGTGAAAATGATAAAGCTGGAGCAAAGTCAGAAAAAGGGCCACTCCCTCAAAGGAATGTTGACTCAGTCCAGAGGAAGTCTTCAGGAAATCGCCCAAGGAAAACCAAGTCATCAACAGAACGGAAGGGAAGAACAAGGTTCCTGGACACGCAGGAATCATTGATTTTTCCCCGTTCGAGGCGTCCAAAACGGAAGGTATACACGGTTCACTCCAAGCCCGCTGTTGACTGGGATGAACATCTTCGACCGAGCGATCAAGGCGACGACATGCTAGCCGCTAAAGATCCCGAAGTAACTTCTGTCTCATCTCCATCACCTGGTGAAAGCAGCATATTTGATAAATCATCAAAAAATACCACAAGGAAAAGGAAAGCCAAAGGATGTCAATCAGCCGAAAAAGGTAAGAAGCCAATTAAAAAGAAAAAGACAAACTGCGACCCAAGAAGCGAGGAAGCTGCGAGATCGCCTTTAGTGTCTACTGGGACGAATGCCAGAAATAGAAGAAACAAGGTTAGTGTGAGCGACACCAAGGATGATAACGAGAATGATTTGTCGATGACCCATGGGGATACACATGAGAGTGATAGAGACTATGAAATGGATGATGCTGAGCTCTCACTCGAGTATGCACCTCATCTTGTACTTCTAAATGATGATTCGGCTTCAGTCCTCAAAGAAGACAATTCCCCTTTTCTTCGCGAGACACAGTGTGATTTTCCGAACAGTGGATCTGAAGAAGAGAATCATACTTCGGACGGTCATCGAAAGACTAAAAGGCTGAAGGGTGACACTGAAAGCGATTGGGATGTGGAAGATCAATTGAAAACAGATACCAAGACTCAGGCGCAAGAGGATGCTAAAGCAGGCAGAGGACAAACCGTGGGGGAGAAACTAGCAGCTGCTCTCTGCGAGGGAAACATTCGCCCAGATACTCAGACAGTTCACGGGCATAACGGGGACGATCCCCCCTTAGTTTGTGAGATGTCCCAGGAGAAAATTCCCAGGCTCACTTCATCTATCGAAGATGGTACATGCTTTGCAGGAAATAAATGCGGAGATAAACTGGTTGAAAAAGATGGGGATCATAATACTCCTCGAACGAGATTGGACCTGAAAGAAAATGTGGAATTTCCTGCTATTCCAGAGACTACAGTCTGTGCAGTAAACAGAGACCTCACACATGAAAAGACAGCTCCAAAATCACCAGATGAGAAGAGCAAAAACGATGCCCAAGCCACCGAATTCGAGAGGCTCTCCACGAAGAATAAGAGCAGGACTACTAGTCCTGATTCAATTGGCGAACCAGGGGAAATACAAACTATGTCGACTGCGCCAGTCACCCAGAGCCAGAGCCAGTCCAATATAATTGCTCGTCCTCGTCTTTCGAGCGATGCAAGTCACCGATCAGCCAAGAGTCATAAAGCCATTGATATGGGGAAAGCAAACGACAAGAGCAGCATACTTGGATTGAGCAATAAGGAAAAGGCATACTTGGCTCTCGACCCAGAAAACCCGCTGGTTGAATATGACCGCGAGAAACCCGACAGCGAGAAAATCACAGCCATTTGTCTCTCGAAAGGCTCCCAGGATGAATCAGCTTCTATTTCTGGAAGTTCCCAGTCATCCCCAAAGAGAACTTTAGTGGATGAGAACGGAAGCCCCCGACGCATTTCCCGAAAATACATCCAATATCAAAGTTCAAGCGAGCTTGAAACTGAACTGCGACAGCCTGCACAGTTGGATAAAAGCTTACCGAGGGATGTAATTGAACAAGGCGGCAGCGAGTCTGGGTACGATGGAGATTCTGATGGCAATGATACTGACGAATCTCCCATGATCAAGGATGTTGTCTCAACATTCCGCAGGAAGATTGTTTCTCAATTTGGAGAAGAATCACTAGGGTCTCTAAATACCCGAATTTCACTTACTGGCAACCAGGATATGCCACATTATGCCTTCAGCAAAATGAAGCGTCCTCCATGCTTCGTGGACCGCCTCAGAGCACCCGAAATACCTAACATACCCCAAGCAACAGCAAGAGAATTGGGAGCAAATATCGGAGACAACGACCCTAAAAGCCCTACAACAGTGCCAAGTCAATTTCCATCAATGGAATACCAAGATCCTGTGCAATTGGATCACGGGATGAAAGAAATGAGCAAGCCTGTCCGAGAGAAGCATTACCAGGGAAAATGGCATAGTTCATTGCATATGATTCAAAAAAGCGCACAGGACATTATGAACCAGACCAATGAGGTATGTAAAAGTACATTTGCAAATGATCATACTTGCTGGCTGTTTTGCTAAAGTAGTAATTTGTAGCATCTCATGCGCCACGCAGAAGATGAAAAGAACACAGTCAGCCGAGTCCTGGAAAATTACCGAGAGGGATGTCACCGTGTACTCGACCAATTATTTGAGGCACAGGAGCAAAGAATTGAATTATATCGGCAGCAGATGATAACCGTCAAACAGCACCACGCGGGCCTTTGTCGGGATCTCATTCGTCGGCTTGAGGAAAACGATAAACGGATCCAAGAGAAGGTATTGCACATGGAGAACTCGATGCTTTCCCTTGTAGGAGGAAACGAGCCCCAGTCTGCAGAAGAGCTTTTGGGCAGCTACAGACGGAAAACTTACACGACTGCCAATGGAAATTTTCATATTTCGCATTCTCCAAGTGATGGCTTTGACGAATCATCTTCGACTTCGGGTTGACATTTCTAGCGCATAACATCACGATTTGAAGCTGGTTGAAATGGAGTGCATAAAGGCATCATGATATTATGGAAGGCACTATATTGGAGGTAAATTTGATGCTGTTACGTTTTGATTGCCATTATGCATGTTGTATTAAAATGTCTGCTATTAATCTCATGTTTATTCTACTCTTCGTCATTGCGCTCCTAGCGAATTAACTTAGTTGAAAGCATAGCATACGCTGGAAAGTTACCCCCTCGCTTATGATAGAGGCATCGAATCGTAACCATCAACATCATCTGCATAAGAAATGTTGAATCCTCGCAGGGGTAGCATTCATTGTGATCTGAGCTCTCGGCTCAGTCACTGTAGATGAGCTGGATTTCTGTGATGCAGTACTCGCCAGCTTAAGCTTGAGGTGGCTATCAACGCAGGATATGGCTTCATTGGACATGCATTCTGGGAAATGGTGGTGCCATCACTTGCATATCATAACTTTTGCAATCACATGGAACTCCATACTGAGCAGATGAGCAAGTTTAACAACACAGCAACCTGCAAGTAAAAGCTCTTGCCTATTTTGTATGTGCTGTACCAGGCTGAGATTGACGTTACTGCGAATGCCCAATGTTCAATAGAGTAGGCAATGAATGTGTTTAAGATAGTAAGATTGCGCTCATCGCATGACTGTTCCCGTCATAGACGATATACCAATATTGGACTTTGTCCTACATTCATGCCGAGAGATCTTAATGTGCCTTCGAGATATGGTCGATCGATTGATCGATTTCTGCAGTTGCATGCTTCTGAGTGACGAAGTACGTCGACCCAACTCCTTGCAGCTAGGAAAGAGACACCTGTGTCACTCGAATAGCTGCAGAAGGGGTTATCTTATAGCAAATATTCAGGAAAGTTAACTTCCTGTAATAGCGCGGCAGGAGGTTTTTGAGATACCATCCTGTTGGTTGTGACGAAAGATGCCGATGGGCTTTTGGCAATGATACAGTTATCGCAGTTGCACAAATGGAATCAGAAACAATGCTAGCAAGCTTTACGGCCAGAAATTGGCAGACAGAAAGCTGAATTCAGACTATCACCTCGCTATCGAGAGTGTCGGACCAAGCTCCCTTTGAGTCACATTCCGGGCATTTCTTCACCGAGGCCATCACGTGCCGGATGACCGATGGGGCAGCGATGACTCGTCAACGAGGCCGAGATTCATGGCCACAACCTCTTTTTTTAAGGCAGATCCAATTCTCTTTTTTTTTTTCTTCTTCTCTTCTTCTTTAATCATACAAAAGATACCCCTTTCATCTGATCCTAGAGCTCTCTCCAAGAACCCAAAAAGCTGTTACTTGAAGCAATCTCTATTCCCCTCATCCATTGCCCCTCCGAAATACTTCATCACCCCGCCGCCATGTCTGTGAGTCAAGCTTCAAGTCCGCAACGCAGCTATGACTTCAGGTTCTAATTGTCTCACACAGTTCTTCATTGAGAACCCCAATGTGGGAAATCACAGCCACTTGGAGGATTCAAGAAGTAAGCTTTTTTTTTCTTTTTATCGTGTTCTGTTTCTGGGAGCAAATTTACTAACGGGCATTCTTGCGAACGTGCACAGTTCGAGGATACAACCCTCTGACACCACCCAACCTCCTCCAGCATGAGATCGCCTTGACAGAAAAGTCCAGACAAACGGTCCTGGCAGGCCGTGAAGAGTCCGTTGCTGTTGTTCAGGGCACAGATACCGACAAGCGCCGTCTCATGGTCGTCATCGGACCTTGCTCGATTCACGATCCCGAGATGGCGCTCGAATACTGTGATCGGTTGCTGAAATTGAAGGAAAAGTACCAGGATGATCTGCTGGTTGTTATGCGCTCTTACCTCGAGAAGCCCCGCACCACAGTCGGATGGAAGGGTCTCATCAACGACCCGGATATCGACAACAGCTTCAAGATCAACAAGGGTTTGCGGACTTCCCGCCAACTCTTCGTTGACTTGACCAACAAGGGAATGCCCATTGCCAGTGAGATGCTTGACACCATCTCGCCACAGTTCCTGGCGGACTGCTTGTCCGTTGGCGCTGTTGGTGCTCGCACGACCGAGTCTCAGGTTCACCGTGAACTGGCATCTGGTCTTTCTTTCCCCATTGGCTTCAAGAACGGTACTGATGGTACTTTGGATGTCGCTGTTGACGCCATTGGCTCCGTTAAGCACCCCCACCACTTCCTCTCCGTCACCAAGCCTGGTGTCGCCTCGATTGTCGGCACAGTGGGCAACCCCGATAGCTTCGTCATCCTCCGTGGTGGAAAGAAGGGCACCAACTACGATGCCCAGAGCATCAAGGAAGCCAAGGAGAAGCTTACTGCTAAGGGCCTTCCGGCTCGTGTCATGGTTGACTGCAGCCACGGCAACTCGGAGAAGAACCACAGAAACCAGCCCAAGGTGGCTGCTGTTCTTGGTGAGCAGATTGCAGCGGGTGAAACCGCTATCATGGGTGTCATGATTGAGAGCAACATCCACGAGGGTAAGCCTATCAGGCTCATATATATGTATCAATCCGATGCTAACGTGTATTACAGGCAACCAGAAGGTCCCTGCCGAGGGCAAGGCTGGTCTCAAGTACGGTGTCAGTATCACCGATGCCTGTATCAGCTGGGAAGACACAGAATCCGTGCTCGAGAATCTTGCACAGGCTGTTCGTGCCCGGAGACAATTGCTGAACGGCACCAACTAAACATATTTATTCCTTTTTTGATACTTTTTTTTTTATTTTAACCAGAGCCATTTATGGGTTGGCAGGTGTTTTGTTTTCGGGATTCCAAAACGGCCGGATCTTTTATTATGCCCGGAAAAGTTATACTACTGGGAATAACCAAATAAAAATAATCTCAATTTGAAATTACTATTGTGCCCAAGAAGCCTAGGCCGCCAATACCCTGCGGAGAGTTGCCTCCAAATCCTCCTTATCCGGCAATTCGAGAAGCTCATTCGATGTAACCCCCCTAATGTCCCAGTCATTGCCAGTCGCCGAGTCAAAAATAACATCCTGGATCAGCGCTCCCACGCGACTGAAGTCATTGTTCTTCAGTTTCTCCCGCGCATCCTTTGTAAGTTCCTCAAAGCTGATCGTCTCAACCTTCCACTCCTTGCCCGTGATTCTCTCCACCTCAGCAAGAAGCGCATCCTGCGAGACGGTAAAAGACCGAACGTAGAGGAGCTTGTTCGCGGTCTTGGGAGCGATAGATGGCGCAAGAGCCTGCGCTACAGCCCTACCAATGAAGTCGAGATTGCTCGCCGAAAAGGTATTGGCTCTATATTTCGGATCGAACGAAGCTGTGTTGGAGCTAATATCAAAGCCCAGGAATCCGCGTTGGAAGGTTCTTGAAATCCAATTCAAGTCAGTTGCTGCTTGCGAACGAAAAGAAAAAAACGTATCAAAGATATCATCGTCCATACCCATCGAAAAACGGCCCAGTCGCAAAAGCCGTCCACTCAATCTTCCCATCCAAGTACTCCCTCACATCCTGCTTCAGCTTGAAGCCCGGAAACCGGTCGACAGTACCGGGGTAAGTGGTATCGACACCGAACTCCGCCGGAACAAATCTCTTGACGCCCGCTTCGACAGCCGCATCGATGATCTTGATCTGCTCGGGTGTAGCTGGTGTTGCGATGGCAGAGACGACGACATCCTGGCCCTTGAGCGCGTCTACGAGGGTAGCGTGGTTGTTATAGTCGACTTTGGTGGTTGTGGCGCCGGAGGGAGCAGTAGAGGATTGTTCGCGGGTGAGGACGGTGACGGTGTAGTTGTGTGGGGAGGTGATGAGGGCGTTGACGATGGGTTTTCTGGTCGAGTTAGTTTTGATGGGTATCCAAGGGGTGAGTTTTTGTTTCGTACCCGATGAGTCCAGAGCCCTGAAGAATGTCAGCGTTGGCATGGTGGAATCAGATAGTGATCAAGTAGGCTTACCCCGACAACTGCGATGTTCTTGAATGCCATTATGCAAGCTGTATATTGCTGCTGATATAATAAGTAGGAGGTAATCTATATTATAAATTCATTGACTCTGGGTCTCTCGCTGTTTAAAACATTCAAATACACCCTAGAGCATCCCCGCATTTCAAAGACATGGGAAATATCGCGACAAAAGCACGTCAGACATTAGGAGTCTGTCCAACACTCGTAATTCTGAGGGTGAATGTCGTGCAGGGATGGAGATGTTATTATTAATGATGATTAATAGATAGACGGTTTGAAGCTAGACCATAGTTGGATAGCAAGCACTACTTGATATGGACATCTTGAGGTTGAATATACCGCATCCAATGGTATACTCTATCTAATAGTTATCATATCAAAACAATTCCACCACATGGACAAGATATACACTTCATAATAATTCTTTTCTCTAAAATAATCAAATATACCTTTGACTTAACCATGGGTTGTCTATTTCATACTTACCCCTCATCGAGTCACAAGATCTTCACAATGCCCCTGTTGGTTGTCGTCATCATCGATCATCTAGGCCCATTCAATTAATATGAGGATATCCTTGTAGAATATGACAATCACTATCGCTGGATCCAGGCCACGCCACAGATGCGATTTCGCCACCTCCGCATGGGGCATTCCGGAAGCAGAGATAACGTCGGTGGGATGATATGTTGATCTGGATAAATTATGTGCATATTATATGAAGTAAGTGACTGTTAGATCATTGTCTTAGAATCGTATAACAATTTTCAGTTGGCTAAGATACATTCATTATCATCAATAGGGCATTAAATATCAGAATCATTATTCAAACCCATACATCCCAATCCATAACATCATCAATATCATCAATATCCTGTTCGTATTCCAATATTTGCAATGAAAGAAATATCAGTAACCCATGCACCACCCACGCTGTAGCACCAGAGTATAGTGAATGAATGCCACCTGCTAAGCACAACTATTTTCAACCCATCTTCCTTCACGACAACCAAGTTCAGGCACTTTGAAGTCAACAATGCATGCAGTGAGAGAGGGACGTCGTTTCGCTGATGCGTTGGCTAGCTGTATATCGCCTCTGGAGAAGACTGATGGATCAAACCTATTCAGCAACGTGTTATGGAAAGGGTAGGCGGCCGAATGCTTCCCAACGAAGGTTTCGCGCTCTTCAAATTGCTTTCGTTTGCGACTTGATTGTGGCGTTAGAAGACCTGGCTCAGTGCGGTCAACCAGCTGTGCAGAGGCAACACTACCGTCGGTGTCGATGACCAAAGACTTGCAGGGGATATCAGATGCACGTTGAGTGGTGGTAGTGAAGGTGTCGATGTCAATTATGTTTGTTTTCCCAGACGCCCCAAATGCCCAAACACGAGCTCCTCCGTAGGATGATTGAAGAGAAAGTTCGACAACATTCTCCATCCGTCCGATTTCCTTGCCGTATATCTTGAACGGCCACATCATGGCTGTGGGTCGGTAGCTCACACTGAGAAGAAACTCCCAGTCTCCATTCTGGTTCTGGACCAGGCTTTCGCGGCGTGTTCGTGATCTATCCCCATCAAGGAACCAATCTCTAGCTATATCACTATCGCCCATCACGCCATCACCCTGTCTTTCACGCTCTTTTCGGATCACATTGAAAACATCGAGAGGCACAGAATACAGGATAAGTCTATCCTGGTAGGCGGCCACAATGCGCAATCCCCAGCTGAGGTCTGAGCCCACTGCGAAAACAGTAGGAACCAACGCCTCTTTGATGCCATCAGATGTATACTTTCCGTATGGTGGAACACAGATAAGCGCACGCGTCAAGCTAGTTGGCCCACCAATAGGAGAGTCAGATCCAATGCAGAGCAACCCCGTACGAGGTTCAATGAATAAAAGATGTAAACCATCATTGATAGGAATAGCTCGGTAGTGATGACAGTGCGTAGCTTTCACAAGGCTCACGTTGCCATTCTCCCCTGGAGTCCAACGAGTTAATGAGCGGGTACCGGCCATATGGTGCAATTGACATATCGGTCGACTTTCTCCGTACAAGGGAATATGGCACTGACATCCTGGCATGCCAGGACCGGCCAGGGACGAGACAAGTCGCAGCTCCATGGGAGTTTCTGTTCGGTTTGGTAGGAAGTGTAAAACCTCTGATGGCTGTGACATTGGGAAATGCTTCCGGCAATCTTGCTTGGTGCTCTCATCCACCCAATGTAGCTCGATACCGGTCCCACAGCCAAAGGCCACGCATCGACGGCCTGGACAAATCGATACGCTGCGCGGAGGATCATCCGGTGAACAGAGGTTGATGAAGTAATGTCGTGAGGCGGGATTTAACAGATGCATTTGGTTTTGCATAGAATTGTAACCGTTCTTGGTTGTATCGCATCCCGGGGTGTTGTCATTGGTAGAGACAAGATCGCAGACCATTCCTACGCGATTTCGTAGCAATACAGCAACGACGAGCTTTGGTGTGCTTGTGTCGATAGTCGCGGACAGTACTTCGATAGGACAAGGAATGCTCGCTAAAAGGGTAATGTCCGTGTCAGCCATGTCGTTCAAGGACACCGGGATTGAATTCCCAGATTTCCTAGTCCGAAGGTGATAAACATAGACCACGCGACCCGACGTTACGAGCAAGTAATTGCCACAATTGCTGACGCTGAACTTGGTCATGGCTGTAGGAGCTGGATGAAACAAAGGCCCACGATGCCTTGGGGTTAGTTTTCCTTGTGACAGCTTGGAAAAGTCGATAACACTCGTAGTCAGAAACCCCCGTCGTTCGACATTAATTTTTCGACCGGATAAAATGCACTCTGTAGCAAATCGCCTGCTCATCCTCCACACCACGCTATGATCCTCGTAATCCGAGACAGGAGGACGCTGCATTTGGCAATCCCGTTGCCAGACATCCCACCAGCCAGCTCGCTTCAGCATGCTTTCTAATAAGTCTTGATTCAAGCTGACGCGCATCCATTGAGAGCATGTTCGCCGGGCATTATCGAAATCTCGAGGACTCAGCATGCAGAATATTTGGAACAAGATTTCGGAAGGGGCGGTGTTTGCTGCCGAGGGGCCGAGTGGTGCAGTCTTGACGGCTCGAGGTCGAGACTCTCGTCCACATAATCTCTCAGTTACTGAACGAGAGATTGCAGGGACCATTTCAAACTTCGACTTTGACATTTCCGAGTCACTTGCCTCATGTTCAGAATCCAATTGTGCCTTAAATTGTGACCAAAGAGCGTCGGATGGAAAGCCAGCAGTGCTCGATCCTTCTGAAGCTTCGGATTCCGAGTCGCTAATTGCGGCAGATTCCCAGTTGAAGTCTTTCTCAAATGTGCAACCGAAGCCAGCTTCGGCTGAAGTCCACAAAGATGGCATCATGAGCCAGAAAATATGGTTATCTGGTATAATATCGGAACATGCACCAGAGTGTCGATATGGACAATTTTTCTTCGGCTGGTATTAATTCGGCGAAATATATATATATATACGTATATATAATAACGGTGGTAAGAGAATTGAATGTAGGATTTACCACTGTTGTAGAGTCTCAGATAATTTCGAGGCGACAATGACAAAATGGATGAAAGAAGACAATTCCTTGTGGAGTCGTGATTGACGTGATAGACGGTGGGCCAGACTGTTGAAGAACGATCGTGCGGAGAAGGCGTTACGATTGCTCCATAAAAAATCCACTCGCGAATATCCTAACAGATCCTGCTTGACACCAGCGGTAAGCCTGCAGCACTGAACAAGATCTAATCACAAGGCTATGCTATCGCAACTGTGCGTCCGCAGGATAATATAATAATTTCAATGTCCAATTTTAACAACAATAGACCAAACACATAGTGTTGCCGGGCTGGGACAAATCAAGGTCGAAAGACAATGTAAGGGGATGAATAGATGTCTTTGAGGCTTCAAAAACTGGAACTGTAGGGGGAGAAAGGAGGGATAAAATACTTCCCACTGGGTAAGGAGATGTTTCAGAGGATACGAAAAGTCAAAACCAAAAAAAAAAAAAAAAAAAAAGAGGGATTTCAAACGCATCTGCAACCTGCGAACCCTTATTATAGATGCAGCCGTTTTTTATTGAACTAGTACTATTTGCCTTTGCGGACCACGGGAAGCATGGGCATATTCCCGTTCTGACGTCGACACGCAGTCCTGCGGCCAGGGGGACGATGGATCGCCTCCATAGTCCATACCAGGAATGGGTGGAAACGATTTCGAACGTCAAAGAACGAGCGAAAGTCGGAGTAGTGGAGCCCATTTTTCTGACGATCCACACGGGATGTCTGTCATGGTGTACTCCTCATGTACTAGTCAAAGCTATCTGGTGGTGATATGGCCAGGATGAGGAGAATTCTTCGTGATTCTGCGTATTTAGCGTTCGCTCATCGCTTTACTAGCCAGTCCCAAAGCATGCCCATCACCACCTCGTTGTCGAATCGCGTCCCATGGTAGGTCTGCGAGTGTGAGCCCCGGTGGGTGCCGGCGATCCAACGTTGGCAACCGACAGGCCCTTGGGCGGAGATTGGACGGTGTTGGATGGCGTTGGGGGGACCCAGCGATGAACCCCAGGAATGGGGGGCAAAAAACCTAAGAGCAACAGAAGATCGTGAGCGGGTCTGATTCATCCAGAGAGAGGGGGAGGGGAGACGATAATCCATCGCACTTACTCCGTAGACGTGGCATGTTTGATGCAAAGGCCAGAGAGAGACTTACAGCGGTGATAGATTTGATGTGGGATGAGACAGTCGTAGAACTTCCGCTGGAATGCTTCGATGAATCCCTGGTTCAGTGGAAGAACACGGATTGAGGACGTCGTTTGACGCCAGGAAGAGGGAACAAGAAGATAACCGAGGAATGCCAGGCAAAAGACGGTCGGTCTGAGATGTTTTTTATCATCACACCTTCTGGTTGCAGTCCAAGCTTGCTCCTGTGCTGGTTTTGATGATTTGTGAAGATGAAGCCGAGAGAGAGAGAGAGAGAGTACTATCCTCCAGTCTTGTCTCGACAACCACGTGCACTACGATGCATCGCCATACAGCTTCATCCACCACAGTCAAACCATCCAAACTCGATCTTACTGATGAAAAATAAAATAAAATAGTAACAATAATTACCAAGGAGTATATTCTACACCGCCAGTCCAACATTGCCATTAATGCACAGCTAATGCCGCACTACCGCATGAACCTGTCATGCACAGCTGAGGAATGCGAAAGAGAGAGAGAAGAAGCCAATCCAACCAACGTGGAAACTTGGCTATCTGAGTTCTGAACACGGACTCGTGGATATCTCCGTTGAGGAACCCCGAGGAATGTGACTGCTCTCATCTTGTCAAACCCTATCGATCTAGCCGACAAAGAGGAGAATTTTCTCGATTGCCTTCTCCATACCGCACAACATTCCCTACTGGAGAGATAATTAGCGCTCGGTGTGGCTCCGTAAAAACAGGACAATTGCCTCTCTGATGACTGCAAGTGATGGAGAAGAGGCCCAGTCGAGTTCCATCGACATGGCGAAGAACAGAAGAATACGGGAAATTGGCCCAGCCGTCTTGTTTTACATTGCGCTCTCTGGTATGTTGTTGTTTTATAATCAAGTCGAGTTTAATTGACGAGATCAGCGTTGGGCCTGTTTGCTGTTCTTCCCTTACATCGCGACCTGCACTCGTTTGGGTTGTCTCAGTTGCCTCGAAAGGGATCTACATCGTAATAACATAGGTAAATTAAGATTATATAGCGAGTGACTACTAAACAATACCAAAGTCACAAATTAAACACGATAGTCTATCTTCTATCCCTCAAGTCAAGGTGCTCGCAATGGGTGCGTGACATGAAAAAATATAAACGATTGTAAAAGGAAATAGTAATAAACCAAAGTGAGCGAGGTCATATTCAGGCAAAAGGAAAAAATCATCATGACGTTTCGAAGTCGTATCGGAGTCGTATATCACGAATAGTGCTCTGTAGTGTGACCAGCATAAATGCTGCTGATAGGGGGAATCAAAGATACTGCATAATTAAATATAATCAACGGAGGTCAAACAGCGATTAATGTTAACATAGAAAGTCCTCTGAGGCTAGAAGATATCGTTCGGATCTTGCAAGCAAAGCATCAAACGGATAGATCGTTAGATTCGTGGTGCGTCTCAAATTCATTCTGTAGGTGTTCGTGAGACGCAGGATGCCTCGGGAGCCATGCATCATCAAGCGGCAAGATCAGACTTGGATTGACATACTTCTTCAATCTCAACTGAAGTTCTTGTCCCCCGATCAGGATGGGAAAGGCATCGCGATGGAGGGCAGATGGAGGGGAAAGAACCGACGATGGTGACGTGGAAACATCAGCCCCGCCAGACCGACTCCGATCGATGCTCTTCAACGCAATGAATTTCGTCAACGGCTCATATGTTTGGGAGAAGAAGTAGGTAAACCACACCGTCGCAGCGAGCAGGGGCACCAGAAGCAAAGAGAATAGGATGGCTTTGCGCAAGGCCAGGACGCCAATCATCGCTAGTTGGAAGAGCATCAAACCCACGAAGAACCGATTGCAGATCATTGGCCAAGCGCGTCCGGTGGAGTGCTGTTGGTGATCCATTGCGTACAGGAGTTGATACTTATAGACGAACTTAGCCACGATAAAGTAGACCAATCCGAAAAAGCAGATAAGCCAAGAGCTGGGGAAGATGCTGTACACAACACAGATGATCAGAACAAGGATAGTCTGTGGGATGGAATGTCCGTAGCTGAATGTCGGCGGATTCGAAAGTTCAGAATAATCCCGAGGTGTCCTGGCCCAAAGATAGTTGATTGGATACATTGCGACACTCCCAAACTCAAGGAGTCGGAAGGGAAACAATCCAACTCCCTGCAAAACGATGAGGTTGATGTAGAACGGGGACAAGCCCTCCAAGGACTGGGCCAACGCACGCGCAATGGTGGTTGTGTCTTTGAATGCGTCCTGAAGATTTTGCCAGAGACCATAGAAATTCGTTGCCGTTCCAAAGACAGTGAAAAGTAGGAAGAGGTTGAAGAACGAGAAGAAGAAGTTCTTGGATATAACCGATAGCTCGACATCACCCCGCGACATCATACCCTGCAGATTCGAAAGCCCTAGAGATATTAGCATACCGATGTAACAGACCAAAAAGAAGAAAACAGGAGCCTTACAGGTATACAGATGGGGAACAACAACGGTTAACAGCGAGATAACCAAGGTCGGGAGACCAGTCTGAACCAGTGATTTCGCAATAGGGTTTCGATATAAGGCATCAGCCAGCGCCGGGAACGCTTTATGAATGGTTTCCAGTTCCAGTAGGGATGCGAAAGGAATCAAAAGAACCGACCAGAAGATGGTCAAGAACGCAATGGCTCCTGTGATAAGCCAGGACTGCATCATCCGTCTGGAGCGCGGTACATATGTGTTTTTCCAAATAATATCTGCTGGGGCTGGTGCAAGCCTAGCCAGAAGCTGCATGGGGTGAGGATCGAGAACCGCTTGCACAACCATTTGGGCCGCTGCAAGAGACTCCATAGTCACAAAGGCGAGATTCGTTGGCGGATACTCCTTCTGACGTGCGTTCTCGATCTTTTCGTCAATTCTTCGCAGCTTCTCTTCGTAATAGTCGATCATATCGACAGTTTTATATCGCAAGCGCAATGGCCCATACCATAAACGTATCGTAGGCCGTCGTCGAGCATAGTCAGCCACATGGTCTCGATCGCTCTCTGAAAGAAGCTGCGACTGCTCATCATAGGATCTCAAACTAGCACCGCATGGTTGTGGTCGGGTCATAGGCAGGTTATTACCATCCCCTTTCGATCTCTTGTATTCCACATGTCTAGTCCACGCCCATTCGAGGTTCCGCAAAACTTTTAGTCGCTCATCAATCAAAATATCGAGCTCCTGCCAGACACGGCATAGAGTGACGCTTTCAACCTTTCCAACCTGCAGACCTTCCATGAATTCCTTGATCTTCTCTTCGGATTTCAGATCATCAGGTATCCCAGACAAGCGAATGGTTCGATCTGTAGTACTGGTCTGACTTCCAAGATACCTCTGTCGGGTGCGGATGACAACCGTCGTCTCTTGTAGGAGAAGGTAGATAGCCAGTCCACTGAATATGTACGTGAAAATCACATACATCGACAGGTAATTCGGGTCCGACATAAGGTCCTTATTCTGATCTTCATTGCCGGTACTGCTTTTTGGTACCGGAATCCCTAAATCACGGATGTACGCATAATGCACCGGGAGAATGATGACCGCGGCGAAGACGAATACAGCCGATAAAAATCGAATCGCGAACTGAAGAAACGACAGCAACTAAGACAACCAAGCCTGGTTAGAATGAATATCATGGACACCTTGGGGCCTCTAAACTCACAAAGTATGCATCCAACCCCGCAGATTCCAACACCTCCTCATCGGTAATTCGATATAAAACTGGCATCCATCCAAAGAAGCTGTCGGGGAGTTCCGGCAATTGTTTGGCGACCCGACGTTGGTGCCGCCGTGCGGCATACAGCTCAGCCCATTTTGGCCGTAGAACCTATAGCACGCCACCGTAAGTACAATTCCCTCAATAGACAAAATTTGAGGACGGAAAAACTTACACAAAATGAAAGGAATGCTCCCAGTCCCAATGCAAAGCTGATGACAAACTGCGTGTACAAATCACGTTGACCCTTCCTAGGGTCAACCAAATCCGGTCGGTGCGGATGCGTTGGCGTGGGCTTGCCGGTTTCATCGACCATCACGGCCGTCGCGACGGTCAACATCGCCGCCGCGGCGGATTCCGTGAAGGACATGACGGGGATATTTGAAGGAAATCAGGGTACTGAGTATCTCTGAATAGAGTCCTTCTTGAATCAATGCATATGCACGCGGGGCTCTCCGTCAATCCGTGTCGACGAGGGACAAACAAAAACTGACGTCAGGGGGGAATCGAGTCACACGCGATGTCGGAATCCTGAGGAAACAGATATAGTCGCAAGAAGAACAAGGGTTAAACACTCGAAAGCAAAAGAAGCTCCTCCAAGGCTTGGAGGGTATCAAAATGAAAAAACCAACCCTGCTCGCGTTGGGTTCATGTACATGGCTACAAGCTCATCGATCGCCCGAAATAAACTTCGATAGCCGCTTGCGATGAGTTGTGCATTATGCTGAGTCAGCGCTATATTTATGCCTTCATAACTAGGAACCACTTCGTCTGGACTTTGGAGCTGGTAAAGAAATACAGTTCATTTTCGGTTCATACTATGGATTATATTGACATTGATAGATGCTATAATGGAAGTGATATGTATTAAGTAGTGATGCTATATATGCGGTCCGGTTCTCGGAAATATGTATATTTATCATCGTCCACGTTCATCTCTCCATAAAGAGCAGCATAATATTCTAGGAGAGCTTCGAAGCATCGTAATAAACATCAAGCAGACATCCTGCTGACCATGCTTGAGTTGGTGACTGTTAATTGAGATAGTATTAGTTTCTCGCCCAAAGAATATGATCGGAGGGGAAGATAGCATACCGAGTCGGCACAGTGTTCCCCATTCTTATTAGATAGTTCTGTTAGTCCCTTCCAAGGACTCTCCCTCAGAGCCTTCTTACATCCCTCCAGTCGTCGCGTAACTTGCTGGAAAGCCTCCGTTCGTTCCTCTGCAGTTTTCCGGCGGAAAAGATCAAAGTGTAGGAATGCGCGTAGGAAGTACCCTCGTTGCCACACCCATTCAGGACCCTGGTGGTAGTTTCTACCCTTGGAGGTAGAAAAGTCAGTTGAATCTTCCGAGTTATTGTAATAAGGCCGGTAATTTAAATCCGACGGGTCAAGAGTAGCGATGCCAACAGGGCCGAGAAGAGCGGTATCCGCAGTAGCGAGAGCGGCCAGCGCATTGGAGGGGGTAAATAGATCTGGTGAGACTGCCATAGCGATCGGGAAATTGGCCCGGAGTTGATAATCTTCGTATGGCTTCCCAGACTTGTACAAGTCCTTATAGATGCCTCGACGGTTGACAATTTTGGCGTCAACCTCGTACTGAGCGTCATCACTAGGGTTCAGAGGCACAAAGTAGCAGCGTTCGAAGTTGTCTTTGATCTTAGTAGCCCAGTCTTTGAATGTGACAGATTTCCCGCCTTCAATGTCAACGCCCTGGTTTTGATAAACCCCGGCTTCGTGTAGTCGGGCAACCCATGTCAGCGTACTGTATACAAGACCTGTGATTTCAATAGCCGCGCCATCTCGTGGTGTTCCAGGAACGCCTTTGTTTCCGGCTTTCTCACTTTCCCCCATCTTATCCTGCCAGGTTCCACAATTGGATTGGCTGCCGCCGAATATGAGTCCAGTCTCCCAGTCAACCTTGACATCTATTTGAAAGCCTTCCGGCCTCATTTGCACGTCAAGGTCAGATCCCGCGTTGTACTCTTGGAATGACAACCCATTGGCATGTCGTTGAACGACCTCCTGGATTATTTCCGCAATGGTCGAAGATTTCGAGTATGCTCGGGGGTCATCAAATGGAAACCAAGTATCATCATAAGGCAAAAATCTTCTCGGAACTTTCTCGTTCAAAAGCTGGATTCCGTTGGGAACCATCTCCGTGTAGTCTTGAATGGCTTGGAGGAGGAACCAAACAGAGTCCCGAGAGTTGTAACGGGGTAGTTTTCCACTGCTCAATAGATTAGGAATCATACCATGTTTGAGTACGCTCGCAAATGCAAGGATATGCTCCTTCGCATCATCGAAACGACCGGTACATAAGAACAATCCACGGAGGGAGATAAAGACATCACGGCCCCAACATCTTGCCCAATCCGTTGCAAAGTGAGGCAGACCGGCCGCAAGACTCGGAACTTTCTTAGTCGGCCATAGAGATGCAGAGTTCACATATCCAGTTTGCTGCACACTGACCATAGCCAACTGATGGATGAATTCTTGGCCATGTTGTATATTGCTTCCAAGCAAATGAATGCTGCGTTTCCAAGCGGCATTGTAAGCAACCTGAACAATGGTAGCAAAGTACCTGGGTAGAAGAAAGCTGGGTAGGTCTCGAACTGCCTGAAACTTTTCCTGGAGCCACATAGCAGGTTTGTTAAGAGCAACATAACCTTCCTTTTGCGCCACCTTCTCCATGCGCCCTATGATGTAATCCAAGGCCCACTGACCTTGCCGAAGATGGTCACAGAGTGGATGCCCTAACTTGTTATACCTGATGACGTTTTCGAGAACGCTCCACCATCCTTGCAGACCAGCGTAGACCAAGGGGCCATAGTTGGGAATATTGTATACTCCATCCTGTCCATCGCTCGAGTCCTTTTCTTCTGCGTCACAGCGGTATAGAGCGAAGTTCAAGTCTATCAAACTGAGACCAGAAAAAGCTTCATCTGCACCCTGTTTGATATAGTTGTCAAGCCCTTCTGAACGTTCAGCCCCCGGGATCCACGTCTCTAAAAGTGCAATGGCCCCTGGAACAAACGTATCCAACACGGAGATTATCGTGTTGTTGCCATGTTCCTCGACTGTAATACCTTCAAGTTCACTGACACGGCTGGGGAGTCCCTTGAGGTACTGCTTGTCTGCCAAAGTTTCGGCTCTAGTGTCATCGTCGGCATCAACAGATAAAACCCATGTTCCAATCTGCTTGGCACGAGTACCAGTGATGTGTGTGGGTGGCAAAGAAGCATTGCTGTCTTGACAGCCTGGGTATGCTGTATGCGCTATCAAGAAGATCCCCTTTCTTGTTTTGGGGTGCACTCTATGCACAGTGATGAACTCACCGTCATGATGAACATGGGTCTCATCGTACCCATCAACTCCCATCATGGTGTGAAGCTCGTTCAAAAGCTTTTTGATGCTGCCGATACCACCTTCACCAGGTCCCACTTGTAGATCCTCGGTTTCGGAAAACTTCGAAAGGTAGGGCCTCGTCTCATGGACGAGATCTACGATTTTTGGATATATCTCATCGTAACCCATTACACTCCCAATCGCTGAAGCACACATAGAGACAAGAGCAGCATTTGGTAAAGTGTCCTTAGCATCTCGCTTTTGTGCTGGCATTTCATTATCATGGGTACAGTCCATGAAAAGTGCTTGTACTGGGGTTGGGCGGATGTGGGAAATGATTTGCTTTCCTTCCCCAGCATTTGCGGAGGCAATAGCATGACTACTACCAGCCGATGGCAAGTCCATATCGAAGCTGCCGATAGGCCGTCCTCCATGGCGATGGACTAGCCGACTTAGCTCTCCAGTGCTCCATGCTTGCATAGCCTCACGAATCAGTGCATTGATACCAAGGCGTTTGACAAATACATAGTCTGCTTCCTCAGAACCTGTAAAAAGCTCCGCGAAGATGGTGAGATTTGGACGAACTTTTCGTGCTTCGTCTAGCAGGTATTCTGCAACCGGAAGTGGCGTGGAGTGGCAGTTGTCAATTCGAAATCCGGAAAAGTACTTTGCCATGAGGCGGGTGTATTTCGTCATGAAATTCCAGAGGAAAGGGCTGTCCTCGAGACCGGAACCGTATCTGAGCTTAACACAATCACCCCAGACAATGACCTCTCGACGCAAATAAGCCTTGGAATCAGGCCCCGCGTTGTCCCGCATTGCATCAGCGTTCCATATCCAGCCATTGTTTGCAAGAGCCAGCGCTTTTGGATTATGCTTTTTGGTAATGTCGTTAAGAGGAAGTCTCGTGAAGTAGGACTCAATCAGAGGATTCTCGTCCGTGACGGGACCGAGCTTCGGGCCATGGCCATCAAGTCGGAGGTATTTGATACGGTTGAAAAGCTGGTCCATGATGACAGAAACATCTGCATCGTATTCCTGGTAAAATGTCACGTTCACATCGTCAAATATCTTTGATAAGGTTTTCTCGGCTGAGGCCACATTGGAATCCTCATAAGGGCCAAATAGAGCAGTCAAAATTGCCGCGCCTATTGAGGGATCTACCGCGCGGTCGAATCTCCCTAAGACCTGCTTGGTTGGAACTGCCTTCTCATGGATAAAAATTGCTTGTTCTTCTGGAGTCCAGCTGTCATAGCTCTCGAGGTAAAATTGAGACCAGGGTTCACTGTTGAGATCAATAGTTCCACTTGCTTTCCACTGATTGATGATCTGCGTAATATCTCCCTTGACATCAATAGCGTAGAATTCCCAAAGTTTGAGACCGTCCATCACCCGTGTTTGAATTTCATTGGTGACAGTAAGTAAATCGTCGGCTGATTTGAATTCCGTTGGTAGCCCGAGACTGTGGAGGTCTTGTCCAAATTTCAGTAAAGCAGTGTCGAGCTCTAACGCGGCTTCAAGCCAAGGTGCAGTCTCAACACTATAACCAGATTCCGGGTGCTCTTCTAGCCATTTGCTGTTATTAGCAGTGTGGTTCCAAACGACGTCGGTCAGAGAAAGAAGTTCGTATTCCTTTTCCATTTTCGAAACCATTTCAGCAACGTCTGCCTCTCCGCGTGGGAATGAATCAGGATCAAAGCTCAGCTGGTCGAAAATGCTATAGGGGGAGTTTGAAGAACCGCGCTTCATGAGGGGTGTGAAGTGAACCATGTTGTAATTGCGTTGGCTGATACCATTAAGATGCTTGTTCCAGTCGTTTGGGTAACTACCCATGAATTTGGAGAGCATGGAGAATATAGAAAGAGCATTTATTGGCAGATCCTTTCCCTGAAGAGTCAACCTGGGTGCAACATCAATGTAGTGAGTCGGTGTCTGAGTTGGTTCAGGCGAGGAAACAGGGGAGACGGCAAAATCGGGGAGCGGAGAAAACGTGGTATAGAATGCAAATGATCCGGGGGAGTTAATTGGTATATCAATCTGAATGTTCTTATTGAAGTCTGGTTGTAGCCTGTAACTGTGTTAATGACGAATCCCAGTTTAATTTGATTTGATTATGGTCTCACCCAAAGCTTCGAAACACGGCGCGATTGAAAGGCATGCCATCTTCAGGAATATTCACCCATAGGCTCCCCCCTCTGCAGATAGAGCTACTTCCCTCAATGATGAAGCGAAGGACATACACAGGATCAGTTGGCGGGGGAAGATAGACATATCCTCCAGGCACATCTGGAGAGCCATTGTCCTTCAATGGGAGCAGATAAACCTGACGAGAACCCATGGTGCCCGAATGTGTCAGGACAGCCAACGGGTAGTTAGAAGCTGTAAGCGTTACTCAGACTGTCGTTGGGTGTTGAATCGCCTATCTGACGATCAAGTTTTGCGAAGCTCTGAGTCTCGTCGCGTCGGTTGAGTCAAAACGCAGCGAAACGAAATCATCAACCTTGCAAACGACATCCAAACGGCCAGAGACCGGACTTTTAACACGAGAAAAATGACGAGGGATCAACAAGGATTTTATCAGGTTTTCCTGTTCCTGGAGCGACCTGGACGCCTCACGAACCCCGCGGAGGGTAGTCTGACATCATGCACTGCCGTAGCGGGGAAGAGAGCCTGGAACGTCGTCGGCCAGCAACACGGACCCGAGACTTTTGGCTGGGCAGCCACACGTGTACAACTAGTGGAAGAGAAGCTATTGTCGGAGTTACATGGCTGGCCTAAATAAGAATAGTAAAATAATAGTAAAAAGCAACAACAGCAAATGGTTGTTTGTTTTGTCATTTCGCTCTATGGTAATCATTTTTTTATGCACATCAGATTCATGACCAAATACCTACCGAAAGACCCAAAAAAAGAAAAATCATAAAAAAGGAAATCCACCGCTCTATAAATCTATAACCTGGAGTTCACGCTTTGAGATCCGACCGCGGAATTTCCGTTCCCATTCCCATCATGAGAGCTTGACGATGAAGAGACGGGTTTTCTAAAATCAAAGAAAAGGGAAGGAAAACCGAAATTAATAACTGGACAAAGAGGGCACGGGGCAAGGTCTCAAGGCTTATTTACCGCTCAATGTAAGAGGGAATCTCCGCAACGGACATATTTCCTGAAAGAATGCCTATTGACGAGTTAGCGATATTGTCCAGAATGCCACTTTGTAAAACAAGAAAACTTACGGTAAACGGCTGTAAACAGAGGGAAATCATCTTCAGCACCCTGGTTCTTCAGGAATGCGTTGACTTCGTGGGCAGTCAAGGTGCCCTGCAGCGACTGGCCGTTAAGCTCGCTCTTTTCGATTTCCTCAATGGATTGGTTGCGCTGGACGCTAAGCTTAGCACAGCGGAAGTTGCGGCCACCGCTGCAGCTAGTGATCAGATCGGCAACACCAGCACTCTCCTCTGTGAATGTGCGGGGGTCAAGGGTGGCACTGAAGAAGCGTTCACCGAACTTGACCATCTCGAGCAAGCCGACACGCATGATGGCGGCCTTGGCGTTGTCACCCCAGCCCATGCCGTCAACCCAGCCAGCGGCAAGGGCAACGACGTTCTTGAGAGCGCCAGAGAGAGAAACACCAGCAACGTCACTCACCACGCTAATGTGGAAGTAGGGGCGGTGGAAGAGAGTCTTCCACATGGCGTGGTCGATAGGGGGGTACTCGGTCGGCAATGGCTGCAGCTTCACATCGGAGAACTTGCCTGACACATCCTTGTGTTCAAAGTGAACGACGTCCGCAGTGGACGAAGACGACGATCGGTTGGGAGAGGGGGCCTTGGAGTCAAGGTGAGGAGGGTCGTAAGCAATGCTCGACTCAGACCACTTCTCACGGGCAACCTCGTTGGCGATGTTGGCGCCAGAAAGGGCACCACAGTAGATGCCGAGGGTCTTGCCAATGGTCTCAGAGAACAAGTGAATCCCGTCACCGTTCACATCAACACCCTTGATGCAAGAGACACCACGGGCATACGGGAGGATCTTGCCCTTGATCTGCTCACAAGTTCTGACGATGAACTGGTGAGGCAGGTTGAAAACCAAGATAGTGCTGTTCTGGACAGCATCCACCAGAGACGGGTTGGCATGCAAATTAGAGGGGAGGGTAACACCGTTAAGGTACTTGATGTTCTCGTGGGTTTGGTTGATGATCTCAGTTAAGTTCTGGGGGCCCTGGCAGAGTGGCGAGGCGGGGTCATAGTGGCGAGAGTCCTTGGGAATCTCAACCTTCTCTTCGAACACCCACATCTCAACCTGCTCTTCAAAGAGGTTAGGGTAGGCGGCCGCATTCTCGGCAACAATCTTAGCAATGGCACAGCCCCTGAATTCCAGTCAGTATTCTTATTCAGTCCATTCAATAGATCGCGTGACCATACCAGTTGCCGGAGCCAACAACTGTGACCTTGTGCTTGCGCTCATAGGGTGCGATAGAGCCCATGTTGGATGTGGTATATGTGGTGGGTATCGTAGAGAAACGTTTGTAGGAAGCGGGGGATTGTCCTGGGGCGAGAACTGGGGTTTTAAAAGATCTCAACGACCTCTGGAATCTTGAATTAATTGGCAGAGGCGAAAACAGACGCTGGATTCTAGTGGTCAGGAAAGACGGGGACCGAGGTAATGGTATTTGAGGATTGGCTGTGGCGTGAAGCGAGGAAAGAGGAAAGAAAATCCGACTAGATAAAAGACGCACTGGAGACTGCATCCACGCTGGTTCTGCAAATGAAAGGGCTCAATTTTGATACCAGACCTGCCTCGCTGGTTGGGATGATGCAAGTGTGCTTTCAACGGAGTCGCAGGCCGTCACTGTGGAGCCTCCAGGAGGCCGGAGAAAGAAGCGACCGGGATTTCACTGGCCTCTAACTTTTCAATCGATGGAGCCCTACGTCACTTTCGTCCTCACCGGGCCGGCCTGCAGTTTCACTTCCTGCGCGTTTTCTGGCGGCACGAAAACTAAGAAACGCTAAGGTAGACCAAAAGGAGACAAGCAACCCCCGATCATGTGGGCGGTGAGCTGCGGGGGCCTGAGGCAGGTGATTAAATTACGGGATGCGGTTTAGCGCCGGGCTCGGATGGCAGAATTCGGGTCCATCTTCTGCACAACGAATTTCGCTTCCCGGAGAATGTGATTTAGGACGACTCTGCTCCGCTCACCCTCCTCTGAAATGGTAAGGATTCCCTATTCGAGCCATACTTGCATGATCCTGTGTCTCATAATGTCACCCTGCAGGCTCCTGTTCGATCCATCAAGAAGCAGACAGCTGCGAAGAAGCCTACCAGTGGACGCGGGGTTGTCCCCTCGACCAAGTCCAGTCTCTTCGAAGATGACTTCAGAACGTCCAAGAAGGACAAGCGCTTGATCAAGCACTCCAGCTTCATGTCCAAGATCGAAAAGAACTCGAACAAGACCCCTAAGCGTCGACGAGCTTCGAAGAAGCTGGCTGCCAACCTCGACTCTCTGGCCGATGCTTTGCCGGAAACCGAGACGGATTTGAACAACCCGGAAAGCCAGGTGAATGTCATCAAGCAAAAGACCTTGAGACATAAGCCGGGGGCTATGAAGCGTAGAGAAAAGCTGGAAAAGTTGGAACGGGATAGGTTTGCAAAGAACATGGCCCAGATGTCCAGCATTCAAGCACCTGCAGCTACCACCGCAGAGCAAAACACTGCAGCGGACTCGACGTCCAACCGATGGGCGGCATTGCGAGGCTTCATTTCTCAGACAATGGAGCAGCAGCCAGTATTCAAGACGAACAAGTGAGGATTTGGGTATATTTAAAAGAAACTCCCCGGCACTGGGTCCTATTTGAATACGTCACCAATTGTGCCCAACATTGTTGCATATTTTGGGTTGAAATGTGGCATAGCCACAGTGGATGCACACATAAATGTCAAACATCACACAGGTGTCGAGTATCGACCCAATGAACTTCGCTGGGACACTTGGTGCCTCTCACCATGTGACAGCGTTGGTCTACGCATTGGTCGTTTTGCCAATTGTGCTACTATCAGCCACGAATGACAAACGTGAAGGTGTTGCACATTGGATCTAGTGATCCTCTAGCCATGGTTCGCTATCATGGGGCACCTCTGAACGTTTCCGAAGTCTGGAGAAACCCTTTCGGTCACGAAGATGATAGTTGGCATACCAGTTGATACAACTAAAAATTGAACATGTTCACCCATTGATTTCATGAATTACAAATTATTTACTCTAGTAATGTACACTGTACACCTCAACATTGAATCTGAATTGAACACCATACAGTATTCAGATGAGGCTTAATTATGCCGCCAAACACAAACCCTCACCATCCCAGTCCTCGCTGCCGACTCCTCTACGAGTGATGAACAAACCTGTTGGGTCCCACTTCTTCTTGATATCGTACAGCCGAGGGTAATTTTCGCCCCAAAAGAAGTTTTGGAAGTCAGTTTCAGAGGGATCGGCTTCGTTCAAATATGCTCCCATCTTATCCCCCTCCACAGACCGCAGAATCGGCACGTCAACGTTGGTCACATTATGCTTGATCGCTTCCTGCTCTGCGAGTGTTGCATTGGCCTCCCAGACTCGAGGAATAATGATATGTGTGATAGCTTCTCGCCATGCTGGGTTCACTGCACTATCCACCGTCTTTCCATTTGCTGAGACAGCACCTCCTGCCACCATATGGCCTAAAATTGACTGTCCCGGGTCAAACCTGAGGGTTTTCAGAGCGGAAATCAGCTTTCCCGGCCCTTATTCTGAAGCCAGAAGCTCTCTTGAGTAGAGCCTAGAGCCTTGGACTAGAGAAGCTGCGGTCACATCGTCATTTCCAGGTATCAGGATGGTCGAGTAAACAGATCTGACGCTTGGCAAAACGAAAGATTGATACTGGGCCGTGATACCAGATGCTCCGTTCAATTTCGAGCGCAATGGGGCATATAGGTGATCAATTTTTGCAGTGTTGGTATTGTTCGGGAAAGTTGTTACCAAAGTCATGGTTGAGGCACTGAAATTCTTGCTGACGGGGTAATTTGGATAGATGAAATAATATCCAGAGCCTCCAGCGTCATTAAGACCAGGTAAAGCCGCATGGACCTCGGTCATAGCTGTCCAAAATTGTGGGTTTCCGATGGGCGTTGATATATTGAGATTGGCGACAACGACGGGAACTTCGGGGAATGTACGCAGTGTGACGCTGAGCACTACACCAAACGAGCCTCCGCCGCCCCCACGCAATGCCCAGAACAAGTCGAGGTTTTGGTAGGCATTGGCGTATAGCAGAGTTCCCTGATTCGACTGTTAGCTGTTGCCTTTGAGGGTTGACGAGAGATTACTTGCATTCGCCGTCACAACATGAAATTCGAGAGCGTTGTCTGTAGCCATTCCTTTCCATACCCCAAGGGCAGAATGGCCGCCCCCTTGGATATACCCTCCAGCCGCTCCAACGGTGTGAGAAGTCCCTCCGACGACCGTCCTCTTATGTGCTACAACAGCAGAGTAAAGGTCCTGCAAGCTGACTCCAGCTGCGATGGTGACGGCAGGGCCTTCGCTTTTATTTTCTGGGGCACCAGCTAGCACAAAGGCATTGACAAGTCGAATATCTTTCATCCCGTTGGTCAGGATTTGCAAGGACTCCGGAGATGTGGAACGACCCATGAAATCATGGCCCGAATTTTTGATCACGAGTCGAAGGTTATGCTGCTTCGCAAAACGAACTGTCTTTTGGATTTGCGATGCAGACTGGACGAGGGCAGAGTAGAGTGAGATACGACCTTGTCCACAGGGTGTGCTTTGGGAGCTCTCGATATAGCAGGTCTGGTTGTCTTCAGGCCAGGATTCCCAATTCTCCCACTGAACTGTTCCAGGCTGGGCCGCTCTCCATGTGGAATTGGTCCATTGTTTTTTGACTTCGTCGCACATGGAGCTGTCCAGATTCGGTACATGACAGACAGCAGCAGCGGGCCGGACAGGCACAAGGTTTCCTTGAATAGAGCTATTAAAAGCATTCCACTCCTGGGTTGAAGGCCAGCAACTGTTCTGGGGTCTGCAGCGACACCCGGTGCTGGTGAACCCGGCCAGGGCCGAAGCGCCAAAGAGGAAATTAAGCAATAATCGCTTCATGGTATCGTTTGAGCCAAACAAAAGGAATAAGAAAAAAAACTGTCTGGAAAGGATTCAGGCTAATGAGATGGAATCAAGCCTGTTATATAGTCAATACCACATGGCTGTGCAGCACTCATTATGGGACAACGCAGGATGCTTACTGATCGTCATCAATTGGAGCACGTCTGCCACAAGACAACCCATAGATTCAATCCATGTGGAGAATCGTATTCTTTGATTCCTTGTTGGGCGTCGGGGCGACAGGTCGTATTCGCTTGTGTCAATCCCTTTCGAACCTCTCATAAGCCCCTTTTTGACTGAGATTGCATGGCCACTCGCTCATCCAGCAGTAAAAGTGATTGGAAGTAACGGATATGATGCTCAATGGGTCATCGCAGTAGCTTGAACAATTTGGCATCCTTGCATTTTGGGCCAATATAAGTTTTAGCAAATATCACCACCATCAAAGTTAAAATTGACCGAGTCTTGACCAGTAATGACAGAATAATAGAAACACAAGCAAAATATTTGCTTCATTCTATCGGCCAGACGTACAGAGTACCGGTATGGGCAGCAGCAGGGACAGCGAACAACGACGCTGGGATGCCAGCTTGTATGTACAGCACTGTGCACGTATGCAGGAACCTTCAACTGGTGTAACTCGGTGCGAGGGAAAAATAGAAAAAAGCGTCAGATAAGTCTAAAATAATGTTTAGAACTGAACACTTTGATGTTCAATACTGAACCTACAAGTGAAGTGTTGGATCCTAGATCTTTGGTGAATCCCAGCGGATATCATCGGCCGGCAATCATCACGTGCTGCGGGGAAAGCTACTATCTTGCATCTTATCTCATCATCATCATCATCATCATCATCATCACCGCCATCCGATCTGCTGCTGTTTCCAACTTCAGCTCTCACCTTTCCCCCCCGTTTCCCTTGGATTAAACTTCTTCCTCGTTATTTATCATAGACCTTGGCGCCCGGCCATGCTGCGGCTGCCTCTACGACCCCGTGGCCCTCCCAGTGCCATCAGGGTGCACCGCGACGCTGTCCTCCGTTATCGGTCCCGTGTATCCAGCTCGCATTCCCAGCCCATTCAGCGCACATTTACCAGCACGTCCACGTCTTTTCCCACATCATCCCAATTTAATCGATCAGATTTCACAAGCCAGCCATGGACAGGTAGCTATGAGACCGGTCTTCCCACCTCTGGCCCTTTGGGCTCAACTCCGGCCTTCGGAGCCCCCCGAATTACTCCCAAGGTCCTGAAGCAATATCTGGACCAATTCGTAGTGGGCCAGGATCGTGCAAAGAAAATATTGAGTGTCGCTGTGTACAACCATTACCAGCGGGTACAGGAGCTACGACGTCGTGAGGAAGAGGAGGCAGAACTGCAGGCCAAACGCGCGCGGAGGGAAGCGATCCAGAGCCACCATCCGGTAGAGGGTATGTTTTTGCATATGAGATTAAAATGATAAGTTATTCCCGTGGTGTTGAACTGAGTTCTGAAGCTTGGAATCCTGATCTAGATGAATTTCCCGGCCAACAACGGACAACGCGCGCACCTTCGAACGAGGACTCGTCGCCGTCATCGATACTAGACCAACCGGAGCTCGTCGACTCGTCACCACTACAACTTGAAAAATCCAATATTCTCCTTTTGGGTCCCTCTGGTGTTGGAAAGACGCTGATGGCAAAGACTCTGGCGAGGGTATTATCGGTTCCATTTAGTATCTCCGACTGTACCCCGTTCACTCAAGCGGGGTACATCGGAGAAGACGCCGAGACATGCGTCCACCGACTACTAGCTGCCGCGAACTATGATGTCGAACAAGCAGAGCGTGGGATCATCGTCTTGGATGAAGTGGACAAGATTGCAGCGGCCAAAATGAGCCATGGCAAAGATGTTGGTGGTGAAGGTGTTCAGCAGGCTCTCCTGAAGATCATCGAGGGAACGACTGTGCAGGTTCAAGCCAAACAAGAGAGAAACTCACCTCGCTCTGGAAGTGCACCCAATTCATTCCCATCGAACAGTCCTCTCGGAAACCCGCCGAACTCCAGCAACTCAGGGATGTCACAGAAGGGAGAGGTCTACAACGTTCGTACAGACAACATATTATTCGTCTTTTCTGGTGCGTTTGTTGGTTTGCACAAAGTGATCATGGACCGGATATCACGGGGTTCAATTGGGTTTGGACAACCAGTCAGCGAGAGGTCGACGGATTCCAGTGCTGGGAACAACCAACCAGTTCCTGTCTTGCCTGGATCAGAGGAGGAAGCTTTGTACAAGAAGCACCTTCCCTTCTTCAACTCCGCTACCCCAGCATCACCTGACAGTGAACCAACATACTTCAACCCACTGGATCTCATTACTCCCACAGACCTGCAGAACTACGGGTTTATCCCAGAACTGGTTGGTCGTGTCCCCGTCACGGCTGCCCTGTCCACTTTGTCACAGGCCTTACTTGTCCGGATCCTCACCGAACCCCGCAACTCCCTTCTGGCACAGTACAACACCCTTTTCTCCCTATCGGGAATTGAACTTCGCTTTACAACACCAGCCTTGCACAAGGTTGCTGCCAATTCCTTCACAATGGGAACAGGCGCACGCGCTCTTCGAACTGAAATGGAAACCATCCTCAGCGACGCCATGTTCGAAGCGCCCGGGTCAAGCGTGAAGTTCGTGCTCGTGACAGAGGCCGTCGCCGACCGCAAGGAAAAGCCAATATATCTCTCCCGTGGCCAAGGTGGCCGGTTCCATTCTATGATTGCAGCAGAGGAGAGCGAATGGGAGGAAAAAGTGCGACAGGAGAAAAAGCAGAAAGGGAAAAAGGCCAAAGCCCACGCTAATGCCTCCGAAGATCCGGCTCACACCTCGCCCTTTCAGGAATATAGAACACGAGCTGTGGGTTGAAAGCTGAACTCAATTCTCAGCGGACCTGACCTACTTTCTCACTTCATGTCGTATAGTATACTTGGCATTAATTATATTTCTACCTTGGTTATGAGCGATCATTACGGTCGATATTTTCAACTTGCACGGCCACTTTTCCTACAATCCTACGACCTTTCTTCTCTTGAACTTGTCCAGGCCATACTTCTACAACCAATATCCAATCGCATTGCATTTTTCATTCCAAATATTTTTGAACTCTGCATGAATACCCACCCGGTTGGTCGAAATGAAACGTAAAAGATACCCCGTTCGTCAATAAATGCAGCTCGGCCATCATATGTATGATAAAGCATCTTCGAGTTCGAGTAAATCACAAAGAGAGTCATTGGGCTATCATATCGTCCAAAAATCGTAAAATAAACGCAATGATAAAAGAAAATGGTGATTATGCGAAAGTCGTAAAAAACATTGGAAGCGTTGGTATCATTAATTGTAGTGTCGAGGACCAATCCAATGCACCAGGGGGAGATTGAAAATATTACCGAATGCACGAAAAACACACAGAACGCCACGTCCATGCTTTCGAAGGAAAGAGTCAAAGTATCCCCCGAAATTCATTGGTAAGGCTGTGGATAGTTCATAGGCCTCGGAGGGAGACGCGAGGGCCGAGAACGGGGAGCACCTGGTTCGTTCATGGAAACACCCGGTGTCCTCGGTGTAAAGACAGATGGTGCGGGTGCTTGGTGTTGCTGCTGCTGCTGTGATCTGGATTCGTCCGAAGATGAAGAGCCTGGCTTTTGCGGCATCTTGAGTTTACTCCAGTAATGCTTGTAATCGATTTCGAAGTTCTTCATAAAATCTTTGGCTCCATAACGAAGTTCAAGGTGATTCCACGTCTCCCATCTTCTGAATGGTTTAAAGGATGTAAGAACAACAAATCGACGGAACCTGTCATTATTGACCAGACCCCATCCTGCGAAGAATTCTACCATATGATCGGCATCCCGCTGCTCTTGGTTGAGGCCTTTTGGGATTGCGGGGTGGTCATCTTCCTTGCGGGAACCATAGTGTGGGATCATCGCAGGCGAGATGATGCTCGTTTCTGAAAAATCATCGCAGACTCCGTCCAGGACTTCTCGGTCTTCAATATCAAGCCCCTGGCCAATGAGCTGCAAAATCAAATAATACATCGTCACCCAGCTAAAACCACATCAGTCAGACTGAAGACGTACAACAAATCTCAACAAGAGCAACTTACACTCCATGTCTTTCTTTCTCCTTAGGCTCGGGCAGCTTTAGAAGCCAATTCAGAACATCTGGGCGGAGCATAATCCTCCAGCTTCCAGGAAACCTCTTTCTACTCCAGTCATAGAACCAGGCAAGGACGATAATTGTTGCATCAGGCTCGCGAATCATGAAGTCTTCGGTAAGCAGGATAACCCCACCATGTGGGAAAATGCGCTGAAAGTACACTGGACGACTTGAATGCTGCAGGGGAGCATATAGAGACAGGGTCCAGAAGGAGAAATTTTTGCGGGTGCTCTCTAGAAAGGAAGGAATAGCATGGTATTCCACAAAGGTCTCATGAAACTACCTAAGTTAGTGGTTACCTTGCTATGCAACTGTAGGGACATACCAGAACAACTCCTCGACTTGCTGTTCGTCTGAACTTTTCCCAATCATCTGGAAGATGATTAGAGTATATAAGGGCATTGTGCTTCTTGAGGAATTCAACAAGGATTTGATATTGTTGCTGGACAATTTCATTATCAAGAGGGAACATCAGATAGAAGACCTGTGCGTTCTTATCGGATCCATTCACAGTGGCTAGATCTTCAAATGTGACCTTGTAATTTTCCTTGAAAAAAGCATCGAGGTTGAAATTTTGAACGGTCAGCGGGTTTTCAGCTTGGATAGGCATTTTTGCTGGTGGAAGGTCGTCTTGGACGTCTCCAGCTGTCGAATGGTTTTCGGTAGGTTGAGGCTTATGGATGACCGGAAGCTGACCAGTGGGCAGCGTGGGCATAGCCTTGTCAACAACAATGGGTTCATGAACAGGCGAAAGTTCATCCATGGAAAGAGGTTCGTCAGCAGGTAGAGATTCATCAACGAGCGGAGGCTCTTCAACAGGAGGACCTTCATTAAGTGTGGAGGTTTTGGCAGCTGCTGGCTCTTGAGGCGTGGGATTTTCAACAGCTGCAGAGCTCTCAGTGAATGATTCTGGTGTATCATTGTTATTAAGAAATGTTGCTGCTGTGCTCATTTCAGCTTGCTCATGACCAGCCAATGGCTTCTTTGCTGAAAGACTTTTGATACTAAATCCTCGATTGCTTGCAGGAACTTCTTCCCGATATTGTAACCCCTGCCTGCCTGAGCTGTTCTTTGTTGCGGTCATTGGACTTTCAATATGTGACTTTTCAGTTTGTCCATGAGCGACCACATGTTTCTTCATTGCCGAAATCCCTTTGATAGCCAAACTCTGATTGCTTTCTGGAATCTCTTCTTGAAGTAGCTTCTGATTGTCTGTGGTTTTCTTTATCATGGTCATTGTTTCTTCAGCGGGTGGAATTCTTTCGTCCTCCCTCGTACCAAGGCTGTTGTCTGGCGAAAGTCGCTTCAGAAACCACTCAATATTATCCAGTGGAGCCCTCACAGCGAATTTGATGAAGGCATCTGACGGGTATCTTAAGCCGCCATCGAGGAAGCTAAAGGCAGAAGAACGAGGATAAGCGAGAAACACGAAGTCCCCAAACTCGCAAATACCCACAAAGTCTCCTCGCTCAAGCTCACGCCCCATCCTATATATGCCTGGTTCGGTGTCGTCATAGCCTTCAATCCAGCCATTGAAATATTTGAAATTGTTCCTGGTCTGGTGCAATTTTATTAGAAGCCGAATTAAATAGGTTAGGGTGCTTCAAAGGTATTTATAACTGGAGCATTTATACTTACATTGTTACACAGATTTCTGTATTGCTGAAGCGTACAGAAGTGTTGGAACCAAAGTTCGATTCTCTTGCCCGTCCTAGACTTTTGAAGTTTGTCCTTGCATGGAAAGGTCATTCCGCATAGTCTGGCTGTACCTATCTCTTTTTTGTCTCTTCCATAAAAAACATGGACCAGAAGCTCGCTTGTGGGGTTACAGAAGCGGTCCTGAAAAATGAATTTGCTATAGGGCCCAGGCTTCCTTGGGGGCATAGGAGGCATTGGTGGTGACGGTTCACGCCTGGAGTCTTGATTGTAATTCGGGCCTGTGGGTTTGTCTGCATCAGAGTAGGAATTCCACGTCTCTGGACGAGAAGGTCTACCAGGCGGGGAGGAAAACACGTCCCCTGGTCTCCATGAATCGCCCCTTGACCTCAATGAATATGACTGTTCAAGGGAAGACCGAGAATTATCGCCCCTGTTTACCGGAGAGTTCGATACAAGTGGACCGAGTTTATCACTTTCTCTTGGAGAAGGAGCGGGGCTACCTCCCGTTGGTGAGCTGACCACATGACCTCCCAATTTTGCTGTGTTTACACCGGTTCGGGGAGGCCAGTCGGATGGTCGTACAAGCTCCAGCTGGTTGATATCGGGGGCCGGTTCGTAATGTTTTGCCTTCTCGTGCCTCCATTTTGCAGTTAGAGAGAATTGCTTAGATTCTAAAGAATTTCGCCTCTTGTGACGAGTTGCCAAAAGGCCCCTCGGGCCTGTAGGAACGCCCTCACTGCTTCCAAACGCCACCGCAGCAGGCCTTTGTGGCACGGGCTTTACTCGATCATCGTTTTGCAGTGATGATCGAGAAGCATTGGTATTCAGTGACAATTTTTCAAACGTTGTAGTTGGAAGAAACCCCGCACTTTTGCTGATGAGAGGAGACTGAGTCGAAACAGCAGATACGATGGAATTGCGCAGCTTATCCTCGGCTTTTGTGCGCGCTATGCTGGTTTCAATACGCAGCTTTTTTGGCGGATTCTCTTTTTGATTTTGACTCGCGCCATTTTCTGACTGAGTGAGTTTTCTTCTCTTTGCCTCCCGTCTCTTCCTTCGCTTATTTTTGGCATTTTCAAGAGCGATGAGGTGCGTTTGCCATCCTTTTAGATCAAACGCTGGGCGTCTTCCTTCTGCAACTTGCCTTTTTTTCTTATTCCAATCTCTCAATGTCTCAGCGCTATGGAATGAATCGGCTGACTCCCATGTACTTCTTTCAGTGCCATAGCCCTCCCATTTCACAAGATATCTCATGCCATCTGCGGTCATACGCTCAGTAAGAACGGTATCAACAAGATATTCAGAGAGCTGCTCGCTTGGCGCTGTTGAAGTAATAGAAATATCATCATCGCTTGTGTCGGGCATCCTAGCATTAAAAGCAGCACAGCACCTCTCTGGGTCAGTGAATAAATAGTCAGAGTAAAATAGCCTTAAGATTGATCAAGCAGTATTTTAACTGCCAAAGTAGGAAGAGGCTTGAGACCATTAGCTAACAGCCACAGACTCTGAAAGGCTTGACAGATTTTGATATGTGAAGCTGTACCAGCCAAAAGATATCGGGAAAAGGAACAAAGAAAGAGCAAATACGTAAAACGGAGTCGATAGAATCTAATGATTCAGATGGAAACCAGGCAGTTAGGATCCCATCATATGATCGGTGGCTAGATGGATGTATTTCTCTTTTGTTTAGCCCCCCGGAACAGCAGTCCTCAAGTTGACGCCTCATAAATAATCGTGATGCTCTCTTTTGTTCGGCGAGAGACAACAATACGCACGTGACCTGCGCTAAGCCGGATGCGTCAACTCGGCACAGCGACGCAGCACGGGAATCCGTAGGGAGAGCCGATCCACCAAAAGGCATCAGAATACCTCCTATCTTCCACGCTGACCCCTTTAATACAGTGAGTTTAGACCCTGGATATTCTTTGATGCCTGCCTGTCCTTTTGTCCTGCGACCTCGGCTCTTTGAATTTGATAAAGACTGACCATCCTGTTCCCTAGACTGAGTTTCACCCACTTTGCTCTACTTGCACCGGCCTCGATCAGCCACGTCAAATACACATTTCTCGATATCCCTTTCATTGAGCTTCCCTAGCTCTCACAACCATCCCTCATGGCTAACGACGAATATGATGTGAGCCCTCCCTTTGTTTATCCTGTCTACTGCCAAGCGACCATGTGAGACTAACTTGTGGCTGTTCGATAGTTTCTCTTCAAAGGTAACGTTGCCGTTCCCCGCCGTCGCCTTACCTCACCTCCTCCCCTTTGCCTCTTTCAAGATATCGAGACTGACATGCGATGCTCGTGTTTGGGTTGAACAGTGGTGCTCATCGGAGATTCCGGCGTCGGAAAGTCCAACCTTTTGAGTCGATTCACTCGCAATGAGTTCAACCTGGACTCCAAGTCAACCATCGGCGTTGAGTTCGCAACCCGCTCCATCCAGGTGGACTCCAAGACGATCAAGGCTCAGATCTGGGATACTGCTGGTCAGGAACGCTACCGCGCTATCACCTCCGCCTACTACCGCGGTGCGGTCGGTGCCCTCCTTGTTTACGACATCAGCAAGCACCAAACCTACGAAAATGTCAACCGTTGGTTGAAGGAACTCCGGGACCACGCCGACTCCAACATCGTCATCATGCTTGTTGGAAACAAGAGTGATTTGAGACACTTGCGGGCTGTGCCCACAGAGGAGGCTAAGCAGTTTGCCAGTATGTTGAACTTTTCCTGTCTCTGACCGGTTTCGTATATCCTGATCATTTTTAGGCGAGAACAACCTTTCCTTCATCGAGACCTCCGCTCTCGATGCCAGCAATGTCGAACTTGCTTTCCAGAACATTCTGACAGGTTGGAAAACCTTTCAATCTTCCTAAATTTGATCACGAGAGCTAACGCGCCGCCAGAAATCTACCGCATTGTGTCCAGCAAGGCTCTCGACAGCGGTGACTCCGGACAGAGACCGCTTGACCAGCCTCGCGTGGATATCACCCAGACGGATGATCTCCAGACAAAGCAGGGCTGCTGCTAAGGTTCATTGCTCCGGGAACGACACGCCAACCGCAACGATTTTTATTCTGCGATGTGATAATTGAACGGTCTTGATCTGTCTTTTGGGTCTGTTACTTAGCCTCCACGGAGATGATACACGAGAGGGACATGGTTGGGGACAGTTAAGGAACATGGTCATCGGAAGGCGATATTTATTGGACGCTAGTCTATTCCACCTCCGGCTTTTTTATTTTTACTTATTTTCATTTCCCCCCATTCGTCTTTTTTCATTTTGACACGTTTTCATTCACCATGTCAAATTCCTTTCCCCTAACTATGAAATTGAGTGTTTTTCACTGTCTGCAATGATTTGTTTTATCAGACGCCTTCGGTTTCGTCTCCCTGCCCCCATGCTGGTTCATTGTCAACCATGGTCCCCTTGCTGGTTCACTGAGCTTTGGTTGTTCTATTCACGGGCGTCTATCATAGTGGCTACGTGGGTTTGTACGGATTTACTGTTTCTATGCGTTGAGAAGAATAAAGTACACATTACACCATGAAATTATTAAAGAACAACTGTGCTCATGTTACTCGCTATTCCGAGTTCGTAATATCAAATTGCTGGCTGTTGAATGCCGGATGACGGGTCCACCTTCCAGACCGCGGGGTCCATGGTCCGATGCCACTTTCCATGTTTCCTGGTCGCACAGTAATCCACCAAGTGTCCTCTTCTTGGTTTATAATTAGAATCTGTCCGTTCATCGCCCTCTGAATAATCACAAATATCCCAAGTATATTCCTTTTGACTGCACACTTCGAAACCTATGAGGCTCAAATCCAAAGAAATTAACAACGGTCGGTCGCCCCCACTGCGGAATTTAGGTCGTCTTTAGATCCGAGTGAAACCCCCGTTGCGGTTTAGCGCCACCGCTGAAGGCGGACGCCAAGCATCTCCATCGTCTATCACTCCATCTTCAATCTCCATCTCTTCTCCTTTCATGTGTCTCTTTGCTCCTGTTTTCTGCTTAATATGGCATCCTGCTCCGTGGATATTTTGTTAATACCATTCGAGGCATTGATTCTGACTAATTGGTTCTACAGTATACTGCACCTATGACTTGGTCTGATCCCTGACAGCTGGGCTACAAAATTCTATCGCAACTGGGGAAACGAGAATTATACTCAAGAACCATCATGGAAACAAACCAGTTGAAGCATGATAAGAACTATTCAATGCCACTTAGCTATATTTATTACATCTTATATATCAGTCTACAGAACATCCATCCATAAACGCCGGTGCGCTTTTCGGGCTCGATGAATTCCATTGATGATACTACAGCAATTTTGTCTTCTACCCCATGGTCGTTCATCTTCAATGGATATATAGGGTCATAACATGACAACTCAACAATGACAAACGTTGGCAGAGTCAAGAACACTCGTAAGATAGGTAGCTGCAGAGCTCAAGGAGCTTTCCAGGTCGATGGAAGCCAGCTGGTTACCCAATTTAGAATCCCTGTATGGTTCGCTACCAAAACAGGAAAGGACCTCGTGACCTGTAAACCTCAAGCCCTTCGGCTCGTTCAACTTAGACGTATCTCTACGCGTTCGAGCATAACAAGGACATTTCAACACAGGCTGCAAAAAACTCTTATTCATCAAAATGTTACGTTGCTATATTAAAACCCCCGCCACAACGCTACTTCATATTAATGGGGTGCCTCATATATCACTGCTAACAGCTCACAGTCAAAATAGTACTGGGCAGACTGTTCACCTGACACGCTCTTTCAAGACAACCGGAATGTTCTCCTGCCTCACAAACCACGAATTGATGATTTTCCATTCGTTTTTCGGATTGGCGAGCTCCATCTAAACAGGAGTGTTAGCCTATCTGACCCCGACAGGGCAGAAAATGGAAGCTCGTTACGGATTCATATGACTTACATCGAACTTGCTGAACATCGTCGCAATCAACTTGTAGCTCTCCAGCTGACTGAGGTATCTTCCCATGCACATACGAGAACCAGCCCCGAATGTCAGGTCTGCGCCTTTCATCCTTGCGCGCCGAGTATTGAACTCTTCGTCCGTTTCGCCTTCCTGCTTGAGCCATCTCTCCGGTATGAAAGAATCCACATCTGGTCCAAAGATGTCAGCATCTCGGTTGATGACCCAAGGATTCATTCCCACGACAGTGCCTGCTGGGACGAAACGGCCATCCGGAAGAGTTAAGCCACCTTCAGGAACAATGCGTTCCAGCATAAGGCCAACTCCCGGATGAATACGCATAGACTCTCGCATGACTGCGTCAAGGTAAGGAAGTTTCTGAACTTCTTTCCAGCTTGCTGGCAATGCCAGCTGTGCGGTATCCAGTTCTTCCCGCAGTCTCTGGTAGACTGATCTATGCTTCAGTACGTGATACATAACTGAGCAAAGGCTGATTGCAGTAGTGTCGCTGCCTGCTAAAACATTCGAAAGCAGATATGTTATCACCGCGTTGTCGTCAACAAGATCCGGGCGTTTCTTCTTTAGCTCTATGAATTTATCCAAAAAGTCGGTCTTTGCATTAGGGCCCCGTGGTCCTTGCTCCAAGCGCTTTTGGTACATTTGAAGACTAAAAACATTTGCCCATCCGAAAGTGGGAGGCCCCACGCGCTGAATGGGATTCTTGTCAAGGAGTAGGTCTAAGCCTGGGATTTGACAGATCTAAACGCGAATTAATGACATGTGATTACGAATAGGTGGGCAAATCAACTGACCGGGGCAAAGTAGTCCAAGCTTCTCGTGGATGTTTCAAGGAACTTTTGGTCATCGCATCCAGCGTTAAGAACACCCAGGGTTTCTGAGAATGTTATTTGGCTCATGGCGTCCCATGCAACTTCATTTCGGTCAGTGAGGGGTGTACAAGACCCGATAAAAGAGATATTGAGACCCACAATACAACATATAATCCGCCATGTCACACGGCCTTCCTGTCGAAACAAACCTTTCTTGAAGCTTTTCGAAATATAGCTGTATGGCTGTGTCGACACTATGCTCTGCATCCTGAACTCGGGTCATAGAGTAAAGAGACTTCACCGGCCGAATGATTGTCGAATGCCAGGTTTCATCTCTGGTTGAAAAGAGATTCGATACACGAGTGCCATTGACCATCACATCATTGACACTATACATTGAGCTCTACCAGATTATATAACAGTCAGAAATACTGGATTCGATATATTCCAATTATACTCACCTTTTCCCAAGGATTCTTCGTCGAATAAACTCGATTGACCATGCTCGGATCAGATAAGCTAAGAACATTTGGGCCCATACGGACTGCGCCACCGTGTTTCCGGTGTAGCCTAAGGTGTGTTATATCACATCGACGGTTATAAACGTCCAGGAGGCGCCACAAATCAGTAAAGCTGGTTACTAATGGACCTGGAAAAGATTTCAAAGGAGAACGTATATAGTTCCAAAGAAAGTGGGAGACAAGGGCGATGAGGCCGCTTAAGATAATATTGATGAATGTATCACTGGTCGAAATCATCTTGCCTATGCAGTAATATGGTCAAGGGCACGTCCGAAGTATGTGGGACAGTTGAACAACTGAGTCTTCATGGGGCCTTTTCTATCAAGTACTCGCCCCCGCCATCTCCCTAGAACGTTATTTTACGAAAGACTAATGAGTCCAATGTGAGGGGAAGGATTGAATTCCTTCCAGACTCAAGACACACAGGATTCCAGAGATAATGAGCCAGTCATGGTAACGAACAACATGATTGTCATTGTGCATTGACAAAAATCTCGGTTTCTGTGACTATCAACATGACGAGGTCCACAGTACTAATGCAATATGCCATATTAGTAACGAGCGGGTGAACCACCTGCTGTTTTGGTACAATTAGACATGGGACTGGCAACCGCTATTGGATGCAATATGAATCCAAGAATTGACTATCCCTAGTGACCTGGACACCATTATCACGATCAACCAACAGGCTCCTATCAGAACTTCCAGGAAACACATTTCTGTGACAGGACCTGCCGCGTGGAGGGGGCAATGCGTTTCCCAGGAATTCAGATCCGAAGGACCACTGAACATCTAGGTCCCATACCTAGAACCATCTTCGTACTTTGGTCTTCGGCTCTCGCGCCAAACACTTATGCATCCTGGTGCCTATGACTGCGTTCTTCTTAATTGTGGGCTGATGCAAAAACGCGTTAGTCGTTTCATGAATTGCAACACCCCTACAATCAATTTGATATACCACCCCCTTCGGTTCGAGGATCCTCCGTGCACCCCAGGATTCTAGATTCCTATCAACGCTGTGTCGTCACCCATTAACTTCGACCAAGCTCCTTGGTTTTCTTTACCCCCTATTCCCTGATTTCAAGTTCAGCATTCGCAATTGCCTCTTAGCTTGGTAATGATTCAACCCATTGCTGTGGTAATCTATCCAGAAAGAGTTTAGAAGAGATGTATACATTCATCGGCATCTTTGGTTACGCGCATGAAAACAATTCATCAATACGTACTATTGTTGATGCTGTTGTGGTTTCGGACCTCGATAAACCAAGGACACGCTTGTTTCAAGAACCATGAAAATAGCAACTAAATCGTCTCTGACTTTTGATGCTTGAGTCCAAAATGCAAGGTGGAGTTGTCGGTGCGCCGATCTAGATGTCTCGGAAGCGGGGGTCTTCTCAATGGTGCCGATGATAATCGGCCTTGCCGCGAAGGCACATGGGGTGCTTTATCATGGATGATAAAAGATCACTATGTGCATGGTAAGGCTTCGGGGAATTAAAGATGACAAGTAAATTGACAGGGATTGCCTGGTGTTTTGGGCCCCAGCGGAGAGGCCCCGCCTGCACCCATATCACACAACCCCTGCTAACATATATGACAGCTCCAAAAAAGACATTGATCACCAACATCAACTTCGCCACTGCCAATATCAGTTGATTATTTATCTTGTTCATACTGATGAAACAATTCTGTTATAGATTAGGTTTGTTGTTTGGTCAATTGCATTGGTGACGGCGAAATCATACAGGTTGTTTGTTCCCAAGGGCATCCAGAACAATGCAATAAGGCATTTCAGGTACACGATCTGTCTTTCCCAATTGGATTTCCTTTGCTATATGATCGCCTTTCAATTGTTTGGTACAGATGCATAATGCATTGAGGGATCAGCATCGTGACAATGCACAGCCGGCATGTCAAATGACTCGCGACACCCCCGCTTTTGCTCTTCCCTATCCCCTGTTGGTCCAGCACCGACGGAGTTGATCGGCCAAAATCTTGATGGAACATCATTCCAGTGCAGAGGACAGAAGTACGGCTTTGAATGTGATCCATCGCCTGTCAAAAAATACCCCACGAGCCTAATCCATGTCACAGCGCCGACTTCCACACCAATCAATTCCCACGCAACTAAAGACGGAAACCGCTGTGCAATCGGGGAATTCCATTCTGTTCCTACTTGTTTGCAAGGGGCGAAGGTCCTAAACGGCTCACCACGAGCTGCTTGGCTTTGGACTTAATATAGCAACCCTGATCAATGGTGCCGGATCATGATCCCCGAGACAAAGGCATGGTCTAATCACCTGTCAAAATAGACATCTAGACCAACCAAGTTTGAATATCCAATTGGTTTTTCCCGGCCTCCTGGTCTATTGTTCCGGTTTGTTGTGGAGTCATACGGCAACTATCTCCGAATGGACTTCGAAAAACTTGAACCTGAGCCATAGATCCTTGGTGCGGCCTAGACAGGAAATGACATTGTTCATGTTGATATTCCCTTTGTGCTTCGGCGTAATAGGCACATTTCCATCACATCTAGCGCACATAACCGATCACAATGCCTTACGCCGGTCATCAATTGAATAGGCGAAGATGCCGCTGGCGAATTACAAAGTACTATGCCATGAAATCAGAGAACGTGGTACCTGATTCCAGACTCCCTGATTCTTCACGCACCTGCAGCCCCATCACACAAAGCACACGCCGATCTCATAGCATATTACCCGTTTTGGTGAGAAGCATTTCTACTCAGGTCGTGCGTGTCAGAAGTTCCATTCACATTGGGACACCATACCATATTTGTCCTCCGTTCTCACTGCCGATGATCAAGGTGAAGGATTTTGCTGTGACCAAATTCGAGCTATCAATTTCTTAGGCCCGACAGGCCAGTGTCTCATCAGAATAAAACATTAGGGGACTCGATTCTTTTTAGGGCTCCTTTCTTATAAGGCCTGAATAGTAGTAAATGGATTGTCGAGGTTATTTATTTTGGCCGGGCCTCAACTCAAGCATTGACCAGACGCATTGAAGTTATCTTTTATTTTTGCTCCTGCACAACATGGAAGACGATGATCTTGGGCCCACAATCACCGCTGTCATGTGGGTGGTGACTGGCGTCCCTTTCATCATTGTTGTTCTGAGAATTTACTGCAAATGGAAGCTCAGCAGAGGCTTTGGATGGGATGATACAATCGTGGCCTTCTCTTGGGTTTGTTATATACGATAAGTGTCTCCTGTATAACGCTGACAGTGTAATCTATCAGGTCCTACTAGCTGTATATGCATCTGTGATCACCGCTGCTGCTCGACTGGGCGTTGGACGACACCTCGCAACCATACCAGCAGCAGATATTCCACCGGCCCTGGAGCTCGTATATATTGGCGAATTTATCGCCATCATTGCGTGTGTCCTGAGCAAGACCTCGTTTGCTGTTACACTCTTGCGAATCGTCACCCGACCATGGCAGAAAGTAATGCTGTGGTTCATCATCGTCACGATGAACATCGTGATGTGGCTGACAGCGATATTGTACTTTGCTCAGTGCTCTAATCCAGCACGTCTATGGGATTTCAGTATTGAAGCAACTTGCTGGTCTCCAGATGTAGTCACTCATCTGGCCCTCTTCGCAGGTGGTGTGTTTTTTTCCGTCCAGATATGCTATGCTTTTTTTTTTTTTTTTTTTCCATCTGCTGACTCCTATCATAGCATACTCGGGCCTAATGGATCTGGTTCTCGCAATGCTTCCTTGGTGGGTAATCTGGAAGCTTCAAATGAAGAGACGCGAGAAAACGGGTATTGCAATTGCAATGAGCCTGGGAGTTTTGTAAGTACCACATATACCCTGGAGACACTCTTGGAGATGTATTCTATCTAACTTTTAGAAATTACAGCGCGGCCGCCACAGCGTTCGTCAAAACATCCTATCTACCAAACCTGTCAAAGCAAAGCGACTTCACTTGTACGTATCCCCATCACCATATCTATTCCATAATTCATTCATCTGGTCTAATATAACCTTAAAAAGATTACTGCGGCGACATCCTCATCTGGGCCGCAGCCGAAACCGGCGCCACCATCTTCGCAGCGTCCATCCCGTCCCTGCGCATCCTCGTCCTAAAGATGCGATCCTCCTACGACAACAGCGGGCAAAAATACTCTGAAAACTACCAGCTCTCAAAGGGACGCGAATGGAGTCGAAACACCAAACGTCGCCACGGAACGCTGTTGAGCAGTGATGAGCATGTTTCCCTGCCCGGTCGACCGGATGATGCGAGCGAGAAGAGTATCTTGGGTAAATCTAATAATATCAAACGAACCCAAGAAGTCACTGTCAGTTATGAACAGACTGAACAGGAGAATATGGATAGGTATAATTTTGCTTGAGATAAAGTCTTTGGGTGGGATCTTTTATACGATCTCTTTTGTTGTCCGTATTCTGGGTGGTTTCTTATGTTTTATGTTTACGTTTCATTCTTGCAGGTTTGCAGGCAATCTGACTGGCGAGTGTGGTTTTAAATTTTGTATAGCTGTATAATAACCACAACAGTCAAGGCAAGAAGTGCGTGATGAATCTAGTATCTATTGCATTGCAGATAAAGCCGAATATAATAACGTAGATGCGGAAAACTTCAAAAATCCCATACAATGCCAACATAACGATCAACAATCGCACCTCTGAACTCTTCAACATCTTCCCCCCTTTCCTTCGTTACCCATTCTAGCGTATCGCTGAACGTCTCGCCATTATTCCGAAACCATTCACCAAGGGAGAGCACAAAGGCCTCAACATGCTCCTTGAGAGAGGCATGTTCGCGGAGCCAGAGGACCTGGCCCGGATCAAGTTTCATCATATCCTGCACAACATAGTAATGCGGGATTTCGTCCCCCCATCCTTCGAAACCAGGGTCGTGGAAGAGGTCATTCCGAAACTTAGATTTAAACTTGGCGGGTGATTCGGTGAAGTTGGTCGGGTGAGCAGTGTGAAAGTACTGGTCGAAAGACGTGGGGTTTTTATCGAAGAGGCCAAGGCCTGGCTGATCGCTTGGTGGGTAATTGAGGTGGATGTTGAATGTTAACTGGTGATTATTTTCAGGATATCGTTTGTGGAACTTGCGCTGGATAGTCCCGTTACTGGGACAAATGTGATTCTGAACGACATCGGCGATAATCAAGCGCAGGTCTTCAATCTCAGCCAACTCAGCAGTCGACCAGTTATGCAGCAGCTGAGCCCGCTCCAAGACGACATTCCGCAAACTGCGGCCGAAACGATCATAAAGACGACTATGAAAAGCCCGATGATACAACCACAATCTATATACAGCACGACGAAGGCGAAACCGTTCCTCATCCGTCAGAGAACGTCGATTTTCGTAGTCCGATTTCCATTTCTTCAGCGGGTAGATGATTTCCCATTTCCGGGCCACGATACCGATGCGCACGATTTGTTCAAGGAGGGCATGGGATATTGGAGCCTCGCGGGTGATGTGGACAGGTTGGCTGTCATTTTGAGTAATTATTTGGATGATATCATCGAGGGGACCGAATTCCGACTCCGCGGCGTCTGCGAGGATCTGTAGCTTGTTGGATCTTTGGAACACGCGATGGAGATGTCGACATGTTGATGCGAGGTTCAGAATATCCGAAATTTGGTCACAGGAGCGATATACGTGGAGCAGTAGCTCCGTGGCAAGGCGATCGAGAGGCATTGTGATGGTATCTGGGGCATCGGTGGTGTTTAGTAATGGAGTCATCATCACTCGATGTAGCTATCGAGGCACACACCTTATTGAATGATGAATAAATAAGGTATATTGTTATGAAATTATATGTAGATGGTCTGGAACACTCCAAGATAGACTGATAAGCACAAAAAACAGCGTCACCGTTGGCAGTGAGTCAACAACGGCGCCTGTCGCAATGACCAAATGGACCTAAGTAGAAACCCCGCCGTTGGGGCCATCCATGACAAAAAACAACTGATCTCTGATAAGAAGCACATCTTCCGTGCTTGGAGGAGAGCCTGCGGCCTCCTGCAGCCGCAAAGGGCTCGATGGCAACAAGGATGCCATGATGGTTGATGAGATGAAGTCGAGAAGTGGTTGTTGTTGCGGTCTTTTATACGCCGCTTATCTAATCGCGCCCCTTGCCTTGCTTCATTTCAGCATCGGATGGAATGCCTCGGTTCAGAAAGGCATGAAGTAAATAGTCTTGACAATCTACGGAGTATATTGCGTGACATGGTGGAATTCCTCGTGTGAAATTGGAGATATCACGATGGTTCTTGAAGCGGTGCGCAGCGCCATTACGGATTAAACGATATTCAAGATGCAAGCAAAACATCAAGGGAACCAAGAACTTTTGAATTATTTCATGTTGAGTGCGAATCACTCCACCAGACGCCTTGAAACTGGACAATGACAATAGTTACCCCTTGCGTCAATCTCATGTACATCCCCTCAGGATATCAAGTCTAATGCACATACAAAATGAAGAAAAAAGCGTAAAAGAAATAGAAATAACGGCGCAAAACATTATGCAAACAGCTTCTTCGTATCGAGCGCATTCTCCTTCCTCTTTCCACCATCTGCCAATCCCAGTGTGCTCTTTTTGCCGAACCGGTCGGTCTGCTCGTCTCGGCGACTGGCATAGCGGGCTGCCTTGCTGGTCCGGATTTCACTGCGGACCTGGTTGGGGCTGACGTATTCCTTGTTCTCGTAGATGACGGGGCCTCCGAAGCTACCCTCCAACATGACAATCGGTGTCAGGACGAAGCGGGGTCCGATCTCGACCAAAGACACCTCAGGCAATCCATCCTTGCCCTTGGGCGTGGGCTTCTCCTCGCCCTTTGCGCCACCCTCCGACTCCCGGATTTCGTAGACTCGGATCCAGATCTTGCCGTCGACACCGAAGATACCAATGATGCGGTCGACGAAAGGCTTCATGCCCTTGACACCACGCTTAGGGACACAGAAAACACCACGGAGCATCTCCTTGATCAGCGTGCGATATTCGCTTCCAGGCTTGCTGGCGACCGGGCCCTGTTCGTCGAAAGAACGGTCAAAAACAACGATTCCGCGGCCGCCCTTCAGGCAGTTGCCGCTGAAACCAGCGTTCAATTCACCCATGGTGTGCAAGTTGTTGACGTGGAACTTGAGGGTAGGGCCGTTTGGTGGGCGGGCGAGCCAGAGGTAAAGGTCCTGGCCGCGCTTGCGGGCTTCGAGGAAGAAGATGACATTGCAGGAATGAAGGTCGGCGAGGGAGTTGAGCATCAAGTTGTAACCAGCGGTCTTCTTCTTGGTATCCAATTTGGTTTCCTTGTGGGTGTGGGGAAGCAGAGAAGCAAGGTCTGCTAGCAGGTGACGGTGGCTAGAAAAAAAAAAAAAGATGATTGTTAGCGTTCATTTTTTTCCATCGCGATTTTCAACCAGGAGGGGGGGAAAAAAAGAAGTTAAAACATGCCGATGTGTCACACCTCGCGAGGTCAGCATCAGAACACGAGTCTTGGGCATAAATCCAGCAGCCAGCTGCTTCTTGGCCAAATTCAAACCCTCCTCTTCCTCATCTTCATCTTCGTCCTCTTCGCTGTCGCTGGTGTCGTCGGCGTCGGCGATGAAGTCCTCCATCTCGAAATCCTCATCCTCCAAGGCCTGCTGGGCCTGCTTCTTAGAAACGGTTTTGTAGACTGATGCCATGGTGAACTGGAGAATGCAACAGTTCAGAATTGAATTTTTGGAGAGCTTGTCGATCGTAGCGGCGAAAAGCTTCGCAAAGAAAGTCGAAAAGTTGCGGGCAGAATATTTTTCTTTGGGCTCACCGCCTCCTATATCTGGACGTCACGTGGGGCTAACCCAATCGGGATATCTACTACTCTCTACTGGATATCGTTTCTTTTTCTTTTCTTTTCTTTTCTTTTTTTTTTCTTTTTTTCCTGATTATCAATAGATTCGCTCTACATCCAGGATATTCAGTGCTGGAAAAGAGGGATTGAGTCCCACTGGCGAGTATATCCATCGATATACGTGATGCGGCCTCATCGGATTAAGAGCATCGAAGCTCGAGACCACCTCGGTCATGGATATCAGCACTCCTGGCTGTTATGTATCCTGAGTCGATTAAGCTACAAGTCAAAAGGATGTGCCAGTAAAACTGGAAGTACTATATAGAATTCCAATGCCAACGTCATGCGCAATTTTGTACAAATATATATTTATTTCCAAGTATAATGCAGCCGTCCAGATCAAGGATAGGAAGTCAAAGCCTGTTCAAGCCCAGCGAATCCCTCTTGTCCAACCTTCATCCCTGCAACTCGATTCGCAAAGCCCAGCTTCTGGGACATATCCCAATATCGATCCCGGTATATCAAGGTGTATAGCATCCCCGCGATAAACGTGTCTCCGGCTCCTATCGGACTGTGAATTGTTAGCCTGGTCACTTCGAGCAGACATAAGAAGTGTCTACTTACTCGACGACGGTAAAGTCTGGTGCTGTGTACGCTGGCTTGTGAAAAAGATTGCCTGAACCAGTTTCCAGAGCTACAGCTCCGTCCTGGCCCCAGGTACAGAATAGCAGCGACCTATTCGCGATGCTTGTTAGTTCCCGACTATCTCATAGAATGGAGAATCCATACGCCTTGCGAGTCAAAGATGATTGTTTCCGGAGACATTCCGCTGCTGATATATATCCATTTCCCTATTGTAAATCCAGTATCAGCCTGTGCCATCCCAGAACTTCACGGATTCATTCTCACCTGGGCCCAGCCCTTCGAGTAGAAAACCACATCTGCCTCCACGGCCAGGTCCTGCAAGCCTTCTCGCTGGGGCTTTTCCACCTCAATACTAACTGTTACAGAGGGGAATTTTTGACGAAGATATTGTATACAAGAAAGAGTCACGTCTGGTACCCGGCCCTGTCATAACATGTTAAACACTTCCTTCGCAACGAGCAAAAAAAAAAAAAAAAAAAAAAAAAATGGAAAAATGGAAAAAAACAAACCGACCTCGAAATGGAACCATGTCGCCGAAGGACCTAATTCATCTGCAATCTTGGTAAACTCTCCAATAGTCATATCGGGCAGCTCATTGTAATTAACAATCGTCCTGCTCCCAGAAGATTGGCTTTTGATGATGTAGCTCGACGCAGGCTCATTGAATTGTTCTCGATAGATGCAATGATCCAGATGAACATTAGGCTCAAGCTCCTTTCTAATCTGCTGAGAGGCAATTGAAGACTTCGCAGGCAGAACGGCCACGAGGTTCAACAACGCAGAAGACGACGGGGTGTGTGTCGTCAACTGCTGGAGAACCTCGAGAGAGTTGGGACAGTTACCTCCCCGTCGACGAGAGATGGTTGAGGCACGTAGCTTCTCATCTTCGCCGGGATAGTGAGGAGTTCTGGATATAAAAGTTGGAAGATTAAGCTCGTTGGATCCTGGCAATGGTCGTATGGTGGGGTGGTGATATGATATGGCGGGGCACGACCTACGTTAGAATGGTGTCGACATAACATGCCCCCACCGCGACGAGAGACATTTTGAAAGTCCAGAAATTGTATGCACACTGCGCTTCGATGTTTGTATTTTTGTCAAGATAGATTTGTATCTCACTGTGTAAATTGTTTATATTTCGGAGGGGAATCTTGATCGATTGTCCGCTGAGGGTCAGATTAGTCATGACCCACTGTATGTCGACGACGAAGAATTGGATGACTTCATTTTACGATGGTTTCCTAGGGACTAGATATGAACGAAAGAAGGCAGGATATTTTGCTTTCGAGATCATAAGATGTACTTGACGTTCTACGATTGACGAGGAACAAGTTGAGGGGGAATAATGATGGATTAAACTAAACCAATCAAGAAACTAGATACATGGGACTAGATCGCCGTATCCTATTTTTAAAATGGTTTTCCAATTTTCCAGTTTTTTTGTGCATTTTCTTTCCTTTTGATCCATCGTGTCGAGAAAAAATGTCCCCCAAAATTTCATCCAGAGAATGTCGAGCCTGTCCATAAGAGAACACCGGCTGATGGCCATTTCCTTTCGAAATTGGAAAGGTGAGATGCTAGAAGGCATAAAGCGCGAGTAATCGACTAGAGACCGTGATAAGAGCAATGAATATCATGTTTCCTGCTGACGCTTAGTTGGAATCCCCACGCCGCCATCAGTCAAGGTCTCTTACCTTTGTAGTTGGTTGAATGATTTCTCTGAATGCTATCTTGATCTGCCGATTGAGGCGCGGCACTTAGCGAGAAAGCTGACCACGGCTGAGACAAGCACGGGTAGCCTGGGCACGACTGCGAGTAGCCGAAATCTGGGTACTGAGGCCATGAGAACGACCACGACGGCCACGAGAGTTACCACGAGTGTTGCTGTTGGCACGAGTGCTGCCACGGGTGCTACCACGGCCACGGCCACGGTTGTTGACCGGAGGGGAAGATATGGTACGCTCGGTAGACTCGGCGGAATCGATAGGCGCGGTGGTCTGCTCAGTGGTCATCGGGGTGTTCTGCTGGCCGTTGGCCTGGTCGCTGCTCTGCTGGATGGCCTGCTGGGTGTCCGTTTCCACATTGATCTCTTCGCCATCTTCGTTGAGCTCGATGATTCTTCGAGAACGGCCCCTACCAAAATCATCGAACTTTGCCCTCATGAGGCGGGAGTACTCAAGGCTACGCCTGATTCATCAGAACTGTTTGGAGACATGTTTAATGAAATAATGATAAAAGAACAACTTACCGAAGGGCGTTCCAGCTAGAATTGGTCTGTGCAGCGATCCAGCGCCACTGTCTTTCGCTAATTTGGATCCTACTGACATAGCAGACATACAAGAGCATATCAACACGCTCCTTGTCGCTCCAGTGGATGGTACGAGTGGGCGGCTCGTTGAAATCAACGAACTGGTGGGCAGTCGGGTACAGGTCCTGATCAGCCTGGTCATCCTGAAGCATATCAACCTCAGGAGTGGCAGACTGGCCTCTGTTGGGCTGGGCCTCTATGAAATCAGTGTCGCCAGAAGCAGACATCTTGAATGAAGTAGGCACAAGGAAGAATGAGACAAGAGAAGGTATGTTTGCTAAGGATAAGAGATCAACGATAGAAGAAAGGGAGACGATAAGGAGAAGCGTGAGAGGATGAAAGAAAGAGAGAGAGAAACAGAATTCGATTTCTCCTTATATCCCCAACGCCGAGAAGCTAGGTGAATTTCGCTGCCTCAACGACATCGTTTCCCTGACCCGCTTAATCTGCTCATGAGGCCATCACAGGACCAGAAAATTCTCCCTGGCGAGCCATTCACCACGATATTTGCCACCGGGAGCCATCCCTTTTGGCTGACCGTGAGGGTATTCCCGTCTGGTCCTGTCGATCTGGTGGTCCCTTCGGGAGACGAAGGGAAAGGGAAAATTTTCCTCTTTCCCCGAGTGGAGCGAGGAGAAATTGGAAGGGTCTCGGAAGGGAAGACAGGAGAGATCAATCCCGGGTCAATCCCAAAAGGAGACACCGTCGTAAGAGGTTTCTGGCGCTCTTTGTTAGCCATAGGAGATCAGACAAAGCATTGTAATGTTGATAGCAAACCTCCACATAGTAATCATAGAATAAGATGGTAGCAGCATTTGATATCTTTCATATATCACATTGAGATATCAGTGGCTATTAGATAGAATGAAAAGTGGTGCTTTAGACATCACAACAAGACAAAGAGATTGGGAGAGAAGAAGGAAGTTGGAGAGTCACTCTGGGTTGATATACAGACGGCTCGGATAAACTCGCTTCCGTATAGCCCTATATTCTTCCAGTGAAGGCGTGGCAGTTTCTGTGCAGAGAACTAGAGGGTATTCTACATAAAGTATTTATTTCTACATGTACTGAGTACAGTTGGGATAGGATCTTCTTGAAGCAATTCGAATTGCTTGTATAGACCAGACTCCATCTTCGAGGAAGAGCGACGACAACATCACGGCGTCGATTACTTCATTTGAAATACTCTGGAGACTAAATCAATGAACGAGATACAATGACTTTGAATAATTATTATATTTAAATCAGAGAGACCCTACGAATGCTGCGACCAAGGCCAGCCGCTTTCGAAAAGCGTACGATCGCGACGGTCTACAGAAACCTACAGTATGGTATTATTCTAGGCGAGTACAAAACATCCCATTTTCTATATAGCCACAATAGACTCCAAGACAGAAGCATTCCCAAGAAATATCAGCGACGAGGCCGATAATGCCGGTCATCCTGCCCGACCGCGCCCTCATGTGGGCTATCCCTATGATAAAAGTGATTATTCTGGTTCCTCGAAGAATGCCTTTTATCGCTGGGTAAACGATCTCCAACAACGCCCCTATTTGACGAAGACAGCCGCGATGGTTTTTGCAGATTTGGCTTTCTCACGCTAGATCTCGATCGTCTCTCGTGTCTTTCATGCCTTTCCCGTGAGTCTCGTGGAGGAGAATCCCGTGTACCACCACCGGAAACCTGAGGGCCCCGAGGTTCGCCCGATCGAAAGGGTGTGCTACCCCCATATTGTCTGGAAGGCGAAGTAGACCGCGGCGTGAGTGGCGGGTCGTGATGTCGCCGGCCAGGCTCATAATTCAATGAGCGTTCTGGTAGTTTTCCCCCTAAAAAGGAGGTTCTGCGGTTACTTGCTGACGGTGAAGAATATCGATCAGAGGTGGTATCAGCAGTGTCTGCTCGATAGCGAGTGTCGTGCTGTCGGCTTTCGAGTATCTCGAAGTCCGGAGACAGCATCGCTCTGGGCGCCCTAGGAGCCCTAGAAGTTGGAGGCTCGGGGGAATAGGCGCCTTCTGAAGGTGCTTCCGGGTCTTCAGACTCTTCAGACTCTTTGTCCTCCTCGGCGGCAGTAGAGGGACGCTCGTTAACAATCTCTACGCGCATGAGCTCCTCCTGCTCCGCGGTTCTTTCCTGGCGATCCTCCAATACCTCTTGACTGGCAAGGTAGATGGCGGTGTAACGACTCCTAAGATTGGACCAAAAATGAAGAATTAGAAACGACAGTTGGCTGGTGTGACTTTGAATATGGCATACTTCAAAGAGCTGGGCGTGTAGTCATTGCCCATCTTCTCGGCCAATCGCTTATAGTCAGGCGCCGTGACCCTCTGCAAATCCAGGACAGCCAACAGCATGATCTTGTCCTTTCTATGGTCCCATTTGACAGGAGAACGTCTGTTGCTTTTAATCGGCGTCGCATCCTTGGCTGCTTTTGGTGTCTTCTTTTTCGCCGCAGCCTTTTCGGCCTTCTTCTGGTTTGTTCTGGCCATGGATAATTCGAACTGGGGAAGCTAAGGCATCTAGATGAGGGATCGAGGTATTAACAGGAGGAAATGCAATGGCAATGATACCGGGGGATTAAGCACGATAAGTCTTGTCCCGAGTACTTATAGAGAAGTGCCGGAGAGGTAAACCCATTAAGCGACAATTGAAACCAACGGATCATATCGAAGAAAAAGAAATGCAGAGTAAGTTAACGTATCACAGTGAGTTCCAAGGCGACTGAGGAATCAGATTGCGGTGCTTCAGGGATTGTGCGTAGGTTACAGGTTAAGCAAGAAGAGCGACGGAATTTCGGATGCAGCATTTCTGAGCATCAAGATAGCGACAAGATGCGTAATAGCAGTAAATATGCAGTCATGGCTATAAGTAGGCATTAATTATTATAGTGTATTTATCCTACGGAGATTATTTAATATTGAAGAAAAAGAGCACAGAAGAAAGTGGGAGAAAATTCTGCGGGCTGCATTTCTGAGCTATCATATGCCAGCAAGTCCAGTTCAAAAACACTACTAATAGGATCATCACAACTAGACAGCTCTATTTCTGACAATCATAAATTTCAATCGGATGTACTCCGTAGGATTGATTTTTTCCATTTGTATAGACAAAATCCCTGCATCTGACGAGTTCTTTTCTTTGACGCGGCGCTTTGTCGGCGACAAACAGGACAATGGGCGGGACTGCAGATTCTTCAACGACGAATATGGAGGATCGGATGGAGGATTTCAAGAGATTAAAGACTATGTAGATAAAAGAATAATTAGCCATTGAAACACAGACAAGGAATGGGGATGTGCTTTTCCAACCAGGATATTCTTCATCAGTATCAGACTGCAAGAGATGAGGGCAAGAAGATCCACGTGATGTGGGATGAGATGCCGAATCTTTTTTCTCCTCCAAAGTGCAGTTGTGGATATTTCTGTTTCACTTGCTTTTGGCCATCAAAGGATTTGTTTATGGTTATATGCAAGATTGCTTTGTTTTGTGGGTGTTTCTTTGTTGGGACTTGGGAGGCTGCAGGACGACTTCTGGATAGCGTCATTAGACAAACCCCCGCTTTGGATGGGAGATGTGGATAGGGAGTAAATGTTCTCTTTACCATCGTGGACATATTCTTTATTTCAATTATTTGGGTAATTTCTTTGTTCTGTATGGACTGTCCGCTGGGTGTGCTGGCTCTGCTTGGATTATATATTCTGACCATCTGTGCAAGGAAGTGCACACTTTTCCATCAATCTTAAGATACTAGAATCTCTGCACTTTCTAGCATTATCCTCCTCCTATCCCATTTGTCCATCATTATCTCCTCTCATCCACCATGACCACTGGTCTCCGACGAAGCAAGGCCATGCCTACAGATGGCCCAACGGCCAAGTTCCTCTATACCATCATCAAGCAGTTGGACCTCAAATCAGCAAGTACAGCAACAAACCACCAAGATAGATACTAACACACCATCAATAGATCGACTGGAACCTCGTCGCCGCGCAGCTCGAAATCTCCAACGGCCACGCAGCTCGTATGCGTTTCTCCCGCTTCAAGCAGCAGATGGAGGGCACCACATCGACACCACGAGCATCGCGGCCCAAGAAGTCATCGAATGCGAATAAGGGCGAGAAGGGAAGTGCCAGTTCCAAGTCGGATTTCCAAAAGGGCACAACAGCTTCTTCTTCCTCATCTCCGCAACCGATCGTCAAACAAGAACCTGGCGTCCTGCCTTACGACCCGGCGAATGGCCACATCAAACCCGATCCGTATATGCAAAAATTGCCCGATCTTGCAGATATTCCCCATGCTACGACGTCACAGATGATGCCAGCGCATACGGTGCCATCGGGCATGCCGTATCCATCGTTGACGGTGGCTCCGGGAGATTTGATGCATTCGCCTGTTCCGAGCATGGCGTCGTCTACGTCTACGTCTACGTCTTACGGATTGCCTCATGTCTGGGGAGGTGTCAAGTTTGAGCCACAAGATGCAGACAGATTGAACGATGGGACGGTAAAGATGGAGATGCCACAGGGCCCGTAGGACAGGAATGATTTTTGGGTATTTGGAGTTGTGGTGGGTTGATTTATTATGGTTGTTGCGATGGGCTATTGTAGTTGATACTAGTTGGATTTTTCAGTATTGGTCTATTTCTACGATATAGAAGATATGGTCATCATTTGTTCTTTGATTATTCTATTATAGAGATTTCATTATACTCAGTTTAATCACACTTCATCCTCACTTCATCTGGCACATCTCCAGCCCTTTTGATGGCCTTCACCCTCTCTCTGATCTTCTCGCCATCGCCATGACAATCTGAATCCCCTCACTTCCACTGCACCAGTTCATGGAAAACCCCTCAGCTGAGCAGATTAAGCGGGTCTGAAGCCACGCCGAAAAACAATTTTGATGAATTTTTTTCTCTGTCCTGGTGACCTCTTGTTGTCCCACGCATCTCTTTTTTTCTCTCTCCCACTTCCTCCCCTCTTTCTTTCCCTGCACCCATCTCCATCTTCCTTCTATTGTAATTCATACACTCCCATCTACATCTACTCCACTTGCCATCCTCAAGTCTACTACTCTCAACAGTAAGTATTAAATGTTCTTCATTTCATCACAATCAGTATACTAATTTCCAGCCGACAAAATGTCGACCAAATCCAACCCCGAAAAGACCAAGTCTAACCCGGAGGTCGACATCTCTTCCAGTGACATGGCTTTCCTCTTCGAGTGTCTTAGAAACCTCGATGAATCCAAGAATGTAAGACTCCTCTCATACCCTGCTGTACCAAGTATGCTAACTCTGCCAGGTGGACCTCGTCAATGTCGCAGACATCATGGGTTACACCAACGTCCAGTCCGTTGGCAACCGTTTTCGTAACTTGCGGAAGAAACACGGCATCAATCTCGACTGCAAGAGCGGTGGTACTGTCAAGGGCAAAGGTGCTGCCAAAGACACCAAGTCTGATGATACTGCCCCCGCCCCCGCCCCTGCTACCAAGACCAGAAAGGGCTCCAAAGCCAAAGCCGCCGAAGAGGCTGATGACGCCGAAGAAACCCCGGCTGCTTCTGGCGTTGACTCTCCCAAAGTCGTCTTGTCCCCTGCGAAAAAGACTCGTGCTCGCAAAGGAGCCAAAGTCTCTGCGAAGCCCATTCCTGCCACTGGACCCGTGAACAAGATCAAGGATTCTGGAAATACTTCCAACGGTATGTACAAGAAGAAGTCCTCGTATGTGGCCAACACCAAGGTCAAGCGCACCAGCAATTGGGGCGTGAATCTATTCAGGCAGACAGAGATTGCCATCATGCAGGAAGAGGCGCTGCTGGCTGAAGTCATGATGTTCTCTAATTGCGAGGCTTGTCTTATCGAATCGCTCGCTGACTTGTGAAATGTCCAGATGAGTAGATGTTCGTCGTTTCTAACAAAGAGGAGAGGTGTATCTAACGGCTTGCGGCCAGTATCATATCCTTTTGCTTGACCTTCTCGATCTCAAATGGAGGTGATTTGGTGCTGAATTGGGCGGTTCTTGTCTTCTTTCTGGGCTGTGTAGAATAGACTCCACAATCGAATACACTGATTGCTTTATCCAAATCTCATCTTCATCTTCATCTTCGTAAAATAAAGTAACAGTCAGTCTTGAGCTCGACATCTGCATTCCTTTGTCTATCCAAAAACTATCACCTTTGTATCCGTCCCCAAACATATTCCCTTCACTTCCATCTGCGCCATTCATCCTTTGTCTCTGCCACACCCAGTAAAGAAACACTGATCTTCCACCAGACCACCAAAAGAAAAAGTGAATTTCCCTCTGATTCACACCTTCACCTCATCTGACGAGACGTTTTATCTCTTCGACCCCTAATCCTGGACTCATATCCCCCTTTCTCTTCCTACGTTGTGTTGCAGTCTCCAGGTCGACCTGATCTAATCTGCTCAGGCTGAAATATCCCTTGATTTTTCTGGTTCGCTTCTTCTCTTCTACAGCTCACTCATCTTGACTCTATTTATTTCCTTCTCTGCCCTTTTTATTCCTCTCATAAATACTCCCTCTCCATCCCAGCTTCTTATCTCAAGGGCTCTTTTCTCTCCCATATCACCAACTACCAACAACACACCATGTCTCGCATCACCAGCGACGAACAGTTCCAGTTTCTGATCAGCTGTATCCGGTTCTCGAACGGTGGCAAGGTAAGCTAAGGTTCCCCCAAACGAATCGTAGGACTCAGACAGCTCCTTTCTAACATCCTCGCAGGTCGATTTCGCCGAAGTCGCAAAGGAATGCAACATCGTCACCAAAGGAGCTGCGTATGCATTACCCTTACTTTCCTTTCCACGGCACAGTATACTAACTACCCCAGCGCAAAACGCTACGAACGCCTCATGAAAACCCACGGAATCAACCCCAATGGCGGCGGCCCTGCCTCGCCTGCTACCCCATCCACGACCGCGACAACCACCGGCGACACCGACTCACCCAGCAAACCAAAAACGACCAAAGCCAAAACCGGCACGAAGCGCAAGGCGCCCGCGACTACCGCCAAGGGATCCGGTCCCAAACGGGCGAAGATGAAGAATGCTATCGTTGACATTGCGGAAAAGCTGGTGGGGCAGAATGGTGACCAGCATATCAAGGAGGAAGATGTCGGTTCGGGTGTCGATACGGAGACGGAGGATGTCGGTGGGGATGAGGCTTTGTTTAATCGGTTTTGTAACGCGGATGGAACTGCTGGGGATGATGCTTTGGTTAAGAATGAGGATGATGCCTAACTAGCTTGTTTTTTTCAGTGTATTGGATGGCTCGCGCGATGGGTTTCTTGTGGACTCTGATCTGGATATCGGGGTTATTGTTATGCCATGGTTGGCTTTGTTTATTACGGTGCCTTCGTGATGGGAGCTGGGATTTGCAGGTTGCTAGGGCTTTCGGTTAGGAGGTTTGCATATTCATTGTCCGGTACTTAGGTATCAGGGTTGGCTTTTGTGTTTACATTCAACAAGTCAAATGAAAATTCCATGCACATAATTGACATGACATAGAATCGAAAAAGTATCCAAATTTTGATCGGGTATCTAAGCGAGTGTTATTTAACAAAACATTTTTGCAACTTTCCACAAAGACATTGAAATATACACTAATGACAGGTGGGTAACGCTCATGGGGTATCTGTAAAGGAAGACTATGAAACCAAAAAAAAAAAAACAGCAATAGGTATCATCATCTGCACTTCACATTTCCAAAAACAGATCATCAATATGTCCAGGACCGGCATGGGCGGAGAATGTAGAAAAGTAAAATATATGCTGCAGACAACTGATCATATGTCTGCCATGACAGATTCAAGAATCTTGCGTTTGTATTGTGACAAGGAACGGTCTTTCTTTTGCATTTGAGCTCGGAGTTTCAGGTATCGCTGTTTCCACGTTGTCTCGGATACAGTGCTGTCTGCCCCATCATCTTCGAATTCAGCATCGGTCAGCCCGTCAGATTCTTCAATGCTGTTGTTGAATGAATCGTTCTTGAATGCATCATCAGACTTGATATTCGAATTTCCAACCTCAAGATCACTGCAAGTAACCTTTGTTGAAATGCAAGAACCGGTTTTATATTCATGAGATACGGTATAAACAGCACTTCCGGAAGCACCAGATCCGTCGAAAGTGGCCACAGAGGGCGCTCTGGCATGAATAACCATTGAGCTCGGGATGCTCTCCGTAATACCGAAATGATGCCCTAGTCCGAGGTGAATGGATAACATTATAGTCGGTGACACAGCGGGATGCTGAGAGTACGAGGTACTCAGCTTCTGCACAATAGAAACGGCTAGACTGCGTGCTTCCTCAGCACTCAGGGGTAATACTCGCCCGACAAGTCTTGCGTGAACCAATTCAGTCGACAGCACACGGATTACGTCTTCAGTTGTGATGTTCAATCCAGATTGGGTGCTTTGGTGATTCCCATTAGAAGAGTTAGAAGACCCGATTGGGATGCGAGACGGTTCGTTTGGTCCATCATTCGGCTTGCTGGACCCGTGTGACTGTGTAGAGGTGACTCCATTTACAAGCAAAGTAGGTGGTGTTGCAAGACGTACGGGGCCACCGGGATGCTGAGGGACCTGTAATTGAAGCTTACTAGGCCTGCCGTTTGGTTGCGCAAATGGTGTCGGCGACTGGTTGTACTGTGGATTCGAAAGATGAGTGGGGGTGTCCTGTCCAATCACAATAGCAGGAGAAGACCGAGGGCCGGGGTTTTGAACTTGAGGTGATTCAATGCGCCCTGGGTTAACAGGAAAGGTTGAGAATGGACCGGAAACAGTGCCCTTGCTTGGCGGTCTTCCTCGTGTCTTGCCTGTGGATAAGCCATTGCTACTGGGCCAGGCAGATGATACCGCAGGACCATGTCTTCTCCTCGATCGTGCCTTTTCCCCAGAAGATGGTGTAACTGCTGACCGTGGCTCTGCAGATAGAAATATATCTGATGGGTGGTGACCTCTCGGGATGATGGCAGACTGTGGATATCCAGCAGGTGAAGCATCTCTCTCCAGAGGTCTCCACCGAAGATCCTGGCCTTGTTGAGCAGCCCCAGCCTCAGAAGCACCATCTGCAGGAAACGAGGATGCCGCAGTCATCCATGGATCGTTTGATTCCATATCATCGGGAAATGCACTAAAAGGGATGGCACTCTGAGGGAATGTTGCAGAGTGAGTAGGAAAGGAACCGGTAGACAAGGTGCCGACGGAAGTATCCAATTGAGGTCGTTTGACTGGCTTTCCTTCGTCACTTTCTTTGTCTTCAGCACGTTTCCTCCCACGCTTGGGCTTCCATTGTGGAACAAGGGCTCGCAGAGCCAGGTCTTCTTCCAGTGGAACCCCATCGCGGCTTTCACTGACAAGGGTGCTGGCCGGGGGGAGTTGTGTGTAGTACGGATGCGGATGACCGAGGCAATATTCAAAAAATGCATCGACATGCATTGCACGCATCCAACGCTGTAATATGTTAGATTGGTGTCAGGAAAGCAGATAAATAAAAGACAAACCTTGAGTCGAACAGTGTACTGCTGGACCTTCTGTGTACTCTGTTTCTTTTCAAAAGAAGGAGGCTCAACACCTAGCTCAATAGCCAGCTGAATCCATGTTTTCAGGTCTTTATTGTCAAGCCTGCGAATCAGTTCCCAGAGGTTGAAGATGCTAAAACTCTTGCCATCACTCCGTGGAGGCGACCGGAACGTCTTTCGCAACTCAGTTGTATCCACAGATAGAGGAACACCCGGGTTGCAGTAAAGGATGAAGTTGATATAGGCCTCGTCAATTGATTCATCCGTCACATCACGGGATGGAAGGGTGCGAGACTCGCCCCGGTCCATCGAGTCCCTCGCCGGCCTTTGACGAAGCGGATCAAACACTGGAGGTGACATCGATGGCCCTGAACGTACCGTAGACGCCGGAGGGATCACCGATCGTGGGGCTGCTGGCGAAGATTGCAGACTGCGGGGGGTCTCTTTGCGATGGAGGGGAGGAGACCTGGAAGCAGGTATTCGGCTGCGAGCACTACCCATCGAAGAAGCACTATGCAGTGCCGGCTCCAGAGGATACCTGGCATACTGCTGAATGACCATTTGAGCGCCTCCCAGGTCACCCCGGCCCGACTGACTCATGACAGAAGGAAAGGAGTTCTCCATTGCTGAAATGCCTCCAAAAACAGGCCCGGACTGTGGAAACCGAAAGCCAAACCAAAACGTTACGCGTAGTCAAACAAACAATAATCATTGGGTATCATAGATATCTGTTGAAAAGAATAAGATGAAAGTCGTGGCCGCTCAAACGCATCAACTGGGTACAAGTAACTATCGACAAAGCTATCGGTAAGAAATATGATGGAAATAGGGGCCAGCCCGATCGAGCGCATAAATTGATAGTAGTATATGTATATACTGGGAATCAATGGACAAATCACCACACACAATCCATGGTAATAAGAACGGGAAAATTGAGCTTAAATCGCCAGGGACATGGCCATCATCTCCGTGATAATTGATGAAGAACGAGAGATGAAGAGGTGGGAAAGTGGCTGGAAGGACGGCGCGTCTAAAGAAGGCCGACGATAGGAAAGCTGACCGTTTCTATTTTGGGTCATCGTCTTTTCCTGTTAGGGTTTAGCGCGGCGGCCTCAGGGCGGGGGAGTTGGTGCCTTAGTAGCCTGAGGCCTTGGCGTAGTCACATGCACGCTAACCCAAACTGGCGGGTATCTGCCTTGTTTCTCCGGCGGAAATCAGGCCACACTAGACCCAGTGCGGGTAGAGTTGCTCTTATCGATAACCTCTCCGTACGGCAGCGTCGACCCAGTCCCATCATCATCATCAGTGTTCATCACCACGGAGGGCATTGTGCGGTTCTCTCTTCTCTCACCTGAATACTCTGTGTCGTTGCTTCTGCTTGCATGGGTACTGATTGCAGGGGTTTGCTTTGCTCAGGCTGCCACGCTTACTGATCATGTGTATTTTACCTCCTACTTTGCCCCCTCTCTAACCCCAGGCGAATTTACCGCCATGGCGCCTTCACAGCGGTCCTCAAGAGCATCTCACCCTGTTCGTTCTAGTCGCACAAAAGTTCAATCATATCATGAAGATAGCAGCTCGGAAGACCATCCTAATGACAGCGAATCTGACGAGGGGCATTCCAGACGACTGTCGTTATCCTTGCGCCCGCGCAGCTCAAACCGTATGCCGCCAACGTACCGCGAGGAATCGACTGATGGCGAGGTTAACGAAGAGCCCTTGGATGAAGATGATGAAAATATCACTGTACCTACCGAACAAGAACCTCATCACGCACAGGCATTCCCCGAACCAAGTAACAGTCGCCGCGTACCACCTCGGGCTCGGCGCAACCGGACAGTCAAGACTAGATCCCAAACCAAACGCTCGAAGAGATCATTGAATAAGTCACATTTAGAATTGGGAAGACCACTCAGCAAGCGCAAGAAGGTTGAAGTGGTTGAAACGACATTTGTTGGTTCTGGTGTGATACCTCCATGGCAAGACCTCCCCTATCACATCCTGTTCGATATATTCCTCCGCGCATCACACCCCCTAGTCGACGAAGAAACTTTCAGCCGACATAGTTCAGTCCAGTGGCTTGTGAGCGTTGCTTTGATTTGCCGATCTTTCCATGAGCCTGCGCTGGCCGCTCTCTACCGTTGCCCGCCACTGATCCCAATCACTAAATCTCACGGATTGTTGAACTTGCTGTCCCAGCCCCCAGAAACCTTGTCGACCAACTACGCAAACAAAATCAAGGAGCTCCACGTTGATGTAGAGAACCTTCTCCTTTACAAAGGTGGGCCTCTGGGTTATTTTGAATTGTCTAGGCTGGTGGAAAGGAGCCCACAAGTCAAAAGAATGCGACTCTATCACCAGCAGGACTATGTTGCAGGACTTCCACCATGGCAGATTGTCCGTTCAAAGTGGAACTATCCAGAGTCTCTGTTTACTTCAATAAATTCGACTTCGATTGTACTGCGCAGCTGGGATTGGAACAGCCGGTTCATGGACACAAAGCAATTGCTGCCGGTTATTTTGGGAAAACATCTACTGCCTGCTTTCCATGGTCTGCGGGAACTCAGGTTGTTGCATGTGTCATCCGAAGATTTTGAGATCGAGCAAGGTGATGAGGTCTCAAATGAAAGAGAAGTGGTTCTGGCCATGGCCCTCAAGGAACTCCCGGAGCTGCATCGGATTGAATTCTTGGATTGTTCAATTGTCAATGAACACCTTTTGCCTAATTTGCCGTCAACACTTACATCCCTCACCATCAACAACTGCGATGAAGTAACAACATCGAGCCTCGGCGCATTTCTCACTTCCCATGGCCAAACCCTTCGCGAATTGAATTTGAGCCACAACCGTCATCTAAGTATGTCATTCATGGTTACTCTGGGGCAATCTTGCAAGCAGCTCGAAAAGCTCAAGATAGACATCTCAATACACGACTCCTCCCCTTATCATGATGTTGAGCCCCATTTTGGAGAGCTCATTGGTTCTTCAGAGATCCCAACCTGGCCGGCCACGCTGCAGGATATCGAGCTGATCCAACTTCGCAAATGGGATGACACCACTGCAGAGGTTTTCTTCACATCTCTGATGGATGCAGCATCTGAGCTGCGTGACTTGCGACGGCTTGTAATTAGTGCAATACTGAAGATTGGGTGGCGGGATCGTGCAACCTTTCGAGAAAAGTGGATTGGGAGACTGGAGAAGGTATTCCTGCGGCGGACCACACCCCCCGACTCAACCCTCTTCACTATACCGCGCGATCCACCGCAACCGGAGCCTGATCCCTTGGAAGCAGCAGAAAAAACGATCGCAGAAGATACTGCTCAGTCTGATGCACAGCATAGTGGTCCATCTACTCCATCAAAACGTAAAAGTGCTCGCATTGCCCAACGCAAATTCTCAGAAGTGGAGGATGATTCGTATCTTAGCGCATCATCGAGCCGAGCACCAAATGGCGATGACGCTGATAAACAGGCTCTTACTATCCAGGGCATGTGTGATGTCGTGATGATTCGAATTGACAACCAACGCCCGACCGAAACGCAATTCAACGAGCAAGACTTTCTTGACGAAGAAGCTAGCGGTGATGAAGACTGGGACGGAAACGATTGGGACGTTGCAGATGGAGGTCATGCATGGTAGCGGTAAGATTATGTCGACATGAGCTTCTCTCTTGTCGAATCCTATTTTATGTCCACTTACGAACTGTTGTGTTGTATCTTGGTATGATTTCTTTTCTAATCGATTCCTGGTGGTTTGGTGTCTTTGGAAGGTTTGCATTGTGTGAATACCCGAGGCTTTGGGGTGGTTAGAATGGAGTTTGGGTTCTTTCGATTCAATAATCAGTCTTGGGAGATAGGGATGGTATGGGATCTGATCTGCTGGACGGATATGGTTTTGGCGATTTCTGTTGTTGCCCTGTGTTTACATTCGAACATGTTTGCATCGGAATAGGACTTGAATCCAAAGTGCTGACTGGAAAGCCTGACAGAGAATCATAGGGGTTCAGTTCATTACGAGTAGACAGGTGTTGATGATGGTAAAATGTCTTAAAACTGTTTTCATTTGTATTCATGAAGTAATATCTAGGTCTAGGAGCCTTCATTGCCCCTAGCCAAATACCACCACGTCATCACAGGCGTACCACATTCACGAGTCTGACTATCCTCATTAGCTAACATTATTCCGACATATTCAGATAGCTATAGTGGCTTACAATCGATTACTCCTGGTAGATGAACTCGCCATTCACGTTGATGATCCGCTCGGACAGATTGAGGTCCGAGTCAGACATCTCGCCCTCAGAATTCGACAGCTTACCACGGAGGACGGGAACCTCACCATCTCCCTCGATGGCAAATTCGACATCTTCTGCTGATTCGGAGAAGCTGCCACCATCCCAGACAAAGCTGCCTATAAAGTACAATCATCAGTCAGAGAATCATCCTTAAGATTCAATCCGTAGCATACCCTCATCGTTTCCAATGTGTTCGTCCAGGTCAATATCGGCGTCAACAAACTCGCCCTCCTCATTCTGGAGACGGGCAACAAGAATGTGGTTATCACGGATTTCGATGTCCTCGGCGGTCAAGTGGAAACTCATGGTGAATGGTTGCGATGGGTGTTTTCTTCGGGAAAGAAGGATGTGTGTTGATGGAAGTGATGAAAAAGAAATCGAAACAGGAGCATCAGCATCCTTTATATACCTTCACCATTCTCCATGGGTGGAGTTCTCTGGCAGACACTCCTAGGTACTCATGCTACCACTTGGCCATAATTCATTTGTTCACCTGTAACCTGTGAAGCATGCCGCGGCAGTGGGCATTATTGACCCCTGGCCCATAATGCAACATCACCTAGAAGGGATTCAAGATAGCACGGTGATCCGTTTTCACCAGGCAGCCATCGATATTGCTCGATGCTTGGAGGGATTAGATACCTGGAGAGGGGCAGAGGGGCGATGTTTGGCCCTGGCAGAGGTGGTGGTGGTGATTTCCCCCACTGATGCTTGGCAAACACTGACACTTCAGCAGCTCAAGTGGGACTTGGAGGGGTCATTCTCCGACTCTCGTCAGCGGTTAAGGATGCGTCAACGGCCAGGGTCCCTATTTTCTACCGTGCTCTAAGATGATTAGGAGGGGCCAGTGTCAACCCCCTGCTCCTCATCATCCCGGTGAAATACCGCATGTCATCTTGGGGTGCAATTGCGATACTGATCATCCCGCTTCCAGCGCGTCATAACCGCCCGCCAAACACGACACGCCAAGCAGAAAGGCACGGCGAATGGCATCATAAGGCTGAATCACGCTGATATTTCCAGACTGTGGAGTGTCTTGACTTGTGGCTTGGTTCTTGGTGACAGGCCTTAGAGGGCTGAGCAGCTGAGGACATGGGGCCAAGATACCCCACATCATGGAATCAGAATGTTGATGCCTTGAAAAAGAAAACATCGAGATGGTGGTCTGAAGGCGGAATATTCTGGGCATTGATTATTCTCTTGTCATTGCAAAGAAGCAACATGGCTTTTGCTGTGGCTGTCACTATTCCTAACGATACCCCACCTCCCCACGTTGCCGACTCTCCAGCTGTCAATAATGCCCAGTTCGATTCAACCAGCCATACCCAATTGGTTTTGCTATTGCAGGGCGCAAAGGAAACATTTTTCAAATGGCCATTTTCGTTGGAATCCGGAGACTTCCGGGTTTTCTTCTCGCCTGGTTTCGTCTAGGATCATCGGACATAGCGAGACGCGAAACAGCATAGTCATAATAGCTGCACCGCCTCATTGCAAGGATCGTAGGGCTCAATGGTTTGTCTGTGCTCACCTCAACCCTATGGGGCTTTTCTAAGCTTGGTGTCTTCTGCTAATAATAAATGTTTCGTGTAGAGTGTCCGGTTCAGACGATCTGACAAGCTAGCTCGCCGACAACACTTCTCGCCGCCCACGAGGATTGATATACCGTTGGCATAATGGAGAAACGTTCCACATAACCAATGCAATATGCCTGACATCGAGATCGATACTGTGAGGGTTGCATTCTGACACGTATCAAACCCTTGCCTTATGGGACGATCACTTTATCCAAACCGTGGCTGACTGAATTTCGGCACCACAGAAACCAAGTGCCCTCCGTCTCAAGCGAGACTTGTTCGAGGACCATCTCCCATTATCAGATATAACGTCTTGTATGGTCTTGGCACTGCGCGACAGTCCGCATCTGATTCCATGATATGTCACCGCACTAAGATCGGTGATGAGATAAATATTAATTCCTAAAGTGCTTGTTTGTTTTGAATTCTTTTGAATTCTCATTGGGGTAGAGAGGTCAATGATGAATGGCCTTTTACTCGCCCAATTTGGAATAATCCCTTCGGGAGCCAGGCGTCGAGTTGTGATCAGACTGTCAAAGATGAACAAAATAATTGTGCAATCTCATACTCAATTTACTGCTCTAACCCTTTTTCTCAAGTCTCAGAAAGTTGACAGTAGAAATCGTGACGCAATTTCCCAACTACCGCATTGATTGTGCTGGCTTTCTGGTGGTTGATATCGCGGTACCGCTGCTGGAGTACCTATTCGATGCTCAGGCATAACCCTACACCGTTGACACTCACCCAAGGGCTGTCAAGACACGCATGGTGAACAATCATGAAGCATTCTCCCTGTGGTCTTTTGGAAACTGTCAAAGTATCGATGTTTTCAAAAGACCTTCAGCATTCTGGCGTCATGGCTTTGATAGACCCGTGGAGCGACAAACTCAAGCTTTACAGACGACTGCAAAACTTCATGTCGTCGCTGCCATTGATCGAGGGGTATATAGGAGCAATCCATAGTTTGGCATACAATAAAATCCGGCATGTGTTATATGCCATAGACAAATTGGTCATTGTGCGCGAACAAGTGCTCCTGAATCCCACTTAAGCCACAATATGAAATGATTCAAGTTTGAGGCTCCTGGGATTGTCCATACAGAACATGATCATGTTGAAATCTGAGAACATGAATCATTTATTCAACAGCCAGAATATTGGAATCTTCACGGGTAGTTGAAATAAACGAATGTTTATCTACGCTGGGGAAACCCACTATCGGCTTATCCCACCGGTTTCCACTTGATGGATCACCGATCGCCCAGCATTAATCGGATTCGGTTGCCAGCCGATGATCATGATCGCTCGTGTTTATTCGCTGGAGATACTGGGATTACGCCCCTGGATTCTACAGTACACAGTGCATAAAGGCAACTGCTTGGCGAACGATCATTCGCGGATATATCTGCCGTTCTGCAACTGTCGTCTTGAACTGGTAGTGCCATAGCGGAGTTGTCGTCATCGGATCTCCGCTCTAGGGGGGCTGCGGGTGCGTTCACGCTCCCACTGCCTTGGATTTGGACTCGAGCTTCAACTGCCATCGTCGTTATTTTATCCTAGGGTCATCTTATCTTTATGCACAGTTTCAACCGTATCTGATTGTTTCATAAACGCAACTGGGATTACTGTTTCGCCATTTCAACGGCTGTTGGCCCACAGTCGCGACTCGCGACAAACCACAATATCACTCACTATCTGGAACTGGGTCCATATCATCCTGGCAGCTTGGCCATAATCTGTCCAACTTCCGGCCCTGACGGAGGTTTACCGCGATTTTGGCCTACCGTTAGTGCTAATGGGTGGTTTGCTTGATCACTAGCCTTCCCTAGCGAATGATTCAGGGAATCTGATTGATTATTTTCCACATCCGAACAAGGTGAGTCGAGCCTGGAGGGGTGAGTTTCGGGAAGGCGAAAAAAAAATTAATGACCATTTAGTTAGGCGATCATCAAGTTAGCCCATCCTGTTTCCAACACGGACTTGTTTTGTCTTTTCACTACTTAATTCACGATTTAAATAAGAATACACGTACTAATAAGAATAATAGCTTTCTGACGGTCTTTGCGATTATCCTGGATCTATACCCCCGCACACAACCATGACCGAACGTGCAGTGCGAAAATCCACATCCCCGGGCGAGGGCAGCAAACTACCCCGGTCTCCTAGGTCGTCGCCGCGCTCAGTACCACGGTCTGCGACAGGATCCCCTCGACAGCGACAGCAGCAGGGTCACCAAGAAGAACAGGAAGATGATTATGCTGACAATGTATGAATATCCCGTCAATTCGCGATTGGTTTACTTGCCACTATTTCAAGCGAACTGACTTCCATATGCTTAGGGAGAGCCAGAAGATGGCGGGGATTCGGATTATGCAGAAGACTTGTGAGAAGCGACCTATCTTTGTTGATCGATATCGAACCCCGTTTTAACCTGGCCTGCGACTGTTAGTTTGAGCGACACCACCTCGATTAATTCGGAGATCACGGCGTATCGGTTTGAAAATGGTCGGCGATACCACGCATACAAGGACGGGGCCTACTGGTAATAGTTTCATCTCCAAGGCCGTCCGTAGGACACTAGACTGACTCTATCTAGGGGCCCGAATGATGAACAACAAAATGAACAACTGGACCTTGCGTATGGTTGATGGCGTGTTATTGTTGATGTGAAACTGACGGTTCCAGACACCACATGTTCACCATCCTCCTCGGAAACAGATTGGTGCTGGCACCAATCAGTGACAACATCCAGGTTAGTATACAACGAGATGAGGAGTAACGTCGAGGTCCGAGCGCCTGCTCATCGATTACTCCCAGAACGTTCTTGATGTCGGCACCGGTACCGGAATCTGGGCCATGTATGTAAGAAAGAAGCCGCTATCTTTCCAGTCCGGTATAACTGACAGCACACAGAGACTTTGCGGATGAATACCCCTCTGCTGAGGTCATCGGGTCCGATCTATCACCAATCCAACCGAGCTTTGTCCCACCTAATCTAAAATTCGAGATTGACGATGCAGAAGAGGTCTGGCTACATCCCGTGAATCACTTTGATCTGGTTCATGTTCGCGCGATGTATGGGGCAATTGCGGACTGGCCAGCATTTTATCGCAATGCGCTCAGGTAATACCTTTTTCGAGTCGAACGAGTGAATGGCTGACGATGATAGACACATCCGACCTGGTGGATGGATCGACCAACTAGAGATGTCTATTGAATTTCGATCGGACGATGGTACAGTGACAGACGATCATGTGCTATCGGTGTGGTCCAAGACATTTATTGAAGCTGGAGAACGGTTTGGCAAGACCTTCCGCACGGCCGATCTCGCCAAGGGATACATGCAAGAGGCAGGCTTTCAGAACGTTACTGAAGAAAGATTCAAGCTACCAGTTGGACCATGGAGCAAGGACCGACGACTGAAGAAACTCGGGATGTGGAATCTGACACACTGCGAAGCGGGAATTGAAGGATGGGCCATGGCGCTGCTGACACGGATCATGGGGGTGAGCTTCCGGACCTCCATTACTTTGTGTAACAATACTGATGTGCAACAGTGGAGTTATGACGAAGTGCAAGTCTTTCTCGCCCAGATGCGACAAGGACTGCGGGATCCGAATGTCCATGCCTATTTCTATGTGTAAGTATACCATACTCACCTTGGACGCGTGCTAACCTGCCTTTTACAACAGAGTGGGAGTGTATGGCCAAAAGCTATGACCTCTTCAACTAAAGCCTAAAGCGTCAGAGAAGCAGGGATATATGTCTAGTTTTGTTAGTGTGTGACTAGTTATTTTAGCCTGGTAGAGGATGTCTGTTATTGGGTGTTGTTTCAGCAGCGTTCAGCAGTGTTGATACAAAGTCATATCCTAATAACTGCCACCAAGCAGTCAAATTCTCCATAATTACCCTCACATCCCCCATCTCCAACCCGATATGTCTCATAGACCCCTCCCTGCCCCCATAAATAGCCCTAAATCTCCCCAAAAACAAAGCCATCGTGTCTGGCAGCGCAGAAAAATGCCCATCCAAAGCGACAGACGTAAAAGACACGCTCTGGTCCCGTAAAAACTGCGCTATCTTCTCCTTTCGCTGGGGAAGTAGCAATTTCGTCCCCTCGGCTGAGAGACAATAATCGGCGATGATATCCTCATCAGACACTCCCAGGATGAGGAGGCGACGGCGATGAAGACATCTGTGCGGTCTTTGCCTAGTTCGCAGTTCACCAAAAACGAGGAGCAGGGATGGTCTCTGATATAGGTGAATAGGGAATGGAAAGCGGTTATAGAGTGGGAAGAGATGAGAAGGTAGAGATCCGCACATGCACTGGGGACATCGATGGTGAGGTTATTGAAATATTGCTGTAGATGACCGTCTTGGAATGTATCCATTGCGGGTGTGTTGAAGGTGGGGATTAACTAAGTTATCCACGTAAGGGTCAAGAATGGCTGTATACATCTGACAATGTCGACTGACACTCTGCATAATCACGTCTACTTGTGCAGTGTGTATATACCATCCAGCAAAATCGAGAAAATCCCCTTTCTCACCGCTCGCTTTCATCCAGGTTCTCAGTCTTCTCCTTCAAAGACCGAAACAACTCCTCCACCTCGACAGCATCCTCACCCTCCACCTGGCCGTATTTATTGCAAGTTATCTGTCTCTGGCGATCATCACAGATACATAACGCCTTTATAACCAGCCATGAGCACTTGTTCTTCTGGATGTCAGTGCCTATCTTGCCCGTGCGGGCAGTAGCGCCAAAGACGCCAAGAAAGTCATTCTGGACTTGGTAGAACTGACCCAGAGGGACGATAATATCCTTTGTCTGCTGGACGTTTGTCTCACTGGCGAGACTGAGATACTGTAGACCCAGTAGCACAGAGAGGTAGAAGGAGCAGTAACCTCCTTTCAATAGGATGATTCGCTGATAATCCTCCATCGTCCAGTTCCCAGGGCATTTCTCCTGCGTGGCAAGACCACCACTCTTGCCCCGTCTCTGACAGAAAGGCAATTTCCTGAAAACTCTCCAGCATAGACAGATACGAGGGATAAGTTCCGAAATGCTTCTTGAACAAGATGAAGATGGCCGATTTGAGCAGACAAGCCTCGTTGATGGCATTCATCCCTACCTCGGGACGGAGATACCAGCAAGGCTGCCCACGACAAGTAGTCGATCCATCCATGATATCATCCAGAAAGAGCACATAGACCTGCAGCATTTCAACTAGCCAGCCGAGGACACTCAAATGGTAGAACTCTTCTACGGTGAGGGGTCTGTCGAGGCCGCAGAAGAGTTTGCCGCTGGGAACGTTGATGTGAGAAGACAATATCTCAGCGAATAACATCGAATAGCATCGCCTGTGCTCTGGTATGGCTCTGTGTGGTTCGGGTCAGAGCCAAGGCGCAGACTTTGGCTGTATGGCAGAAAGAGACCACTTTGGTCACCATCATCGATACCAGGCAGTCTGTATTCCCAGACGTGATACCCTCAGATTACCTCGGAAATGGCGTTGTATTTGCCTCGATATCATACCCATTACCCCTGATGGTAGATGACATCGCCTTGATCCCTGATCTAGCACGTCGTCTACAACAAACACATCAGGAAGCCGACACACAGTACGCAAAGGCCATTGTCGCACAGGTCAATGCCAGTTCCGACTGGGCCTCCTTTGTATCTCAACATCCGGAGATAGCCATTAGTAACACGACTTGCATTTCGGGCCAGACTTGGGCTTCGTTGATCGCTTCGAGTTACACAACCACCGGCTCAGCGGGGGTTGTTGGATTCTGCCGGCTCGTCCTGCTGAGACAGCTTGGGAATTGTGCCCTGCATTGGAAGGAGAGGAGTTTAAATGTCTTGAAGCGGATGGTTTGATTCGGTGGATATCCGGGAGAGAGTCGGGAGATACCAAGCTATGAATTCAGAGTTGACAGTGCTTATCTTACCTCCTAGGCGTATTCTATTTCTAGTGGTATGGATAGAGTCAATCTTACCTGTTTTGGCAGGGATAATCTCCTCATATTATTAGTTACAATGCAGGCCCTCCCCATCATAATTCCGCAGGCAAATAACTTGTTCCCTCTGATGTGCCACCTTCTGCAGACCCCGAATAGTCTTCTGCAGCAACATGGTTTGACGGCGATATCCACTTTATCACATGGAAATGAAATCATCGACAGCGTCAGACGACGTACTTTTTTCACTTTTACCCGTTCGCCTGCGGATCTTCTGCTAATAATGACTCTTCCAGCCGAACTGCTCTGGCGGGGTGTCTTTTCCGATGTGTTTAATTAAGTCAGTCAATCGATTCTTCTCCTTTTCTGTCCGATCCTTCTCAGCCGTTGAATTACATATCAACTGCACGGGGTGGTCCCATTAATTTCATTATTCCCCGTGGACTTGACAGTTGACATTGTGGAGTGAATCCATCATGTCGATCACCGTTGCGACAATGGATTCTTCATCTCATCTTTTGTCGCTGCTGGCTATTTTTCTGGCCTGTGCGACCGTTGTCAACGCTATCTGCGTCGTCTTTTATCGTCTCTTCTTCCATCCTCTGGCTAATATCCCCGGTCCACTCTTTGCCAGAGTGTCGTATTTCTATTCCTTTTGGTATAATCTGCACAGAGGACGGTTTTATCTGCAGGTGCACAAATTACACGAAGAGTATGGTATTTTATTTCAACTTCACCCACAATCATCAAGCCAATTGACCCTCAGTGACTGTCTGACTCCGTCTACAGGCCCTATTATCCGCATCACCCCCAATGAAATCCACCTCAGCGACCCAGACAACTGCGAAAAAATCTACCACGTCGGTTCACGATACGGCAAGAATCCAGGCTTCTACGGCGCATTCGGCACGAAGAAGGCCACTTTCACCACTCCCCATCCAGACGTACACCGAGTGAAGCGATCCGCTCTCAACCCCTTCTTCTCGCGCAAGAGAGTTCTAAATCTAGAGGAGATTGTGCAACAAAAGGCTCGAGGATTGGTATCTCGTATGAGAGCTGCGTTCGAATCAACAGGACGTATCGATCTTCATCATGGATTCCGCGCGATATCCGTCGACGTCATTACGGATTATGCATTTGATCATTCGTATGACTTTTTGAGTCAGGAAAACTTTGGCGTCGAGTTCTTTGATATGATTCGCGATTTTGGGCCGGCGTTTTGGTTCTTTCAGCAGTTTCCTGCTGTGCAGCCTGTTGCGCTGGCTACGCCTTTCTGGGTGGCCAAGTTGGCTAGTGGGGCGTTGACGAGGATGATGATACATCATGAGGTGTGTCTTTTTCTTATCGTGTTGGTAGGGTCTAACAGAAGTAGAACTCTCGAAAGCAGATTCTCCGAGTCAAAGAAGAGGTGGATACGGGGAAGAAGATATCTCGGGCGACTATCTTCCATCAACTTCTGCAGCCGGATGCAGCCGAGGGATATGTTGTTCCCACGGTTGAGGAGCTCAAGGACGAGGCGTACATTCTTGTTGCTGCATCGGCGGATACCACTGGCAATGCGTTGACTATTGCTGCATATAATGTCGTCACCAATCCGAAGATATATGAACGTTTGACGGCAGAGTTGAGAGAAGCGTTTCCTGACTCGGAAGATAATTTGGATTTCACAACGTTGGAGAAGTTGCCATATCTGGTGAGTTTCTTGATATCTACTTGTGGATGTGTGTTAACATTGGCAGACTGCAATCATCAAGGAAGCTCTCCGGTAAGTTCTTCCATGTACGTATCTACGTATGTATGAATCTCACGTAATGTCAGATTATCATGCGGTGTCCCTGGTCGACTTCCACGCGTTGTCCCCGAGTCTGGCGCAGAGTTTAACGGCCACTTTCTTCCTCATGGAGTATGCATCCACGCCCAAGTTAATACTATCATAGCTAACTTGTATAGACCGTTGTCAGCATGAGTTCATGGACAATGCACCACAACGAAGACCTTTTCCCTAACTCTGAAACCTTTGATCCAACCCGCTGGACGGATCCAGCCAAGGCGAAAGCATTGGATAAATATCTATTCTCGTTTGGAAAGGGCTCGAGACAATGTGTTGGCATGCCGTATGTGATGTTCACCACCCGTCAAGGTAATAAGCTAATAATGGTGAAATAGACTTGCGTATTGTGAGCTTTATGTCACGCTCGGTCGGGTGTTTCGAGAATTTGATGACTTGAAGACGAGAAAGAAGGGTGAGGGGGAAATGATATATGATGATTACTTTTCTGCGTATCATCCAGAGAAGTATAATAAGTTTATCTTTGAGAGATCGAGCTGATTGAATTGTCTATTGTTACTGACATGTGGTAATTATAATGAGACCTGACTTAAGATATCCTCTGAATAACCTCTCTCTATCATTAGTAGAACAATGACTAGCCCTCATATTATCCTCAAAACAGAAAACAATGGAACAACAAAGAAGACAAACCCATTATATGATTTCCCATCAGTCGATCAGGATAATCAGTGAACCCAATGAATTTTTTCAAGTCAGACTAAACAAACACTGAGCACATTTCTTCCTCTCCTCTTTTTCACTCGCTCTTCTTTGACTTTTCCTCTTTTCTCCTCTCTTCACCTCCCTCTATCCCTCTGGCTTGACTATTTAATGATTCTCATTTATCTTCTTTCTACGAATAACACAAACACAAAACATCTACAATCTCAACTCAACCCATTCAACAATGCCGATTACTTGGAACGACCAGAACGACGCCAAGGTAAGTAGCTACTTCATTATCTCCACCAACCAGAAAGCTAACACGCCAAAGCTGCTCGTCAGCATTCTCTCCACCACAACCATGAAACCCGATTACAAGGCCATCGCAAAATGCATGGGACCTGGTACATTCCCTCCCCTCCCTACCCGTTTCTGAAGTAAATATACTAACTAGAACAGAATGCACCGTCAGCGCCGTGCAGCACCGCATCCAGCGTCTCAAGGAAAGGGTGCAGATCAATAAACCCGACGCCGACGATGGTGCCGCTTCTCCTTCTCCCTCCACCCCCAAGAAGAGGGGTCGTCCTGCGGGGTCCGGGAAGAAAGGTGGCAAGAAGGCACAGGCGAAGGAAAAAGAACAGGAGCAGGAGCAGGGTGAGCAGGATGATGAGGATATGGGTAGTCCTGAGAAGAAGGCCAAGGTTAAGGATGAGGATGGCGTCGACAAGATGCTTCGTGTTGTTGTTTAGGGGTTCAATTCTTGCGAGTGCAAGTCCTAGTTCAAGGGCAAAGATGACGGTGGTTTTCTTTTCTCGGTGTTATTGTGATTAGGGCTTAGGATTTGATTTGAGGACTCGTTGGGCTAGTTCCCCTCTTGAATGCCGTTGAAGAATTTTTTTTTCTGGAGGATTTTTATTTGATTCGGTGTTTTCTCTCCTGGTCTTATGACTAGCTATCTAGTTGTGGCTATGTCTACGAATACAAGTCAAATTTTTATATTCATTCTACGGTGTTCATTGTAAACATAAACGCGATGCAACAAATCCTTTGTATTCAACCGTTACTATCCTAGTAGGCCATCTGGTTCTTTCTTTTTCAATACAGGCTTACACCTTCAACCAAACCATCTACTCCCCCATATCAAGCGACGAGTCAACAAACCGAAAGAGAGGGACTTTCCAACCATCACATCAAGCTCAAGCAAACAATTCAAAGTCATCCTCACTCTTGATTGCGTCAGGGTAGTACTCTGAGGCAGAGCTTTCAACACCCTCATCTTCTTCAGCATAGTTAACAATGCCAGGGTGAGGGGTGCAGGCCTTGCGAACACGCTTGGTGGGGGTGTCGTTAAGCTGCTCCTGACTCTGAACGAGATCAAGATCATCATCTTCAAGTTTGAGGAACTCGGTCATCATGTTCTCTGTGGAGATGGGAGTTTTCTTTTCGTCTTGGTCGTTATCATCGGTGGCCAGGGGCGTTTTTTCCGTTTCAGTGAACTTGCGTTTGGAAACAGGGGTTTTGGGGGTAGCAGTATTTGGTGTTTTTGGTGTCTTTGGTGTCTTAGGGGTGCGGGACCTGCCAGGCGTTCCAGTTCCCTTGCTGATGGCGAAGTTGCACTCCGCTCCATTCGACTTGACAATCTGGCGCATCTTGGCCAGGCGCTCGGTGATGGCACGTGGGGTGGGCTTTTCCTTTGGATCGGTGCCGGCTGGTTTATGTTAGTTCTGATAAGGGTAGATATATGGGGAGAGACATACGCCATGCCTGGGCTACCTTTTTCGTGTCGACGGAGAGATCATGGGTTTCCAGGATCTTTAGGAGCAACTGAGGTTATGCTGTTAGTATGTATAGCTTAAGGGAGTATTCGTGGTGTACATACAAGCTGATCATTATCAGAAGTCCAACGCATGACTGTGGATGACTTGACTTTTGGTTGAGAGTGTAGTAGGTGATGGTTGATAGATGGAGTAGAGGACCTGAAGAAGAGTAGAAGGTTAAAGAGTGAGCGTTCAGAAAAAGAAGAAAAAGAAGGAGGGAAAAAGAGGAAGAAGAGAAATTGGCTGGAATTGCTTGACGCTCAGAAATTTCTTAAAAGGAACACTGGGAGGACTCCAGTTCCCCTCCCTCATTCACCTGTCTCTTCTTCACCACGACAGTCCATTTTTCTCTCTATTCAATACTATGTGATACTTCAAGTCTGGCTTTTGACTCACTGCCCCTCTTTTGCTTAGATACTGTGTTGGATCCCTTTTTGGTGTTCTCTTTCTGTATTTTTTCGTCTTCATCTTTTGACTCTTTTATCCACCGTGTTCAACGGGAACCTCTAAGAATCCTCATTCTCATATCTCTTCTATCCTCTTCTCAAAAGCCTTCAGACACACTTGTTCACCATGGTTAACTGGAAAGCCGACGATGCCACCGACCGTCTCATCGCTGCCCTGATAGCAGCTCACCCTGGCTTGAAGGTGCCTAAGCACCTCTCCTAAACCCCAAAAATCCATGTTAACAGAAGCAAAACTAGATCGACTACGCTGCTATAGCAGCCATGTTCGGACAGGACGCTACCTATGATGCTGTCGAGGGCCGTTTTCGCCGCTATCGAAAGATGGCAGACGACCTGCGCTCCGATGCTCGCACTCGCGGCATTGCTATCGACGCTCCGTCTAGATCCCGTGCTGCTGCTACCCCTCGTACCCCTCGCACTCCCCGCACCGGCGGAAGAGTCTCAAAACCATCTTCCTTGTCCTTGAAGGGCAAGGAAAAGGGAAAAGATGGTCTGGAGACTGCACTCACTACGCCTACGAAGAGCGGCAAAAAAAATGGCATGTCGCCGTTCGATGCTATCTGCTTGGACGAGGGTGCTGGTGGCGAGGCCAATGATACTGAAGCGAAAATAAAGATCAAGAACGATGACGATGACGAGGCCAGGATGCTCGCCAAGCGTGCTGCTCTGCGTGCGGCGACCACCTTTGAAGCGACTCTTGATGCCCCGTTGAGCCCGTTGAGTCCTCTTTCTGGCCGAGGTGGAATGAAGAAAGAGGAACCTGCCGATGATGACGCTTTGTTTGTTCCTGGTCTTGTGGAGTCTGTTGAGACTGCACCTGTTCCTACTATGGGGCCTGTTGGGGGTGAGGATTTGCATGGGGATATCTACGCGGAGTCTATTTGAGATTGAGATTTGCCCAAGTGAATACGGACCTGGAACTGGCTGGAGATTTTGATTGTTTGCTTGTATCTGGCAATACGGTCGTTAGGACTAAGGTAGCCTGCTGTCTTTGGTATTAAATGGAAATGGTCGTCGTTTAGCATTGCGTGCAAGATGTTTACATCATCAATCAGCCCTAGCCCTATGCCCTATCCCATACCGGGCCAAACAATGATGTCAAGAATGTTTGAGGGTTTATTGTTAGGTTCTTACATTCAAAATAAGAAAAATAGATTCTACACATCTATTATTTTCTTATATTCTGTAACATCAACTTGGAAAGCATAATAATGTCAAATTTTGTTCTAGCAACAAGCCGAGTACCTACCCCTACGGTGTACCGACAGGGTATATAAAATCACATTTTAGAAGCCCTCGGCCGAAGCTGAGGAGTAAATACTACATGATTACTCAAGGCGAGAATATCATCCGATTCATCAAAGATATGAACGCTCACGTCATACCGGCCCTTGGATACCTTGTTCGAGTGCGACCGAATCATCACCCACTGCATGTTGGGGTCGGGGCGCTTTTTAATCTCCACCGACATGCAGAGGGTGGATAAGGCGTATTTGGTATAGAAACCCGCTTGGTGGGTTGCTGCGGGTTGAAGGGGCTTCAAGGTGTTACCACCGTTCATCTCGGGTATTGATGCATTGATGCAGTTCTCGGGTCACTTACCATGTCTGCCAGGAATGCCAGATGGAGAATGTCGGAGAATTTGGAACCATCTCGGAATGACACCCATACCTCTCGATGGTGTCCTCCTAATCGATGGCCCCAGAAGCCATTAGTTGTCCGTGGGGCAATCCAGTTCATCTTTCTTGTAACTGGGGTCGCCTCAACAACGGGGTCGTCAATCGCAGCGCAGTCCGTCTCCCGGTTAGGGAACGGAGCTGCTATGGCAGGTGTTGTATCCTGCGAAAGACCTTTTTCTCTGGAAAGGTCGGTATATGTAACGATAGCTATGGTAGTAAATGCGTCTGATGCCTCCGGGGCAGGGGCGGTAGACGTGGATTGGGCCCTTGACAATTCCACCTTCACAATGTATTGTTTGGAAGAAGTCCGCAGACAGTTACATATGATAGACAAGGGCCCAGGCGGAACCATGCTGAGGAATTGCACGAATATATGAACCGGGTCAGGATATCGCCCGACACCGAGTTCCAGGTCGATGTGTTTCCCTGCCGCGGACATCATCAAAGCAGCCTGAAAACCGCCCAGCACAGAGCTGGTCTAGTCAGCACACCGAGATTCGACCTGGGCTGTCGAACATACTGCTGCGTAGTCCATTCCGGGGATATGTATGCTGAGAAGCGATTTCGCGATCCTTTCTCTGGTGTCATGGAAGACATGGCCTCCAGGAACGGAGACGAAATCTGTTGAGACACCATCCGGTCGGTTGAACAGTTGATGAGATGTGTTCTTAAGATTCTCTAAGGTTAAATACCCCGCAGATCATCGAGTAAATATAGATGTGATTAGTCGGGCATGTGAGATGTAACAGCAATGACCAGTCAGTGACACAGAGCAACTTGGAATCCTTGCGATCCGGCGATTTAAGTAGAGCGACAGTGCAACAAAGTTCCACTGATTTGTCCAATATTTGAGTCGTCAGTCGTGGTTGATCAAAGTGAGGCTATTAAACGCCATCAACAATAATGTCCAACTCCTGAGTCCACTGCGACCGCCCGGGGCACGCCGGAAAAAGCAAGTGATCTGGGAGTGAGTTCGATCTGCAATTTTAGGAGAGGCTTTTGAATAGGAACAAATTCTCCTATGATGATATGATTCCATCTTGATGTGGCAGCAGTTAGTAAGATCCCTGGAAAGAAGAACGAATCAACTCTGGTTCAAACGAAGCATATCCCCCCAATTGCCACCCAAAAGCACTGTTCGTCGAGTGCCCTCTAGGCTCAATGGATTGTCTCGGTTCGATTAAATTGCCTACAGCGGATTTCAAGTCCGCGATGCTCCGCAGGGAATAGAACGAAGGCCATTTTGCTGGTGGTGTAAAACAGGGGAAGCGAAGCCATCTGGACCTCCCAAAGAGGCAAAAGTGCCCAAGTCACATGGATACAATACGCTGCGGTAATCCGATTACGCGGATTTGCCTGCCACCGTATTTTTGCCTCTTGAACTTCTAATTTTTTATGCCAGCAGAGAAAGGGCAGGCCTTCTCGATCAGCTATCTCGGTGTATCTCGTCCTCACAATCTCAACCAGCCTCCTCAATGCTTGGGCACTGGCATCATCGTCGCTCGATGCCCAACAGTTCCGGCGCAATTCCTCCCTAAAGCGTCACGTGCCGGCAACGCAACGCGAAACGCGGCGCGGCGGAGATCCGACGTAAGATGGGGGCTTTTTTTTAATTAATCTTTTTCATTTCCTTTTTTCCTTCGTTCTACGGGGTAAAAAAAAAAGAAAAAGAAAAAACAAGAAAAGGAAAGGAAATTAATTCCTTTATTTTCTTTCTTTCTTCCTCTTTCTCTCAATCCTCCTCCTCGTCTACTGCAACAGCATGCTCTGAACAGGCAATGTACTGCCCCTCCACTTCTCCTCAACCTCGACATCGGCTTTTCAAACCCGCCATCTCCCAGCCCGCTTATCAATGGGCTCCTACACCGCAATCCTATAACCCCTCACCGTCAGCGTCGAAGCCAGCCTCCGTGGTCTTCCCCTCGAGAGATTCTGCTCTCCTACCCACTCCAGATCAATCTGCCGCCATGGCTACGCACGATACCGTGATGCCGGATATTAGCAATCCCCAATTTTCGGGTCGGGGGAAACGCCTGACGGTGACCGAGGAAGAATGTCTGGTCCGGCTATGCCGGGTGCACATGCGAAATTACGACGTCAACAACTACCCTAAGAGCTTTTGGATCGAGATGTCCGGTTTATTACGAATGGAAACAAATCGATCATATTCGTGGCAATCATGTCGAAGGCGTATGGCCGCCAACATTGCCAGCCGCAAGTCTTATCAGAATACGATCAAGCTCGGATATCCGGCTCCGCTTAGTGAGATGGACCCCAAGATCTGCGAGCAGATAGACAAATGGATCGCAACCTGTGATGACAAACTCGAGATGGAGAGAAAGAGGGCGGAACTAGAGAAGCAAAAGACACTCGCTGTCGAGGACAGACAACGGCTTGAGGTAGATATGCACCGGAAACAAAAGCAAAACCGAGTCCTCCAATGGGTTTGCAGTCTTCCCGACTACGAGGGTTTTCTTCCCGAGTTGACCCAATGGGGCGAGCTTCCACCCATGGTCCACCCTCTCAACCAACCCCGAACCCGATCTCGCTCTCGGTCCCCTCGTCGAGAAGGAAATACCAACTACCGTCAGCGATCCCGCTCACCCTATGGCTCCCGAGCCGTAGGGCACATCGGTCCTACGCCCTATCTCGCCGAAGCCCGGCGTTCTCACGTTCGGGGACGGTCTATTACTCCGAAGGTGGATCACGACGGAGATATCGTCGTGGAGAAAAAGGAACCTCGGTCTTCCCCAAGCGAGCAATTGCCGGCTACACCAGCCCTGCTGAACCGCCAGACCAGAAACGTCAGGGACGCTCTTCCAGGTACACACGGAAACCACCGACCGGAATATGCACCTCGTGACGGACCTGCACGACCTATCCAGGGAAACTACCGGAGCTCGCCCATCACAACCACTACCGATGATACCTTTGAGAGATACATGGAGGAGACGAAGCGCCACGCCGGTGAATACGTTGCCAGGTTGGCCATCAAATGCAGCAAGGCAGCATTGAGTATGTCCATGGGCAAGAGCGAGAAGCACCAAGCCTATAACAAGGGTCTGGAGCTTGCCGTACACGACTTACTCAACGATGTTGGAGTTGCATATGTCAAGATGGTTGGAAAAATCATGCAACTCGAGATACCCCGGGCGGATTAAAAGGCCCAGCCAGGAAAACATTTGCACTACTCACTGCATCTAAGCCTGCCTTCTCATTCGTTTATGCTATCTCAAGACCTTCACTTACGTTTTCGCTGTTGACGTTTATTTTTACTTTGTACTTTTCATTTCGACTTTTTTCTACTTACCTTCATGTCATTCGGTTCGGCGGTGGTTATGTGCAACAGATTGGCAGAAAGAGAGATACCCCCAGCATTTTCAGCAGCATTCACGCCATTTCAGTTGCATTTATTTTCTCATCCTTTCACTTCATTGATCTTATTGATTCCAATACCTAGAGGCGACTTTTCACATATGATGTTCTTGTCTTTATTTTTTGTCTTCTTTTCAATCCATTACCAGAATTATGCGGTGCGTTGCACACAATCAGAGATATCCTAGCATTCCATCAGACTGCATTTACTCAATATCACAATTACTTGGCTTCAGCCCTTTGATTCCAAACTAAACTTCCGTCTTACTTGAAACCACGGCTTCGTCCCCCTTTACGGTGGTATCCTCGGCAACCAACCCGACATCCTTCACGTGCAGCTTCTTCTCCCGAGCTTCCTCGATCAGGCCATCCAGCTTGGAATTTCCGGGCTTTGTGTTCCATGGCTTCGGGCCGCCGTCGCTGAACATCTCTTCGACTTCTTCCAGAGTCTTTCCGCAGGTTTCGGGGTATCTGTAGGAACCAATCAAATTAGTTCATCATTCAGTTGAACATTTTACAATTCCCGGTGAAAGAAACATACGTGAGAAAAACTTGTGCAGCGGCTCCCACGCAAAGAACGCCAAAGACGATAAACAGCTTCCATCTTATATTAGCGAAGCCGGGAGGGACGAAAAGTCCCAATGCAAAGTTAAACAGCCAGTTTCCAGTGGCAGACACTGACTAAAGCGTATGGTCAGAAAATGTCACATTCAGTTAGACAAGATAGGGTGTCATACCATGCCTGCAGCTCGGGTTTCCAACGACCACACCTCGGCTGCATACACCCACGCGACGGGCGCCAGGCTCAAAGCGTACACAATTATCAGGAGATATGAAAATGCAATCACGGTGTGTGCCTTTGAGCCTCGCACCCGGGTCAAGACGTTGAGGTTTCCGTCTACACCACCAGGGACGTATTCGCCTGATGATAGAACACCGCCCACAACGAAGTGGCATACTGCCATACCCAGTGCTCCGTATATCAAAAGATTACGTCGGCTAGTCTTGTCGATATAGAAGAAGATAATGGACGTGAAGACGATGAATAAGGCGTACTGGATTCCCGATGATACTAGGAGAATATTGCCAGAGAGACTGGAAAGATCAGCTTAGTTTTAACACTGATACCGAGGGCAGGCTTCTCGTGAGGAACGTACCTAGCCATCTGGAAGACATAGACCACATAATAGGTCATGACATTTGCACCACTTAACTGTTGCCAGGCTTGAACAGTGAATCCTGCCATGGTACGACGCCACATGCCATTGTAGAAAAACTTGCGCCAGCCTGGGGCTGCCGCACGCTCTGCGGCTAACACAGTTGTGATTTCCTCCCATTCAGCGACCACAAGGGGATCATCGACATTGCCATTTGCCTGGATCCTAGCCAGCGTTGTGATGGCTTCTTCGGCGCGGTCCACCTTTGCCAACCAACGAGGCGATCTGGGAAGAAAAGGGAGACCCATCATCAAGAAGACGCACGGTACAAATTGCAACCCCCATGCCAGGCGAAAGGAGGCCGGACCCTTGATGAACGAACAGCCATATCCGACAAAGAACATAATGAAGATACCCCATTCGATGGCAAGTTGCTGGATAACGATAATTGAGCCACGCTTTTCCTTCTTACTGATTTCAGCAAGATAAACTGGCACCTGGGATGAAGTAATTCCAACGCAAACTCCGTTTATCACACGGCCGGCCATGAGTGTACCGAATCCTGACACCCCCGCTTGGATTGCAGTTCCCACGAGCCACCAGATACAAGCAAACATGATTGAATCTCTGCGGCCTATTTTGTCAGAAATTGGGCCAGCCATAATGGAGCCAACCACTGAGCCAGCTGCCAGGGCAGAGTTGATGGCTCCCTGACGAACGCCATGAGGGTTGTCGAAAAAGTCGATGTATTGATTCGTACCGATGATAGCAGACATAGACGAAATATCGAAACCAAACAACATGCCTCCAACCGTCGCAATGACGGCGACGAAATACACATTGTAAACCTTTGGAAAGGTCGGTAGATGCATGGTTCGTAGTGGTACAGCACTGGGCAGATCAACTTCTTCAGCTTTCTCTTGTATCAGACCGCACTCGTCCTTCAATAATTACTCGGCGAACCCAGAGCTCTACTAGCATCATAGAGGGTACCACATATTTATAGTACCATAGGAATCAGTCTCATCCTTCGGTTGAATCCTGCGTCAATTTTTCCGGCGCCCCCATGACTTGTTGAGTCATGAATGTCAAGGGATATACCTGAGTAACTTGAACTGCGACTTGTACCATTAAGGTCACCCACTAAGGACAGAATCCGGAGAAAATACCAAGCTAAGCATAGCCGGGTTGCAGGTCCCTGTCACGCGGGGGGGATTCAGCATAGCAAATCCCATTCTCCAGAGGCTTCATGAACAGGAGGCAACCTGTACTAGACCCTGTTCTCCCCCACCGGGGTTTCTCCATATTTACGGCTAATATAGCAATTAGAATATAACTTCCCCAGATGGCTTCTTATGATCTCTCGTCCCGATAGGTCTGAGATGCTGTATGGAAGCACACGAGTAATCGTAAGGTTGTGTCTAGAGCCACTTCCAGGATAAAGTATTTCTTCCCCGCTTTGGTAGTCATAAAATCGGCCAATAGCGTAGATCTCTCTTCGATTGACCACGCGAGTAGTGCTGTGCCATATCCCATGTAAAATTGCTCCATTGGTTGGTATAAGAAAGAGGCTTGACCAGTATTCTCCTGTTATTGGTGGAAAACATCAGCAAGGAAATTAGTACAAAGAAACACGAGGCGGAAGCAGACCAGAAGGCCCAAGAGCCCAAGAGTGACAACGTACAGATACCATCAAATAGCAGTAACCAACTCAAACAGATTCAAGAGATTTGAAGTCTTTCCCTTTGATAGGTTCGACTGGTGGGATGCAGTTGAACGTGGATGTGTTGGGAGAATGGCCAACTCTGCCAGCCTCAATCCATCCATGCTACCTGTCTGACCTTGGGCATTATATATGGAACCATGTCGGCTTATCGAGCCTAAAGCTTGCGGGGTGAGTTCAGTTCCTTGGCTGCGTAAAATTAGGTGGAATACAGCTGTCTTCCAGACCCTGGATGAAACCTCGGTCAGAATCCCCAAGGTCTAGATGGAGACATTAGAGGGGTGGATCGTTTCCCACTTCCACCTCCTTCAGTGATATCATCAAGTATTTGGTTTGACAGAATAGGAAGAGGTGGTTGTGAAAAAAAAAAAAAACGCGTCTGTTGCGTAGAAGGTTGTTGGGGAAGGAGAGGGAACTGTCTGGCTGCAGCGGGGAGAAAATATATTTCAAGTCCGTTTAAGGAAGCCACTACAGAAATTCAATGCAGAGTACTAATACACTGTGCTTGCGAGATTAGACAAATATTACTACTTCAACAATCATTATATTCGTTATTTCGTTATTCTTGCTTTTCCTAGGACATATTGATTGAATCCTGGCCTCTTCCCAGGTTAGCCAAAGTCAACCATATTATACAAAACCCTCCAGCTGCATACTTTACGACTAGCAACCAAAGCAATGGGTAATTCAAACGCTAAATAAGAAAGGCAGCTCTTTCTTATTGAGCACCACTTCCATGCTTTAGTGGCACAAGGAAATCCACTCATCGATAATCTCTTCCATGTCGTGCGCAATACCCCACTGGGAATAGAGGCAGCGGAATAGCTTCTGAATCGAGTTCAGTTCATACAGTAAGTTCCGTACAGTGCCTAAGCCAGGCGGAGAGACCGTCTGTCCACCTTCAACAAATCGCCTCGTCTCGGAGCCTGACAGCGATGGCCGAAAATCATCGCTTCCCAGATTAAAATCTGAATTGGAAATGAGGGCGTCCTGCCAAATAATAGTGCGTGGAAGATGGATCGTTGCGACGCCAGCAAGGGAAAAAACAACATAGATAGTTGCTGCTGCAAAGAGGGAACTCGGCATGTGAACGACATGAGCTCTGCCTCGAGGTAGTTGCTCAATTATATCTTGGATTGCAATCGCATGCAAGAGAGCTCGGCGAGCGCCCTCTGTTTTAACCCATTTAATCATATCAAACCCAGTCCTGACGGACCGAGACCCTCCAGAGACATGTTGAGGGATATCATATCGCGAGCACACATGTCTACTGAGTACTGTTGAGTTGATCATATTATCAAGGCATATGGTATGCCATCGCAAAAGGATTTCCAGCCTTTCAGGGGCAGAAAGATGAATGGACATGGATATGGTTTCGTGTACCTGGGCTAGAGCCCTTCTAACATCAGATTTTCCTGGGACACCAACAGCAGCGAGATCACTTTCATCCGAGTCGGAAACTAGAGATTGAAGGCCCTCCAAGACGACGCGAAGGGCAAAGGCGGAAAATTGGTAATCTAGAGGACGCAGACTACCGGCAGGTGGGAATAGTGAGCGAAAAACCAGACGGAACGACGGTTGATCTGTCTTCTGCGAGCGCATATGAATGAGCCATTCGTCTGGAGTGCTAGCATCAAATGCAGCTTCACTGCTGGGAAGACTAAGAGGATTGGCTACATGTCGAGCCGATGCGCCATCACCAGACATCTGAGCAACCAAACCGTCCAAAATATGATAGGCAAGCAGTGCACGTTGTTGAATCTCTCTTGCCACCCAAACTCGCCATTGGTGCTCTTTCTCTGCATCAGGAGCGCTCGGGAAGGGCAGATTCTCTAGGGAATAAGGTTCGCTATCCAACATCCCGCAGTGTCGAGCCCAGAAGAACCCCAGCGGTCGGAAGACTTGACTTGTTGTTCGTATAATCCTGTTCTAGTTTTGTGTTAGTAAAAGCCAAAGGGTATGGCGGTGGAAGACTTACCTTAGATAAAGCACCGTATATCTGACCCAGGACAGCCGTGATGAGAAGCTGCACGCCTTTACAGGCATCATATGGACCGTTATGTGTTATCAACGATTGCCACTGGAATATGTTAGCACGGATATGTTCTAAGTAAAGCGACATCCGTCGAGGCTTACTGAAGTTGCGACAGCGGTATGTGCTAGGCGCCATAAAGCTTCCCCCTGAAGTAAAGGTCAATGACAGCTCAACTCCCCTGGGTGACTTTGACGTACCTTTGCAACTGATTGTTTAGGGCCGAGGTATAGAGACCCAATGGCAATAGCGTTTAAGAGGAGTGGATGGGTGCATTCTCGAAAAACGAAAGTTGCTCGGTGTAGGATGGGAAAGGTTGGGATAAAGCGCACAAAGAACATATGCAGACACTCGTCGAGGAACACTGAGGTGACTGATGTTGCTTTCACAGCTGCTGTGACACTAGATGACTGATGGGAATTAGTTTTGTTCACAAAAAAAGAGACGGTAGAATAACTAACTGAGCTCGTCACCATCTCTGTGACATCGCGTACGGCCTGGTGACCTCCACCTAACGGAATAGCACCGATTGAAGAACCTCGATCATCGAAGGAGTTGGGAGAACCGAAGTTCATACCATTGACATCTTGAACGACTGGGGAAAAGGGCAGTGCTCCTAACGGCATCTGCCATTGATCCATTGTGTCCGAAGACATTATACTCTGAAACAGGTTTTCTGAGTCTGGCCATATTAAGGCAAAGTCAAGATCGGTCGCACCATGGTGCAAGCTTGACTGCTGTGTGGGTTGGCGTGCATCCCAGGTCTGACTAGGAGCAGAGGTCGTTACTGGGGGTGCTGTTGAGGCATGACTAGTGTCCCACGAAGGAAGCGCGTCGATCGATGTTGACTGAGGAGCTAGATGTGATGATGGATGAGTCTGTGCATGTTTGGTATCCGTAGCCCGGACATGTAGTTTTTCATGACGGGTGAGGGCATCTTGCCGTGCAAAAGGTCGACGACACTCTTTGCAGACAAATGGCTTAGACCCGGTATCTTCGTTATCAGGTCAGCTCTATCCATGCAACCCCATGTAGCAAAACCAAGTTATGTGGTTCTCTTACGGCAGCGTTCGTGTCTCTGTTGTTTATCTACAATCAGCAACTACTTGGACTTCCCCACGAACTAGGTGGGAGGGCGGAGGGAGATCAATTTACCCTCAAATGTTCTGCTTTGGAGAAACCCTTTTGACAGACTCGACACACCAACTTCTTGACCCCAGATGATGTGGTTTCCGTCATGTCTGATGTGGTGATCGTGGTGGGCAGCAAGCTGCAGCAATGACTCTCAAAAATCACGTTGGGGAGGGAAGATCGTGGAGAAAAGCGTCGGGGGCGAGCGACACTGTGGGGCAGGACGAGTGGCAATTGCAAAGATACGGCTGATTCAGCAATGTTACGGTACAGTAAATGCGCTAATATCGGAACGGTCTCAGCCCTGGTTCTCATTTTCTGGATGTTCTTCGCAAACACGCTGAAGATTACACCATCGCTGCCTTATCACCAGTCAAGCTCAATTGAATCATCTTTAACCTTGTGAGACTGCGCAAATGATGATCATTCAGGATCTGTTGTTTTCCGCGTTCCAAGTCACTTTACGTGCTGAGGGATCTTCATCGATCCCTGTAGGTCGACGACGTCGTCCAGCGTCCAGACACCCACCTTAAAAAGACTTATCCATCTTTGCCGAACCATGAGCCAACGAAAGTCAGCTATTCCTGCGGGTCTCGGCTACAGCAATTCGCTTTCTTTGTTAGACTAGTCCTCCTGCTATCAATTGGGAACCCACCATCTGGAAATAGCACAGTTCTGACTCGCTCGATTGCATTCCCAAACGCGTCAGCGACAGTGGCGTGGAGAACCCCCTCCGCATCTTCTCCAGGGGACTTCTTCAACGGATCTGACGGTACCGGGAAATACCCCGGGGAGTAGGGTTCGAGCGATCCCAAACTCAGCCATACAAAGTTGGCTTGGTTCGAGATGACCGGTGGTTCACTGGTTTGTCCTGAGGCGAAATTGCTGGGTGCACGCTTCTCCCACCACACTTCCCCTGATTTCCGTTTCAAACATTAGTGATTCAAAAGCAACTACCATAATTCAATTTAAAAAAATATTTACTACGCATCACGGGAATTTGCATCGATTCCCTCTTTTGACCACATCCCTGCCATCAGGGCTTCATTTAAGCCATGTCCACCTTCATGGAGATGCAACCGTCATCTCGAGCACCTGGCCAAGAGGTCGAAGATCCTTCTTCTGTCCCCAAACCCAACATTGACTTTGTCGAGAGCATGGAGGCAGGTAAACATGCCAGCTATGTCGAAACAGTAGCAGCACGTTTATCCAAGTCACATCGTGACTACCTCATGGAACGCCATGGGACATTGGACCTCGATCCTATCCCAGGTCTAGGGCCTGCAGACCCTCTCAACTGGCCCGAATGGAAGGTTGGTGGTCTTGATCTGATAGAAGATTAACAATTTTTCATAAGAGCAGTAGCTAATGGAGTACTCTCGCCTCTAGAAAATGATGAACCTAATTCTAGTTGCCTTCCATGCATGCATGGGCACTTTCACCGCCGCGGCCATCATTCCAGCGTATTCAAATATTGTTGAGTTGTATGGTGTTTCCACTCAGAGGGCAAGTTATCTGACGACACTTCAAATTTGCATTCTGGGTGGTGCGCCTCTGTTCTGGAAACCGCTGTCCAACCGCTTTGGGCGTCGTCCCATATTCCTCATTTCCTTAATCTGCAGTTTAGTATGCAATGTGGGATGTGCCAAAAGTAATACTTATGGTTCGACCGCTGCGTGCAGAGCTCTTGGGGCGTTCTTTATTGCCCCGGCTTCTGCTATTGGTAGTGCTGTGGTGATGGAAACAACCTTCAAGAAGGATCGGGCGCGATACATGGGGATTTGGACCCTGATGATCACTTTAGGAGTTCCTGGTGGGCCATTTATCTTTGGATTTGTGGCATATCGGGCGGGTTATGAGTGGATCTACTGGGTGCTTGCAATGGTTTGTTATCCCCCGCATTTTTTCCTCCATACCGTGCGATATGGCAGAACATATGCTGATGCGACTGTCCGGTCATAGATCAACGGAGGACAGTTCATCTTGTACCTCTTCTTTGGACCCGAATCTCGTTACGTGGATAATGGTGCCGACCGTCATGGGTCGAACTGGAAGGTTGAATATCTCTACGTGCGACGCATCGACGCGACCCCTTTCACTTGGTACGAATTCGTCAAGCCTCTGACCATGGCTGCACATCCGTCTATTGTCATACCCACCTGTGCATATGCAATGGTCTTCCTTTTCGGTAGTATCTTGACAACAGTGGAAGTGCCAGATTTGCTGCAACAGAAATTTGACCTCAACACGGAGCAGCTTGGAATGCAGTTCCTGGGTGTCATCATCGGCTCCGTATTGGGTGAGCAAATGGGCGGTAACCTGTCCGACTACTGGATGAAGCAGCGTTCACGTCGAATCCAAGACAACCCAGAGCCTGAATTCCGACTTTGGCTAAGTTACTTTGGCTTTGCACTCACTATTGTCGGTTTGATTGTTTTCTTGGTTTGCACGCAAACGGCCTCCTCAGGCCACTGGACAGTGACCCCCATTATTGGCACTGCCATCAGTGCCGTGGGTACTCAGCTGGTCACCACTGTCATGGTCACATATGCCATGGACTGCTATCCTGGAGAAGCAGCCAGTGTTGGTGTATTTATTACCTTTGTCCGACAGATCTGGGGATTTCTCGGCCCATTCTGGTATGTTTATATTCTTCGAACCCAGCTCAATTGTTGCAGTAGCTAATGGTCGATTAAGGTTCGCACCCATGTTCGAAAACGTCGGCATCGCTGGAAGTGCAGGTGTTGGGTCCGGTATGATTGTCGCAGTCAGCGTGATCCCAACCCTCTTCTTGCAGTGGAAGGGTAAGACCTGGCGTCAGAGACGGGAAGAGTAGACTCTTCCATGACGATATTTCTTTCGATTCGGTGTGATATATTTCGGAATGCTTGGTGACATCGGATAGACATAGAAGGATGGATTGGATTCGGTACACGGTATAGATGGGAGGACTCAGGCGAAGACTGTATATATTGGTCACAATTCACAGCAAAGCATTAGCATTAGCGATTAGATTAGCAACCCCAATCATCAAACAATAGATGTCATGAGTCTGCAAGTACAGTAAGAGAGAGAGAACAAAAGTAAACAAGAAAAAGAACCAAGCAAAACAGAAGGCACCAGGACCGAAAACCTTTATATAACCAATTAAGTACTAACTACCCACACTTGAATTAATATCTCCTAATAGTAGCTCAAGCGGAAAAAAGCCTCATCGAAAAAAATCCTCCAGTGTCCACTTCTCGACCATACGATTAACCATGCAATGCAAACGTTCAGCCGGCTCGGAACTGAGCGAGTCACACCACAAGCCCAGGCCACTGGAGGCAGTGTTTGGTATGTCTCCTGACACCCCGAAAGGGACATCCCGACCGAGTACGGGAATCCGACTCGGGAATTTGTCTTTTAGCAAGGGATTAGTACCTAGTTATTCATGCTGTTACTATCTTGTTGTTTGTTAGAAACTACATATTTTAATAGACTACCTTGCAAGTTTCAGTATACAACTACCACATATATTTGATGATAATATCTGGCTGTCCCAAAGTTAATACTACACTGACTCAACTTCCAAGCCTCGTGAAATGCTTGTATTCGGATACAAACCTTAACCCTAAAGCTTGCTTTGCTGTGCTGTGAGACGGAGTAGACTTACTCCGCCGTGGGAAAGACTATATCCTATGGAGTGTCGTGCGACTGTTTGTGGTCGTCGGCTGTTTCCCTAGCATATCAAGGGCTCCTTAATTTGCATAATGGGGTAAGAGACATGTTTTTCTTTTATTTTTGAATTGGACTTTTTTGGTGTTTTGTTGATGTTCTGGTTTTTTGCGCTGTACGAGGCCGTACGGAATTACGGCGTACCCAGAGCAGTTTGGCCGTGGGAATAGCGATGTGGGGATGTCATCTTGAGTGGATGTATGTTGGTATGCAAGATGAACAAGAAAATACTATATCCAAGTTCTACTTAAACACTCTATATGGTATAAACAGATACACAAAACAATGCCATTCATGTCCATTTTTCATCAAATTATGCCTGGTTCTCGAACTTTGTAATCAAAGTTCCCACATGGGGAAGCAGTTCCACCGCAAAGTCATCGCCGGCCTTCAAGAACTCCTTGGGGTTCTTTGCGGCCCCAACGCCCGGGGGAGTGCCGGTCAGGATGATGGTTCCGGCGGGGAGGGTGGTGCCTTGTGTGAGGAAGCTGATCAGCTTGGGTACGTTGAAGATGAGGTCGCTATTGTCATTGTTAGCCATCACCCTTTGCCAAACATTGTGATAAGGAGCTCCATACGTCAAGGGGCAGTCCTGCAGGACTTTTCCATTCTTCAATCCACGGATCTTGAACTGGCTGGCATCTTTTAATTGCGCAGCAGACACCAAAGTGGGACCTAGTCATCGAGCATGGTTAGAATTCCAAGGCTATATGTAGCACAGTCGGACGAATTCTCACCAATCGGGCACGAGGTGTCAAAACCCTTGGAAAAACACCATTGGCTCTGGTTCATCTGTGATGTGCGGCTGGAAACATCGTTGGCAGCAGTGTAACCAAGAACATAGTCGAGGGCGTCGGCTTCGCTGACGTCCTTTGCGTCACGGCCGATCACGATGACCATCTCCGACTCATAATCGCCAGTGTTGTCGGCCTGTGTGATCTTGGGGATGATAGTGGGAGCTGGCCAGGGGTCTGCAAGGGCAGTCGAGGGCTTGATGAACAAAGTCGGCACATCTGGGATAGACAGCTTCATCTCTGCGGCGTGCGATACATACTAATCAACATGTTAGGGTTGATCGCTGAGAATAAACAAATGGCGCCAACTCACGTTCAAACCAATGCATCTGATTGATCCAACTTCACTCTGGGCTAAGGGAGAGAGAATGCGCTCAATGGTCTCAGTGACACCGGTCTGCTGGCCAGGGCTCAAGACTGATGATCCGGAGAATGGCCGGACGGAAACCTCCTTGCCCTGGAAGAGAGCCAACCCAACGTCGAGCTGAGGGTCAACAGGCTCACCGATCAAGACACTGGCCGGGTTCGACTTGGGGACGAAGCGCACAAGGCCTGTTAAATGTCAGAGATGATCGCATACAAAGAACTCGCGCGGGTGACGACGCGAGGATCTGAATTGAATTGGGACATACGCGAAAAGGTGGAGGCGATTTTGGACATGGTGTAGCTAGTGAAGAAATGTATGAAGAGTTAGAAGGAGCAGAAGATCCCAACAGACCAGATGACAGCAATGATTAGTTTTATCTTTTTCAAATTGCGTCGCGACGGATCATTTCTACCCCGCTGGCATCACGATCGGTCGCATCCAGCGGGGTCAGAGTGGGGGACGGGATGGCGGCATAAAGGCCGAGAAGCCAGAATCAACGCCATCAAGAATCCAATAATCCTCGTATTGTCTGTTGCCACTGGCAGCTAAACCATAACTCCAGTGAAAACACGGAGTGCAGTCCGAGGACCTCTGCTTGATGGCATTGAATGGCAGCGAAAATGCCGTCTTTCTGCTCGGCGTTACGGGAAATCCGAAGCATCGCCATGTCCCCACGATGCATTGTGGGGATGGAGACTCTTCCTCTTCGCCCATCCACTTTTCCCACAGCCAGCATTGGATTCTGTCGACATCATCTCTGGATTCAATGTGGGGATGTCGCCATCTGGAGAAGCGGACCGGATAAAATCATTATCGCCTGTCTGAATGATGCTCTTGATTCAAAAGCAGCAGAGTCCGCATTCAAGATGCCTGCCAACTCCAAACTCCCATCCTCATACCCAACATGACTACTCCTAAAGGACCCTTCCGTCTCGTCACTGTCAACACGGCCCCCGAGAGAGCCCAGCGCCTCATCGGCCGTGTTGCTGAAGCCCTCAGTGACCGTTACACTATCATCCACGAGGCCAACTGCTCAAGTACGTGATTCTTTCTCGCATACCATCATGAACCTCTTCTAACAAAATCTCCAGCAATCGAAGAGGTCGGCCCCAAGGTCTCGGAGCTGATGCCGGACGTCCTGGTACGTGATAGCCCACCCCACTTGCGAGTCTCAGTCGGGAATTCCATTCCTGCTCGTCTGGAAAATCCGAACACAACATCTGCAAGACTCTCATGCTAACCGCCTTGGATCCTACAGTTCAGCGCCTCCATGTGGACCGCTGAAGAAGCCCAGTTTATCCACTCCACCGCCAGAGACATCAAGCCCGACATCAAATTGCACGCCATCCCCACCGGACTGCAGGTGGAGAGAGGCCCCGACGCTATTGTCGAATACCTCTGCGAGAAGGTGCCCCCGCTGCTGGACAGCTAGATATGAAGCAAGGATTATAGAGTGGTGGACTGGGAACAATTTGTAACATTTACAAAATGTCTATCGATGTATCTGTCTGTATATACATATGACGAGAAACGTTTGGAACCAATAAGACGGTTTATGATACCATTTTGCACCAGACATTTTAAGCGAGAGAATTGGCGGTTTGATGGTAATTCATGCATAAATCTAGGCCTGATATTTGACATGCCATAATATGCAACGCCCGCAGACGACAAAAAGAAAACATATTCGCATTGTTGCTTTTGGCCCAATATTGCATCAATGATGCATTTCCACATCTCCTTATCGCAGACTGATAAGAGCAGAATCACGTGGGTCAGGTGATGTCACTTGGAATCTAGTTATATAAGCATCACGTGCAAGGATCCTTGTCAACTGGTGAGTCCTATTTTGATGCCAATCAGTTCAATCCAGCCATCGAACGCAAATAACCTGAAAAAGAACATATGAAAGGCTATTTCAATCTCGTATTTTCCCTTTCTTAGCCAAAATTCTCAACATGCTTCGCTGACACAGCATATCCGGATAAAATTCCGTGCATTACTAATCCAAGTATCCCAACTTTACCCGAAAGGAACAACAATCGACATTGAAGTCGAGAAACTCTCATCAAAGAAAAAAGAATCAACAACAGTCAATCTGAAACGCGTGGTATGATGCTACCTCTCCGAATGTCCCTGCGGGGCGCATCAACCGTGCGATCCTTCTCGACCTCCCGTGTTCTTAAATCGGAGCTGTCCTATCAGGTCTTTGGACCCGAGAATGAGCAGCCCGTTCGGAGCCCGATTGTCTTCTTACACGGTCTCTTTGGGTCGAAGCAGAACAATAGGAGTATCAGCCGGTATGCCAATCTCTTTCCAGGAGTCTAATTGACCCTTATCCTATGATAGTTGTCGAGAATTCCTGGCTGACACTTTCTTCAGAGCTTTGGCACGTGATCTTAAACGTCAGATCTTCACGGTGGTGTGTTTGCGTTCATGATGAGATGCCCAAGTGAGCAAATGGTTAATCTAGGTTGATGTGCTGATTAGGATCTCCGGAATCATGGCCATTCGTTCCATTCCAAGGAGCACAACTACACTGTTATGGCTGAGGACGTCGAAAAGTTCATCCAGCAGCAGAAGCTGAACAAGTGCGTTCTTATCGGACACTCCATGTACGTTCCTATCCCGAAGTATTGTCCATAAATGATATACATGGTCAATCTAGCATCAATCCAGAGATCTCTTGTCTAACATGTATCAGGGGTGCCAAAACTGTCATGGCTGTCGCCCTGCGATCTCCCAGCCTAGTCTCCGGCCTGGTGTCTGTTGATAACTCGCCCGTTAATTCACCTTTGAAGAGTGACTTTTCCAAATATGTCCGAGGCATGCAACATATTGAAGAAGCGAAGGTCACCAAACAATCCGAGGCAGACAAGATTCTACAGGGCTACGAAGAGGTATGCCGCTATATCTTACCCTTGACGACCATTGTTCCTACTAACGACTTTCCAACTACTTAGTCCCTACCCATCCGTCAATTCCTCCTGACCAACCTAGTCCGAGGAGATGACCAGACAATGAAGTTCCGTGTTCCTCTTTCCGTTATCGGCCCTGCTCTCGACGGCATGGCCGATTTCCCTTACCACGAGCCTGGCTCTGTCAAATACGATGGACCAACTCTCGTTGTCCGGGGAACCAAGAGCAGATACGTTGCAGATGAGCACTTCCCCGCCATCAAGAAGTTCTTCCCCAACTCCGAGGTTGCTGATGTGGAAGCCGGCCACTGGTTAATTTCAGAGAACCCCGAAGCCTTTAGGCAAGGTGAGTGTCATTCCCTAGATGGTATTTACTTTTCAAGAATAATGGCTGACAAGATGCATTGTAGTGGTTGTGAAGTTCTTGCAAGATGCGGCTTAGATGCATTGTCGTCGACTTTGTACATAATAGAGGGTCTAGGCGCCCGGGTGCCTTTGTATTATTTATACATGTTTTAAACAGCGGTACTTCAACAATAGACATGGAAGGGAAGATTTGTATGAGAATTTGAATAGGAAACAGAGAAGTCCCGAAGGCTTTAAAGAAAGTAAATGATAAAAAGAAGCAACAAAAGGTATCCAGAAGCCATTCCAACTCGGGAAAGCCGCTTAATCGTCATTCGTAAGCACAGAGTGCAAAAAAAAGAAAAAAAAAGAAAAAAAAGAAAAAAAAGAAAAAAAAGAAAAGAAAAAGAAAATCAACACCGGATGATTGCAGTCAATGAATAAACGCCGCCGACCCAAATATCAGGGCTAGTCAATCGTAATAGGTTCCGATTGATTGTTCGTCTTTCGCTTCTTCTTTTTCTTTGGCTTCTTCCTCTCTGGCAAAGACCCATCAATTCCAATGGCTGCCGGGGTTGGAGAATTGGTCCGTTCATCCTCTGATGTTACACCTGACAGGCGGGGGCGCTTCTTCTTATTCTTCTTCTTCACCGCAGGCCCTGGGGTGGACGCGGGCTCCACATTATTGAAATCCGCATTGTTGGACTCGGCAATGCTGGGATCCACAGTGCAGGGCTCTTCAATTGGCTGTTCGACGTTGGGCGTATCTGAACCGATAGGGGTTCCTTCGTATTTCGGCACTGGCGATTCTGCTATCTCTGTTTGTTCAGCGAGGGCGAAGGAGGCCTCCTGTGTGCTCGATTCTATTGCCTTTTTGGTGTTTTCAAATTGCTCCAGCAATGCCTGGTAGTCTTCTTCGAGACGATTGATACGAACAATGAGTTGATCATGGGATGTAAAAGCCTCTAGGCGGCCAATGCGGTCAACCAGTTGGTGGTTGGATGTAGGGTCTTCCAGGCGAGTGATACGCTCAACCAGTTCGTCATTGGATGTAGAATTTTCCAAGCGACTAATACGATCAACAAGCTGACCGTTGTTGGATATGACTTTTTCCAAGCCGTTGGTGCGATTGATTAAGGCCATGATATCAGCTTTTGTTGCGTCTTTGCTGCTCGTATGGGCAGATTTAGTCTCATCAAGTTCATTGGCGAATGCTTTAAGCTTGTCAGCTATGCTCTGAACTTGATTTCTCAAGCTATCTCGTTCTTGATTCAGGTTTTGCCGCAGATCCTCATCCGATGTATCTTTGGACTCTAGTTGCTCTTTCATTTTGGCAGTATGGTCCTCAAACTTTTGGTACAAGGATAAAATGTTGCCATGGAGCTGTTGGTAATGCTGTTGCCCAAGGCCTGAGTTATTAGCTTGTTTCCAAACTTCTCCAAGTGAGTGGTGTAGCGTAGTCAGGTCGTTCCTCAATCGGTTGGACTCCTCTGATTGAGACTTGATATCCTTGTTAACGTCCATCAACTGGCCACTCTGTCTCTGATCTAGAGCTTCTAGCTGTGCTTTTAGAGCTGCCACCTGCTCTGTTAATTGACCTGCAGATGGGTACATCTCTTGCATAGCAACAACCATGTTCTTCACAATAGGCTCCGTGGACAGATTGTTATACCGTGTTTCTAGAGAATGCAACCCAATCTTGACACTTTCAAGTACACGCTGTGTGCCTAGTAGCGATCCAGAGAGAGCCATGACATCCTCTTTTTGGTCCAGATCTTTTATTTTATCTGCGATATGGCCATAATCTTGTTTCAGAACAGTCAGTTCCTCAGTCAATGACTTGAATTGGTCGTCTTTTTCCCCTGCTCTCTTTTCGAGCTTCTCCATCTCGCCAATAAGAATATCATCTGACGCTCCCTTCACGCGCTCAAGATCTTCCAAGTGCTCAGCCAGAACTCTCACTCGGGACTGCAAACCTTGAATAGCTTGACTTTGACTTTGACTTTGGCTGGGATTGTGTAGGGATTTGGCAATATTGGCTTCCAACTTTTTAAACCGCAAGTCCACGTCTTCCAACTTTATGTGGGAATGCCGATCCGTCTCCAGATTCTTGACCCGCGAGTCCATGTCATTCAATTCACTCTTGAGTTCAGAGTCAGCATCCCTTCTAGCAACATCTGAAGCAGCAGGTTTCGTCTTTTCCAGGGAATCCAAGCGGTGGCCAAAGTTGTCCACTTTTTTCTCAAGTGTCTGTAATGTATCAGCTTAAAGTGAATCGATTTATCAGGCTGCGTCTTATAACCCACCTCCACATTGGCAACACTTGGGGATTTTGTTTGAGATTTTAGCAAGGGGTCAACTTCTTCACTCAGTTTTGTATGTTTTCCATTCAAGTCGTCGATATCTGCTCGTACTTGCTGGGCCACAACTTGTGGGTCCTGTAAAGATGCCTTGTCCTTTGATAGATTAGAGACGAGTGATTCGAAGCGGGTCTGATTGTTTTTGACATCTCTTGACAGCGTGTTTAGATTGGTAACGTGTCTTGTTATAGTTTTTTCCAGAAAAGTCGCTCTGCCTTGAAGTGTCGTAACCTCTCTGGTCAATGACTGATTATTACCACTGAGCTTTGAAGACTCGGCCTTTGCCGACTCAACCTCCTTTTTCAAATTTTGGATTTCAGGCTCCAGCTTGTTCGTGTCCTCTGATTGGGACTGGCCTTGTAATAAACCCCATTTGGCCTTAAGACTGTTCTCAAGCTGGCGATAATTTGAAATATGCTGTCGAATAGCATTATCGATGCGTCCCAGATCAACATCTTCATTATTCTTATGTGACTGGAAGAACGCAGCCGTGGTGGGGAAATTTGACGACTGAGCATTGGCTCTCTTGAGGAGGCCATCCGTCGTCTCCTTCCTCTTCTGCAATCTCTCCCTTTCTGAGTTATTCTTAGACGTTGTGACAGCTGCCTGTACAAGACCCGAGATAGCTTGAATGAATTGATCAGCGGGGGAACTATCACTTTGACGTGGCTGAGGATCCGCAGGCTGTAAAATTGAAGGTGGGGTATTCGAAGCGCTGGGTAAACTGTTTAAATTATCTAGCGAGTTTTGTCTGGAAGGAGGAAGCATTGGTGGGCGGCTGGCGAGACGAGGGTCGCGTGTGGTTGGAGTATCGAGCTCCATTTTATCCGACATTTTGACACAAATGATGTATATTCAACTTATGAGTGAGCGGACGACATCTAAATATTAGGTCAGAACTATGTATTCAAAAATTACTTGCGCCTCGCATACTGTGCTCAAGAGCCCCCCCGCAAAGCGTCTCCCCTATCGGCGAGGGTAGATGTCAATGTGAGCGCATTGCGCGTGGCAAGTAAAGGAATGAAGTCGCGTCGGCACTTAGGGATTAGAAAATTTGGGCTTAACGGCAATGGTGCATCCAGAGAGCAGAGAACTAATTCGCGATTGCCAGCTAATTTTTTCTATCTCGAGAATAAAGAAAAAGAGGCAGGAAAACAGTAGAGATTTGTAGCGGGAGAAGACACATTCTGCCGGGCGGTAAGAGGGGCGGATTTTCGATCTATCACTTTCTGCCCTTCCGCGGCGTTCTTCACCAGTCCAAGAGCTTTGCTAGCGGGTTTGATCTGGTTGTTGTCATTTCGAGAGAGGACCCAAATTCACCAAAACAGAAAAATCACCATGGCTGCGGTGAGTGAAACATTCTAATTTCACTGCTAGCCTTTTACTGACATCTAGCACAGCCAATTTCCACGGTCGCGGAGACCAAGGAGCTCCGGGGACTGAACCTCATCGCTGCTCATTCGCATATCCGGGGACTTGGTGTCGATGCCGATTCTTTACAGCCAAGAACTTCCTCTCAGGGGCTCGTGGGCCAGGAAAAGGCACGGAAGGCTGCGGCTGTAATTTTGCAGATGGTTAAAGAGGGCAAGATCGCTGGACGCGCGGTCTTGATCGCAGGGCCTCCTAGCACAGGAAAAACAGCTATCGCAATGGGTATGGCCCAATCGCTCGGGTCAGATGTTCCTTTTACGATGCTTGCATCGTCTGAAATTTTCTCCATGGAAATGTCAAAGACCGAAGCGCTCACGCAGGCTTTCCGGAAATCCATCGGTGTTCGTATTAAGGAGGAGAGTGAAATTATCGAGGGTGAAGTCGTGGAGATCCAGATTGACCGGAGTGTGACTGGAGTAAGGACTTCTATGGTTTTGTTTTGCTATGATGGGACGTGTTCGTACTGACTTTTGTAGGGCAACAAACAAGGAAAGCTCACCATCAAAACTACCGACATGGAGACAATATACGATATGGGAACAAAGATGATAGACTCGATGACAAAGGAGAGGGTGATGGCGGGAGATGTCATTTCGATCGATAAGTCGTCAGGCAAAATTACAAAGCTAGGACGTTCCTACGCACGTTCCCGAGACTACGATGCGATGGGTGCCGATACCAAATTCGTCCAATGCCCCGAGGGTGAACTTCAGGTTCGCAAGGAAATCGTACACACAGTGAGCCTTCATGAAATTGATGTTATCAACTCGCGATCCCAAGGCTTCCTGGCCCTCTTTTCGGGGGATACGGGCGAGATCAGGAGCGAAGTTCGGGATCAGATCAACACCAAGGTTGCCGAATGGAAGGAAGAAGGCAAGGCAGAAATTATTCCGGGAGTCTTGTTTATTGATGAAGTACACATGCTTGACATTGAGTGCTTCTCGTACATCAACCGTGCATTGGAGGCTGAGCTTGCCCCCATTGTTATCATGGCCAGCAACCGCGGGCACGCTAAAATCCGTGGGACGACATACAACTCTCCTCACGGTCTCCCTCTAGATTTCCTCGACCGCGTTGTTATCGTCAGCACGCAACCTTACTCGGCCGATGAAATCAGACAGATTTTGGCTATCCGGGCGCAGGAGGAAGAGATCGACCTTTCGCCAGACGCTCTGGCTCTTCTGACTAAAATCGGCCAGGAGTCCAACCTCAGATATGCCAGTAATATCATCACCACCTCCCACCTTCTGAGCCAGAAGCGCAAGGCCAAGGAAGTTAGCATCGACGATATCCAGCGCAGCTTCAAATTGTTCTATGACCCCATTCGGAGCGCAAAGTTTGTTAATGCTTACGAGCAACGCTTCATCGGTGACCAAGGAACTGTGAATTTCTCTGCTCCCACCAACGGTGATGCCATGGAGATTTCTTAGATGTTGTTTATGCCATTGCTGGTAAAGTTGGCATCTGACAAGCTTGTGCAACAGGTGCGGAGAAAGTGTGGTGTTTGGTTTTAATTTTTTTTGTTTTCTATTCGCATCAAATGATGTATGATAAGGCTGGCGCTTGTTCACAGCTCATCTGTATGGGTAATTTGATATTGGGTCTTGAATTGGATTTTGTCAAAAGAGAGCTTGGGCTTGAATGATAATCATGAAATCAATGGTATTCCTTGATAAAACAGAAAAGTCTCACATAATATCGTACACGTAAAACTCTGTATCATGGGAAATGGCCATGCTTTATTATTATACAAATGTAGCTTGTTTATTCCATTCACCTGTATCGCCCACTTTTCGAAACTCCACTCCATCGCCGAAATACCCTGCATTCCTCCAAGACTCCATCATGGAGTTATCATACGGGCCATGCACATTTCCACCGTCTCGGGCGTCAGACCAACGAAACTCCCACATCACCGGTGCTTCGCCACTATTGAGGCTCGCATCTGCTGATTCTGCGGGAGGATCAACCCAGTCCTCGCCAGTCTCGCGACGGTACTGTCTTGTGAGCTTCTCACGCTCCGTATCGTAGATTTCTGCCTGTCCTCGGGTCATGAGAATATCGGCCGCACCGGTGAGGGCAATAATTGTTTCCTTTCGGGCGGCCTCGTTCGGATCATCCTCTGTCATTTCAGTATCCTCCTGTTCGGCTCCGTTACGTTTCGATCGGTTCTTGTTTCGTTGTTTGTTTTGCCATTTCGGCTTTCGTTGAAGGCCCTTGCCTAATCTAGCGAGAGCTTCCAATATCGTTTCTCCTCGTTGCAGTTGGACGATGATCGTTTTCAACACGTCTGCTGTTAAAACACTGTCATCCTTCCTATCTCTCTCCTTTCTCTCGGCGTCTCTTTTCTCTGCTGCCTCTTGGGCCCGCTTCATATCCTTCTTTGAGATCCCCTCCATCCATGTATCGTAGACAGCATCTGGGTCTACTGCCTTTCGTACGTAATTTCCTTGGTCGTCGAATTTGCCCTCCTCCTGTTCTGTCCGCATGTTGAACGCATCAAGTAAAGGCGCATGTTTCTTTTTTCCACCAGCACCGAGCTCTTCATCAACCTCCTCGTCAACCTTGGCGCGGTCTTCGTCTGCGACGTCACTCTCGCTGTCCGCCTCGTCCACATCGACTGTATCTGCTCCCTTTGTGAGATCGCCTTGGAAGGTACCGCCACTTCGCGACGAGGATATTTGCCCCTCGATTTCCTCGTCCCGCAGAAACCTCACGGACTTTTTATTCTTTCGCGAAGCCTCATCAGCGTCAACCTCCTCGTCGCCAAAATCCTCTTGCAACTCAGCAAACATATCATCATCATCCCCATCGTCTTTGGCCCGAGCTTGTTTCGATTTGGCTTCGACTCGCGCATCGAAGCCTTCATTGTCGCTGTCCGAGTCGTACCCGTCCAGGTTGACAGCTTTGCGACGCACTTGTTGCCCACGGCGGCCAATTTCATCTGCGTCTAGGACTGCATCCTCATCGGGCGCATCCGGGGCGAGTGCGGACGGGTTGCGCAGGTCAAATCGGGGCTTTTTGCTTGATGAGGCGCCGTTCTCATCTTCGTCATGGTGGTGCGTACGAGCGAAGTCTTCGCCCGCCCGCTTGGGGCGTGCGTGTGAGGCCGACATGAGCTCTAAGTGAGCGAAATTTGTAATAGAAATACAATATGGTGATAATAGGATAGCTTTAGCCAGATATGACAGGCAGGCGATGGAATGGGTATCAATGAGAAGCTATGGTCAAGATTCTGAATCTGAAATCGGCCAGCATTGTTGCCCTGTATGGGGTCGGCTCGGAAAATCATGGCGGAGTCCAACTTGCGTCACTGCTTCAGGCGATAAGAGCAGCGTCTGTCCCGAGCAACTTTCACAATTCTCATTCGTTTATCGTGGAGAATAACCAGGACCTTGTCAATAGCTTCAGATCTTATTTGTGTTTCATAATCACCTTCAGAAGCCCTCACTGGAGCTTCATCTTGCACAATACAGCTTGTTGATCACCAATAACCAGCCGCCCGCACGTCCACTATGGTGAGTTTCCATTATGATGCTTGTCCAACCAAGCCTAATCCTCGCAGTTTCGCGCTGATTATTGGGACGACGACCCGATGGATGGAGTCTTGGGCTCTGGAATGCTACGGCCTGGAGCTTCTGCCCGTCGATTCGATGAGTATTACCGGTGTTACCCTGTCGCCATGATGCCCGGCCCCGAAAGAGAGAATGTGAACCACGGCGGCAAGGTCATTATGCCTCCTAGTGCCCTCGACAGATTGACTCGCCTACACATCACCTACCCCATGCTCTTTGAGCTTCACAATGGTTCTAAGGAACGGATGAGCCATGCTGGTGTGCTGGAATTTATTGCTGAGGAGGGGAAGATCTATTTGCCTTTCTGGGTAAGACTTGTCTATGTCTCGCAAATTCCGTTTCTGCTTCTATTCAGAATTATCAAATGACTAACGTGATAATAATCCACTATCTAGCTTATGCAAACTCTTCTTCTCGAACCCGGTGACTTGGTACAGATTAAGTCGACAGATCTTCCTCCCGGCCATTTCATCAAAATCCAACCCCAGTCAACCTCCTTCCTTGATATAAGCGACCCGAAAGCTGTACTAGAGAATGCCTTCCGAAACTTCTCTTGCCTCACCAAAGGCGACGTCTTCACATTTGCGTATAACGACCAGGTCTACGAGATGGCTGTCCTGGAGACCAAGCCTGTTAACGACAAGCAAGCGATTTCCGTTCTCGAGACAGACCTAGAGGTCGACTTTGCACCACCGGTGGGATATGAAGAACCACAGCGACAAAGTGGAACTAGTACCCCTCGTGGTCCGGGTGGACTGCTGCCATCCGGTGGGATGCTCCATCCCCACGGGACCATGGCACAGTCCATTAACTACGCTGCGATTGCTCCTGAATCGACGGATGCTGCTAAAGGTGCCAAGGCTGTTTCATCGAACTTCCTTGTTGGGGGGCATCGTTTGAATGCCAAGAAGGGCAGCAAAACTCCCACACCCAAGGCTTCTACACCAGTCCCGGGAGCAACGAATCCCCAGCATCCTCCCCCGGTTAGAAGAACAAACGGACCCCAACCTCTTCGACTGCCGCCTAATCAACTTTTCTTTGGGTATGCTATCAAACCTGTGAAGAAGCGTGATGAGAAGGGCCAACCGGTCGAAGACGATGAAAAGCCTCGTTTCCAGGGATCTGGCCAAACGTTGCGAGGAAAGAAAAAAGATGCATCAGGTTCTGCAACACCCACTTGAGAAATTGATGAAGAGGATTAGAAGACCGTCGATCGCAATGAGGAACAGGATAAAAGAGTGCAGACCTGGAAGGCACCCCAGTTTGTTCCACGACGGACTGGGATTGGGCATTTGTGGGCTCTCTTGATCACTGGCGTTTGGACCGGGAAATTCTTCTTGATGATTACCTTTAGATAGTATGGAACAAGGCTGGTATGATTGTTCATGAGCATAGCGAGGTCCAGGCCGGCGTTTAATAAGGAATTGGTTTTTTAATGGTTAGGTCCCCTTGCCTGCAATGACATGACAGCCATGATGCCACTTGCTTCGACTCGTGGAATTGAGGCATCAGTAGTTGACAAACCTGGGTTTATATTGACTCGTTGGCATTCCGGACAAATAAAAGCCCAGGTTGTTCTATGTATTCGACTTATTGCATGTTTAAACTGAAAAGGTAGTCGAGTGACGCCAAATACGGAGCACCGATGTTTTAGACAGGTCACATATCCTAAAGCTATTCCCAAGCCCTCGGCTCCCCCTTTTTCTCATCGACGGCATATCTCCTCTTTTGTTTATCCGAACTTTTCAGCAATTCTTAACTCTGTCATTCATTGCTTCACAATTCCGTTATAAGTAAATCACTGGAACGAGCTAGTTCATCTCCACATACTATAGCGTGGCTTGTGACACCAGCAATCCAGGCCAGCAATTTGAACCACGACAGCTTCAGCCTTCCTGCTTCCTTGCAGGCTCGCATCTTCTTCCTTACCTCTCGCTTTTTAAGACAAGAATACCATCCACTTGAAATTTGTCTCTCATTTATACCCTTCTTTTCCATTCTTTCACAGATGATTGAGGGATTCCTATAGCAAAAGCATCAATCTTCCGCTCGTTTCAAGAGTCTTCTGTCGATACTTGTGTGACGTCCCAATGGCTACCAAATCAAACGGGGAGAACCCTCTGGCGCCTTTTACGAAGCTCTCATCCTCTATCTATCTCCAGGAACCTGTTAACGAGAATGGGTGTGCCGGAAACTACCCCAAGACTATTGTTCTCGCTTTCTGGATGAACGCCCCTCCGCGTGCTCTGGCCAAGTACATTGTTGAGTATAAACGCCTGGCTCCTTCATCCAGAATTATCTTCCTTCTAAGCTCTTCCAATGACTTCGCTTTGCGCGCCACCAAAAAGGCGCAACAGGCGCGTGTTGCCCCTGCCGTGGAGGCAATCCAGGCATATTCTACCCCAGAAGACCCTGTCTTTCTGCACATCTTCTCAAATGGAGGCCTGTCTACCACGACAAATCTCCTCGCTGCGTATCGAAAGGCGACTGGAAATCCGCTGTGCGTGTCATCAATGGTTCTAGACAGCGCGCCTGGCACGGCCACCATTTCTTCTGCTGTCAAGGCCTTTTCATTCGCGCTTCCCAAGACGTGGATTCTCCGCGTTTTCGGTAAAATGCTTTTATACGTTTCTCTTTTCCTTGGTCTGTTGCTTCAGAAGCTCACCCGCAGGCTCGATGCTATAACTCTGGCTCGGAGGGCGATCAACGATAAACGCCTAATCAATGGCCACGGCTCGAAAGGCAGTTTCCAAAGGTGCTACATTTACTCGGATATTGATGAACTGGTAGACTGGAAAGATGTAGAGGATCACGCCCTAGAAGCCGAGTCAAAGGGTTGGGTGGTGCACCGTGAGAAATTCCAGGGATCACCGCATGTCAGCCATATGAGATCGGATCCTGCCCGTTACTGGGACATTGTGAGAACATATCTGCAACAGTCAGAATCGAAATAAAAGGAGAATCCGCCCTCTCATCAAGCAGTCGACAATTGAGCCGCCATGTTGAGATCCTCCTCCACAAATTTTGCATATATAGCATACAACCGCGAAAAATTGATGAATATTTCTCTATTTCTTGTGAAAAGTACCCTTTCCTTGGCTGTCACCTTCCATGCCGAGTGTTCACTCGATGATGCAAGGCCTACGGACTAAAACAGTCGAACATCAAGATATCCTTGCTTGCCCATCCCATAGGGCTGCATATTCACTGCGATCTGACTTCAACAAACGAACGACTGAAGCTGTTCAAAAGCAGATATCACGAAGAGACTATCACGAAGACAGTGCTGAAATGTAAATCATTCATAACACAGGCTTGGAAAAAATTATCTGTCTTGCTCATGATGACCTCATTCCTGAGTCTCAATATATACTGTTTTTGACAGTACCGGAACAAACCTCCGTGGCGGGGATTACCCAAGACTTGGAATTCAGAGGGACTATACGACAACTCTGCATCACTGAAGCGTGTCACGCCAAATCCTGTGGGTATCTACTCAGCCAGCTGGGAAATAATTCAATATCTTGACTGGCGGGCTGCCTTGTAAGTCAACATTGACTTTACTGTTGGCACTTTGGTTTCAAGTCAATAAGGAGTCCATTCGGACCAAGCTTTCATCTTCACCGGCTGCAAAAGGCTTCTAATTGTCTTCACTCAAGAGCTCAAGACTCCCTTTCTTTTGGAACAACGCCAACAGTAGCCACCATGTTTCAGAGTATTCCTAGACAAGAGCCCTTTATATCCGTTACGAGAACCCAAGATGACAGGGGCTTGCTACCTGGTTATGGATTGCCGCTCGACTATGCGCCAATGGAGAAGAATATATACGGTGTACACAATAGGAGTCTCTTCCCATCAGCTTTAGATGACCGTGATATCCAGAAAGGATATGCAGAGTAAGATAAAACCCACGCTTTGTTTATTGAGTGCTTGAAGCTCTACTAATTTCAACAGTCAGCCTCTACAATCGTTACGTGAGTTTGGGATGTTGAGGGTCATGGAAAGCCTCACGGATATACCAGATTGGCACAGAAAGGTAGCTTTCTCTTTTTTGACACTGCTCACCAATGTTTTTTCCTGCCAAACACTTAACTAACTTGGCCCTTAGATTTTTCTTCCCGGGGTTGCCGATTCATGGAAAGACGAAGCCATCAAGTGTGATGTGGACATCACACCCAACATGGCAGACTGGATCATTGATGAACTACAGTTCAAAGCAATAGTTTATGAACATACCCAATCGATTTCTCTCTACAATGGCGATATTACCAAATCGGACCTTAATGTGCCTGAATCGTTTCGGTTGGAAATCAAGGAGGCTATCAAGGAGCTTGAGGATGTTCCCCCAGAACTACAGTTCTTCAATCCGGGCACAAACTACAAGCAGCGTGATCTTGTTCCTATTGGATTCTGTCCTCTTGTATACGGAAGAAGTCGCATTCTAAAGGACAAGACCATTGGACTGGATGATGCCCTCCAACACGCTGGTCAGGGATTAGTCATTCCTTGTCCACCAGAAACCGGATTCACCAGAGAGGATATGGCGTGGCGTGTCGCCTCTCGAGCAGATATCGCCGTTAGGCCATATAGTAGGAATTTCCAAATACTGCCATGTGATTTGCGTTTGGGGGAGGACGAAAGGTGGCACATCAGCAGCTATATCAACAATCTGCATCCGGTCAAACACCGAAACATATACAACCTTATCGAGCAGCTATTCAACCATTTAATACCCCAATGGAATTCAACCTTGACTCCACTAAAGGACATGCTTCACTCCCGAGCTCGTATCGAATACAAGAAAGCCGAGTACCACCCACTCCCGAAAGACGTGGAGGAACGCACCCCGAAACCAAGAGAGGGCGAGGCGCAGAATGAATTCGAAGATCGGCTGCTAGCATGGAGATTACAAAACTGGAAGGCAGTACAGCCTGATGCTGGCAAGTTTCTTCCTTGGGCGGTGCCTCCTTGGATGGTGTCCAATCTACCGCCAGACCTGCCGACTCCGGTCCGGATAGAACAGGGAGTTGAACTCAACAAGGACTATGCAGAGCGCGGACTGCAACTTATTATTAGAATCCTCAGTGCTGAGTTGACGCCCGATGATCCAATCTTTGAGACTGACTGGCACGTCGAGGGCCAGCTGGTAAGTCCGTCTCCAAACCCGAACCCATCATATCAGCGTTTTTCTGACATTTCCCAGAACGAGCACATCTGCGCATCAGCATTCTACACCTTCGACACAGAAAACATCGAAGACATCACCATGGAATTCCGCCACCTCGCCGAACTCGACTCCATCACCGAAATCGAGCACGACCCCGACGACTCCGTCTGGCTAAAACAAGTCTTCGGCCTCGACGCCGGCGACTCCCCCAACCAAATCGTCGGCAAAATCAAATGCAAAAGCGGCCGAGTCGTCATGTACCCCAGCACCGTCCAGCACCGCATCAACCGTTTCAATCTCGCCGACAAAGGTAAAGCGGGCTACACAAAGGCCATCGCCATGTTCCTCGTCGACCCGAATATCCGCATCATCTCTACGTCCAACATTCCGCCACAGAGACTCGATTGGGCCTTTGACGACTGTAAGAAGGATGAATTGGACGGGTTGAACTCGTCGTTGGATCGGCTGTCGATGAATTTTCAGGATAGGAGGGAAAATCTGCCGTTTTCGATGAATGAGGCGAAACAGTACCATGCGCAAATTTTCAAGGAGCTTATTGAGTTCACCAAGTATCAGCATGTGGCTTTTACGTCTAATGTTATTACTCTCTAGTCTTGGTTTGGTTGGTGGATTTGTCTGTCTGTTTGTTTTACTGTTTCTATTGTCCGCGTTTATTTAGCCTTAGATAATCAGTTGTGTCCAGGGGAGTAATTCAAACCAGATATACAATGGGTTTAGTAGAATCCCTACAATGTAGTATATAAAATAGTAAATAGTAGATAGAAGGGAGTACTAGTGAATAAACCGATGAAAAAATCAACAAATCTCTGATTTTCTATCCAAGTAACCATAACAGCGTAAAACCAAGTCGCCGCGCGCTATGCATGCAAACGATATGTACAGCAGCAGATGAAAAACAACACAAAGACCCAAGCGCCCGACTTTTCTTTTTCTTTCTGTAATGCACAAACATAAATCTCATAAGTATCAAGCCATTTTCTTGTTCTTCCTCCCTTTTTTTTAATCCCTTGTAAATGGTAGCCGAGTAGCAAGGCAAGCAAACACACTACCTACCCCTCGTCTCGGGGAACTCATCCTCAAGCTTCAATCTAGCGGTGACGTTCATACTCATGAGTTCTTGGATGAGAAGCTTAGCAGCGTACGGGATGACCATCTTGACGACATGTCGTGAGGACTTGCATCGCTGGCACCAGTTCAGGTAACCCATGAAACCGCACTGTTCGCAGACATCGATCTCGTGACGATCGGACGAGACCATGAGTCGCTCGAGGAGGAGCTGACTGGTACCGTAGGCGATGAGACAGTCACGTTCCATCTCTCCTAGACGGAGACCACCGTCTCGGGATCGACCCTCGGTAGGTTGACGGGTGAGGATGGCGCGGGGACCGCGGGCACGAGAGTGCATCTTGTCCTGAACCATGTGCTTGAGTTTCTGATAGTAGATTGGTCCTGTGAAGACGTAGAAGGGGAGCGGTTCACCGGTGATACCGGAGGTGAGGTACTCCTTTCCACCGTAGCTGAAGCCCTTTTCGATCAAGATTCGGGATGTCTCTTCGACGGGGGTGCCGCCGAAACAGGTACCGTAACCGTGATGACCGGCAAGCACACCGGATTTTCCGGCCACAAGTTCCAGCATCTTTCCGACTGTCATACGAGAGGGGAAACCGTGGGGGTTCATGATGATGTCGGGGTTGATACCCTGGTCGGTGAAGGGCATGTCTGATTGCTCGGCGATGATTCCAACGACACCCTTTTGTCCGTGACGGGAAGAGAACTTGTCTCCGACTTCTGGTCGACGGGTTTGACGAGTGAGCACCTTGATCAGTTGGTTCTCTCCCTCTGTCACAGACATCATAACCTTGTCGATGTAGGATGGATCAGGGAGCTTATAAGTCATGGGTGTGGGGAGGTATGAGATAGGCCGGTTCGCGTCCGAGCCAAACGAGGCATTGGTTTGGTCGGGGGTGGTTTTGTTGATGTAGACTTCACCCGCATTGACTTGTTCTCCTACAGACGCCAAACCGTCACTCTCAAGGAGAGCATGCTTTCTGATGGGAGCGTCATTCTCGTACGTAGGAGCATTCAATCTGTCCTTGGTACCGTTGGAATAGCTCTTCAAGTTTGTGACATATTTTCGGAACACCTGGCAACGTCCAAAACCACGATCGACGGAGCCCTTGTTCAAGACCAGAGCATCCTCGATATCGTAACCAGAGTAACTCATGACCGCGACCATTGCGTTTTGACCGGCCGGGAGCTGGTCGTACTTGGTCAACTCGATCGTACGCGACTTGACCAAAGGCTTCTGTGGATACACCATGAGGTAGAGGATAGAATCAATGCGAAGGAATTGATTTGAAGCGATTGCACCAATCGCTTGTTTACCCATAGCACATTGGTAGGTGTTACGCGGTGACTGGTTGTGGTGCGGGTAAGGGATCAAACCGGCGACAGCTCCAAGGACAGTGAACGGTTCAATTTCCAGATGGGTCGTTGCCTCGTTGATGTCCTTTTCATAGATAGAAATGTATGAGTCATTCTCCTCGTTTACATCAAGATATTCCACCAGTCCCTGGGCAAGGAAATCGTCGAACTCCATCTTTCCTTCACGTAGCTTCTCAAGGTGATGTTGTTTGACCCGGGACTTGCCGCCCTCGACAATAATGAGCGGTCTGCAAATACGTCCATCGTCTGTGGCGATATGCACTGCGCGCTGGTGGTGGTTAATGTAGATACTGACAAACTCGGAAATTCTACCCATCCGACGGAGTTTTCGGAACGAGTCGAGGAAGAACTTGGGACGTCGTGTGAACGCGATCGGTGTACCGTTAATCGAGATTGTGTAGCTTCCAGGGCCATAAAGTTCCTTTCCACCCAAGGTTGCAATGTCTTCCGCTCCCAACATGAAGATCAAATTCTTGACGGGGCCCTCTTCGTCGTTGGTTGTGATATGTGTCATAAGTGCCAAGTTCTTGACCAGACCACATGCTTCACCTTCTGGGGTATCTGCCAGACAAAGCATACCGAATTGGGACGGCTGCAGAGCTCTGGGACCACTGACCTTTCTGGTCTTTTCGAACTGACTGCTAATACGGGTCATCATACCCAGCGCCGCAATATAACTCAGTCGACTGAGAACGTGAGTAACACCAGCACGTTCCATACGGAAACGCTTCAAACTCCAGTTACCTGTCGATATGGCACGATTCATACCCTGGGTAATGTGATTACCATGCATACTCATAACACTCCAGGCATCGAAGGCCTCTGTCCGGTTGCGTTTGTTCAGCACCTTGTCAATGTTCATCTTGATGTCGAAGCAGAACTTCTTGAACAGATCTTCAAATAGCAAGGCCAACATCTGACCAGCCAATTCCAGTCGCTTGTTTCCGAGATAATCACGGTCATCGACCAGGGAGGAATCATTCTTGGCCATCAAAACACGGCGAGCCATGTGTGCAACGTAGATTGCCTTTGGTCGGAAGTTCATGTTCTTAACTTCAATATGAGAGATAATGACTGAAGCAATGGCTTCGACTGCCTCCTGCACGTGAGTTCTGCGGTAAGCCTGCTGCTTGCCACGGTTGATCTTAATGCGCGTGCCAATCCAGTCAAGGGCCTGCTGCTGGGTGGAGATGCCGAGCTTAATAGCTTCCTCAAAGTTGATGGCAAAATCGTCTTGGTAAACTTCATCGATACCCGCGACAAGAAGCATCATCTCCTTGTCAGTGTGAATACCCATTGCTCTTAGGAGCACAACAATGGGGATATCTTCGTTCAGCACGTTGTGTTTGACGTAGAGCTTCTCCTTTTTCCAAACGATGTAACTCTTAGACTTGCGCTCATTAGAAGAACTATAATCGCGTTAGCTATTGCTCCATGGAAAACAAGATTATATCCTCACCTGGTAACCGATGCCTGAACAATTTCCTTCTTGGGATCCGTTTCAACGATAATTCTGTTCTTGCTCAACTGCTCCTGGACGAGAATAACCTTCTCCGTTCCATTCACAATGAAATAACCACCAGGATCCAGAGGACACTCATTCAACACACTCATCTCTGAGGGCGTCTTGTTGGAGAGCACACATTTCGAACTCCGAAGCATAACAGGCATTCTGCCGATCGCCACACCCTTTTTGATAACCCTTTGACGGCCACGCACATATTCAAAGTTGACCAAGATCGGAGCGGCATATGTCGTATCACGAAGTCTACACTCCTGTGGCGTCACCGTAGACTCAATGTCGAACCCGGCATCCTGCTGCTCATCTGCACGTCGCGGAGTACCAACGTAGATATCGGTAAACTTAATGTAGAAGTTATGGTCGACATCGCTGCGAATGGTGGAACTCGACTCGACGATCTTCTTTAACTGGACTTCGACAAAGTAGTTGTACGAATCGATGTGCTGTTTGACCAATCCTTTCACTTTCAAAAACGCCGGCAACAGATTCCACTTATCCTTGGCGGTATCGATGGGGTCGGTCAACGATTTGTTGTAGTAAAAGGGCTCCAGGAGCGCATCGAAGGGGTCTCGATGGCGATAGGAAGATTGCGGCGATTCCTCATCGGCCCGGTTATGGTCATGGTCATGCTGGTGTTCGGGCTCCGCCGGGGTCGACTGTGCTGGAGCTGCAGAAGGCTTGGACTGGGAAGGACGCTTTCCTTTCGAAGCAGGGTCTGCGGCCTATAACACAATGATTCAAAATCAGCACACCGTTCGATATAGGACAAAGCCATGCGGAGAAACTTTTTTTTAGTCATACCTCTGCAGGCCGTGCAGACCTCGCTGCGGCAGGATTGGGCTTCCTACGAGGAGGCATTGCCAGTGGGAAGGGAGCAGCTGCAGATATGGAATCGCAGGCTGGCTGAGTTTAACAAAGAGGGGATGCGATCGATGACATTCCCATCCAGTCGCGGAGGACAATTTCTTTTTATCGGCGAGGGGAAAGATTGGATCCTCGGCGGAGGGGTGGTTACATAAGCAGGCTAGCTATCCAAAGGGGGTTAGCACGTAAAAAGTTTACAATATCAAGCTAACCGGAAGGGGTTAGCTCTATATCTATATTCTATCGAGGAGCCAGAAGAGCAATAATATTCAGATATACACACTATCTGGGAGAAGCAAATGAGGCTATATAGGAGTGGATTAAAGATTGGCAGCAATTCTGACAAGACCCTGCGTGTCAAGGACAACATCTCTCTCTGCAAGTCCAGGCGCTCGATCAAACAAAGCAGCAAAAGAAAGACAAAGCGAAGCTTCATCAGCAGTCGAAGGAGTTATCTTAACCTGCTGGGCCATATATGGACTCTGATAGACTTCAGACTGCTCCCATTTCTCCAGAAACACTGTCCTCTCAGCCTGTTCAACACCCAACAGCAACACAATCCGCACAGCGCCCTCTGAATTCTCAAACCACCACTTGACCTCCTCACGCAACTGAGGAAGTGACTCGGAAACAGCAGCCTCAAGTACCATAGTAGGCCAACCCGGTTGACCCCCGTATCCTTGCCGACTGGGAGGCAGAAAACAGTTGTCTGGCTGCTTGCCTTCACTGCTTGTAGGTTGAAACGTAGTGTTGCCTGCCCATTGGATATCGTTAAATGGATAGCCGGCAGTGATCATTGCAAAAGTAAGCTGGTGGATGAAGTTTGCTATACAGGTGTGATGATTATATGTGGGTATGAGTTTGATCAATCCTGTTCTGTCTCTGAATGAGAATCTGAAGGAGATTCCATCGAGGGCATTTCTGTCCGTGTCGAGAAGGGTACATATATCCTCAGGTAGTTCCTGGACGAGAATATATTGGTTTCCGTTGTAGTTGCTGTGACTGAGTTCGTTAAGAACATTGTGCGCATCAATACGTAGTGCTTGCAAGCTGGAAAAGGTTCGGCTGACCCGGTTTGGAACACTGCTTATGGTCATTTTGCTACAATGTGTAGCATGAACACAGTTCTGGGCTTGGTATAGGGTGAATATCTCGATGAAGATCAAGCTTCCACAATAGGGAATATATGACGCAGAATGATGCAACACATATAGTTTCAACATAAAATTCTATCCGTTACTATTCCTCACATTCCCGAACCGGTCGGATAGTCGTAAGAAAGCCTTTCGAACTTGGCCCTTTCAATCGGAACGCTTCCTCAATCTCACCCAATGATCTCCCCTTAGTCTCAGGCATAAAAAACACACAAACACAAGCCGTAACAAGCGCACACCCGGCAAAGAGAAAATAAGCCCCAAAACTACTCTTCGAAAGCAGAATTGGCGTCATGAGCGCCACAAAAAAGTTAGCAGCCCAGTTACTCCCATGCGCCAGACTCGTTGCAGACGCGCGCGTACGCTGCGGTTGGATTTCCGCTGCGTAGATCTTGATACCCACCGCCCAGCTGAGGGAGTAGATGACGGCGAAGATGTAGATAGAGACGATGACGACCCAGCGACCGGGGCCGGTGGTGCTGTGTACGGTTTTTCCGGCGTAGAGGGCGCCGATGAGGAACATTGTGATGCTTAGGCCGATGCCGCCGTAGATGATGCTGTGGCGACGGCCCCATTTGTCGGCCCAGATGAGGGCTGGGATGGTTACGGCGAAGATGACGATGGCTGAGACGCCTGAGGCGAAGAAACTTGCGTCGGAGGAGGCGAGGCCAGCTTGTTCGAAGAGGAGGGGGGCGTACTGTTCATGTTAGCAGTGTTTATATAGACGTGAAGGTGATAGCATACGTAGAGAACTCCATCAATTCCACTCAGCTGCTGCATCGCCATCAGAAACAATGCAAGCGCAGTGCGTGCTCGAACATCCCGAGAGAAGACTTCAAAAAAGTCATGCTTTTTGGGCGCATCATCAGACGGCCCAGTAACTGTAGACTCAGTCTGAGTCTCCTCTCTAGTCTGTTCTATCTCCACCTTTTCACGCTCAGCCTGACCAACACCCAGCAAGTCCCATGTCTCTGCAGCTTCGGCATGACGGCCATGGAGCGTCAACCATCGCGGTGACGGGGTGAGCCAGAGAAGCGAACACATCGAGAAAACACCGGATAGACCGGCGAGAAGAATGAAAGGCGTGCGCCATGCAAGCGATGACTGAATCCTCGCGCATCCATAACAGGTAAAGAAACCAACAACCAAACCAAGCGTGATGAGCAATTGAGGACCTGTCGTTAATGCGCCCCGATTGCTAGTGGGCGAGATCTCACAAATATACCTAGAGATCCATAATCAGCTTCATCAATCCAGAATCCGTAGAGTCCAGGGTGACCATACACCACCAAAGTCCCCAAAAACAACCCCTCCCCAATCCCCTCAACACACCTCCCAACAATAAACATAGCAAGATGCACCGCGGCCGCCTCAATCGCAGCCCCGATCCCAAAAATCAACACCCCAATACTAATCCCCCTCGGTCTCCCAAACTTATCAGCCAGAAAGCCCGCGAAGAAGGAGGATATCGCGGCGGGGATGAGGATCGAGGAGACGATCAATCCGTGCACGGCTGCGGATTGACTGCCGAATTGCGCTACGAAGGGTTTCATCACGGTGACGGGGCCGATAATTCCGGTGTCCATTCTGGTTTTGTTAATGAAGTTTTATGGGTTGAGGGCGTTGGTTCGTACCCGAATAAGAGTCCATTGCAAGAACAGAGGATGCTGGCGAGGATATATCGCGGGGGTCTAAAAGTGAGGTTCAAATTCATCTTGAAGAATTGTATTAATTTGACTCCAAGAACTGATCAGGGAGTTTTATATAAGATAAATAAATCATCACAGAACGAAAAAGGAAAAAAGAACCACTGTGCGCAGAACAGGGGAAAAAATATTCAAGTGACGGAATCCTTAGCTCCAGACTCGACCAGACCAGAACATCCAGTATCAACGACCCTGACCCACACACCAGAAGATCCTGTAGAGTCATTCACAGTCACAGTCACATTGCAATCTCCCTGAGCAAGTGAGATCCATCCTTTACACCATGTCGAATCCATTATCTCGGGGAAATATCCAAGTTAAAGATCAACACTGCATCCCATGTGATAAAGATAAGCTGTCTGATATGTCAGTTCAGTTCAAGAGTCACATTATATGATAACTCGTATCTATTCCATTAAGGCAAGAATAAGCACTCAGCAGCCACTCCATATGTAGGTGAAAAATTCATTTCATGTTTAAGGAAAATCTCGACTCCCACGGGCGAATGTGGGGGGAAAGGGCCCAGTTTTATCTGAATTGCTGGAGAAATCCGGAGCGATCTCACCCGACTTTCAGTGATCAGTCACATTGATTTAGTGGGGGGGAGAGAGGGAGTCATCCACTATGCAAGTGATTTCTGTGCAGTTATATATCAGATATATGGTATCATATTGTGGAGGATGAGGGAGATAGATGATGGAAGAGGTTGCTGGTTTAAACTTACTTTAGGCTTTATCTGGGGATCGAATGCGGGGAGTTATTAGTATATTATAGCTGGTTAATAAGACTACTTTGGGCTTCATGCTGCCTATAATATTCTTTAATATAACGAGATATTAAGCAAACTGTAGTTTGGAGACCGCGCATAATTCAGCATAAATGAAAGATCTAAATAATGTAGGCAGATAGATATCCTGCTTGTACAGAATACTCAATCGATAAAAGCACTGTACTGCTGCTGAGATTGGATTACATGATGTATTCGAGATCAGCTGACGGATATATCGCATGTCTCATGACCCATAGCTTCATTCCAAATATGGAAATAGCCAAAGGATACCTTAAGTTCACCACGTACCCCCTTGTCCCAACTAACATGGGTTCTACATATGCGGTGAGTGTACCGGGCAGAAGGGAGTGTAAGCTATGATGGCATGTTGGATTGCGGTCTGCAAATTGTTGGAGAGAAAAAATTCCAGGGCCACGAATAATATAAAATAACAACTCAGCCCCTTCTTTCCGAACCGTCCAATATATTGAGGCTGTTTGGAACGGTGTGTCCTTTTTGGGAAATTATTGCAGGAGAGCATTTCGAATGTTGTCATCTTGCAACACAAAAATCCGTTCTCAATAGTTCTCGGCATGGTGCCCAATGGATTGTACCTATATTGTGCAAGGCGGTGGTAGGGCAGGATAGCTAGGGTTTGTGAGTATTTCGGAACACCCGCCCATCCAAGGAGCACCCATGCAAAGGTAACAGGTGCCATTTCATCGAGCATCGATGCATGTACTCTATAAGCCGCTTTACCCGTCCAGCTTGCTGGCAGTTTCCACGGGGAAAGTCGACCCCACGATTCCAATTGGTAACCCATGTTTTTGGAAATGAAAATACTCCTGAATGCTTCTGCCACGTTCGGTCAGTGCAGGGTTGTTCTGTCTGCAGCTATCGCCGCAAGGCATGAGATACGTAATCCATCCAAAGTGGATCCTCGAGAATCAACGCAATAAAAAAAAAGCGGCAAGTTGGGGATGAGCCTGCGAGGACGTTAAATGAGCTATGCCGCCATAGCACTACAAATTTTAGTATCTTTTGACGTACTGGTATCAATTGAGATAACTGCAGGTAGTCAGAAGCAGTCTAGCCCAATTTACTCACCAGTGGGTCCAATCCAACGCACGAACAAAACAGAAGCCACCTTATGTATCATTCTCGAAACACCCAAGGGCCCAATACCGTGCGGGTTGGTCTCCACGATACGCAAAGAATTGAATGGCCCCAGCGTCGCATCCCGAGATCCCCTCTTCTGTTCCATACTTTGTTCGATTCGATTCGAGTCGGAACGAATGGATTCCTGCGGGGTTGGGCAACAACGCCTTGGATATCTCAGATTATTGTGCTTTCCGATCATTGAAACAGGCACACTAGAGTGAGGAGCAGCGATTATGCATCCATCACTGGTCCCGAGCGCGTTGTACGCTCAAGATAGTTCCCGAGGCTGCCGTTTGGAACGTCAATAGCGCCGATGTCTCATGTTTTCATGCGGGGGAGGATGTCGAAGGAACATGGTGCCTGTGGCGGTGGAATATCTCTGACCGCAATTTTCAAAGTCTGTTGCCACCTGGCATCCATCAGGAATCAATGATCCAGGTCGAAGAATTTCATTCGATGGCCAGATACGATGAACAATGGGGAGTGAAAAAGAAATGAGGTGACCAAATTCTCCAAGCACGATTCAAGGACTCGAAGATCAGTACTTAAGAGTTCGCACAGTGGATGTTGAACAATATCATCACGTGGAATACCGAATGCGCTGACCCGAATTGGCTTTTATGGCCATACAGACCAATCATACTGGCAGTTGCGATCCAAGAGAGACCAACGGAGCAAGTCATACTTCGATTACACCAGACTGCACATGTTTGATGACAGGCATAGATGAACCGACGGGATTTGAAGAATCAACTATGCAACGATGATTGAGTCATTGACAGTGGAGGACAGCGTTGCAGATGCAGCAAGTGAGCGCGGGGAGAATTAATGGGGATAGACGCTGGGGAGGGGGGCAAAACGTCCTCGACTCTCGAGTCTGGAGTTTCCTGAGAGATGACGATTTGACGAGTCACAAAGGGATCGGCTAAGCTAGTTGGGACCAGCTAATCACAGCAGGATACGGATATGTATGCACTGCGCAGGTAGTTGATGCATTGCTCCGATAGACTAAGTGGGAGATGCACGCTGGCCGTCGGGCATGAAAGCTTCCATTGCTTCGTGGAGAGCGTCACATGACCTGCTTACCACTCGAACTCGTGACGCGATAAGAGCATCAGTCACTATCAGACAAGTCTTCAGAGCATCATCTGGGATGTGAGATATATTGTCGCGATAATTATCCACGACAGTAGAATACCCCAAGACTCAAAGACTAGAGAATGATGACAGGAGATGATCAGATCGTGCCCAACTAGAAAGGTGGCCCACGGTGATTGGGCTCTGTTTCCCCTGAGCCCTACTGCGGTTCGTTGGATGCAGCCAGTCTCTCCACTGGCATGCCCGACATCCAGTGGTTCAGGGGGAAGAATGGAAAGATTGAAGTGATAAAATTGATTAATTGCTAAAGGATGCCAAAACTCCACTTCCCAAGCGACGGATCAGCACTGGCTTGTTCCCTGGTGGGTTGTTCACCGCTTCTCTGGCGCCGCACCAGTCATCTTTAATCATCTGAATTAAGGCTTACAGGCTTGGAGCCTGACTGACGTCTTTCTTCAGAGGTCTGTTCTCATCGTATCTTATCACAGACATTAATCTTTTCAGTTCCTGTAAACTGGAGTTACAGTGATTGTATTGAGCATAATTGAGATGACTGAGTTGATATTGAAATCATGGCTTCTCATGGTGACCATGGATCAACCGTAATTGATCACCTCGGGATCCCTGGCACATCCCAACCTCCGACCACATCGACCCCAAAAAAGAACAAAGAAGGAAGAAAGACCCGTCGCGAACCATATGGAACACGCGTGGAATCCATGAACATTATCTGTCTCTCATCTATGGTTGAGGTTGTTATTTTGGTCGCCATCCCAGCCATCTTAATTGAAACTCGACTCCAACGCTAGTCTCACACAAAGAAGGATTTCAAAAAGACCAAGCGATGACTTGCACCTCAGCACGGACGCTATTCGCGGATCAATTCTGATTTCGTCATGATAACAGAACCACAGAAAGCGACGGAAACGAAACAGGAAAAGAAAAAAGCAAATTGGACTCATGATCCAGGTACGTGCGGTGGCTAGAATGATCCGCTGTCACATCTTCTAGTAATTTTGGCCTTCTCCACTCGATGCAGAAAAGGGCTTGCAGAGGCACGCTCTCGAACAGCACACCAACGCCCCTTGCACTGGCCAGTCAATAGATGCGATGAGCTGTGATGGTGAGTCAAGAATTGAAATAGACATTCTTAGTAGGAGTATTATTAGTATTATAGTGTTGGTAGTGACACTTTTTTTACGTCGGAATAATCATTGCTGGCCCCCAACAAACCTAGGAGTAACACAGTCGCCTTGAACTGGAATGGAGATGCCCAGATCCAATCACCGGCCGGTCTGCTAAGAGATTCAGCAAGATGATCGTCCGGAGGGTTTGTTGATTGCTCATCCAAAAACCAGACAGCTCATCGAGCTATTCTTCGCGTAGGAAGAGGGGGTGTGTAAAAGAACGGTACTCCAATGCTCAATGACACCCTTGGACGCCCAAAGAAGTCAAACATGACCATTTCTGGAAGATACGCCTGTTGCGATGCGATGGTTTGATGGCCAGGGCAGCAGATCTTGAAAAGCTCGGTCCAGGGCCAATGTACATCACCATCATCATCCTTCATCCTAAACGCCCACTTTCTCACTTAATTTTTTTTTCTTTCTCCAAAAAAAGAAAAAAGAAAAAAAAAAAAGTCGAGTCTTTTTGAACTCCCCGCCCCGGGCGATTAATCCTCCCAGCCGCCGCCGCCTCCTCTCTTCCCCTCCTCTCCTCCTCCCACGACTCTTCCTCTCTCTCTCTTCCTCCCCTCCCTCCTTTCCTCTCTGCGCTCGTCAATAGTCGTCTGTACAACAATTATTTTTCCTTTTCGTCGTTGTAGTTGTTTTCCTTATTCCTGTCGTTGCGGCGCTTCGCTCGTTCCCCCCTTTATTCTTAACCCCTCCCCGCCGCTCTCGATTCGAGGGCGTAGGGTTAGCTGTAGGTGCCGTTTGTTGCCCTCTGATTCAACCACCCGCCGCTGATCAAGAGATCTCCGCATCCCTAGGTCGGGAAACGCACTGCTGGCCTGCGAAACCACCGTACCACGAATAACGCCCATTATTTTTATCTTATCGCTCCTACAACTCCCTTGGACAGACGTCCGTTCATTTTTCTTGTCCTCCCTTCTCTCGAGGCGTTCATCATTGTGTGAGTCGTGCTCCTGTCGAGATGGTCCTCCGCCAAATCACACCCCTCAGCCCCTCCCCGAACTCCTTACTTTGAACACACCGCCAGCAACCTGCACTGCTCTCTCCCTTGTCCTCTTGGCTTTTGTCACCACTGTCCTGGGTGCAATTGCGTTTTTATAATTGAAGAGGCCCTCCCACCTGCCTGTCCCCCTTCATAAAAAGCCCTCGTGGTTCAACGTGACATGGTGTTCATGATTTCTGACCTGTCTTGTCTCTTGACGATAATAGCCCCGACCTTTTCCCAGCCTGCCCATCATGGCCTTCAAGAATGGGCTGAGTGAGCGCCTCGACGAGCTGCGATTCCCTTCTCCACGTTCGCCTCCGTCCGAGTCCCCCTTCCCTGGATATAGCTCTCTTTCCCCGGGTCACTCGAACCTGGTTTCGGGATTTTCGCGGCCGGCCGGTGAAGTTCGTGCCAATCTCCAACGTCGCTTCACCACCGATTCGAGTAAACTCTCCTCGTGGAGCTATTTGAATCACATCGGAGGAGGTGCGCCTCAAACCCCGGATAACCTAGACCTAATGTCATCGGTAAGCTTAGCATCTCCATACGCGGCTCTATCAGCCATACCTTGTCGACATTATCCCCCATGTTCTGGCAGCTCGAATATGCTTGCTTCGTAGTTGTGGCCCTGGCGTTTTCGTCACTCAGGGTTCCCTGCTTCCCCTCACTTCACCTTGTAGTCACTGTCATTTATTCACTTCAACAAACTGACCTGCTACCTTGCAGAATACCACCCAGTTTTATAAGTCCCAGCTTGTGAGCCTCCTGGAGTTTACCCCGCTCTCCCCTTCTTCTCACTCCCTTGTGCCTGTATGTTTCTGACTCTATTCAGTTCGAGAAGAAGCGTCAGCACATAGAATACATGCGAGAACAGAAGAAGAGGTTCGAGGAAGATATGAAACTCTTGGACCTACAGCACGAGAAGGAGAAGCAAGAAATGGACCAACTTGCTCGAGACCTCGCAAAGGCAGGTTTGTCTGGACCAGTCAGCGAACCTACCACCCCACCCGAATATCGTGAGAATGGCTTCCCGGGTGGATTCACTCGTCCTACTCGTTTCTCAACCTCTAGCGTCACCTCATCGCCAGGCTTCTTCAACGTCTTTGCCCCCTCTGGAGTGACTTCACCAAGTCAAGTCAACCACGCTTCTGCCCAGACTCCCACCAACAGATTCTCTGTGCACTCCGTTCCTGGCTCTCGTAGAAACTCCGAAAAGGAAGACTTTGGACCAGAACCAGCATCTCCATTCCGTCCTGGACCTTCGTAAGTTGACCTTACCTTCAGCCTGGATTTTGTCTTTGTTTGTCTTTGTGTCTGGGGTGTGCCCCTCTCCCTCTGTGGCTTGACACCACCACGTCAGTGGGAGTGCTCCCACCAGAGACCATAACAAGACACTTCTACCTCCCTCAATGTCCATCACACGTCTTACTTGCTTAGCGCGTTTTCTTGTCCACCTTCACCCCATAACCCCTCAGATATCCTTCACCTGTGTTGTCAATTCTGAAACCCCACTATCACTCCTGCTGCGTCCCATTCCACTTACTAACTCTTCTTTAAAGCATTCACCGCTACTCTATGCCTTCAACTGGCATGAACTCTCAATTCCGTCCCAGCATTTCAGGCTTGAGCAACCCGTCTGGTCTTGATACCTTCACTGCTGCCAAATATCTACTTCACAGTGAGGAAGACAGGGCAACGCTGAAGGAAGAAGATCGAATCCCCACTCCTGACATCAAGAGCTACCTCAAGTTGACGGACCCTGACGACAAGTTCCCTACTCTGTCACGCCGGGACGAAGCCGGATTGGTAAGTCTTTTCGCTTTTCTTTTGGTAGAAAACACTTGATTATTTACTGACTGAAGACCCAGCTTTCTGCAAACTCGGACGCTTTGGACCTGGCCAACTCGCGTACACCAAACCCAGAGTCTTGGAATACCCATAGTCGCCACCGCTCCTCGCACCAGAGCATGCCACAGAACGCTTTGAACATGTTCCGTCTCGACCAGCTTGGAAGCCCAACGAGCGAGAATCATTCCAGCGTAACCAACTCTTCTCGCCACGCTGCCAGACATTCTCTGGAAGCAAACATGCTGTTCAATGAGGGAAGCCATGACAGCATGGCCCCGGGTGCTTCGAACCGTCCAAATGGCTTGCAGTCGTCCTACTCGACCAACGATGTGCCCACAGTCAAAGGCGAAAGCTACACGGCTGTCACTCCGCCCAAGACCCACGCTGAGCAGTTCCACCAGCACAATGCCAGCTTGGGTCGGATTCCGGCAAATGCTGTCAACACCCGCCAGGCTAAAGACTCCCCTGAACGTGACGAAGCGAAGCTCCAGGGCTCTCAAGCCCAGCAGACTACTTTGCAGGCTAGTGCTGCGCCCTTTGGCCCCCAGCTTCCCGCTGCAGCCTCTCAAGGTGGCTCTGCTGCACAAACTCCCCTGGCCTCGTTCCAGACCCCCCTTTATGGGTACGGACTCCAGGCGTACATGGGGAACCCAGTGCAGGTGAACGGACAGCTCCCGAACTATAACTCTGCCGCTGCCCCCTACGGAGGATACAATGCTTATGGTAACTATCGGCTCGCTGAAAGCCCAGGCAGGGGAGCTGGAGCTAGCTCTCGCCGAAACGGCGGTGGCGACGCCGACGCTACCCAGCTGTCTCGCTTCACAAACTTCCCCTTGGAGCATTACAAGGGCGAATTGTATGGCCTTTGCAAGGATCAGCATGGTTGCAGATATCTGCAAAGGAAGTTGGAAGAGCGCAACCCGGAGCATGTTCAAATGATCTTCAATGAGACTCATCTGCATGTAGTCGAGCTAATGACTGGTTCGTCGATCACCCCTCTGTCAATTCAATTAGTGTGTCTAACTTTCTGAAACAGATCCCTTCGGTAACTATCTCTGTCAAAAGTTGCTCGAGTACTCCAACGATGAGCAAAGAACTGCCCTTGTCAACAACGCTGCCCCCCAACTCGTCAAGATTGCTCTTAACCAGCACGGTACTCGTGCCCTGCAGAAGATGATCGAGTTTATCTCGACTTCTGAACAGACCGAGACAGTCATCCATGCCTTGGGTGAACATGTTGTGGATCTGGTCCAGGACTTGAACGGAAACCACGTCATTCAGAAGTGCCTGAACCGTCTTTCTGCGGAGGATGCCCAATTCATCTACGATGCTGTGGGTGCTCACTGCGTGGTTGTTGGCACTCACCGCCATGGATGCTGTGTGCTGCAGCGTTGCATTGACCATGCGTCTGGTGAACAGAGAGCCCGCCTAATTGCTCAGATTACGTCGAACGCTTTTGCTCTGGTCCAGGACCCCTTTGGCAACTACGTCGTGCAGTACATCCTGGACCTTGCCGAGCCTCACTTTACCGAACCCCTTTGCCAAAGCTTCCGTGGAAACATTTCTGCCCTCTCCAAGCAGAAGTTTAGCTCCAATGTGATCGAAAAGTGTCTTCGTACAGCGGAAGTTTCAATCCGTCGTCAAATGATCGACGAGATGCTTTCCGGGCATGAGCTCGAAAAGATGCTTCGTGACAGCTTTGCAAACTATGTCGTTCAGACTGCTATGGACTTTGCCGATCCTGAGACCAGAGCTCGGATCGTTGATTCTGTTCGCCCGATCCTGCCTTCGATTCGCCAGACTCCGCACGGCCGTCGCATTGCCGGTAAGATCATGGCAGCTGATGGCTCCGGCAGAGGAAGCGCCGCCACCAGCGGACAGGTGACTCCGAACGAGATGAATTCCGCCCAGCTCCCGGGTCCCCTTCAGGGACCGCAGAAGCCCTTCATGTATCAACATAACCCTTTCCCGTCCTCCAATGTTGGCTCCCAGTTCGGAAATCAGAATTTTGTGCCTGCTTCTGGCAGTGGCGCTTCCAACACCCCCTCTGGCGGAGCTAGCGAGAATTCTTCTGGTATTTTTACTGCTGCTCAGCAGCCGAACGGCAATCTTGGTGCGCAGAATCAGCTGTACGCATACTTCTGATCTATGGCGCTACATTCCAGATTGCTCGTTCCTGTTCATTGAATTGTACCCATATTTGAGATGATGCTTACGATCTTCATGAATTAACGGCCACCCTGACAGATTGTCAGCAAATGGGGGGGACTCGACTTGATACCATAACAAGATCTTATCTTTATGCAATCCGCCTTGCATCTTTCCTGGATTCTTTTGACGATACGATGCAGTCTATGATGAGGCATCCTTCTGCATTCATAACTTGTATTCTTTTTTTCACAATTTGGATGTTCATGCCTACGACGTCTGATTTTTTGATGACAGAAACCTGAGCCTTTGTTCTTTATCATTTATCTTTTGATGACTCATCCTGCTTTTCCATTGCACAGCGGCAAGTCAGGCTTGATCTTCAATCATGTGCTTTGTTTCCAACACGTTCTTTTTCTTATCACCATCTGTGCTTTTACTCCATTTTTCTTTTGTTAGCCTTCCCTTTTTTTCGATTCACATCATGTTGTGCTGTTTTTTGCATCGAGAAGCGGCTTTGCATATCCCTATCTAAATTGGTTTATCAATGCTGCCAATTCTTGACTATTTGGGCGACGCAGTGGAATGTAAATAAGGGAGCAATTGTGTGTCACTTGATCTGCCTTCTGTATCCTATGTGGGACAAAATGGCTGTATCCATCAATTTCTTCCTATCTGTTTTCACACATCTTGAGATCATTGTTGCATGATTTCTTCTCATTTCAGCGTCTGTTCCAGCAGCACAGTTTAGTAGACTAGATGTACCCATACATTAGGAAACGATTTTTTTCTGATTCGCATCATCTGTTCTCGAACAATTAAACTCTCCAGGTAATTTAAATTGTCTTATCCAGACTTCTTTGTCTCTCCTTGATTGATTTCGCGTTTTGCACGGTGGCCACACGTGACTTTGCATGTGAACGGAGTGGCGCGTCTTTTTGATGATGGAATAACTTCAAGCCAAGATCCCAATGTCCACCAATTCCAAGTCGCAAGCATCCTTTGTTTAATTGATATCGCACCAATTGCTTATTTCGTGATAAACTACAATATCCTATGCTTCCAATAGAAATCAGTCGCTCACTTAGCCAGCAATGGCCCTGTCGAGAAATTCAAACCAGGCAGCTCGCAAGCCTTCTCAGCGTGAGTGACCTTGATATATCCCCCTTTGCTCAATCCCCGACCGGAGTTGCTGATTTTGTAAAATTTTTATAACCAGCCTGGAATCCCTAGTCCATCAACAGTTGTCGTCCATGGTATATCAGCAACCTGCAAATCGACAATCGTCCGCGCCGTCCTCTCCGCCGCCCAAGTTCCGCATGCCATTGTCCGAAGCACAGAATGTATAACAGGCCGACATCTCCTCACGAAGATATTATGGGAAACACTCGAGGCGCTGGGGCGGAAAGACGAGTGGGAGAGCTTCGGAAAAGGGCGATGCGAACATGTTAGTTCCCTCGCGGTGCTGCTGTCGGAATGTCTCGCGGAGACACCAGGGAAGAAGAAGGTTGAAAAGTTCGTGCTGGTTTTGGATGGAATTGATAAACAGCGGGAAGCGCCGCCGACGTTGCTGTCGGCGCTTGCGAGATTGGGAGAAGTGGTAGGTTACTTTTTACTGCTGCGCAGGACTTGGGATTCGAATGTTTGATTTGCTTACGGTTTCCAAAATAGATTCCATCTCTCAGCGTCGTTTTGATCCTTGGTACCACGCCACGACCGCTGTTCCTTCAAGCAGCAGCTATTCCGCATATCCTATTTCCTCCTTATACACGCAAAGAAGCAATTGCTATCATTTTGAACTCGGATCCGCCTCCTGTCGCCGGACTGCCACTTGACGTATCCACCAAACTATACCCATTTTTTGTCTCAACTGTATACGACTCTCTGGTCGGACCTACGGCAAGCTCAATTCCCATTTTCACATCCATCTGCGCGAGGCTATGGCCGCAATTCGTGGCGCCAATTACAAACGGTGAAGCCCCGCCTGGTGATAACCAAGAATGGGACTTTTCGCGGCTCCTGGTTAAGAATCGGGCCATGTTTCGACATTCCGGCGAAGCTGCCCTCGTGCATCATATCGTCACTGAAGAATCCATCCCTGCTGCCAGTCGCTCCGCCGTCGGAAAGCCCTCCTTGGCTGCAGTTTCTGCGCCTTCGCCTCTCCCGACATTGCCTTATTTGCCAACTCTGATTTTGACATCGGCGTATTTGGCTTCACATATCCCCCAGAGACTCGATACGATTTTCTTTTCAAAATTCTCTTCTTCCTCTTTATCGGCGCGGAATAAACGCGCTCACCATCGCCGAAGGTTGAAACTCCTATCAAAGGCCCAAGCAGAAGACATCAGCGAAGCAAGTAAAGGCCCATCAACACCTAGCAAGAGAGGTAAAGGTAAAAGAACAAAGACCCGAATTACCAAATCTACCCTGGAGTCCGCCTTTGCTACATCCTCCGCTACCACTTCCGCCGTGGGAGGCGGTGCCGGTATCACCGGCCCTTCGACTATCCTCACAGCCCGTCCCTTTCCTCTCGAGCGGTTAATCGCAATCTTCCACGCAATTGATCCTAATCCTCCCGCGAATCCGATCAGACTAGGTGCAATTTCGGATACGATATACGCGGAGCTGGCTACGCTGCGACGACTACGTCTCGTCGTACCTGCTGCGGGTCGAGACAGTCGTTCCGGGATAGGTTCTACTGGAGTGAATAGTGGGAATACGTCTTCCGATGCTGGAGAGAAATGGTCTGTGAATGTTTCGGGGGATTGGATCGGGGAGATGGCCAAGAGTATTGGCGTAGAGGTTGGGGAATGGTTAGCTGGTGGCCTGGACTAATGGCTGGACTGTATCTGCGGCGCTTTAATAATATACCTTGCTCAATTCAGTCACATAGCGTGTTCTGGATAAGATCCCTAGAGATATCGAGGAATATACAATACCATAAATGATATCCATGTTTATAAACAGACTTATGGTTATGTCCATCATTACTATGTTCCCGTATTACCATATCCATTGATCAACAGCAGCCCGAGCACAAACCAACAAACTCGGAGTCTGGGGTCCATAAGAAGACCCATCGCCTGATTCAAAACAGACAGAAGTGATGGGATACGAGTACTGATATTTCGACAAGGGCGAGGAGACCTGCTCGCCGGTTCGGAGGGAGAATAATCGGATCTTATTTTCGTCACAGGCTAGAATGGAAGAAATTTTTGTTAATTTGTTTCTTGCTCTCTTGCTTTGGGCTGCTCGATGGGAAAGGGGCATTCCTACCACTGGCTAATAGGTCTAGCTCAGGGCTGACGTCGAATTCGGGTATTGCTGCTGGCGAATAATCGCGGAACGATATGTAAGGTCTTGTAGAGGTGTGTCTCCGATCCATTGGTTTGGGGTTACGTTGTAGACCATTTGGTGGGTAGCGAATGTCGTACATTTGGAGCTGGTTTGGTATTAGAATCCCTTGCATATAAAAAATAGGGTATATAGAGAGATGACATACCGATTTCAATCCCCCCACAACAATCCGATACGGGTCGACCTTTCTTATCTTAGATACGGCATGAGGGTGCTGGAGGCGAGTGGCAGTTCCCCCACTTCGACGATCGTGAAGGAAGATGGCGGAATCTTTGAGCCCCGCGGCAATTACATCAGAAGATAGCCATTCCACGCTGGTGACGAGTGCATGGGATGAGTCCATACGTCGGTGTAGGATTGGTTTTCCTGATACCACGTCGTTGGGAAAGGGTAGTTTGGATAGTGACCAGTGGCTTCCGAAGCCCTCTAAGGTGTGTAATCCGTCGGATGTGCCAATTGCGAAGAGCGGTTTGGGGCCTGCTGGGCAGGGAGCGGTGCACCATAGTGATGGTGTGGTGGGGATCTTTACGGGGTGTGAGACTGGTAGATATTAGTGGGATTCTATTGGAAGGGGTGCTGAGGCGCGAACAGAACGGAGGCCATCGATAATCTCCTCCTTCGTCGGGGTCAGGCAGCATTCGTGGCGCAAGGAACGAGTCACCGCTAGGGCCGCTATCCATTGCCGCACTGGTCTTGTCAGGTTCCAATCCAGGATGCCAGGCATGAAGATTGACTTACAGTAGATATCCGGTATGGCTTAGTGAGATAGATGCAAGCTACAGAGTCATCAGTTTTGGTTCTTGTGCCAGGGTCGATTAGAAATACTATGAACTCAGACATACCCTGTATGCTTCTTTGAAAAGAACTCGCTCCATGGTCTGATTGTATGTCCACCTTTTCTTATCAAAGTCTGGAAAGCATACTCTGCGTGGCGATTAGCACGCAAAGGTCGGACATTCCATAGCAGAGATGGAGCTCACGAAACAGAAGATTCACCACCACGATAACCACCTTCCCATAATCAGCAATGGTTCGGATAACATGCAAAATGCTGGACTCACTGGCAATCAAGATTCCTGACCGTTGGTTACGGAGAACCTGTCTAATAGAATATTCATCTGGCCATGGTTCGAATCGGTGCAACTCTTTTCGGCGCACTTGACTGGCGTATATCAGTCCTTGCTGTTCTTGACGAGCGCTTTTCGATATGCATCGCGTTCCGATCTCTCTGTCCACCCCCATTAGAGGATTTGCCAAAGAGGTAGCTTTCTTGATCTTCTCCTTTGCTACCCTCTGATTGTGTTGGACTTTTTTCTGGTGTTTCTATATAAGAGTTAGTAAAATAGCCAAGTTAAGGCCCGAAAGAAAGTACGACCTCATAGTCTATGCGTCTCCTTTTCACGGCATCTTGCGAATAATTTGCCCCCGGAGCGGCTTTGTGGTTTGCCTGGATTTTAAAGTATTTTTTCTTTTCAGGATCTGATGATTTTTATTAGCATAAATTTGACATTACTTATTCTCCACTCGAATAACTCAAACTGCTAATGAACGGTTTGGTGTCGTCACTTACCAAAGTAAAATCCGGGGATTTCGCGATTCATGATTTTTACAACAGCTCAGATAGAGTCAAGCTCAATTAACCAAAAGTCGTATAGCTCTTAATTGATTTTTTGAATGAGAAAGTCAAGAAGACTTTGAGATGCACCACCAATGGCATACACATATGACATCAAATCGGAGCGATTGGCCACAACACTTTCAAAAGACGGGATTTATCTGCATTTTTGATACAGCTCTGAGGAATTCCACTTAGACTTCACAAATAGACGATGAAACAGAGTCTGGATGCTTTATGTTTTCATGTTGGAATGCTTTGCCATCCGAGGGAGATTTTGGCGGCGATGACGCTGAGAGGTCTCTGTTTATGTAAGCAGCCATAGGACGTTCTGATTGGTTGGAACTTGTGTATATAGAGTGAAGAGCGGATGTCAGAATTACCTCAGGTGTGATATTCTGGGTTCGGCTTCATGGTATGGGTTGTGATAATGGGTCATATAGAGTTTCTGCTATTACCTTTATGCATTCGAATGGAATTATCGTTTCATCAAAACCTATACCTTGGTACTGGGTGCGGAGAATATAAACATCACTGAGGACGAAAAAGCTAACTCTGCTGCTACGTCCCGCTGTGCAATATAAGATAGTATATTTTCTTGTAATAAGTTGCCTATGTCACATGCAAGTAGCAGTAGCTATTGTGAAAGTATGTATATTGTAGTCATTTGCCGGAGAACTTGTGATAAACCAGAGTCGAAGTCCATTTCTTGGCTTCCCTGGTCCACCGCTCGAAGAAGCAGACAAAACTGAGTCATAAAGATATCGAACCATGAATAAAAGTACTGAATACTATATTTCTGGTCGTTGGAGTTAATTCAGTGTTGAGTTGAGTGCTGTGTGCTTCCTTGAAGTTTCCTGACCGAGAGGCTGATGATACAGCGAAACTTCAATGTCCAACCTGATGGTATGGGAAAGAACGACTAGAGGGAAATGTGATGATATTGTGTCAGAATGAGAAACATGGTATGATTTGAGGTTTCCTGCTATCGTTGGATTTTGACATGAGATATTGCCTATGGTGCAAAATGCTCAGAAGTCAGTGTACTTTCTCGTGAGATAGGATTCATGAACTCATCAGAATGGGCTCTGATAATAGTTATATCTTCCTAGAAGGCTTATCAGAGAGCAGATGGCATAGATGCTTCTTGCTGGACTATTGTTTGTCTTTCAGCAGAGATGGCAGCCTGAGGTGTTTTGGCCAAAAAAGAAATAGCCTGCAAAGGGAGAGCACACAGACTCGTATGGCAGAACCCTACAGAGAAACCTCGAGATAATCCCGCAGTCACTCTTCTTTCTTTCTCCCTTCATCCTCGACCACGAGAAGCAGGGCCAGCTTCCTCCGGCAATTCCCATCAATCCTCTTCCCATTCCACGATGGGAAGGCATTTCTCCTCAGTTGGCGGTACTTGCCATCTGATCCTCAAAAAGCGACTGATTTATGTCAGTGTTTCCCCTTCTTCATTCTTCCTGCCTTCATCGGAGCCTCCTGCCATTTGATCTTGTGCTCTTTCCAGCTGCTGACAACCTTATAGTTCCTGGTCTACTTATCTCGCAGATCTCCTTATGTTCTCAACTTCAAGCCTATTCATCTTGCATTCGTGTCCGTATTATCACTTCAGTGACTTATACCTATACACTTTAGTCTTTGCCCTATTCCTTACTACCCTCGGTATTTTCAATGTCCGACAATACAGCTTCAGGCCCTTACAGGGCTCGTGCCAGTCAGGACAAGTCAGCGACTGGCAGCGGCAAAAATCCATTTGTCTCCGCCTCATCTGACGAAAAGAGAGCATCCAGCGACGATGAAGGAGATATGGATATGGACAGGCTGATTGACGAGTTAGAATCAATGGATGGAAATGGAAATGTTGACGAAAGACTTGAAGAATCGGAAGAACCCATCAGCTCCGCTTATATCCTCGAAGAACTGCTTCAGACGAACTTGCAACACGGCCTCAGCGAGACTGAAGTCATAAATCGCCGAAGAAAGTATGGTTTCAACAAGATGAAGGACGAAAAACAGAATCACATTCTGAAGTTCTTTTCTTTCTTTGTTGGCCCAATCCAATTTGTTATGGAGGTATGCTGGCCTTTCTGGTTCTTGAATCTGAAATAAAACTCATCATGTCTCTGTAAATAGGCTGCTGCAATTCTGGCCGCTGGTCTCCAGGATTGGGTCGATTTCGGTGTCATATGTGCCCTGCTTCTTCTAAACGCCTTTGTCGGTTTCGTTCAAGAGTTTCAAGCTGGATCAATTGTGGACGAATTGAAGAAAACTTTGGCTCTCAAAGCTTCTGTTCTACGCAACGGAGAAGTAATTGAGATAGATGCCTCGGAAGTCGTCCCAGGGGACATTTTGAAGATTGAGGAGGTATCTATAAAACCCATCCACAAATATATTGCGTTTTTCTAACTTACTGGTAACAGGGAACCATTGTTCCAGCAGATGGCCGAATAATGACCGATCATTCCTTCCTCCAGGTGGACCAATCTGCTATCACTGGCGAGTCCTTAGCAGTTGATAAGCGCAAAGGCGATACTTGCTACGCATCATCTGCCGTAAAGCGTGGGAATGCGCTATTGGCCATCTCAGCTATTGGCGACAATACGTTTGTTGGGCGTGCTGCTGCTTTGGTAAACGCTGCTTCCTCCGGTACTGGTCATTTTACAGAAGTGCTCAATGGAATCGGCGCGGTCTTACTGATTCTTGTTGTCATTACTTTATTGGTTGTTTGGATCTCATCTTTCTATCGCTCAAACAGTATCGTCACTATCCTTGAGTTTACGCTGGCCATCACCATCATCGGTGTCCCTGTTGGTCTCCCTGCTGTTGTCACTACGACGATGGCTGTCGGTGCCGCATACCTGGCGAAGAAAAAGGCCATTGTACAAAGGCTGTCAGCTATTGAGTCTCTAGCTGGCGTTGAGATTCTATGCTCAGACAAGACAGGTACATTGACAAAAAATAAGCTTTCCTTGTCAGAGCCTTATACAGTAGCTGGTGTCGACCCCAATGATCTTATGTTGACTGCATGCTTGGCCGCCTCACGAAAGAAAAAAGGCCTAGATGCAATTGACAAAGCTTTCCTTAAGGCACTCCGCGCCTATCCTAGTGCCAAGCGTGCCCTTGTCCAATACAAAGTGCTCGAATTTAACCCCTTCGACCCTGTCTCCAAGAAAGTCACTGCTCTGGTCGAGTCTCCACAGGGCGAACGCATAATTTGTGTGAAAGGGGCGCCATTGTTTGTCTTGAAAGCTGTCGAAGAAGACCATCCAATTCCAGAGGATATCGACACGGCATACAAGAACAAGGTGGCTGAGTTTGCGACTCGTGGTTTTCGCTCACTCGGTGTTGCTCGCAAACGTGGTGAGGGTCAATGGGAGATACTCGGTATTATGCCTTGTTCTGATCCCCCACGTTATGATACCGCAAAGACCATCAACGAGGCAAAGACCTTAGGGCTTTCCATCAAGATGCTTACAGGTGATGCTGTCGGGATCGCTCGAGAAACCTCTCGTCAGCTAGGTCTTGGAACAAACGTCTACAATGCAGAACGCCTCGGTCTTGGGGGTGGAGGCACGATGCCTGGATCTGAGGTTTATGACTTTGTCGAAGCTGCTGATGGATTTGCGGAGGTTTTCCCACAGCATAAATATAACGTCGTGGAGATCTTACAGCAGCGTGGATATCTTGTCGCCATGACGGGTGATGGTGTCAATGATGCCCCGTCACTCAAAAAGGCCGACACTGGGATTGCAGTTGAAGGCTCTTCAGATGCAGCCCGCTCTGCTGCAGACATCGTCTTCCTTGCACCTGGATTATCTGCTATCATCGATGCATTGAAGACGTCACGGCAAATCTTCCACCGGATGTATGCGTACGTCGTCTACCGAATTGCGCTATCACTGCACCTTGAGATCTTCTTGGGACTTTGGATTGCGATCATGAACGAGAATCTGAATCTCCAGCTCGTTGTCTTCATTGCAATCTTTGCGGACATTGCAACACTGGCTATCGCTTACGACAATGCCCCATATTCCAAGACCCCTGTGAAGTGGAACCTTCCCAAGCTCTGGGGCATGTCCATCGTGCTTGGCATTGTCCTAGCAATTGGGACATGGATCACACTCACCACAATGCTGACGGGTGGCCACGATGGAGGTATCGTGCAAAAATTTGGAAGACGGGATGAAGTTCTATTCCTCGAAATTTCACTGACAGAAAATTGGCTTATTTTCATCACGCGTGCCAATGGCCCTTTCTGGTCATCACTCCCTTCATGGCAACTCACAGGAGCTATCCTGGTAGTGGACCTTGTCGCAACGTTTTTCTGTATTTTTGGCTGGTTCGTCGGCGGTCAGACCTCCATTGTTACTGTTGTCCGCGTCTGGATCTTCTCTTTTGGTGTCTTTTGCATCATGGGCGGTCTTTACTATCTGCTGCAGGGTTCTGTCGGATTTGACAACATAATGCATGGGAAACTCCCTAAGGGTAGTGCAAAGCAGCGCTCTCTGGAAGACTTTGGTAAGATAGTTTAAAGCTCTCTGCCTGTGGCTTTTGTGACTAACTTAATTTAGTGGTTGCATTGCAGCGCGTGTCAACCCAGCACGAGAAGAGCGAGGAAGGGTCAAAGGTTTAGACTGTTCATTCTATACCGCCCATTCTATCTTAGGGTACGCATTTGCGATGTCTATGAAAGCCACGATAAGCTTCCTATAACATTCAATTGCTCTCCTGGTTTTGTATTACTTCTTGCCGCCGTACCTGTTGAAATTAGCTCGAGTTGTCGTTACGCTTTACTTCCCACCCCATCCTTTTTGTCTTGATGTATTTCTTTTCGTCTTTCACTGATTTTCATGGTATAAGTATCGGCAACTGTGAGTCTTAGCTTTACGTGGGTGGCTCTTTCACGGCGTCAGTATCCCAGCAGTGTTTGAAATGGTTTGTTAGGGATCATCTTACTTTACAGATTGTTATAAATGAGAGTGCATAGACCATTGGTGTCATAAACCCTGCTCCCAGAACGATGTAGTGTGTCCACCCGAACATTGTAGATGCCTATAAAAGTGGAATGATAGCGCGTATCTTAGGGTCCAATGGTCTCGACCTCGGCTGAATCTTAGCGCCTTACCCCACAAAGTCTACATATAGTATGCTTGGCATGTTGGTACATACTCCGTACTGCTTTGTTCGCAAATGGCATCAGTTTAACTACAAAATGGCAAGATGCTAGAATGCTATAGATAATTAGAGAAATTAAACTAGACTGGCTAGTAACTAGGTTGGTTCCCCGGGTAACTTCTCATGAGAACTCTCTCCGTATCCCACCCTTTTCTTCCCTCCCGTCCTAGACTCTAGATTACATGGGGTAGTATGAGGTGACAGATCAGAGTAGCACCGCTTGGGAATATACATGGACAAAAAGAAATATGCAAAGAAATCGACGTAGGTTGGGTTTATAAGAAAGGAAAGGAAAAGAAAAAAGATCGTTGAGAGCGGGTCAAGTAAAAGTATGTGCAATAGTGAATAACGACTACGACTTGGAAGTCAAGAAGTCGGCAGCCTGTGATTGAGATAACACGGTTAGCAGACTGTATACATGTATTATCAAAAATGCGCGGGACTCACCTTGTCGATGTTATAATCGAATTTCTCCAAGGCAGAGAGCGACTCGTCACGGGGGAAACCCATGCCGGTCAATCGTTGAAGGATCAAATCATCTTCATCCTGGTCTCCCTTCAGCGCCCAGCCCGGCTCCTTCTTATCACTGGCTGGGGTAGCCGCGTTTCCGGAGGCACCAACATTGTCAAGGGGCGCGAAAAGAGCTTCCCAGTCATGGGCTTCGGGCTTGGAATTGGGGTCCGCTGGAGGTGCCGCAGTCTGACCACCGGCTCCTGGAGAGGATCCGTTGACGTTATTGTCGAAGTTAAAGAACTCCGAGGCCGCATTTCCACCGGTAGGGTTTGGTGTGATGGCCTTCTGTTGTGATGGAGAGTCAAACGAAAAGTCGAAATCCCCGGTAGTCTTCTGATCAGGTCCATCGGAATCAGAGTCATCATCTTCAGCCTCCTTTGCCGGAGCTAGATCGAGACCAGCAAAAGCAGCTTCGAAATCGGGTGCCCCTGTCTTGTTTCCACCAGCAGACGCCTTTCCTTTATCAGCACTGTCCCACTGTGGCTCGCCGTTGATAACTGGGGCACCAGTTGTTGATTCCACTGAATGAGGAGCATCGGGAGCAGTCGTAGGGTCCGCACGATTTGGCACAAGGCCATTAAATTCAGGTGGCACATCACCTGGCCCCTGCTTTGGGACGCTTTCTTCGTACTTTGGTGGACTGTTTTGAGACCCGGCATCAGGAGGCTGGCCCGAGGGTGATGCAATTCCCGGGGCGGGGAAAGCCGCCAGTTGAGACGCATCAATCGATGCACCCTTCTGTGCCTCGTGGGGCTGTGACGGGGCAACGGGTGTGAAATTGTCATCGAATCCCATGGGCCCTTCATCATCCGTGCTATCATCATCGTCATCATCGATCTCCCGAATTGGGGGGAATTCGCCACCGGCACCAGCAGCGGCTGGTGATGCTTCGGTTTCTTTACCGGACCCTGAGCCTTGCTTCATGGAAGCAAAAGCCTCATCGAAATCATTTGCCTTCTGCGACGGAGAACGCTGGCGTGCTATACCGCCGAATAACTCATCGAAACTCTGTTCCTTGGACTCTGCTGGCTTAGCATCGCCGGTACTAGTAGGTGAGAGGGCACTTCCGGGTTGCCCAGTGGAAATAGGCGGGATTTCAGGGAATCGCGTCTGCGACTCCTCCGTTTCATCGAAAGGGGATCGAGCCGCAGTCCCCTCTGCGGGAGTACCGAACCCGGAAGTGTCAGGGCCTCCAAATCTGCTGCCAGGTGGCGAGACCTTAGTAGAAGAGGTCATCGACTGTGAATCACCAAAGGGAAGATAGCTCGGTGTGAGCTGCCGGGATTGGGCAGGAGGTGGAGGCTCAGACCCAACGGGAGCAGTGGGTGGTGGCGACACAGAGGGTGTTGGAGCACCCGAGGTGATAGGAGATTTGGCCGAATTCTGCTGGGGCACCGAAGGAGATTCAGCACGGAATGAAGTGGCAGGCGGGGGAGTAGCAGTTGAAGGAGATCCAAAGGATGGACCAAAAAGGCTATCAAAGGCACTTCGGGTGTCGTTCGAAGATTGAGGGGACAGTACATTGTCACTAGAGCCCGTGGCCGTCCTTCTGAAAAATGGATTTGTGTTACTGGCAGTCGATAAAGCAGGGCTGGTGACAGCCGGAGCACCGCCTCCAGAAGCTGGGCCTTCATCAGACTCCGGGTGGACTTCTTTTTCAGCACTGTCAATCTCCCCCTGGATCTTGTCCCGCTCGCCTTCTACCGTGGCAAGCTGTTTTTTGTTGATAGCAACAAGGCCTTTCTGCTGTCTCGCACCGGACCGCGCTTTTTCGAGCGCTGGCTTTAGCTGGGCAACAATGGCATTGGCCTGACGAATCTTCTCCTTCAAGCTTGCATTTTCTTGTTGATCAGCAGTCAGGGCAGCGGACAACTGATCATATTGGTTTTGCAGATCCTGCCTGCTGCCATCGATCAACGCGAATTCTTGCTGCAGCTTGTTGGTCTCAGCCTTAGAAGCATTCAGACGCTCCTCGAGAGCTTTAAAGTTCTTAACCTCTTGCTCATACATTGTTCTAGCTTGTGCAAGTCTGGCCTCGAAATCGCGCTTCTGCTGGGAGGTCTGAGACAAGTTTTGTTCCGCAGATGTCCTCTTCGACTGAACATTCTGCATCTCGTTTGCCAACGAACCGACCTGGTTGGAAAGATTGGCAAGGTCCGTAGTCTCGGTTGTCAACTTCTTGGACTCCTCTGGGTCATTGTCACCAAGGAGGTCATCTGCTGGCGGTGGAGGCGATCGAACAGTGGGCGGGGCACCAGAGGAAGTTCCAGTGACTTGGGGCTGCAGACTTTGCCCAAACGAGGAGGAAGGAATGAAAGGCTTGAAAGTCGTTGATGTACCCGGCCTAGATGGTGACCCCGGGGGTTGGAATGGTGTGTTCGAGCCTCCCGTGGACTGGGGTATCTGGGTAGGGGCAGATTGTACTGGAGCGGGTGGTGCGAGTGAGTCGAGTCCGAAAAGATCATCGGCAGCAGACCGTGGGGTTGGAGCAGGAGCGGGAGCCGGAACGGGAGCGGGGGCTGGCACAGCAGCAGGAGCAATCTGCCCAGCGGCCTGAGGGCGCATGCTTGGAGGGATCAAGGCGGGAGGGATTGCCTGTGGCATCGGACCCTTTCCGCTGCGCTGTTGCCGAACAAGATACATGGCTACAGCAAACTCATCTTTCGTCAACTGCCCGTCCGCGTCAATATCCGCAAGATCCCAAATCTGGGCCAAGGTTTCCTCGGGCAAGTGCGCATTCATAAAGAATGCGACAGCCTGGTCACCGCTAATCATGCCAATCTTCGCCGTGTCAACTGTCTCGAAAATACCATCGTAATGCACCTTTTCTTGAGGTGTGACGAGCCAATCTCCGCCAGTGGGTTGCGCAGACAATGGCGAGAATTGCGGTCTGCTGACTGGGCTCTGAGTTCGCTGAGGGCCCGTGAACTGTTTTGGAATTGCGGGCACAGGGGGAACATCAAGGCCCGGACGGGAGCCAACGGAGGAACGAGCTGGACCCCTTCGGGCTGCGGCTTCATAAAATCCGGGGGGCAATGTCTGGGGAATACCTCGCATAGCGCCCGATTTGTAAGAGGTCAAGAGGTGCATGGCAATGATGAACTCGGTCGTATCCAGGGCCCCTCGTTGCTTCGTGTCCGACAAATTCCATATTCTGCCTAGAATCTCGTTTGGTAGTCTCGCACGTTCGAAGATTTGTTTTGCAGTTTCGCCTGTACACAAGATTGTTAGTCTGAAGTCCGAATCTAACAGCTGATGGTGATAGCGTATTCGGGGACATGCCTGCAATAACCCCACTTCTGTTTACGTCCGACTTCTCAAACAAAGATGTGAACTTGTTGACATCATCAGGATTCAGGGGAGGCACTCGAATAGGTCCGCCAGCACTTGGGGGAGGGCTGGTCGTGCCCGCATCACGGGGAGCTGGGGAAGTGTCTACTACGATGCCGTCGAACCTAGGCAGCGGTCCGGCTAGAGATGAGAGCAATATGTCAACACTTCGGGCCTTTCCCCAAGATTTTGAGCAAGCCACAACTCACGCTGCAGCGCCAATTCCTCTGTAGGCGGGAAGCCAGCTTGGGCATGGCCGATCAGTCTCAGCACAACACTAAACCCGGCCGGGGTCAGGAGCCCCCTGTTCTCCTTGTCGGCAATCTGCCATATCTGTAGAGCGACACAAAAAATGATATTAGCCAGACAGATCCGACAATAGGGCAGTAGGTGCGCCCATTTCGTAAAGCGCTCGACGTACCAAACCGAGAGATTCCGGGGGGAGTTTCGTCTTCTCGAAGAAGGGGACGGCAATTTCGCCCGTGATGACGCCAAGGTTGGTTGTGTCTGCGGCCTGGAAGAGCTGGTAGAAGATCCGTTTCTCTTCCGGCGTCAAGTTCAGATTCGGTTGTCGTGTCGCTAGAACTTGTTGAAAAAAGATCCGTCAGCTCCGCTCATTCCAAGTCTTGTTGTATCCCGGTGTTGTCCTTCTCCTGATGAAGCTTCCCCCGCGACCGTTGCTTTGCACTGATTGACTATGCAAGAAGATAAAGACAAATATAAAAGAAGACTCACCATTGTCAGCCATGATTGAAGCTCAGGAGGAGCACGCCTCCCCTCTTTCTAAAGTTTACCCCACGATATCAGGTGCGTTTCCGACAAGACAGCGAGGCGGAGTTGCTGTCAGTCGAACCAGAAGATGATGCCACGGACAATACGGATGGTCCAAGCGCCAGCTTGAGAAGATGACGGAGCAAAGGGCCGGACGGCCAGGGGATGGAGAAATAAGATATGAGTCCCGAGTAGATACCAAGGGGATGAAGATGAATTCAATCAAACAGGGGGGATGTTCGACTAGTTGCTATGGCTTGCGACAAGGAGAGGGAGGGAGGTTTGGGTTTGGGTCCGGGGGGGGCAGCAGCAGCCGCAGCGGCAGCTTTAGGGTGGGCGGTCAAATAATCCACACCTGCTTATTCACCCACGTTGTTTCTGATGGCTAAGACACATGCATACATACATCTACATGTAGGTCAAATGGTGCCGCTTTTTGCTGCATATATTCAATTGTCGGTTTCTGGACTTGTACATATAAAATGGCTGCTCATCTGAGGATAGCCGTAGCTACAGAGTGGTTCATGATCGACCAGGTACGAGCTCTCTCTTTTTTATTAATTACAACCATTTTAATTCTCAAAAAAGAAGTTTTGCGTATGTGAACGAGCGGTAAATTCATCGCTGCTTCGGGGATATTAAAAATATATCGAACAAAAAAGAAAACAGAGTTTGTGCTAAGCCAATTTTCTCTCCTATTTGCATGAACCCAGAGCCGCGCTGGCAAAACGCCTGTACCCAACACAACATGGAACCAACAAACGGGAGGAGAACTGGCAGCCACGGTATCAGGGCGAACCATTGAATGTCATGGCGTCTGTGGGTCCTGCCAAACAACACACTCCATCTAGTACTCGGGCTCAACCTCCTCTTCCTCCAAGGAGTCGCTGGCGACCTCCTCGTAGTCACGCTCCAAGGCAGCCAAGTCCTCACGGGCTTCGGAGAATTCACCTTCCTCCATACCCTCACCAACGTACCAGTGAACGAAGGCACGCTTGGAGTACATGAGGTCGAACTTGTGGTCGAGAGCAGACCAGGCCTCGGCGATGGCGGTGGTGTTGGAGAGCATGCAGCTATAGAACGGTCAGCATTTCTTTTTCTTTTCTTCTTTTTTCCTGTAGATATTATTGCATAAACATACACGGCACGATCAACCTTGGCAAGGTCGCCGTTGGGGACCTGGCGAGGGGGCTGGTAGCAGATACCAATCTTGAATCCAGTCGGGCACCAGTCGACAAACTGGATGGTACGCTTGGTCTTGAGGGCGCTGACAGCCTTGTGGGTATCCTGGGTGACGACATCACCACGGTAGAGCAGGCAGGTAGCCATGTACTTGCCGTTACGGGGGTCACACTTGACCATCTGGTTGTTGGGCTCGAAGCAAGACATGGTGATCTCGCTAACGTTGTTGGACTCGTGCGCGGCCTTGGAGGCACCGATGACGGGGGAGTAGGCAACCAGAGGGAAGTGAATACGAGGGTAAGGCACCAAGTTGGTCTGGAACTCGTTCAGATCAACGTTGAGAGAGCCATCGAAACGCAGGGATGCGGTAATGGACGAGACAACCTGGGCAATCAGGCGGTTGAGGTTCTCAAAGCTGGGGCGCTCAACACCCAAGTTGCGGCGGCAGATGTCGTAGATGGCCTCGTTGTCGACCATGAAGCTGCAGTCGGAGTGCTCCAGGGTGGTGTGTGTGGTCAGGATGGAGTTGTAGGGCTCAACGACGGAGGTGGCGTTCTGGGGGGCAGGGTAGACACAGAATTCCAGCTTCGACTTCTTGCCGTAGTCAACGGACAGGCGCTCCATCAAGAGAGCACCGAAACCAGAACCAGTACCACCACCGAACGAGTGGAAGACCAAGAAACCCTGGAGACCAGCACAGTTGTCGGCCACGCGGCGGACCTTGTCGAGAACGGAGTCGATCATCTCCTTGCCAACGGTGTAGTGACCACGGGCGTAGTTGTTCGAGGCATCCTCCTTGCCGGTAATCATGTTCTCGGGGTGGAAAAGAGAGCGGTAGGTACCGGTACGGACCTCATCGACGACGTTGGGCTCGAGATCGGCGTAGATGGTACGGGGAACGTACTTGCCCTGGCCTACGCCCAAGATTGCACGTCAGACGGACACCGGCCACCAGTAGTGGAAGACAGAAAAACATCACAACATACCAGTCTCGGAGAAGAAAGTGCTGAAGCCATGGTCAGGGTCCTGAGCCTTACGCTCCTCAGTCAAGTAACCGTCGGGCTATACAGCAAGACCAGAATCGTCAGTCAATTCCCTCATATACGGAAAAGGGGCGCGCTACGCGGGGGAAGCGGTCAAGATAACAATCATCACACATACCTGAATACCGTGCTCAAGACAGTAGAGCTAAAAGGAAAAATAAGAATGTCAGTCCAATGTGTCTCTTTCATCCCATCATTCGACTTTTCCTCCCCATTTCATCATGTGGTCAAAGTATTACCTCCCAGCAGGAGTTGGCGATTTGGCAACCAGCCTGGCCAACTGTAACAAACAAACACCAAACATTAGTAACACGGCATTAAAACGAGGGTTTAAAGGTCTTCAGAAAGTAGAGATCCAAGCATACCGTTCAAACTGATAATTTCTCTCATTTTGGCGAGTCGAATCAATGGGTTTCAGATCCCAGAGGTGAGGAATGTGAGGGTGACGGAGGGGGAGGAGAAGGTAAAAAAAGAAAGGCCCAAGACGATCTGTACGGTTTTGTTTCAGGGGTAAGTAACCGACCACTGAAAGAAAAAAAATAACAGTGGGAGCCGGAGGGAGAAGGAAAAACAAAAAGAAAAAAATAGATAAATCAAAAAGTCTGCGAATGGGGGGGGGACAGCAGCACTCACCTCAAGGGACGACGATGATTGATGAAAAAAGAAGAACGAGGTTGATGATTGATGATAATAACGAACACTAATAATCGCCAGGTCGATCCAATTTGTTGTGGACAACGCAGTCACCCCCGACGAGTGCGCTGTCAACGCATCAACAGGCGTTCCCCCTTGTTGATCCGTCCGTTGGGTCGCGTTCTGGCCGCCAGCCCTTCTGATTGGCTGGCTGCGCCTGCCCCGTGACCGCCTTCCCGCCGGCCGATTCGGCTTGGTCCCGTGACTCAATTCAACTGTGCTGACTCAGAGCTGAGTCATTTGATCACGTGTTAATGACGGCATCTGGATTGGAGCTTCGAGATGCGAGATTATGACGGCAACGACGACTTTCAATACTGTCGTTGAGAGGATCAGGTATGTTCTATTTCTTATTCATATATAGCTGCAGTTAAATTCATGAAATATACGTCCTGCACATCCATATATAGATTGGTTGCACGGGTTCATGTTTGTACGAGTCCAGAATTGATAATGCATTTACATGTTTGTATAACATTCTATGCTATTTTTGCTCAGTATCTTCAATTCAATTTCAGGTATCTAACGCTTATCAGATACATCCAACCCAACTGAAACGCCTCAGAAACAACATGGTCATCTAAGCTGTTCTACCCCCTCGACCCCTCATTCAAGACAGCTATCACCTACCACTCAACATGCATCTTCCCCTATTCTTCTCCCTTCTCTGCTTGCTCTTCTCTCATTCAGTCTACGCCAATGTTGAGAAAACCATTTTCCTGGCCCCATCATCCGCTACAATCCCCTCACTGGACCCAACCCTAGATGACCTCGGCCTGGAGAGACTATCACCACTGAATCCAGTCCTCAGGACGAATCTCAACGCATCCTTCCCAACCACAGAAGCACCCTTGGGAACGGATTCGTGGTTTTTCCTCGAAAACCTCAACCCAGGCCAACGATATGAAGTGAGGATATGTTGGTTGGCGTCTGTACGTTCTTTGTTCCCCCCTCCAATTCCTCCTCTGTTCTGCCTTATTGATAATATCACAGCAACCAACTTCCTTTACGCTATCAACTCACACCCTAGCAAACACAATCGAAACAAACTCGCTCTTTACCCCTCTCACCATCTTCTCCGCAGCCCGTCTCGCCTCTCTCGAGAATCCCACTCGCCCAAACCCCATCCCCCGAAACCCTCCCTCCCGATTAAAAGACGCTTCATCGGCAGACCCTGCACCAACAACCGACTCTGTCCTTTTCCTGCGCATTCAATCCGTGGCAGACTACTTTTCCGCTGACCCAGTCTTGATGGAGACCGTCCCACCTGTCCTGGTAGACATTATTCTCGACCCGTTCCTATTGAATGTTTTTCCAAAGTCGTTGGTTCCTACGGCGTGTTGGGTGACAGTCGTGGCTGGGTTGGCGTTGGTGATTGCTCGCTGGGTGTCTGCGGAGTTTGGAAGAGCCATCAGTGCCGAAGCAAGCGCTGATACGAAACGGGGGAGTAAGAAGGAGCGGTAGACTAAATTTCAGTTCTGAGATAGAAGCGTATGTCTGTACCATTATGTTATACATTTTGCCTAATATATTTGATTGAATAATGATAGAACTCAAAGACCCGAGATCGCATAAATCATATAAATCCGCCGAAGTCAGATGCAACTCTTGATTGATTAGTATATATAGCATTTTTCAAACGAACCATCCCGGCACCGTAGGAATATTTTGTAGATTCAAGCAAATTGCATCCAAAACCTCAATACAGATAACCAAAAATTAAACATCAACACGATCATTAGGCCAAAATCGACAACACAAGGGGGAATAAATATAGGCAGTGGGGAGAGTCGTAATAACAATAGGTACTGATGCAGAACTCCAACCATCCAAAATCGTATATATCACCGGCACACCACCGGAAGTTCATTGACCAAAAATAAGAGATCCATCATCGTCCAGACATTTCAACGGCCATCAATAGGCCTCATTAGATAGTAAGATAGATATGCCAGGTTTATATAGATCGGGCTTAATCTTCAAAGAAATTGAGGACGGCTCGGATACCCTTAGATCCAAGCCCATGAGGCGGGTAGCAAATATACAGAGGGTCGTCCTTTGCACCAAGTTTGGCACGGAACTCACTCTTGCGCACAAGGTGGAACTGGTTGGCCAGGGTCTCGTATGTGTGCTGCAGCATCTTCATCTTGGTGCCATGCATGTTGTGGCCCGGCGTGAGGGTGCCCGTGGCGCCGGCACCGAAAGTCAAGGATTTGACACCTGACTTAGCAGCGGTCTGGATAGCGCGGGTGACGATGTGCTCAATGACACCATTGGGGCAACCCGGGAAGTCGAGACTGTACTTGACCTGCATGCCGTGGGAGGGCGACAACATGGCCAGGACGACAAAGGCACAGATGGTACCAGACTTGTCGACAGCATAGAAGTACCATCGGTGCTGGTAATCTCTCCAGGGGCGGATTTCAGACAAATGCACCTGAGTCCCCTTGCGATTGGAGAGCCAGTCTTGAATCCGCTTGTCGATCTTCTCACGAATTTCATCGGAAACCATCTCTCCTTGGTTCACCGTCACAATCTTCACGTTCTCGTTCTCTGCGTGACGAATCTTCCGGGCTATCTCTCCATCAGAAGCAGCTTGGTTGCGTGATGGATCCACACGTTCCTCGGCGATACAGGACAAACTGCGCCAGCCCAGCTTTTCGCCCAAGATAGTCTCTACCTCGGGGGAGCACAGAATCCAGATAGGCTTGAACTTGGTTTCCCGTTTCATCCACTGTAGGAATTGGTTGATAGTACGACTGTACTGACTAGGATCACACAGTGGATTTCCAGGAACTATCACATAGTTGCTAGAGCTAGGCACGTAGGCAAGCGCCGCCCCTGTATTCATATCCCGCCAGATCTTGTAGCGTTCATCACCCCAGGATGTGGCTGTGGCATCTCCGTAGTTTGCGACGAGGTTTTCCAGTGGCTGGAGTTGGCTGTTGTCTTGAGCATTAGGACCAATCTTCTCATGTCGCCACGGAGGCTCCAGAGTCGATGATTCAGGGTGTCGAAGCTGCACCGTAGGCGGCTTGGCTGGGAAACTCTTGGGATCACGGTGGAACATCGACGCAAGACGAATGTTTCCCAATTTGAGTATGAGCATTAGAAGGCGCTCCAATCCAATACCAGCACCGGCGTGGGGCGGTGCACCCCAGCGGAAGCCCTCCATGTATTCTTCCATAGAATCGGGGTTGATTCCAACCCGACGCATGTTTTCCTCCAACAAGTGGGGGTCGTGAATGCGCTGGCCACCTGAGACAATCTCCTGGCCACGTACAAAGATATCAAACGAATTGGTGAAGCGACTGTCCTCCGGATCTGGCATCGTATAGAACGGACGGGCACTAGTTGGGAATTTGTCGAGGATGTAGTAATCGGTGTGATACTTCTCCTTGATCAACTCACCAAGGCGGATCTCATCCCTGGTAGAAAGATCATCGTCTTCGGGCAGTGGGTTGCCGTCCTCGTTAAGCCATCCCGACTCGTTGAGAATCTTGATACCATCTGCGAATCGGATAATAGGCGTCTCGTCCAGCCACACTAAATCCTCGGAGGGAAATTGTTGCTTGACAATCTCAACCTCGCGGCGGTGGCGGCCGTAGACTCCTTTCAATATGCTCTTGATGGCAGCATCCAATACATCAAGCATTTCGTGGTAATGCTCTTCGATCGCCATCTCCAGATCCAGCCCGGTGTACTCGGTCAAATGACGATGAGTATTGGAATTCTCCGCACGAAACACGGCACCAATCTCGTAAACTCGGCCAAAATCGGCAGCAATGGCCATCTGCTTGGCTAACTGGGGAGACTGAGCCAGGAAAGCATTGCGACCAAAGTAATTGACCTCGAAAACACTGGCACCAGACTCGGTGGCCGCTCCTTGCAACTTGGGGGTATGAATTTCAACGAAGCCCTGGTCATCGAGGGCCGTTCGAAAGAGGTTGGAAAGTCCCGACTGAATTCGGAAGATGGACTGTGAAGTTGGAGTCCGTAGATCTAGAAGGCGGTTTGACAGACGTGTCCGGTCTGGGATGCGACTTCGGCGGCCTTCCACTCGTTCCTCCTCCGCGGTACGGAGCTCAGCTTCGTAGATACTGAAAGGAACTGGTTCCTCACGACGGACAACAACGTGTATCTCGTCAACAGCAAGCTCCACATCATGGATGGTACAGCCCAACACCGGCACTCCTGGTGTCTGAATGGTGCCTCGAACTCGAACAATGGTGCCCAGCCGTAGATGTTCTGCCCAATGAACCATGGCAATCGACTTGACACCGGGTTGCTCATGCAGAACGCCTTGGAAGGTAGACATTTGCTGGCGGAAGACCAAGAAAACAAGCTTCGCACTCATGCGACGTATGACATGTAGACGGGCCGTGAAGATAATCTCCTGGCCGGCGGACGTAGCCGAAATATCATTGAAGTGAGCTCGGGGCTCTCGTGGACGATCGCGCGATTGAAGGAGAGGCAGGTCACCATATCGGGCTTTCATATCGGGCGTCTCCGAACGAACAGCTTGGTCAACCTCACTCTTACGAGTCTGTTCGGAATCTTCCGAACGTCGCTCCTCGCTCAGTCGACTGCGCTCATTTCGCCGTTGCTGGCGGGCCATGCGTTTCTGTTGGTTTTTACTCATGGTCCCGGACGAGGAGTCATCGGAGACATCTTCGGAGGAGGAGACGTAGCTATTGTCGCGGAGGAAGCCACCGAGGATACTGCGACGCGGCGAAGGAGATATGGCAAGCTTCGAAAGGCCGCTGGTGTCATCATCACTCCCTTTGGGCTTTATTTTGGATAATGCGCGTTTAATCGACATCGCGGTGGAGAGTCGAGTCGTGATGCAGCGGGGTATAGAGGCGGTGATCACAGAGGGGAAATTGGTTCAAGTCAAGAAGAAGAAACTCATGAAGGATAGATAGCTCCTGACTAATTATATAGCTACTGCAGGGCAGCTGACGGCCTAGCAAAAAGATGAATCACAAGAGAAAAAAGTATGTTTGCTCGGATGTGACCGGAATTTGATTAAAAACAAAGGCCGGGCTGGAGTGAGGCCGAACTTAACCTCCACCGCGAGGGGCAATGGTGTAAGACGGCTTCCAAGGCAGAGGGGGGAATGTGATCGGGGGCAATCTGCACCAGGGGCTCAGGTAGCGAATTAGCAAAATAATATAATGGATAGGAGTGTTATCTCAAAACAAGGATACTCCCTAAGACAATTTCTCAGACAAAACGATGACTTGCTGGCTTGGGATCCCAGTTTTGAAGCCGCTGAGCCTTACAAAAACGCCGTGATGTCATCGCTGCCGCAAAAGAAGCACAGGAATGCAAACAAGAAGCAGTGTGGAGACTCGGTGAGAGCCAGAATGACAAGATATGATGTAGCAGTTTAAATCCTGCTGGAGCCAGGGGTCAATTCGACTCTGGTTGCATCTATTATCTTTTGTCTTCTGTTGTTCCTTGTGCCATACAATTTCTGGTGCAACAGATAACAGGCCCCCCGACAGTCAATTGATGCCCCCCTTGGCACACCCTCACTTCGCCATCGCAGGTTATCGTCAGCCCATTTATAATTTATCTCATTTCTGTACATCAAATCTAGGCGTTGGTCCTTTTGCACCGTTTTCTTGGCTGCTTTTCTTCTAATAATAAACGTTGTCTGACATTCGGATTCTTCTTCTTCCTCGGCTTCCTGGTCTCCGCTTTATCTATTCGCGTCTATTCCACCATCTCCCTTCCTTTCCTCTGCATGCTTCCATTGTATTCAATTTGCTCTTAATCCACTCCCAATGCCGTCTCGCTGGTGGTTATACGTTCAGGCCGTCGTCTGGCGGTTCCTGATGCGTCTGGGGATGTTTTTTCACGCCATTTCGTGGCCTCGTCCGCCTTGTCCGTCCTTCATCCGGTCTTTTCCCCCGTCCCTGCCCTCGTCCTCCCGTGGCGGCAAAGTCGCTTTGCACTTCTACTGTCCTCCAGATTACTATCGACATCGAAAGGTGGGCCATCGTCTGCCTGTCGTCGTTAATTTTCATGGTGGAGGATTCACTCTGGGCTGTCCGACCGACGACGGTCGCTGGGCCCGATGCGTCCTCCAGGAAGTCGGGGCTGTCGTCGTCAGCGTCGGTTATCGTCTAGCCCCCGAACATCCCTTTCCTGCAGCGGTCGATGACGGAGTCGAAGCCTTATTGTATCTTGCCTCTCATGCTGCCGAATTGGGATTGGACGTTTCGCGTGTCGTGCTCACTGGCTTCTCGGCCGGCGGGAATCTGGCTGTTACTGTGCCCTTGCGCCTGCGCAGTCTTTACCCCAAAGAACCTCGTGGGCCCAGCGTTGAACCGGGAGAATCGACGCAGAGACTCGTCGATACCAGTAACGATCTCAACATCGTTGGTCTTTTTTGCTGGTATCCGGTCCTGGACTTTGAAGAGTCTCGTGACCACCGCCGGGCAATGAGCGTTATGCCAAGCAAGACACTTCCAGCCTTCTTTACCACGCTTTTTGATGAATCCTATTTGCCAGATCATGAGGATCGGAAATCTCCGTACGCATCGCCGGTTCGAGCGTCGGATCAGATTCTAGACGATGCTCTCCCGCACGATATCTTCTTATACATCTGCGAATGGGACATGCTTGTCAAGGAGGGCCAGCAATTCGTCCGCCGACTGGAAGGACTGGGCAAACGTGTTCGCGCCATGATGATTGAAAAGGTACCACATGCCTGGGACAAATCCCCCAATCCGTTCCGAGACCAGGACAAAATCGATATCTTATATCGCGATGCATGTGGCGACATAAGAGCAATTTTCAGAAAATAGTTCTTTTATGATCGGCTTACTACTGTATTCTAGCTTACGTTCACTTGGCAGTTGAGCTGTCCTTTTGACTGTTTTTTATCCTTGTTCGCTGGTAAGTTTTAGGGATTTTGGGACTTGAATCTGGCGTTTTGGCTACGCTGCATAAAAGCGAGAGTTATGTATAGCACTTGATGAATCTAAGCTCAAATGATATTTCATATACAATTTCTTAGCCAATGTTATACGAGGGTGACGTCAATCGGCATCTACTAGGATGATGCATATACGTAGACCCGATCTGCGGAGTAGCGTGTAGGAGATGACAGAACATCTTCACTGGTATTAAGTATCTGAACAGATTATTTTATTTTATTGGTAATAAACTCAGTGTGTATTATTGCAAAATTACTTTAATCGATAACCTGGAAGTATTCTTTCGTTGCTAAATTTTGGAATTGCTTGCTATAAAAGGTGTCGCGAGCACAATATATATCTTTATGCTAGTACCACTATTTTCAAAGATCAACCCACACAAAGAGCAAATGTAGTGATAATGCAAATGGCAATATTATATGAAGTCCTCAAATCTATTCTTTTAGACCATTATCGTTATTAAAAACACGGAGAGGTGAAGTCAAATCCCGATGCTCCCAAAAGCCGAATACGAAGCTTTCCTAACTCGGACAGCTTCCTTGGTTTCCTGACCTCCACCTCTGACTTCTTTCTCTCAGCCCAAACAACACAACATTCTCTAATCAACAAATCATGGCACTGTGACAACTCCACTGCTATGGCATGTTCTCAAGCGGACACGAGATACCTTCCTACTTCGTCGATGCATCATGGTTTGACTCTCGCTTGGCTATAATCGAACATCGCCATTGTCAGTTGGGCTGGGACTGCGACAGGATCTCGAGATATTTAAAGTAATTGGTCAGTTCAATTCCATCTGAACTCTTGCCCGTCATCTTAACTCTACATGAAAGTGCAGAGCTCGTCAAAATGCACTTCTACCTTTTAGCAGCCTGTCTTTCCTCTCTAACAACAGCTCAGATACTCCCTGTCCCTTCACTTGTGCCAATTCCATCACACTCCGGCTGTCCTCCTGATGGACCTTTACTTCCTCGTCCAACAAACCTAGCACAGTCCCAACACGTTCAAGCTGCTGCTGATTATCTGACATCCGCCTTGGATTCTGCAGTCAAGGGTAAGATCAAAGCAGGATGGACCGTGGACAATGTCTCTTTTTCTCTAGCTATCGTTTCTCCATATGGGGGCAATGATTCTGGAAAGCCGATCTGGGAATATCACCATCGGGGAAGATTGAATACCCAAGGATCACAACAAGTCACTGGAGACTCGCAATACTTGATGGGTTCTGTATCCAAGGTATTCTCGGATCTAGTACTGTTAAAATCTGGTGTCGATCTCCAAGATCCAATTACGAAATTCTTTCCTCAATTGCTCTCTGTGGATTCTTTGATTCAGTGGAAAGATATCACGTTGGAAGCTCTGGCAGACCACCTGGCAGGCATACCTCCAAACTGTAAGTCTCGAGTCTCTTGAGTTTTGTATCTTAATATGATATAACTAACAGAATAGACGTCTACGAGTTCTATGATCTCAAACCAGTTTACGAGAGCCTGGGATTTCCTCGTCTAAATAAGTCGGATTATCCGAGTTGTGGCGTCGTTGGACTCAATACTTCTTGTACTAAGCAGAGTACGTCTGCATCTAGCTGAATCTTCAACAAATGCTAATTATTGCAGACATACTTGATGGTCTCACATCTTTGACTCCAGTTGTACCGGTGAACTCCCGGCCCGTATACTCTCAGTTATCATTCTTGCTGTTCACCCTGGCCCTCGAGGTTGCAACAGGCAAGAACTATTCACAACTGCTGGATGAGACCGTCATCCAGCCTCTCAATTTGACCAACACTGGCGAATCCCCTGGTAATACCGACCGTGCCGTTGTTCCACCAGGAATATCAAACTGGGGTTCATATTATGGACTAAATGCGCCGTAAGTCCCATCTACGGGATTGAACTACACATACTGAACCAACTCAGTGGCGGAGGCTTATACTCAACAACAAACGACCTAACACAATTCCTCAACGCTATCCTAAACCACTCCATCCTTCCCATAGAAGCAGAAGTCCAAAAATGGCTCAAGCCTACCTCCATGACGAGTTCCCCAACCACTCTAGTCGGTAAACCATGGGAGATCCTCCGCACGACCAATCTCGTCCCTGCACATCCACATACTATTGACATCTACGGCAAGTCAGGCGGTGCAATGGGCTACATGTCTCAAATATCCATCATTGACCAGTATGGTGTGGGGTTTATTGTTCTCACTGCTGGTCCGGCAGATTCGATGGATATCCTCAACCAAGCCCTAATAGGAACCTTCATTCCAGCCATAGAGGAAGAAACCCGTTCACAAAGTCAACGATACACAGGAACGTGGTCAACAGAAAACACCGCGTCAAACTCATCCCCCATAATCCTCACAATCGCCCAAGACAACGGCTCAGGTCTAATACTCACAAACCTAACCCGCAATGAATCATCCATCCTAGACGCCATCCAAAAAATCTGGCTATACCAATACACAGCCACCGGATTCGGGATCCTGAATTCTCAGTTCCGGATCTACCCAACCGGAATATCAAACCCCGTCCCTTCAAATGAATCATCAATCCTTCTCTCACAGGCTGGTGTATCAGACACGGAGAATACAGAACTGGTTCGTCAGGATTGGCGGATCAATCTTGACATCGTCCCCATTGACGGGAGGGCGATGTCTGATTTACCAGGCCAGGGAAGTTTGAGGGTGTATTGTGCTTCGTGGCAGTCTGTGGATTGGATGTACTATGGCGGGGAGGCGTTGGATCGGATTGTCTTTGTGGTTGAGAAGAGTGGGAGGGTTATTGGGGTTGAGATTCCGGGGTTACGGAGTGGACTATTAACTTGATTTATCCCTGATATTTTATATTTCTTATATGGTGGCACCAATAGTTGATTTAATATTCCATCTATTCCTATTCCTATTTCTATATACCATGCCATATCTTACAGCATCTGCATTCATCATCACACATCATAACAAAGCACCAAGCATGGTATCAGATAGATCAGAGAGATCTCAATAAACAAAATTGAAAGGAGAAAAAAAAAAAAAAAAAGAAAGGATTGAAAAAAAAAAAATCCCATACGCCACGCTAAACAAATCGAAACCCAAAAATAAAAGATTTTTTTGTTGCAACAGCATATAAAGAAGAAATTGAAGTAAATAAACGCTTTGGGGTATTGAGCAGATGTATGTAGATGAAAACTTTTTTGTTGTGTTCATGCATTTGTGGAGGGAGGGAGGGGGAGAGAGAGGGAGGGTATGGTTTACTCCTCGTCGGTTTCAGTCATGTCATCCACATCGTCGTCGTCGTCATCGTCGAGTTCACTGTCGGAATCATCCTGGTCATCCAAGCCGGGGATACCTCGCCATTGGACGTAGTCGTCTTCCAACCAGCGACGGCTGCGCGGTAGCTGGTATGGGTCAAAGGGGAAGTATGCGTCGAGCTGGTAGCCGAGGTCATCGCCAGCGCGAGTCTCGCGTTCCACTTGGCTGAAGCGGGGGTCTGATAGGGCGGAGATACTGCGGAATGAGGAGATGCGGAGTCTCTTGTTTGTTTCAAGGATGGAGATGACAGAGATGAATTGCAGATGGTGCGTGATCCGCGCAAACTCCGAGACAATGACCGGCGAGCAGACCTTGAGAGGGTTCAGCTTGGAGAAGATACCACGGTGGAGCACTTCGTAGACCGATGGTGGGAAGGCGATCTCTTCCGGCTCGAGCTCATCCACTTGGTCGGCGGTATCGCCCTCCATAGCGGCAGTAGTCAAGTCTCGCCAACGGAAGCAGAAGATGTAAAGGAGGGCCTGGGCCGTGGAGTAGAATGGTCCATAACGGCGGAGGTCCGGACCCCGACAGCTATCTTCGTACTCCACGCGGAGGTTGCTCAGATGTGTTCCCAAAAGGTCGAACACGTCCCTAACGACCTCTCCAGAGACGTGGGCACCTCGGGCGACAAAGCTGGCGAGGTAGGCAGCAGCAGATTGACGCAGAATACCTGGTTGCAGCTTGTTGAAGATGAGCTGAACACAGCTGGCAGCAAAGCGGTCGACGAGGATCGGGGATGACTGAGAGAAGTGGAAAAGGAGGAATTGTGTGTGACGCGAGCGGTAGGTTGGGAGGATAATTCCCTGGAAATGACTGAGCAGGAGGTCAAGGGCATTTTCCTTGTCGTCCAAGGTGCCCGATGTGAATGGAGGCGAGTAATATTCAAAGAGACAATCAATCATGCCATCCAACTTAAAGATGTTATCCTTGATGGTCTTCACCCGTCGAGAGTCGGTATCGACAGACTCGTCGCTCACGATAGACGCATCATCAGCTTCATCATCCTCGTCCTCTTCAGGATTCACATCATGGAGCAGATCCTCGCCGACCTCGTCCTCAAAGTCTTCCATGTCCACCTGGATCTGAACATCAATCTTGACGAGCTTCTCAGTAACGAGAGCAAGGATGTCTGCCTGCAATTCAGGGGCATAACTGATAACTCTAATCAGATTCCGCGTATACGCAATGTTCGCCTTGGCAGAATCCGTATCAAAAGGAAATTGCATGGAGAGGATAGGAGACAGCGTGCCGCTACCGGAAGGAATCAATTGCATGATATGGCGGAGAGCCATGTGGATCCGCGTGTAGATTTCTGGAACATGAACAGGCGCATATCCGGGCAGTTTGCCCGTAGCCTTGGGGATTTCTCCCATATAATTGACCAGCATCTTCAGCACCGGCCCCAGGTAAGTTCCCTGGGCGGCTGCAAGATTGCCCAGAAAGCGAATGTACAGCTTAATATACGACTCATCACGCCCGAGCCATTCACTGTTCAACACCGCGTGCACCAAGCCGTTGCAACTGCGATCCAGGGAGGCAACGTTCGACAGTAGGCCCAGGAGATGGTGTCTCAACGTAGTGTGCGTAGGCACCTCGTATGAGGAAAGACCATCTTCATCCCGGCGCCTAGGGTCTGCCGAGAAGATCTCCTTGATGCGGTCGTAGGCTTCACTGTCGGTGCCCGAGATATGCCGTTGAATAGCTCTGCGGACCTCCTCCCGGACCACTGCGGCACTTTTGTCGGTGGTCCGTTGACTATTATTATTAATATTATTATCTCCATTCTCCTTGCCATTCCATGGAACTTCACGCATCGATACATCCGACTCGAACTGGACTCGAGCCCGCTTCTTGGGGCTGGGCGGCCCGTCACTCGCGTCGGAGGCGCCAGACGAGGACGGGGACAGGGAGAGATCGGCGTCAGCCATCTTGCGTTTCGTACCGGCGCTATCTGTTTTGGATGACTTCAGAATTGGTATAGGGGATGACCTGGCAAGCATCTTCGAGGGGTTGGTTGCAGTAGTGGTAGGTTTGATAGCCGTCGCTGGGCTGCGCGAAGCGGTGGCGAGGGAGACCATGTCAGGGAGAGTTTTAGGGAAGAGGTGAGGGGTCGATTGCAACAGAGCGGGATGCGTTCGTCATTTGTTGGTCTCGCGGCCAACCACTTGATAGCAAAGATTATCTCCTCGGGGATTCAAGCAGAAGGAAAGAGGAACAATGATATAAAGAGGATAGAAGCACACGACACCAGACGAGTGATCCACCCTAGGCTGCTACAGGTTATAGGCGCGCTGGGGAGGCCGTTGATCACAGCTTCATCCGTCTGCAAAGACCAGGAATCCAGAGACGCGTATCTGATCGGAATGGACGCACTGGACACAGACAGATAAGCTCCGTGTTGGAAGAAGCAAAAGAAAAGAAAAAAAAGTTGACGCCGACCGAGAAGCGGAGATGGGCGTGAAATTTTTCTTCTTGTGGGGCGCGTTACCAAGTGGAGCCTGAGGCCGGAAACCCCGTGACCAACGCGTGACCCGTGCTCCCCGCGAACCCTACACCTTTCCCGATTAGGTTATATAGCTTTAACAGATGTGTAGGTATGGTACGGTATCATTTACTATGTTCATTTCAGATTCAGATTGTTGTAAATATCATGAAGCAGATCGAAACAATCTAAAGCTCCTCCCAAGGTAAAATGTAGACATATTCATGGCATAACAGTAACAGTAAAAAAAACACGACGTAGGCAATTTGAGGCCTCCCATATGGTATATAGCGGATAAAACAGAGGATTAGATGACACGGATAAAGAGTGAATATAGGTTGGTCGTAGCAGAATGCGCTTCGATGGGAAGAAAAGATCCAGTTCTCTTCCGAATCGAAGGCGCAAGTCATCGAACATTCTCAAGGCGGAGAAGGAACGGAAAGGTCAAACCCCTTACAGCCAGGGTCCGGCGGCAATTGGCCCCAGTTCATTGTCGAAGATACTGCCGTGGAGATCTTGAATCTCTACCAGGTACTCGTCGACGGTAAATTTCTTGAGTCCTTTGTTTCGCAGAATCATCTCCTCGTCATCCAGTATATGAGCACCCCCAAACTCTTCAGCCACTTCGTTGACCTGCTCCAGCTCCTTGCCGAACGGATGAGCCTCAGCTTTGAACGAATCATGTGTTGCTCGGCTTGAAGGGGTGCTGCGAGCCGCACTCAATGGTGGGGGAGACAGTCGTGTCAAAGAGCGCTGGCGAGCGAGTTCTTGGTGGGATCGTTTGGTATGAGACAATGCTCGCTTGGGAACCAATGGTGCATCTGTAGATGAGGTGGACGAGCGAGGAACACTGGTCACAGTAGCCGACCGCTTGGGGAAGTAAGACGGGTGCGGGCTTACGTCGATTGGCGATTCATCAGGCGTGGTAATGGGAGAACCAAAGCTGTGCTGGGAGAAGGACAATTCCGAATCGTCTGGTGATTGCAACGAAGAAGTCGAGGAAGACGTAGCGGAGTGAAGGTCAGGCGCATTGTAGGCCAGCATATTCGTCGTCGAAAGCAACTGGACTGGGCCCGAGATGTTCCCCCGCTTGATCGTACCCGAGGAGAACTTGATCTGACCCTCACGGTAGGGCATGGGCGCAGAGACCTCAGGGCGCTTGCTGCGCTTGGTAAAAGCTCTGGTCAAAGTCGACATTGTAGCGGTGTACTGTAGTAGTAGGACTGGGTATCACGATGATGTTTCAACAAACAAACAAACACAGTGAATGTTTGTATGGGATATCCGTTTTGATATATTCGTTTTGTCCTCTTTCCTAATCGCTCGTCTATTTTTGGAGCCTTTCTCGAATCGTTTTCGCGAGAATCCAGTCGCTTTTTTGACGGAGAAAGGCAAAGAATGCGTGGTAGACGATCGCGGACGGTGGAGAACAAAGAAGGAATGGAAGATCGATGGGCGGAATGTCCGTTATCAGATGAATCTCTTGTTTAGAGGAAAATAGAGGGAAAAATGAATGCAGAGAGGTGAAGTCAATTTTCGCACAGCAAAAAAAGGATTCCAAGTCTCTGAAGCAACAAGTGGGATTGTTGGAGTGTTTTTTTCCTTTCCTTTTCTCCTCTGGGGATTTTTTGTTTCAAGGGGTGATTGTTGCCGGTGCAGTAGCGGTGCAGATGCAGTAATAAAACAATCGACCAGTCAGAATAAAAAATAGAAAATAAGAATATGGAGAGCGAACAACCAGGACGCGTCTGAATCAGAAAAAATAAGAATGAAGGAATGAAGCCAGGATCAACCGATCAAGGAATAAGAAGTGAAGCAATAATATAACTGAAGAAGCGAAAAATGAGGTACCAAAAAACCCCCCAGATGGGATGAAAGAGGGAGAAGAAAGGATGGAATGGAGGAAAAGAAGAAGAAGAAGAGGGGAAAGACAAAGAATGACCTTTGACAGGCCGGACTGACCAGTCCCTGTGCCAGGGCTAAAGTCTGTCTGCCTCTGTTCGCACCGGCTAACAAATTGTATGGCGTTGGGAACAACCGTGGACACCACACTGGACCACCGGACGGGAACCGTGGAGGGCCCAAACTAAGCGCTCGCCGACCGAGTCGCAGGACCAATCGAGGTGCAATTGTCGCTGTGGCTGCTTGGGTCGGATGGAGACGCTGCGAGCTGACCCAGGGTTGCTTCACGAACTCCTCAAAAGTGGTTGCGAGAAATGCAATTCCAGACCATCAGAATTTTCCCTCATTGTTCGCCTCTTGCTGTAGATTTTTCCGTTGTCGCCATCGATCGAACTGTGGTTCTGCAGGATTGGGACGGGTTGGATGGTACGGCACGGAGTAATAATCACCAGACAGGAGAGCACAAAACCCTGGATACTCGGCCCTGTGATGGGTCATATTTTTCTCCTCTAGGGAGTATCGAGGAGTCAAGGAGAATTGTTTCTCTTTCAGACATAGTGACGCTACTTCAATCAACCGGAAACTGCTAGATGGTTAGGTTGGATAGTGAAACAACCATGCCATCAGAAGTTAATTGTATATTCATACTGATAAGAATTGTGTGAATTATGCCGTGAATCGAATAGCATAGCCTGATACTCTAAACCAATGAAAGGGCTTGTAGCTCAGTGGTAGTAGCGCTCGCTTTGCATCTTTGTAAATTTGCGAGAGGTCAGGAGTTCAATCCTCTTCAAGTCCACTTTTTTTATTCTTGATTTTTCTTCACTCATATGATGCGCTCATCTGTACCCTAGTAGCAATATTTTTTTATTGCACGACTGACTATGCAGAGTCGATGAAGTTACGGTGTTGAATCGGTGTTTTTCTCTGCGGACCTTTGCTTAGTCCAAGTAGTTAAATAAGCCGAGAAACTTCATCCAAAGGGCTTGTAGCTCAGTGGTAGTAGCGCTCGCTTTGCACCTTTGTAAATTGCGAGAGGTCAGGAGTTCAATCCTCTTCAAGTCCATTCTTTTTTTTTTTTGCCCTTCCTTCACACCCTCCTAATACATCTATCGATCTCATGATCATTACAAAACTCTGTATACTGAACGAGTGAAATACTCCTTTACTCGACTCGATCACTTGATTCTGGACTGGTGATATCCATGATTCAGTGAGGGGAAGCTGACAGCTGAGGCACTTATGACCCTTGTCGCATCACTCGCGAGCCCTGGCTATCCCGGGCCAATGAATACGAGCTTCGAAATCAGCCGGAAACCGCTAGATGGACGGGCTGCGATGGCTGAAACAGCGGTCAAACCCAGTGGCTGTTTTTCACTTTCGCTGCATCCTTCTTTAGCTCCTGGAGTCCTGTTATTTTATCATTTCTCGGACTGGAAGATAATATTTTTAGTACTTCGTTGTAGTATTTGGATTATGCGAATAATGCCAGGATTCAAATGAGATGCAGATGGCAGTCCGGATCTTAATTTCAAATCTCAACGCTCAGACAAGGCATTTGCTCACACTAAAACCGCTAACAGCCATCCCCACTCTGCACCTTAATTACCATCTCCACCGAGATAATAGCCTATCTGATACAATATGCCTTCCTTCAATGATGACATAGGAAGACAGGATCATCATTCCTGGCCTCGTCGTCGGATTACCATAGGCATGTCATACTGGTACACAAACCAGGCGTTGCGATACTTCCATTCATGTTTCGGATCCACCAGTTGAATCTGCATGATCAGCGTCATAAGCATTTCGCCACGTCAGGGTTTCCACATTGACAACTCACATCGAACAAACTGTACAAGGTGGCAATGAACTTGTAGATCTCCAGCATCGCAAGGTACCGTCCCATGCAGATTCGTCCACCGCCTCCAAAGGTAAAATCGCTGGTATCCTTCATTCGGCGCAGTCGAGACTCATACGCCTCAACATTCTCCCCTGCGCCCTTCAGCCATCGATCCGGATTGAAGGAGTCTGCATCTTCCCCGAATACTCCATAGTCCCGGTTGGTCACGAATGGATTGATGCCAACTTTCGTCCCCGCGGGGATGTAACGTCCATCAGGCAAGGTGAAACCTTCATCGGGTACGACTCGTTCTAAGATCATCGCAAGACCTGGGTTCATGCGGATGCTCTCGCGGATGACGGCATCAAGATAGGGCAAAGCATTGATGTCTTTCCATTTGGCCGGAATGGTCAGAGATGCTTGTGTCAGTTCATCAGCGAGCCTGCAAGATGCGTCGGGTGTTTTGGCCAGGTAGTAGACCGTGGCACGCATGGTTGCGGAGGTGGTGTCACCTCCGGCAAGGATGCTCAACATCAACCAATTGACAATTTGGTTGTCATCCACAATGTCCGGGTGTGTTTCCTTCAGTTGCACATATTTCTCCAGTGTGTGGTTTGCAGGGCCCGACTTGGCTTTTTCCTCGCTGGATTGGGCCTGATATTCTGCAACAACCTTGAAGGCATATAGAACACCGGTGAGAGTCGGCTTAGGACCGATTCGAACGAGTGGGTTCTTGTCGAGGAGGGAGTCAATCCATGGGATTTGGGATACCTAGGCAACCAAGTATTAGATGGGAACATAGCTGAATGGTGCTTAGCCCAGAGGGAGGACCTCACCGGTGCAAAGTAAATGAGACCCTTTGTCGAGTCGGTGATCAGATTATTCACGTCCTGCTCCTGGTCAATGAAGCCATAGTGACGACCAAAACTAATATTCGCAGTGACATCCCAGGCAACTATGATCTATCAGCCTGATTCCGTGGTAAACAAGAAATGCATACAATATCCAATCCAATCATCTGCAGGACAGACTGTTCCCGCGTTCGGACCATCGGCAAACTTGGCTGCCAACTTCTGGACCAACTTTCCCAAGGTCTCATCGATTAGTGGCTCATACTCGAGAACCTTGGTCATGGACCAGAGGCCCCTGATAGGCCGGATATTCTGATTATGCCAATCCTCATCCGGCGTGTTGAACAAATTCGATATCCGGTGACCCTCAATAAGAACATCATTGGGCCTGTACATATCACTCTATTGATCCATCAGTATCGTTTTTCCCTTTCCCCGTCACATGCATCACAAACAAAGCTTGCGTACCTTCTTCCACGGACTACGAGTCGTATAGACCACTCTGATCAAATTTGGGTCCGACAAGCTCAGACAGTTCGGACCGATCCGTACCACCGAGCCATACTGTCGGTGAAGCTGGACGTGCTCCAGGTCAATGCGGCCGCGGAAGGTGTGTACGGCACGCCAGACGTCTGTGATCTTGGCAGCGACGGGGCCAGGAAAAACGCTCAACGAAGAAAAGAAAAGGTCCCAGGCGATTTTGCTGATGAGGATGAATCCCAGCGCTGTGACCACACGGATCCACAGTCCTGTTTCCGGGAAAATGGTTAAACTGGGGTCTACACCAGAGGCCGTGCCGTGCATTGTATGTAGTGTGCTAGGTACCAAGGTCCGGGTCATTGGGATTCAAATTGAGGCTGCTGGGAAGAGGCAGAAAGGATTGAAATCAGATCCATCACAGACAGGGAATAAATATTAATCGGGACGGCAGCCAAAAGCCATGATGATGAGGGGGAGCGAAGAAGGACTTAGCGTGCAGTCTCGGGTTGCCTCGAGCCAGCCAAAAGCAATTAGTAAAAGGCAAAAGACAGGACGTATCATAATGGACAGACCTGTTGGCGCCCACTAGTGTGGCTCATTATTTGTGTACGGGGTATGTTTCCACCATTCAAGAGGAGAAGCTGTCAAGGCTGAAAAGTGAAGACTGAAAGTGAAGAAAAACACGGACGCTTCCTATCGCGGGGGACCGGCAAGTGGACCAGCGACGAGAAACGGGGTTTGACAGCAGGGCTTTGATTGAACTCGATCAGTCTGGATGAAGTGAATGGGCTATCATTTGGGGCTATATGGATGGATATGGCTATTCGATAAAAGAACAGATGCATAATCGTGGCAGACTGGCTGGGATAGAAATTGGCCAGAAAAAGCAAAGAAAAGGCAAAGCCAAAAGTACTGTTTCTCAATATATGCTTCTGCTTCATCGGCACAAACAGCCAGGAACACGAACAATGGCATTGTTAGGACAATATAATGGCGTATCAGCCTGGTGTATTTACTACTTGAAGAGCTACACATTGATGCATTTTGAATCCCATATTGATTGTCTGCTTCCACAATGTCACAGCCTCAGATGAGCCCGGAATACCTGGCCCAGAGCCAGCAAACCACCCTCAAAGCTGTCATGTGGATTGTATCCTTGATTCCTCTGGTTGTCGTCTGTCTGCGTCTCTACGTTCGAGTCTTTATGAAGCGTGTCTTTGGATGGGATGACTTTATCGTCGTCATTGCCACCGTATGCCCTTTTCAACCTCATTTACATCCCCGCCTGTTGATAACAATATAGGGCCTCCTCATTGCATATGCCGCTGTCTGTCATGCTGCTGCCGACGCTGGACTAGGTCGACACATCGCATACGTCGCCCAGAACCCCAAAAATGTCACGCAGGTCGCTCTTCTGTGCGATATTGGAGAGTCGCTGGCCATCATGGCTTGTTCTCTGGGCAAGACTTCATTCGCAGTGACGTTGCTACGTATCGTCGTGAAGCGGTGGATGGTTGCACTGCTGCTTTTCATAATAATCACTATGAACATTGTCACTATTCTCGCAGCGCTATTTGTGTTTGTCCAGTGTGAGGATCCGAGACATTTGTGGGATCCGTCTACTCCCTCCAAGTGTTGGCCTACGGATGTTTGGACGAATTATGCGCTCTTCGTGGGAGGTGAGTTTCTTAGGTTTCTCTACTTGGTAGGATGCTAATCTGTTGGTTAGCATACTCCGGTCTGCAAGATTTCATCCTCGCATTGATGCCCTGGACGATCGTCTGGAAACTCCAGATGAAGAAGAAGGAAAAGTTTGGTGTGGCCATCGCCATGAGCATGGGTGTTTTGTAAGTTCCACTCTTACCCATATCTCCATATCCATCGCATACTAATAATGATTGACAGCGCCGGTGCTGCATCCATCGTCAAGACAACCTATCTAGTCTCCCTTTCTGCAAAAGCCGACTTCACCTGTACGATCATCCACCACCCATCCCTACATCACCCCCTCTATCATCCAAAAGTACTAACAGTAAAATACAGGGGAACTAACCCGCCTCCTCATCTGGGCAGCAGTCGAAGACGGCCTAGCCATTACAGCCGCATCAATCCCAGCCCTAAAACCCATCCTGACTATGATGTCTTCCACTCCTGGCTCTGGCGATAGCTATAACATAATCACTTACTACCACCATGGTAGTAAGCAGAAAGTGTTTGCTCCTCCCTGTGGTAAGACCGAGACGGATATCATTGTGACGAAGACGTGCGAGGCTGAGGAGGATGCAAGGAGTATAAGGGCGCTGTCTGATGAAGAGCAGGCGGCGACAAATACGACGGGGATTATGGTTACTACTTCTGTGAAGCAGTGTTGAATATTATATGGCTGAGTATGATAGGATTATGGTCATTTTATGGTAATAGTAAATAATAACTGATAATACAAAGTAATAATATTGGATTTTCTACAGATGCCTTAGATCTTATCTGATCATGTACGTTTATGTACGTTTCCGGTCAAGTCGATCATTACCAGGATAGTATGCACTTCATCTCCCAATCCGGGGTATCTCAATGTTTTCATTCATTCCATACCTTTGAAAGGCTAACATAAACAAAACTTTCTAACATATCAACATTTCATCCATGTAAATCACCTAATCCTCATCCATCGACTCCCAGCCATCCTGTCCCTGGGCTGCAGTCTCCACACCGCCTTCATCCTCCGACTCGCTGTCGTCAGGTTGGATACCGACTGTCCGCTCCTTGACGTCACCCTCAAGACCAGGCATGCGGTTCACGAACGCACGACGCACAGCGCCGTTGGTGGAGGTGTCCCAGATTTGAACAACACCCTTGCTGCCGGCCACAGCCAACCGGAAGCCTACATCGGTATCGGGTGCAAAGGTGGTCGAGAAGACCTTGCCCACTTCCAGCTTGCGCGACACGACCATGCTGGGCTTGTCATCCTGGATGTTCCAGAGCTTGACCTGCTTGTCGGTGGATCCGGTGACCAGGAAGCCAGGGATGCTGCCGTTGATGTCAAAGGACGACACCGAGGTGTCGTGTGCCTGCAAAGACCACAGAGGCTTCGACTCGGCCGGGGTGGAGGGGACATTTCGCACATCGAAGCGGTACACCATACCAGCATCGGTGGTGACGTAGAAGAAGTTGGGGTCGTGAGGATCCCAGCGCACGTTCTCAACGTCGGCATCAACACCCCATCGGGCCTTGGCATCAGGGGCTCTCATATCGGCTGCCACCACGGTACGGTCGTAGCTACCGCTGAGCAAAACGGTTGATTCCTTCGGGTGCCAGTCCAGCGAACAGACCTTGTCGGTGTGGTGGGTGTAAGACTTGGCGCACTTGGTGGTGTTCAGATCCCAAAGCTTCACAGTTCTGTCGGCCGAGGCGGAAGCCAACAGGTTGCGGTGCTGTCGGTTAGCGGAAAGAGCGAGAATCGAGTCGACGTGGTAGTTGTCATTAGCCTTGGACCGCTTCTTCTTCTTTCCGTCTTCTGCACCATGGCCCAGAATGGCGTTGGGGTACATGCAGTCAACAATGTCCAGATCCCAAATCTCAATGTCGGGCTCCATGGTTCCCACCGCGACAAAGTTACCGTTTGTCCGTCCCTCGGTGTTGTTTCCAACGGGAATGTCGAGCCATTCCACGCAGAGGGGAATAGCGGGCAGCATGATATCGTGGTGCACGTAGAGGTTGTCGGCATGATCCTCGTAGACGTAGACTTCAAGGTGTGCAACCTCGTCCTCCACCTTACCAGCCAGAAGCAGGTTGTCGGTAGGAAGAATCTGCAATTCTTCTCTTTCCTCATCCTCCTCTTCTTCCGGCATCACCAAGTATGGGTCTTCCTCATTGGGCTGGTGGTATGCCAGCGACTTGACATTTCCAAACATTGTAACCTTCTCGCCCTCCTCATCGACATCATCGCTGTCATAGTGGTCGAGATCGTATTCTTTAAGGTCGTCGTCACTAAAAAAGAACCGTCAGCCAGAACTCTCCCCGTAAACCAGCAGAATCACCCACTCGTTGGTCGACTTCTCTGCCTTCTTGTCTTCCTCCATGGCATCCTGGCCATCTTCCTTCTGGTCCTCATCCATTCCCTCATCCTCGTCGTTTCCTTCCTGGGCAGCGCTCAGATCGCCCTGGGCCTGCTCAAGCTGCATCTTCGCAAGCTTGGATATCCGTCCCATCTCATTCTCGTCGATTTCATATTTGGTAGGGAACTGGGCTGCGACGCCTCGGCGCACCCAAGTCGAAGTGGTAATCATAGACATCGTGAATGAAAAACTTTTGTATAACCCGAAACAAAAAAAAAAAAAGATACTTTTATCAATCCCCGCGATAACAAGTGGGATGTGAGTCTGTCCCCAGACAAAAAAAAAACGAAAAATGGAAAAGTCACAGATAAATAAAAATGATATTCACACGACAACAGATCCCCGTCTACGACGGTCTTGTTGACTCTTCTGTATCCAAGCAAAAGCTTTGCAATTGAATCGATCGTCCCTCTTGATTTTTTTTTTCCTTCTTTTTTTGTGGTCGAATTTCGTTTCCGCCCGGCAGAATCTCTCGCCGATTCTCCGACCGCCCGGCATTTGCTGCGGAGAATTACTGCTGAATAGACACCAATCGCCGTTCTTCTATCTCCATTATTTATCCAGGAGTGATTGAAAGCTACTTCCTATCGAAATACATCCAGAAATCAATTGGATTGAAAGCCCCGGATTCCTCGCTGTCAAAATGCATTCTCACCTACACACGCCGCAGAACGTCAGTATGTATTCCTCACTATCTCCCCCTCCGATCTTTAAATTCCACGATACTAACACCCATCCAAGACTGCGAAGAAATCATGACCGCCCTCGACGAATGCCACGCCCGCGGCTTCCTTTACAAAGCGCTCGGAAACTGCAACGAGGTCAAGCGCGAAGTCAACCGCTGCCTCGGACAAGAGCGGTACGCCCGCGCAAAGCGGAACCGGGATGCCGCGCGTGACAATCGGAAGCGTATCGAGAAGATCTGGGCGGATGAGCGTGCAAGCGAGCAGGGTATCTCGGCTGGTGATGCAAAGCAATAGTGGGACTGGTTGTTGTGACCTCGGTTCGATACAGAATCTAGCTGGAGTTTGGGATAATGGGATGGATGGATTGAAAGAAATACGGAAGGGAAACCGAAACTGTTCCATCGGAGATCCAAAATTCACGGACATGTATTATTTGGCCCTGAGTGGGCTCATGACTGGTGATCTAAAGGCGTTTTGGTATATAAAACATGCACATTGTACATTAGTTAACACATCGAGTATAAACTACTCTTGTCCAAAGATTGTAAAATCCAAAGGTACTCTTAAATATCATCTATTGAATATCATATTGAAACGATTGCAGAATATTCACAAGAGTTAATGAAGACTTTTTGTGACGTAGTAGTTCCCACCCAAAACGCCATCCCAATGAAAAATATATCTCTTTACAGCAATCAATGAAGATCGGATCATTCCATCGCATCCCCGGCATTGTCTGCCTCATGGGATGGCTCATGACCCTCACCACCTTCTCTGTTGGCTCCCTTATGGTGACGCCGTCTCCTCTTCTTCTGAGCGCCTGCATCACCATCCTCTTTTCTGTCCTGCCCCGCATCACCGCTTTCTTCCTTAGAAGGCTGGGCCTCAGATTTCTTTGCCTGCTTCGTGGCAGATGCAGAACCAGAACCGCCCTTTTCAGCCGGCTTCTTGGATTTCTTCATACTCAACGGGTTGGGCCCCTTTGGCTTCTTCGAATCACGCTTCTTCTTCTCCTTGGCCTCCCCCTCACCATCCTCGCTCCTCTTCCTCTTGCCCAATGACGAATCGCCATCCAAACCAGCCCGGAACTTCCCTTTCTCGAAACCATCTCTCACGTTCTCCGACGGGTTGCTCATGGGCTCAAGAACCATGACCGACCGCTTCACATACACGATAGGAGTTCCTGGAATAGACCGTGCGCCGACCCGTAGAGCTCTGGACTTTTGCATCGCTTCTTTTAATCCGTCGTCTGGACGCTTTCTCTTCCTCGATTCACCGGGAGCGGGCTTCGGCGGCGCGGGCGGATCCGCCGTTGCGAGAGTGTAGTGCTCCTTGTTGCGTTTCGAGTCGCCCGTAGGAGCGAGAAGAGAAAGTAAGCACTCGACCTCGTCGATGGGCGTCGAATCTTCGTTGTGCGAACAATGGCGCAGAGGGACCTCAGTGGGTGGTGGGAGATGGTGGGGACGGACGGGGTTGTTGGTTCTCGGGTTGATGGGCTGAGCTGCCATGATAGCGGCGAGGGAGCATTTTGTCAATACTAGATAGCGAGCCATTAGTTATAATGTCAGTGGAAGAATGCTCTTGCGGTACGTACGCGGCTTGACTTTTCCTTGAAGCGTACGTTCAAGTGCGGGGAGAAGATCCATCTTGAAGGAGTGAACTGCGCGGAGAAAATTCGAGTCGACTGTTCAGTTAGCATTAGCATATTTTCATAAAGCATCAAAAACAGTCTGCTTCAATCGAGCAGCTGCGTCAATGAGCCGGGATTTCATTCTTACGCAGTATTTGATACGGTTCGCGAAACCCAAATGCCAACTCATACTGATGCATGAGCTTGCGATACTTCTTCGAACGCTTGGCCCTCATTTTAAATTTCGGCCGTCAATGAGGTCTTGGAGTGTAGAGAAAGGAATGTTGTGAAAACTAGAGAGTTGGAGCACTTCCTGTTCCGCTTGGAATCGAAACTTTTTTTTGCCGGGCGGAGTTGGGGCGCTTTAGATGTGGTCTGTGCACTGGTGTTTTGCGATAGAAATAAGAACATATTGCACTCTATCATTATTATCTAGCTAAAGAAAGATATGGAAAATGTTGAATTATGGCTTATATAAAGCAATAGATTGATATATCTGAAATATTGGATATTTGCACCATCTGGTACGAGATAGTGCTGCATTTGATTGCTAGCAGAAGTATGATCTTAGAAGCCGCAAACTTCTATTCTGCGTGTTGAATTCGTCCACGTCCTCTGTATGATGATGAAATATTGCCAGTTATGATCGAAAATGGATCAAAGGCTAGTATCCCGCCGACACTGAAGCTGCATCAAGACTGTTGAACTCGACAACTTCCTGTGCGCATGGTCGGTATCGGACGCTGGGTGGATTCTAGGAATTTAATTCTCCGAGTTGAATCCATGAGTTGAGCCACGAGATGAGATGAGCAGAGTCAATCAGACTTGTGGTGATGAATCATTTCCTGGTGTTGTATGTGCCGTTGTTGAATAACATGGCCTCTCTCAGCCCCCTCTCTTCTTGCAGCAACCAACAACAACACTGATGTCATCCATCTTACCTAGTTACCTATTAACAATGTATTTTAGAAGAAGAAAAAACGGACGTTGACTTACCCCCTTCGATGGCCAGACCTTCGTCAATTGCTTTCTCCATGAATGGACTCTCAGCAAATGGATCCTGAGCGATATCCAGAGAGGCCTTCAGCAGTTCCCTGGCTACGAAGACCATTCGTTCTTCGGCCAAGGCTGCCGGAGGGGCCCACTCCGAATCCATCTCATCATTCCGCCCTTGGTTCCACTTCTTAATACTGTCCAAAGTGATAGTTAAAACCTCTTGCTCCCAAAGGTTATCCAGGACACCATCCGATACGGCAAGCACGAGATCATCTTCTTCCAGTGTTACTTGGGATAATACGGCATTCTCCCTCGGTGTGTCCACACTGTTTGTCCCTAACTGCATCGGGCAGTCGAACCAGTGCCATTGCTCATTTGTCCGGAACAAAATCTTTCCCTCGCTCGGGCGAATGATGAGCACCTTACAATCCCCTATATTGGTGACATAGAGAAGTGGCTTTGTATTCCCTTGATCACCAGTCCAATGTAAAAGCGCAGTCACGGAGGTTGTAGTTCCGAACCATTCGTTCGGTGTTTTGGTTGCGCGACATGTTTCCTCGTAGGCCCGTTGAAGATATTCGACAGGGTCCGGATTTGAAGTCCCGTTGATCCCTCGCTCGACCTCGAGAGCCCAAAAATGTAGTATAAGTCTCGACCAAAGCCTGTTCTCGAATGAAGGGGAAATGTCAGCCACAAATCCTCCAGCAGTAAAAAAGGGTCTAGACAAGAGCACTTACGCAGCGTGCCCCTGTGGCTTCGTAGCCCATGCGCCTACACCATCATTGACACCGATGAAATTCTCCGCAACCAGGATCGCATCATCCCCATTGTTCAATCCCCGGATTAGCTCCCCCTTGACGGATAATCTCTTATCCTGGCTATGGTAGTGGGTGGTTAGAGGGTCGGAAAAGGATGAGGATGGCGGAGACATGAACGGTGGGGGAAACGGGCGGGGAGCCCGTTTTGCACAGAGAGCATATCCCGTTTCCAGATAGAAGGGAGATCTGGAGAGGGGAATCGGCGGATGATGCCCCGGCTCGGGGGTGGTGATGCCGTACGACGGCCAAACGGCACGGTAGTTGCGATGCTGCCGCACCACAGGCGTTTGAGTCCTAGGTCCCTGAGCTGCGCTCCACAGTGGGCTACGTACAAATATAGTGTTCGTAGCAGCCTTGGTCACCATGCCCGCTCTGAAAATGTGCAGAAAGCACACTGAGATGCCCGGACGGATGGAAGGTGGTTTCTTCGTTGACTCATGCCGGGAAGAAAAGGGTTGAGCGGATGACTTTTCGAATCACAGGACGATAAGCAATACAAAGCCTTGACCGCAGCCAAAACGAGAAGGACAAAAGAAAAAATGTTGGGTCTCAAATACCTAGTCAACGCGCACGACAAATGCACATTATTCTCCGATATTTTATCGCATCTTTCTCGTTCTCCTCCTGTCACTCCAAGCTTTTTTAGAACTTTTTAAAATTGATTCCGATTAACTATGGATTTAGCTGCCGATCTAGCATGACACGGGGCCATTACTATTGAGGACTAACTGGCCACCATCATCATAAAACTCGTAAAACCCATTATTCATTGCCTCCATATTTGGCACGCATCATTATTGCTCAAGATATTCATCTAACCAGTGTCGATGCATCTCCCCCCAATCCGGAGTATGTTTGTCAGAAATCCAATCCTAATTCTGGGCGGCTGCGGTGCGCTCCTTTCGGACCTCCGCGCCGATCAATGACAAAGAAAGATCCAATTCGGTGACGAGCACGGAGTCGTGTGCCTCAAAAAGGAAGGCTGCAAAGGTCTCGAAGATTACTTTGGCGATGCTGTTGCACCGAATGCTCAAATCCACACGGCCCGGGCCCTTGCGACGCTTGGCCAGCAAACCACGCAACATACGTTCCGCGCAGGGGCAGACACGCTCGACTTCAAGAGTGCAAGTCTCAGCACACTGACAAAATGGCATGCAGATGCACTTCTTTTCCTTGCAGAAGTTAACAAGGGAACGTCTGGTCTCTTCACGGCGGACCTGCCCGAGACTCTTGCCCTCGAGCTTGGCGAGGGTGGCCGTGCGATGGTCCAAGATGATCTCCTTCTCCCAAGCAGCGGAATCGACGGTGGAAGGGTCGACGAAAGGGAGAGCTGTGGTCGGGAATTCTTCCTCTATCTCGGCCATTGGGACCGTCGTGAGATACTTCTCGGAAAGGTTGGTCTGGGTCTCCCGCAATGGCTTGCGGTACAACCAACAGAGGCCCTTCCACTTCTGAAAGTAGGCTGTGGTCTCGTCCTTCAAGAAGGCCAGGGTGAAGCGACGATATCCGAAGATATCAGTGGCGAAGAAGTCGGACTCCAGCATCCTGGCCACGGCACGACGATTGAACTCGTCCTGATTCTGCCAAATCACCTGCTTGTCCAGGAGACTGCAGACGGTTGGCGAATCAAGGATCTCCTTGCAAGCCAGATATATCCTGTACAGATGGCCGGGTTCAGGAAGCACAAAGCCAGCGTTTGGCTGCTGGCGAGCAGTTCCACCAAAGCAGGAGCAAAGCTCCACGTTCGCCAATTCAACCATGATCCTCGCATACACGCAATAGTAGAGGCTGTCCACAGTCTCAATGAGAGTGGTAACAGAGTTGGAGGTCACGACTTCTTCAGCGCGCTTGATTCTGGTCAGGATACCGGTCGGGGAGTCATCGAGCTGGGAAACGAATCAGTTATCTGCCTATGATTTGATGGATACCATATACGTACATCAACCCCATAGTGCATGAAGATGACGAGCATGACCTTGGCAATGGCATAAACCTTGCAGAAGACGTTCAGAACACTTTCGACTCTGTTGCAGCCGTTGTCATCGATTTTGTCGTCAAGAGTGACGGCGGAAGCTCTGTAGCTTGAATCAGACGGCAAGATCCAGTCCACAGAGCTAACTGTGTAGGGACGGATAGGTTCGACGGGAGCCATCTAATATTCTTTTGTCAGTTCCTGTCGTGATATCTCGAAGAAAGTCTCGAGGGCAGAGGGGAGACTGTCTGGGGAGAAGAGGAGGGAGGGGTCACTTACGGCTGAAGAGTACGAACCCTCAGTGCTGTTGGATGTCTGGAGCTGCAAAGCCTCGAGCTGTTGAGCTTCTTCCTCTAGCTGATTCTGGGAGTACATGTAAAAGCCGTCTGTGTGCTCACAGTCTGAAGACTCTGGCAGAACGTTGTTTTGGCTTTGTCTGGACTGAAAAGCACGTTTGGGAAAAAGCTTTTGGAAAGCAATCTCCCAGAGACGAGAGCTAGAGCGCCGAGAGGGAGCCATTGTGTGTGCCCTAACTCTTTCAAGCCACGTGAAGGTCAAGCCGCAGTGTGAAGAGTTGTTTGTCGATGAGTGTGGAGGAGGGATAAAGCTGACGATCGAATGTGCAAGAGGAGAGAGGGAAAAAAAAAAAGTCAGGCAGAGGGGGGTGGGGAGGAGGAGTAACAGATCTTTGTGCGAAAGCAGTGAATACAGAGGCATTGTGCTATTTCACAATACTGTCCTCTTTCTCCCTCGCTCGCTTAATATTTGATCAAGGGTATGTATTGATCGATATTGATATTGATATTGCATTTTTGCTACTTTGCTTCAAGATGGTATATCAACTTGATATCAAACGGACCTTATATCAAGCAGCATGCACAGATCCTCTCCAAAATACACCATAAACAACCTAAAACTTTAACTAAAAAAACTAGCTTGAGTACTTTAATTTAGCTTCTCCTTGTCTCAAGTACATGATGGAAATATCAGACCTGGACTCGACGTTGCAAGAATTCATGGTATGCAGCAAACAGAAGACCGTAGGTACAAACCATAGCTACGTACCAATTTATGACGATCAAAGGCTAGGAACCTTATAATTAGATTCATTTACTAGTCAACGTGAGACATAATCATAACCCGTCTATAGATTTCTTTATTCATATCAAGACCACCAGCTACAGAACCAGCGGATCAACCTCAATCTTGGAATCTTCAGTGCAAATAGAGTATGGCAGGATGACCTCTGGAATTTTCCAGATCAACCTATTCGCTCTGTCAACATATTCGGAAGGGATGGAAGAGCATTCGCTAAAAGAAAGTGACTGGAAAGAATACCAACTATCAGCTAGCGACTCTTGATATAAAGAGAAGAAAGACCTATGCTTACCTCAAGATTCTTTAAGCCCCTGACCCACTCAAGGTCAAAATCGCATATTTCACTCGGCGTGTTTTTGAAATATTTGATAGGATGTGAGAGAACCTGCTGACAGTTTTCGAGCCAGAGAACCTTCAATCTAGCGCCTGGCGCGAGCCCATCCTCTCCAACAAAATGCTCATCTGATTCCTCGTCATAACCTCCGAGCCAGTTCAAAAACTCGGGCTGGGCACCATTACAAGTCCTCAGCTTGAGTGTTGTAAGATTCGGGTTGTTCTGGACCAGCATCGACAGCTGCCACGGTGTGATGCCAGTTCGTTCCATGATGAGTGTTTCCAACCCTGTGATTCCCATGTTCTTATACGGTCCGATTCCTATCAGTGCGTTCCAAGCCGTACTGCCTCGTGCGGGCTGAAGCCAGGCGGTTGGTCTCATGAGACCGTCTCGAATATGTGGATGTTCGAAGCGCAATGCCAAATGGCGTAATGAGCGCTTACATGTTTTACCTAGAGCTTCAGCACTTTCGGTATTGATATCGTAAGCCATGAATTCCAAGTCGACGAGAGATGCTCCATAGCGGCGGACAAGTTTTGCGAATAATTGGTTCTGTAGTCGGACCATCTGTTCCAGCGTTCTCGGCTTATTCTCACTGATGGCTAGGCTTCGCCGTTTCAGGTCTTTTGTTCTAAGAGGGTATTCGCAAATCGGTTCCTGTTTCATATGGGTGGCTGGTGGCTGCACAACGGAAGCAGTAAAGTCGAGCCGGCAATCTCCATTTTCCCTAAGTTTCGTTACCTGGTCCAGTGTCGCCCAGCCAGCCTGGAGGAAGGAGATAATAGAGTGTATGCGTTTCTGAAAGACGGCTAATCGAAGGCGTTTAAGGGATAGAAGGTGACAATCATAGTTAGATCGAGATGTTTCGCCGAATGAGAGCAGTGATTCAAGAGGAAGGTATGAGAGGATCATGAGGATTACTTCTGGAGGGAGCGAGCTGATATTGCCGATCTTGCTAGCCATGGCGAATCTGGGTGAAATTCGAAGGATCGATCTGATCTGTCAAAACTAGTCGGATCATTGGAATGTGGCGTCGGGTTCCTACCAATTCTATATTTTCGTTTCGTACTGGGCAGTCGGTATTCTTAACTAAAACATCGATAAAGCAAATTTGGGTATCTCTGAGGTCGTAAAAGTCGTATGTCATGACATTCGTCAAAAATCTTCCAAGCACAATTGCTCCCTAATTTAAAGAGGCATCGAAGGCGTTGAAAGAGGGAAAGCAAAGAATGTCTAGAACCTGTTCTAAAAATGCTGGATTTAGCAACGCAGTTCAAGGCGACTGATATGCTAGAGTCCCATCCAGACCAGATGTAACACCACGAAGCCACCCCAAAAACCGGATACACGATCCAAACTATACCAGGGAAGAGAAAATTTGAAAAGAATACGATTGAGATGGAATACTTACGGGGCAATAAATCAAGAAATTAACCTCAAGTCGAGGACCTTGCAGTAGCCAGTCAGAAAGATGAGCATCAAAGATAGCCTTTTTAATTTCTACAATGAGTCAAGCAAGAGTTAGTTTCAAATTCTGAGTTTATGATGACCTTTTGCAAAGTGGGGGACATGACAATAGCCCATGATAAGTCCCCAGATAGTAATAAAGAAGCTATACGGAGTGCAAACGACATTCTTTGTTCTCCTGCAAGAAACTGCAAGGAAGCTCAGGCGACAGGAGGACATTTGGAGGCAGCGACTCTCGACAAAGCAAATTGACACTAGAATGAGGGGACAGTATACCTTCAAATCTTCACGAATTCTTCGACAAAGCGAGCGCAACGTCGGGTGTTGACGTCGACAGGAAGGCGAATGGTGACGCCTGGTCTGACACAAGAATCCGGTACCAAGAGGGATGTGAATAAAGGATCCGAACCTTAGGAAGGTCTGCAGCCTCTTATCCATGGTTATGGGTCCATATTTATAGATCACGGATGCTTTGACAAATACTGTGACTTGGCCACATACCACGATCGGCTTTGGGGGTGGTTGCAACGGGAGGTCATCCACGACCGTTGACTAACCACGCCGTCAAGCGCTGATGCCTGCAACATGTAGGCCAAAAACAAAGATATCGGCAGTTACAGCGTGTTTGCCCTCCCTGGATGGGGGACTCTGGACACACATTTGGGCAGCGAAAGGACCTGCCATTTTGGCATACATTAAACCTGGCTGGCATTGGGACTCGAAGTGTCAATGGTGGTCAGCGAAGGATCCATCGTCCATGACTGGCGAAAATAGCCCAGCAATTAGTTCCGATCTTGCTTCTTGGTGGTTATTTTCTTTGTTCTTCCTGTAGCTCGGTTTCTATAATTTCTTTTTCTGGGTGGAGCCTCATGCAGCCGAATCTGTAACCTGGAACTCAAGCAGGTGGGAAAAAAGCAATTATGGCGCTGAAATCGACCTCGTCATTGCTGGAACGAACAACCACGTCGGAGGAGGCCGTAATGGGGACAAACAGACTGCTGCAAGTAACAAAGACACACGATTCAAGGCGATTACTCCAAGTAGGGACTTGCTCCTAGGTCGACTGGGGTACAAAGCCCACCAGCACGGAGCAAGCCGGATTTCGCATCGATTCAAAATGTCGATTCGACCAGAGGCACAGCCTGACGGGATCTCAGCCTTGTATTTTCCCTCAGTGTGACGCTGTCCCAGGCCTTCGGATCGCTTAGGCCAATAGAGACGCAAAGGATCAAACCCCCCACGTTGGATGGTTCACGAACTGTTACTCAGACGGGCTGTGATCTTCTCCAGTCATCAACTGACGCACGGGGGGTGTGATAATCTGCGCGGTGGTGGAGAGAGGCCGGCTGCAAAGCGGACGCACGGCTGGTGTAGTCAACCGCAGCACTGATATGGAAGGTGAGCTGTCCTCTTACAAATGAACTTGATTTTACTTTCAGAACCGAATTGTTAACTGGTTATCAGTTTGGACAATTTTTGTAATCAGGTCATCACTGGATCAAGATGGATGCACAGTCAACCCGATTTGACGGACACCGATGGAGTTAACCGCCCGGCGCCCCGACCCATAGCGTGTATAGCGCATGTAGGGTGGATATAGCGTGTGTATAGCCCGAAGGAATAATAATAGGGAATGGAGATCCCCTTCCAAGGGCATTCAGGGTGGCGGTGAAGTCAAAGGCCCAGACTAAGATCCACTAGGTGTACTGCTGAAACAACTAATCATACAAAGGAAACGACATCTCAGCTGGTATGTGAGCCGATCATATTTCCTATGAGACACGGCCAAAATCTACAAGTCATCAAGTAAGTACAGAGTACGTCGAGAGCAGCCGGTGCTTCAAAAAAACATTCCGCTTGTTCGTAAGAAAGATGTCTTCTCCAGGGGAAAGATATAATACTATAAACACAAAGAAGTCGAAATCCAAACACTAGCCTTGGACTCGGAAGGTACGTCCACTGGCCGTCTTCCTTTCTTTCTCCTCGTTTTCTGGACGAGCTCTGTTGAGGACTGCGATTTGTTAGCTGCAGGTCATGATGCAGGATGCATTCACTCTTACCCTGGAGGAAGTCCGCTGTCCTCTTGCGCATTCTGGTGTGGATGTATGCCTAGAGTGGTGTTATTATTTGGTAAATCCATAAAGTATGGACGGGAAGCTACCTTGGAGGCCTTGATATGGTAGTGGAAGTAGTCACGGAAGGTCTGAATGTGGGAGATGTTCTCATAACGGCGCTGGGGAGTCAAGTGACGGGGGAAAAGAACTACCAACGTCAGTATTTCGGTTCGGAAAGAACAGGAAAAGATAAAGGTATTACCAAAGGTCACATAGCTGATTTCACCTTCGCCCGCGTTCTGGAGACCCGGGACGCCCTCCAACTCCAGCGGAGGATCGTTACGGAAAAGCACTTGAGGAGCGTTCTGCAAGGTCAATACACGTCTTCTAGCGTCGACGAATTCCTGTTTGCAAGTCAGCAACCATATTCCTTCAGAATTAAAGGCGATGGGATCGACGAACCTGCAAGAACACCTTGCCAAAGATCCGATCAGTCTCCTCCCTGAAGACGGTGCTAAAGATCACAGTCACACGATCCCAGCTTGCTTTGATATAGATTGCCTCCTCTTCCCGGTAATGAACGGCCATGACTTGACCTCCCTCCTTCACACCCTGCGGGGCAGATTCCGAAGTGTACTGTGAGGCTTCCTCCGCCAGCTTTGCGAACTCGTCAAACGCTCTCTCGAAAGGGGAAGCCATAGCATGGCGCTTCATCAATGCAAGCCTCATAACTAGCTCGTCCCTGGCTTCTTGTTCGGCGGGTAGATCCTCCAGGTCGATTTGTACAGAGAAATCATAACCAGGTTCTGGGGAAACAATATATGGGCCGTATTCCCGCTCCAGCACCTGCTGGGCACCGTATTCGACCAGCTCTTTGAAGCATTTCACGTTGATGGAGATGAGGATCTTGGTTTTACTTTCGGGGGTCGAGAGGTGGAAAGTCACGCCGTCAAAATCCGAGACAACTTGATCGATTGAGGCCGGGGGAGCTCTGTAGAAAACGATGCAAGCAAGCCGTTAGCCGGATGCCTGACATCAGACATGTGTATACTCGTAATGAGCGGGGAGGGGGGGTAAGTACCCTGAGAACCGCTCTGTCAGGAGGGTCTGGATCAGGACATTGTGGTAATCGAGCAAAAGCATGGCGAACAATCAATATGAGTGGCAATCTATCGTCAACAATGGTTCAGCAGCACGACAACAAGGAGGCTTTGGTGTTTGGGCCTTGGAATTGGGGGTCGTCGACAAGCTGGCGATCGCAGGCGGTGGGGAGCCCCGATGGTCGCTGTCGCCGCCCGTAGTGCCGCTCCCGCCGCTGCGATTATTATCGATAGCAAATCGCCGTCGGAGCTCCCAAATTTTTTTTTTCGCTGTCAGTGTCGGATGCCTCAACGATGGTGAAGTCTTATTTGTAAGTCAATTGTGCTTGAATATTGCTTTTCTCATATTATCTGAGATATTAATGTTTGCAGGAAAATCGAGCACTCGAATACTTTCGGGCTCGTTGCGTCCTCATCGTCGAATGCGATCTGGGCCCGAGACGATGAACTCGCAGGCAGTGCACGCCGTACAGGCGCAGGACGGGCAATTGTAGGTGCCAGTGAGGAGGTTTTATGTTGGGATGTGAAGAAAGGAGAGCTGCTTGGTAAATGGCGGGATGTCTCGTGCAAGGCGCAGGTCACTGCAATTACCCAGAGCAAGACCGATGAGGATATTTTTGCGGTCGGGTACGTTCCCAGTCACAATGACTGCTTGTGTTCTTTATACTAAATTATGCGATACTTTTTCTAGTTACGAGGATGGCAGCATTCGTCTTTGGGATTCGAGAACCGCTACGGTCATTATTTCGTTCAACGGCCACAAATCCGCCATCACCCAACTTGCCTTCGATAACGCAGGTGTGCGCCTGGTCAGCGGTTCTAAAGACACAGACATCATCTTGTGGGACTTGATCGCCGAAGTTGGTCTGTTCAAGCTTCGTGGACACACTGATCAGATTACATCGCTCCATTTCGTCGTTCCATCCATCGAGCTGCTCAATGCCGCTGGCTTGAGTGACCATGCAGGATTCCTTTTGACTACCGGCAAGGACGCGCTGATCAAGGTCTGGGATTTGGCTTCGCAGCATTGTATCGAGACACATATCGCACAGTCGAATGGAGAGTGCTGGAGCTTGGGTCTATCGCCGGACCAGAGTGGCTGCATTACCGCAGGAAACGATGGAGAACTCAAGGTGTGGTCGATTGACGAGAGCGCCATGATTGAAATATCCAAGGAGAAGGTGGGGGCAGATGACCGCAGGATTCTCACAAACCGAGGGACGTTTTACCGGAATGGCAAGGACCGCACCATCGGTATCAGCTTCCACCCCCGTTCGGATTACGTTGGTTTTCACGGCTCGGAAAAGTCAGTGGAAATCTGGAGGATTCGCTCGGAAACCGAGGTGCAGAAGAGTCTGGCGAGAAAGCGCAGAAGGAGAAAGGAGAAGGACGCTCAGCGTGCTGAAAAGGAGGGAGCCGTTGCGGAAGTCGACAATGACAAGCCAGAGGATGTGTCTTCTGCCCCGGTAACAGAGGTCTTTGTATCCCACGTCATTGTTCGAACCGGTGGAAAGGTCCGCTCGTTCGATTGGATCAGGACCAAATCCAGCGGCAATATCCAACTGATCGCAGCAACAACCAACAACCAGCTCGAGGCCTACAGCGTTGTTACCGCGGGTAAGAAGGACGAGGAGGATTCGGACTACACCCGGAGCCTGGCCGTGGATATTCCGGGTCATCGAACTGACATCCGCTCCATCGCCCTGAGTTCCGACGACCGAATGTTGGCCTCTGCATCTAACGGCAGCCTTAAGATTTGGAATGTCAAGACACAAAGCTGTCTGCGTACCTTGGAGTGTGGTTACTCGCTCTGCTCCGCCTTCCTTCCTGGTGACAAGATTGTCGTCGTTGGAAACAAGAATGGTGAACTTGAGGTCTTTGATATCGCATCTTCCACTCTTTTGGATACGATCAAGGCCCATGATGGACCAGTTTGGTCGATCCATGTCCACCCCGATGGCAAGTCCATGGTCAGTGGCAGTGCTGACAAAACCGCCAAATTCTGGAACTTCCAGGTCGTCCAGGAGGAGATTCCTGGTACTAAGAGAACTACGCCCCGACTGAAGTTGGTGCATACAAGAACTCTCAAGGTTTCGGACGATATCCTCAGTCTACGCTTCTCGCCCGACTCTCGACTTTTGGCCGTTGCCCTCTTGGACAACACGGTCAAAGTATTCTTCGTCGATTCGCTCAAGCTCTTCCTCAATCTTTACGGACACAAGCTTCCTGTTCTGAACATGGACATATCCTATGATAGCAAGCTTATCGTTACTTGCTCAGCTGACAAGACCGTCCGGATTTGGGGCTTGGACTTTGGTGACTGCCACAAGGCATTGTTGGCACATGAAGACAGTATTATGGCTGTTGCGTTCGTCCCCAATAACAAAGAAGGAAACGGGCACAACTTCTTCAGTGCCAGTAAGGACCGTGTGATTAAATACTGGGATGGTGACAAATTTGAACATATCCAAAAGCTTTCTGGTCACCATGGTGAGATTTGGGCTTTGACAATCAGTCGCTCGGGCGAGTTCATCGTCAGTGCTAGTCATGACAAGAGTCTTCGCATCTGGCAGCAAACCGACGAACTGCTTTTCCTTGAGGAAGAGCGCGAAAAGGAGCTCGAGGAGATGTATGACAACAACCTCACTGCTTCCCTCGACCAGGAGGATGGCGAGGATGGAGAGAAGGCCGAAGCTGGTGATGCTGGCAAGCAAACCAGCGAAACTCTCATGGCCGGAGAGAAGATCATGGAAGCCCTGGATCTGGGCATGGAGGATCTCGAAGTCATGCGTGAATGGCGTGCTGTCAAGGCTGCTAACCCCAACGCCGCACCGCCAACGCGCAACCCTCTATACCTGGCCTTGGGCAACGTCTCGGCTGAGCAATACTTGCTGAACATTATGCAAAAGATCCCAGCTGCGGCAGTTCAGGACGCTCTGCTTGTTCTGCCTTTCTCCAAACTTCCTGCACTGTTCACCTTCCTCAACATCTTCGCCGACCGGGAAATGAACATCCCGCTGACCTGCCGTGTTCTTTTCTTCATGCTGAAGACCCATCACCGCCAGATCGTCGCCAGTAAGATGATGCGGCCCATGTTGGATAGCATCCGGTCGTCTCTCCGTCGCGTTCTGGCACGCCAGAAGGACGAGATGGGATTCAACCTCTCAGCATTAACCTTCATTGGCAATCAGGTACGCGAGTCAAACACCAAGGATTACGTTGATGAGGACACTTGGGAGGAACAGCATCCAGCCGCGGCAGCAGGCACGGGCAAGAAGCGACAGTTTGTCAGCGTTTCTTAAGTCTACGTCTACATTATATGGGAAATGTATCTATCTGTATTTGTGCATATGATTGGCGTTGCGAATTTTCCAGTTGGAATGTTTTGGTTCTAAAAAAGTTCTATATCCTTTGGAGTTGACGGGAGAAAAAGATTAATCTAGATTTGATCGAAATGTCCTGATAGACTCTTCATTTATTCTATATATCAACTACCAACAGTATATTCCATAAGTTATATCCGTAAGAGCAAAAACCTAAACATCGCAACGTCAGCAAACAAGATCACCAACGAAAAACGAATACCAGACACAACCGCATCCAGAAAGGCACAAGCCAAAGCCAAAGCCAAAGCCAAAGCCAAAGAAAGAGAAGAGAGAAGAAAACATCATCTCATCACAGCCAACAGCAAGGTGTAAAACTCCACTCAGCAGAACCTTTATAAGCATCGACGACAGGACGGATCAATTTTGACGAATCAATCACAATTCCTGCCATACCTCTTCCGGCTCTTCCTAAAATACCGGTTCTTGGAATAATTCTCATCATTTTGGAGCGTTGCTGGTACTGGACTTTGATGTGTTTTTCTTTTCTTCTTTTTTTCTTTCTGTCTGGATTGGTGAGGGGCAAAAAGAGGGAGGGATGTGTGATGTGATAAGTGGGATTGGGGATAGTAATAATGCATACCTATTACTGTTAGGTTAGTGTAGCAAATATGCAAATTGCTGGTTTATTATTGACTTATTGACACTGCCATCATAATGCAGCTGTTGTAAGCGCAATTCTTGAAGGTGAAGTTGCGTTGGAGAAGAAAAAATGAAGAGAAGAAAAATAGTCGGAAAAAAACCGAGGGGAGCTAAGTGGATTAGCTAATCATGCCCGTGGCTTAGTCACCATCGCTGTTTTCTACAATCGACAATAACGAGGATTAAAGTCCTCGAAAGATTGAATTATGATATCCTGTTTGGATGATGTTGAATTTTTATGGCTTAGAGGCGTTGGGTTTTGGCATTTGATGTCTTCCACCATCATGAACGAGACTATCCAATACCATATGTGTTCGGCGTTCAGCGTGCTTGACATTTAAGCTGTCAATAAGACTAATGTACATTTCATTGTGATCTAGCTTCATGGTGTATAACTACATCATTTCATGTCTCATTAATTCATTAATCAAAATAAGGTGGTTGGTGCTGGATTGTAGGATTTCCCGAGTATGTACTCTGTATCAACAAGAAGCAAAAAGGTCATGAAAGCACATCGCATCAAGAATCCAAATGGGGTATAAAAGGGGAAATTCTAGAATAATCCGGTAAATATCATGATGTCTGCTTCATCATTCCACAGCTCGCGCATGTCCACCATTCGGTTTCCATAAAGGTTCCACAGGTCTGGCAAACCCACCCCAGTGGGCGTTTAGGAGTATTCCTCTCAAGCGCAGCAAGGGTCTCTACTGCCCTAGTTCTGTTTTTGAAAGTGGTCGAGCTAGCAGATTGGCTTTGTTGACGCTTCCGCTTGTTTGGGGGTTCTTGCTGTCTGGGGGTTGTCGGAACTGGTCCAGAAACAGAGCGGGAATTTGATGGGCGAGGCCGTTCTGCTGTACAAGCATCACAGCACAGAAAGTTTGCTGGATTTTCGAGTGTGCATGTAGGACATGTCCACGGTTTGTCATAGGAGGTGTTGTCGGATGTAAGGTCAATTGGTTCAGATAGCTGTGTTGAAGACGTCGGCCGAGTACCCTCGGCAGTAGGTAGAGGTGATAAGTTAGTTCGAGGTCCAGCAGGGTTTTCCTGGCTCGGAGGAATATACGAAGGGCCATATATCTCCCGTTCTTCCTGCTGAATCAACTCGATATATGCCTGCATAATGGCTTGTTCATTCGCATCGTCTTCTTCCGCTTTGGTCCTGAAACCGTTCCTGGAAGCTTCCTCGGCCAGTTCGTTGCTGTTTTGGGTACCAGAAGCACAACCTCTAGTCACTTCGAGGCGTCTCTGTGTAGCATCTGCAATGACCCTGCGCATATCTGTTCCTCGCATCACGGGAGCACCTCCCAGTCTTCGTCCTGATCCACCTGAGAGGAGTCGCCTCTGCTCTGCAGCAGCTCGGGCTTGTCGACGAGCTTCATCTATAGGCATTTTACGACCACCCAGTCGTCTACCATTAGACAAGAAGCCTTCTCCAGTATAGCCTTTCATAACCAGCTCTTCATGCTCATCACGTAATTGGTTCCATAGCGCATGAAAGTGCTGGTTGTGTGGGCCATGTACAATGTGACAAAGCCTATCCATGTCAGTACCAAAGAAACATTCAAGCTTGGCCATAACTCACTCGTGCAGCATCGTATCAACCACCTGTTCGATAGGAAGGAACTGGCGTTGATCGGAGGGGTATCGTAATCTCAGACATATCTTCTGACCTCCATTGATATTGAGACCTAGAAGATTCCGCTCACGAGGATAGAATTCACTGAGGGTTCCTACTCTCCAGCCCCGCTGCCGCATGATCGGTTTGACCAGAGAAGCGATTTTCCGAAGGATCAATAAAGCCTCCGATTCTCTAGGCCGGGTTTTTTCATGTTGATATTCTGAAACGAGGGCGTCTATTTCACGCATTTTGACTTGGCTTCTTCCAGTATTCAAAGAGCCGATGGCACTGAAATGAAGGATGAGTTGGTATTTTGGCTGAGATTTCAGTGCCGCGTAGATATTTCTACATCTGCTGGAAATCCATCACACTTATGCCTTCAAAAAAGCACGAGTATTTCTAATCGACGGATACCAATAATAAAAGAACGAATAAGTAGACTCCAGCCTCCAGGATGAACCCGAAGGATGCAGAAACTGAAAGAAAGAAACTGGAGTCCAGCGTTGGCAAGAACAGCGGGTGGCACTGCACTCTTCATTGATAATCAGCGGATGCCCCTTTGGTTGGCGTCACGTGAGTTGGGGAACTGCGCCTGAGGCAGAATATAGGTAATAACGCAAAGAAATTCAAAGATAGGCTGATTCTTACACAGATGAGCTGAAAATTAATCAAAATTAATAGAATAAATGTTTGTGGGCCTACTGCATCATCCTGAATATTTCTGCCTCTACAAAGTATATATTTGATGATGTTGGCCTCTATAACTATTTCACTTTCAGCTTCTGATGAGCATCCTTTGCTTTCTCTTAATATCTGTCTTTAGGTACTCCAGTATAAGCCAAACATGACATATATGAAGATGTACTATTTTTTCTGAATGTTTTCTGCTTATATCTTATGCTGTCGAAGTCGACAGAAACCAGTATTAAATGTTGTGTGGGGCATGATTAGCTCCCGCCAGACCGGCCAATTAGGACAAGTGGTTTGATGCTGCTCATGTGACTTGTGGATATAGAATCATTATCGGCGGAACTTTTTCTTCGCCTTATCGCAGTTCTGGCAAGCATCAGCTGGACTTTCATCGCAGCCAGAATCTGAAAATGACTAGTGACGACCAATTTTTCTTTGATTATGTGAGTGTTCATCATCGGCAGGAAGATACAGCCACTCAGCTGAGATACTGATTTGATCTGTTTGTTTTGAAGCTTTCTTCGATACCGCATGACGTAAGGAAGTACTCGCTCGAGGTCGCCAACTTGATCGACCGTCAAGTCGACAACGCTGCCGGGTTGGTTCGGGATACGTTCTCTAACCAGTCATGGCTACCTTCGTCTGTTCGACCGCTGCCTAGAACCCCCCAAAATGTTCGACCGCAGTCGTTTACGGATCGCGTGCAGGATTGGGTTTTTAAGAATCGCGCATGGAGTGCGGCTATCTTGGCCTTTGTCGGGACTAGCTGTGTGTTGTATTTCGGGAGCAAAAAGCTGAATGGCAAGCGGAGAAAGGCGAGAAGAGCTGGAAATGGTGCTCGAAAGGAAATCGTGGGTATGTTGTGTCGGGTTTGATCATATTAATCTGCATGACTGACGAGCTGTAGTCGTTGCCGGATCTCCCCACGAACCGATGACTCGGGCGATCGCTAGTGATCTGGAACGTCGAGGATATATTGTTTATGTGACAGTGTCGTCGACGGAGGAGGAGCACATTGTTCAGTCCGAAAATCGAATGGACATCAAGGCGCTTTGGTTGGACTTGACAACTGTAAGGAGTCTTTGGCAGCAGACAGGGAAGTATGCTAATTGAAATCTGCAGGTGTCTTCATCATCGGACATTCACCCCTCGCTTGAGGGCATCCGCAATTTGATCACTCAGCCGCAATGGCCTATTCCTGGTGTAGCACCGCATACATGCCAGTTGAGTGGTCTCATTCTTGTACCATCACCAAACTACGCATCAGGCCCTGTCGCGACCATTCCGCCATCTGCCTGGGCCGACTCTATGAACACCCGGGTCGTCTCACCTATCTTGACCACGCAACTCTTCTTGCCCCTCCTCACTCTCCGCAACAACAATAGCACCATCATCCTCGCCTATCCATCGATATCATCATCTCTCTCTGCGCCGTATGCTGGCCCAGAGGTCACCACAGCTCATGCGCTAACCGGATTTGCAAACTCACTCCGAAGAGAACTGAAGCTTCTGCAACATGGCAATGTCGATGTTGTGGAGCTGCGACTGGGAAACATTGACTTTGGGTCTCAGAATCGGGGCGGACAGAGCCACATCACTGGCACCGAGGTGCTGGCATGGAGCACCCAACAGCGAGCGCTGTACGGCGAACAGTACCTCTCGAGCATAGAACAGCGACCCGTTGCATCGGCAGGGCCTAGTACAGTGCGGGGATCACCCGCACGGAACCTGCATTACGCAGTGCAGGATGCTCTGGAGCCAGTGACGAAGAACATGTTTGGGCAGAAGACGACCAAGAAATCTGTTCTCTATGTTGGCCGGGGAGCACGCACATATAATATCATCGGACAGTGGGTTCCAGGAGGACTGGTGGGGATGATGATGGGCCTTAAAGCACCTGCAGCATCGCCGAGTACGAGTGGAAGCAGCAGTGAAAACGGATGGGAAAAGGTATCATAATAGATCACTACTTGGATCATCTTGGGCTGGGACATATATACCATTTTAACTTGACTCTTCTTTTTTGTATACTAACAATCTTCACTCAGAATGACAACAGCTCAAAGAAATAATTAACAATTAATTCACATTGTGAGAAAAATAACCGAGGGTATCATCAGATCAGATCAACGTATAGATCCATAACACAGTAACGCATAGATATCAAGATCAATCAAGCCTTAGTCTCAACATCATCCACCCCAACACCTACAGTCTCCATCTCATTACGACTCTCCTCCCGTTCACGATCATAAACCGACCTCTTAACCTTACCAGCAGTAACCCTACCCCGCAACCAAATCAGAGCCCAGGAAATGCCAAAAATTACAAGAATCGCCGCGAGAATGCCGAAGCAATATCCGGCGACCAAGCCGCTATCCTTACCATGCGGGCCGGGGTCAAGGAAGGAGTAAGTGTAGAAACCTTCCGTGTGGTAGGTGAGATAAGCCAGGGAAACGTAGAGGAGGAGAAGAAAAATGAGACAGGGAAGGGTGATGAGGGGGTGGGGGGAAGTAGTTGGGAGGATGATTTCCAGCAGGGCATAGAGGGAGTTGAGGGCGTGTTGGGAGATCTATCTCGTTAGCTTTACAGCTATATCATATATGATGGATGAACCTACATTCGACCAACCGGTAAAAGTAACCGAATACCAAGGCGGCTTGAACAGAATCGCCCAAAAGACAATCGTGACAAGAAATGGAAAGGTGGTGATGGTGGTATAAAACAGGACATGGAGGACACGCAGAAAGCGCGGCCAGCGATCGAAAAGCACCGAACGACCGGTCAAGGCATAGCAGGCCGTGTGGATGGCGGCGAAGCAGAAATAGAAACCCAGACCCCAGTAGGTGAGCCAGGTGAAGTAGCTGAAGGATTGGCCGATTTGGTCGCGGTCGCCGTGGGTGCCATCCCAGCCCCAGATAAAGAAGATAGTGGTGAAGATGTAGAGGGAGATGAGGGCGCGGAGGATGGCGAGGACGAGAGGAGGAAGAAGCCAGGAGGTTTCGTAGAGATGGAGAGAATCCCGGGATGGGGGGGAGTTGAAGAGGGAAGAGATCATTGTATCATTCTTGTGTGAAGTGAGGGTATTCAGAGAAACAAGAAACAAGAAACAAAAGAGAGAGAGAGAAAAGAGATTTCAGTGTTAATTAGTTATTAGTTAGACTGGTAGTAACGGTGTCATTAGGATGGAGCTAAATTGAAGAATTAATATAGCGGTGGTGCTTAGCCTCGGAGTCGACGACGTAAGCCAAAGGATTAGTTGCATCCATCATCCAGATACTCAATCTAGATTTGTCCGAGGCTTTTTGCCTCGATCGAGTGGTGGTGGCACAGTCGAGGCTGCAAGACATTCCATGTTCTGCAGTTGAGGCTATACAACTCACATGTGCTATATTTGACTTTTTCCAGTCATCATTCATCATTCATCACCATCTCATGATTACTCATTCTTTAATCTCGATTTCCTCATCTGCAACCTCATGATCATCTTACCTACCATGGATCGAAAAACGGAAAATTTTGCACGGCAATCCAAAATAGCAACCAACGGCTCCACCGCCGTTGAGGATAGGAGGCGATGTCTTCTCCACAAGCTGGGGATTCTAGAAACAGAGCAGAACAACAATAACAAATAACACAGAGGAATCCAGAGATATAGATAGACAGATGATAGTCGGGAATAGTCCAATATATCTTCATCCAGTTCTATTCCAATTCTTCCCAATAGTTAAAGACAACCCCTGAGTGGAGCGCCCAGCCCGACTGTCAACCCGCCGTCCCCCTCGTTTGTTTGGGATCGTCAGGGCTACTTTTCGCTTCATTTCATTCCGTTTCGTTTCCCTCCTTTCTCCTCTCCTCCTCGCTTCCAAAGCCCACGATGCTTGTCCATCGCTGTCTTTGTCTGTGAATTGCTTCTTCCCCCATCCCTCATCCCCTCTTCGTCTCATCCCTATCGACTCCCTCCATCCCTATCGCCCCTCCGTCCTTCTCCCCTCTCTTCTCTCTAAGCCTGGTCTGCTTCGAGCTTCTGCAGATTCTCTGATCAGCATCAGCATCTCATCGTCATCTCGTCTCATCTCATCTTCAATCTACATCTTGCTCTCCTCTGGGGCTGTCGTTCCTTTCTTGTATCCTTCCGCCCCCCCCCTCTTCCCCCCCTTGTCGTACTTGGGGCCCTCGGTTCAGTGCAATTTCACTCACCATTTCAGACCTGCTTTCGATTTCGACTTTTCTTTTCTCCCGATGCGAACCGTTGGATTTACTATCGACTGTGAAGATTCTGGATAGATGACTTGATCGACTGAATTGCCGGATTGATTTGCTCTCTTTGTTCAGACAAAGAACACGTCCCTCCTATTGAACACCACTTATATCGATATCCACACCGCTTGATCTCATTCTATTCAATTCACCATGGAACGACCTGAATTTGGGGACATTCGATCCCCCTCTCATGACACTCTCCGCAATGGTATTCCCTCGCCGCGCATCGAACACTTTGATGGTGAAGTCCCTCCCGCTCTCTCTCCTCTTGATGCATTGGCTGCCCAGGGCCGCCTCCTGGCCAGACAACTCGATGAGTCGATGCGAAGGGACCGGCGCATGAGCAGGTTACCTCCGTCCAGCGTCGCCCGCTCCCTATCGCAACCCCGACCGGGCTACTTTCGATCTCCGTCCTCGGGTGACTCGACCCGCAGTGGTAGAGCTGAAGGGCCGCCAACGCCAGGACCGGCACAGGAGCAAGGAAAAGGACAAGGACATGAACAAGGAGGAGGCATCCAGAGACGCCCTACGCAAAAGGGTAATCCAGAAATGGAGGAGCCCAAATTTCGTCCGCAATCCGAACACCCCCGCCTCAGTGCCATCTCGGACGCAACTGCGACTCAAGATGACCACTTCTATGATGAAGATGCGACCCCGAGAAATGAACGCCAATCCAGACTGCACGACTTCAATGTTCCGCGTGCCGAGTCACCAGAGGAGGATCTATCGATGCGCGGCTCGACTTGTGAAGCCCCGCGTCGTTTCTATGCTCCCGATGACGGTCCCCGTCGTTTCTACGAAGCGTCTGCTGGCGTGTCGTTGATTACACCGTCGAGAAATTCTTCAGGCGATTCTTCTCGACTGGCCATCCCCCGGACCCTGGCACCTCCCGTGTCACCGTTATCGCGGCCGTCGAGCAGCTCCCGCGTCAACCACCCGGAGAGTTCAGATGATGATTACAGCAGTTCCAATGCCGGTTCGACCTTTTCCCAACCGCGCAAGTTGTCTTCCAGCAGCGCCATGTCGCTCCCATATTCACCCATGTCTACCTCCAACAACCGTTCGCGTCGTTCGCCCTCCATGAGCTCAGAGACGTCTGGCGGTCAACTCCCACGGCCCTCGTTCAACTTCTCTCGCCCGATGAGCCGCTCCAGTACCAACCTCTCTTCGCCAACCCCGCTCGCGCCGCCGCAGGAACAGGAACCTGCGAACCAACCGGCTACGATGGATCGCCTAAACAAGCCCAGCCCTATCGTCGTCCCATCTGCTGATATGACACCTCGGCCAGGCGAAGACCCCACATCCGCTAATTCATCCTACGTCTATGCCAAGTACGCGCTGCCCCGGGGTCGTGATGTGTCTCGAGACTCTGTTATTTTCTCCAGTTTGCAGACACCGCATTTCCAATGGCAGGAGCCTCTCTTCGAGAGCCCCCCGCCCCCAAGTGCACCACCGGCGAGAATTGCTCGAACTCCTTCGCCCGAAGCCGCGCGCCCTGTGTCAGTATACTCTAACAAGGCAAGGTCTATGTACGAATGTCCGGCATCGGACCGGGCAATGCTGGCCGCAACTCCATCGTCTCCTGCTCCATCCAGCCCTGCAAACTCCCACAAAGGCAAGGAACGAGTCCGGCTCTCAGCGGACGTAGCCCGACAGCCAAGCCCTGCACGATCCAAGAACGAGGATAAGGAAGAAACAGCTTCATCTACGGGCTCTGCAAGTACTCTGCGACCGCAGACGGCCCAGACGACCGGCTCCGGCAATCAAACGACGGGCTCCACCAAAGCAATTAGTGCAGATGAGCATGTGTCCATGGGAATTGACTGCCACGAAAAGGGCTCCCTGAATGAATCTACATACCATCTTCGGATTGCCGCAAAGCAAGACCACCCGACTGGTATGCTGCTCTACGCATTGGCTTGCCGTCATGGCTGGGGTATGCGCCCCAACCAGCGGGAAGGTGTGCGATGGCTGCGAAAGGCGGTCGAAGCTGTTGGTCCAGAGTTGCTGGACAACAACAACACGTCTGTTCCTTCCAAGGCCAAGGAGCTGCAGAAAGCCTATCGAGCCCAGTTTGCGCTGAGTGTCTACGAGCTTGGAGTGAGCCATCTCAATGGCTGGGGTATTGAACAGGACAAGGGGCTGGCTCTGCGCTGCTTTGAGATTGCCAGTCAGTGGGGAGACGGCGATGCAATGGCCGAAGCGGGCTTTTGCTATGCGGAGGGTGTCGGTTGTAAGAAGGATCTTAAGAAAGCCGCCAAGTTTTATCGCCAAGCCGAGGCGAAGGGGATCAACGTGGTGGGCAATAGCTGGTAAGTGCACTTGGTTGTTTGTGATGTTCTTTTCTAACAGTTGTTAGGATCTACAAGGACAAGTACATGTCCGACGACGAACGCAGCGGTCGTTCGCGTGGTCGAAATGCTGGGTCGTCCGAGAAGAAGCCTCGCAGCAAATCTCGTACTCGCAGTATCTTCAATCGAAAGAAGCCGGTTGCGGCCGAAGCTTGATATGACTTGACAGACTTCATACAGCGTGTTTTGACATTTAGCCATCGAAAATTGCTTTATCGTCTTTTCCCTATTCGATTCCTTCTTTGCAACACTTTTTCTTCATGCACATTTTTATGAGGCTCACCGAGTCCGATTTTCTTGACATTCTTTTTGCAGCCTTGACAAAGCTATCATTTTATTTACATTCGTCTGTCATCTTTCGCTCTTTTCTCTGACTTTCTTTTATCATTTTCCTTGATTTTTCTCATTTTCTCTTCTATCCGTCCTAAGGACATTTATTATTCTGAGCGGTCTTGCCAGCTGCTCCCGGTCAGCGCATGGAGGGAGGTTGTTCTTTACTTCCATTCATCTGCATTGTGGGCATCATAATCTGTTTCTCTTTGATACCCGATTAATTTTCACCACCGAGTGATGTCTTTTTTTCTTTTTTGTTGATTTCCGATGAACTGGTTTTTGTCATCTATTCTTCATAGCTTCAGTCACAGGCTCTTTCTTTTTTCATCTTTTCTCATCTTCTTCCATTCTGTGCATTTCACGTGTTCGCAGCCAGCGAGATGAATCGCAAAGTTGACCATTTGGTCTTGTCTTGATTATATTCGATCATCCATCATCAATGGAGGGCATCATGCCCGATGGAGTTTTCATGCAGAAACTTGCACATATTCTTCACTATCTCGCAGATAATCTCGTAAGAACCAATCGACTAGTATGACAAGTGGCAGTATGATAGTAAAACAGACTACATCTTGAAACTAGATAATAAATGGCATGCATATACGATGCAGAGACCCGATGTCTGAATATTCGGAAGTGACAAGTCCTGTTTCATATTGCGCAACAAACGATAATCAAAAGGCTACCAGGTACGAAGCATAGAGGACAGGGATAGCCAGTTGAAATCGAAAGAGCACCTCCAATTCTGCATGTTTGGATGAAGATAAGAATTGTGACCCTGACTGGAAGTGGAGTGCGACCCGGGCGATCATCCGAGAGCTTCAACTTTACCATCACCACTCTTTCTGCCAGCAGCAAATACATCTTGTTATCATGATATTTCTCATCTTCAGACTGGAATAATATGAAGACGACTGACTCCACCATGTAAAGTCCAACTAAACCAGTCCCAACCCCTCCTCGACCTGTCACTTATCCTGCAAAAACAAGAATACTACTAACGAATCAGTTCCAAATCGTCGCACAAACCATCTTATCCACACACAGACACACACACGTCATCCAATTCCTTCCAAATCACCAAAAATATCAATTGTTGAATTGAATCGAATCGAACCCGAAAATCCCTAACAGCCCGAGTCCAGCCAGTCCAGTCCATCCGTCCAACGTGGCCCGCATTTCGCACCCTGCAAGGGAAGCAACTAGTTTACCTTGACGATTCCTATTCGAGACGAAATGGGACTGTCGGGATCTTCTTTACAGTTATGGACCAGGGCCGCATTGCATCATCAAATGCGGACTATCACTGTAGGACAGGAAAAAGCAAAAATGGAATAAAGAGGCAGCTGGAGCTGAGGTCAAGCTGAGGGGGAAGGGAAGAGACCCTCTTTTTTTCGTATTTTGTGTGAGTTTGGGTGGGCTGGATTTGGTGATAAAGGAAGTGAGTGCGCTGGTTTTTGGGATTTTGCATGTTGCATCTTTTTTTGGTTTTATCTTTTCTTTATTCACTCTTGAGTGGTTTGTCTTTGTGTTGGTTCATAGGGGCTGTTTCCACGGCTTCTTGATACGACTCGTCCAGCTGGTCTGATTGTTCTGGCTTTTGTCGAGACTGGTTCTCTATCTTCTGATATATCCTTATAAGGATCTATTCTATATTCTAGGTATGTTTGACGTGGTTATTGTTGGCTATTGCTAACCCCCTTTATAGAACAGCATATACCTTCGACCTGATAAATCACCATGGGAAGCGACGCAGACATCACCGAGGTGGGCAAAGCTGGAAATGCCCCTACACAGGCGACTTTGGGATCGCGCGTCAAAGCCCACTACAAGAAATGGTGGTGGGTTCATGTCCTTGCAGCGATTATCATTATCTTGGTTATCATTCTGCCAATGTGAGTGCAAGATCACAACAGCCCTGGCAGCTCAACTAACCCAGACAGCATCTATGTCGGCTACCCGAATATCGCACAGAGCAGCGTAAACAAGGCAGATATGAACGTGAAGAAAATGTCCATCAGCGACCCCGACACCGACTCATTCCAGATGGACATGACCGACGAGTTGAAGTCGAGTGGTAGTGAATCGGCTACGATCTACCCATTCGACGCGACAGTCTCGATGCACGGCGGCTCGCCATTCTCCACCGTGAACGTGCCGCAGATGAAGGCTGCGAATGGGGCCGAGACGCATATTAACCAGCGGGTTGAGCTGAGCGACAAGAGTGCTTTTAGCGATTTTACCAAGGCGGCTGTGAAGAATGAGGAGGTGAAGATGAATATCTATGGCAAGCCTTCGTTGAAGGTGGGCGCTTTGCCGAAGGTTTCTGTAGATTTCAACAAAACTATTACTGTCAAGGGAATGAATGAGATGAAGGGGTCCAATGTGACCAACTACGACTTTAAGTTGACGTCTGACTCGAATGGAAACAACATGAACGGGACTGTGTATATTCCCAATCCGTCCGTCATGTCCATCGATATGGTGAGTTATCCATTTACTTAGAATAGACAACCTCTAACAAAACAGGGCAACCTCACCCTCGACCTCTCCGTCTCGGGCACCTCCATCGGGAGTTGCTATCTCAACAACCTCTCCATCAAACCCGGCGACAACTACACACCCATGTCGGCTGCGATCGACGACATGGCCGTCGCAAAGATGCTTCTCAAGTATCCCGACGGGATCCTCCCCATCGACGCAACAGGCAAATCCGTCACCTACAACGGGAAAAACCTCACCTACTTCACCGACGCCCTATCTGCGACCACCATCCGCCTAAATGTGGATATCTACCAGGGATTGAACCAGTTGCTAAAAACATCTCTTCGTGACGGCCTAGGCGATCTGATAGGTGGTTCATCGTGATAACAACACAGCCCCTAGACTAGACCGATTGATTGATTCAATAGACTGAAATGAATGCATGGTTATCAGACGCACACATCATCAAGCGTACGTAGAATTACATCACGGAAGAAGCAAAATGCGATTCTGCTGGGGAGAATAAGCCCTGTTGGGATGCCGATCTGATATGGTTGTGCATAGTTATACCGGCATATTTTGTCGATCAGTCTGAGTCAGCATCGATCAGCAGGCTATTATGAAGAGTTGTGAATATTGATGAGATATGATGCTTAGTTATAGATACAGCTAGCAAAGATGATCTATAAACCAAGCTTTATTGGCATATGCAGGTGCCGATAGTCTCGATCCGTATGATCTTAAGATGACGGCTACTTATTGAGTCTTTGATATAATATGGACTTCTGGAGTATTCTAGTCTGATTTGATCTGGAATGAATATAGTTAATGCCTGTTGCTCAAGTGAACATTGTCATGTAGGTTATTGTGGATTCACCATTTATACGGGTATATAAACATCTCTACTTTGGTCCTACCTGAACAGTTCACCAGACAGTCTCAATCATTTCTACTCTCCTTTATCTACTCTTGTATTATTCTACTATCTCTACCTGATCAACATAAACAAATCCGACGCATCCAAATCCAGTCTTCGCAGGTGAGTCTTCTACACCTATACAGTACTAATATTAATAAAAATACTAATTAAAAAGGCCCTCGGAGACAAAGACATGTCCTCCAGCGAATTCGCATCTTGAACCCAATTCGCAGCAGCCAGAAACGCCAATAAATACTCAATCTCCATCGAGTCAGGACAATCAAGACAATCAAGACAGAAGAGATAATTAATCAATCAGAACGAGGACCTTATACACGTTGACCATCTCCAACGAAGATCAGTTTTGGTGATATTAAAAGTGACTCCAATTTCCATCCCTGCCAAGAGGGTTCTTATTCTTATTTTTGGTTCTTCTGGATACGCCAAGTGGATTTCTTGACTAATGATCGTCTGTCTGTGAGATACAATAGTAGATAATAGTAGGCAGCAGAGTATTAGATTAGCAGAGTATCAAGTAGGATATTTTATTGGGTGTAGTATGTACAGTCAAGATGATGTTGATCAACCTTTATAACCATAACCATAACCATAACCATAACTATAATCTGAAAAGTTCTTCTTGAATATTCATGGTGATCATGAAATCATACTCTTGGCATCCATCGATAAAACGCCTCATTGCATGATCTGATCTTTGAAGATAGCTACAGAATTGGAGTATCTCCAATAACTACTCCAAATGCCATGCAACTCAATTCCCTCGCATTACCAAATCGATACTTTAAATCTCTCACTGTTTCTGCTGTTTTATGCCAACTTTCCAAGACGTTATAATCCACTTTTCTCCACTGTACCTGTTATTCTGGAAATGGCATCTTCTTGGCCGGATGTCTGTTTTTGGTGTAGAGTCTCTCTGTGTTTTAGAGTTTGGATAGGTAGATGGCTAGGTATCAGTCGTTTGACTGCCTAATGTAGAAGTAAAAGTAGCATCGCAGCCTAAAGGGTGTATTTCCTCCTCTTCTTCTTCTCCAAATAGCTTCGTATACTTCTTGCCAATCCTATATTACGAGCTATACGAACGCACGTTGTCTTGTCTACTTGGCAACAGACATATAAGAACCCCTTTATCTTCTGTTTGACAGCTCTCTCATTCCATTCTCTATACATTCTTTATCCATATTATCGACCTATATTGTTCTCATCATGGGCTTCAAAACTCTCGCCCTCTCTGCGCTGGCTGTCGCTGCTAATGCCTCGCCTCTCATCCATGCCCGCACTGGCAATGTCACCGTCTATACCAACTCGAATGGGTTGAACTTTACCCAGATGAACCCTAGCCTTCCTAATGTCACCATCCTCGCAACAGGTACTTCCCCCTCACCATCAAAAGATAAAGGCAGAATGCTAAACTCTCAGGTGGAACCATCGCCGGCTCCAGCTCCAGCAACACCGCTACAGCAGGCTACAAGGCCGGCGCGGTCAGCATCAAGGACCTCATGAACGCCGTCCCCGAAATGCTCGACGTCGCCAACGTCGCCGGTGTCCAGGTCACCAACGTCCAGAGCACGGACGTCACGACCGACATCCTCCTCGACATGGCCAACACGCTTAACAACGTCCTCTGCAACGATCCCACCATGTCCGGTGCCGTCGTCACCCACGGCACTGATACCCTCGAGGAAACCGCCTTCTTCCTCGACGCAACAGTCAACTGCGCGAAACCCGTCGTCGTCGTCGGCGCCATGAGACCTGCTTCTGCCATCTCCGCCGATGGCCCCTTTAACCTCCTCCAGGGTGTGACTGTCGCCGTGGACAAGAAGGCGCGCAACCGCGGTGCCATGGTCGTCTTGAACGATCGCATCGTCTCCGCTTTCTATGTCTCCAAGACCAACGCCAATGCCGTCGATACCTTCAAGGCTGAGGAGATGGGTAACCTGGGCATGATCGTCTCCAACACCCCGTACTTCTTTTACCCCGCCGTCGAGCCCACGGGTAAGATTGCCTTTGATGTCGCCAAGTTGGGCAAGATCCCCCGTGTCGATATCCTGTATGCCTATGAGGATATGCAGAATGATACCCTCTACAACTCCATCGAGAGTGGTGCCAAGGGCGTCGTGGTATGTTCACTTCAATCCCCTGTCCTGAGCGCATGAGAACTAACTTGATAGATCGCCGGTGCCGGTGCCGGTGTTGTCTCGACCTCCTTCGACGGCGCCATCGACGATGTCATCGCCAACCACCACGTTCCCGTCGTCCAGAGCTTCCGCACTGGTAACGGTGAAGTCCCCGTCTCTGGCGTCGTCAGCGACAAGGCTACCCACATCGCCAGCGGGTTCTTGAACCCTCAAAAGTCGCGCATTCTGTTGGAGTTGTTGTTGGCTGAAAATAAGGACGTCAAGCAGATCAAGCAGGCCTTTGCCAAATCTGCGGCTGCCTAAGCTTATCTTGTTGCCATGTATAAAATAGATGATAGACATAGACCGATAAACGTGACGATAGAGATAGACTGATATGATATCGTGAGATAATAGATTTATTACACTTATTCCCCTATCTTATCACTGATAACCCTTAGATATGTTTATGGTAATTGAATTGATAACTAACCTCCTTTTCCTTTTTGCTGCCGTTTCCATTTTGTCATTCCATTTTATTCTCCGTTTCTTTCCTGTTTTCTTGTTTCCCTTTCCTTCTTTCTTCTCCCTACATCTCATGCAGCGTGTTGTACCCTGTTTCAATCAAACTTCGCGGCCCTCGTGCATCGCCCCCAATGTGCCAATAGAACAGCCCCCCTAGCTTCATTTTGGTCGCAAACCTGGCCTTGTGTTGTACTGTCCGCGGTGTATCATACGTCACAAACCCCCCGTCCCCTCCGCTGCAATACGCCGCTCCCAATTTGTCATCGTGGTGTTCTTTGGCCCCCGGTCTTGGGAGGTCGCTGTAATCAAACACACCGTCTTCCCCGCCACACCCGGAGTAGTTTTGGCCCACGTTGCTGCTGCCCAAGAATGATCGCCCATAAGCTGGTACTCCTAGGAGCAGCTTTTTCGGATTCACCCCTTGGTACAGCACGTAATTCACTGCTGACTGACACGAAGTGGACGAAGCGGGGGTAGCGCGGGAGGGACTGTAAAGCTGTGCCTGATGTCCTGTTTGATTCGTCCAGGGCCCCGCAAAGTCATACGCCATGATGTTGATCAAATCCAAATAGTTTGAGGCCTTGCCCAAATCGATGTTTCGGAGAGCCCATTGCCCAGCAGGAAGACATGTCGCTAGTACGTATCGTGGTGCGGGCAAGTAATCGCGCAGTCGAGCCAAAAGACGTACGTAGTCTAATCCTTGTTGTGGGTCTTCAGGATGCTCCCAGTCGACTATCAAAGTTAGCAACAGATCTAGATATAGTGTTTTGGTCTGGTTATACCATCAATGCCATCAAGGCCAAATTGATCCACCAACGCTCTTGCAGTACGGGCAAAGGTCTCTACAGAGGCAGGGTTTCTCGCCACAGAGGCGAAGTTCTCACTTCCCTTGCCTCCACCCCCGACAGAAAGGATGACCTTCATCTTGGAATACTGCGGTTTCAACTGGGCAAACGCCCGCAGACAACCGTTGGTCCCGTCGACGGGCATCTGAGTATCGGCCCACTCATCACTCAACTACATCTTGTCAGCCAGAGTCGTATAAACTGATGAGATCAAGACCCACATATACTGTACCATCCTCTTTGACCCTAAATCACAAAACAAATCATACGTTAACACCGTTCTTATAGATCAATTGACTCCATCCCTTCGGGCAGTAGTACCAAGCAAACGCGTAGAAGATATGAGACACAAAACCCAGCCTCAACGATGACGGTGGCTGTTTCCGGTATATCCTCCAATTCGGATAATAGGCAGCATTCATATAAAACGGTACTTCGATTGACGAGTTGGTGTTTTTGGACTTTTCGGCTGCCTTGCGACGCCAGTGGGGGAAGAGTTTCGATCCGGAGAACATTATGTGATGATTGACCAAGCAATGAATTAGAGCTCTCAAGGCGAAAAGTGGAGTCAAAAGACAGGAAGAGGATGATTTAAAGAAGACAAAGATGTTGAGGAAGAAGACCTGGGGGAGGACAGCAGCTGCCCCAATTGTACAAGACGTCACGTGTGGGATGTTGTTTGTCTACCAAAAGTATAAGAAAAAGTCGACGATCGAAATATAAAAAGAAAAAACAGCGTTAATGAGAAATTCAGAGACTCTCAATGGACAAGAGGGAAATAGAATGACATAAATCAATGCACGACACAATTTTTTTTTTCTTTATTAAGCCCAAAAAAGTAAAAAAAAAAAAGAAAAAAGAAAAAAGAAAAACACAACAAATACTTAGTACCCCCCCGCCTTAAAAAAAAAAAGGAGCGTTGCAGTGGCCGAATACTAAACTGACAACTTACAGACAGCCAGATTTATTTATTGATTTAGTTTTTACCCACCTCCACGCTGCAGCAATGAGAATCATCGTACAGGGAAATAACAGCCTTTGATCGTGACCGGCAGAACGAGAGGTCAAAACGCCTACAACAGTACAGATCATACTGTCACCCCCGCCTTTTCTCGTCTTCCCTTGCCAGTTGCCTGATGGTGATCATTGGATGCCCCAAAAGCTTCATCAACCATTCAAAGGCAACGCGGCTTTGTGGCATCGCGTTATTACCCGGTGAAGGGGAATCAGACAGTCAAACAGAGACCCTACTACAGGACGGAGACGTACGAATACTGTGGCGATGACTCTCCTCAGCCTCGTTCCAAGATCGTGAAAGTGGATCGTCCCGGATGCCCCATCAGGCCTGTAAGAGGCAGAGAGGATCTCGGACGATGATGATTCTCATCTTGGGCTCTCCATCGTCATCCTATCAGCAGATCCTAGGCTCGGCGCGAGTCAGCCAGACGATCAGATGACCCGACGAGGTTTTCCAGCGTCAGACCGGGGAAAAGAATGGGAATTGACTTTGTAAAGCGGCTTTGGTATTTGCTTTTTTTCTCCCCTTTTTTCGCTCGGTTCTTCTAATTATGTTTTCTTTTTTTCCCAGGCCTCGTTTGACACTTTTGGAAGGGAGATGAAGTTGTGGGGATGATGCATGACTAGTGAGGGATTTCCATCCCCGCAGCTGAAATCATACCTGTACGATGATGATGGACGATAATAATAACAGCATCAATGCCCAAAAGACAACTGCAATGAGAAATATCCCACACTAATCAAGGTAGAACAAATGATGACAGACGCATCTGCTTCTCGATCAAGTAGGAAGAGGACAGATTTTGAAACACTGCCATGAGAATCATACTAAGAGGGACCACCACACTAGAAATTCTCGTGGATAGAGACATATTGAACCATATTAATCCACTCCCACCGTTGGAAAACCTCAGATACAGGACTGACTCGGAGTTTTCGCCAAACCGAGTAACGATGCAACCTCAACATCCTTCCAAGTTCCATCTATCCAGTCTCTTGGCGGTACGTTGAGAGATCGACGAAAGAAATGCACCTTGCCATGTGACCCTTGTATGCAGGGGAAATGTTAATGCCCTTACTAGGCCTTAGTGTCGCCTGCACTGTTCATCTGTGCCGCTTTGCTGTCCAAACAGGTTTCTGGTATTGTTAATCAAAGCCTTGGGATTTGATGTGTTGACGATGTCGGCTTTAGTTTTGTTGGCGGTTGGATTTTGTTGTAGTAATACCTGTCTGCGTAGACGTGATTGGCTGGTGCAAATGTGCTTACTCAGCCACCACCGCCTGCCGCTTTGGTTTTCTGCTGGATTCCTCAGGCTGCCATTCTTGATAATCCTGCCAACGCTGGATCCTCACCTTATCATCGCCTCATGTCTTCTTCTTCCTCGATAAACCATCTTCCCTCCTTCTGCTTTCGAATATCATTCAATTCCTGCCTGTCGATCACAATCGCTTAGTGACAGCTGGTTTAAGCCCAACTTGTGATATTCGCAAGGAGCTGTGGCCGAGTCCATCCTCGCCACGTTATCGTACAACACAAAAACAAATCTCATAAACCACAGCCATGACAGCAGATATCAATCACGCCGCTGCACGAGTGTTATCAACTGACAGCTCCCGCGACCCTAGCTTCAACGATTTCTCCTTCACCCCATTCCTGCGGAAGAGCTTTGGCTTCGGTCTTGCCAGCGATGTTCCAGTCTGCAAAGCCTACAGCGAAGGCCACTGTCCTCTCGGACCTGCCTGCCCAGATCGCCACCCTACCCCGTCACGAGTAACGACATCAACAACCACCGCGTCCGGCTTGGCGCCCTCGACCACACACGGCTCGCTTGTCTGCAAACATTTCCTCAAGGGACTGTGCAAGAAGGGACTGAAATGCGAATATCTCCACGAATATAACCTCCGTCGTATGCCTGAATGCCAGTCTTTTTCCCGGTCAGGCTACTGTCCCAACGGCGATGACTGTCTCTACCAACACGTTCGGGAACAGGCCAGACTACCCCCTTGCGAGAACTACGATCGTGGATTCTGTGAGCTAGGACCACTCTGTGCAAAACGCCATGTCCGCCGAAAGATGTGCCCATACTACCTTGCCGGGTTCTGTCCCGAGGGTAAAGCTTGTGTGGATGCTCATCCCCGCTGGTCGGAGAACCTCCCGAGACCGTCCATGCGGGTGGAAAAGACCGAGGACGAATTGGAGCGCGAGAGAACATTGATCCGTGAAGAGCAGGAGAGAGAAAAGGAGAGGGAACGTGAGTGGAGGAGTGAGCGTGGCCGTGGCGGTGGGTTCATGCGGGGCCGGTATCGTGGACGAGGACGGGGATAAACATCCTTGCTTATTGCTATTTGTCCCCGGAGGATTGTACGAATATTCAACGTCTTTAGAAAGAGACCTGCATTGGTGGAGTTGATGCATTTTCTTTGAAGCAGCCAACTTATTAGAGATACCCAATTGACACAGTCATTCATCACCTGTTTCCATCCATATTCTGATTTTGTCTACGTCTATAAATCCATAGAATACATCGAGGTGGAATCGAATGGGATCTTACGGATGATGATATCCACTATGGATCTCACCTGGCACACTAATCCAGACCCTGGTAGACCCTGACAGACGGGGAATCGGAAAGATGCACTTAAAATACACTTTATCATTATCAACTGACTAATCTATGTTGCTTACAGAAGAGTTGTTAATACCACGGGTATTGCGATATCGATGGCTACCATGGAGTGCTTGAGAGTTAGGTTCATGCACTAGAGCCATGACATCACGACCAGCAGGATGCTCTTATGGGTACAGCACTCGTTAATCATGACAGATCGTCCCAAAAAGGAGAGATTATGAATGAATTGTAATAGCACAATAATCACTCCTAGACTCTCTGATTAAGAATCACTCAGCAAAACGGCAGAATCTTCTGGTTTGCAGCATTCCAGGCCAATTTGTCAGTGATCTGTAAGAATTGACAAGGTGGGGAACTGGCGTTGACGAAGCTCCTTATTGGCTTCCAGTATCACCACGAACCAGTTGGAATGCTGCTGTGGGGCTTTTTCCACCAATAGCAGCGCACCTCCCGAGCGTCAAGCCGAATCCGTAATCGATTACGGATCCATCCTCATCCAGTTGATCAACCGTAGCGAGCAGAAGCTGTGGAGGGGCAGACCTGGTCGAGGGCTTGCTCCATCGCCGGCCTTATATAAAGCGCAATGGCGTCCCTCGCCTTTGCTTCTCCATCCCATCCGCTTTCCGTATTATATCCAATTCCTAGTTCTCTCTGAGCTCTGAATACCGTCGCCATGGCTCCCAAGGTTGCTATCGTCTTTGTATGTGCCCCTCTTCTCCTTTGCCATTGTGATTGCGCAAACTGACCAATTGATTCTAGTACTCCCTCTATGGCCACATCCAGAAGCTGGCCGAGGCTGAGAAGAAGGGTATCGAGTCTGCCGGTGGTAAGGCCGACATCTTCCAGTAAGTCATCGTCTGGAGCATTGCTTGTTCCCACAGAATGAATGCTAACAATCTCTGCGCTCAGGATTGCCGAGACTCTCTCCGACGAAGTCCTGGCCAAGATGCACGCTCCTCCCAAGTCCTCTTACCCCATCATTGAGCCCGCCCAGCTTACCGAGTACGATGCCGTCCTCTTCGGTATCCCCACTCGCTATGGTAACTTCCCTGCTCAGTGGAAAACTTTCTGGGACAAGACTGGTGGCATCTGGGCTTCTGGTGGCTACTGGGGCAAGTATGCCGGTCTGTTCGTCTCGACTGGCACCCTCGGTGGTGGACAGGAGTCCACTGCTATTGCTGCCATGAGCACTCTCGCTCACCACGGCTTCATCTACGTTCCTCTGGGCTACAAGACCGCCTTCCCTCTCCTCGCCAACTTGGAGGAGATCCACGGTGGTAGCGCCTGGGGTGCTGGTACCTTTGCCGTGAGTATTTCCGATCTACATACAATGAATCTAGATGAAACTAACATCATTCCAGGGCGCCGACGGTTCCCGCCAGCCCACCGCTCTCGAGCTCGAAATCGCCGAGAACCAGGGTAAGACTTTCTACGAGAAAGTCGCCAAGGTCAACTTCGCTTGACTGCATGGCAGCGACGAGTCGAAGCCCGAGGCAGCACCTGCTGCTGCGGCTGCTGCTCCCCAGCAGCAGTCCAAGGCTGAGACTAAGCCTGCACAGAACAAGCAGAGCACCCAAGAGGCAAAGAAGGAGAAGAGTGAGGAGGGACCTTGTGGTCTGCCTAAGAAGTGTAACATTCTCTGATCAGATCATTGCGTATACCCCGTCGTCTCTTTTGCACTTGGTTTTATGTCCTGTTTAGTTTCTGTATAGTGAGTGGCGTTTTGGTTAAGAGGGAGACATGAAATAATAATGAAATATCCAATATCAATATAAAGATTATATTACTGTATTTTATATTATATAAACCAGATGAAGTAGAACCATGTATACGATCTAATAAAAGAGCTGCTATTAATCAAAATGAAGAGAGTTCTAGAAGCGTTATCTTCAGGTATTAGGAATACGCATTTCTTTCAATATTACACTCATCTCTGTGGGGTTCCCGTTACCTAGCCGTAAACACTACGTAACACCGTGACCGATGACGATAGAGCTCCGCCTCTGCATCTTCTTCCACCGAAGCTGTCGTTCATCTTTCACTCTTCACTATTGACTTGTCGGGCCTGGCAAGAGTGAACCCCCACCTTTGCTCATCTCCCACTATTATATTCCCACGATCTCATGTTTCACATTTATCCCTGAGAAATCTCAAACACGACCACCACACCACGGAGTATCCGCGCTCGTTCGCTCATTTCCCCATCATCTCTCCAACATGGCGTCCCGGCCGATCGTGCTCAGATTCGAGAGCCGCAACGGCCAGTTTCGGTTGAATGTCAGCCCGCAGGAATTATTCCCGTCTCTGCAGCAGAAGGTATACTTTCATTTTCATTTTCGCGTCTGTGTATCAGAATCGTTTTGACATGACATTGTTTTTTGCTAGATTGCCGACAACTTACCCCAAGGCGTCGAACCTTCGTCGATCACCCTTTCTAATAAACCGATCGGTACCGGCGGGGAGGAGAGAGTGCTGCAGGATCTGAAGAATGTTTCTATCGAGAGGGTTGGTCTAAAGTGAGTCCTCACTGAGGTGATGGGGTCGGCCAGGGTTGTCATCTCCCGGCGGCTGGCTAATGTATGTGGGGTTCATTTCAGACATGGAGACAAGCTTTTTGTTGGGTACCAGGAGAAAGCTGCAGAAGGCGCCGCGAATGGTAAACAGCCTGCTACGACGGAAACCTCTCGACGACTGAACGGAGCTCCTGTGCCGCAGGGCGAGACGGTATTTCGCCCGCAACCTACGTCGCCGTCCGTGAACATTAAGAACCCCTGGGAGGTTGTTAAGCAATCACCCCTGGATGACCAGCTGGATAAGAAAGATGGGAAAATTAAGCGTCGTCTGGACATGAAGATGTGCAGACACGGTCCCAAAGGCATGTGCGACTATTGTATGCCGCTCGAGCCTTATGACAAAAACTACCTGGCGGAGAAGAAGATCAAGCATCTATCTTTCCACTCATACCTGCGAAAGCTCAACGCCGCCACGAATCGGGAGGAAAGTTCGTTTATGCCGCCCCTCAATGAGCCATACTACCGAGTAAACCAAAACTGTCCGTCTGGGCACCCTCCCTGGCCTGAGGGCATTTGCACCAAGTGCCAGCCTAGTGCGATCAGTTTGCAGCCTCAGGAGTTTCGGATGGTCGACCACGTTGAGTTCGCTACCCCCCAACTTATCAACTCGTTACTTGATTTTTGGCGAAAATCTGGTACTCAGCGGTTGGCCTTCCTCTACGGTACTTATGAGGAGTACACAGAGGTTCCTCTCGGGATCAAGGCCGTTGTTCAGGCGATGTACGAACCGCCGCAAGTCAATGAAGTCGATGGAGTGACGCTCCATGAATGGCCGAACGAAGAGGAGGTCGACGAAGTTGCCCGTCTATGTGGGCTCCAGAAAGTCGGTGTTGTCTTCACTGACCTGATCGACGCTGGAGCTGGAGACGGGACTGTTATCTGCAAGCGACACATCGACTCCTACTATCTGTCCTCGTTGGAGATTGCCTTTGCATCTCGACTGCAGACACAGTATCCAAAGGCAACGAAATGGAGCCGGACGGGCCGTTTCGGTTCCAATTTTGTGACTTGTGTTTTGAGCGGAGATGAGGAGGGCGCTATCACGGTCAGTTCCTACCAAGCTTCAATTTCCGCGATGGAGATGGTAAGAGCGGATATTGTTGAGCCATCGGCAGAACCTTCCGTCATGCTGGTGCAGTCGGAGGAAGATGATTCTGAGAACAAGTCACGATATATTCCCGAGGTTTTTTACCGGCAGATCAATGAATACGGTGTCAGTGCCCAGCAGAACGCTAAACCCAGTTTCCCTGTCGAGTACCTTTTGATCACTTTAACCCACGGTTTCCCGACATCTGCGACGCCGCTGTTTTCTGACAGTACATTCCCCATCGCAAATCGTGAATTGATTGGCGAGAGCCAGGAGCTTCGCCATGTCTCCAAAAAGCTCATTTCCCACGGTGATCCGGACAAGGCAATCCGGGCCGTATCTGACTTTCACCTCCTCTGTTTCCTTCATTCGCTGTCCACTTTCAGCAAGGTATGCAACCATTCTTGTTCCACAGATCTCGTACTAATAGGCGAAACAGGACGAAGAAGCACTCCTCTGCCGCGTCGCGACGTCCCACAACCTCACGGATGGCATGCAGCTGATAAACACATCGGGATGGGCGACATTGGTTACAATTCTTCAGGAAAGTGGTGAGCGCCCCCCCAAGCGCCCCTGGCCAACGGCCGAATCTCCAGGCCCACTTCCTCAACATGGCAAACGTCATCGTTATTCAAGACCTGGGTCCCCAAAATCAGAAGGTGAACAGCTTGCTAAGAGGTTTAAGGGAGCTAGCTTAGAGTGACGGGTCGATCCTTACCTCCGAACCCTACCCACCTGTGACCCCCGCTTCTCCTACACTCTACCTGAGTTCCTTCCTTCGAATCAAAGCTAGTCAATCAACACTAGGTACCATCGCACGAGAGGATAACTGGTTTGTATGGGATTGGGAAGGAGAGTGAGCACGTTCTGCAATGATGACTGGCCGGTTACCCCATTTTCCAAACAAGTTGGTTTCTCTTCCTGCAACTGCCCTTGATAGCAACGCATCTTACACATCTTTAACGCCTGATTCCACGTGAATACGAATCCACAACTACACATACTATGACCCTTGCCTTTGGATGATGGAGATTTCTGGTTCAACCCAACAGTCTTGTAACGGTAATGGCCTTTAATTTCGGACAGGAATCTCAAAAGAATGAACTATAATCAAGAATACTGGTTTATTAGCTCGATTACAACATAGCCTAGAAGCTTTCTTCTCTCAATTGCTTTAATTTGGGACCGAAGCATTTGATTTGGTTGTTTAGGGATTTATCTTAGGACGCTGTATACTGGCATATCCATACAAAGGAACTACAGTGGCCAATTCACTCTTTGCATTCTCGTCATTGGGATTCTATACAATGAATGCAATGTTTGATGACTTCCACTCTTATATAGGGCAATCATATAATCATTCTACCGACATTCCTTTCTTTATGGAATAGAATGAATGCAGTAGAACCCATGCAATTCTTTTTCATTGAGAATCTCCTATTCATCATCTATGCTCCTCCATTAAAGAATTGGCTATATATACCCTCTTCTCTTCTCCTTTTCTTCTTTCCCTCTTAAACTCTCTCAGCTTTTCATTTTTAGTATATAGTCTTCTCTGCTTCCCTTTGCATGGAAAATTTGTCTAGTCATCTTCGATGTCTCAGTCGTACATTCTACGACGCAGAATCTTTTCTTTTCGAGGTACGGTCTAAGTACTCCAACATCTATCCCCATTCTTCACCGTGTATACTATCTCAATCTCTTGGTTGATGGAATACTTACACTATAGAGTCGTCACGAAGAACAGGAACAGAATAATCTACCACACGGCCACAACACCTCCATACAGCTGTAGCTCTATAGCCGTGATACAAGAAGACCACGACAGTTCTAATTAACCTCCACTGGCCGTGCGGACAAAGGCAGGTGACTCAAGGAGGCTGGGCCATGCGGGAAGACAGAAAGATATCGATTCTTTTCTTTTGTTATTCGGTTCTGGATGCGTCAACACTGGACAAACTAAGTCATAATCGATTGATTGTGGTGGTTATACTAATGAAGCAGCATAGGAAACGTGAGGCCTTAGTTATATCCTTCAAGATATTCTGTCTCAAAAGCCGCTGACTTTATCTTCCGTTTGTATGCGTGATAAGCCTGACAACATCGCATGGAAGCCATTTCAGGCGTAAACTTTGATCTGCCTTCGAGTACAAATTGTCAAAAAGCTGCGATTGTGGAACTTTGTGCTAAGCATCACTGAAAGCGAGACTTCTCGGGCTTGTATAGACCCGAATTCGAGGTGTGGTCCAATACTGGCGATTTGATCTTGAAAACGTTCTACATAACAAGAAGAAGTACCAGCCAAAAAACATGGCGATAATAACCATGTATGAGTCACATTGTGCCCTATATGTGTGGCCTTTCTTCGTTTCGGCCAAAAAAGAGTCTACTATCTCTTGATACATACCCTAAAGTTGCAAATGTCGTTTCTATGGTGCATAGATGAGTCCTCTCCTATTACACCAGCCGGTCTAACAAGCAGTTACACCTTAGGTTGACTTGTGATGACAACCGTGGAATGTGGCACAAACCAGAATGCAATCCATCATGATCAACGTTGTGCCGGACAGGGTCGGAAAAGGGACTTTGGCCAGAAAGGCCATGGGAAACGCCAATGATACCGGAAAAAATACCGTATCTTTGCTCATTTTCCCAATGGAGCTTTGGGGACGTCCAAACATGTGAAGTCGACGAAGGTAGGTCCTCTTTCTCTGGTGATGACATCGGGTTACTGACTACAATTATTCAACTGCAGATCAGATGATTCTTTTCGAAAACGAAGGCCCCGTTCTCTGCCATTCAAATATCGAAACCAACGAGGAAAAATGGAAACGCTCTGGAGTACTCCAAACCTCCATATTCTTTCTTGCAACTCCTCATTCAGGGTCGCCGGAATCACTGCCATGGAGACAAAAAAGACACCAGGGTGGCATTTCGAGAGAGCACGTAAGTCTTTCGTTAAGAAGGCAGCCAAGCAGCCATGTCTCCAGAAGCAGCATCTCCAAAATGCAATGACTGTTCCGTATTTCCCTTCATATGGGAGAAAGAATACCCATACTGTACTAATCGTAAGGTGAAGCAAGAACACTTTTGGTAGACACAACTAATCATCATCATGCAGATCGTATGCAAAGAGTCAGAAGCTCAACCGGTGAAAAAGACAGATCACCATACGATCTGTCGATTCCAGACTGAGCCACATTTGGATATATGTTGGCTTATCCCTCGAGCGACTGGGCGAAGTCTCACGGTGGATTTGATGATAAACCTGCTGGAAACGCTGTACAGGATCTTGATATATGGTCTTAACGATCCTCGGCCCAGTCGACGGTCTCTCGTCATTCAATGAGAGTACAGTCTGAGATGCACCTGTCTATGTCTGTCACCATAGGTCCCTTAACCAAAAACCTTCAAGGGGCGGGCTGACTACAGCCTTTGGGCGAAAATGGGCTAAAGAACCTCGCGTCCAAACTCGATGACTTTGAGAATCTCTTTCTTGGTACACCAATCACAAACTCGCAATGGAGGGATGATTACCCACTAGTTGTGAATCAGTCATACAGCTTCCTTTTAACGTTGACGACATATCTCTTGCCATTGGACGATGAGCCATAATGAGTCCCAATTATGAAATGGAAGTGAAGCCGTAGAAATCGCGGCGGCTCCTCTACTCGGGGAATCCGTGGAAACTGTGGTGGAAGTCGGGGTCAGGGAGCTGTCCAGCAGACCTCTTTTGCGACTCACAAAGGTCGAATGCACAAGAAGCCATCGATAATACGAGTAGCATGATGACGATCCTATCGTCTGCGCAGTGTCTTTAAGACAATGTTTGCTGCGAGATGGGAATAGGTGTGCTGTATCTGGCGTCTACAACGCTGAGGATATCGCGAGAAAGAGAGGTTGAACTCCAAAATAAGCATAACATCTCTGTCATGCTGCGAACCCTGTGTCATCCCCATTGATCTGTGCGGGTTGAGGATTTCCTGACAGAAACATTTGACGATAAATCTACTGGCTTGTCTGGAGTAGCGGTGGAATGCTTCCACAACTGGAATTTGTTTGGAATAGAAGGAGAATCCATGTATGCCTCCCAGAGGTTGATCTCAAGTCTCCATATAAACAGATGGAGGGGTGGTTGAGGCTTGGTGGACAATGCGCTTTCAATTCTCCTGTATCTAGGCCGTGATAATTGGAAAATGACAAGACCATCCAGATATCTGAAAATGCACTACTGCCACTCTAGACCATCAAGCCCCCCTCCTTGCCAATCGTTCCTCCATCTGTTCCCGCGGAGACTTGAGATCAACATCCGGAAACCTAGGATCCTTCTCCCAGGGCAAGAAATCAGACGACTCAACCAGCCATCTCAGCACCTCCGCCTCCAGCATCCTCGATATAGGGACGTACTTTGGCTCCGCTGCGAGATTGTGCAGTTCTTCGGGGTCATTCTGTCGATTGTAGAGCTCTGCTGGCTCATACAACCGATAGATATATGTCCATTCTTTGTTTCGGATGCTGATCGCTTTGCCCACTAGGGTTGTGTCGTCGTGTTGTAATCCAGACTTGATGTCATACGGATATGGTGCTTGTTCGAGTAGGGGTTCTTCGCTAGTGAGGAATCCTCCCTCAGAAAAAGCATATTCTTTATGTTTTGCTTGTGTGTCTTTGATGACAGGTACGAGAGACTGGCCATTATGAGGGAAATGCTCTGGGATACCGCACAGATCCAAAATGGTGGGAACTAGATCGACCATTTCTGCCATACCGTTGTATAGCTGACCCTCGGGTAGTCCACCACCAGCAATAATCAGTGGCTCGTGGACGAGGGAATCTGATAAGCCCGCTGGCCACTTCTCAATCAGGCCGTGGTCCCCCAGATACTCACCATGATCAGTGAAGAAGAAGGTTACTGTCTCTTTCCACAGATTTCGTTCCTCCAGTTTAGCTACCACTCGTCCGAATTGGTCGTCTAATCGTGAGATCATCCCGTAGTAGGTGGCTTTGAGTTCTCGCCATATCTCAGGCGTGGCACGCGCAGTACCGTATTGTTCCCGGATCGTAGCCATGTAACGTGGTTCATGGCCGGTTTTCTTGGCCGGATCAGAGATGATCTCTGGCATTTCTTCCCGCTTATACATGGAGAAATAAGGTTCCTCGACTTGGAATGGGCAGTGAGGGAAGATCAATGGCATGAACAATACCCACGGCTTATCGTCGGGAGGACACTCCAACCAGCGCAACGCAGATCGAACAACTGCGTCATCATAGTCCATAGCTTCATTTGGGTTTCGGAGACCTTTGTAGAACAGTCTCCCCCAGATACTCTCGTCCTTTTCACCCTTTTGCCCTGCGAACTGGGGCACGTATTCCGGAGTCTCTAGAAATCCGTACTCAGTGACACTCATCTCCGTCACGGTAGGCGCAAATGTATCTCCTCGCGGAGCCAGACAGGCAACATGGTATCCGTTTTCCTTGAGACTGCGGAGAACATTCGGTTCCCATGGCTTGATCAGGTTGTCGAGACTGCGGTGGCCGCTGACATGGGGGTAGGTCCCGGTGAACATACTGCAACGGGACTGAGAGCAGACTGAGGCCTGGACGAAGCAATTGGTGAATAGGGTGCCTCTATTCGAGAAGGCGTCAATATGGGGGGTTTTGAGGAAGGATTTGTCTGGTGCTGTGTATCCTAGACTGTCGTAGCGGAGTTGATCTGGCATGAAAATGACCAGATTGGGTTGCTTGATACTGTCGGAGACCATTTTCTTGATATTTTAATTGCCTGGGCTTTCTTCTCGTTGGAAATAAGTGTATAGAGTCCATTTTCTTATGCTGAGGGGGCGAATATATCCAATTCGAGTCGGTTGTCGCAGACGGGTGTCGGTTTAGTATTGATCGGCTGTCGGGGTGGAGGAGAGGAATAATATTTAATATCTGCAGCTTCAAATATGCCAGAATCCAATCAGCTTCCAAATAATGAATGCAAGATAGCATCCCACATACTTGCGTGATTCCGCGGCATGGATCACATCAACACCATCGACGATGTCGCCATCACGCATCATCGCATCGTGACCACGACTGCAGCAGTCGACCATGACGACTCCTCTCTTTCAATATACACAACAAGTATAAGAAGCGAAAATGGAGGGCAAGAATATTCCTAAGCACAAAACATGTCAGCAGTGTAAACTGCGCAAGGTATTTATCTGCATCACTGAATCGTTTTGAACTCAGCTCACTGTCGACAGGTCCGCTGCGATGGACGACGAGGAATATGCGGGAATTGCGAGAGACTTCGATTCAACTGCTCCTTTCAAGGATCTCGTCTGTCTTCATCGAAACCAGAGCGACTTCGTGTTCGACAGGCCTGCAATCGATGCCATTCTCTGAAAGTGCGTTGCAGTGGGAACCTGCCGTCGTGTGGAAGGTGCCAGAAGAAAGGGCGCGAGTGTGTCTACTCGCGCGAGGACAACCAACACAGCCCATCGTCTTCGCCTCCAGCCACTCTTGCAGTGGCTAGATCGTTATCTGACCAGCAATGTGCCAACCCATCAGCAGAAGATGAGTAAGTCAAAGCCCTTAACCTGTACTCTCGCCCTGAATACTGACCTGGGTAGGCGAAGAAAACGAAGAAAGATACACGATCCTGATTCCTTCGTCGAACCAGATAGCGAAACGATTCAAGAAGCCTTCGAGATCTATTTCCGTCATTTCTACCCACTCCCCGGCTATGCTTTTCTGCATCGAGCGTCTCTATACGATCGGTTTAACCGTGGCGAGGTGGACCAATGTCTACTCCTCTCCATCGTTGCTTTAGCGAGCTGCCTCAAAGAAGATGTCCATCCAATAAGCCCGGAATACGGCACAGAATGTCTAAAGAGAGCAGAGCAAACCATCCTGGCCGACCTCTCCCATCCATCCATCATCCGCACACAGGCTCTTCTTCTCGTCATTCGCTGCAAGATGTGGAAGGGCGACTTTTCTTCCGCTTTTGCTTTGGTTGCGATTCTGGCCCGGTTTGCATTTGTCTTGCGATTGAATTTTGAGAACCCCCGTGTGTGTTTCCTTGCACAAGAAACTCGGCGTCGTCTCATGTGGGCGATATATATGCTCGATACTAGCTGGGCGGGAGGGCTGTTGGAATTTACCACCTGCCCTGTGGATGCTATTCACGTCAATATTCCGTGTCATGAGGAGAAATTTGAGCTGGATATTCGGCAGCAAACACAGCCTCTGCTACGGGTCAATAGCCAATCTGCTGACCTAGGGCTTCTGGCTTATAATGTTCGCGTGGCTTATTTGAGAGACAAGGTTCTAAGGTATTGTTCCCCGAATGATGGAATGGCTTGAAAATGGAGATACTAACAATAAACTGTGGTAGACATGCAAAAGGCTTTGCAGCAGGCAGCTCCAGTCCACATAATATTGTACAAGGGATTCAAAAACTCGAAAACGAGCTTGAACTGTTTCAAAACAGGATATCTTCGTCTTCAGCATACTCAGTGCGAAATTTACGCCTGCGAGCCCGCTCAACGTGGCTACCACGATTCATTATGCTCCATATAACATGGCACCAGTGCCACTGCGATCTCTACCGTTGCGTCAGCAGTGGACTCGAAGAATCGATTCCTCAATCTACTCTACGGCAAATTGACAGCTCTTTTATAACAACGTGTCAGACGCGCTGTGTGACGCATGCGACTGAGATTGCCAAAATCATATCCGCTCTTCTTGACCTGAAGACCAATTTGCCTGTGCTTCCACTTGAGGTATCTATCTACGCCTACCAATGTATGCGTATGATACTTTATCGCTCCCGGAATTATGCAAATGGATACTACATCGACCGTGAAACGATCCATAGCTACGGCCACTCGTGTCTAGAAATGGTCAAGGTACTCGCCCGTCAGTCCCCGTCGGTGCGAAGAATTGTAAGTAATATCACCTGTCAAGAAAGCTGGACCTTGCTAAGTCATAACAGGAGTCAGACCTCGAGTCACTCATCGCCAATGGCGTACAGAAGCTGCCCTCCCCCGAATACCCCCCTAGTCCGCCATCCAGCAGCGGAGAAAGCACATCTCATCCGAATCCACGACAGATTCTTTCAATTCATAGCTTAATCAATCACTCCCACTTTGACGACGACAGCGATAGGCTGACTCTACCCCCTGATACACATTCTTCTGTTCCTATAACAGACCTCGTGAAATCCGCTGTATCCCCGTTGATAGACCTCAACAGTCGTCCGGATAACTTACAGCCAAGTCAAGCTTTATGCGATGATGTGTGGCTGAACCAGAATAATGCTTTTGAGGGGGCTTGGGATGGGCCTGAGATTGAGCTTGATATTGTGCGACATTCTCAGGGACAATGGGATGGGTTGGCTGCCTGGTGATTAATATTAGCATTAATAAAGATAATTCAGCCTACTTTATAACTATACAAAGTACTATAGTATGTCAGGATGATCCATTCTCAGAGGTTGCAGCCTGCAGATAACTTTCCCTCAGCAATAATTCCAGCCCAAGTTGCCCCCTACAAAATTCTTCCTCTTTTCACCTCTACAACCTATATTCATATTCCAACAGATTATTCCAGCCCTATAGACAACATTTCATCTCTTTCAATAATATTACCATGGAACCTAGACGTTCTCAAGGCTCCCAAATCGAGGAATGCTACGCCTCTCCCCAGGTAAGTCAAGCCACAGCAGATACATTCCCCTATCCCACAAAACCAGATCGCCGCATCCGCAGCAACAAAGGACGCAGCGACGACGAAGGCCAAGAAGAACCAGGCGGCTTCATCAACGAAGATTTGAGAGTCGGAGGCCCATATCTCTGTTCTCTCCCGGCAGTGGATGGCGCCGTCGATCTCGCAGGATGGGAGCATCTGCACAGAGATCATGGCCAACGGGTAACGCTAGCTATTTACTCGATTTTGGATAGTGCCAATATTGATGTTGATGGCGTTACGTTTCTCACGCGGAAGGCTATGTTTGATGCTGAGGCGACGCCGCGTGTTACGGCTTATATTAGTGCGAAGGGGAAGAAGGTGGGTATGATACTTGGTTGAATACAAGTAGGAAGATCCTGGGGTATTTGCGAGAACAGGGTCTGGGTGATGATGTGTCAGTTGAGATAATCGATTCTCGTCCGTTTGAGCATGATCGGTTCGAGGCTGTTGAGCATACTGATGCTATCCATCCTGTATGGGTTGATATCTGTCGTGAGATTGTCGATGCCTGTGATCTCACAAACTGGATTACGCTCAGTTGCGTTCGTCTCAGTCGACACGGGGAAGAAGAGAGTCATCCCACGGTTTCGGTCACCGTGGACAAAACTGCCGATGGCGACTGGAGACCAGCAAGAGACACAATAGCAGCCATCCTCGATAGAAGAGGTCTGCATATGGTCGCTGTTAAATTCAGAAGAGACGCAATTGCTTTCAACCCCCCTGGTTTGGGGAATGATGAACTGGCCCCTGCAGCTCTGGACGGACCAGTACAGATTGGCTACAGTCTGGCGCTGCGCGACTCGCTCGGAGGTGGCACATTTGGTGGCTGGATCGAGTTGCAGGATCCTGACACAGACCAGTGGAGGAAATTCGGCATTACTTGCTCTCACAGTGCTCTTCCAGAGGGCAGCATAGATACAGAGCGATGGCGCTGGGATGGACTTTACTTGTCTTCTGAGACTAATGCCGTGACGAAGCTGGAACTGGATAGTCCAAGCTCAGAAGACTTGCAGCACCATTTCAACTGGCATGATAAGAAAATCAGGGAAACGCTCAAAGACCCATCCTTCATCTCCAGGCAAACCACACTCGAAAATGGGGGCTTTCTAAGCTCTACACATGAGAAAATCCATCAAATGACGATTGAAGTTTCGGCTGTCTGTGAGGACAAGAAGCAGAAAGACCGACTTGGCCATGTTTTTGCAGCCTCGAGTCAGAGAGTTAGGCCTGCTGTTTCGTTTTTGAGTCATCTGCCTACGACAATGGACTGGGCGCTGATTAACGTCCCGCCAAACCGAATCGGAGACAATAAAGTAAGCTAATCTAGCAGAGTGAGTCCGCATAGGATCAATTCAAAGACTGACATCTCCCAGATATTGTCCCTCGGGCCGACTAATATATTTCACTTTAAGGTTGCATTCAAAGACGCCGGATTGAGAGTGCGACGCGACAAGATACGACTTTCGAATAAAGAAAAAGTCTACAGATGTGGTAAATCCACTCGATATACCGTCGGCCAATACTCTGACCTCAAAGTCGTCCGGATTGTCAAGAAAAACCATCAATGGCACTGAGGTTACGCTGCCCACGATGGAGCATCAAATTCTGGATCTTCCAAGTTCAAGATATTTCCCATCGTCATTTTCCTCATTAGGAGATGCAGGCTCTTTGGTATTCAATGGGTATGGTGAGCTACTCGGTCTGCTACTTGGAGGGACTGAAAGGGGTGGATTCGCCCTTTTCACTCATATTGCTGACTTGATGGAGGATATCAAGGCCGTTACTGGGGCAAAGGGCTTTAGAGCTATGGGTGACAATTGGTTCGATGTGTGATTTTAAGTGGCGCAGCAGTTTTAATTGTTGGCTTTGCTGAACATTGCTATTATTAGGGTTATCTATTAAAGTTGCACAGCTGCCGAACCCCATGGGTTTTAGGGTTGGTTTTAGCAAAAGCCCATGTACCACTCTAGCGACTTTATTTTAGCGGCGATTTATTCAAGGATTAAAAAATAATGAAATGCGATAAAGAAATAATAAAACAGCCTATCTGCAGTAGTGCTTACTCAACTATTAGTGCCCTCGTAAACTGCGGGGTTCTATCATTAGTCGCAACATGGCCTCAGGGGCTGCGTATATCTTCAAAAATGGTCTGCATAATGGATAATCCGCCAAGCTGCAATCCAAAAAAATGTCTTTCTATAAGAACTTCCCACTCGGGATCAACCAGATCCGCCTTCTAACTGTCTCTGCACCCGATCCCCAAAACGATGCCATTTACTGTACCCTCGAGGTCGTGGACTTGACGGATGATGTGGAATACGACGCCCTATCATATACCTGGGGCGCGCCCGCGCAGTATGGCAAGTTCAAGACGATGACAAGTGCTCTCGACCACCCGATAATCTGCGAGGGCGAGATGCTCTGGGTAGCAGAGAATCTGGAAAGCTTTCTCAAACGTGCTCGGAAGACGCCATCGCTCGCAGGGAAGAAGTTCTGGATAGATGCCATTTGCATCAATCAGCAGGATACGACTGAGAGAGCGAGCCAGGTGAAGCTGATGGGTCGGGTGTATAGCTCTGCGAAGGTAGTGGTCATGTGGATGGGTGAAGAGGATGAGTATACGGGGACTGCGTTTTCGGCGCTGCAGAGGATCTCCGAGCTTGTTGCGACTCATTCGCTGAGTGAGAGCCCGGCGTATCTGCATCGAGGCGGGAGTCATGATTTGATGCTGGGTGTGTCGGATCGCGAGGCGTGGGCGAGTATTGGGAAGTTCTTTCAACGGTGTTACTTCAGCCGGTCGTGGATAATCCAAGAAGGTATCCTTGCGAATAAGGCCGTGGTGCTATGCGGTGGGCAGCATATCAATTGGGAGATTTTGGTTGTGGCATCGCGATTCTTCTCGCAGACGGGCTGGAAAACATTTCTGGATAACCTGTCCATGGATCATCCGGAAGAAAGAGAAAGTCCTCTGCCTTCATACAGCCATGTCCCTGTCATTCTGAACGCTATCAGACAGGATTTGCCTCTGCGCCATTGGACGACCACTCTCCTGTACGCCTTGCAGCGGTCCCGAGACTTCAAATCGACCGATCTCCGTGACAAAGTCTTCTGTCTTCTCGGTCTGGTCGAACCATTCATCGGGGATAAGCCTCGTCTGACTCCTGCATACGGCCCGCGCACAGTCCAGACAACATACATCAACACTGCCATCCAGCTCCTGGAAGATGGAGAAGACCTATACCTACTCTCGTGTATCGAGGGTGAACTATTCCAGCGCGTCCCCAACCTCCCCTCCTGGGTCCCAGACTGGACGTGCGGGAAATCCACCGGTCTGCTGATAATCGGGTACAAGCGGTATTCGGCTTCGGGGGCTCTCACGCAACGGCCGCAGATTGACGCTTCAGCGTTGACCGTGAGTCTCAAAGGAGTCAAAGTTGATCATGTCACAGTAGCTGGCGAGGCAAAGCATCAGGTGCTTGATGGGCAGCCGTTTTCGAGGTGGCTGGAGATTGTCACTTCGCTTCCCAAGTGGTACCGCGATACGCCTGAAGAGGCTGGAGGCGAATCCAGGATAGAGGTCTTCTGGAGGACGCTCCTCAGGAATACAACAGGGCGTCCTCCGAAATTAATACCGCCAGGAAAATCATCAATCGACGATGCGTTTCGGAAATGGATTCGAGATAAAGTGATGGATAAATCCAGGATACGTGAGGATCCCAGCTGGGAAGAAATGGGCCGATCCGTCCTGGAGTTGCTGGAATTAGACAACTTAGATACAACCCCAGACGAAGAAAATCATCATTCTGCACCTGACGATATTGAATTTGAGACCAGGATGAGCTGGGCGAAACATCTGAGACTGTTCAGAACGTCAACTGGATACCTGGGCCTTGGCTCTGAATGCCTTCGGGAAGGGGATTCGGTGTGGATTATGCCATCGTCGCGTGTGCCCCTCATTTTAAGGTCCGCTGGGGAGGACAAACCGGGCCATTATCGAATTGTCGGTGGTTCGTATTTGCATGGAGTCATGCAGGGTCAGATGGTATGTCCTTGTTGCAGTGGGAAAACAGAAGAGGACATTGCATCGCAATGGGAGACAGTTATAATCGAGTGAGGATGACTTGTTACCGTTACGATGGTACTGTATAATAATATTAGATGAAATATGACTTTTTCCTGCTATCCATCTCAGCCATATTTATGAAACAACAAAATTGAGAAGAATCATGGAGAACCTCCCAAACAGGGACTGAAAAGAAGTGGTATTCACAGTGGTATTCATTCGCTTCAACCGAGTCACTCCATTAAGCTGAAGTTGAGATCCACCTTTGATGAGAGACCAGCTAGAACATTCACAGGTGCTGGAGAAAGGGGAGAGTCAGGGAATGAAGTTGGACCCACGAGCAGCTTTTCTCTACAGACACTCTTTGTTTTCTCTTCTCCTTCTCATCAACTGCTTGTTTTCATTTCTTTTCGACACCTGACCTCCAATTTCCTGCCGCATAAATTGCTTTCTTTCAACTGCCCAAGGCTGGTATCTGCTTCTGTCTGACGTTATTTTGTATCATCACCTAATAGGCAACCCGCTTTCTAGGCACCATGGATCCTGCAACCGCCACCGATATCTCCCCATCTTCCTCCTACCTCACCTCCACCACGCGGCCAATCAGTGAAATGACCTCAAATTCAACCGATCAAGTCTCAGAATTCCTATCATGTCTTCCAGAAGAAACCCCAAAGGTCATTGCCTCAACCCTTAGAGCTGTCAATTCCGCCTTGCAACAGAATCTCGATGCAGATGGCAACCCAAGATCAGAATATGTTGTTGTCTCATACGTCGGCCCACAGGTGGTGGAACAGCTTGTCAACAACCGAGGCGTGAACATGAGGATGTTTTATGATGAAGAATTAAGAACTCTTATTGTCAAACTCCCCATGCGACCTCACGAAATTCTCATACAACGATTTAATTACATGTTCTTGCGGGAGTCTGAGCGACAGGGTGACGAGGAATCTATCGACGCCACTGGAAGCGAGACAGTAGAGGAATCTCCATATGCTAAGGAAGGAGACTCAGGGTTCCTGCCGCGGCGGTTTATCCCCGGCAGGGATCCCAAATGGCCTACGGTGGTTCTCGAAGTCGGTCTGTCCCAAGGGTTGGAGGAGCTCCGGCGTTGTGCAAGATGGTGGCTGGGTACATCAAATGGACTCGTCAAGGTCGTTATCATCGCTTCCATCCACCGTACTCAGCCCCAGATAATCTTCGAGAAGTGGAAACTGCAACCTGTTCAGCCGAATCACCCATATGGTCTCCGAATCCTGGGCCCCGGAACGCCGGCGAAAATCCAAGAAATCACGATATTTCGCAGAAACAATACGACTGTGACCACAGGTGCGCCTCTAGTGGTTCAATTCGAGCATATATTCCTCACACCACCCTCTGGTACTCAGCAAGACTACATTTTTACTGCAAAGCAGCTAGAGGGAATTGCTGAACGAGTCTGGGAGAAGCAGCGCTTCGTTCCGATGCCGATTTGATATTTCTACTTTGAGTGCCTTTCGTCTTTTTATTTTTTATTTTATTTTTCTTTCACGATTCTACACGAATTCAAGTAACATGAGCCACTTTGCTTTTAATTTTGAAGAGTAGCTTGGGATTTGAAGGATACTCTCTAGAACCAAGAACTTTCTGCCTGACAAAATGTCGCATTCGAGAGCCTGAATACAATTTCCTCACTGCAAGCCCCAGCATAATTAGTCATAATATCAACATTCATAGCCCATACATACATACATACACACATAGTACAATTAATTTTAAATTGACAAATACCAAAAACATAAAACACCACTCACTCAAGCCCTAACCAACTGCCTTAATCTCAACTCCAGAATCTGTCGGCCTTCAAAAGACCTCCACACTTCATGTGGCGCACCATCGACCACGTCCCATTCCATAAGACTATCAGTGATTTTGGTCAGTTCTTCCTGGCGCGCAGCCCAATCTCTGCTCTTGCCGACTTCAATGCCCGAGCTAACCACCATGAGCGGGGTGTCTTGCATCTGAACGTGCCGCGCAGTCTGGATCTCGGATTTGGTGATTGTCTCTGCGACCAGGTTCTCTTGGAGTTTGGCTTTGATGTATCTACCGGTTTGGTAGGCGCTGCGGCCGTATACACGGTCTTCACGGCTGCGACCCTTGAAGATTGCTCCGGCGATTCGGTCCAGACCAAGTGGGGAGAAGACTCCACGCAACCAGAGGAGAAATCCGCGACCAGGCTTTCCAATGTTGGAGAGGTAGGCTTCGTGGGTGCCGTCGATTAGGAACATCCCTTGTACCTCGGTGATGTGTCGAGTAGCGAAGATACGGCTGTAGATGCTACCGACTCCCGCAGAGACTAGAATCCAGGGTCCCTCTTCACCAGCGAGCGCGAGTGCCTCGCCTAGAGAGTCTGCAGCCATTCCGGCAGAGTGTGGAGATGGTGCATTATCAGACCAGCCAAGCCCCGGTCGATCCCAGTAGCAGTACCGACCGATTGTCCCCTTCTTATATGCGTTGTGGATGAATGGCTCCAGGGTCTCTTCGACTGGACCCTCGCCACCCTCGACGAGAATAGTAGGCAGCGAGTGTCCACCAGATTTCTGGTCGGTGTTTTTACCAAAGCACGCTAGATGAACCCGATAGTTCTGGCCAGTCACGGAGTATAGCGAACCCGGAGCAGGGAGGGTAGCGTCTCGAGCACGCAGGACCAAGCTGGCAGTAAAGAGGATGGAAACAATAGCCAGAACAACGATGATGATGCTCTCTGCAAGAACGGCAATCCACTCTTTGAGCGGGCGTCGCTGATCACCTCTGCCTGTGAGCCGCTCTTCCTCTTCTCTTTTGCCCCACGCGACGGACCAGTTCTGAATGATGTTGTAGAATGATATGAATGTCGCCCAGACCACCGAGGCAATTCCCACCCAGCCTTCTTCCACGCGAAGACTGGGCACCCCAAAGATGACACACATGTCCACCAGGAGAAATATGGACAGCACAACTCCCCACAGAGTCATAGGTTTCGACGGAATGGTAAAGAACATCAATGCGATTATAAGATATCCAACAGTCAATGTCGTGAACGAGAAGGAGAAGAATCCTGATCCGCGAGTGTGCATAGCCGGTGGGTCGACGAAGAGCGAAACGAGTATGAATGTCCACCAAATGAAACTCAAGCCCAGAAAGACTGAAGTAAGCCCATGCAAAGCTCGGATGCTCCACAGGTTATAAGGAGAGACCTAGCATTGCGAACGTCAGGCGAATGGCAACTTCTCGTTCAGAATCAAATAAGATACTCACTGCAGGGTCATCGGGACTCAACCAAGTAGGGTCTCGAGGCAATAATCGAGACCGTTCATCTGGCTCCACGGGTCGTCGAATTCGCTCCGTCTGGTCGTCATCTTCATGCTCCTGATCCTCCGCTCTCTCTGCATTGCCGTTCCTTCTACCCCAGAGTGAAACCATTGTAGAGTATGTACTGCGGCCGTATCCTTCAATATTTCACAGCGAATATGTATATTATGGTAGAGAATTGTCAAGCAAAAATTGCCATCGAAAGCTTCTGGGGGGTGATAAAAGGTGCATCCTGAGCGTTGGGGGTAGATTTAAAAAAGAGCTGGGGAATCTTGATTGACGTCACCGTCACCGTTATATCCGCCTTGTCTTCAGAACAGCGATCATCGTTGCTGACATAGAGCATCGCGTCAATATCCGGTCTTGTCGGCCAAAAGGTTGGTGAGGTCATGGATTGATCAGAGTGGCACGTGAGGCTGGGGTCCATGGATTCCAAGGATCGACACCAGGGATGGAATCTCCGTCATTGACTACTACAATGAAGACGGCGAGAAGCTTGTAGGGGTTCATGAGATAATTCATAAAATATAATTCCCTGATCGACATTATTGTGGAGCCGATCCATAGCAGAAAAGGAAAGGAAAATCCTGCTCATTCATATTTGCATTATTTTTTAGCTTTTCGATAACTCTATATAGTACTAATTAGAACTGACTGACTGGTATGACATCACAGGAGACCTGTCATATATATTATTAGACATAGGAAACCTCATTCCGCATCCTGATAAAGAATGAAAAGAGAATATTATCAACCGTCACCTATATATCCAACCTCCTATGTAAGGAAGCGGCCTTCCAAAGACATCGGCTCTGACCTTCATGGAGTCATCCCTGGCCCGGATAGTGGAAAGGTGGATCCCAGGCGTCTCTCTGGCTGAAATTCTTCCCTCAGAACTGCTGCCGTCCTTGCTTCTGCATTATCAAACAAACGTTTACGAATCTCCTCCCAGGGTAGAGATGTGAAAACCTGAATCCAGTTCCTTTTCTTCCTGAGTTCAGGATATCCAATAATCCATTTTCGATTATTGTAGGGAATGAATTCGGTGATCTTTCTCCCTCGACTTTGCTGGAAGTCTAGCTTCCGGACGAAGCAAATGATGTAAAGGGCGACCAGGGCTGCAAAAGCAAACACGGAAAGCACCGTCACCGGCACGGCCCATGAGGGGATCCGTCGCGTAGATCCGTCTGGGTTGTTGGTAGTTTTGAATGGCAAGGCGATGAGGAAGATATTGACGATCGTAAAGAACGCCACGGCACCATACCGAGTACGCTTGTTTTTTAACACTTGGTAAGACCATGGCCCAGGGAAGTAATGATCGGATGGATTGGCCTCTTTTGTTTCATATTCATTCATTCGCTTCTGTAAGAAGAGAATCCCAATTCCCAAGAGAACTCGACACAGTTAGAGCAGGATTGGCAATGGAAGCGGAGATTCTTACAGCTGATAATCGAATGTCCATATGTGTAAAGAGTCAAAGCAAATTGCTTGCCCTCGTCATTGTCGCCTTGGAATAATGGAATAGAGGCAATGTAAATGCAAGTGATGGCAGCATGGAGGACGAGACCCCCAGTGGGAGTGCCCAGGTGATCCCATCTGGAGATACCATAGCCAGAGCTCATGCCGAAGAAGTTGTAGAAGGGTATCAACCGGTTTTTGGCGATGTCTCGTGCCACTTCAAGTACATATTAGTATTGTCTTTTTCTCTGTCCTCTTTTTTAATCCGACTCACCTCGAGCATTGGTAAATATCACACCGGTCAGATTACCAGCTGCTGAGAGCGCTATGCAGACATAAATGGCATGCCTTGTCATTGTCTCATTGCCACTTTGGAAGACCTGAGATTGTCAGAGGAAAAGTAAGCTTCACAAAAAGCAAGGCATACCTTTACAGCATACGTGCCGGCCACAGCTGCTGTTTCCCGTTTGATGATAGTATCAAAATCGAGCATGAAAAACTATACCTATTAGACAATAGCCTCGGGCAGAGTTTGGATGGCATCACTTACCACGAATAGGTTGAAGAGAACATACAAGACATTGACCACAGCAATTGCAATCAGTGCTCCTCTTTTCAAAATTCGCTTTTTTGTCTCAGCATCACCTTCGATCTCAGACGTCACGTAGTCTATATAGTAGTCAGTTCGATGGAAGTCTGTATATATGGAGCAAGCGGTTACATACTTGCATTTTCCCATCCGTGGTAGCTGTACAGGACTTGGAGAATAGCTAGGATGATACTCGTTTCGGAGACTTTACCGTTAGTATGTGCATAGTCCTTGAGACCTTCTAATCGACCCCGCGCTCCATCTCGGCAGGTTGCGACGAAACCCGCGATGGTCAAAACACCCAGGAAGATGACCTTATATGCAGCCAGCAAATTGTTGGAGAGAATTCCAATATTGACCAGTCGGTAGTGTAATATCGCTATTGCGATGACGATCACGCAAGCCACGAATTTTGTAAACCATTCGTCCGGATTATCTGCTTTATCTGGATTGATAAAGGTCGCAAAGGTGATGGCGTTATTCGTGGTCGTGGCGAACAGGATGAAGAACCATGCGAAGCAGGTCGCAAAGAGAATGGGCGGGACTGGGAATATCTTGGCCATCTAGTGGAAGCAAACTGTCAGCAGGAATCCAGAAGAACTTATTCAAGCAATCGAGCGCCTTACGTAGATGAATTCCCCACCATTGTAAGGCCACGCGAGTCCGTACTCGAGATAGATGTACATGCTAAAGGCGAGAAAGCGAGTCAGCAGTTGGTCAGAAGATGAAGAATGCACGGGGCCGTACCTGCAGAAAGAATAGAGGCCCCCAAATATCCAGAGGGCCAGTGCCACGAGCTTGTTGCCAGACAGAAATGCGACATTGCTCGACGAAACAAAGATACCCCCTCCGATGATCTTGTTGATGATGAGGCAGGCCACGTCCAGGGTGTTCAAGGGCTTTTGATTTTTGAACCTAACAGCAAGCAAACGATTGGCGTTTGCTTCTGGATCACGGTCTGGCGATGCAGCCTCTTCCATCTCCAGATGGCTGTTCATCCTCATAATGGGAGTCTCAAAACCAACAGAATCGACGTAAGTCATTTGGTGAGGGTAAAAAGACACTGTGGCTAGGTGGCATCTTCAGCAACTTTAAGAGCCATAAAGCCATACAGAAAGGGGGGTAAATGGGTGAACAGGGCAAACATCGCCTGCATATGGCCTGCATGATTGATCTCTGTTGCCCGTGGCTAGGTCAGCAAGTCGCAAAGTGAGGCTGCAAAGACGACAGACGCAGATAAGAACCTCTCGCAGCCTCGTGTCCGCTGCACCCACTGTCTTCTACAACATTATCACCCCGAACCCCCCAAGGCAGATTGATATATAAGCCTCAGCCCACTACATTGTGTCATTCCTTTCCACCATGATCGTGGAGATTATCCAGAGTCGGTACACCGTCCATGCGGCAGTGCTCTACGACTACCTCCAGGCCAAGTTCGGCACAGGCCAGTTTCAAGTGATGGTACAGTGACCTCGCCCGCCACAGTGGGACTCTCTGAAACCAAAGACTAAATGCTCACTTCGACTCAGGAGCCAGAAGATGACGAGCAATGGAAGATCCAGGTCCCGCGCGAACTGACCTATGTTTGTCATCTCCTTTCCCCAAAATCTCTCACACCTGCCATTACTAACTGTTTTTTCTTCTCGTTCAGGACGAGAAAATTGAAATCCAGACTAAATTCTGGGAAATAAACAAGCGACACCGCAGTAGCTGATAAGCCTGGTGTTTGTGTGCCTCTTCGTTTCTTTTTCTGGGCGGAGCAGCCGCTCAAACGAGTAGGTGGTGGTAGATCATCCAACTAGCATACACGAGGCTGGCCTGAGGTAGCATCCTGGAACAAGGCTGGAGACAGTGCTTTTTAGCCTTGGCCGTGTGAAGAAATTTCATAGGTTATAAGTAGGCAGTAATCCAAAGCACAATATTATATCAAGTTAGACCTATTTGATATCGTTTATGAGCAAGAATAGCCGATAATGACAACAACAACCAATTCCAGAACAGACGGACTAGATGGTTGGGCCTCGTATCCTCAGAATCTGGTATTATCGCCGATTGAATTACATGCGAAGCACTATGATGAACGGCTTTCGCGCCTGGGGAAGAGATTATTCGTGGAGCATGACGAAAGCCAAGCAGGGATTTTGGTGTTTGGCCCTGCTCTCCCGGGTCAGTCTGAATGAACGAGCAAGATAACCACATAATTGCTAAAGTATTCCTCTAGACGGATCGAGAGACGTCGAAGATGACCGAGTCGACTCAACCGCTCAATTGAGAACTCGTTTCCAGCGAGGAAACCCTTCTTGTGTCTTGTACAGTGATGCCCTATCCAGATAAAGGCAAATGACTCGATTCTAACTGCGCAAAAGTTTCCTCCACCAGCGATATTCATGGAGTCGACTGCAAGTGTCGGAGACCTTCTTGAGACAGCTCTTCACCCTTCTCAAAGTCCATCCGGATTTCTTAGAAATTATATTCTTATTTGGTGAAAAGATCGGCCCTGTGGAGGAATCTTTTGGCTCGTTCTTTTCCCATTGCCGGCCGCAGAATGTGCAGAATCCTTTTGTCGAACCAGCATGCAGCTACGGTAAGGGTCTTATCCAAGTAGAGTCGCATGAAGCAGAGCTAATGCTTGCAAAGATATCGGGTACAATATCAAATACGCGGCTCTCCATATGAGATCATTCCCCAAGGACCCCTTCTCCATTCGAGAAACGGGGGTTTATCATAGCTTCAACGCCAATACGCAAAAATCCAGCTGGGTCTTTCTCCAGGCATCCGACTCGCTTCGTGAACGAATAAAGCACTGCTTTTCGCGCACAAGTGAGTCGCAGGCAATGGTGCAGTTTCAGATCCACGGTATGGTACTGCAAACTGCATCGCATGGATGGCGGGATTATCTCGTCTATTTGGAGGAGACATTCTCCAAATTGGTAAGTTCCACCTCCCCTCTCGTTGCACTCAAATTGCATGCATAATAACACTCCCAGGTGGATCGAGGATTCTATACAAACATCAACGGCCCACAGTTAGAAGGTGACTTTGAGGTGGACTTTTCAGACATACGGAAACTGCAGATTCTCACGGATAAAATCCGGAGGTTACTTCAAATCCTCCAGTTGAATATCACCCTCGCCGAGCAAATGAAATGCTCCATGCAGCGAATCCGGAAATATTCTCCACCAAACCTGTCTGTCGCTTTTGATAATGTTGAATCCTCAATCGAGATGTCCATTCTCCAACATCGGACATACAACAGCCGGCTGCAGTCTCTGGTTGACCGTGCACAAGGAATCAGTGGCTTGGTAAGTATCTATTACATGAAAAAATAAAATACAAGCGATTAACAGGAACAAGATCCAAAGTATATTAGAGATTCGAACATCGGAGAGCAGCAAGAAAATCAACAACAGGATGCACGAGCTGGCCGAGAAAGGTGTCCAAGAAAACAAGCTCATCAAAAGATTGACATTCCAGACAACACAAGACACACGGTCCATGTCCGTGATTAGCTTTATATCTGCCATCTTCCTTCCGGCAACCTTTCTAGCCGTAAGACCTACTCCATCAATATCTTTATACCTGGCTGACATACCCGCACAGACGTTGTTCGGAATGAATTTTTTTGATTTTCGGGGAGATGGTCTCACCATAGCCACGAATTTTTGGATATATATTGTCATGGCAGGCGCATTGTCCGGTATGACTGTGCTTCTTTGGTTCTATTGGCAACGAAGCGTCAAGGCGAAATACATGTCCGAAAAAGATGATATCGAGTCGAACAAGGGCAGATCCTGAAGCGAAACGAGGTAGACAGTGAATTTTTCTTTTTTTATTGGCCACCTGTTCCTGTCCGAATGACTCGTCCTTGCCATTTTTTTTGCAGTTTGTCTATTTGTTCGTAGAATTTTTGGGAATCTTCCTCGGCTGTTTTGTTTAGTTTGAATGTACATGCGAGGTGTTTTCCTAGGGTATGCTTACCGCGAAGACCACGGAAGCAGAGGCGTGCTTCCGTGTATTTTTTATAGCCATTGGGCGGTTCTGGGATTTTCATCGGTATGCCTGTCTCGATAGATATTTCATGAACCCCGACGTCTTCGAGAACGACGGTGTGCTGCCCAGCGACCCCTAGACGAACCTTTGGTTCAGAGGTCACTTTAAGTGAAAAATTGGTCCGCTTAGTTTCAAATTTGACGCAATAATGCTCCAGGTCCACCTACCTTTGATCAAGACTAGTTTTTGAGTCATCATCGACAGAATGGCCACGTGCATCCTAGGCGCAAGGGCCCAGCTCGTATCGTCCCAAAGTTTCTGATCCTCTTCATCAAAGTCCCCCTCGGACCACAACTGTGTAGTTGCATTGTCAATTTTCATAACAGGCGTTGGTGTTGGTCGAAGGAAGTTGTTCTTTTTGAATAGGGCAAAGCTGTCCAAGCTGTATGATTTACTATAGCTTCTCTTAGTACACAAGAACAATAATAATCGGACAGGTTTTCCATACAATTCATATGCATACTGATTGGTCATAGCAGCCTGTAAGTTGAGCATGTCTATGAGCTTGTAAGCAGCGCTGGTGCTTATTGGGCATACTTAACACTAACCTCGAAGATTGGCGAATTTATAGGTGTAGTATCGGCGATCGGGTTGGTAAAGCGTCACATTGAAGCCTTTCCTTTCGTCGGTGTTGGAAACATAATCAGGAATAATACTTGGATATTTTTGGCCCATTCGCATGACTGGGAGCCGTCAGAAAGTATCCCATCTCATTCACGAGATCACTTACATGTCTCTCTAATTTCGTGTAATTGCATATCCGCCGATTCACGAATGAAACATCGGACCAGGAGTGATTGATTCTGGGCCAGTCCGTGTAAAAGCAGTCCACATTTTCTCAAGTGTGGGTTAAACATTTCTCTGACAAGATGTCCGCGCCTATACACTGTTAGCCTTAAGTGACTATGTCATGTATTAGGGACGCAACTTGCAGTCGACAGTTGGCATTCAATGGACTATCAATCAGCCTCCTCCCTTCTATATCCTCCCAGATGTCTCCTTCTGGAGATGTAGAGGGTCGGTCGGGGCCTCGAGGCGTAAGAGCGTGATAATAGAGCTCCTGCAAGCGAGTAGCCACAGCTTCAGCTGATGGACACCCTCCATCGCCATCCCAGAGCATTTCTTCCACTAACCCAAAAAACGACTCCGTGAGGAATTTCTGCTGAAAGTGGTCGATTTCTTCGCGATTCTGGGGCCGCATACTTCGCTTCACTTTATCATGCAGTTTCTTATGTCTTTCTCGTACCGATATTTTCATTTTCCCCTTATTGTGGAATCGCATCAAGGCATAATTCTGGCCTTCCTCCATATCTTGTTTCCGCTCACTTCGATACTGCTGGACCCCCTCTTTCTTTTCCAGGTCAAATGTTGCGATCTCTGAAATGATGGCACCAAGCGACCATACATCCATAGGTCGTGTATAGCGCCCGTCTTTACTTTGGGGGGCGACATAAGCTCGAGAATCAAATATATCGTCGGCTATGGAAGGGTTTGAGTCACCAATCGGCCCGGGAGACTTGAACTGTAGAAGTCCGAAATCTGAAATTTTCATCGTTCCCCGGACAATTAGGATATTTGCAGGTTTTAGGTCTCGGTGGTAGGCGATCCTGTCGTTGTCCTTTCCATGCAGATGTGCCAGCCCCTCCGCCAGGCCTTGAACTTGTTTCCACAATTCCTGAGGTCGAAATGATGTGCCATCGCTTTTAAGATAGGTGCCCAAGGTCTCGCTCGCTTCTTCAAATAGGATAAAAAAGTGTTTCCCGTGGGAAAAGGCCCCAAGAGCGGGCATCAGATGGCCATGGTTTATTCGTTTGAGGTGAAGCAGTGTAAACCATTCCTTCAGCCCGGATGTATTGTCGTCTGTATTGAATATCTTGCGTGCAAACCGCTCAACCTAGGGACAAGTAATTGATAATCAGTATAAGACAGGAATTGAAGGGATTCACTGACGTACGTACATTATTACGACGAAATTCCTCCCCCCGGTATTCATCGAACGGGATGCGAAAGCCATATACTTGGCCAAAATCGCCTCGCCCCTTCCGCTCCTCGTCCTCGATAATGGGCAAAGTTTCGTATGAGGAAATCGTCGTTGGCTGCCTGCATGGCTCCAAGGTCCGGATTTGAAAACTGTACTGGTCGCGGAGGATATCACTGATGATCTCCTGGCCTGCCACTCCAGCCCCGCGGAGGAACTCCAAACTTCCCTCGTTGAAAAACGTGGTATTGCTGAGATAAACTTCATGCTGTTGGAAAAGGTGAATCAACCCCGCTCGGTGATGCCAGATAAGCAAGGCGTACACCGTCACATAACTTCCAAAATCGTTTGGATTAAAGAGCGCTTCACGATGCTCCAAGGTCAGCCCAGAGTCTCTGGTGCAAGCCGCGCACTCGCACAAAAACACATCTCTTAGGCAGTTGTTTGTCGCGAAGATTTGTTTAATCTTACTGATAGGAAAATATCGGGTGTTAGATGGCAGAAAAGTCGACTTGGGTTGTTCAGAGGCCTTCGACAGCTCTCCTCTGGCCGTAAAACAGGCCGGGAGAGCCATGATATCAGCGTACAATTACGTAGCACTGCGATAAAAACAGGGGCTTGCATCCTCTCAACAGAGGTAGGGAATAAATCAACACGTTCTGGCCGCCAGCTATATACTAGCAGCAGAGGGCAGCCTTGTTTGCCCGATGAAGGCGGGTGAGGTGAAAGTGCAGGGATAGCACTGAAGCAGAATAGCCGCATATTGACTATTTGTAATAATATACATTAGCTAGCTGTATTCAGCTATCTTGTTCTTTCCGAGCCATATCATTCGGCGGGTTATCCAAGCGCGAAGATAGGTACGAGGCTGTGTAATATGCATGTCGATGTGGGTAAATATTCAGCTTGTAAAATCCCCCAAAATAGGAATAGAGTTGTTCGAGGCGAGTCCCGCAGAATCTAAACAACAGGAGATTATTGATCTACGGGATAAACACTGATCAGCAATGGTGTTGGTATAATCGAGCCCACCGATGATGCAAGGGTCAGGTGACGTTTGCCTTATTCTCAGTTGGACTTGCCTTTCACCCTCCCTGGGTAAATATTTGCCCAAAAGACGTATCCTGCAAGCACTAAGAGGAGGAGCGTGGAAATGAAGCTGTTTGGGTGATGAAATGGGGCGAAAAGGAGAGAGAGAAACGCGATGGACGAGGAAGTCGAAGCGGCGGGGTTGGATTAGCCCGAATAGGAAATGGCCCTGCTTGTGTCTGTTGCTTATTTACAATAATGCATCATAACCCAAGACACTACTATACATGCTTCACATTACTTCTAATGAAATATACTGAATTACATATTTTATGGCAAAATTGACAAAAGCTTCAATGATGCTGGCTCCTCCAGCTGTCATCCAATGTGGAGCATTGAAGTGGGTTCACAACTCCCTCTTGACGATCGCCCCATCACCACGAACACCGCCATCACTCGCATCTGAATTCGTCCACCACAAGCATACCCAGTTCTAGCCTGATATAGCTATATAACTCCTCTATAGCCAATATTTTTCCATGAGCGAGCTTCAAAAGTCCTTTGCCAAGTCAAAACTGGGCAAATTGCCGCCCGATCCCCCACAGATCTTCGACTCTCCCACCGCTGGTGCTTCCTCCTCGTCGATGCATCCCCTCGATGAAGCCAGTTATGACGATGATTCCTCGTCTGCTTCGTCAACAGGGACTATTGTTCCATCCCCTAGCAGACAGCTGTTCGCTAGACCTGGTCGAGGGTGCGTTTTCCCATCTCAATCACACGAACTGCTACGTATATATAACTTCATGTTACATCGACATGCTGCATTTTTATATTGATTCCAAGCCCTCACCATCTGTCATTCTTTTCTTTCTGATAGCTTCACTAATACTCCAATAGATCATCATCCGCTTTAACGTCATTAAACTGGACAGATTTCTTCACACAGGAGCTCTTCCTCCCCGAAGAAAACAATAACATCAACATCGTCCACCATGTCTATCTCACCCCACCCACCGACTCCGGTCCCCTTTTCGTCATGCACCATGGAGCTGGTTCATCCGGCCTCTCCTTCGCAGTCTGCACAGAGGAGATCCGGAAGATTATCCCGAAAGCAGGAATCCTGTCCCTAGATGCGCGGGACCATGGCAGCACAACAACGACAAAAGCCGATGGCCACGGGGAAGTTGAGCTTGATCTGAGCTTGGAGACTCTCAGTCGCGATCTCATGTTTGTTATCCGTGAAACGCAGTCCAAGATGGGCTGGGATCACCTCCCAGATATTGTGCTTGTAGGCCACAGCTTGGGAGGCGCTGTCATCACCGATGTTGCCAAAAAGGGGGAGCTTGGTCCGAAGTTGCTAGCTTACGCAGTGCTGGACGTTGTTGAAGGTCCGTATCTGTTCACTCGCATTCTAAAAAGTTTATTTCATAACTAAAAGAGATGCAGGTTCCGCAATGGATGCCCTCCAGAGTATGGAAAAGTACCTCTCAACACGCCCATCCAGATTCCCCTCCCTAACCTCTGGAATCGAGTGGCAGTATGTGAAATCTAGTTCCTCCTATCTAAACATGTACTAAAAACGATTAATAGCACTCGATCCCGCACAATCCGCAACAGAGTCTCAGCTCGTGCCTCTGTCCCTTCACTCCTATATGAAGAAGAGAACCCTGCTGATCCATCACGGCGATGGGTCTGGAGAACTAATCTAGGAAACACAAAGCCTTTCTGGGAGAACTGGTTCGTCGGGTTAAGCCGGAAATTCCTCGAGGCACGAGGTGGAAAACTGCTTCTTTTGGCTGGGACGGATAGGCTGGATAAAGAATTGATGATTGGGCAGATGCAAGGTGTGTATCGCCTATGTTCACTTCAGTCTGTTGCTTACTCACAACACCCAGGGAAATATCAACTTCAGGTCCTTCCCGAAGCAGGCCACTTTATCCAAGAGGACCAACCCGCTAAAACGGCTCAGATCTTGGTGGACTTCTACAAGCGGAACGATCGGAGCGCCCTTGTCCTTCCGCCAAAAGTGGCAGACATGCAAGCCTCTTCTGCTATGAAGAAAGGCGTGGGAGCCCCCGATGGAAAAGTGCTAGGGGATAACGAAAGAATTGGCTGGACAAAGAGGCCATAGACTGGGCATGGGATCCTAGTTTGTAGTTGTTTCGTTGAGTAGATTATGTTCATCGAAGTGCTCTCAATAGAGAAAAGACTTTTGGTACAAAACATGTTTAGATTGCAAAAAGCCCTTCTTGATAGATAGATGGATAGCGCAACAAATCCACCGTTAACCTAACACCGATGCCTTCTTAATTCATGCCGGACGCCGCCCAGTAGTATCCAGCCACCAAATACATGCAACTGTCGAATTTGCTCCCAAGGGGTCCAGGAGAATGTAGACAAAAAGAACAGAAAAGGAAAAGAACAATGGGAATAGAAGTTCGGGTATCTGGCGCCAATTTGCACGTAATTCAGTCTTCATCAGCTCCACCTCCATCATGGAAGATAAGCCCCTCCAGCAATAATCAAGTTCATGTTGGTGAATTTCACCTGGTAAACCGGACTCTTCTTGGTGGGGAAAGCACTGATTTGATCGGGAGTAACGACCACGTCCTTGCCCTTCTTCTTTCCCATCCCAGGACCAACGGAGCCTGAAGCTTGCGCGCCGGAAGCAGGAGGATTACCAGCATCGACCTTTGTGCCGGCGCCACCTTCTCCAACAACGCGCCCCTGTGATGGGTCTTGAGCAGGACCGGTAACATCCCACACACGAACAGTTCCATCTGCACCTCCAGAGACCAAAACCGTGGATTCAACACTCCAGCTAAGAGACCAGATGCCTCCTTTCCCGTGACCGCGCATACGCTTCAGCAGCCGACCAGGAGCCAGGTCCCACAGAAGAATTGATCCATGGTCATCGGCAGAGGCGAGGAGCTTGCCATCGCGACTGCATGACAGCGCTGTGATATTGCCGGTATGTCCAGTGAACATACGAACTGCATTACCCGTGGTAACCGCCCACATGCGAACCGTATGGTCAGAGCTGCCCGTGAAAACATAAGCTGAGTTTGGATGGAAGCAAACGCAATCAACATCCTGGTCATGCCCAACAAAGAAACGTTGCTGGCGAATGTGATCCGTAACCCAGAGACGGGCTGTCTTGTCGTGGGAACCAGAGACAAAATAGTGTCCGTAAGGTCCCCAAGAAAGATCCCACACAGGCTGATCATGTCCCTTGTACACAACCATGCACTGCCACAAGTCTAAAGACCAGAGCCTGATAGTCATGTCGGCAGAAGACGAAAGCAGCCAGCGTGCGTTAGTTGGTGCCACGGCGTTTTCCGTGCGAGTAATCGACGGAGCGAATTTCACTGCATAAACAGGTCCGGAGTGGCCGATCAGACGGCGAGAGTTGGATGGGGCTGTATCTTCCACGTTGTCATAAGTCGTTTCGATCCTCTTTCCATCCATGCTCCACACGCGGATATATGACTCCTGCATACCAGCTGCAACGAGCATGTTGTCATCGGAGAAGTCCAGACAGTTCACCCCATCATAGGTATTGTGGAAGGTGAACATGCAAATACTGACGGCGGGGCCAACGCCACCAGTGCGGCCTTCAATTCTGAATCTATCGCGGTTTTCTTTGACTTTCTGAACTTCCATAGCAACATCACGAGCCGTGGAAGGGGGATAGGGGATATCAGCGCGAGTAGGAGCCTCATCATCTTCTTCCTTTTTGATCATTTGATCAAATTCTTGGATAAGAGTATTGTGGCCAGGGCCGGGAGGGTTCTTCGCATCTTCATCGGCAAGTTCGCCTCTGACATCAGTTGCCAGTGTTTCTTCCATGGGAAGCTTTCCAAGCTTAAGTCTAGGCAAAGTGCCAGCCATAGCAGGGTTGTCACCAGTATAGGCTGAGCCAGGGTGGTGCCCGGGAATACCTTCATCTTCATTAGGGAAAGTCTCTCCAGTGCCAGCTTGGCCCATTAGGGCAGCGAAACTGAATCTGTCATCGACCGCACGCTCCTTTGTGATGATGGTGCAAAAGCTACTGAGAATAGCAGACATGACTGAGCCCCCTTCCTTTTGCTTGCTTTCCAAGAACTGCATGAGACTCGCGAACGCCGGGTTGCTAAGAACCAAGCGGTACTTGTTGCCACGATAAAGTTTGGCTATGGAGTTGTCCTGCACATGCTCAGGAAGACTGATAGGTTCTAGTCCACGCACATCATCGGTGTGCTCTGGTAGGAAAAGGTTCTTGTTGAGGTCGAAGAATTGTTTGGCTTCTTGTGGGTAGAAAGAAGTCACCATGTTGAGGAACGAGTAAACGAAGAGTGGCCACAAGACACGTCGCAGTTCCGGCTATAAAATGTAAGCATACAGCCGAGTAATAAAGTATATGGGTATCATATCGTACCTTGTACAAGTCCAGATTATCTTCAACCCAGACCTTGAGTAGATCTGACAAAGAATTGCGTTAGCCAGAGTAAAGGCCCACATTTGCTTAATGCACTTACCAAAACCGAGTCTGTATTTGGGACGTGCATCCTCTCCAAGAGGGGGCAAGGGGCGACCGTCGATCTCTTGATTCGCAGATTCCATGCGAAGCATGGCCTCTGTACGGCTGTACCCCTTTTTGGCCAAGTAGTCGATGACCTATCAGAAACACAAATGTCAGCCATCCAAACAGTGCACTTTATGGAACAACGAGCTCATATGCTTATGAAGAATGAACAGTACTGTAAAACGAGGCATTTTGGCAGTGCGGGCGCAAGAGGTAGGAGGAAGAAAAGCAAGATAGCAAATGAATGACCTTGGGAACAAGATGAGGCCGCACATCTGCGGTCATTGGAAATCTAACAGTTAATCCATCTCCAATACCAACCGAAGATGGATCAGCTGCAGGAGAAGCTCGAACAGTTTCATCTGATTCGGTGTCAGAGCCACGTTGAGGTACCCCGCCATCCCCGCCACTGTGGACTGCAGCTTCCTCTGTCTTAGCTCGAGCTACTCTCCGAAGGTTGTACCTGCCATGACTTGGGAGTGACTTTGATCGTTTTGCAGTATTCGGCAAGTCATTGCTCTGTTCCACAGGGGGCAGGTGCGACCCAGTGTCCATGAAAGCACCTTCAGAAGAAGCAGGAGCAGTAGTAGAAACGGTTTCAGGAAGAGACTGGTTTGGCACTCCCAGATCTGGCTCCTTTTTTGTGGTATCAAAGGATCCTATATCCGCCGGCTGAGCTGTCGCTTGCTCGACAGTCTTGCCATGGGAGGGAGAGACGGCACTTGAGGCTGCGGGGACAGTTCCAGACTCGGTGGCTTCAACGCGCTGAAGACGAGGCCGACCTCTAGGCCGACCAGTAGAGGGTTTGGAGGGGTTGGGCTTGCAGGAGCGCCTTTTTCTCTTTGCCATGATGTGCAATGAAGCTTGGCTAGGAGGTGTGTTCCAGGAAATGGACAAAGAAAGGGGAGGTTGAGGTCCCTCGTAAGAAGATGAAGAGACAAAGAGGTGCAGTAAACAAAGAAAGGAACACTGCCAAAGCAGTGAAGCACTCTCCTAGACAACCTGGGGAAGCGAGATCGGAGCAAGCCGCTAAGCATGAGGGCATAGAGCAAAGTGCACAAACATCCATGTCTGCTACAGTGCAGCCTGAGGCGAGCAACGCCCATCTGATAGCGCTTCGAGGCATGCAAGCGAGCTCTAGCCTTTACTCCAAGCAAGTCCGACCTGCCATGGGAAGGAAGCCAGTCTTCGAACTGAAGCTCTTCATCCATTCTATAGCATGACAGAGGCCATCCTTCCACCACGACAAGAGCAAACATTGCTTTATCCATAATGACAACCAAGGCAATGATACATATTCAAACTTTGGGCTTTTGAGGAAAATGTACTGAAAAGTAGGGTATTCAAGGGGCAAAAAGGGCGATGACTTCTACGACAAGAAATCGATATGCGACGCGCAAAACACCATTGAAATGAAACCAAACAAGAGCCATTTAAATCGAACAAAACACACTTACTATTTGATTCAAATTTTGCTGCGACATGGCGCCGCTTGGAGGAGGAGGAGGCCCTGGAGTCGGTGCCCCGACTGGCGGAGTGCCTGCCATCGGCTGCTGGGGAGGCATCGACATGCCACCACCTCCGGGTCCGATGCTTCCACCTCGAGGTGCAGGGCTTGGGGCCCCGCCTGGCGCAGACATGGCCCTGTATGTCCGATTACGAGCAGACTTCTCTGCCGGGACCAAAAGTAACAGAAAGGACGGGAGAAAGGGATGTTTAATCGACAACGATGATGGCTGGCGGAGGTTTTGCGAGCCTCAGCGTTCTGATATTGGGCTATGGCATTTTGGGACTAGCGCCTTCCCCGACTTATCTAAGCAGCCCCTAGTTCCCCAGGTCTCTGACACGTGATGGCGGCGTGTTCTGCCTTCAACTTTCTGATCGTGACGTTGTTGAATTAATTCGTCTTTTGAGACACCGTTCCTCGAGGCCCTTTATGGTTAATCAAAATGGCTGATAGCAGGAGTTCTGGTAAACCTGACCAGACATTCACATCGGCCGATCGGATTCGACAATTGAACGATGTCGACCAGGTAAGGAAATTGATTTGCGCTCAGAGTCCAAAAGTCAAGTGGAAATCAGACCTCAATTGCTCACTATCTCAATTTTAAAAATGATAGGATGTGGCAAAACTCATCCATTCCGCCGGTCTTGCTATCCAAGCCCTGACCAACGCCAGGTCAAACGATACTTCTTCGACGGACAACTCTCTCGACTCCCACAAAGCTCGGTTCAAGGAAGCCACCTCGCAGTACTTTGCCCTCCTTTCATCCATTGATGTGAGACTTCGTCGCCAAGTCTATGCGTTGGAAGAAGCTTCCATCCTTGCGCCAGATTCTACCTCCCGCGGGAACGACGCAGCCGGCGCTGGCGGGGCAGCCGCAGCTGCTTCCAATCCATTGGATATCAGCTGGCTGAACAGCAGAAAAGACACCGTAGGGAAAGATAAAGAAGCTGAGCTGTGGGCGGCCGCGAGGGGGTTTGTGGAGCAAATTGGCAAGCCGGGGGCAAAGCCAGAGAATGGCAATGAGAGAATGGAGGTTGATTGATTCTAAATCGAATTTATATTGATCTTTCTCAGCCAAGTCTCTCTCTCTGGGAGCCTTTTCAACCGGACATGATGTCTGGCTCAAAATGGCCGCTCAAATATGGACCATCAGACATGGCGGTTTTCACGAACGGTCATTGCCCGGTATGGCTACAGTCTACGTGGGGGTTTCCGTTTACCGCGAAGTTGTCTTCGCTTGAGTGGCCGCTATGGCTATTTTCTCGGACAGCTGAGGCTTTAATGATACCCAAATGAAATGATATATCTACTAAATATGGTTTAAACAAAAAGCCCTCCAAGGAAGCAGCATTCATATGCCAAGCCTGTTACAACGATAAAACCTTATTCTACAATTCCAATATTGCAAAATACCATCAATATGTATAAATGAAATTGAAGTGTCCGCTAATCATAGAGCCCCAATAGTACATACAGCTCGGGTCCATGAAACTCGAAGAACAGAAAACAAGAACAACTCATAGCTCAAGTATCAATGATTGATGCCATGCCATACCTCGGGAAGTCTAACTGGAAGCCGACAAAGCCAAATCCTCACAATAGTGCATAGGTTACCTTTGCATAGATTTGATCATCTCAATATGGTTGGCTCTATCTTGGTTCGTCTCCGACAAGGGTGCGAGACCTATATTGTCATTAGCATTGCATAGTATGGCACCGGAGTATCTAATAACAAGTATCCACTTACTCCGAAGTTCACCAACGACATCCTTGGCCTTTCCAAAGTAGACCTCCTCTACAAATCGACTCTTATTAGCGCTGCACGTATGTAAAATCAACAAAGAAAGCACTCACGCAGCAAGTTCCTCATCTTCAATTCCATATCCTCAACCAGTCTGCCGACGTTGGCAACATGGCTTGCATCCGACTCAACGGGCAAGTCAACCTCCACCTGACGGGTCATGTTTCCACTAAGGTCCATCTCGCCGAGGGAGTCATTTTCACTAGCAAGGTGAAGAATGACCGTGCTGGTCAGCTTGTAGTGGGACATGCGTGCACGATCGGTAGCCTCGAAAACGTGGATGCTGTCCCATTCTCCCGAACTCTTAGCACCCGGTGTGACACCTGAACATGACAACGTCAGCGATCAGTTCATCAGAGATCTAGAAAATACTCCACGGCAGAAGCCACACACCCTTCTTCAAAAGTATAACACCAGCAAACCCATCATCCAAATCCCAAAAGTACACGCTACCAACTCCGCCCTCATAGTACAGGTCCCGGTAGACATCAAAGGCTTCGTTAGCCGCAACCTCAAGCTTTCTTACCCGCTCGCTGGGGACAGTTCCATCCTCAAGCGGGGGGTCGAATTCATTGCTCCAAGGCGAGCGGTAGCTGTCTCCATCCCGGTTGTAGTCGCAGAGCAAGTAGTCACGCTTGGTCTTGGGGCAGCGGCGGATTTCGAGCGGCTGGTCGACGGAGGAGAGGAGGTCTTCGGTCAGGTCGGGGATGATGGTTGTAATGGCCTGGAGGTTACGCTTGGTGTCGCGGGGGTTGAGGCGCCGAAGCAGGTCGCTGGATGGGTGATTGTTATGGTCAGTGGATAGGCTTCAGGTGGGGTAATGGGTTCACCGTTTCTTTTGCAAAGAAACAGATCGTGGGATGGATGGCATCTGGCATAGGGTATAATTGAAAAGAGAAATACTCACAGCGCACTGTCGAATTGTGCATCAGCCATTGTTGCGTATGTTGAGGGTGATCTGGTCTTGTATACTCTGTTCCGTTCTCGTGGATGGACCTCGTAGGTTGGGCGGAGTAAGGTGCGTGGCGGTAGTGATTGGAACGTGGCAGTTAGATAACCTTCTGTACTCCACATGCTTCAGGGGAAAATAAAGCACTGGCAGCTTCGGTTTAATATTATAATCTTACCTGCTTCATGCAGTTTGAATTAAAAACAATATGTACAATTAAAGTAGTCTATGCAATGATTTTAAATAAACTCAAAGCCGAAATAGGTCGTTCAATCATGTCATCCAACTCCATCTATAACCAACGCAATACTCGGGGTTTATTCAAGATCATCGCTATCATAATCAAAAACCGCCTTGTTTGTTCGCTTTGGTGCGGGGGTAGGCTCTGTCCCACCGCTGAGCAGAGTGTCGATATCCGGGAGATCAAAATTGCTTTCAAGATCATCATTAATGCTTGTTTGCGAAGCACAGAACGCTTTCGCCTTCAGCTCATCCAGAGAAGGCAGGACTTCTGGGGGCGACGATTGTCGATTCTCATCCCGACAAAAAAGTTCATCGTCTGATTGTATGAACGGACGGCTGGGTCTGGATTTGGTCCGAGGCTTGGGAGTTTTGGGCTTTTGCCAGGTTGATTGATCTCGAGCAAGAGAATCTTCTTTTGTCGACTCAAGTTCCAAAATTTTCTTGTAGCGATTATCGCAATCAGAGCTCACATTGTCCATTTTTCGCAGAGCGTTAATCATCCGGTGAGTCATTGATCCATGTCTCACTACCTTTGTAGGTCTTGGAACAAGTTGTAGACGCGGGAAAGCATCATTCCGAGGGAAACGAATGAACTGTGGGCTGGTACCTCCAATATTCTGATAACGATGCTCGAGCTCCCTTTGCTCAGTTGCGGTGAGTTCAACTTCCTCAAGCGACGGTATATCGACAGGCTCCGGTGTTGGCGTCCGAATGCGCTTCTTAGGAGCCTTTGCCTTTGTATTCTGGTTACTTTCACTCTTTTTACTCGCACTTGCTTTGTCCTCACTCTTTTTGGTATTACTGCCTCCCGCAAGGCTCGATGCCTTCGTGAAGCCAGTCTCGACATCATCAGGCATGTGGAACGTTTTCGGTGGTTTTTTTGGTGCTCGCGCTCTTCTCCTTGGTTCGGGAAGATCAGAATCTTTATTCTCAACTGGAATCTCGATATGCCTTTTATCCGCAGCAGGTCGCACGCCTGGCGGAAGGATGCGTGGAGATTTGTCGTCGTGGAAAGTGAATCGAGAACCATTCGCAATCATCTGTTGCATCTTTTCGTAATTATCCTTTGCCTTGATGTACGATTCCTCCTCTTTCCCTTGCATAAGAAGCAAGACGATATTTCCAGCCCTTTTACGGCCGGTACGCCCCATTCGTTGGAGCATTCGAATTGGTGATGCAGATGAGTCGTAGCACACGATAAGATCAACCTCACCAATGTCCAAACCTTCCTCTCCAATGGAGGTTGCGACAATGGTGTTATACGTTCCCTTTTTGAACTTCTCCACAATGCCGAGCTGGGTCTTTTGGTTCATTCCCTCCGAGTCCTTTGCACTACTCTGGCCAACGAAGACATGTGGGCGAATCATAGGCCCGTATCGTGACAAAACCCTCACAACCTCTTCCGCGCTGTCTCGGAAGTGTACAAAGATCATAACCCTCGTCACCGACTGGCTTTCGCCTTCGCTGGTACCTTGGCCCTCGCCTGCATCCATGAAATGATTCAAGACGACTGACTTCAAATATTCAAGCTTGGGGTGGCCAATAAATTCAGGGTTCTTAGTCCAAGGTTGAAGGTGACTCATCAGCTTTTTGTAATTGTCATCTTGAACAACTTGACGCTGGTATTTCCCTCCTTTTTTCGGATCTATCCCAGACTGGAAATGCATGAGATGGCGGTAAAATGGTGTGATTCCATGATACTTGAGGAGATCAATGGAATGGGCCAAGCTAGCAAGAACAGTAAAGATCGAATTGACTTTACCCTTCAAACCAAAGTGCGCATTTCTGCCAGCATCAGACAACATCCATTGCTGTCTCGCTTTGGTGAGTCCATATGCAGTCAGCATCATTGGATCTTTTCCCCAATAAGCATTCATAGTATTGAGTTGGTTGACGAGCGGTTGCAAAACTTTAGAAAAGAGATCCATGCACAGGACCATCTCCTCGGAGTTTTGGAATGTCTCTACATCGGTGTTTCGCGCGTGAACATACTCCCTGATGTCAATGGATTGTTCAGTCCGAATTTCGACCCTTGAAATTTCCAGTCCGTCAATGACAGCTTGCACGGATTCCACTGTGGAACCAGGGGTGGCCGTCAAAGCAAGGACACGGAAGCTCTTGTTAAATCGACGAAGGAATTTGACCACTTCCACATAGGCATAGCCACCAGTTGCCCTGTGGGCTTCGTCCACTACGAGCAGGACAATTCGCTTTGGGTCGGCTATGCCTGTCTTGAGGTCGTTTATCAAGGTTTGGGGAGTCATGAAGAACACCCGCTTGTTCTGCCACTGCTCTGCTCGGATTCCAGGCGCTGCCTCTCCAGTAAGCATTGTGGTCTGAGAACGCGGTATACCAGCGATGCCAAAGCACGCAGAAATTTGTTGGGCAACCAGAGGCTTGGTAGGAGCCACGAAGACGATCTGTGCGCTCTTTGTCCATCGAAACCAGTTCAGCATGATTGTTGCGGCAATGAAAGTTTTACCGAGACCGGTGGGCAATGCTACAAGCAGATTATGAAACAGGCCGCGCTGGGTAATGTTGTACTGATAATCTCGAGTTTTGCCCAGGTTTGTTGGATAGACCCACGTACGAATAGCCTCTTCATCTAGCTTATGCTGCGTAGGAGGTTCATTCTTCTCAGGCGGTGCCAAATCTTGCTCATCTATCTGCATCGGCATGTCCATATTTCTATGGGCCATATTAAACAGGGTGGTTTGGCGCAAACCTGTTGGTTGATTGCGGCTTAAGGTGAATTGAGTCTGAACGGGTCGAGGGGGAGGAGACAGCGAAATATCCGAGTCAAATGCATCCTCTGGTATATCTTCAATATCAAAGGGAGCGGGGTCATTACTTTGTCCTCCCGAAGAAGCCCTTGGTTGTGGTGCGGGGTCTTTGGGTGCTGGCAAGGGAGCCACTCTAGAGATTTCTTCCTCGAATGAATTTAATGATGCCGCAATGGCAGCCTTCATATCCTCGTCGTCGTCAAACTCATCCCCAGCAGCACCCCCACTTGCACCATTATCTGTCGGGACGACAGTGTTGTTTGTAGGCGGTTTCGGAGGATCGGGCTTTTTCCATCGAGGGCCACGGATCATTTCTGGGGGTGAAGGAGGTTGGGTCAATTGCGTAACGAAGATGTTCTCCTGGAAGTTATTGTTTTTGGGGACAAAGACTTTGTGCTTGGTGTGTGCTTCTTTGTCTTCTTCCTCGTCTTCCTCGTACGGCGGGAGTTTGTAATCATCGTAGTCCTCATCGTCGTCGATAAAGGAGTCTGACCCTGACAGAAGACTGCCATTGTCGTCGAACTCATCTTCGGTTCGCTTCTTTGGCTTCTTTCCTCCATTCTGACCAGATTTGCCAGCTTCTAGGCGACGCCGCTTGGCTGGCCGAGGGGTCTCGGATCGATTCGATCGCGTTGTCTCTTCCGGAGTCCCAGCAACGAGAAAATCGTCGTCGTCGAGATAGCTCATGGATTCATCAACATCGGACATTTCGAGATTCGACTTGGCTCAGCCAAGCCCCAAAAGTCCGACCAGACAAAATGATTCTCTGATCGTTATCGCCGACTCGAGGCGCGTCGCGGTGTCGCGACATCATGTGATTGCGATAATATGTTTGTCTGGTTTGCATCTAGTAGCTGCTGTCAGTCAGCTGACCATCTCCGCATCGCGTATCTTGAATTTAATATCGAGTCAAGTTGGAATTGTTTGTGATAACCTCAGTGGCAGACGGTCAGATGATTGCCTTGCGCTGTGAAGGAAAATCAAGTTATCACCATGGATGTACATGTATTTTTGGCCATCATGAGCCCCCCTTTCATGCTGTTTTGATGATCGTCGTCGCCCTCGTGAATTCCAACTGTCAAACCCCGGATCTTCACTGCTAATATTCGACGATCTCCACTATCATTTGCTCAAAGAATAATAACACCCTATGTAGGATTGCAGCATCGAATTCGCCTCAATCTGGCTGTGTAACCCTGGCCAAAATACCTGGTCCAGTAGCAGGTCAGTTCTCAATTTCAGACTCGGCCAAAAGCAAGGCAGGGTCTGCAGTGAGGAGACCAAAGACCTTGGGAGGCGATACTAGAGCCTTCCACCAGGCGAAATATGGTATCAAGAGATAGCATTGAATCGCAGTGCTTCAATTCTATCCTGTTCCAGCTAATCACAGGGCCTCGAGCGATACTAAAATCCTAAGAATAAATCCGTCGCCTGAAACCCCGCTAATAGGAGAGCGCCACCCTGGGCCAGAGCCGTTGTGTGGTTACATACAGACAGCCCAGCCTGTTTACTTGAAGCTCGTCTTTCCCCTCGGCTTTTTCTCTCTCTTTTCGTTTCTTTTCTCTTCTTCCTCTCCTATCCTTCTTCAGACAGAAAACTCGTTTAAGTCGCTCGTTTTCGCAGCAGCCACTTTCGTTCCCTTTCTTGTACTTTTCGTTTTCTCACTCCAGAAGAATTCCTTCTCTCTCTTTCATATCGCCAGAATGAAGCTCACTGCCATTGCTCTCTCTTGCTTGGTGGCCCTGGTCGCTGCTCAGGAGTCCACCTCTGTCAGCTCTGCCAGCTCTACTACCACTGAAGCGCCTGCTTCGACCACCAGTCTGTCGGCTGAGGCTTCGTGTGCTGCCAAATGTATGTTTTTCTTGCAATAAACTCACCAGAAGCGAAGTCTGTACTGATTGGTTCTCTTGTCTAGGTGGCACCACTGACATCTGCTGCACTGCTGCGTGCTATCACGTCCCTTGCCCTAGCGACAGCCAGGCCAATGACACCATCACTTGTGTTGCAGCTTGTCCTCAGGGCAATGGAACTGAAAAAGAGACAGAGGCGTATGCTTCTTGCCAGAACAACTGCTACAGCTCTCACTTCTTTGCTGCTACCACTCTCCCTGTTTCTATTACCACGGGCTCGAGCGAAGCTACCACCACTGGCTCTTCCACCAAGGCCTCTGGTTCCAGCGGTATGTTCTTCCCATGAGAAATATGACGCAGGAAATAATCTAATATGAAACATAGCATCCGACTCTGCTTCCGAAACTGGCTCCAGCTCCGCTACTAGCTCTGGATCTGAGACTACCGAGACCCCCAACGCTGCCACTGTCAACCAGATCAAGCTGGGTGCTTCTGCTGCTGGTCTCCTCGGTCTCGTCGCCGCTGCCTTAGCCTTGTAGCCAGATGCCAAGCGGGATGATCTGATAGCAGACGATACGATCTACTGACGGGAGTTTAAGGGAGGAACAGCGTCTTTAGTACCACGGGATTATTGCATTTTTTTTTTTTTTCAGTTTTTACATAGTTTATCTTCGACTTGTGATAATAACTTTTCTAGCCCGATGGTCATCATCATTTGTGGCTTTACTTTGTTGTCTTTAACTTAAATTAATTTTTAATCCATTTGTGGTTTATCTGATTCTACACCTATTGGCAATGATATACTATCCTTCATAGACAGCTCTGTGTAAACATACTACAACATACAAACAAACACCATCCAATCATCCAACCCGCGGAGTCTGAATTTCCAATCAACCCCACATTTCTCCAAAAATCGCTATCATTCATCTTCAACTTAATTTCCATCAACCTCTTCACTCTCTCTTGTCTACCTAATCTAAAACCACCCAAAAACATAACATCAACGGCATCAACCATGTCCTCCAACACAGACCCCCAGCAACTCTTCGCCTCCATGTCCACCTTCGTAACAGCCTGCATGGCCAACCACGACCCCTCCCACAACCCAGCCCACGTCCACCGCGTCGTGTCTCTCGCCCGCAGAATCCTCCAAGCAGAACAACTCCTCTCATCCACATCCTACGACCCCACAACCGTCAACCTAGCCGCCCTCCTCCACGACATCGGCGATAGGAAATACGTCACTCACGTTGCCGAAGCGGCAGGAGGAAATGACGACGCCCTTGATCCGAAGAAGATGGTAAAGCATGCGTTGCTGGCGCACGGGGCGGATGAGGGTCTCGCGGAGAAGGTGCAGACGATTGTCTCGCATGTCTCGTATACGACTGAGTGTGCGGACCCCGCGAAAGTGAAAGAGTTGATTGCGGGTGGATATCCTGAGCTGGCGATTGTGCAGGATGCGGATCGGTTGGATGCGATTGGAGCTGTGGGGATTGGGAGGTGCTTTACGTTTTTGGGGGCGCAGGGGCAGAAGTTTGTTGCGAAGGGGGCGGCGTGGGAGATGGGGAATTCGATTGAGCACTTTGGGGACAAGCTGGAGCGGTTGGAGGGGATGATGAAGACGCAGACAGGGTGGAAGATGGCCAAGGTGCGGACTGAGCGGTTGAGGGAGTTTAGGAGTTGGTGGGAGGAGGAAGTGAGTCTTGCGAGTACGTATGATATTCAGCAGTAATACATTGTTCGATACCCTGTTCTGGTCATTTCTATCCAATCTATCTTCTGTAGCAGTCTCAAGTATATAACCTAAAAGTTCGATATCATCCGTCTATCAAATTCTGAGTACAGTATTGGGTATGTAAACATCCGAGCAATATATGACGGTATCCGGTGTACAAAAAAAAAGGGGCATAAACGAGTGGAAGGGATCCCAAGAATCCCAATTAGAGGCTTCCATCAAAACGTGAACCAGCAGTCAAATGTTTCCCCGCCATATTATAGATCGAGTCGCCTCCGATGCCCATGGCTCTGTAAATTCTGTAACGTAAAATAATAATGCAGTTAGTTAAAATGGTAATGATTCAAAAAGTGAAAAAGCACAAAGCCCCAACACCCAAATCGTAACGCCTAAAAGCCAGTATAGGTTCTATTGCAGATAATCCTGGGCTGTCAAGGGACAATGTCAAACCCTGTCGCGGGCAAAGTCCAGCACCTCACAATCATCTTCGAAGAAGCCGTCATCAACTTCACCTGAGGTGTTGGAAGGAAACGAAGAAGAATGCCTCTTCTTCCTCCGCGTGGTAATGACCACCTCTTCGGCATTTCCGGTGCTGTTGCTGAGACTGATGAGGTTTTCCATTTCCCCCACAAGCCCAGGATTTTGTTCGTGAACAGTATCGTTATCATCATCGTCATCTCCACTAGCGCTAAAGGGTCGCACATGCAGCTTCGACATCGAGATGTCATCACCAAAGACCCATTGGCTGGTAGGAGAGGTCGTCATCGAGTCACTAGCCTCGCTTCCTGCTGAGAAGATATACAAATTTACTCTCTGATCAGTGTGAAATGGTTGATACGGTGCGTTTGTTTCGATCTCCGCCTGGGAGAGCGGCTGGCACTTGACCTTCGAGGCAAGTGACGGCTGTGGATTCGAAGATGGCAGAGCCAGGGTTGCACTTATCGTCAGCTCTGGGTTCGAAGTGCCAACGGGCATCGGTCCACAGGGAGTCTGTAGATTTGCCGGCAATCTATATTCAATCTCCTTGCTTCCAATGACTGATTGGGGCGAGCGGTTCTTGTTCGTAGACACAGTACGTCTGATCCTGTACAATCTAAAAGACCCATTGTCCACTACACCCAAGAATGGCTGCCCTTTGTTGGACATCCAAGTTACACGAGAGGCTGATGGATCACGAGCGAGACCAGAAAGATGTAGGCGGTTTTCGCCAACGTGACGGAGTGTGTTTACTGTGCCAGTAGCCGCTCCCATTGATTTGCTGAGGCCAGCAGCGACTACCTTTCCACCCCTCACGCCAGCAGCAGACGATATTCCAAATCCAGCTGCAGCGGAAAATGCAGGACCGGCGGATGGAGTGCGACCCCTGACAGCAGAGAATATAGGCTGTGTCTTGCCTCCAACAAGCTTCATAGCTGCTGACAAAGGATTTGCTCCATTCGCTCTGTCAGGCACATCATCTGGAGGCGAGTCATTGCTCTGCGTTTTGCTAGGAGCAGGACGTGCTCGACGGAAAGGAGGCCATTGGAATGCACTTCGGGGCATGTCGAAAACGTGCACGGTGCCTTTACGTGTGATTATGGCCAAACGATCGCCAGCAGGGACCGTCCAGATCACATCAACAATGGTAGATGCAGTTAACCGTGCGTATCTTGCAACCTGCCGGACACTGGCACTCGGTGTAGTCGAGTCATCCGAGAGAAAAGCCGCTGCACGGCAATACTTGGCTTGCATAAGATCCCAAACGTACTGCACGTCTCCCTTCTTGCTTGCTGTAAGTAGCATTAGGCCATTTGGTGAGAATGACAGAAAGCTACAGCCGTTTGGCACTTGGAATGTAGCAACTGGGTTGAACAGCGCATTTTTAGTCTCTCCCCCTTCCTCGAGCCGTCTCAGGTCCATGATTGACACAAGGTCTGGCTCAGCTGGGGAAGCTGCCTGGGTATCCTGGGCGTGTGTTGGAGGAAACATGTTGTAGCCCTGCTGTGGGGGGTCCATTAAGGTGGAAGAGCGTCGTGTTCCATTATTCTGTTGCTGATCCTTGTTCCAGTAATTGTTCCAGGCTTGAAGGCCTTGGTCTCCCATCCAACGAGCGCCTTTCACGAGCTCTTGTGTGACGCCTCGGGCCACTTTGTCGAAGAAGCTCTCCCCCTCACCTATATCCGTAGCACAGGTAACTGGGGGCTTCACTGGAGGGTTTCGCGTCTCCAGTCCAAAAACCTTTCCTTGGACAAGCGATGCAGGAACAGCTCCGTGGATAGATGTTCTATAAGACGATGACGGGGGAACTACCGCGAGCCATCTTCCTCGCAGAGAAAGAATGGGAATTTCCGAACTCGTAGAGTTATGGGGAGAATCTGTTCGAGAGCCGTCTGGATCGGTTGAGCTTGAAGATGTCGAGTATCGACGGGCTTCCTTTACCTGAACGCTTGTCCAGGTCTTTCCCAAGCATTGATATCCATTCGTGGCCGGGTCAACGCCATATATAAACACCTCGCCACTGACACCAGAGGCCAGAACAACATAGTTACCGCTTACATAAAGCTTCAAGTTTCCAGCGGGCGAGGGTGCGAAGACAGGCATTCCAGGAATGTTCTCAAAGCAGGGGGTAGGCTTTGTGGTAAAAAGTGTCGTGATATGATCTCCAGTTCTGAGAGAGTATACCTCAACTCTTGTTTGGTAAAATTTGGCATCATCTTTATTAGAACGCTTCTCAGCGGATGCCTGTCGTCCGGTAGCGACTGATGCAGCTTCATTTATCTCCGAGCCAGTAGAAGATGCATGCCCCTCATCATCGCTCTGAGGAGAGGGCCCATGTACTATCACAGCAACATGCGGCCTAGATGACGCAAATGGATCGTTGGGTGAGCTGCAAGCCAGCAGCTTTGCCCCGATGACACGGCCATTAAGACCAACCAGCTTCCCAATCAGACGGGTCTTGCGTTCCTCTATGGCCAGGACCTCCAAGCCGCCATCGGTCCCGGATATTAACACGCTTCCGCCCATCCTGGATGTCTTGGATGACGGGCTGGAAATCGTATCGAAGGCATAGAAAGAATAGCTCCCTTCGGTAGATGACCGGTTCTGACCGGAGAACGGTGGGATATCAATATCTGGGGCCCCGTAGAAATGAGCTTGGGGCATGTGAGGTAATGGAGCCTGGTTACTGAACGGGCTGCTGACGGAATTGCTTTTGTGTCTATCTTTCGATTGCTGTCTTGACAGGTTGCTGCCCAAGTAGCCATTTCCGTAGCTCAAAGGTCTTCTTCTGGGGGGAGGTGATGTCGATGAGGGATTGCTGAAACCCCCAACCTTCTCCGCGTTTGTAGGAAAGCTAAGAGGAGATCCACCGGCAAGTTCTCCGTCGAGCACATCATTTGGCGGACTCTTTCCAAATGGAATCGACTTAGCCCAAGTGTCCGTGCGGTAGGCAATATCATTATCTGGCGTTTCAGCAAGAGACCCGAGTGCATCTAGCACCGGTGACGCGATATTGCCATCGGCATGGTACCCCAGCGAAGGGTTCGGGCAAGACGACGGTTCAACCGGCAGAGGTGGAGACGTTGCAATCCTATGCCAGTGAAACGACGTTAGCAATCTACTTGCCGATCATGGGGACCCTTGCAGAAGAAGCAGGATGTGCTTACAGATCCTCAGACGGTGGCTTTGCGGCAGCTGCCTTTTTGTTTTTGGTCCCGTTTTTCCCCTTTTTCTTGCTCTTTGTTCCGGTATCATGCTCTGGGGCGGTTCGATTCTGATCCTGGAGAGGGCTACTATCGCCTGGGGACAGGCTCTGCTGGCGGAACAAGTCGTCAGAGGCTGCCGGGGGCATTCAAATGGACAGTTGCCTCCGAGAGGCAAGTCGGATTCAACAGGCGGAACCGCTCTCAAGACCTGTAGTGAGGTCTGAGAACGGGTGGGTTCACGACTTCGTGGTGGCGAGGCAGGTAAATGGTTACTTGAATACGGTTCCTATCAAAGCAAGACGGCGCGTATCTGTTTACAATCGATGATTAGCCAGATGCTTTATCCCGAAGAGATGGATGAAGGATTCAGTTGACCCGTACCGGATTGTTAGAATTAGATGTATAAAGAGATGGGGAATGAGCGATTCAGCCTTGAAAGACTGAATGAAGAGGCAGCGTATCAGGAGCGGGCACTCGGGATACGCGAATAGTAGCTTGTTGATCGGGACAACTCGGTAACAGGTTGTCCTAATGAATCAAGATGAAAGTTGATGGGTCAAAGGTGCATCCAAAAGTTCCGGTGGATAGAATGATTCACAGATTAAGAGAAACAGAAGTTGAAGAAGATGTTTGGAGAGAGAAGGAAGAGAAGAGGGGGAGGGAGGGGAGAAGAAGACGATCAGGTCAGGAGCATGGATGACAGCTCCCATGGTAGGCTGACTACATACATCGTACCTTGTACCCCCGGTACGGTATCAGTAACTATCTCCTATCTACGGTACAAACTATGTACCTCGGGACCCATACTATCATTATGACTATTGTAGTACCATTTGGTACCACTCTCCTGCCGATGAAGTACCCAGCAGCGTTGGTACATGCTGGATAAGTAGGGGGAGAGGGGGCACCTCACATCCCCCCACCCCTTTCCCCAGGACACCGCATGACTCACAAGGCGTGATTGGCTTAAGACACGGGGTCATGACACGATCTGAAGCATCACTTCCTGAGACTGGTGGAAATCGACGCAATCAGATAATGTCGGGGGATTGGAGGTAGACGCCGTAATGATGAATGATGCGTTGTAATTTTACCGTCCACGCCATCGATTATCATTCCAGACGCCTGCATGAGGGGTAATACAATAGTTATCGGTCTGGTCTCAAAGCGGACAGGGAGGCAAACACTGCAAACACAACCAATCAGGCCAACGTGTCTGCATTTGCCACGTGATCCCGTTCCCAAGGGTCTTCAATGGACAGGTTCGACTGGAGCCAAATAATCATCCAGAATCCCCATTATTGAGTTGTGAATCATCCGGAATTCCAGACCATGGGAGAGTCCGAGTCTAGCCGGCAATGGCCTTTAAGGCAAACAGGGGAAAAAACAATAACAGATGACGATGTATCGCTAGATAACTTGGTCATCCAGCAGCAGCCAGCGACGTAACTTACTAACCGTTCGTCTGGAGTCACGGGGCCCGCGTCAGTAGCACAGCCCATCTGTAAGGCCCTGGAATGTCATTGGTAAAACGAGGAGCAGTGATGAGATATGACGCTGGTGGCCTGTCCAAATCCAACTTCCAAGTCCCAGGTGTCCTACCAGTTGGTAAGCAGAAGGATAAGGTCTCTTGACTTATGTCCGTCGTGCAATAGATATGCGGTTATATCGTCATCGTACCATCCCACCATTCCAGGCTCTCACGTCTCGAGATAGTTGAATCAAGATTAAAAAAAAAAACAAAAAAAATAAAACTCGTAATTTGAATGATATTATTGTTACACTGGTCGATTAATAGACTCCTTTACAGATCCGTTGAGTCTGATAGATACTCTGACACCAGATACCATACCCCCCACGCCGCCTTTTTGTATTTCACTTCTTCTTGGCCGCTGCTTTGGCTTTGGCTGCTTTCTTCTTGTTGCTGTTGATCATCACAATCCCTATGAATGTGCCCACCACGGCAGAACCCAAAAGAGTGAGAAAAACAGGGATGCGGATCGCCCAGACACGGGGAGGGAAGAGATCGTGGAGAGGGTGGCCAGGGTCAACAAAGGGCTAGAGACGCATTAGCTGATATCGTACACTTGAGATGTGCATTCGGGAAAATACCATGAGAAGAGTCCATGTTGTGTAGTAAAGGAAGATTGCGGTAGCGGCCAAGAGCATGGCGGATCCCACGAGTTGGCCCAGCTGCAGACACAATAACCGGTCAGTCGAAAATAACCATGCAGTAGAATTATACAGAGTCATACCATAATGATCGAAAGCAATTCCCACTTGAAGCACACAAACCCAACAAGCAAAAGCAGTTGCGATAGTTGGCAAGTCGTTGCGCAACGTTCGATCTGCCCATCCCTAAACAACTTGGCCTCTAGTATATCACGTGATCCGATCCACGCTAAGCCTTTCCTCCCTTCGCCGCCTCACGTTTTGGCGGAAGCTTCTCAACTGCTACTTCGCAGGATTGACTTTAGAGTCACCACCGACACATCTGAGCTCTGGAGTGTCTTGGTTTGTGAGAATTGCAAGTCCATAATGACGGATCCCGTTGTCTTGCAGTCTGCGGTGCGAGTGCCTACTCCTCCACCAGGTGCTTCGTACTCGCCGCAAGCCTCAGCGTCACGGAAACGGTCTCCCCCTTCTCGGTCGCCTTCACCAAACCGTCGACGGTCTCCCCCGGCTGGCTCCTCGAAGGATGGCGCGGATCTCCCTCAGCTCGCTGAAGAACGTGCGGTGGAGAGAGAGCGTCAGCTCGCGGAACGTGTTCGCCAACATGAGAAGCAGGAGGCTGCGCGAAAGCCAATGACCGAGGAAGAAAAGCAAGCTTCTGCCAAAGCAGAATATGACAAACTCTTGAACATGCGCTCGGGAGGTACCTATATTCCTCCCGCGAGATTGCGCGCATTGCAGTCGCAGATTACGGACAAAACCAGCAAAGAATATCAGCGTATGGCTTGGGAAGCGTTGAAGAAGTCAATTAATGGTCTGATCAACAAGGTTAACGTGTCGAACATTAAGTTTATTGTGCCGGAGCTTTTTGGAGAGAACTTGGTTCGCGGACGGGGTTTATTCTGCAGGAGCATTATGAAGGCCCAGGCCGCTAGTTTGCCGTTCACTCCGATATACGCTACGATGGCGGCAATCGTCAACACAAAATTGCCCCAAGTAGGTGAACTACTTCTCACGCGGTTGATCATTCAGTTCCGGAAAGCATTCAAACGAAACGACAAGGCTGTATGCATATCTTCCACCACCTTCATTGCCCATCTCTGTAATCAGCAGGTCGCCCACGAGATGTTAGCTGCGCAGATACTCCTACTCCTCCTTCACAAGCCTACGGACGATAGTGTTGAGATTGCTGTCGGCCTTACAAGGGAAGTCGGACAACATCTGGAGGAAATGAGTGGGCCCATTGCATTGGCGGTATTCGACCAGTTCAGAAACATCCTGCACGAAGCCGACATCGACAAGCGAGTACAATACATGATCGAGGTTTTGTTCCAAGTGCGGAAAGACAGATATAAGGACAACCCAGCGATCAAGGATGAGCTGGATTTGGTGGAAGAGGAGGATCAGATCACCCACCGCCTTGGTCTCGATGACGAAATTGAGACTCAGGACGGTCTTAACATTTTCAAATACGATGCTGAGTGGGAAGAGCATGAAGAGGCCTACAAGAGATTGAAGGCCGAGATTCTAGGAGAAGGCAGCGATGACGAAGACGACGAGAGTGGTTCAGATGTGAGCTCGGATGACGAGTCGGACGCAGAAGAACAAAAGATGGACATCAAGGACCAGAGCAATACGGATTTGGTCAACTTGCGACGTACAATCTACCTGACAATCATGTCGAGTATCGACTTCGAAGAATGTTGCCACAAGCTGATGAAAATTTCACTGCCGGCTGGCCTGGAGCCAGAACTTCCGTCCATGATCATCGAGTGTTGCTCACAAGAGCGGACTTACTCGAAGTTCTACGGTTTGATTGGGGAACGATTCGCGAAGATCAATCGCCTGTGGTCCGATCTATTTGAAGCAGCTTTTGCCAAGTATTACGACACCATTCATCGCTATGAAACGAACCGTTTACGCAACATCGCCTGCTTCTTTGGCCACATGATCAGCACCGACGCCCTCGGCTGGCACATCATGTCAATTATCCACATGAATGAGGACGAAACGACTTCTAGTAGTCGTATCTTCATTAAGATTCTCTTCCAGAATCTCGGAGAACATCTGGGTCTACCGAAGCTGCAAGAGCGGATGAGAGATGAAATACTTCGTCCCAGCTTCGAGGGTCTATTCCCCTTGGACAACCCACGCTACACCCGTTTCTCGATCAACTATTTCACAAGTATCGGTTTTGGTATCTTGACAGAAGACATGCGTGAACACCTCAAGAATCTCCCCAAGCCGACAGTTCCTGCGCTGCCCGCCCGCGAAGACTCGGTGTCGTCCAGATCTCGTTCCTGCTCCACGTGCACAGGTCCTGCTCACTCTCGATCTCGGTCCCGATCTTACTCTTACTCACGATCCCCTTCGCGGAGCCGTGGCCGTGCGCGCTCGGTGAGTCGTGGAAGGTCGTACACACGTTCTGTATCAGGCTCCTCCCGCGGAAGAAGCTACACACCAAGTTACAGCGCTTCCCGCTCACGTTCACCTGTCTCACGATCGCGCAAACGCTCAGTTTCATACAGTCGATCCAGATCCGCCTCGCGGACGCCACCTAGGCGGACTCGCCAGAAGTCCTACGATTCACGAAGTTTGAGTCGGTCCCGGTCACCACGCTCACCGTCTCGATCTGTCACCCCTCCGCGCCAGCGGGGCAGCCGCAGGAACCGAAGCTACACCCGGTCAGTGTCCCGGTCAGTTTCGCCTCCCCCTCGACGCGAGCCGGCCTCGCGAGGACGACGTTACTCCTCAGCGTCGCGCTCACCTCCTCGGAAGGGGGCAGAGAGGAGTGTATCGGCTTCCCGTTCTCCGAGACGTCCACCTCCAAGTCGCCGTGGCCGAGACTGCTCCGCGTCACGTTCCCCCAGCCCTCCACGACGCTCTGACCAGAGACGGAGATATTCAGACTCGATGTCACGGTCTCGTTCCCCGCCACCCCGTCGTACCAATGCACGCAGGTCGCCGTCCAGGACCCCGCCTCGTGCGACGCAGGGAGGTCGAGGCCGCGGGGTAGATTATAGCTAAGTATGTGGAGGTTTTGATGTGATATCTACAAGTTCTGCTCTAAGATGGAATGGCTTGGTATCTTAGGGCAGGTTCAAGAACATAATGGAAAGAATGGATAGTACCCGGTCTTCAAACGGTTTGGACTCGCGTTATTTTTTTTAGTGATGGGCAAGGGTTTCATATGGGTGTATTTATATTTGTTTTTTCGGCCCTGGGATCATCGTCCGAATCGGATTGTAATGAACAATATCATTTGGTAGATATGGTCTAACCCATTTAACGTCATATTGCAACTTTTGTATACTCATCTACTCCGTTGTCCAAACTCATCTATAGGGTATCTAAACATTCAAGTCCATCTTCTCATTGAGCAGCCTCCCAAATACACCTCTCACACAAACACAACCCACCCAACGCCCCTCTCGCCCACTCCCTCCTCTTCTGAACATCCAATCCAATATCACAGTAGTGATTCAATATCTCCTGATCCCGCTTAATCCCACCCACATTCCTTTCCTCCTCGCTCTTCCCCTTCCAGACAGGCCGGTCGGACTCACTGCGCGCCCGGAACGTAATCTCAGCTCCCCACTCCCAGCGCACATTCGGATCACACGAGTGGTTCGCAAGACACCACAGCGGGTGCACGGCGCAGAGTTCCGGACCGCCATCCCAGGTGGAAAGTCGACCGGACGCGGTGCCGCGGAATTTGGCGTAGAGGGTGTTGAGAACCCAGGTATCGTAGAGCGGAAGGGTCGAGTAAGGGTCTAGTTCCATTTCTTCGAGGATGCGCATGGGTTGGAGGATGCTGAGTTGGAAGGAGAAGGGGAGGGTGGCGGTTGGGTCGTCGGTTGGGATTGTGGAGGACTGTTCGAGGTCGTGGAAGTCGCCCCAGATGTATTTCACCTCGGGGAGTTCGAGGGGGTGTTTTTCTTGGGTTGCGGCCATGGCGATTGCGCGGCCGAGCAGGAGGAGGTAAAGATAGTCGGCTTTGTCTGTGGGGTCGGGGATGTCCTTGCCGATGGACTCGAGGCCGTCGAGAAGACCGCATACAGCGCCGTGGTAGACTTCCTGTGCTTGGTCGTGGCATTGCTGGCTGCAGAAGATGGTATCGTCGCAACCATCGCAGGCGACAGCAGGGTTTTCAGAGGAGAGCTCGGGGAGAGGCGCATTGCAGGCGTCACAGAGGTCATCGTGAAGCCGGTTGGTCGCTGTTAAGAGGGAAGATTCGCGCAGGATGATTTCTCCAGGCGTGATGTCGTCTTTGGCGAAGAGACCCAATTGCACCGAGACGTCGCCTGCACCATCTTCTGGGGCATCGTTGGTCGAGCCATGCAACGCCGGCAACGCAACAGCTCGCACTTCACACTTGGGCGCGATGTCCCTCAACCGCGCATTCAGCAACGACAGCGTCTCTTCGGCCTTGCGATCAGGCTCATGCTCATTCCACGGGTAGAGCACTCTCCGCGCAACACCCTGGGCATTGAGAATCCTAGGATCAATCTGCTCATCCGCACCGACTGTCCGTGACTCCCGACGCGATTGCCTAGTCACATATACCTCCCTGATAATCTCCATCTGCTCCTTGAGCACAGCAACATCATCATCCTTGTGCATCTTCTCCAGAAGCTCAATCCCACGAACACAGAACTCATACGCATCACGATAACAGCGACAGCTGACCAGACTCCGCACAAACAAAACATAAACCTTTCCAATAAGAGCATCATGTTCTTCCTGAGTTAACGGGACAAACTTATCATCCTCGTCCTCATCATCATCTTCATCTTCACCCCCCTCATCCACCTTCACTACTCCATCTCTCCTCCGCCTCGCATGAAATTCACATCCATCCGGATCAACAACAGACTCAAGCAACGAAAGCGCCCGATACGCATCTGCCGCCGCAAGATCCGAGAACCCCAGCTTCTCATGCAGAATGCCCCGTTCTAGGTGCACATGAGGGTTATGGGTGTCTGCGTAGAGCTGTGCGGTCTTTTCGGCACGCTCCTGGAGGAGTTGGGGGTTCATATTGAACAATGGAATGTCAGATATCAAGATTGATATGGTAGATTCAACAGCACTCTTCCTTCAGAGTTTGCTTTTTCTTTTTCTCTTTTGGTGGTGAAATTGAACCAATATCAGGAAATGGAGGGGTATATATCGCTATCCCCACCACGAAAATTTTCAATCAGGCTAGGTTTTAGACAAGAATCAACCAGATTAAAAGGCGATTGAGTTGGTCAAACAAAAGATGGGACCGGTTTAGGAGAGAATCAAGCCATAAGATAATGCAAAAGTAAAGAAACGAATGACCTTTGCTTTGCATGCACTTTCTATATAAAAAAAAACGAAAAAAAATTATTGCGGGGAAGGAGGAGATAACAGTCACGTGATGATACGGAGATGAATGTATTCCCCCTCGAAGGGATTCAAACATCAACATATCAACATATCCTTTACCGCATTTACTGTTATTGCAATGGCTTCAATCATTGTTATTCGTCAGGGACTTGGTATTCGTTGAAATACATCTCGTGGATACTTCAAAAGAAGCCTTTTCGTCACTCGAAATACTGATTAAAATGCTTCATGATCATTTGCCCGTTAAACCTTTTTTTTTTCCAGTACCAAAAAATATACGCTGTTCAACCATAAAAAAATATGAATAATAAAAAGAAGAGAGGAGGAGAAGCGAAACTAATACTTAAAAACATATTAACGGTGAATGGGAGAATCATAGAAAGTAATCGATAAAATAAATCCTCGGTATCTCACCAAGGGAGAAGAAGGAAAGAAAAAAAAAGTTGAACAATCGTTTAGGCATCCCGAAGTGCCTTACATCACCTGCAAAGACATGGTTAGTTTCAATCTCTGGTGTCGAGATAATTGAGACTCACGGTGCAATCCTCATCCAACACAATAGTACGACCTTCATCTCCTCCATTAGCACCGGCAGCCTGAGCTCCGGCGTTTCGGTCTCTCAAATTGGCAGCAAGTTGAGCCAGCATACTCCTCTAAAATAACCATACAGTCAGACATCAATATCATCGGGAACAAGATTAGATGGCAACATACCGTGATGAATGCCTCACTCATTCCCCCTTGTCGGTCAACATCATTCTGGCTCATGATCTTGTAACTATCTTGAATACGTTTGCGACTTTTCAAGCCACCGATAACTGCAGCACCCCGCCCAAGGGTATTCGCTGGATTATCAGGATCCAAGATGTTGATTCCACGGCGAGCATTTTCTTGGGCGTGTTGGTCCGGTGAGAAGATCTTGATAGTATTGTCGATTCCGGAAGCCGCAATGGTGGGCTCATAAGGATGGCCTGCAACAAATGTGAGCTTAGGCAAATACTTAAAAAAGGCTACTGAAACCTACCTTGCACAACATTGACGACTTCACTATCCGCTTCAAGGATATTGACCAAATCGGCCGTTTTCCGATCCCAGATGAAGATATTGCCCGAATCACATCCACTCACCACGTATTCATCATTCAGGCCATAAAAGTTGACGTCCTTGACCGTCTTGATATTGCAATGTCCCCGATAGACTTTCGTGTGCGAAGAGCAAGGGGCTTCGAGATCAACGTCCTCTCTCCGGGTTCTTTGGAAGCCATAACGTCTGATCAAGTGCTCCTCAGCGTCCACGTCATCATCGTCGGTCGATTGTTCGAGGCTCATCTCAGGACCGTCATCGTCATCTTCGTCGGTCGATTGTTCGAGGCTCATCTCAGGACCGTCATCGTCATCTTCGTCCTCTTCATCCTCGTCAACACCAAATTCGTTTTCGTTCTCATCGTCCCGATCTTCCGAATCAGCTTCAATATCGGCTGGCTCAAACTCAGTGTCCAGTCGGTTCTTTCTGCTTGCAGAGCCACTGGATACCACCTTGAAATTCTGAATGCGTTCCTCCTCAACATTGCCATCGATATCCTCCTGAGATCTTTCCTGCCCGACCTCACTATCAAAGTCGTCCTCGACGGTCGCCCGCAATCCACCGAAGGCCTGGTTGACAAATGCATAATTGACCCTAGTACCTGCCTCCATCAGGATTCCGCGCCCCACCTTCAGCGCCCAGAATCGGGTTGCCGCAGACCTATCGAGGGCACGGACATTAGCTGGATTAGGCATGCCATGCTGGGCATCAACCCGTGCTGCAGAGTTATTCAAATCCTCCAGCGGCAACTTGACGGCATTCGCAAAAGCGGTCACAGCTGCAAATTGGGTTTGAAACACGATTCGAGTGCTGTCGTGCTCGAATCGAGAAGCATCAACATTCACCACAGCCGTATCACCCGCTAGACTTTGAAGATAAGGAATTAGATCCGTTTCGATGGCGCGTTCATCAGCCGACTCTGGTACCGGGAATCGCGCATGATTGCGTCGATGAGTGGGGCTGCGCTTGAAGCCAGATAGCAGAGCCGCTCGTCCTCCTTCTACCCAAAGCAAGATGGCTCGCAGAAAGTCATAACAAAACTGTGCCGCTGTGTCGATGCTATCATTTTCCCCATGTGCAGGCATAATCTTTAAGAACATATCGATGTCGGAACCCGCATCTTCGGGGGGACCTTCGATCTCACCTCCCAGAACACGGGCAACCGTGCCAGCAGCTTGAGCGAATCTCCAGGCCTCTTCTCGATTTCGGCGAAGTGTTGTTTGGAAAGCCACGGTTTCGGGACTAGGATTCAAAGGATAACGCCATGTGAGAATGATTTCTCCCATGCTAGGTAGGAAAGACGACGCTAGTGTAAGAACGGACGAGAAGGACGAAGTATAAGGGGTTAAACCGGTTTCCTCATTATCAGTTTCTCCACGGACTGTTGTCTCGAGTGAAAAGAGAGCACTCCGGAGCTTTACCAGGCCCTGGGCAATCCGCATACTCAACCGCTGCGCTTCATTGAGCACGGAATATCTAGCCCTTTCGATCATGTTCTCCGGTGCGTCCGATAAGGTTTCTGACAGAGTCTCGAATGGGATATCCTCAGACTCCCCATTTCCATAGCGAACTCTGAAAGCTAGTTCGCTGTCCGGGTCACCCTGCTCTGCAGTTCCTGATCTGAGACGAGACTGATGCCTATTGCCACTTTCCTGCGACGATGTCGATGCGGATGTAACTGGCTGTGGGCGCTTACGCTTCTTGTTCTTGGAACCAGCCCGTTTACGCGATTCGGGACTTGCTCGAGTAGACTTTTGACGGGACGAAGAGGAATCTCTGGCATCAGGACTGTGGATTAGATCAAAACTGTAAATGTGGTCACCAGACCAGCTGACGACCATTTCGTTCGGGTTGGCATCGCTGATTTTGCAAGCGGTGATATGTCCATTATCATTGTCAGCCATTCGTCTCCTGCCTTGCGGCGCAAACCTCCGAACACACTGGGTCGCCTGGCTCATCATCTCGTCGTCACGGCTACTGCTGCCGCCACTAACAGGGGAAATACCAGGACTTCCCATCTCAGCGCTACGATCGCGCCCAAGCATGCGTCTGTCGTGAAGGAAACAGTGAAGGTGAGCACCGCCCAGTGCGATGTAATGAGGTTGACTAGAGGAGCAAGAAATCGTATTGAGATCAAGACGGTGGCGCTTATAGGAGATCAACGGAGGAGGAACGTTGGAGTCATCATGGTCCACTCCAGGTCGATAAGCCATGAATCCCTGCCCCCCTCGCGGTGAAGGATACGCGGAAGAGGGCTGGCGCAAATCCCATTGACGAACTTCGCCATCTTCGGAGCAGGTGAGGAACAGATGTGGAGACGACTCGGTGACGATGCGCTTGACGCGATCTGCGTGACTCCGGTAGACCCTAGTATTGGTATTGCCTGCAGTCAGATAACGCGTACCGGTGAAGAAATTATACAGGCGTCGACTACGGGTAGAATTAGAAAAAGCCGTTGTGGCCGCGGCATTGTTGCTATTGTTGGAATATTCAATGTCGAAGATGCGCACCTGCGAATCACCCGCACACGTTATCAGGGTCCGGTCATTGGAATGCGGCATAAACTTGACAGAGAAGATGTTCGCTTTGTGGCCAGTGAGAATAGTCGTATTCAAAGAGAACGGCGCGGAAGACGAGTCTGGTTGGTAAGAGTACAAGTTGAGATGCAGATCATCGGAACCCGAGGCCAACAAGCGTCCAGAACCCGACCAGCTGCGACAGTGTCAGAAAAGCCCAAACAAAGCAATCGCAACCGCTCAAGAAGTCCAAGAGGTGAAATGAAACCACGCGAAAAGGGGAATACCCACGCCAAAGCATTGACACAACCAGTATGCCCGCCCAATTCATTCACAATGTCCAGATCGTTCATCCATTCTTTCGACCCATAGAGTCCACGGATACCAGCATAAGGCGATGCTTCCCCGGCTTCCCTCCGCCAGATGCGATCGTATAGCGTGTGCTTCATGATGGGAGCGAAAGAGCGGCCGGGAAATTGAACGTGTTCTTAATAAAGACGAGTTATCGGACCATTGCGCGCGCCGAAGACTTTTGCCGACGGAGACTGCTGCTGCGACGAGTAAATGACGTCAAGCCACAAATGCCAGCGAGACGGGTAGATCCTTAGACTAAAGTGAAGAGATAATAGATCTATGATGAAGCAGCAGAACGAGATCCGGAAAAAAGTGTTAAAATAAGTCGATGTACAAAGAGGTAGATCAAAGGGGGGAGTGGAGGAACAGGGAACAGAGGCACTGCAGGTTTATCTAGGCTGACAGGAAATCCGGGGGGGCGAACCAAGGTTGATTCGCCTCATGTCCTAACAGGAAATGAACATACCTGAGGAGATCGAGGCAAAGCAGAAGGCAAATATGGAGCCTGCCAGTAACAGGTTCTTCAGATAAGAGGGAAGATTGGGAGGACGATTTGGCGGGGAGCGACGAGAAAAAGGAAAAAGTGGGAGAGGGTGAGAGGGCGATGGGCGATGTTGGTTACGGTCTACGTACAATACAGCAGAGAGAGGAGAGGAGAACACGACTGGATGAATCCCCACCAGAACCAGGGCCACATAGGTCTACATACACAGAAAAACAATACAGACATTATGTTACCTTCCTACAGCGCCAGACAATCTAGCCAGACATCGAAAAACCAGAGCAAAGTCGGCCATTCAAAGTCGCGACGAGCAAAAGAACGACAGCAGACTAAAGGGCGCTAGTCTGTTTAGGGCGTGCATCCGTCGACAGTCGATGCAGGTCGAATGATGTCATCGATCGGCTGACTCAGCGCGTTTAGTGGGCAGGAGCTATATAGCCCCTGCCGCTGCCCAGTGTCCGAAAGGAGCAGGGGAGATTTTCATCCATCGTGATACATTTATGGCTAACCATCTGCTCGTAACAGGTTTCTTGTCTTCCTCTTGTGTTCCTCTGTCTGAGATCCGGATTTCTCGGCCGGATTACCGGTTTGGACTTTGGAATGGCCTTTAGTCAGAAGGCGAAGAAACCATAATGCCAATCACCTTGCTCTGGACGCGGGCAGAGATGAACTAGGCTGACACCTAGCAAACAAAAAAAAGAAAAAAAAAACAATCAAGGGAAAGAGACCGAGATTCGGAGGACACAAAAACTTCCCTTCAGGGAAGGCTGCAGATTAAAAAAAAAAAATAACCGTGGTCGCCCAAGCCTGACTTGCCAAAAACATCCTCCGTCAAACCGGTTAAGAACGTTATGACTGGCCCATGGAACACGAAAAGACTGGGGAAAGCATCGCTTAAGCAGCACCATGGCCAACCGGTCGACTGTACCGGCATCTTAGCTCGCGGTCGTACGGTTCGTTGTGTTTGGACTTTGGATCGTGTCGCGGGCTGGATGTCTGAAAACCGGTTTTCTGACACTCCCGCAACTGCAGATATCGACTCTCCCAAATTCTAGGACCACAAAAGGGTTGCCCTTGAGCGCCGGAGGGGGGTGTCTCACCGTAACAACTAGCGAACATACGCCGGAAATGTTCCCCTCTTTTTCCGGACTCGTTTTGTCTTTTCATTTTCGTGTCTTGCTTGCACCAGGATGATTTCAGCTATGCAAGGAAGGGGCAACTCGGCACCACTTCCGCATCCACGGCAGCATTCTATCTCAAGAGCAGTCAGGCTATCCATCACATCGACACAGACATCTCTACGATGACTTTCATCCCCTTCTTCTCCACATTCCAACTCTTAGGCCCCTCTCATCGCGTGGTCTGGCATCCGCTAGTTGCTCAGTCAGGTGGCTAACCCAAATTCTCTCGGCCTTAACGATATCGTCTTCAATGCTACGTATCGCAGTGGTCTCTTCAATCATCAGGTTTATCATGTCATTCAGGCCCTTGGCGGTCCGGAGGAGAGCGGAGTCTTGCAGGTTTTCCATGTCCCCGTAGCCCAGAATATCGAGACTCTGCAACTGTCGGGAGCATAGTTCAAGTTTCATCACCAGAGCGTACATTTCCTCCTTCCAGGCGCGGTTCAGAGGGTCAATGAATACCACCTGATCAGCTGCATCCTCGGGGCCGATTCGACTGCGCCATTTCTTGATTTCATTCGCCTTACGCAACCAGTCCTCGAACTCCTGAATGGCCAATGTATATCTTCCTGCTCCAGAACTGTCGGATAAATCAGACACCTCTTGCGCAATCTCTGAGAGAACCTGAATTTGCTCCGCAAAAACCTGTTGACCGTTGTGTTCATGGGAATTCTGGAGCCAGCCAGCCAACGCCTGCCCGTTGAGTCGACGTTGACGTTCTTTCTCTTCCGCCACAACACGTCGGTAACTCGCAGCGACCGCGTCATATTTCTTCCGTAGTTGTTTTTCCGACTGAGCCTGCCAATCGGCATTCTCCTCCAACGAAGACGAATGTAACAGACTTAACTGTAGAACTTCTGTCTGCAACGCTGCAACCTCGGGCAAGGACGAGGGTATCAACGAAGGGTCCGTATCCGTTGAACTAGTATTCGATGGTGTCGGGGTAGGCGGTTTAACCGTTTTCTTCGGTGAGGATGACTGCTGATAAGTCGAGAACTGCGTTCTCGTTCGTGGGGTAGTCGGTGTCGAGGGTATCGACGCCTCAGTCTTTCTGGGCGAAGGGGGACGCGAAGCTGATGCGAGAACCTGGCTACGCTGTCGCAAATGCCCTCTAGGAGCGGTAGCAGTTGCCGGGCTCGAACTCACAGGCTGTCGTAGCGAAATAGATCTCCCGTGACGAGGTAAAGGCGGAGGAGGCATATCCGTTTTCTTAGGCGATGTAGGCACCCTCGGTTTGGGCTCTTGCTTTCTAGGAGACGACGGAGCAACTGGTGTAGTTCTCGTTGAGGGAGCGAGCGTCGTAGCCGTCTTCAACGGACTAGGTCTCATCAAGCTCTGTCGTCGACTGGCCAGGGTGGGCGCAGATGCCGGTGCCTCTTTCTGTGCTTGTGCTTGTCCTTGCGTCTGCGTCACCTCCCTTTGTCCTCTCACTGTACTCCCCGACCCTCGATACGCCAATCGACTGTCTCTCTCCCTCGTCGTCGAACCCCCCTCATCTCGAAGAGAACCACTCCGCTGCGGTAACAGACTCTTCCTCCGATTCGACGCACTATCGTTGCTAATGCCATTATTCGCTGCCGCTGCCGCCGTCACACTATCATTAATAGTAGCAGTCGTCCTCCTCAACGTTCTCTGTTGTTCAGTTGCAGGAATCGTCGACTTTGTCAAACTAGACGTTGACGTCTATCAAACCAAACAAACCCACATTAGCAATGAATCAGCGAGAGTAGCCAACGTCAACAATCAATCAAATCAAATCAGCATCATCAATTCACAATTCACAATCAAAACCCGAAACATACGCCCCACGCAAGGGCCGTCTTGTCTGACAGTATCAATCAATCAAGCAAGCAAGCAAGTCTCAGCCCAGCCCAGCCTAGCTTCGCATTTCGCTCTAGGGATATGTACCCGTAAAGTAGGCAGACAAGGCAGACAGACAGACATGTAAAATAAAAAACACACAAACTAACCTGTTTCCTCGGTTCGCGGAGCGACCCCGAACGTGTGGGTATCGGCATTATCAATTTGATTTGGATTAATTTGAATTGAATTGGTTTTTTAACTGCCTTACTCGTGAATTGGGTTCAATTGATTGGATAAGGAGGAGGAGGGGGATGGGGACATGGTGTGGTAGGTAGCGTGGGTGTGAGGGAGGTTTGAGGTTGGATTGCAGCACCCGCACCCGCACAAGCTGGAGAGTCGGTGACGCCTGTCGGGGTAAGGCAAGGCCCGCTTGGCGCAGGGCGCACAGTGTGGATCGGCATGCGGTGATCCTCGACTATTGACAGGGTGCACAGATTGGTTTGTTTGAGATGGGATTTACATTGATAGCAAATAGTTTAATATGTTTATTTGTATTTTATTGCATGGATTCCCGGATATGATACGGAGTACACTAATGAATCAATACTTTTGTTCAGTCATGGTCTAATAGCGTTGACGAGGGCGTAAGAAAACTTCGTTGAGTATAGATACAGTCACTCCACTCATTTTAAACGTTCAGTTCGACATGCTGACTCTCCAATTACAAGCTTCCGCGTCTGGGGAAAGAAACTCCGTCAATGGCCGGGTGGTCGGTGAACCAGCTAACCTTCTCTCCCGCACCCTGGTTAACCAGAGCACAAGGGAGGCTCCGTCCCTCCTCAGCATCGAAGATCTGCTTCATGATATCCTTCTTGCCTCCTCCAGTGGCGACGAAAGCGATGTTGTAGGCGTGGGTAACAACGGGCAAAGTAAGGGTGATGCGCTTCGGGGGCGGCTTTGGCGAGTCGCTCAATGCAGCCACCCAGGCGTCCTTTTCGCGCAGTAGGTCATGTCCAGGGAAGAGACTGCAGGTGTGGCCATCAGGTCCACAGCCCAGGAGAATAAGGTCGAACACGGGGAGCTTGACGCTGTCCTTGGCGGCGAACGAGCGCATCAGATCCTCTTGGTACGCATCCGCAACCTCCTGGGGGTCCTGGTTGACGAGGGTGTCATCAATCGGGTGCACAGACGGGGTGCCCAGCTCCGAGGGGATCTTGTTGAGAAGCTCATTCTTGATCAGATAGTAGTTGCTGTCCTCATGGGTGAGGGGCACGATACGCTCATCGGCGAAGAATATCTCCCATTTCGAGAACTGAGGAGTATCTTCCTGAGAGCCGTCACCGGGAGCCAGGAGGGCCTTAGCCAGAACGACAGGCAAGGAGCCACCCGAGACTGCGACGCGGAAGGTATCGTGGCGTTTCAGAGCAGCATTTTGAGACCGGAGGATATAAGGCCTTAATTGCTGGGCCAAGGAGCCGGAGTCCGGAAAGCTGTAGAGTTGAGGGGCGGAGGCAGCCATGATGGATATGATAGTCAAGATGTGATGTGTGTAAGAAGGAAGAAAAGCGAGGTTGCTTCAGGGGTGTGTGGTTGTGGTTTCGGTCAACTGTCGGCGGGGTATAGCGGGGCTGCTGAATACCGTCACAGACGGACCAGAATTGGCCGGATCAGCGAGTGTCGAGAATGCAAAGGATTGGTGAGATGGGCGTTTGAGGTATCGTTGCCTCCAATGATCGGGAATAACCTAAGCAACAATGTTTCAGAGAGGTGATAGAGAAAAAAAAAAAAAAGATAAAAAAGATAAACCAACAGGCTGGCAGAGGTGGAAGGCATTCGGGAGAATTACTGCATCCGCTGTCAACCTCAACCGCGATGACGTCGTGGTTCGGGCATGTCGAACTGCCAAAGGGAAACCTCAACCCTAACCGGGCTTCAAGATAAGGATGGCGCGATGGAGGATAACTCTTCACATTCTCACATTGATCTCACCATTCCCCCAAAGCGAAAAGTGTGCGATCGTCGTGGGGGGTCCTTTTTAGGCATTAAGGCCACCAGGGGTCTCATTCCATCGAGGGGTAGAGAGTGATGTCATGTCACGATGGGAAGGAAGTTGGATATACGAAAAGAATGCGCGATCTTGAGCGTCGGTCGTCGGATATGAGATAACATACCACGGGGATTCGCATTCTAACAATAGCCTAATTCAAAGAGAGTAACTCTAGCACCGACCGCTTAGGCGATGCAGCTAATGCTGGGGGGATTGACGAATTCGTCCTCGTGCAGGACCGCCAACGACTCAAGAGAAGAACACAGTCAGAGTGATAACGCGCTATTACACCATCTTGCAGAGACAGTTGGGGGGACAGACGACTGCGCCTCATTATTGTCTTGGGAAACAAAATCAGGATTATTGCTCGACGGAAGGGTGCGGAGTTTACAAAGTAGATGCAGTTGAAGACAGTCGAATGGAGTCAGCGAATATTCGTCAGAGGATCCGGTGACATGGATGTCGTGCAAATCTCAGGGCGGACAACGTGCGATCGATTAGCCCTTAGCATCACCGGATCAGTGGCTTGTACTGGTATGTTTCACATGCGTATAGTTGGGAGTAGTGGTGATATGGGGTGAAGATGGATATGTCTCTATTGGACTGCAGATGAGTCTGAGGGTCTGAGAGGTCGTTTGTACTACTCAAAAACTAGACAGTCCTGAAGGGGAAATAGGACAGCTGAGAAAAAGAAAATACCGCATCTGGATAGGATGAAGCAGTCATATTACTGGTATAGCGGGTACAGCCTGTACTTCCCATCTACCTATGCAGGACAGAAAAAAGAAAAGAAAGACAAGGCAACTGAGCTGAACAGACAGGGACTCGACATTCAGGAGTCAGGAGAAGCATTACAGACAGAGCACATGGACACAGTGGCCCGGTCGCATCAGCTCTGGGGTAGGGTTCCAGCGTGGACCAAGATGTTCGGTTTCACGTCGGACGATCGCAGAATGACAGCCCCTTTTTCGCCGGATAATGAAATGGGGAAGTGATGAAAATGAAATCATGACAGATGGAGAGAGTGATGGGAGAGGTGATGAGGAGGAGGAATAGGGGAACATCGTCAATGCGCGAGGAATGATTGACCAGACAGGAGAAGCAGAAGTTGACTCCATTTCGGCTCATGTCAGTCACGGATTCTGAAACGACCGGAGTGGAGTCGCTCCAGCCTCACGGAATGCAGCAAAGCCACGGCCACCGTTCGCACGAGCTACAAGGCTGTAGCCAGTAGCCACACTGAATTCATCTTGAATTACAGTCACAGAGTATTATCTAAATACAGTCAGTAAGGTACAGTAGAATAGATGATATGCAGTAGGTATATAGTATCTGTAGTTGTATGTAGATGGAGGTAGATTAGAGTAGGTACAGCATAGCAAACGGTGGAGCAGAACATATTGATTAGGGCCTCGTCTAGTGAGTTCTCCTGAACGAAAAGAAAAGGAATCATACAGAGGCGATTACAGAATATGTACACACTAAAGGATCGCCAACACGATCGCAACAGTGCAGTCCATGACGACACGACCCTCGGACCTGGTCAGTAGCACTGGGCTAGTAAGTAGTAGCCGGCTGATGGATCTCACCAGTCAAAGGGAAGGCAGAAGATTGATGAGAAGACAAGAATAAGAATGCACATGACAGAATATCTGGTATTCTCATTCTTATTATTACTATCTTCTTATTATCTTGTTATTCTACCATTTTATTATCTATATAGAATACTCTGAATGTGGTTATTGTTAAGGCATTCCGAATCAGTCTGAAACTGAACCCACATGCCGTCTAACAGCTCCTCTTGTTCCACTCCATCCAGTGCCTTACCCTCAATCCGGTATTGATTGCTGTTCTCTCAATTTTCCAAATCATCTCTCCTCTCCTTTCCACTAACTCCAGCAGGGAGAAAAGGAAGGACCAAAAGGATAAAAGTGGATCGATCTGACCCTTAAGTTCTTATCCTTCCCTTGGCGCTCGCTTTTCCGCTGGTTATATAGATTCTGCGACAGCCTGCATTATTCGCTTCGTTCATTATTCTTTTCCACCGTCACGAGTCTGGCTGCTTTTCTTCTGCCTAAGACTTCAATTCTTCTGCTACCAACTGCCACCTTTCAACCTCTCCCAAATCCTCTCCATACCATCCTTCAATCATCTTGCCACAATTATCTTTTTGATTTTCCCCGAGTTTTCTTAACTCACCACTACCTCATCCCTCATCCCTCATCCGTCACCAAAACAACCGCCCGACTCCCGCCCTTCATCATGAGCTCTCCCTCCGTCCAAGTCCAACCTCAGCCTTCTGGTAGCGCCAAAGGGGTTTCTTCTCACACATCCACGGAATCCGCCCCGGCATCCATGAATTTCGACATTGTCCGCTGTTCGCGCTGTCAGCGTTCCATGAGTCTCGAGAATGAGTCGTCGCCCGGTGTTGTTCGCTTCGGAATGAATTCGTATTACTGCAGTCGCTGCGCCTCGGTGGTCGGGTTCATTCGATGAGCCAGAAAAAAAAAATTCTGCCCAAATTTCTCTGAAACAAACCAAAACAAAGAGAAAAGAGAAAAAAAATGGGGAAAACCATTCCAACGAACAAAGTCGAATTTTCTGTCGCCTATTTTCGACCCGACTGTTCTTTGATGTTTTCTTTCATTTCCTGCTTTTCGACCATTCGCTTTAGACGATATCGCGTGGGAACAACGGACTGTGCTGGCACAGCTTTGGTTCTTTTTCTTTATTTTTTTCAACAACTCATAGAGTGAAGGACCCAATCCATCCATCTACTTCGATTTTTCGCAAGAGTCCCATCGTCTCTCGGAGCCAGCCCCTTCCACAATCCCGCAACGCACAGCCAAACGATTCCGACCAATTTCACCGTACCATACTACACCGATGAGTGACCCGGAGAGAATCGCGACGGACTACAGTGAGAAAGTGCATGCGCACTGTGTCATCGCAATCGGGTATGCGCGGAGGAAAAGGGAAAAGACTTAAAAGGTTCTGATGGAATAGACGATTGGCTTCTGGAATGAAGAACTCGATGGGAGGATTGATCATACCCTGCACCGTGATTCATTCGTTTCATCGCATGACCAGGCAAATCACCACGATCGCTGCTTTGCTTCCCATCCCCATCGCACGAAGAAAGTGCGGAATCCGGAGAAAAGAGACTCTGGATTCGTGTGTTTTACATTTGTATTCTTTTTGAAATACCCTTGGAGCGATGTATTAGAGCATAGGATTTCTTTTGTTTCTCTTCTTGTACTGCATGGACTACATGCTTTGATGTAACTTAGTGCATATCACGACGAAATGACCATACAATCATACTGAACATCTCAATCAACTACGCATCCTACATAGAAAGCCGGTAGTAGGCAGCTCAATAATGCGCAATTCCAAATCCCCTCCCAAGAACCAGCGCCAGTCCATTTCCAACCGTGCAAAGTCAATCCCACCCCAGAAGGGCCCCAACCAAGACAAAATCCACTCCGGCCTGGGACCGGTTGACAGATAGATCAGCGTTCGGCATGGCATGGCATGCATTCGCATCCTGCTACTACGGGCGTATGGGGCGTCCACTAGTCAGGTACTCGTGCTAGTGTCGTGCCATACACAACCGGGGCCAACAGTTGAGATTCACGAAATGTAAAACTAGACTATCGCAAACTATTTCTTTTTAGTCTGGGTGAGCTAGACTGTTTGCATACTTGCATACATGGGTAGTAAGTCGTAACTAAGTAGTTAGTTAGCTAGGTTAGTAGGTAGATAGATACCCCTCCATGTCGATGATGGAGTCATGTTTAATTTTCTTTTACCCCTCCCCCTTACTGCTGATGATCGTGGAATCATCACACACGATCCTGATCCTTTGGAATAGTGTCTGATCATTGATCAATCTGGCATTGGCCTTCGTCTACTTGCTTACTAGTTACTATGTAGTTACTTGTTTACTGACTCGTAGGACAAGGATGTCGGGACAAAGGATACACACAGGCTGTAACCCCTTTTGGGGGATGATCAGTGGGTCTTGTTTTTCTTCATTTTACTTCACCCCACAAAGTTGGCCACATGTTGGATGGGCTTGCGATTATTAAGATCTTTACTTGATGTTATTGTTGTGATTGTATTCTGGGTTATTGGGTTGCTGTGCAGTAGTATGTAGTTGGTAGTATACTGGATAGATGTGAATGATGTGACTGGAATGATACACATCTACAGTAAATGAACTCATAGAGTCATCATCATCAAGGGATGATGACATGTATCCATCTAATCATGATTTGATTATTCTCCTCGCTGTCGAAACAGTCGAAAGAAAGGGGAACTGTCAGTCGATCATCACACTCCACCAGTGTGCTTCTCGAACAATGTTAATCTATTGTTTCAGGATGAAGATCCTCCTGCCATGATACAATCATCCCTCTACTACCCCTCACTCCCTCCTCGTCTGTCAGGATCTACAAACCCGTCACTCGGTCACTGTCTGACCGTCGTATCCCAACCGGGTGGATCAGATGGTGATGGTCAGTCACGGACTCGATCATCAAGGACGGGCCAGGAACAGAGTTTGGTTTCAACTTTTTACCCTTGCGATAGTTTCGCTAGTTTTGTCACTTTCACATTCCTCATACACCCTACCGAGTAATCTTCTTGATGATGCTAGATTTCTTCTAGAGTAGTGGAAGATCATACCGGTTCCACGGTACGACAGATGAGGAGCGCACACTGTCTATCGATCGATCATCCCGACTATCGATTTTTAGTGCTATAAAACACCGTTCTGTCGTTTGGCTTTGGGCAATTATTCTGTAAAGGTGAAAGGTGAAACAGACGGATGATGTGCACTAGAAGTGATAATACTGTTGATGATAATTTAACTCGGCAATCAAAGTCGATTATTATCCCAGCCAGAACAGACGGTGGACTGTGACCCCAGATCTGATGATCGCCATCCATCCAGTAAGGATCATCGTCGGAACTCGACAGTCGAACAAGGCTGTGATGAATCCATGATACATCATAGCCTCATAGCCTCATCCCTGCCATGTTCTGTGTTTTAGCCACCGTTGCTTTTCTGGCCGGATTGGCTATTCTCCAGTCAGGAAATCCCAACAAGAAACTCAACTATCAGGAATGCTGCTGCTGTGTGACAATGATGGTGATTTCTTATTACTATATCGTATTTCCCCTCTTGCTGTGGCTACTGATTAGTATTTAATGACTATCGATTAATATTTACTTTCAGCTACACATTTTCTCGCCTTCAGGGGCGTGGCAATGTGGATTCTGTATGTATCGACAGAAAGTGACAGCTCACATTCCCTCAACGGTTGTATAATCAGGTTCTGAATGGCTGGCTGTTCATTATTAATATTATTATATTATAATCTTATTGTCTTATTATTAACATATTCTCTATATATTTACTGACAATCATCAGTTTGACAGTGTTGACCCTCGCGTCGATAATGATATATCCTGTCATCCAAGAGGGGAATAAAAAGCAAAGATACATTCTGATCTCTCATCTTTGCCTCCTGTCCTCCTGTCATTCTGGCTGACTGCCTCTATACGCACTCTCCATACGCACTCGTATGCATCTCTTCTCCTCTCTCTCTCATCTGGCGGTGTAACACTCGACATGCCAAGAGCTGCATCTTCTGGCCTATATCCATTGCAAGATCCGGAGTACGCCGTGGATGGCTTCAATGGGTATCCTGTTATATACTCGGTAGTATTCAGTATTCATCAGCTTCAGCTGAATAATGAGAATAAAAGTTACACTGCAAAAGTAAGGTTCAATTGTTGCTTTTTTCGTATTTCATCGCTGCTGCAAGACATATCATCCATCTTCATGTCCCACTCTGATCTCTCTCTCTCTCTTTTGCCTCTTTCTCCTCTTTTCTCCATCACATCCTGCAGCCTACGCATCATCCATGATAACCATCTTAAATTATAATAATAATAATAACAATAATATCCACTGCGGGAAGCAGTTGACATGTCCAGCTTCGATCCCAGAATCCCAGATCTGCCTCGCGTTCATTCGTTCGTCCAATGCAGCTCTGTCTTTCCAGTCCACCTCGATTCCCTCCAGCCTCAGGTTCTTTTCCGTCCTCCCTTCGCTTCTTCTTCTTCTTCTTCCCTTCTTTTCCATCCTGATTAAGTCGCTGTAGCTGTGGGACTCTCTGCACTGAGTAGCTCTATCTATCCATCCGTCTTCAGCTTTCTTTTTCTTTTCTTTTCTCTTCTTTTTCCTTCTGCCATCCTTGCTGCTCTTTATTTATTGGGCCGTCTTCTGTGACTCAGTTGCTTCTGCTGCATAAAACTCTCGTCTCTTAACCGTCGAGGTAAGCCATGCCAATATCAATCTGCCTTTTTATTCCTGGACAAGGTTTCCATCTAGGAAGATCCAAATCGAATCAAACAAGACATCCTTGCTTACTGTTCTATTTCCAGTGACGTGACACACCACTCAGCTCGCAATTCGAGCTTACTATCCAGCACTTCTATCACTTTTATCCAGTCCGTCGGAGATATACAGTCTCAATCTTCGCAGTTACATATAAATCTCCCCGCAAGCTTCAGTGGCTGCCTGCATCATGCCCGCACCGCGTGACAAAGGAAGAACAACAAGACACAGGATGACCGAGGACGAATTCGTTCTGTTTCTTCAGGGGGTAAGCCTCCCGTTCGTCAGTAGATTTCCCTTTGATGACATGTCTTACTGAGAAGACAGATTCCAGCGCATTGCCGCTGGCAAGAACTGAAAGATCTAGTACGCCAAACTGCCTTGCACATTCGGCAGGCTGTCGTATACGATGATCAGCATGGGTTTCCTACCGGGTTGGGCCAGATTATCGTGAAGAATGAGGATGAGGCGTGGAGGACTTATCGTGTGTATTATCGTGTCGTCTGTTAGGGCATGGTAACTGACAGTTTGGGTAGATAGGTTATCGACGAATGGATGGGAGGGTCAGAGCTTGGTCGTGACGCTTTGTCGAACGAGTTCGCCTACCAGACCTATTGCTGGTCCGACTAAGAGTCCGACTTGTGTGATTCCTTCGACCTATGTGTCCGGGTATTCGACTCCTCCTAGGGCTACTCAGAATCTGGCAGTACCACCGTCTCCCATATCCCCAGAGTGAGTTAAATCTATATATACTTGTGGTGATCATTGCTAACGATATCAGACCAGTGATGCCTGCAACACCATCATACCAAGGCACAGAATACAACCAAATCATGAACCCAATGGGAATGAACCAGCAGTTCATGCCCATCTACACAGACACATTATCGCAACAACTCCCAAACCCACACTCGCCAGCTCTCCACTCCTCCTTTTGTGACCCTTTCACCTTGACCGTCCTCCCATCCTATCCAGTCTCCCCCATGCAACCACTCCACGACACATCTCTCAACAGCATGTCCATGAACCGACGAAACCCGCGCAAGTCCAACGCATACAACAACTCAACATCCACCCAAAACACCAACACCAATATCAACACAAACACAAATACGCAAAACACCAACAAATCCAACAACCCAACCCGCTTCTCCAACCGCCGCTCCATCTTCGTCCAAAACCTCAACCCAAACACAAACGCAAAGGGCCTCTGCCACTTCCTCCGCGAAGCCGGCACAATCGAACAATGCGAAGTGCCCCTCGAAGCAGGGACAGCCCGCTGCAGAGGTTTCGCCCGAGTCACTCTCCGCACACCAGACGAGGCAAAACGCGCCGTCACCATGTTCAACAATTCCATCTTCCTCGGCGTTAAGATCAGAGTCCGTATCGATAGGAGCATTCACTGCGCGACTACTGCCACTCCATCTACATCGACATCGACATCAACATCACCTCCAAACCGCACCACTCACACCCCACCAACCACACAATATACCAAAGCCCATTTCATCCCAGATCGCAGATTCCAGGGAACCAGAGAACCACCCCCCACGCAGCAGATCGAGAAATGTCAACCGCTAGTAGTAAACGGGTCACTGGTGGTGAATGGGTCAGGAACTGGACGGAAAGCTATTGCTGCATGACATGTATGGACCTTGTTTGAATAATTTCAAATCCAGTCGTTCATTTTTGATATCTGATATCTGATCTTGTTTTGAATTTCAATACAGTCGTTTTTCAACTTTTTTTTTTTTAAATCTAATTGCATCATCTGTCAAAACCTCTTCTTTGTTAACATTTATGGCGTATTTTTTGATGTTATGTTATGTTGTGTTGTGTTTTGTTGATGTTAAAAGCATACATTATCATATCGAACTGAGTTTTGATAGAAATGAGGACAAGGTATATCGAAGATCACTACCATCTCTTTTGTTCGAAGCTGTTCTGTCTATTTATCAATTTATCCCTCTACCTTACCTGCTTAGGTTTCATTTTCATCTATGGTGTCAAATTACGTTACTAACGCAAATATATATATATATATATATATATATACATCGAAAATCAAGTAAAAAAAAGAACAAAAGTGCGTTCAAGTAATTAATTCATTTGCTCATTATCATTCCGAACAGCTAATTTATTAATACATTCTTTTTCTGTCATTTCGTAGGGGTCATCTCGTTCAGTTGTACAGGTAACGTGCTCGTGGATGGGGTGGATCGAGGGAAAACCAGGAACGCCATACAGAAAACAATAATAAAGACTCAGAAAAAAGGAATATTAATCTAACATGTCAAATCGCAAATCACATCAGAAAGAAAAGAAAAGAAAAAATATTTTCAATAAAATACAGAAGGTTGGTTGGTCGAATCCTGTCATATCATGTTATGTATGTAGGCAGGTGTAGGTAGACCCGCCAATAGTCGATATGCCAGGGTTCTGAGTCACAGGAAACAATTAGGTAGTTACTGTAGTTACTGGGCATGGACTATCAGCTCGGCATAGAGAGGATCGGGTATCTTGCGGACGATCAAGACGGTCAAGGCGATGATCTCTTTTGCGTCGAGGGGAGGGAAGGAACGGAGGATTTTGTTTGGACTGAGACAGGTCAGAAATTATGTGTCACTTACCACTTGGGGCGGGAAGGATTTGATTTCATATGTCAGGTGCAGTACATACCTTGGGCTTTCGAGGATGGTATCTCTCATCCGGATCAGCTGAGCGACAATGCACAAGATGTTCAGGTGAGGTCCGTATGCGAATAAGAAATCCCACAGGTGTAGAACCTCTGGGAGAGGGGGAGTGCAGGCGCATAGAGTCAGGACGGAGGGGAAAGCGTAGAGTTCCGCCTGCATGCCCTTGGAGAAGAGATAGGCCGCCAGTTTGGGCTCGACAATCTCCAAACACCTATCCACCAGCCGCAGTCCCCTGTGTACCCCGTCCATGGCTCCCCGGATATAGCCCGGACATTCCCGGGTGACAAAGTAGTGAAAGAGCGCAAAGGCCTCGACTTCGCTACGGGCCGCGTAGAGAAAAGGTGCGCAGAGGACATTCATGCCCTGCACGTAAATCGCCGATTCGCTCATGTTACTGGCGGCGGCGCGTCTGGCGGGAGGAGGCGAGTCGAACTCGTCCATCACGAGCGCTGACTCGTCGTCTTCTTCTGCAATACTCGGCGGACTATTGACTAGGAGCTCCATTTCGCGACGGCGAGACGACGATGGCCGCGATTTGGGCTTTTTGGCGTCGTGCAGCTTCCACGCTACGGCGTTCAATAATCGGATTAGACTTGCTTCTGTCACGCGGCGTTTGAAGAGGGGGTCCGTTGCTAGGGTGCGGAAGGTATCATTGCGGATTTTGGTGTATTCTGGAGAGCGACCCCGGTGGATGAGGGAGAGGTATTCGTCTGTCGGGACGGGGGGTATATTGAGTAGGGCCAACCACAGGTAGATTCTGTATGACGACTATGAAGTAGTTAGCAAAAATGCATCATCAGGTAAATTCCCTTCGGACATACCATTCCATCTGCGTCTGCTTCGACCCTCGTCGATAACACAAGGTATCGCAATTCTTCAAGTCCCTCCAAAGTATTCCCACTTTGCGGCCCATCCCGCAAAACCGTCTCCAAGACCGACCTCTTAATCCCAAATCCAGACCCCGTTTTCCTGGCCGGTCGCTTCAGAGTCTGTTTGGCAGCGGCCTCCCGAGATCCCGCATCACTGTTGGATCGTGCCCGACGATGTGTCCGAACGCTGCGCGGCGAGTCAGTCAGAGAGAAGTCTTCGGAGCCAGCGGATGTGCGCGCATTCGAGTGCCGGGAATCTGGCGCATGGGATCCAGAGGTACTCGATGAAAGAACCTGATGCGACTGGATCTTCCGGAGAGTTCGCATCGTCCGCGGCGATGGCGAGGTGAGGGTGTTGAGGCGGGAGTGCGTGGGTTTCGAGGACGACGACATCTTGACTGTTCTTTCAGCGCAAATGATTTCTGCTTGAGCAGCCGCAGGGGCGAAGCATCTTTCTGATGGGTGAAACAAAATAAACAACCACCTCCAAGTCAAAGTTTTGTAGTCTGTACGGGGTAGATCGGAGGATTTTAATCTTTCCTTTCAGTGACACTAAGGTCACTCACTAACTGAGCGAGCTTTTGGGATGGCTGGCTGTTTCTGCCGAAGTGGAATGCGGGGACACGCGACGCGCTGAAATTACTCCTTAGCCTTGAGTTCTGTTAATAGATTTCTACTACGACTGCGAACAATATTACTGGTTCAATATCTAATCAGGTATCATCTGGTGAAAATGCCCACGTGGTTGGGGAATATTTGTCGTGGCTCGTGGTGGACAGCTTGCCATGGTCATAGCATCAATTTATCCAAACCAAAAGTCGTCAAACTAAATCTAATGATCGATAAACGTAGCTTCCAGCGCCTGTGTATAGAACATCCTGACCTACCCAAACGCCATACCCAAATTCATCCCGTTTCATCATCTAGCAGATTCATTCTCCCGTCGTCCATTCTCCATACCTCCCATGGCCCCGTTGACAAATTCCTGGTATCGGAACACTTCTCCTCGTTTGCCTGTGCCACCAACCCTTGTGCCTTTACCTCCAAATACTCTGCGTCCGGTAAATCCATTCAAAACCTCATCAATCTCCCTTTCTGTAAGCGGGCTCTCTCCGTCTTCCGGCGACGTGTGCAGCAAAGCATCCCGCAATTCCGCTACATCAATCTGACCACTGTCGTCGTCGTCAAAAGCAGCCAGGGCGTTGAGAAGCTCCTGACGGGGTGAGAGAGGTGCTAACAGGCTAGAGAGAAGATTCAAGAATGTAGGAAAGTTGATCGTTTGGCCTGCTCCCGATGAGAAGAATTGCGACAGGGTAGATAGCGACGAGTCTTGGCCTAAAATCAATAGGGATAGTCAGTGCTTGTCCACAGTATTGTCTGGGAGTGGTCCAGTTACGCACCCACGTTCACCAGCACATCAGCCACATCGTCCTTGTTCACCAACCCATCATTATCCCGATCAAGGACCTGAAAAGCCTCCCGTATTTCCCTCAGCTGTGCCGGTGATAAATTGACAGCCCCATCCTTGGTGACATTCATCATGTCGTGTGATTGCTTCCTCATTATGGGCGATCCATTGCTAGGCGAATTTGCTCCTTTGGTCGGCGACGGAGGGAACTCTCTAGTGAACTTGGGCTGAGGAATGGGTTCATTGCTCCTGGCCGATTTTGGAGACGCTTGTTCGTCTTCGACGGTATATGACTGGTTCAGCTTGCTCGGGGATTGGAGCGGAGTGTATCCCCGGCCTGGGGAACTTCCCGGGGTACCTGGGCGCCCTTGTGTTGGCGGGGAGTTTGGTGTAGATGGACGACGGAAAGGAGAGGCTCTCGGGGAGCCAAAGGATAGAGGAGACGGCCTGAATGGTGCGTTTGGGGTGACCTTTGATGCTGTATTAGCTATATTGCACATTCAACTGGTCTGTTGACATGGTTGCGGGGGAGACCTACCATGATGGCGTTGAAGACTTGTATCAGTTATCTGGAGGAAATTAATTATCGCACATATAGTGCTGCTAAAAACAGACAAAACCGGTCAGTCCAGCCCGGTCAATATCAGTCCAGCAATATGCGAGGAGATGGTGCTCAATTCACCGTCTATCTACGAAGGAGTAAACAAACGGAGCATTGGCTCGGCGTAGAGTCGGCCCGGGCTGGAGCACGTGCGGGGAGCTTTTCCGCATGCGCTGAAGAGGCGATGGTGGGCGATCGGGGAAATAATTGGACGATGGACTGGATCAGATGAAGACTGTCATAGCAGCGATGAAATTGCGGTGGCAATGACAATGGAAATGGCTACAACCTCATAAGCAATGGTCTTTGCTTCTTTTGCTGGCTACCTTGAGGCCCTTACTGCTGTGGTGTTTCCCCGCTGTGGAGATCGGTGCGTTTTCGAGACATCCCTTTTCCAGAAGCCCCTGAATTTAATATGGCGGCCACTGTCGATCAGCAACTTAACCTCCTCTTGATCAATCAAATTGGCTGACCACCATGTCTTGGATGTCCTTAGTCATGTTCTTGGGGTGCATTGAATAATATCGACTATGCAGCTACTGTTCTTCTAGACCTGCTGCCGGAGCACTTCCCTTCCCCGTTTCTCCAATAATCGAATTCCACCCCCAGAGGCGAAAATGTCCACCACGCTTCCTTATCGACCCTCCGACGATGCCTCCCCCGGTGCTGGCTCTGCGTATCCTGGTCCAGGGCTGACCACTACTTCGAGCACTCAGTCCAAAACCAGTGCATTGCCCCGATTGTCTCCCTCGCCCTCTGTTCTTAAGCGATCGCCCAGCAGCTCCAGGACGTCATTGCACCGTCGCTCCTTCGGCAATGCCCCTCAAAGCTATAGACCGCGACGACACAAGTCACAATACCCCCTTGATTCGCCGGAACGCCATGTGGAATACATCCTCGTTGCCTCCTTCCACATCGACCGGGGTCCGATCATGGAGCACCAGTACCCTGCCGCCATTAGTGGTGACGAGAGTATGTTGGCAGAACTGATGCTTCCGGACCAGACACACGTTCGCAGCCAGGATTGGACAATATTCTTCCTGCACAAAGATACGGGCGCGGACGGTGACGATGACTCCATAGACGGGAAAAAGAAGAAGAGGAAGTCGAAGGCGAGGTACCAAGGGAATGGGGAAAGCGGTCGCGACGATGACGGCGATGAATCTGAAGAGGAAGAGGAAGAAAGCAGTGATGAGGAGGATGAGGGTGGCGAGGGACCACCGTTGATGTATGTCCTCAATCTTGTAAATACCAAGCAGGACAATACAGTTAAACGGTATGTCTCTTTTCCATTCTTCGGGTTTCGCTGGTTTTCGTTGCGGCTGACTGAGTTACAGAGGTGCGGTCGTCAAGGCCATGGCAATATGTACGCGCCATTCATTTCTTCACATATATAAAGTGGGTAGTCCTTGGAAACAGAAAGAAATAAGGAGTTCGAGCTGACCGTAGCATTAGCCTTTACTTCTACTGGCGTTAGAGGACTATTTCAAGAACCCATATCCAGAAACGCTGGCGTCGCTTTACCATGCGGTGAACTCCATGGATCTTTCCTTACTGCCTAAGCTTTCTCTCCTGGAGCGTCAGATATTACAGGCCAGTAATTCAAAGGATATGTTCCTGGAAAAGTTCGAGCAGATGATCAATCAACGAATGGAAGATGAGGGAGAGCCCAGCGAAGACGAATGCCCACCATCACCAAGGAAACCGATACCATACTCGCTCCCCCGAGATACGCATGAATTCGAGTCTAAAGTCGTCTACAATGATATCCCCATCCCTGTCAAAGTCCCCACGGTTATATGGCCGGAGATCGTGGGTGATTTCTCCCTCATTAAACTCATCCAAACTTTCTCCGGTCCTCATGCTACCTCACCTCAACCGTTCCCTGTCCATCCTCACTTAACGAGCAGTGGCGCTAATACGCACCCAATTATTGTTCTTATCAACGCGATGCTTACCCAGAAGCGCGTGGTATTCCTGGGACACAATCGTCCCTCAGGGGAGGTAGCGGAGGCCGTTCTTGCGGCCTGTGCGCTTGCATCGGGTGGGATCTTGCGTGGATTTACCCGGCACGCATTCCCTTACACCGATCTAACCAAGATTGACGACTTGCTGAAAGTTCCTGGCTTCATTGCCGGAGTGACAAATCCCACGTTCGCCAATCATCCCGAGTGGTGGGATTTGCTCTGCGATTTGCCGACAGGTCGAATGAAGATCAGTACTCATATCGAGCCGGCGCCCGTGACTGAGGGGCTATTGTACTTCCAGCAGCAGAGTTCCTTCATACCTAACAGTGTATCTCAGAGCAATACAGACCCTAGTGGAGACAATCTCTTCATGGACGATATCCACCGCAGTATCACCAACCGGTATGGGGAGAATTCGATTCGGGCAAAATGGCGCGCTTATATCACGAAGTTTGTGCGGGTTGCCGCTGCTTTTGAGGAGACGGTATTTGGGGCATCAAACCTATACATCATCGGCCCTGATGAAGAGTTGTCCCCTGATAGTCCAAGTGGTCATCAGGCAGACCCTTTAGATCCCACTACGCTGCGAGGACACGGATACGTTTGGGCGGACGAAATGTCCAAGCAACGAGAATTGGCAGCCTCGGTATCGAGGATTGAAGGATGGCGAACCACGCGATCGTATTATTCCTTTATCCAGGACATCGCCGCCATGTACTTCCCTGCCCGACCGATAGAAAAGCCAGATCTGCACCATCACCACGACCGACTGCGAACCCTGAAACTATCACATGCTGATGCAGGCGCCATTTACATTGCATTTGCACATGCCGTCAAGGACTACGCCGGTATATGCCAGCTTCTTACCGTGACACCAGAGAGTCAGGCAGGTCTTTTCTACCTCAGTATGGGTCTATTCCACCCAAACGTGACCGTCCGCGAAGCGACGGTCGACCTTTTAGATCGGATTGCGGTACACCCCGCAGGCCGACATTTCTGGTCCCAGCTCGGCCGGTTTGCCAAGCTGGGATACTTCCGAGTCAAACGCGAAAGGGACCCGACACAGAGTCCTGTAGCATCCAGCCCAGGGGTTGGATTGAACCCTCCACAAAGCTTGGTCGGAGTAGCACTGGGAGATGGCCAAAAACGAAGCTGATGCATCAGCATCAGTAGAACATACATAACGACAGTTTTTCTTTTATAGTAGTACCATACCCATTTTACGTTCGAAGGCTTTAATACCTTCATTTCTCTCTTATTCTGAGGGGAAGGAAAACCAGAAAAGACAATAAATATGCATCTCAACATTTTTTTCGTATGACGACAAAAGCATCTATTTTCTGCATGTGTCAAAGATTTCAAAATGTTTAATGTTGGATATACCTCATCTTTCGTTTGTGTGATATTTCTTATGTATTTGAGGAATAGGGCATTTTGAGCATGTGGTGGTGTGAATGATATTGACGGTTCTATTTTCATGTCAATAGTTGCGATTTTATGAGCTTGTCTATTTCTATTTTCTGGTGTGGTGTATATGATTTGAAGGGGGTAGAAATTTGGTAAAAGTCGATTAGTTTTATGTATAAGCATTACTATCTAAACCAACAAGAATAGAGCATGAAGGATAGACACACAAAAATAACACGACTCGCTGTCATTATCCATTGACCATGATATTGACATGTTTGAACAGTGCCAACTATTAAAAAAGACGTGGAGAGGAATTGGCATGAAGGAAGCATTGCATCCCACGTCAGATATACAGTTGCATCATATCAAATCAAATCAACTCCCATGCCATCACGCTGAAAGCTAGGATACCTCCCATCCAATGAAGATCAGGCGTAACGGTCCAACTACCCGATTTAACGGCTTTATTAAGCCCAACCGTAACGTTTAGATTCGCGAAATTGGCACCGCACTGCGTATTGACCTTCTCCGCAGCAGGCATATACGTCTGATCGAGGGGCTGCTCGTCAATCTGAGCCCAGTGACTGTAAACGTCCATAGTAGCCTGGAGACATTCATTGCAAGTCGGGTAATCGGAGAAGGAGCCGCCCAACGGCAGAAAATAGGCGTCGTAGTCGGCTGCGTTGGTGGAATTGGAGATGGCGTCGACGAAGCAATAATCACCGGAGGTAGGGTTCTTGAGACACGAGGCCTGGTAGACGGGCTGGTAGGCGATCATGTCTGTGTAGGCGCCGACGACGAGAGGTTCATTGGCGTCGTACGCATCACCGCAGTTGGAGCTGGAGGTGAGCTGGGAGGCCAGCTTGGAAATTTTGGTGGAGCATTCTGCTACGGAGGCATCGCAGGCAGCGTCTAGGATGAGGGAGGTCGCAGCGATAGAGTGGAGGGATTGGAAGAAAGAGTTGGAATCGCGGATGAGCATGGAGATAGCATGGCAGTTGGTGAAGGTGGTGTCGGAGAGGAATTTGTCGAAGAACTTCGCACAGCTTGGGTAGTTTTTCGTGAAGTTGTCGTCTATGCTGTGGTCAAAGGGGGTAGGGAAGGATGAGGATGATCTCTTGGCTAGATCTGGGGATGGTTGTGATGAGGATGGATCTGATGTAGTCTCATCACGGCGTTGAGACCATCGTGCACGTTGCTTTAGTGGGGATTCGTGCTGGTGATCATCGCTGACGATCTCTCCACTTGGGAGTTGCGGAGTCGAGATGGAAATATCCAGATCCGATCGGGCGATATGAGGCAGGATCGAAGCAGAGATGGATGGACAGATGATGAAGACGACGAGGAGGAGTAGATGAAGTCGAACGGTTCCCCTGACTCGATGTTGGCGACGCTGTTTGGTTTCAGGAGATAAGCGTGAGCGGGGAGCAAAGCAAGAAATGTCAACAACAGATGATAAAGAGTGACTAGCAGCCCTGAACGGCTGAAAAGAAGAGCCTGAAAAGGCATTCATGATGCTTGGAGTGTAAAAAGAGTGACTGGCCACGAGGGGCTGAAAATGAGGTTAAAGAGAGTGTTATCGTGAAAAAAGCGACATGGCAGACTAAAGACAGATTCAACTCCTGAGAGCGAACGGCTGGGGAATAGGGATCAATTGAAAGACAGGATCATCACCAGGCCATTTGGGAATCCGCATGAAAGAAAGAAGGGAAAAGAGAAAGGATGGGGGTTTCTTTATGGCGTGCAGGGACACGAGGTTGTGTTACTTTTCGCTGTTAGTCGGAGTCCAACTTTGGGCTAGAGCGGTCGGTGGGCCTTTAATTAATCAAACCGGACTTGATATATGAATCGAGAGTCAGGGTCATTAATATCGTGAAGCCAAAGAAGATGATGATCAGCAAGAAAGGCTGACTGCAAGTGGTACTTGTGACCTTTGACTGTTTGGGGATGTTGTGATACCATAAGAGTCGGTCAACAGCCACACTGAATCCCTGGGCTTACAGAGCATGACTATTGGATCGTTTGATCGGCATATTACTTGCTTTTATTTGTATCTCACTTCATTCTCATTCTGATAATTATTAATTATTATTTACCTTCATTCTTTCAGAATAATAATATTTGAACGGACGGAAACGATGGCCTGTCATTGGCGAATCAAACCGCGGGCAATTCCTCCACTTTGACACACGATGCCTCCAAGCCATCCCCATATTCCATCGGCTTCTTCCATCTCGTGCGTGATAAGGCTGTCTTGCTTTTCTTTCATCCTAGCATTGCTTCTTCCGCTGATCTTCACTCATCCTCATACTCTCCATAAATAACCCCCCTGTCAATTTGCGGAAATGTCATCCGACTGGCTGATTCCCGAAACTCGGGTCCTCGCCGTCGCAAGTCATGTAAGCCATGCCCTTCATCCAGATACTGAGATCAGCTTATTGACGTTTCACAGGTCGTCTATGGGTACGTCACCAGTCTAGTCTTGTATCAAGACATCCTGAAGTGGATGGGCACTCACCCCGCCCTCTGACCACCTTATCGGCGTCATATCGTCCCTCTAACAGACGATAGATATGTCGGAAATACAATGGCAACCTTTGTCATGCAATCCCTGGGATGCGAAGTCGCGGCCTTGAACACTGTGCATTTCAGTAAGTTATCGTGCTACGAGATACCGGCCAAGTTATACTAACTCGACCAGGCAATCACACTGGCTACAAACAGTTCAAAGGAACCAGGGCAACCGCTCAAGAAATCAATGATCTTTATCAAGGCCTCAACCAGAGCCATCTCACAGATTTTGATGTCATGTTATCGGGGTATGCACCCAGCGCTGCTGCGGTAGAGGCTGTTGGGTCCATTGCGTTGGATTTGCGACGAAAGGCTGAAAACAAGCCCGGTTCTTTCTTTTGGGGTAAATTTTTGTCTGTTATTCATCTAGGACAAAGCTAACCAGGCTTAGTTCTTGATCCTGTCATGGGAGACCAAGGCCGGTTGTATGTCAACGACGATGTCGTCCCAGCATACAAACAGGCCATTCGTCAAGCCGACCTGATCCTTCCCAATCAATTCGAAGCCGAGTAAGTACTGCTCTACTCTACATTTCTACCCCTACCAGGAACTAATATAACGCAGAGTCCTATCCGGAATCAAAATCTCCTCCCTCAGCACCCTCGCAAAAGCCATCACCGTCATCCACAACACATACAACGTCCCCCACATCATCATCACCTCGGTGCATCTCTCCGAACTCTCCCAATCAACCCCTACCTCCTATTCTAACGCCCTAACTATCATCGGTTCCACCACTCGCTCAGATGGAACCCCACGACTGTTCCGCATCGATGTCCCCGCGCTGGACTGTTACTTTAGCGGCACGGGAGACATGTTCGCTGCGCTGACCGTTGCTCGTCTCCGTGAGGCTGTCGTTGCTGCGGGCGCGGGTCTCCAGACTACCAAGTCCTGGGTTTCGCCGGATGATGTCAAGGCAACTGATCTCCCCCTCGCTCAGGCTGCAGTAAAGGTGTTGGCGAGTATGCACAGTGTTCTTGAGAAGACCATGGAAGCACGCAATGCGGAGCTCCGTGTGCTGGCTGCCCAGGACGAGAACACACAGGGACTCAGTGAGGAGGAAAGACTAAAGCAACAGCACCTGCGGGAGAGCAAAGCAGCCGAGGTGAGGTTGGTACGGAATGTACAATTCCTGCGTCATCCAACGGTTGATTTCCAAGCGCAGGAATGGAAGGAGGAAGATATTCCGGCTCAACTCTAATAGAATGTATCTTTTTAAATTAGAATAGATGAGAAAAGATATGCAACAATTATATGCATTGTACTGATACCAGTCAAGGTAACAAAAATGTATCCAGATAAACCCGTCATAATTCGTTCTCTAATGCATTTTACCCAAGCGCCCGAATATTTATATAAGTTTTTTTTGAACATTTAAGCACCGGTGCTTCCGAATCCACCAGCGCCACGGACACTCTCTTCCAATTCCTCGACAACCTGAACTTCAGGGGTATAGATCTACACGAAAAGAACAACCATTAGCAATCAGATAGTGTGAAAGCGTGGGGGATCAACTCACTCTCTCCAGAACCAACTGCGCAATGCGGTCACCCTTGTTAATGGTGAAATCGACATCGGAAAAGTTAAACAGCAGAACCTTGACTTCACCACGGTAGTCGGCATCAATGACACCAGCACCGGTATCGATGAAGTGCTTAGCAGCGAGACCACTACGAGGAGCCACACGACCATCTTTTTCCACCGTTAGCTGACACAGATCAAACGTATCTAATCGTATCATCTGATAAACCCACAAGTTCCAGCAGGCACAGCAACAGCAATACCAGTCTCAACCATCGCCTTGCCCTTGGCCGGGATCACGGTCTCCTTGGCGCTGTAGATGTCATAGCCGGCCGCGAAAGCAGATCCCCTGGTAGGGGCGGTGGCGTGCTCATTGAGCTTCTTAACGAGGAGGGGAGGGAGGGGCTGGGCGATAGAGGTGACGGGGGTCTCGTTAGAAGGCATCTTTTCGGCGGTGGGCTTTGTTCGTTTGGCGAGGGGTGAAGCGGGGAGGGAGGGAGGTTCGTGGCTAACGGTGGGTTTGGTAGTTGATTCTGTTGTGGTGGGAGGTGGTGTAGTCTCCTTGGTCATGTTATAGACAATTGATCTTTCCAGACGAAGAGAGTGATAAGGAAGAAAGGAATTGCGGTGTAAGAAGAGTCGAGCTGTAAAGGTACTGCCCCTCGATAAACGGATCATTTTCCCTCCTGCTGTCCCCCCATTCAGGAAACGCGTCTGGCGGTGAGAAACGCGCAGCGCGTCAAATTGGCTGGGCGTGTTTGCTTCTGTTTGTTCTATATTTTCTGCTGACTCAGCGGATGGACCCCCGCAGGTGCTCGGATTTGGCGTTTAGCCTCGGTTCCCCGGCTGCTTTTAGTATCGAGGTCTCCAAAGTCTCTCCACCTTGGGTATTTCCTTATTAACCAGCTCAATTCTTCTTCTCCGCATTTGATATCCATATTTCATATTGTTTGATATTATCTGAGTCTAATATACTTGTTGAAATTAATTACCTTCCTTGCGCCATGGCTGGAGCTGTGCGGCAACCGATTGATATTCCATCTTTGGAACGGTATCTTAACCAAGCTGTACCGGAGATCGCAACTCCGTTGGATGTGAAACAGGTAAGTACAGATTATTACTGATTAAATGAAAAACGTACAGCTCATAGTATCGCTAATGCGTTGGCATCTTACAGTTCACCTTCGGTCAATCAAACCCTACATACCAACTCACTGCCCCTGACGGAAAACAATATGTCCTGCGCAAGAAGCCCCCAGGCAAGCTACTCTCCAAGACCGCGCACAAGGTCGAACGTGAATACAAAATCATCCATGCGCTTCAAAATACGGACGTACCCGTACCCAAGGCATACTGTCTCTGCGAAGATGAAAAGGTCATCGGTACACCATTCTACATTATGGAGTTTCTGGACGGGCGGAAGTATGAGGATCCCGCTATGCCTGGGGTGAGCGCGGAGGAGAGAAATGCGCTGTATGTTCTTCTTGGTTCCTGATACTGGGCATGAGAGATCGACGGGTTACTGATGATCAACAGATGGCAGAGCGCAGTCCGAACATTAGCCAAATTCCACAGCGTGGACCCCAAGTCGGTGGGCTTGGAAAGTTTTGGAAAACCAACCGGTTTCTACGACCGTCAGCTCCGGACCTTTTCTGCTGTATCGCTGGCACAGTCGCAGGCTGTAGATGTTGAAACCAAAGAGCCTGTCGGAGAACTCCCACACTTTAAGGATATGGTGGCCTTTTTCTCAAACAAGGCAACACAACCCAAGGACCGAGGCACATTGGTGCATGGTGACTATAAGATTGATAACATGATCTTCCACAAGACCGAAGCCCGGGTGATTGGAATCTTAGACTGGGAGATGGCAACAGTGGGACACCCGTTGTCGGACCTTTGCAACCTCACCAGTCCGTATTTCCTGAACGGGGCAGACTTTAACAAAGAGAAGTTCCGACCTGGGGCAGTTCCCGGACTGCCTACTCGCGCAGACTGCATTCGATGGTACGGCGAAGTAGCAGGCTGGGACCCGACACCGGAGATACTCTGGGGTGATGCCTTCTTTACCTACCGGAGCTCGATCATCATGCAGGGCATCGCAGCACGAGTAGCCCAGAGACAGGCGAGCAGTGCCCGGGCGGGCGAATACGCCCGGAATGCCAAACCGATGGCATCAGAAGCGTGGGCACGAGTGAAGGAGGTACAAAAGCAATCACCAAAGGGTAAACTGTAGCCTCTAGTTAGTCCACAAGACATTTTACTGCCAGCTGTTCCTCACATGGCCGTCTTCACCTCTCCACGAGATTATGTATGCGAGCAATAAACATAAACATAACCATCAACATAGCACAGACAATTAATATCCTAAGCGCCGGGAGTGTAGGTAAGTGGGGGGTGGGTAAAACCGACCGGGGTTCGATTCCGTCTCCCAGTGACCATCGCTCAACGCCAACGGAGAACCGAGCCTGAACACCTTTTGACAATGATCATCCGACGGACGCATTTTTGAAACGAGATGGTGCTGAAGAATCTCCACCTATCGCCTCTGGGATAGACCTGTAGTAACGTCTATTTTATTACAGAATACAGGGAGTGTGTAGTAGCTAAGACATGATGAAACTGTCGATGTTACTGAATATCTGTGATATAACTATAAGTGGAAGGTGTCTATAGTACTATTGATGGTAGAGACTAGGTCTACGGTTTGTGTATAGTAATAGAAAACGAAAAGAATCGAGTATATTATTTATGAGTCATGGGTGAGAGAATATCACCTCTCTCAAACATCCACATACACACCTTGGTCAGAGGGACTGTCCGTATCACGAATTCTAGAATACTCCAACCCCCTCAACTCAACTCAACTCAAAGTGGAGGCTCACGATGCGCTGTCCGATCGACATTCGACAACAAAAATAAAAAAAACTCAAGTCAGTCAGCCTCAGACTTGCCAGACGAACAACCGACGAATGGCATCCACTCTTTTCGAGCATGGATTGCATTCCATCCGGATGGGATTCGTTCTTTGTTTTTCTTCTTCTCGAACTCGACTTGGCCTACAGGAATTTTCGGAGCGGCCCGGCTTCGAGTCAGTCAGAGTAAGGCCGTAAGGGAGTTTTTGTTTGCCTCGAGTTTGAACACGTCTGGGGGGTTGATTGGGCCACACGTGAATGGATTATGGATTAGTATTAGGTAGACTACGACTCAGTGAGATCTGCCATTTTTTGTTGACTTCATATGGTATGATTGATTTGGAACGGTCGGTTCGGATTTATGGACAATATTCATGTAAGCAAGTTGTCCTTACTTGGCTGGGCTAGGAAAGGAGTTCCAGACCAATTAGAAAGAAGGTGAAGCACTCGAGATCAAGTACGCTGTGACTGTGATGGGGGAACATCTCATGCAGATGGTAAGGGTGACTATTTGTGACCTGGTACTTTTGCATAACCACATACTATGCGCATAGCACGCATAGTCTGTCAGTCTGTCGAGATCGGAAGATAGAAAGGAGTAAAAGCCGAAACGGGGCAGAGTGTCTGAATTCCTGCAGTCCAGGAAGCAACGGAAGAGTCCGTCTCCATCGAAGATGAATGATTAAGGGAGGGGAACAGGGAAGGCAGACAGGGAACAGGGGTAGAAGGGGAAAGAATTAGAGAAGGAATGGAAGTTGAGATGCAGCGTGCAGAGGAGCGTAACTGTAAGTGATGTAATCCGTCGAATCTTCCCTGCGAGTGGAGATGCGAGGAAGCAGAAGAAGAGCAGAAAAAGAGAGAGAGAAAAGAGGGGGGGAAGGGCAAAGGTAACGTGGGGGCAGCGAGATCCAATGAAGCCAGCGAGAAAACCGACAGGCGAGGATATCGAGAGTTAGTGGCCGACAGATCGACAAGATGAAGAGTTGCTAGGGGAGTTAGCCTACGACATAGTAGGGCAGGAGAGTGGTTGGGGAGGAAAATGCGCTCAATCTTGAGAAGTTGAGGAATATTATTGTGTGAGGAGGGCAAGGGGAAAAAAAAGAGACCGCTGAATGGTTGCATTGGAAGACGGAAATATCAACCGAGAAAAGATGATTGAATGGAGGGTTTCAGGTAAGGCGTAAGAATACCTGGAATGGCCATCTGTCGTGTTCATTTGACCAAAGATCCTATAAGAGGGCGAAAGGAAGGCCGGAAAAGGATTGAAATAAGCATTGGACAACAGGCCATCGGTTGGCGAGATAAGTTGACAGCAGGAATGTCAACCTGGATAGCGGTCAGCTTGGACATTCTATCCACTCTATTATATCTAGTATTTTATATATTTATTTAACTATAATTTTATATAAATACATTCTGTCTATTATATTTATTTGTATATATTTATTGTATATATTCTACTATATTCTGTTTTATTCTGCTGCCTTAGAGGTTCCACGACGGTTCCGTGCAGAGCCCAAACAGGCAAAACCCGTGGACAAAGTTCAGCCTCCTCCCTTGTTCCCGCCCGGCAGCCAATAACGGCCCGTTTGGCAGAGCCTCATGCACTTCCCGAACGTGGGGCCTCTTCTTCGTGGGTGTACTTTGTGTATTTTTGGTATCTTACCGTATCGTACGCCCTCCCCCCCCGTCAGCCTCTCTTCCACTTCTCTCTCTCTCTCGCTCTCTCTCTTTTTCTCTTCTTCTTTTCTTCTCAGTTCTCATCGATCTTTCTTCCATCTTTTTATCCCTCTCTCTCCTTATATCCTACCCTTCATCACCATCTTTAACCAGTCAGATCCGCACACTAAACGCCTTCTCCACTTCTCCGGTGGATCGTCATATTATTTCGGGCTCTTTTTTTCTGCCTCCCTGGCCTGACCGCTCCCTTTCCGCCAATCACAGCCCTCCACCAGCCGACCACTCATACTACGCTCTCTAGCCTCATCGTCGCCGTGTTCCTCGCTGGCCCTCGTCGTGATTACGATTTCTTCTTGTTTTTCCTGTAGTGCCTCTGTGTGCCATCATTGCCCTGGGCTATCCTCTATTTTCCGCTCTCTGATCTCTGCTGGCCGTGCTCTCTTCTTCCCACCCCCATCTCCTCTTTTTCTCCTCGCTCTCCATCAACTGTGACGTGTGTGGATGGTCCGCTCGAGAGCCTCAATCCCGAAACACTGCAATTCCTCTTGTTATTCTTGTCATACACGGAGCGCTCGGTTTCTCAGCCTTCAGCTTTTTTAAATTCTTCCACCCGTTTCTTTTCAGGTGAGCTCTTCTAATTATATTTGATTGTCTTTTCGTGCGATGCGATCATAATAAAATTGGTTTTTTTTTATCGTCAAATGTCAGCAATATCCCGCCTGTCATCTTGATTTCTGCCTCCACTTTTCGCGTGTTATGGGGAATTTTATTGTGTGATAGTCCAATTGACTATCATCTAAACTGTACTCCATCGTCAATTGCCCTAATCCGATGTTCCTGATTTCTTTCCTCTCCCCTTCATTTCCTTCCGTGTTCCACAGTCTGGGTCTCGTGGTCATTTGACCCTCTATCTGTCATGCTATGGGAGAATCCCTAGCTCATACTCCCTAATCGTCGATCTATTTGTATAATGTTACATCTGATCTACCCTTGGATGATTTGCCTAGTCATGTACCACCTTGCCCAACAAGCCTCATCTCATCCTGGCTTTTCTCGTGTACTTATCCACTGGCAGTAGACACTAACTTGGCTAAACAGGGTAGACTGTCATTTAAAAACTGAGTGAAAAGGTGGCCTGATCTATGGGCTGCAACTTCATTGCTCAGCCTACCACCTATCTGGGTCTCTGATTTGGAAAAGGGACGAGAAGGTAGAAGAGAAAGAAAAAGAAAGAAAGAAAAAAAAGCAACCAAGGGGGGTGGCGCACCTAATGCGCACAAAACCACCGTCTTCATGAACGACGCATATGACTCTGAGGACGGCCATGGTTCCCCCCGTCTACAGGCCCAGGAGGTCAACTATAAGCTCGAGCCGGATGATCCGCCATTCCTCCTCAATGAGCGCCGCTTGTCCCCTGAGGGCAATACCACTGGAAGCCCTACAGACAAGGGAACGCATCCGAACGGTCTCCGTGAGCGCCAGCCGATCTCCAAGCCCGTAACAGGTGTGGGCAACTCGGTGCTGATTAGATCTTTAGCCCCGGACCGACCTGATATTGCAGAGTATGAGAATGAGAATCCACACAACATAGGTTTGCTGCCAGATGATGACCCGGGCCCGTCGACAAAATCGTTCTTGAAGTTCAAAGCAGAGCCTGCCGAGCCACCTGTGCATCCATCACAGCCGGTATCACAACCGCCATCGCACTCGCCTCAAGAATTACCCCAGGCAGCTGCGAGTGCCCTTTCGTTGTTGATTGCTAGAGAGTCCCCAGAAACTGAGACTAAAAATCTGCCAACGGATGGGCCCAAGCTCGAGCCGAGGTCGCCAAACCAACCTCAAAAACAGCAACCTCATTTCAACTCGGATTTCAAACGCCATGTTGAGGCGTCAGAGAACCATCATTTGCAAAAGAGGTTCGAGCCTGGGCACCTGGACCAAGAGTTGCCCCCGATTCTCAAGTCGCCTCCTCAGCCAGCATCGGCACGTTCACCACACAACAATCATCAGAACTTGCCCTCACTACAGTCTGCCCTGGGTGAACTTTCCGGTATCCCCCCTAAAGAACCACCAGGGCGGGTCAACGGTACTTCTCCATATTCATTCCCATCCGTTACAAGCTCCTCCCCATCATTACCACGAAATGAAATGGTCCGCGAACGTCCACTTCCTCCAGCAGCGCAATACCCCACGCCCCAAATACCCCTTAGTCCCTACTCTCATCTGTCGCCTGCAAGCTCAAAAGACATGTCAGCTGTGTCTTCCCCAGCATCACAACCGCCTTATCCCAGAAAGTCAGACATATCATACGTTACCACGAGCTATGAAATTTCCCCGCAGTCAGCCCAAAGCCCAGCCACAAGTTATCCGACACCAACTGAACAATCAACGGTCGGGACTTGTGACCGAACGCCCTATGGTTCAAATACGCAGCCCAATGGGAGCATTCCTACGGGAAGTTATAAATGTCGCCATCCAGGGTGTAATGCTCTGCCTTTTCAGACTCAATATTTATTAAAGTAAGTCCTGAGCGTTCTATAAGGATGTTGTGACAGTCATTCATGCTTCAAATAGTTCCCATGCAAATGTGCACTCTCAGGATCGTCCTCATTTCTGCCCCGTCGAAGGCTGTCCTCGAGCTTTGGGCGGAAAGGGCTTCAAACGGAAAAATGAAATGATTCGACATGGCCTCGTCCATAACTCTCCAGGATATGTATGTCCGTTCTGTCCGGATCAGCAACACAAATACCCACGCCCAGACAATCTTCAACGGTAAGTTGATCCCCACGAAAGGAATAATAAAAGAAAACACTGACAAGAAATAGACATGTTCGAGTCCATCATGTCGACAAGAGTAAAGACGATCCAGAATTACGACAAGTGCTCGCTCAAAGGCCCGAAGGCAGCACGCGGGGGAGGCGACGTCGAACAAATACATAACGTCGAAATGACCTTGAAGATGATTTTCTCAGCACTGTCGGGAATCACGCGGTCATCTTCATTGTATACTGCACATGCATTTACGAAGTGTTTTTGTTGGTTGATCCTTATTAGTATTATTTTTTGCCTTGATTTTTGTTTTCATCCATGATACCAGTTGTCTAGAGTCATGATGATTTATTGTCATTCGTTTTTCGTGTTGGCATATATAATTCCCCCGGATCGTCTTGACTAAGGGCGAAGCGTGAGATTTGTACAAGTTTTTTCTTTTTCTTTTCCCAGGTCGCAGGGCGTTTGGAGATATACTTGTTTTATCTTCTTGTTTCATATTTTGTCACATTTTCTATTCTATCTTTTTTTATTTTCCGTGGCCATAACTATACATATAGTAAGCCGTGGCATCTACACAGGACAAATGGTATGTGGTATGAATGACACGAAAGAAATTCACATAGTAATTGCCAACCATGTTTCTATAACAGATCATCAAGTTCTTCACATTCTGCTCGTTTATCCTTCATCAAAAATTGTACATCTACTTCGTAGCAACCATATCAAATACAGTCCAAACAAAAAAAGAAAAGAAAACCCAGACCGAAACTCCAATTCCATCGCTTCGTTTCGCTTCGCTCGCTCGCTCGCTTTCATCAATTTTACCCAAATCAAACCCAAAAGCAAACCAAAATCAAAGATTTCATCAAATCAAATCAAGCCAAATCAAGCAGAAGCCCGCTTATGAATCCTCCGCACATGATCCTTCATATTATCAACACGACTGAATATCCTCCCACAGCCGTCCCATTCACACAGCACGCCGGGGTTATGTTTCGCCTCGTGCCGGGCTCTGTCCTTGGAACTTGAGAAGCCGCCGCGGCTGGCCTGTGGACAGCCGACGTGTCGACAGAAGAGGTGTTTACGGTGGCGGGTGAAGTGTTTGCGGAGGTCGCAGGCGCGGCGGAAGGTGGTTTGCGAGGTGCAGCCTGGGTAGGCGCAGCGCCAGGTTCCGTCGGGGTTGGGGTGGCCGTAGGTTGAGATGTTTGGGGAGGGTTGAGGTTGGGGGGAGGGGGAGGGGGCTTGGTGGGTGGTTTGGGTTTGGGTGTGGTGTTGTTGGTGATCTTGTTTGTGGTGGTTGTGATGATGGTAGTGGTAGTTTGTTATGGGAGAGTTGTGGATGATGGTTGAAGGGGGTGAGGTTGAGAAGGCGGTTGGTTGATCTTCTGGGAGCGAGTGGAAGGATGCGTCGGTGGTGTTTTGATAGTCGGTTTGGTAGAGGTAGGTTGGTTGCTGTATCCATTGGTTTATGGGTAGACAGCTTGCCGAGATGTCGAAGGGAGTGGTGTGGTCGTTTGTGGATAGAGAAGGTATGGATTCGATGCCTTGCTGTGTGATGTATGGAAAGTATAGACCTCCCGTGTCCTCTTCGCTGACATGGTGTATTGTGTCGGCTTGGTATGGGATGAAGTTGGATGCATCGGAAGGGAGTGTGTGGAATGAGGTCGGTTGGAAATGATTCTGCTGCATAGTGGGCGACTGAACGAAGCACTGATCAGATAAAAGCAGCGGTAGTCCACTCTCAGTGCAAATGTTTGGATGCATGGATGGCTCGGTGCTTGCGTATGTCGAGTGTGATGCTGTATCGGAAACAGGAGAGCGATCTCTAGAGCTCGAGATATAGTTGTCTGGTGCCAAAAAGTGTCTATCCATACTCGCTTGGGATGAATAATGTCTAGCGACTCCAAGTGCAGAACAGCGAGCCACGGCAATATTCATAAGGCTTAGGGCCGCGCGGAATGCGAAAGAAGCCCTCACGAATCAATCCTGACAAAGAATATCTGGGGTGTCAGATGCGGCTGTGCAAGTACACGAGTGTGATGGTGGATCAAGTAGCTGAAATAGAAGACGTCTCAGGTACTGCAATATGATTGAATGACAGGGGGTGACTGGTGAGAATTTGGTGGTACTGTTGGCGTTTTGATCTGCCGATGCTCAAGATCTCTATTTGTGTGTTCCAATCAATCACTGCAGACGTGAAGTCATCTGACTGCGCTGACCATCACATATATCTTGGAAGTGATAAACTGTCTGTTGTGGAATCAGATAAACCTTCGGCGATGTGCGAGGGAGGACATTCTGGCTGAAAAGACACCTGGACAGACTGCATGGCCTAGAACACAAAGCGCTTCCATTCGTCAGTTGCAGGTTCCATCCATATTCAGCGCCCAGGCCTGTCTGTCAACGGTCTCGATGTCGCAGTAATCAATCAGATTTCAATATCCAAAACGGCTGAGGCTACGGCTGCAGAGAGATCAGCACCAGAGAGATCAGCACCATCCTGGGCACAGGTGGATTGGTCGAATCCTATCACCATGACTCTTCCCCTAGGAATGGTCATCCATACTGGGGCCACGAGCAGTTAGCCCATCCAGGAAGGTGGGAGACGGGCCATGAGCAAACTGGTTGGATCAAGGACAATGCAGAGCCCCTCATAATACCAGAAATATTGCATTAGCCGCGGATTATTTCTTAGCATCGTCAGACGAGGGTAGTTGTGAAGCGTGTGTGGATCCAGTTCGACATGCTGCAAAGCCATGCGAGATTCCGTCATCCACATCTTCGGGCCCATTTGTTGCTAAAATCGGGCCTTCGGGGGAACTCAGCCTCAACTTTGTCATATAGAACAAAAAAAGCAAGATCGAAACGCCACGTCCCGGTTTGGGGCCACAAGGCTGAGCTCCGATCAGGATCGTAATGTCTCAGTTAATATAAACAGCCAACTGTTCTGTTAGAATACGACCTATTCTGAGAGTCTCAGATCCTCTAAACGTGTAGTTTGCAAATGTTCATTTTCCGATGTGATTTGTAAAGCAACGATCTTTTCGCGACGATCAGACATAGTTAGCAGCTGAGAATAAGTCAGCGAGCGTACAGGGATGAGGACTGGAAAATTAGGAGATAAGGCATTCATACCGACCGAGTAACCCCTGAGTCATTAAACATGACGTCGCTATGGTTGATTTTGTGAAATGACTGGATGTTGCCCGGTCGTTCGTGATCAACTTGTCTGTATAGGTGTGAACGGTAAAGGGCACTTGAGCCGGGCTGCACCCGAATAAAAAGACAAACTGTCACCGACGGTGATGGCCGGCATGAGAATTAGTTCAACTGCCAGTCGCCCTAGTCGATGGGAACTCTCGACTGTGACTCGACGGTTGGTCAATTAGCTCTGTTATAGCGCGGCACCTTGCATCTCCAGAGGAGCCGCCCGGCATACCCCTGCTAGCAAAGAGCGGTGGGCAAAACATGCGCACATACATGAGGCTTCAACAACCCCACGTCGGTTCGAGATAGCCTCTGCGACCAAAAAATTAATTGGCGGAACTCCTGGATGTATCTTCATTTGCTTGCTTCAGAGTGAGTCATTTTCCATCTTGCGGTTACAACGGATGAAACGCACTTGGCGGGCCTTTCAGCTCAGGCCTGTCAAAATACGTGTCGAGCTGATCAAGAAACAAGCCAAAAAGTATGAGAGATTATTCAAAATTGGTCATATCATGTTGCCCGAAACTAGAGGGGTTTTTGAAACCCTTGCAATCTGTATAGGTGGGAAAATTAAAGGGAAGCAAAAGCAAAAGCCCAAAAGATACCCCGAAATGCTCTGAATGAGAAACCAAAAAGTGAAGAACAAAGGGAAAACAAGTCTTTCCAAGAAGTGATATGCTCTATGCCATGCAAAATCTATATCGTTTATGAATATAGCAGGCTAAACTCTAGCAGCCCTTGACAGGTTGTCAGGCTCGGACAGAAGAGGAGTTATAAGGCTGGGATCTTGCCGTTTGTGTGTATCATCATTGGCGTCTTTATAGAGGATGTAGTGTTGGACGATAAATATCAGGTCGAAGAAAATGGTGACATTCGATAGAAGGAGCTTCACAGGGTTTCCTGTGATGCCACTCCAGTCATTCTGGAAACCGGAGTCGATGATCAGTTGAAGCAGAGACAAGATACCTCCAGTCAAGTCAAGGAGGACCTGGTCAACGCTCCAACCAGCGGTTGACTGGCGCTTAAAGTTGAGCCAAGCTTGAGGGATATATTTGAAAACAGTGACAACCAGCTTTACATAGGAGAAAGCATAGATCTGGATTTTTCGGGCCCGGTCAGTCAAGCCCAAAAGCTATAGAGGGGTTCCCCCAGTCTTATACTTACCACATCGATCCATGCCCATGACGACGATGGATCATAGCCCTTATCCGAGCTCTTGGCTATAACAATGCCAATCACGATGACCAAGGATGCTAAACAACCCCAGAAAAGCACCGCGATTGGTTTGCTCATTCTCTGGTGGGTCGTGGATTTGAACTTCCATATTTTTGGCCAGTATTGTGAATAAGTTGCAATGCTGAGGATGATAGCATGGAGCGCAAAGATAAAGTCATTAAAGCGCACAGTTGGGTCTTCGGCAAGAGGGTGACGAGCAGCATATTGACGCCGAATCACAGGAGACCAGAGAAATGTAGATGTATAAATCGTGTAGCTGAGGAAGCCCAATACGTTCAAAGTAGGGAAGTCAATGGTTGACCCAGAAGTCGAACGCCGCCGATAGTTGCTGAGAGGCTGGGGGTAGAAGGACGCAGACCAGCAAAGCGTACTTTGGTGAAGTGTCAGTGATCCGGGCTCTGGGAATAGAAGACTATGAGGTTTGATTAGGTTGGGAACATACTATATCCATCCGAGGAGGCTATACAAGCTTATCAGTAAACGTCCTGAGTCAATCTAGAAAGCTATGCAACGAAGTACATACCGAGAGAGCGCCTTGACGAACACCTCAAGTTGGGAAGCCATTTTTATATCGTAACCGTCACCTAGATGGAAAACTCATTGAGATGAGCTCTTGTAAAATGAGTTATCGAGGATGAGGAGTTGAAGAACGAGAATGCGGAGGTCTAGTGGTCTTGTGAGAGAGTACAGGAATGGCGCAATTGGAGGTGAAGATAAGATAAGGAGGGCATGTGACGTGTGATGTAGCTGCAAGGAGAAGGCGGTCAGGAGAAACAGGCCGCGGGTTACTCAGCAGATGACTCAGCATCTCGTTGTCCGGGATATGTGATGTCGCGCTAAACCCTATACGGCAAACAGTTGTTGCGGCGGGTCGCAGCAGCAGATCAGCTCGCTGTTCCCAACCATCCAGATTATTATTATGATTTCCATCCCCTGCGGCGGCAAGTGAGCGGTTAGTCGACCTTGTTTGGAGCCATTGTTTTTTCTGTCTTCTTCAGCCTATCCTGCTTTGTCGAAAAAAATTCCTCCCTCTCTCTACCCATTGTGCTGACTTCCCCGCTCGCTATCCTGTCCTACCGCCGGCGTCAAGAGACCATTCGACTCAATTAATCGTGTTGGCCATCAAATTTCGAGACCCCCCGGCTATCTGCATCGATTAGAATTACCTATAGTTCGAGATAAAACACACAAGAACCGATCGCTCTTCCTTATCGGCGCATGGTGCATTCTTCGGAGGTGGGGATCTCAATAGATCTCCTTCGGTAGTTCCGACATTCCAGCATATCGAGATCTAGAGCAACCCGGAGATCATGACTTCCAATTCAGATTTCACGGATCCGGGTAGCAGCACGTATGCCTCGGATACGTTGCATGTTGGGGATGGGACTTGGGACAAGGGCCGCGATACGTTTCTCCTACCCAATTTGATGGGGGTAAACTTTGCGACGATGCAATATAATGGTGGGTATTAGCATGAATTGTAATAATCTGGCATCCTTATCTAATTAAGCTTAGGAATGGGCAATCGATTTCGAAATATGACCGGTTACCATTCCATGATAATCGCGCATGGTGTCATTGCAACAATCGTGTTCCTCGGCCTCGTTCCCTTTTCGGTCCTGCTAATACGATACTACTCTCGGTGGAATCCTTTTTGGGCCTTCAAACTACATGTTTGGTGCCAGGTTTTGACACTCCTATTGACCACGGTCGTATTCGTGCTTGGTTGGTTTGCTGTCGGTCCTGAGAGGAGCTTGACAAACCCTCACCACGGGATCGGATTGGCAATCTATGTCATTGTTATTTTTCAGGTTATATGGGGCTGGCTTCTCCACAAGATTGAGAGCAAGAGGCACAGCCCTCATGTTCCTTTGAAGCTAGTGGTAAGTCCTGGGATGGAACAAACACTGCAAATATATGTTCTGTTGAAACTGATACGTCGCATTCTAGCTCCATCGATGGCTTGGTCGCATCTTGGTCATCTTAGGAATCATCCAAATACCCTTAGGACTCACTCTATATGGCTCACCAAAAGTATTGTTCATCCTTTTCTCGCTCGCTGCCTTCGCGTATTTGGCGGCTCTCTTCGTGTTGTCTTATCTCTACGATACTGAAGGATATCCTACGGGAAATGATTATGATAGTCGGCATAGCTATCTTTCGGGACCTTCATCCGGCTACCATAGTCACAGCAACTTGGGTCCGACGGCTGGAGGAGCTGGGTTGGCCAATATGTTCCGTCGCCGCTCCCGAAGAGACCGTTTTGATGACGATCACACATCATATATGGATGAGAAATACTCTAACGACGGCCCGCGCCGCAGTGGCTGGGGGAAGAAGTTCCTTGAGCTAGGTGCGCTTGCTGGTGCGGCGGCTTTCGCCAAAAAGATATACGACAAAAGGCGCGATCGTGAAAATGACACTGAATCAGGGCGGTACAGCCCAGCCCACAGGAGTGATAGTATGACGGAGGAAAGCTTAAGCAGGCTTGAAGATGGACATCGACCAGAGCCGAGTCATAGAACACCGCTTAATCGTCCTCCAAGTAGGCCACCGAGCAGGACACAGAGCCCAGGCTCGTCCTATTACTACAATAGCACCTATCTCACCGACCACGATCAAGGGCCACCCCATAAAGCTCGAAATGCATTTTTGGGTGCCGGTGCTCTTGCAGCCGTTAAGAATTTCTTCACACGCCGCAAGGGAGATGATGAACAGCGCCGGGTGGAGGAAATGCGTCGTCACGACCTCGAGGACGAACGAATTGCCAGAGAGAACAGCAGGCGAAGATACACGGGAGATGGGTATTATCCACGACGAAGAGCAGATTCCTACACTGCAACGGACTTATCAACCGAGATGAGTCGACCGCCACGAGGTCCTTCTCATGGAGAATCGGCCATCTCTCCAGGACCTGCTCCAGGAGGTGTTGATGGAGCCCACTCAGAACTGCCTGTATCAGATTTCCCAGCTTCAACTAACCGCCACGAGTTGCCCTCAGATGTCACGGGCCCCAATCCGTCTCGACCAGATACGACTGATTTGGCATCCGGAGCGGCAGCTGGCACGGCTGCGGGAACATCGTCTAGTCATCGTCGCCGTAGCAGCAGCAGACGACGTGAGCAAGTTGCATCGCCTCCTGTGTCTGTCAAATTGAAGATGCACAATGACGGCCGTCATGTCACTCTTCGACGATTGACCGAGGAAGAAGCTGCAGCCAACCGTGAAGCCAAACGTCGGGAAAGAAGAAGCTCTCGTCGCCGCAATGGCAGCGTGAGCTCTCTATCCGGCAACGAAGGTGGTTACGACCGGTGGCGACGTGTCGAGGAATTGGAGCGTCAACAAGCCGAGCAGATTCAACGAGAACAGGAGGCAGCTGCCCACTCCACTGCCCCCACTGGCAGCGTTCCTCCATCCTCCTACATGCCGCCCTCTCAAAGCCATATCCCTCCTCCGCCACTCCATCCTCCTTCAAGCTTGCCATACGGGGCTGGAAGCATCACGTCTCCTGGCACATTCACTGGAACAGAAGAAAGTGGAGACTATGCAAACAACAGAAGACGGAGAAGAGCAGAACGAGCCCGAGCCCGAGAGAGACAGCAGCAGGTTGAATTCACTTGATGAACTGGACATACAAAGCATATCGTCTGTACAAAGACTTTGCTTATCTGGTGTGATATAAGTTTCTTTTTCTTTTCTCTTTTGTTTCCCATTTATCGAAGCGACGGAATGACTATGTTAATGATGCAAGCGGTTTTGATTGTTTTACTCACCTTTCCCTCTCCCTCTTCCCCTCTTCCCCTTCCCCTTCTTCGCCATCTACGCAACTCAGCAATATGCACAGTATATCAGCTTTTCCCATGATCACCTGATGATGATAATAGCTATGGATTATGGTTCGACACGGATGCAACGGACAGGAAAAGAATGAACGAGAAATGCGATTTATTGGGATGGCTAACTTCTCTAACGAATGGCGTTTTTTTCTTCTCGTCTTTTCCATTCTTGATGATCTCGGTTTGTTTGCAATTTACATCTTTGTTTTTTTCGAGGCGGATTGTATGTTTTTTACCCCCTTTGGTTGTCAGTAAATTCTTTTTTTCATGCAGTTCATGTATTATTTGCCATATGCCTTTTGTCAATTACTTCCTTGGTCTTGGATGGACATAAAATGGATATGTATCTAGCCACACGTCGAAAGCCTTCAGAACTGATTAAATTCTGGCTCTACAACTGTAGTGCAACAAAGTATCATATGTAGAAATTATGTCAATTGAAAAATAACATAAAACGTCTCTTTTATAAACCTTCGGCCTCATTATTTCTGATACGATGCCTGGACTTTAATCAGCCCAAGCAATAATAATCGAAAACATCTCATCTGCTCCAAGGGCCATATAAAAGGGCACCAGTCAAGTAGCATAAACTTGTTTTCCCATCTGTTCTTTTCATGTATTATACCATGCAAATTGGCATTTGTTGTATGGGTACTCCGTATGATTCCATCGTTCCATCAATGACCACCCAGACCCGACTCCATGTAGGCAGAATTAGCACGAAGTCCGTTCAGTAGCCAAAGGACAGCTACTATAATAAACGACACGATAGCGTTCACAAAACCTTTTGTTGTTGACCAAATCGTTGGAAACACCGAACTTCGAATGGCCGTATCGATGAACCGGATGATGCGCAGAAGGAGTGCTGGGATGATGAGATTCACTTGCAGCAGAACCGGAACTGGGGCACTTTTTACGGGTGCTGTTTGTTTGGGTTTAGGTACCTGTTTGTTCGAGTTCGTCTGCAAGTATTCAATCGAGGTAATCGACCAGCTCATCCGGACGTGGATCTCATACGATTTGTATCCCGAAGGCGAAGAGTGCATCGAAGACTGCGATTCGTGCAGAGAGAAACTTAGGACAGCGAATTCCTTCAGCTTCTTCCACATGAAAATTTTATTGGGAAGAAACAAAATGAGGCCCTTGACATGTTTGAGATTCGTTTTCTGTTTGGAGTCGCCGGTTGGTAAGCTATTGTTCAAGTCTTGAGGGCCAGTGTCTGAATCGATCAACTTCTGCGATTGATTCCTTGGACGGAGAGGTAGGTTATGAATGGTTGGGATGGGAGCTGGAAATGGCTTATCCGAATCATCAATTGGCATGTGATACGTTCTCTCTGAAGTTCGATTTAGCAACGTTCGTTGAGGGTGGTATCGACGAACAGGTTTTGACTTCTCCCTGAGCGCGTTTTGCCGATCTGCAAGGTTGTATTCCAGCTTCTGTCCAACTGCACGAGGGCCGATGAATCGAATACGAGGTGGGCTAACAAATCTCGGGGACGGATCCCCAGGCGGAGTGGTCGTTTCATCTCGACTCTTTGGTGAGCTAGTATTTGGGGTATGTGGCACATTCTCCGATGGACTGCGCACCCTCAATCCAGTGTCAGTGGGAATCGATGGCTTGTGCTGCCGCTGTACTTTTTCGCTGTCATTGGCGATGTAAGCAGCATAGCCTTGTTCCGACTCATCTTTGAAACCAAGTGTGATATTTTCTGCGCCCGGTTTCAAGGCATCATATCTTTCGTCGCACGTGTCTATCTCGGAGGAATCGCTCGTACTTTCACTGTATACCGGTGTATTATGGGGGTTTGTAGGTCCAACGGAGCCAGCATAGGTATGGTACCTATCAAGAGAGGCATTTGAGTGAAGCGTGGGGATTGAATGTCGAACGCAAAAAGCAGGTGGTCTGTTACGATCTTGTGTGAGAACCTGGGGGCCGAAAGTCTCATCGGAACTGTTGTGTTGCGTGTCTTCAACCAAAGGACTTTCTGGCGCAGAAGATTGAATCCCTTCGGGAAATAGGTTGAGTTCTTGGGGGAGCCCCTTCAGTGTAAGCCTTGGGCTAAAAGATTGGAAGGGACCGTGGGAAGGTGATTCGAGTGACATTGTCAATTCGAGTGTTGATTAGATGGAGTTCTATAAAGTTTCAGTCAAAGAAGCTATATTCATGCAGCAGGTGAGTATTAGGTCTTCATGGCATTGGTCAACAGAAATTCGCAAAAGAAAACAAAGAACCACAAGATGGGATTAGATAGTCCCGTGTGACCCAACAAGATATCTGTGTTTCAGGAAGGTGTGACCGGGGATCACAAGGACAGGGACAGTCCTGGCTAGGAAACCTCGCTGTGCGAGAAGGAAACGACATAGTTAGACAGTATCAAATTCATCAAAAGGTCTCTCCCGAGAATTGCTATAATTCTACAAGTTCAGATTGAAATCACGAGCGGATATGTACATCAAGAATCTATTTAAGGACGGCCTGCAGGCTCTCCAGCACCTATTCATAACATTAGTCTGTAACCACAAAAGGGCTTGGTAGTTTCATAGTCCAGGGATATCATACCTCAAGCTCAATCTTGGCCTCAGCAATATCCTGCTCGCTGCCGCTGCCACCGGCGATCTTCTGGGCCTCAGCGATCTGAGACTTGACGGCCTGAATTGGAAAAGAATCGATCAGTATTTGGCTATAAACATATTAAAGCCACGATGCAAGACCTACCTCAGAGCTGAAGTCCTCAAGGGGGAACGCCTCGACGGCGTTGATGCTCAGCTGGGAGTCGGGCTGGACAACAGCAAATCCACCGGAGACTATAAAGACACGGTATGTTAGTCCTATTTTCAACTATAGAGTATGTGCAATTGTTCGCTCGAAGCCAATATGTGGCTTGCTGGCGCAAAGTTCAACGAAGGTGTTCGGACGTACGGAAGAACTGCTTGCTGGCGTTACCCTCCTCGACGACCTCGACGAGACCGGGCTTGAGCTGCTCAATGGAGGGAACGTGGTTGGCGAGGACACCCATCTCTCCGGAGGCGGCGGGAATGTTGACCTGGACACTGTGATCGGGGAGACTTGTCAGTATGTTCACGTTGGCGACCGGCACCCGGGTGCTGGTTAAACAGGAAGGGCAAAAGCCACATACACGCCGGCGGACTTGAAGATGGTCTATATATCATTGTTTTATTAGTACAAATACTTTAGCCATTCGCAGGGGAGACGCGGTGAGTCCAAAGCCGTACCTGGTGAGGAAGGGTCAAGGAGAGCTTGATCTTGTCCGACACAGCCTCAGCGTAACCTCTGCGCTGGAAAGGAGCGCTGAAGGCGGAGGGACGAGCCCTGAAGGCAGAGCGAGCAAAGCGAAGAGAGCTCATCTTGCAATGGACGGACGGGAAAGGGTGGTGATGATATCCCTCTTGAACCTGGGTTGAGTTGCAAAGGTCGAAGTCGGATGCCGGTTGTTCCCTAGCGGCTCTTCCCGGTCACGTGTGGACATTGCTCGGACGTCGGCTTCAACAACGTTGTCAACATACCATATGCAACACGAATAACACGCATTTCAATTAGCATATGGATAATTAATATTTATCAGCTTATAAGTACCTGGTTTCTATGAAAAAGAAAAAATTTTAAATTAAATTAATCAAAGTTGTGTACTACAAAATCTCCAGTCATTAACCGTTTCCGGCAGCGTTGAATTGCAGCCAAAATGCAACCATATCAGTGCCAGTAGACAATTTACTAGAAATTATGGAAGTATAGCAGCTTAATTATCGAGATACCCACGTAGCAGTTGGCACGATGTCTTATTACTGTCAAATCCATACTTTATATCACGTGAGTACGTTGAGTCTTCACCGAGTACCAACGACAAGCCACCACTGCACTTTGATTATTCCCCAGAATAATAATGATATTGATACAATCTTGCTAGACCTAATATCATTTGATTGTATTTGATTTGACGGACCAAAAACAGTGGGACTGAAAAGACGAAGAATAACGGACATCATGTAGATGTTAGTCAGCATGTCACGGGACTTGAAGTATTTCTCACTTTCAACCCATACAAAATATGTTGAAGAACAAGATAATAATAGGTATGAATGTAGGATATAGCAAATATTAATTATCTCATATAGATGTATGCCTTAAATAATAATAAAAACCAGAATAGACGACATCATAACCGCTGTCGCGTCCGTCGATACTACAGCACCGGCCCTCGGACGCTAGCCGCCGTGCGGTAAGCGAAATCCCACACAAATCCTCGTCCGGGAGCCCTAGTCCGAACCTGCTTTGGACTCTGGCCTTCTACAACTTCATCCGCCAACCCATCGTCAACCACCTCCGTTGCGACAAATACCGACAAGATGGCGAGTACGTGCTTGTTCCCCCAGATTATTCGACCTCTGCAATATTGCAATATTGCTTCGTTTGGTCGACAAAATGCTTTTTTTGCTACAGAATCGCTGACCTGACCTTTTTCACTTGAACAGAGTCCAAGAACGCGTCCCAGCACCACAACAGCCAGAAGGCTCACCGTAACGGGTGCGTACCAGGAAATCTTTCTACAGTTATTCGATGAAATTTTGTTAGAGACGAGGATGTTGCATTGTGGGGGTTTGAACATTATTCGAGATGGCTTCGATAGCCTTAGATTGCCCCCTCAGTGCAACAAGCTCTCTCTTACACAGGACAATCACATGAAGGACACAACGCTGATACCACTTTCCAACGAACAGTATCAAGAAGCCTAAGACTCACCGTTACCCCTCCCTCCGCGGTGTCGACGCCAAGTTCCGTCGCAACCACAGACACGCTCTTCACGGTACCGCCAAGGCTCTGGTACGTTGATACTCCTGGACAATCGACAAATATCCCCTGATAAGTTTCGGTGGGCTAACTTCTCTACAGAAGGAGAGAAAGGAGGGCAAGCGTGAGGTCGCATAAATTATAGAAACAAAAAATGAGAGCGATTTAAGTTGGTGATTTTAACGTGCGATGACAAAACGGCATGTCGAATAGCCTGGCTGGTTGCGCGCGACAGTTTCCGAAGTTTTCCAATAAAGAGCCTTAATTCGGTTGCACGGCGTACTTTACGGAGATAGCTGAAGCATACTCCAATTTTTTCTTCTTCTGCACCTGTACAACCAGGTAGAATCGCATCCCACGACTTTGGACTCTCTCCCCGCATTTCCCAGACGCTCGATTTGTTACGAAAAGAGATCGACATGATATGGTTTTCCGGTTGCCCAATGTTGAATTCGGAAACCAGTTCGACTCTTTTCTTTTCCCTTATAGGTCTTCCCCCAAACACTCAGGCATATGTGTGTACAGCTTCGTGCCATTTCTCATGCGCGCTTGCTGAAGGATTTTTTCTTAACGTGCCGATAACAAATCCCAAGCCCTCCTAAACCAAACACCTCTCGTTCCTTTTTCGTGGTGACGGGGTGAATGGTCGGGGTGCTACATATCCTCGTAGAGTATATAGTCTGAATATGATTCTTGATTATCTTCCTGCATTCCTTCCTAGTGATCTTCAACTTGCATAGCCTATCATCATCTTTTCCAAACAATAAGCTTCTTATCGAAACCACCACTAACAATCCATTCCTCCTTGACCGTCTCCCCATCTCGAGAGACATCAACCGAACCAGCCCAGATAGTTCTTACTTTACACCCATAGTCATGACCTTCTTTCAACATGACAACAACCTTGCCCGTCTTGGCCTCTATCCCTCGAATAACACCATCATCTCCATTCACCCAAACACCCGATCCATCAGGTCGCCACGCCACTTGCGGTGTCGAGTAAGCTGTCTGCGAAGCAAACGTATTCGCCTGGATCAAAATAGCCGCGTCTTCGCGGTTCTGTAGAGACAGAGTAGCCAGAGCCTGGGCGGCCTGCGTTGCTGGCTCTGCAGGGACTTCTCCATCCACACTTTCCGTTGGGAAGAGAAGGCGCACGATCATCACTTTCATGTGTGGGAGTGTTGACAAAGCCACGGCAAGAAGCCCGGGGTCGTGGGGGCTGAGCGCGAATGAAGAGGGGGAGAACGCAACCCAGGCATTGGAGTGTGGTGCGAGGTTCTGCTTTCCTAGTAGTTTGCTCTCGGTTGGTGTAGTAGGAGTGGTAGCCGCCGAGTCGATCTGGTAGTAGTAAAGATAGGTCGAGTCACGTCGTGAGGCGAGCAGAGTCAGCTCGCCGGAGTCAGCGTTTCGAACGAACAGCATGCATTCCGGGTTTGTCGTCAGGTTGATATACGCAGCAGGCTCACCGAGCAGGACTGCTGGATCCTCTGCCTCATCCGGAATATTCACTCGATAAATGAAGATTTTCGAGTCCCAACCAGCAGTAGCAATCCAAATAGTTCCTGTATGTCCATCTTCGTACACAGAAACCTTAACCGCATACTTCGCATGATCCTTTCTGCGATCTATAATCTCCTTTCCCCGCTGGAGAAGAAGTTGACCAGACATGTTGGTCATGAAAACGTATCTGCCATTTCGGGCAGAAGCATAAGATAGAATAGGCGAGTCGGAAAGACCATTGAATGAAGTAACAGAGCTGTTCCCTTCTGCTGTCTTGAATAGATGCATTTGTCGATCAGCCCCAGTGGCTACTAGATATGGTGATGCGTCTTGGCTGTTATCTTCATCGCCGGGTTTCTGCCAGGACTCGACAGATGCAGCTAGGAGGTTTGAAGATGTGGGTGTTCGGATTATTGTTGGTTTTGATGGTGCTGATATGACTTAGATGAGGTTTGTTTATGAAAACAGTTGGTGGACGAAGAATCTGCCAAACAGTAGAAATATCAAAAAACTCACCTGGAACACTCCAAATCCCCTTCTCCTTCTCATCCTCTCCGTACCTCTCGAAATTAACACTCTTATCGAATGTCTTCTTCTCCTCTAGCACCCCCTCGATGGTCCAGCTGTTGGGGCCGTTGCCCTTTGCACTCTGTTGCCCCGCGTCCGCTGGAAGTCCCGCTTCGCGGATGAAGGCGTCGAGGGTCTGCGTGAAGTTATTTGACCGCAGAAAGCGAGCCACGAGGGTGCTGGCTAATAGGGTAGATTGGGCTGTTGTCATGTTGATGTTGATATGCTTGGTAGTATTCCTTGCCTTGAGCAAAGATGAAGTTGATGGTTTGAAGTCGATCTGATAAGCCAACCAAATCCCCTCACGGGAAGTTTCGCAGTTGAATCATAACACTACGTGATGATGACTTTTGTGGGGTTCATAAATTAAGCAAAAGAAAGAAATTCATTATTGGCATTAAATTGGATATCGGTCCATCGTGTTACTGCTCCCTCTATTTATCAATTTTTCAAGGCGATGTCAAAGTCGTTATTGTTATACAGTAAATGCTTCGATATAAATTCTCAACTGAACATGTCCTCCGCCCTGCGTCGTGGTCCTCCCCGTCCTTCGATCTTTTCAGAGAACAGCTCCTTGCCTGCATTGCCTGGGTTCGCGCCGAATTTGGATGGGAAGAGCTCTCGAACAGATGACCCCCTTCCCTTGATTGACATGCCACCTGAGGCTCCCCGAATAGCAAATCCTTGGTCCTGGCCACTGTGTCCAGCTGACCCCCGAATATTGACACCGCTTCTGTTGGACGATGGGAATAGCTCAACATTTTTGTTGCGCTGTGCATGACTTTCGCTGTCACCAACGGACCTTTTCAAAAGATCCGCAGGGTCATTGTGTGTATCGATTGCATCGGATCGACGGTGGTTGCTAACTTTGCTGGGAAAAAGTTCCTTTTTGAGAAAACTCGAGGTAGGCTTATTGGGGAATAGTTCCCGTGTGCTCGAATCGCCTTCGCCGCCCGACTTGGATGGGAAAAGCTCCTTGGCTCTGTTGCGACGAGGCGATCGCTCTCTGAATCGCCTATGCGAGTCATGCCGAGTATCTTCGTATCGTCCGCTCTCACCCAAAGTATCCCTTCCTGGGGACGCACTGCGATTGCGGAGGCGACCTCCAGAGCGTCCTTCATCTGGAAACAACTCGCTCCGCCCGCGGCGCCCTCCATCGCGACCTCGGTCTGCGTCAGAATAGCCAGTGTTCGAGTCATCGTACATGTCGGCACTGATTCCTTGATCCTCATCACGATCCTTCCGCCGTCGGAGCTCCCGTCCATCAAAACGTCTTCGTGTGTAATCACCATCATTGTCTCCTCCCTGACGTCTTCCAACGGCGAGTTCTCGTCGCAGCCGCTCTCGGGGATCGTGTTCGGGGTGCATTAGGTAAAATCTACTCGCTTCGTGTGCACGAGCTTTTTTCCGGTCTGTCTTCACAGCCGACCTCACCTGCAAAACGGAGTCAGGATGGGTAGAGAGAAGTTTGGCCGACCGTAGACGAAAAGACGGCAGCGCAGACATGTCTTCTTCTTCGCTGATTTGTGTCAAAGCTGACAGCGCTTGTAGACCGACTTCTGGTGAAGAGTAGACGATATTTGCGGACGTATCATCGATCCATTCGATACGGGAGGGGGCTTCAAGGGAGAAGTGGCTGGTGGCGAATTGTTTAATGTTATCTGTAGTAAGTTCGTCGACGCCTCTGATATGGACTTTTTCGTACTGCGCCTCTTCAGCAAGGTGGTCAACTGTGCCGTCCTGGGGATAAGCTGTTGTCGCGGGCTCCTGGGCAAGCCGAAGGGTGTTAGAGAAAGTGAGAGCAAATTTGGTTATGGTATCTTCGACACTCACGGCTTCAATTGGCTCTGGTTCGGGAAGGGGGCCTAGGTCCAGGTCCATATCGATGTCCATGGAGGCGTCCATGGCACCGGAGGGTTGGGGAGCGACCTCCATGATGGGGGGAGGGAAGGTCTTGGGTATTGCAATGGGAGATAGGGGAGTAGAGAAAGAATCGATAGATAGGAAAGATGCTTTATAAATGAGACAGAGGTCAGAGGTGAGGTTGTCAAGAGACGGAATTGTGACTGCGATATGAAGCTTCTCCGGCCTAACGTTACTGCCGGCCCGATTAGGAAAAGCGTCGGTCTCGCTGCAGAGTGACTTCACTGCCACCGCCCGATGACTCTTGAATATTCAACTCTTCTTCATCGTCTCTTTCACTGAGGTGGTGGAGTCGAATAATTAAGGATGCACGCTCACTCTGTGTGCTCTCCCTACTTCCTCAAAATCAGCGAGGCAGACTTGAGAACCCACTCTCACCTCATCCAGTATGCTTCATGCTAGAGCCCAGTGAGACTGACCCAGTTTGGTATCCAGTCACTCTGGTCTTAGATGTGAGACTAGAAGTGAGGATGAAAGCAATCTGCAGGTGAAATAAATGAAGCCGCGGAATCATGAACAACAATGACAAAATCTGCTCGTTTGGCACCGGATTCAAATAATGAGGCATCCGCCCATGATTAACTGCGTACCAGCTCACATTTCCTCTGGACAAGGCGGACGACCAGCCATCCGAGTAAAACTACGAGATTACGGTGACTACGAACAAATGCCAGCTCTGCACTGCAATTTGATACACGAACCGTTCAACAGTGTATATCGAAACGGACCCTGCAGACTGCAGTACTTGGCCAGCAGAGCTATGCAGTCATGCACCCAATTCTTATATTGTGCCAGTTGATGCCTCAATTTTAATGATCGGGCCCGGCTGTTTCTAAATCCACGATCTTTTCTGGCGACTTGGCAAGCTTCATTGGCACAGGATAAGAGGTGCTGACGCAGAATGTCAGATCCAGTCAGCAAACTCCAGACAAATCTAGTAGCTCCCAGCATCTCTAAGGACCTGTTCTGTGGAAGATACGAACAGGCTGCAGTGGTAGCCTAGGTGAGTATGATGGCAGGATGACAATGATACATTTCTACACGAGTCTATTTGCCTCGATCTTCACGCCGTCTGCTCAATTCTATCCTGTTGGGTCTTTGTAGGCAAATATACCAGAATCCTGCTGACTCAAATAGATCGTCTGAAATGTCTTAACCGACAGAACAGGCCGAAATCATCAGCCGACGACAGAGAATGGAGTGGCCGAGTCTGAATGGCACTCCCACAAGCATCTTCAAAATCACTTCGACAAATGCGCCCTCTGCAGCCAAAAATGAGGCCATAGAATTGATCACCGCTGCCGCAAGTCGGTGTGACCAAGAAATGGAGCATTTCCATGACACTGATGTCATGGGTCACTTGTTCAACCTTCAAACCCCAAACTATGATCAGGCACTCCGAATTCTCTACTAGCGGGGTCGACAGATGTCAGCTGTTTGGGATATTTTCAAGCACCTTTGCGCAAGGGGGTTGTTTCGTTGGAAAGTCTAATCAAGCCAATGAAGTTTCGACGACTCTCGCATCAAGTCGCGATATAATGTTTCTTCTTGATTGCTTTGAATACGCAGATCGTCCGAAGCTGCAAGGATCTCGATCAGACTTTTGAGGAAATCAACAACACCGGCATGCTGGGGCCTCTGAACCTTGACGACTTCCAGAACCGTCGCGCGAAGGTATCTTTGGCTGTCGATCCAGACGCCCTTGCCGGGGACGAAAGCTCTTCTTCGGATTCTTTCTAACACACGGGATCGGGGAACATAGAAAACAATGGCGAGCAACCTTTCGGGATGCTTTGACAACGTTTGATGAGGTGGAACGGCTCTTCAAAGCTACTTCAAGATACCGAATGATATGTCGATGTAAATAATCGCTCGTTGCTTGCTAAGTTACTTCTGATGAATATGAATAGTGATATCTGAATCCGAATCTGAACTATTAACAAAAATCCAGTATTGAATGTCCTGCATATTAACCCGATCGATAATTGATGCATGATATGATGCATTTACAGCTGTCCTCGTGGGCAGAAGTCTACCACGATCTCTTGCATAACGCACGAGTTATCGATGCAATGCGATCGATCTCCCTCGTGTCGACAACAACCGACTTCAGACATATAACGGTTTCATTGCTTAATACAACCTGCCTTGGGCGTACTCGTGATGTTTGAGCTTCTATACTCTCAAAGCACATACGCACAAAGCGACGATAGTTGATTATTGGGAAGTCAGCTCAATCCAGTCGAGTGAGGGCATCTGCAATTAACTGGCAGTGCATACTAATATACCAGTATGGCTTGGGTTCCAGCAGCGCAGGCTTCGATGTTGACATGCTGCTACTATCAACATCGAAAATCCACATTGTTCAGTCGGGAATTGTATGATGGTTTGAGTATGACACCACCCAAAGCATAGGTTTGTTTGGGAAGAGAAGCTTCTTATGATTCGACAGCACCAATACTCCATCTACACTACACTTACAAATCACCACATCCAAGACCACGCAAGCAGTTCTACAGGTGAAACCGACCATATCAGCCGACAGTAAGCAATTTGTATACACCCATACACAGCAAAACCTGCTACACCAACACCAAACGTTACGAGAAACAGGTCATTACCAGTCCTACACTCCATTACATCAAAGGATTCAAGCCCTAGCATACACACATACACACCCAAATAGGCATATGGTCATCCTAGACGTCGTGCGTCCGACGTGAATATCACCTCATCAACGACCTACCACACACATAGTGCTACAGTGGGCTCAGTACGTCCTTCCAGAAGGGGTACCGATCGAAAACGAGATCCACATCAGCCTCATATTAGACAGATTATGGGAATCAGGGAGACAGGATGGACAAGAAGCATGGATGTGATGTTGGGCAGGAATGAAATGGAATCAACCCCAGCGACGAGATGATGTACAGTGCATGCATTGTATGAGTGGATTATTTAATATTATTTGATATTATAATAACAAATAAATGATAAATAATACAAAAGCCGACCACAAAAACCGAAATATCGAATACAGACAGGGAAGTATTTGGCATCCAGGTCATCTGATCGTGTGAGAGGACATCGGAATATCCGACTATCTGAGAACTTCCTATTACAGAATACGAGATGCAAATCAGAGTCTAGAATTACATTACCTCAGTGACGAAGAAAAGCTGGGGCTGAAGAAGCTGAATAGGTATCGGCGACCCCGAAGAATCTAGCAGCTACTATAAATTAGCCATACCAATATTCGAAATCATCGACAGGGGAGAGAGAGAGGGCATAATCCCAGTTGGGTTAGGGCGGATAAGGTTGGCAACGGCTGTGCTGTACGGGCTTAGCTGACAATGACATCCAGCACCTACAGGTACGAAGTCAGAATGACAGGTCCACGTGGTTTCTCCCTACTGTAGCTGCCGGCACTCTGAGTCTGAATAGTAATACTCCTAAGTGTTAGGATCAATAGTTCAGCGACTAGTCAAGCTATGATGATGATTTACAACTCTAAGCCCCTAGTGACGGGTGCCGTCCGGATCAAAGCTCTACCTAATCTAACCCATGACAAATCCCTCGAAACGGCCCGGGGAAATCATTGAATCTCGCCGAATGAGTCCTGATCCGGTTAGTCTTGTATGACCCTGCGATGTCTGATCTCGCACTTCCTGATCAGATCAATTATTCCAATATCAGCCTGCAAATAGCCTAAAATGCGCTGATTGGGCCATCGGACACCGGCAAGGAGGGTACCCTAGTCCCAAACCGGACTAGATGATCAGCACCGTGGACGGGCACCGAGATCCGCCGACAGCCAATCAGAGTGCGAGAATGCACGATCTCAACGTCCTGCTCGAGCTGGAATCGATCTGCAATCGTGCAGAAGGAGTTCAGTGTTGGTAACAAACTGTAGACTACATTGTCTGGAGTACATGATATGAGAATGTCTGATTTAACACTTTACATAGTCTCTACTATTCTTTGTACTATTGTTTCTTCTCTAGTATTGTCAAGGAAAGATCAAAAATGGATCTGATACAGACAGCTCTACCCGATCCACAACCCATCCACCTCATCGAATCTAAGCCGTTGTACAGCCCAGTCCAGCTCCGTATCACCGCCCAAAATCCCAAATATTCGACATCTTTCACCGTAAACACCCCCCAACACGCAACGCAGTAAGTGGGTATCTCCCACTCACCTCACCCACGGAACCAGCCTTGGGCCCATGGGACAGCTCAGAAAACCGGCCGTTTCACATGCGAAACTAGCCCCCTCACCCACTACCTGTTTTTTT